CAGTAGCACAAGCCATGCCACACACTCACACAGCCACCACTGACCCTTTCCTGCCCCGCAGTAGCACAAGCCATGCCACACACTCACACAGCCACGTTGAATCGCCGAAGCGGAAGCAGTAGACTCAAGTCGTGTTTGTCGATCTCTATCGTACCGCCACGTGCCAGATCGCCCGTTTCGGCCTGCCAGCCCGCCCCGCCAGTCCGCCCCGCCAGTCCGCGCCGCCCACTCCACTTTGACAACTGTCTTTCCCTCGTCGTCCATATTTCGCTCGCTCCTCCATGTCCCAATCCCCCTCCCCGCTGATCGGGCAACGTCTAATCCAAATTATCCCCGCCGTACCGCCTTCGTCCTCCAGTACAGTACGCTATGGCACCATCCTCTACTCTGGCCCGGTCGCGGGCACAAAGGGCGGCGATGACTGGCTGGGCGTCGAGTGGGACAACCCCGCTCGAGGACGACATAGCGGGGAGCACAGGGGAGTGCGATACTTCCAGACGAAAAGGGAGGGTGCGGGGAGTTTTCTCCGGGCGACGACGCTCAGAGAGGATGGGGCAACTTTCGTTGGGGGCAGAGCATTCCTTGCTGCAGTCAGGGAGCGATATCTATCCGACGAGGACGAGGACGTTGCGGAGGGGTCGACGAGTCAGGCACAGGCACCGCTTGCACCGCTCTCCCGGCGGAACTTGGCCGAAATCGATATCGAGGCACCCAATCTGGCCAAGATCCGTGCGAAGCTTGGTCAGCTGAAGAGACTGAAGGTCGTCTCCCTTACGGGGCCTGTGGAGGTGACCGAAGAGGACGTGAGGGAGCTGGAGGCTGCGGGAAGGGTCGGGCCCAGTAGGGAAGACTTGATCGATACGGCGAAGAGCTTGCCTGGCGCTGAGCTCGGGCAGGCCGAGAGCGAAGAGATTGGCGAGGCATTACCCAGTGAGTGAGCGAGCGAGCCGTAACGAGCGATGTAGGTAGCTGGCTGACCCGCTCGCTCTCGCACGCAGGCATCGAGCACCTAGACCTCTCCCGCACTCTGATGCCATCCTGGCGTTGCCTAGCGAATATCGTACAGCATCTTCCACGATTGCATACCCTACATGCGCATCAAAATCGTCTCGCACTTCCAGCTTGCGAAGCCGATCACGCAGCGCTGCGCTCCTCTGCTGGGCTGCGCTCCCTCCTCTCGCTCGGGCTGGACCGTACGGACACTTCATGGCAAGACATCCAACTTCTCGCCCCCTACCTACCAGAGCTACGGACCCTCCAGCTCGCCGGGAACGGGATTGATTCCCTCCATCCCTCGGGAAGCGACGTGCTGGCCAGGCTGGAAGAGCTCAATCTCGAGTGGAACGACCTCACATCCTTCCACGACCTCGCGACTCTCCCAGCGCTCAAACGCCTCCATCTCTCGCACAACGCCATCGCCCACATCGCTCCCAGTCAACGCCCCTTCACGTTGCTGGAGCATGTCTCTCTAACGGGCAACCCGCTCTTCAACCCAAGAACAATCAGCCCATCCTCAAAGGTGTGGGAGAGCATGCACAACCTCGACTCCTCCATCACGGGAGGACTGCGCAGCTTGTCCGTCCAGCTGAAAACCACAGACGAGGCAAGTCCTCCAAGCATGGATGAGGACGCGCTCCGCCTCCATCTGATTGCGCGCCTCCCTTCCCTCGCCACGCTGAACGGCTCGCCCGTCAGCGAGATGCAGCGACGGGACGCAGAGATTTGGTGGGCCGAAAGGATGGCGATGCCCAGCATGGCCGCCAAGCTGGATGCGGCCTCTGCGCGGACGATGGAGCGACTGAAGAACAGTGAGTGTGGGGCGCTTCGGAGAAGATGGTGGACCGCTGACCTGACCCTCTTCGTCCTTCTGACTCGTAAAGTCCATTTCGCCACCACAACAGATACCCCACCAGCCCCCATCAATACCCAACGTCCCGCCGGTGCGCTCGGTCTCAAGTCTCAACTCGTTTCCGTAACTCTACGCCTCTCGGATCGCACGCCAGGTCAAACGGCCTCTCCGCCCACGCCAACTCGAAGCGCTCCTTCCATTGCCTTCCTCCCAAGCATGTCCCTCCGCACCCTCCGACCCAAGCTGCTGCGTTCCCTCAAGGTCTCGCCTCGAGAAGCAGGTGACGCGCGTTGGTTCGCATTGATGCGCTCTGCGGACTCCAAGTCAGAGGAAGAGGGAGGCAACATCGTAATAGAGCTCGACGACGATTCGACGCCGTTGAACAGGTACGGACTGGACGCGCGAGTACGGGGCGACTCGTCGCACGAGGACGAAGGGCAGGAAGACGAGATATGGGTCGTATTACCGTCGTAGTCGCTCTTTAATCCTATAGAATTGCGCTCTTGTCACCACCTGCCTAGCGTCTCCCTCCTCGCCCTCCCCTTCCCCCACCTCGCCCACCACGTGCCCCTCCCCCTCCCCTTCCGCGTCCGCCTGGGGCGCGCCCAGTCTTCTCTCTCCTCTTCTCCTTTGCAATCCTTTCCCTCGCAATCTCATGACTACTCTTCAGCTCCGCGCGTCCCCGCCCGCCTCTAGCGGCTCCTCCCCTTGCCCCTCGTCCTCCGCGTCCTCCTCTTGCTCCACGAGCGGGTACGTGAGGCTGGACGGGACGCCCGTCCCTGCCGATGCGCGACGAGGAATCGGCACCAGCCGCAGCCTCGCGGCGGGCCTTGAGCTTCTTGTGATAATCGCTCTGCGCCGGATCGAGGCGCTTAGCTTCTTTGACCCCCTTATGGCGATAGGACAAGGCTCCGCGTCCTCCTGCTCCTCCCCCTCTTGCTCCCCCTCTCCCACCACGCCCGGCACGAGGCTCCTCCACGTCCCCCACCTTTCCAAGATCACGACGCTCCCTCTTCTTCCACTCGTCGAATCGCCCACTCCTGAAGCTCGCGGGCAACCGCGTTCCGGACTCGGTGCGGATGATCTTCTCGTTGTCCGCACCCGTACCGTCACCGCGGATGAACTTCTTCTTCTTGGTGTCCCAGCGAGCCGCGTTGGGTGCTTGACTCTGCGTGCCGAAGCGCGTTCCGTCGTCGGAGGTGAGGGAGAAGGTAGCATTGCGCGCTGAGGAGGCAAAGTCCCCGCCAGAGTTGAGGGCGTAACCCTTTTCCTGGAGGGAGTCTGGTTGGGAGTAGTCGAGGTAGAAGGAGGGGTCGCGGTAGGATTTTGGTGGGGGAACCTTGGAGGTAGAGGTGGAAGAGGAGGAAGGTTTGCCCTTGGCGTTGGCTTTGGCTTTGGAGTCGGCAGAGGCGTTCGTGTCGAAGACGGCTTCTATCTCTCCCTCGTCAGCCATTTCAACGTCTGCTCCTTCGGACCCCTCGTCAACACCGCCAGCAGGCGTCCACTCCTCTTTCCCCACCCCTTCTTCCCCCTCGCTCTCCTCGCTCACCTCCTTCTCCTGCCTCTTCACAGCTCGCCTCGCCTGTTTCCCCTCAAGAGTCCTCCGTCGATCCTTCATCAATCGCGCAAGCGGGCTAGACTCCCCCCTTGTGCCCAGCTCGAAGACGGTTTCCTGGGGCGTGAAGCCAGCAATCTTGGCCAACAAAGCCGAGCGCGCTTGAGCCGTCGCTGCGTCGTTCGCGATGGGCGCCGCAGAGGAGGGGGCGGACTTGGGCGCACTGCTGCTCACGGTGGTCGACGGGCCCGCACCTTTAAGCCCATACTCGGCCGGCCTCAAGTACACATCCGCCACGCCTCCCTCCTCCATGCCACTGCCCGCCAACTTCCACTTCCCAGCCTCTCCCCCCTCCTCCTCGGGTGTAATCATACTCTTCGCCCTCTTCAAGCTCTGCGCTCCAGGTTTCGTGGCGCCGTTGGAGCGCTCGTACATCTTCTGTGCTCGGGCCACGACCTTGCGCAGCGCCACGAGCTGGTCTGCCTTGCTCGCGTGGGTGGAGGGAAGGGTGAAGTGCAAATACTCGTTCTCGTCGTCCAACGCTTGGCGCGGGAGGGCACCAAGACGGAGGGCTGTGGCTGCGGCTGCGCTGCTGGCTGCGTCCGCGTCGTCCTCGGTCGAGGTGGGGCTGCCGCCGCTGGGAAGGAGCGGTCGATTGAGGAAGAGCTGCAAATCGCACAGCGCCGGCAAGTCCTTGTTGGTCACGAGACTCCAGGCCCATCCCCCTCTCCCCGCCCTGGCCGTTCTCCCCACCCTGTGCACGAACACCCTGGCGCTCGGCGTGAAATCATAATTGACCACATGCTCCAACACGGGCAAATCAATCCCCCTCGCCGCCACATCCGTCACGACGAGCAAACTCGTCCTTCCCTCGCGGAAACGCTGCATCTCAAGCGAACGGGCCGACTGATCGAGCGAGGAGTAGATGTGGGAGCACGCGTACCCCATTGTGGTGAGGAGGTGTAGAAGGTACTCGACGTGGTGCTTCGTGGCGCAAAAGATGATCGTCTGGTGAGGGAGGAGAGAGTCCGTCCCGCGTATACCGCCAGGGGCTCCCGCGTTGGCTGCGGGGCGCTTGCGCTTGCGGTCGATGGAGCGATTGGCGCCTGTGCCGAAGCCAGATCCGGATCCATGGCCATACTCCTCGTCGTCGTCGTGCTGCTGACCCGCCTGCTCCCCGGCGGGTACGCCAATGACATCCCTCAGCAGGATCAGCAGGGCCGCTTCCTTGTCCCCTGGCTTGACGCTAAAGAACCCCATCCTCAAGTCGGCCGAGACCTTACTCTCTGCGTCGAGCCGCACGAGCTTAGGATTGGCGCTGAGTCCGGCGCGCGCAAATTCGACGAGACTCTTGGGCAGTGTCGCCGAGAAGAGGCAAGTCTGCCTACTGGCGGGTAGACGCTTGAGAAGTTCCTCCAACTGGTCTGCGAAGCCCATCTCAAATAATCGATCCGCCTCGTCGAAGACTACGTACTTGACGGCACTGAGGTCGAGGTCCATTTCGACTGCCAAGTGGAGGAGACGACCGGGCGTGGCAATGACCACGTCCGGGTTGCTGGCCATGAGATTGAACTGCTCGTCCATAGACTCTCCACCCACAACCATTGCCCAGCGCAGCGCCTCTCCCTCCCCGGATTCGGGCCTGCATCCTCGCGCTATATCCTTTCCTACGCGGAGAATCTGCAAGGCAAGCTCACGACCGGGGCAGAGGATCAATGACTTGATGCCGATGGTGGGGGAGTGGCGACAATTGAGCTTGTGGAGGAGGGGGAGCATGTAGGCTAGCGTCTTGCCCGAGCCGGTACGGGCCATCCCTACCAGGTCTTGTGGAGGTTGCGCGAGGAGGGGCGGGATGGATGCGCGCTGGATGGGCGTGGGGGTCGTGTAGCCGCGGAGGAGGAGGGAGCGAAGGAGCGAGGGGAGCAAGCCTGTGCAGCGTAGGAGGGTAGCATATAGTCAGTAATTGGAGTCGAGGTGTCATGCCGCCCTCGTCGCAGCACGCACCCATACTCTGGAAACTCCCTCCGCCCGTCGTTTCACCGCTCTTCTGCTTTCCTTTCCCTTTTGCCTTTGCCGTGGCCGCCTTTGCTACTTGAGCGCCAGCTTTGACGTTGTGCTTGTGCAGCGCCGAAGCAATGGCCTGCGCTTCTGCTTCGTCATCGTCGTCCTCCTCTTCCTCGACATCACGGCGTGTACGCTTCGGACGACGTGACGTCGAAGCGGCGTCGTCTGCTAGGAAGTCTAGGGCTTTTGCCATCCTATGGGCGTGGATGGGTTGGGATCGAGTGGTGGGTGCGAAGCCAAGCCGAGTCCTGCGACTTTCCAGGGACCAAATTTCATTTCCTCCCCGCCTTGCCGCCAGTCCGCCTAGGCGTCCTTGCTTGTCCATCCCGGCCTTGTTCCGATCCGACTCTCAGCGCCGCCAGATGCACGCCCGCCCACCCGCCCACCCGCCAACCAACCAAAGTAACACGGCGTCCCGCCCGCAACCCGCAACTCGCATCGGGCTCGAGCCTCCATCTTCCCTTCTCCCTTCCTCCTTCTCCAAACCTCCACGCTTACCAACGGCGCATCGTCACGCCCACCATGTCCAACTTCTTCCGCTCCATGGGCCGGTCCGCCCGTCCCTCGAAGCACGCCAACGCCAACAACAACAAGTCGCCCACTTTACCCTCGGGCGATTTCCCCCCTTCTCATCAGCAGGGCGGCGCAGCAGGAGGAGGAGGAGGAGGGGGCAGCTTCGGTCCCAACGGTAAAGCATTGTATCTGTGCAATCCTTTTGTGAGATCAGCGCTGGTCAAGGGGAGCTTCAAGACTATTGTGACTCTGCCCAAGTATGTGGATCAGAGGGAATGGGTCGCGGTCAATCGTGAGTCATCGGACGCGTAGACATGCGAGGGGAGGAGCATGGGTGTAGAGGCGACTGACATTGACGTTCCCTGTTTCACTCCCTCACTCACTCGCTCGCTCGCTCGCACACAGTCTTCGACTTCTTCAACAACCTCAACCAATTCTACGGCGTCTTGACCGAGTTCTGTGAGTGCATATAGGCCTCCCTCTCCTCTCTTCGCCTCTCCTCGCCTCTCCTCGCTCACCTCCCCACCCTTCCCCTCGCCCGGCCCGCAGGCACAATCCACACCTCACCCACAATGTCCGCCGGTCCCGGTCTAGACTACACCTGGATCGATCAAAATCGCAAGCAAGTCCGTCTCCCCGCCCCACAGTACATCGACTACGTCATGACCTGGGTGGGTGGCCTACTAAGCGACGAAGCCACTTTCCCCACCAAGGCTAGTCGGGATTTCCCTCCAACATTCATGGTGACCGCCAAGCATGTGTATAAGCAGCTCCTTCGAGTTTTCGCTCACATCTATTGGGGACTGTTTGGTTGGTTGGTCCACCTCTGCGCCGAGGGACACTTCAACTCGCTCTTCGCACACTTCATTGCCTTTGGGGCGGAATTTGAGTTGTTCTCTTTTGGAGAGTTCAGGAGTAGCGGGAATTCTGTGGGTGGCGGGTACCCGGGGGTGTGCGATTTGATTGAGGCGTGGGTGGGTATGGGTGTGTTGGAGGAGAAGTGTTTGCGTTGAGGCGCGAGCGCGGAGGGTGGGGGAAAGAGCAAAGATTCAACTGTATCATTATCAACTTTACATTTCATGACGTCAGACAACCAAGAGCGCTGCTCTCCATCTCTTGAGCGCAGCGTCACCCCTCGTTGCTCCCCATCGCCGTACGCCACAGGTCCCACCCGATCCTCTCTCCCCCCAACTCTGCGCCAAGCCTCGCCCTCATCCAAGCGCGCACAGAGTCCGTATCGTGGCCGGCAATTCTGACCACGACGGGCGGTTGTGGCGGCGTGCCCTCCTCCTGAGAGCCGCTTGTCTCATGAAGCGGCGATAAGCTCCACAGAACCTGCGGCGGGGAGGACCCGCCGCCGCCGCCGCTAGGTGTGCCTCTCTGTCTAGCCCTCGCCCACTCCCTGCGCAACCCCGCCACACTCTGCTTCACCGCTGGTCCCATCAGGATAAGCGTGGCATACACGCTGTACGGTGCCATTCGTTTTGCCAGGCCCCGCTCCTCCTCCTCCGCCTCCTCCTCCTCCTCCTCCTCGCCTTGCTCTCTGCTCAACTCCACCACGTCCCGTAACACCACCTCCCCCTTGACGCGCACCTCATTCCTGCTCCTGTACAAACCAAAGACCCACTGCTCCCCCCTCGCCGTGCGGCCCGGCGTGAGCCAGTCTAACGCCACAAGGGAGGAGCTGTGCGGGCAGAGGAGATCGAATCGCTGCACTTGGACGTACCGCGAGGAGGCGTAGGGTGTTACGGGGTCGGGGAGGAGCAGGAGAGTGGAGTGAGGACGGATGAGGTAGCGGAAGGATTGGCGACAGATTGGAGGTGGAGAGGGTGCGGCCAGGTGTGGGGATGCGTGTGGGTGAGAGGAGGGCCGGGTGGGCACGCGCACCTTGAACACCTTTGTACTCCCCTGCGTCAATGCGAGCAATGTGCAGCCTGAACCCACGTCCAGGTCTAGCCGCACGTTGTCCCCCGATACGAGTCCGCCACCGTACCCTGCCACGTACAAGGCCGCGATCGCTCCCGCTTCCGCCCCTGTCCCTGCCGCATGGCGGCCGCGTAGATAGTCTGTAGCCTGGTGCGATGAGCCGCGCGGGTGGAGGAGTTTGAGCGGGAAGGTGGAGCGCAGGTGTGTGAATGTTGCCTGGGAGCGAGGAGAGGTGAGGCGAAGGATTGCTAGGCCGGTGCCTGTGAAGGATTGGGTGCGGATGGGAGGGACGGGCGGAGCGCATGGCTCCGTCATTGCTTGCAAGCTACCTGTTCCGGCGGCGTGGGGCGCTATCTCGACGTAGGCCTGAGAATGGGCATGATCCTCCTCCCCGCACTCCTGGGTTTCGACGTCGATTTCGACTTCGATCTAGATGGCGAGGATATCCTTGACGTGACGTGGCGGAGGCCTAGAAGATATCGAGGGGGAAGCAACGGAAGCGCAGCAAGAGTGAAATGAACAAAAGGGCGGCGGCGAAAAGGCCGAAATGGATGCACAGGCCAAGGCACACGCGCCCCGCTTGCCACGCTCGGACCAGGCCGCGGGCATGGAAGAGAGAACCCCGCACTCGGCCCTGATTTGCTCGATTGATTGAACTTGGTTTGCCTACTCCCTTTTCCCCGCTTTGGCGCCCTTGATCTACCCCCTACCTTCTCCCTCGCACTCGACCCGCAAGCACACCATGAAAGACACCCTCAGCAACGCCAACTTCCCCCTCACCTCTACAGGCGCAACCTACCACCTAGGCTGTTCCCCCGGTCAGCTAGCCAACCGCATAATCATCGTAGGGGACTTCAGTCGGGCCCGTCGAATCGCCGCCCTTTTCGACGACGCCGCTTCCAAGCAAGGTATCTTTGAGAACCACTCCTCGCGCCAGTTCCTCACCCTAACGGGCACCTTCCATTCCACGCCAGTAAGCGTCGTAGCAATCGGAATGGGCTTTCCCCTTGTCGACTTTTTCCTCCGAGAGGCGCGTAAAGTCGTTCAAGGGGAGATGTGCGTCATCCGGCTGGGCAGTTGTGGGTCCCTCGACAAGACCATCGGACTAGGGAGTGTCGTGGTGCCGCGGCGAAGTCACGGGGTCGTGAGGAACTACGATTGGTTCCACGAGGGGACGAGCGATGAGGAGCGCCGAGGTAGCAAGCCGTACCAGGTGACGCGGGGCATCGACGTTGAGCCCGGGGTGCACGATGCGCTATTGGCCGAGTTGGAGGGCAACAAGCCTGCAGCGGATGAGGAGCTCTTCAACGGTCACCCTCCGTCCTGCGTGGGTGGCGTGGTCAATGGGTCGGCGGACTCCTTCTACTCTTCGCAGGGAAGGAGTGATCCAGCTTTCTGGGATGAGAATGAGGGGTGGGTGGAGGAGATGGTGAAAGGGTGGGGCATGCAGACGCTGGAGATGGAGACGTTCGTACTGCAATCATTGGCGCATTCGGCTAATAAGGCTGCGGAGGCTCAGGGCAAGGGGGAGGAGCAAAGAGTCAGGACAGGGGCGGTGCAGATGATGTGAGTAGCGCGGCGTTTGGGGTCCGAGCGATGTAGAATGAGCTGGACTGTGCTGACTTCCTATGATACTCCTTCTTCCTCCTCACCATTCGCGCCACGCCGCACCGCAGCTTCGCCAACCGGCACACGTCCGACTTCATCAAGCCGCAAGAGGTCGACGTACTAGAGCGATGGGCGGGGGAAGCGGTGCTGCGCACCTTGATTGGGGGCGTCGAGCTGCATCACACGATGGACGACGGGGTGTGGAACAACCAGGCGCACAAGGCGGAAAAGTAGAGGTGAAGCCAATGCTAATCTCATCATTTCGTTGCCATCGAAGACGCGCGCCTGTCGCGCTACCCTAGCGCTGCACAATTGAAGGGCGCCCTCACCGCCCCTGTCGCATACTCCTCCTTGATCGCGCTGATCGACGCGTACAGCCCGCCCACTAGCACAAAGGACGCCACCACGACCGTCGTGGTGCTCATGACCAAGTGTCCCCAGTTGTGTCGCGCAAAGGGGGAGCCCTGGCGGAGCGCCACGAGCCAGAAGATGGCGGGGATGCCGAAGGAGTAGAGGGAGATGAAGAGGGCCGATATGAGGGAGAGGAGGTCAGAGAAGATCGGGATGGCTTCGGCGATTACCTGACGGGGATGCGAGGAGGAAGTAACGGTGATCAGCATCAGCACAGCGGCGGGTCTACACGTCATCTCGCACCACCTCGTGGCGCGAACTCACAAAGGAGAGGGCCGCCTCGACTAGCAGAATGAGGATCCACACACCCCATCCCTTGAACGTATTGATGTAACGATGCCTCGTTCCTCCCATCAACCTCCCATGCACCAGCTTAGCCACCACGTTCCCATTGATGCTCCCCGAGATGAAAATGACTGGAATCGCCAGGCCGAAGACCACCCGTTGGCTCACCCCTGGATCGCTCAGAATTGCCGGGCTCTTCACCTCATTCCCAACAAATCGTAGAATCACCGCTCCGGTAACAACGTAGATGAATACCTGCGCCGCGCCAACTAGGGCGACGCTCTTGTGTATGTCCTTTGGGTGGTGCATCTCCACCTGCAGAGAGAAGAGGACCGTATTGAAGCTATAGGCGAAAACGATGGAGCCTACGGCGTTCATTGCTTGCGCGAACGTGGTGCCCGGTGGGGGCAGAACGCTCCAGTCCACACCCGCCAAGCCGCCAGGCTTGTTATTCTGTGTATCCACGCCCGTGAGGACGAAAGTGGCCACAATGACCACGACGATGGAGGCGAAGTCTATATAGCCTAGCCAGGCAAAATCGGCGAATGTGGGCGGGAGGGCAAAGAGGAAGAGAATGGCGGCCGATATGCCCACCCAAGCCAAGGAGCACACCGAACTCGCGGCTGCACCCGTGATGCTCTGCCACATCAGAGTTCCCGTGAGTGTGTGCGAGGCCATGTTGAACACGAGGAGCACGCATAACCACCAGCTGAACGTCTCGTAACCCCAGCGAGCCCAGCGTGGACCCAAGGGAGCAAAGAGGTGCCACCCTGCATCCCCGTATGATCGGATCGTTGGATTTCGAAGGAAGAAGGAACCCGTCAGGCTTCCAGCGTAAGTTGCTAGGATGCCGAGGAAGACCGTCAATAGGACACCGGGAACCATTCCGAGGGTGGCGTAGGCGCCTGGCAGGGAGAGGGCTCCAAGGGCGATGGCGTCTACGCAGAGAAGGACCCCGGTCTTGATCCAACCCAGACTCTTCATCCTGTCGCGGCCTCGCTGAGCGCGCTCGTATGCTTCCTCTGATACAAAGGCGTCAGTGCCTAGCTCCTCGACACTGTTGCTATTGCGGTCGCCACCGCCGCCGCCGCCCTTTTGCGATTTGCGCTTCTCGCCAGCATTGCCCGCGTACGACGGGTAGAGGTCGTCGCTGTCCATCTCGGCCGCTTCTCCGTTGCCATGGCCCTCATGTGTACCGGATGAACGCGCCGCAACGACGGTCGTGGGCGTCCTTACACCGGATACGTTGCCCACAGCTGCAGCAGCATCGTGCGAGTGCTCAGAGATCGGCTCTTCATAGCGAGGCGGTTCTGGTTGCGATTCCGCTACCATGACTGTCAGTCCAGTCCAGTCCAGTCCAGTCCAGTCTGGCGGCCTCTCCTCCGCGATATGCGTGGCAGAGGAAAAGACAAAGGGGGCAAGGAGCAAGACGATGAAGAGGATAGAGAGGAGTTGAGTTGCGACACAGTACACAGCGCGGGGTTTGGTCACGTCAGGCTCACACACACACGCTCGGCCTCAGGAAAAGCGAAATTGGCCGTCCCGCCCGCCTCTCTCTCTCTCCCTCTCAATCCCACTTGTCCATCTCGCAGCGGAGTGCCAAAACAACTTTTGCCCTTTCCTTGCCCGCGGCTCCCACCCGCGGCTCGGCGACAACTTCGGCCGCCGGCCTGAGATCCTCAGCACGACGACGACGAAGACAGCCAAGCTGACGTTGGCTGATCCTTGCTCTTGCTCTAATGCTGGTATCGATTCAAGGTGACGACCCATCTTGTCCCTCTCGACGCTCTATATGCTGCGACAGGATGGCGATCTGACTAAGCAACAAGTTCCTTACTAAACCCCTACACATCCTCCTGTCCTTCCCATCCCGCTCCTCCCCATACTCCACATCCAACCTCTCCGCCTCATTCAACCTCCCCACCTTCCCCTCCAACTCCCCTCTCGCTTCCCCACACACCACGCTGAGCACCTTCCTTGCACCCTCCTCATTCTCGCGGGAAATCAGCTCCACGCGCCCAGACACGAGCAGGTCGAAACGCCTCTCTACCTCCTCTCGTTCGGCCTGCGTGGGTGGACGAGAGGCGAGGAGACGGCAGACCATCCATGTACGCCAACTTGGCCCTACGGGGGAGGGGTGGAGTGTCCAATCCCCCCAATACCCGGTGGAGCGAAGCAGCTGTTCCCTCCAGTCGCACCCGCCTTTAGTCTGAGCGAGGGAGGTGAGGCTTCGCTCCAGGAAAGGGGTGAGATCGACACTCCCGTGCGGATTGGGAGAGATGGTGGGCCCCTCACCTCGTCTTTGAGCAGTTGGTGGAGGCGTGGCGGCCAAGTGGAACCCATACTCTGCCAGAAGACGCGAATCGTCGTGTGGGCCGTACGTTATGCATACTTCGTCACCTTTGCGCCCGCCGAGGGGCAGGCGAACTTCTATTCTCCCTGCTCCTGGAATTGGGGCGAGGGATGTGGACGCGGAGGAGGAGGAGGAGCCCGACGAGGAGGGGGTTGGGGCACCCACGATGGATACTGTGGCGGCCTGACGAGGGTGTGGCGTGTGGTTGGCCATATCCAGTATCGGGGCGAGAGTGAGATTATCCCCTCTCGAGGGGAGGCCCAGCGGGTAATAGACGGAGCGGGTGGAGATGCACAGCCATGCGTGCACAAAGCTCTGCTTTGACGGCAGCCGTTCAGCTAAAGGAGAATGGGGGGCGGCGGCGGAGGAGGAGGAGGAGGAGGAGGAGGAGGCGACGGGGGGCGCCGCCTGGCAATAAGAGCTGACAGCCTTCCAATCCTCTTGGAGCTGTTCAACCTGCGCGGCGACACGATGGGCCGTTTCATGTGGTAGGCAAGCGAGGAGCTGCCCTGAGTGTTCGTCTTCGTCTTTATTTAGGGCCCACATCACGGGGTGTGTGACGAAGGTGCGTGGTAGTGACTCAAGAAACGCAGCCCTCTCCCTCTCTTCTTCGGGTTCAACGTCTCGTGGTGATGATCGACAGAGCCAGAGGCAGAGTGCCTGAATTGCAGTCAACTTGCCCCGCTTCCCCGGTCCAGGGCGGGGCACGTCCCCTACGTCAAAGTCGCGCGCAATCGTCTTTGTGTTGATGAGCATGCTGGCAGGTAGAGTGAGGACCAGCTCATGGGGGGCAACATCCTGTGTGAGGGCGAGACCACGGCCGTTGGGTAGATCGGAGCGGATGGAGACTAGGTTGACGTGCCCGTGGCGATGGTGGTGGACCCCAGTCTGTCCCTTTCCCTTGACCTCGCGAGGTTGCAAGGCAGCGTGACGTGCCCAGACTACGTTGAGCTGATCCTGCTCCTGCTCCTGCTCCTGCTCCTGCTCCTGCTCCTGGTCCATTCTTTCTGCACGTTACTTGACAGCTATGTACCGTGATCTTGGTCTTGGTCTTGATGTTTGCGGCCTTTTCTTTGGTTGAGCCAGCGGGGAACGGCTAGGCCAGGCCGAGGAGGCAAAGGCGGAAGGAGAGAGGCAGTCGAGTCGAGTCGAGGTCGACTCGCGTGACGGAGTGTTGAGCGGGACGGAGGCGACGGCGGGGGCGGGGAATGGATTGGGATTGGATTGAGACTTCTTGACTTTGTCGATCAAGTCGAAGCTCGACTCGACTCGACTCGACTCGAGCTGCGCTGCACTGCGCTTCCTTCCTTCTCACCTCACCACACTGACTCACTCGCTGCACATTCGTCGTATCCCTCCCAATCGCAGCCGCAGTCGCAGTGGCATTTTCGTAGAACAATCATCGCAAGCATGTCCTCCCCTTCGTCATCCTCAACACCATCAGACCAGCCTCCCTCCCCCACAACATCCGGCACCGCGTCGGGCTCCTCTTCCTCCTCTCACCCCACCTCCCCATCAGCAACAGCAGCGGACCTCCCTCCCTCTCCCACCGCCTCGACCCTCTCCCTCTCCCCCACCGAACGCCTAGCAAAAGCCGCCTCCCTCAAAGACCAAGGCAACAAGTCTTTCCTCTCCTCCCGCTTCGAAGACGCAAAGACATCCTACGGTGAATCCCTAGCTCTAAACCCTTCAGACGCAAAAGTCTGGTCAAATCGAGCCGCCTGCGAACTAAAATTGGAGCAACACGGTCTGGCAATCGAAGATGCCACAAAGGCCATTACCCTCGATCCCCAATTTGGGAAAGCCTACTATCGTCGTGCTTCGGCGTACTTGAGCATCTTGCAGCCCCGAAAGGCCTTGCCTGATTTGCAGGCCATTCTCCGGTTGGAGCCGGGGAATAGACAGGTATTGGCACAGGCTCAAGATGTGCAGAAGTTGATTAGACGATTGGCGTTTAATGCTGCGATTCGGGTGGAGGAGGGGCCTAAGGTCAGCCAGGTGGTGGGGGAGCATTTGAATCAAGGGAGTGGAGGGGCGGGTCTTCCATCTGATTCGTACGATGGACCGCGATTAGGGGAGACGGAGGATAAGAGGGGGTCCATCAGCTTGGAATTCGTCGAGGGGATGATGAAGTACTTTAAGAAGGACAAACCGCTGCCCCTGAGGTACATCTGGCAAATCATCCTAGGCGCTACACGCGAGCTGGACGCTGAGGGTCCTTTGGTAGACCACCACATTACGGCTGGCACGACGGTGAAAGTAATCGGGGACACTCATGGCCAATACTTCGATTTCCTGCACCTCCTAACCCTCACTGGCCCCCCATCCCCCTCTAACGTCTTGCTTTTCAACGGAGATTGGTCAGACCGAGGATCAAAGAGCATGGAAATTGCCCTAACCCTCTTCGCGTACAAATGGCTCTACCCTCGTTCGGTGCTCCTCACCCGCGGTAATCACGAGACGGACAGTATGAACCAAGTATACGGATTTAAGGATGAAGTCCTAGCAAAATGCGGTGGACCTACAACGTACGATCTATTCAAGGAGAGCTACCTTTCCCTGCCACTGTGCTTCCTCCTTTCCGCCTCTCAACCACCGGCACCCATCGAAGACCTGCCATGGGATGCTGCCGAGGCGCAGACGAAACCCATCCTGGACAAGGAGACGGGGAAGAAGCGCTGGTTCGTAACGCATGGTGGGCTTTTCAGTAAAGACGGGGTTACCTTGTCCGACATTCGCAAGATCAACCGTCGAACCCAACCAGGCAGCGAAGGGTTAATGGTCGATCTTCTCTGGGCTGACCCGCAAGTGGCCCCCGGCCGGGCCCCCTCGAAACGAGGTGTGGGCACCGGTTTCGGCCCAGATGTAACGCGTGGGTGGTGCGAGTTGAACGGGGTTACTGGCGTGTTGCGTAGTCACGAGGTGAGGATGGGAGGGTACCAGTGCGAACACGATGGACTATGCACTACGGTGTTCAGTGCTCCGCGATACTGTGGTAGCATGGAGAACAAGGGGGCCTTTGCTTCCATCGATGAGAGGGGGACGTGCAGGTTTACTACATTCGAGGCCGTGCCGGAAAGCAAGAATTTGCCCGCCATGGCGTACACGAAGAATGGGTTGGGGGGAATGCTTAGGTAGGTGAGGGGGGCGAGGCAGTGCGGTGGGTGGGGTGGACAGTCGATTCAGTGTAGCTTTGGCACTCCGCAACGTAGGAAGGGCCTGCAATTCACACATCACGATCACGCTGACGACCCTCGCGCTTCTTTGTGAAGGAGATTTGCATTCGTTGAGATGAGAGGGAAACGAGCAAGCAAGGGTCGGTAGGCGGGAGAGGGAGAGAGGAGGCGGAGAGGGAAATGGAGGAGGTGAAGAGGAGAGGCGGTTGCGGCGGGAGAGACGAACGTCTGCAATAACTTTGGGCTTTTTCTGATCCTGATTGCGCTCTCGACCTTCCCTGGTACGCTTGCCGCGATCTCTCTTCTCGTCTTTCCATCCCAACTCCCTCCCCCATTCCCTGTCCTCTCACGCGGCGCTGCAAGATGCCCGGGAACGGACGAGCTTCCCCTTTCTTCACCGAGGCATTCTTAATCGTTACCCTCCTCCTCATCGTCGTCGTTGACGTCGTCGTAGTAGCAGAAAGTATCTTCTCATCTCGCCTGCCCCGCACACGCTTACGCGCACGCTTAGAAGCACTTGCGGTGCACAAGGGCAGGTCCAGACTCGTCGTACTCCTGCTTGGAGATCCACATCTGCTGGAAGGTAGACAGCGAAGCCAAGATGGATCCACCGATCCAGACGGAGTACTTGCGCTCAGGAGGTGCCACAATCTTGACCTTCATCGAAGAGGGGGCCAAAGCGGTGATCTCCTTCTGCATACGGTCCGAGATACCGGCGTACATGGTAGTTCCACCGGACATGACGATGTTGCCGTAGAGGTCTTTGCGGATGTCGAGGTCGCACTTCATGATCGAGTTGTACGTCGTCTCGTGGATTCCCGAGGCTTCCAGTCCGAGGAAGCTGGGCTGGAACAAGGCCTCGGGGCAGCGGAAGCGCTCGTTTCCGATGGTAATGACTTGGCCGTCGGGGAGCTCGTAGGACTTCTCGAGGGCAGAGGACTGGGAGGCCGTCTGCATCTCCTGCTCGAAGTCGAGGGCGACGTAGCAGAGCTTCTCCTTGATGTCGCGCACAATTTCGCGCTCTGCGGTGGTGGTGAAGGGATAGCCGCGCTCCATGAGGATCTTGACGAGGTGCTCGGTCAAGTCACGACCGGCGAGGTCCAGACGGAGGATGGCGTGGGGGAGCGAGTAGCCCTGTGTGGGTGCGCGGGGCGAGGAAGGGGGAGGGAGTGAGTCAAAGCGTCACTTGAGGGCGCTCGTGGCACGTCATCGTGGGTGGGTGGATGCGCAAACTCACCTCGTAGATGGGGACCGTGTGCGTGACACCATCACCCGAGTCGAGGACGATACCGGTGGTACGACCCGAAGCGTAGAGGGAGAGGACAGCCTGGATGGCGACGTAGAATGCGGGTGCGTTGAACGTCTCGAACATGATCTGTGTCATCTTCTCGCGGTTGGCCTTTGGGTTGAGGGGAGCCTCGGTAAGGAGGACGGGGTGCTCCTCGGGGGCGACACGCAGCTCGTTGTAGAAGGTGTGGTGCCCTGCAGAGGGGCAACAAGTGGTCAGCATGGATGTTGTGACATCCTCATCGAATTGCAATCTCGCTTCACCCACAGATCTTCTCCATGTCGTCCCAGTTGGTGACAATACCGTGCTCGATGGGGTACTTGAGCGTGAGGATACCACGCTTCGACTGGGCCTCGTCACCGACGTACGAGTCCTGTGTGGGGAAAGGGAGAGATGGGAAGATGAGCTTCTATCACGCTGACACCACACGCACCGCTCTGCTCGCATACACGCACCTTCTGTCCCATGCCAACCATGACACCCTGGTGACGAGGTCGCCCTACGATGGAGGGGAAGACGGCTCGGGGTGCGTCATCGCCGGCGAAACCGGCCTTGCACATTCCCGATCCATTGTCGATGACGAGGGCAGCGACTTCGTCTGGCGTGGCGAGGGATGGGAGGGAAGAAGGGATGACTGGGTCAGTGAACTGCCCTGGCAACCAGAGGTGGGTGGGTGGGTGGATTATATGCGCCCACCCCCCTGTCAACTCGCGCAACTCACCTTCCATCTTGTCTGTCTTTTGTTTAGTTTAAGGGAGTGCTGTGCGTGAAGATGAGGGAGCTCGTCGAGTCGTGCAAGATCGTGCCGTCGTGACAGGGGTCAATCGATGGGTTGTGGTGGTAGTGGTGGTAGAGAGAGAGAAAGGAAGGAGTTGGTCTCGCCCGCCCGCCCGCTCGCCGAGGGGCGGCCAGCCAGTCGAGTCGAGTCGAGTCGAGTGTGTGCGTGTGCTGTGTGTGTGTGCGCTCAGCCACTCACTCACTCACTCACTCAGCGGCCAAAGTGGACGTGCGGTGCGGTGCGGGCACTGACACAGAGAGGCAGGGGGCGGCGCCAGCTGGCGTGGCAGGCTGCGTCGAGCGGGGCGGAGAGTGGGTGAGTGAGCGGGCCGGGACAAGGACGAGACAGACGACGCTGCCACGCGGCGATTCCCAACTTCCAATGCCGGGCCAAGTGTCAGGCCAGCTCAGCCTCGAGATATCGAGAGGGGCTCACTTTGTCCGAGCTCATCATCATGTTCAAGATCCTCGGAACAATGGCGAGCTTCGAGTCACTTTGGGCGGAGCAGCAAACACCCTCAAACTCACGGCGACCCAGACAGCCAGCTCCTACACAGCGTGAACCGCCTGCCTGCCTGGCTCCGTTCCGTCGTCTTGTGTTGGTTCTTGCCATGCCCGTTGGCCGTGGCCCGTGCAGAAGAGAAAGGGGTCCCGATCCACGGGTGTGTGTGTGCCGTGCCGCCCATTTGCATTTCATCTCGTCGAGCCGCTCGCTCTCTTGCCGCCCTTGGCACAGCATGTCTTTACTACCACACCATGATCAGCTTGCCTACCAGCTCGGCAACTAAGCCGGCACTCTGACTCTCAGAGCGAACCATCTCAAGATGACTGTCCCATCGTCGTCGTCGTCTTCACCACCAGGCAGTGTGGGGGCCTTTGTCGGGGAGGCGGCGCACCACTACTGGCCAGACGTCATCCCTGAGGCTGAGCCTGCGCCTGATGCTGCTGCTGCCGCCTCTCTCGGTCCCATCGAATTAGACGACATCTCTCAACACCACCTGTGGCTCATCCTGCGCGCCGCCCTCACCCCCACCCCACCGCATCGCATCGAATCCGTCTTCTACTCCACCCTCGAAGCACTCAGCACCATTTCCTCCCCCGCTACCCTCGCCGGGCTCCAATGTACGGCCTGCATACGAGACAAAGCTGAAGCTCAACTTCGCACCGCTGTAGCAGAGGAGGATGCCGCGACAAAGGGAAAGAGTAGCGGCGGCGGCGTCGCACCGCAGCAATCGAGATGGGCGAAACTGGCCTGGCCTGCCGCACCTTGGAGAAATGCGATGGGCAACCAAGCTTCTGTGGCCGTGGCGGCGGCGGCGGCTGGCGGTCCAGTCGAAGCAGTTGAAGCAAGTCTGGAGGAGGAGGCACAGCGTCAAGGCCGTTCGAACGTGGAGATGAGCAAGGAGGAACGCGCACTTAAAAGGGAAGTGGCGCTCGCTATTCTCAGCAATGCTCTTTGGCTCGTCACTACTCAGCAGCAGCAGCAGCAGCAACAGCAACAGCGTCACGACACTCCCCCTTCATCTGCTACATCCTCCGCCCCATCCTCGGCGGCCAACAGTAGAGCCCGGCGCGAGCCTGGAAAACGAGGCGCTCTACCCACGTTCATCCCTCCGGCCATGGCAACGACGGCTATTAGTGCCACTCCATCTCCAGCGGCGGTGGAGCTCGAGGAGAGTCCGTTTCATCGGCAGGGCGCTGCGGCTGCCGGTGCTGGAGCGCCAGGCAAGGGGGAGCAGGTCGAGTGGACGGTCCTGGACTCGAATAGCGGGAGCGACATCGAAACCGGGAGTGGGATGGCGACGCCCCAACTTGAGCCGGCAGCGATACCTCTACCACCTCAATCAGTCGCTCCGCCAAGCGAAGCAATGCAACGCCTCACTTCCCTCAATGTCGCTGCAGGTCATAATGCAGCGCAGCAGCAACGACGTCTGCCCGGCGAAAGCGAAGCTGAACCTGCTCGATCATCATCGAGGGACCCTTCTCCTTCAGCAGCTTCACGGAAAGATTCCCACTCTTCTCTTCTGGCGGCCGGGGGAACGGAGCGGGACTTCCCGCCCGCAGCAAGCGGCGAATGGAAGGAGCGAGCCAAGATGATTCTTGTTGACTGGAGGGTCCAAGTGCGTTTTGATGGCGACGAAGCCGGTTGGGAACAGCAACAGCAGCACGAGGGCATGACCACGACGAAATCGGAGCGCACGATTCGGGCTGACGATACGTGCAAGGGCAAGGCGACGCTTAAGCCTCAGCGCCCGAATGGCTTTGTCGACTTTCAACCTGCGGTCTGGAGGGGGCAGGACCTCCACTCGTCGACGAGCTCGAGCGGGGCTGCGAAGCAGGTCGAGGACAAGGAAGAGCAGGAGAGATGCAAACGACACGGCGGAACCTTCATTGTGTACGCGACCGACGAGGAGGAAGCGATATTGCTAAGAGAGACGATCCAGGTTGGACTATATGCCGCTTCTTCCATGCTCCTGCAAACGGGACTCCTCACCGACTTGGGCCATCCCCGGGCAAAGAGACCCGACCTCGTGCCGACTCCTACGTTCGCGCACGCAACATCGCAGGACGAGCAGGATGTGGAGACGAGCAGTATATCGAGCCAAGATATGAGGAACGTGGCTGCGGAACCCACCTCACCATCGCCGCACCGTCCCGCGGGGAAACGCTGGGGTAAAGGACTGGGCTTGTGGGGAATGCTACAGTCCGGATCGGACGCGGTATCCGCCGCACTGGGAGGATCAGGAGACGGCCCTTTCAAGGCAGCAGACGTGACGAGTGGCACGCCTACAGGCCGCCCCATGCTGAACAGAACCCGTACGGACGAAATGGTCGGAACCGTTGGGACGCACAGCCGTGATGGCAGCGGGGACGGGCCGTCTGCCACACGCCTGCGGCATAGGCTGGGACGCTTCTTCAACAACCTCGCAAGCGGGAAGGGCCAGCGCCAAGGAGACGTATCTCGCGATCGCGGCGAGGAGGACGAAGAGGAAGGGAGCGAGGACGGTGGGCCTTCAGGGCTTAGCTCTACCATCTCGTCGCGCAGCGCTTCAATTGACTTCTCTTCTAGGCCTGCCAAACCATATCGCCCGACCAATACCAAAATCAACGCCAACGCCAGGAAAGGTGCCCGCCCCCCTCCTCTCCCGCCACTGAGCACCACGCCCGAGTTGAGCTCCCTCTTGACAAAGTGGGCCAAATCAGGCCCCACGTTAAAGGGGCAAGCCTTCCTGCGGAGATTCACCGAGCTACAGCGCATCGCACTTGGGTCGCCTCTTTCCTGTGCAGGGCTGACATTGGGAGCAGGCGCGCAGGGTCCCCCGACCCCGATGACGCCGGAGGGCAGAGCGGGCGGCCCCGGCGGAGGAGGAGGGTACTTTAGCTCCCTTTCCTCGGCCTCGAGCCTACCGGTTGACGCGAGGATGGGCGCAGCCTCGTCTTCGACGACAGCAGCAGCCGCAGCAGCGGCAGCGACAGCGGGCAATCCGCTCTACTGCGAGGATATACGCTTCTACCACTCCCGCTGCGGCGTGCCTGGGCGCGATGTGCCATTGGGCCAGATTGTCGAGGATCTCTGTACGCGAGCCCTGCATCAGCGAGGGAGAACGATGTCGGTTGACGCTAAGGCGAAGCAGCCGCCGATGAGGGTGCAGCAAGAGGGGGAAAAGGAAGTGAGGACGAGCTGGTTTCATGGGAATTGGGAGGTTGTGCTCTCTGCGAAGGCGTTGCCACAGTCGAGCAGCAGTAGCGAAGTGTCGCTCAAGCCGAGAGTTGGAGGCGACCACCTCGAAGAAGCAATCCACGCCGACCGGGACGCGGCGCGTACGGCTGTGCTTCTTGCCGAGCAGGCTGTCAAAGCTGCGGCAGCAGGTGCAGGAGGACATCCCTCCTCATTCTCCTCGTCTTCCCCCTCGAGCATCATCACATGGTCTCTCAACACCAAAACCGGCAAAGAGACGCCCGCAGTCACCCTCTCCCCCTCCACCTGGCTCATCTCATTTGCCAAGTTCCTCGAGACCCTCGTCTACCATCCCGCCCTGGCCCCGCCGCAGGACACGGTCCATTTCTTTGCGTTGCGCGACGCAGCCGTGCTGAAGGTCGTGGCTAGGCCGCTGAGAGTGTACGGTCTGCACATCGAGGGACCGGTCGTACGGACTGGGGAAACGGAGACAGAGGGTCGTAAGGAGGAGGAGCTGACGGTTGGCAAGGACAATGTAGCGGTCGCAGAGGTCGCGCTGGATGCCCAGCGGTACTACGCCTCAGTGAACCATCACATCGTCAAGCTTGAGAGCGTTCTGGCTGCTCGATCGGACGCCTCTTCTCTCCCCGCCCCTGCCACTGCCGCAGCGGTACCATCATCAGCAGGGACTACGTCTCCCCTCGACCTACTCCATCACCTCAGTACGACGCTCCAGGCCGACGAGCACGACCTCTCCACGCTCATCGGCTCCACCTCCCCTCTCTACATCAACGACGCGCGCAAAGCACTGCGGGACTGTTGCGTCTCCTCTCGCTCGCGACTGCGGGCCTGGCAAGAGAAGCACCTCACCCCCGCAGAGAGGAAGGCGCTAGGCGAAACAACGTACGAGGAGCCAGATCACGTTGTGCGCAAAGGGTGGCACGCTTTGCCTGGTTCCAGATTCGTCGTGAGGGAGGACGAGCCGTTGAGCCTTGTGGCTTTTTCGCTCGGCTCGAGAGATGTTCAGGCAGAGCTGCTGCAGCAGAGCGATCCGCCTGCCGAGGCTGGTGGGGTGGATATAATCAATTGGCGCGAGAAGGTCGGAGAACGCTCGCAGCGGCCCGCCTCGCTGACATCTTCTGCGACGGGCAGCGCAGGTCCGGACGACGAGGCGTGGCAAGTCGAACCGGAGCGCGTTATATCGACGATTAAGCGCAAGAAGAGGGGCAGGGAAGCATCCTTCCTCGCTTTGACGTTGAGGAGGGTTAGCTCGAGCTTGTCCTCTTCTTCGCAGTCCTCCGCAGACTTAGGGGAGAAGGAGGTAGGCGCGGATCAGGAGGAGGATGATACATCGTTGCGACCGCACGATTCGCCGAGCACGATCAGCTCGACCCTTACTGGCAGGGAGACGTTCAAGGCCGAAGTGAATCGTGTACCAGCCTCTGCAGGGCTGGGTCGTGGTAGGCAGACGCCGCTTGCTTCTCTCTTTCCGGCAGGGAGCGACGCACCCGAAGCCAATGGCAGCCCGTCCCTGCTCGCCCCACCGGCCACGGGTAGCATGCGCTCCACCTCTCAGCCTGTCGTCGCCCCTCCGTCATCGTCATGGAGCTCCGCCTTCTCCAGCCTAGGCAGCAAGTCCGGCGCACGCCTTGGCCCCTCGACGCCAGCGGGCGTTGAGTCATCGCCGCACATCAAGCATAGCATCACTCACGGTTCGACGAAGCTGACCTGCACCTCCTGGTTCGCCAGCGAGTTTGCAACGCTCCGTGCACTCTGGGGACTCGACGAAGCCCGCTACGCCGAGAGCCTGAGTCGCTCTGCCCCTTGGCAAGCCCTCGGGGGTAAGACGCGAAGCAGTTTCTACAAGACGGCGGACCAGCGTTGGGTCGCCAAGGAGCTCCTGTCCAAAGGCCACGCACTGGTCGCGGGAGTGGATGAGCTGGCTGCCCTGCTAGAACTGGCTCCGGCGTACTTGAAGTTCATGGGACATGCGGTGCAGGAGGGGTGCCCGACGTTGCTTGTCAAGATTGCCGGGGCATACACGTTGAAGGTGAAGGATAGGACGAGTGGAGAGATGAGGCTGCGCAGGAGTTTCATGGTCATCGAAAACCTCTTTGCGGACTGCGCGGGTGAGGGAGGTGGGGTGGAGCGGTTCGACTTGAAAGGCATACGAGAGAGGAGGGCAGCCCCGCGTACTACAGCGACGGGAGCGACAACTGCGGCCGGCAGCGCTGAGCCTACGATTGTGGAAAGCGTCGGCCTTGGAGGCACGCCAGCTTCAGCTTCAGCTTCAGCTTCAGCTACAGCTACGACAGAGCATAGCCGCGCCCGCGAAGCGGTCTACTGGGACGCGGACTGGATCTCGACTCACGCCTCGACAGCTTACGTCCCCGCCTCCTCGCGCGCCCTCTTCCATCAAGCGCTCCGAAATGATCTCGCATTCCTAACCGCCGCAAACGTTATGGACTTCTCCCTCCTCGTCGGCGTCACGAGTTCCGGCTCCAGCTCCTCCACTCACGACCAGGACGGCCCGCTCGCTGGCGCAGGCTCGCGGCGCCCCTCGATCCGCGTCCGTATCGTCGACTTCCTCTCTGCCTTCACGGTAGCGAAAGCCCTCGAGTCGTCGGGCAAGAAAGCGTGGAAGGGAGAACAAAGAGCTACCGTGCTGCCTCCGGAGCAGTACGCTGCGCGTTTCGAGGGGGCGATGCGCGGATACTTCGTAGGGGTGCCGGAGGGATGGGGTGGGGAGCACGGCGTAGCCTCGCGCGAGAAGACGAAGGCGAAGAAAGAGGGGGGGGGGGAGACGGCCAGCGCTAGCGCTGGCAGTAGCGAGAAAGGCACGCAGAGGGGCAAGACTGACGAGCAGCAGCGCCAGAGAGATGGAAGGACAGGGCTGCCCAGCGTTTTCTAGTCTCACTAACGAACATGATCATGACCACGAGCACTACGAGTCGTTCAACTTGTCACGATACTCGGAGATACCACGATGCCAGTCATAATGCAAACAGATACGACCATCGCGCGAGGAACGAGAACAGGGCCAGCGGATCAGCTTGGTAGGCTGAAATTGGTTGGATTAGATTAGCAAACGGGACAGTTGGGAAGCTTCGGCTTCTTGTTCTTCTTCGTTTCATCAAGAGACCAAGACACACGCACGCTCGGCTCCTCACTGGCTCCCACTTAGTCCGAAGCGTAAGCCTGGACAGCGGGTGCGAGGTCCGCCGTAATCTTGTCAGCGAGGGTCTGAGCCTCTGCCTTCTTGTCCTCGGGCGCCTGCTTGATCAGAGCAGCGGAGAAGGCCTGCTGGTCGGTGTTGATGCTGTTCAACGTTCCCTTGGCAATGCCGGCTACGCCGATCTTCTTGAGGTTGTCGTGGATGGCGACGAGGCGCTTCGAGATCGAGGCGACGTGAGGCTCCGTCGAGGAGGAGAGGGTGTTGAGGATGTCAGAGGCGTCGGACTCGGAGACAGTCTCGGTGTTGGCGTTGGTGTCCGTCGTGCCCTGCTTGATGGCGTTGTCCAGGTCACCGGCGGCGCCGTTGATGGCGAGGGCGGAGAAGTAGTTGGAGCCTGGTGGGCGGAAGGGGGAGAGGCGAACATTGTCAGCATGATGATACGAAAGGGGCGTACTTTGGTGCGGACGCGCTGCTCACCATCCTCGCTCTGGAGCTTCTTGTCGAGGGAAGCAGCCTGGCTGTCGATGTTAGCGACGTCCTTCTTGACCGTGGCAACGTCGGCTACGGCAAGGGCGGCGAGGATCGCAAAGGCGATGATGGAGGCAGCGGCGAACTTCATGTTGTGCGAGTGGTGGGTTGGTGATGGCTAGAGAGGGGTGTAGCTTGGGGTCAGGATGGTATCTGTTGCTTCTCTTTGCTCCCTTTATGTACCTTTTCGAAGGCGAGGATGAGACCTTCTTACCCCACAGTCAATCTCTCAGGCGCCGCCTCACTTCGCCTCTGATTCTGCGCATCTGAAAGCGAATGTTTGTTGCTGTAGCTACGCCCTACGCCCGCCTGTCCGTTGCTTTCACCACTTGAATTGCCAAGAAAGCCCATCGATGATGGACGGCAGAGAAGCATATTCAGTCCATGTCCCTCTCTGGTTGCAATGCGACGCGACGTTTCTCTGCTGGCTGCGCCTGCGCTACACCCAGTAATTGAATGCTCTGATGGAAGCTTACCCTTCCATACGCGCCATCGCCGTCGGATCGCTCGCAAGCAACCAAGCATAAGCACGCCGCCCCAACCGCGGTACTGTACGCACATCGTTGCCGTAGATGGCACTTCTGTTCTGCGGTCCTGCGGCTTTTCGGCTCGCTTCTACGTGAGGAGGAATACATTGAGTCAAGTTCAGGTTAGCTTGCTTCCTTCGCCTCGTCGTCTTCGTCGTCGTCTCGATGCTTGCCGAGGTCAATTTGATCCCCTGCCCCGCATTTCGCCCTCCCTCCCCGCCTTTCGTACGCGAGACCGTGAAGCACAGAGTGGCGCCGAGACGTCTGTCTGCCTGTCTGCTCAGTCAACTGCCCCGCACCCCGCACCCCACATCCCCCCAGCTACCTCTCTTCTCTGAGAGGCATGCGTTCGCTTTCAACAGCCTTTGCCCAGCCAATGGAAAAAGGTTCGACGAGGCAAATGAATGGATGAATGAATGTAAGCTCGCAACGGGAGAGAAAAGCTTCCTTTTCCGCATGTGCCGCTGCATGCTCTCTGCCTTCGGTTGATTCACACAATGGCAAGCACTTCGCCTTGCTTCGGCCGACACTGATGTGTCCGGCCGGCTGTTGGACTCACGCCCAATTTTGCTGTCGTCCATGTCGTAAGTCATCGTCGTTGTACGCTAGCGCTACAACCACAGGGACGAGCGAGGCCAAGCGCAAGCCCAAACCCAAGCCCAAGCTCAAGCTGACATCGGGACTTTCATCTGGGTACAGGATGGCGGCCGCCGTCCCTCCTGGTACTTGGTGGTCGTGATTCTATCGCCTCGACGCCCTGATGGTCCATCTGCCCTGAGATGACTGTGGTAGCAACCACCCATCACGAGCGAGCGAGAGGGCGCAGCCGATCCGCTTTTTGCCTTGACGCATAGCAGCCTCGTGCCTTTCGATCGGCCGCACGCTACGCCCTGCACCCAGGTGAAACGAGCGAGCTCTTCAATGAGAGAGCAAGGGCTGCACGTCCGTACGTACGCACGCACGCACCTTCGGCCCGCTCTGCATACGAGGGATTGGTGATGAGATGAGCTTGCTACCTTGACCCCACATCTCCTCGTTGTGGAGAGGTTGAAAGCGAAGCGGGGGTGCGGGGTGGGAGTAAGGAGGGCAAGCAAGGTAAGGTACGAGGGCAGGAACCTCTCCTTTCACGAGTGGGCGCAACGGCATGGTGCACTTGTGTGATCGTAATCGACTCAGTGTGCGCCCGCATGCTCGCTACGCTGCCCCTCGAAGGCAGAAGATTCAATCAATCAATCAGTCCCTCTCGCCTCTCCTGCTGCCGAAGAATGATCATCACCGCTTCATAGTCTAGAATTGCGCAGCCCGTGTCTACATCGATGGCTCAACACAGCAATGGTGGCTGCTGCGTCTTCTTTCCTCTCTCTCCCTGCTCAATTGGTGCTCCCACCCGAGCTCGTCGATCCCTGTCCCGTCAACTGGTTGATCCCCCTCTTGACCTGCTCCTCCCCCTTGCTAGCAATATCGGCATTCTCCCCTACCTTTGTGCCAGACCCCTCCTGACCCAGCTTGGCCTGACGTGCCTCCTGCTCCTCTTTGCTGCCCATGTTGGATGCGAGACCTTCGCCTGCTTCTGCTCGTGCGAAGCGAAGGGGAGGGGGAATTTGTCAGTGAATTGAGGGAGATTCAGGGACAGGCGGAGAGCGAGGATACGTACGATCAACAAAGTTGTTGAAGTTTCCACGGATGGACTCGCCTGCTCCGCCTATTGTGTTGAAGACGCCTGGGGATGCACGCACGCATGAGGAGGAGTGGATGAGTTTCAGGAACAAGAGGAACGAGAGTCCGTCTCTCTATCTGGGGAGTTACTCACCCTTGATCCCCTCCCCGATGGAGTTTCCTGCCTGTCCTCCTGTGGAACCGGTGTTCTCTGAGCCTGACATATCGCTTGCTTGATTGGATTGGATTGATTGGTGTGGTTGGTGGTGTTGGTGGTAGGGAAGGGACGTTGGTGGCGTGTGTGGCTGGGGGTGCTGGTGTTGCATCGACGTCACGTCACTCACGCTCATTCAATCACTCCGCTCCCTTGTGGAGGGAAGTCGGCCAAACACGAGCCAACCCAGGGCCACGTGGTGTCATGAGCCCTCGCCGAGGGGCTGCACGGACCAACGAGGGGTTGAGTCGGGTTGAGTTGACTATTGCTCCTCTCCCGTGCTAAGTCGGCCCTCGTCTGCTCCTCTCCTCGTCCTTACATCTGCCGCTTATATGCACCTGCCCCGCCATACCCTCCAATCTCAAACCGTCGCCCCATCCTTCCTTGACGCACAATTTGCTCCTTCTGCCCCCTCGTCATCAACCTCAAGCAGCACCAGCAGCAACGCAGCTCCTCAGATCTTTGGGTGTGCCACACGCTCGGGATTCCTCATTGGGCAGACCCATCCGCTCAAGGTAGTCGCTAGAAGAGGTGTGTGTGAACCTGCACGAGATATCACAGTACACTAGCGGGACGCCTGACCTGACAATACGCTCGCTCGCTCACCCAGACTTTCCATCCAATCAAGGCGGATTATCCCATGCGGTCCCTCTAGACGACTCCTCCCTGCTGATCCTGGTGGGAGGCGGAAGGGTGCCCCGCTTTGCGCCCAATAAGGTCGTGCTGTGGGATGAGGCGGCGACGATTGAGCCTGAAGCGGAGGCTCAGCAGCGTGGTGACGTGGAGGCGAAAGAAGAGGAAGATGAGGAGCTAACTACGAGCCCGTGGACTTCGTCGTCGAGGACTGCTTCGACCCTCTTTGATGCTGGATCCGCATATGGTCGGGACCAGGGAGGGGCAAGCAACGCAGCTTCAATTTCAGCTTCGACTGCTTCCTTGTCTGGAAGTTCGAGGATGGGATTGGCGGGCATGAGGGACGATGATGATGATGATGATGATGAACCGGCCGCTTCCCCGCCGGCATCCATGCTGTCCTCGACCACCGAAGGGCTCGAAGACCCTTTCTCTGAGACTGCAGCCACAGAAGCTACGCAGCCATTATCCTCCCAACAGTCAGCAGCAGCACCAGCGACAGCAACAGCAACAGCACCAGCACCAGCATCACTCCCACGCACACAACGAACAGGTCGACCAGTCCTCGAGCTCGAGTTCGGCTCACCCGTCCGATCAGTATGCGTCCGCTCCTTCTCTCACCCTAGCACCGCCCGCCCAGCAGCACTCCTTGTCGTCGTCCTAGCAAATCAGGCCGTCCTATTTGAGATGGGCGAGCATTTGCCTTCGGGTACATCGGTAGAGGAGGAGGAGAAAGACGGCTGGGGAATCATGTTCCGCACTTCGACGCCAGTGCTAGACGATAAGAAGCAGGGCCTGGCAGATATGGTTGTCCTTCCGCAGCAAAGGGCGCTCCTCCTCGCCCTACCTGGTCGACAAGCGGGGCACGTTCAGCTCTTGCTCCTCTCCTTAATCGTCCCGCGCCGCACGGGTGCCGGGGCGAGTCAGAGCACAAGCACAAGCACCTCCGGTCTACTGGCCTCGACAATCATTGCGGCTCACGAGGCTCCGTTGGCGCGGCTGGCCCTCGCCGCCAGCTTATCTTTCGACCACAACACCGGCAGCGGTACCCTCCTCCTAGGCACGGCCTCACAGCGCGGGACATTAATCCGCGTATGGTCCATTTCCCTCTCCATCCCAAGAGGCAAGACAGGGGGTAGCAACACGACACCAACAGCGAGTAGCGGGATCAAAGCATCCCTACGAAGCGAGCTACGCAGGGGGAGCGAACAGGCCGGGATACTCAGTATGGCCTTCGCGCCTGATTTGGGCACATTAGCAGCCGTTAGCGATAAGGGCACGATTCATTTCTTCGACTTACGTGAACCCGACTCTTACAACTCCACCGGCTCATCGCCTCGCCGCTCACCCTCCTTGTCCGCTCAACCTTCCTCGCACCTCCACCCGCTCGCCACCACCCTGGATCGTCTGGCCAAACGTCTTCCGGACAGGATGTTCCCGCAATACGTGTGGTCCACATGGAGCGTAGCACAATTTCGCATCAAGTTACGACCTTTCCCCGCTTTCAGCTTGGAGTCGCCGCGGGAGCGACTTCGTGGCGAGAGGGGAATGCGCGCCCATGCTGCGCAAGGGGGGAGCGAGGGTGGCCAGAGGGAGAGGGAGAGGATGACGGGAGGACTAGGAGGAGGCGGAGGTGGTGGTGGAGCAGCAAAGAGTACCGAAGGGGCTTGGGCGCACCTCAAAGGTCGGGTGGAGGACGTCCGACGAGGAGAATCTGCGCTGGACGAACGCGTCTTCCTCACTTGGGTCGAAGCCTCTGCCTCCGCCTCCGCCTCCGCCTCCGCCTTCGCCTCTGCCTCCACCTCTACTACTGGCAGATCAGAGCAAGAGCGACCCAAGGTAAAAGACTATCACCTCGTGGCCATGACGACGCGCGGTGCGTGGTATCGTATCGCGTTGCGTCATTCTGACGCCGTATCAGCCGCAGCGCAGGGTCATGCAGATGAAGGGTCGTGGAGCGGTGCAAAGGCAAGTACGGTGTTGGACATGTACAAGGAGTCTTCTTCCACGGCTACGCAGCCGCAGTCGCAGTCGCAGCGTCGGAGCGTTCCTGCGGCGAGTGCTACGCTAGAGGAGTATCGCACTTTTGGTGGGGCCATGAGTGGGGGGAATGACGATGAGCAGGGAGCTAGCTGGTGAATGAAGGAGGAGGTAATGGGGCTGATACTCGGTGGGAGGGGGAAGCGCTTCAAGGGGAGAGAGAGAAAGGGGACGTTATGTGCTTGACACGATCCTGTAATTCCTGTACGTATTAAGACGATTGCTGACAAACGCGGGTGAGGGTGCGAGATAGTTCCGCACTGGGAGGATAGACATGGAGGGGAGGAGGAAGAAGGGGTACATTGTGGGGATCGTGTATTGTTGAACAATGACTGACTAAAGAGGACTACGAGACAAAGACGAGGCAGAGGAAACGACGACCATATGACACGACATGGCCGGAGGGGAGCACGCTGCGCTTATCTCGTCAAGAGGGCGGGGACATCCTAGCGTCTTCCTCCTCCGCCGCCCCATCGGGTGAGTATGGCTGCGAGCCCGTACCGCCGTGGAGGTGCTGGTGTTGATACAGCCGTTGCGAGGTCGGGTGCTGCTGCTGGTGCTGGTGCTGGTACGGATGACGCGAATACTGGGAGGGCAGTGGCCTCGGTGGTGGTTGAGGATAGAAGCGCTCCTGCTGTGGCTGACCGGCAGCGGCACCAGCACCGCCGAAGCTCGAGATACCGGGCAAGGCAGTCGCGCTGCTTGGCCTGCCGGAGGGGGTAGTGGGCGGGTTGGAATCGTCCCTCTGCCGGGCTCGGGCTTGGTAGCCATGCTGGTAGGGTCGCTGCTGTCCCGGTCCGGATGCACCGCTGACGGGCGCTGGAGAGGGGGACGCGCGTTGTCCCTCCCTCTCGTGTAACGGTGGGTAGGTGGACCTCCTTGGGAAGTAGGGCGGAGCAGGACTCGCGGTCGCGTTGCGCTGCTCCTCGGCCTCTTCGGCCGAGTGGACGCTGAAGCGCGGAGGAGGCAGATGGAGCGGTCCACCACTGCTGCTCCCTGATACGCGGTGCGACCATAGAGGACTCGTCTCGTTGGAGCTGGTAGGCGGTGTAGGCCGTGAGGAGGCGGGACCGGAGGAGGAATCGTAGCTGCGTGAGCTGGTCGAGTATTCGCCTGATCCTTCGGCCGTGTGAAGTCTGCTGAGCGGGAGGGGAGGGGAGGAGCGCTTACGACTCGCGACGAGGGAGGAGCTACCGCTACCGCTCCCGCTGACGCTCGTGGTGGCCGTGGATGAGCCGCTCGTCGTGGTGGAAGATCCCCCCTTGCTCGAGTTGCCCACGGCGGCTTGGAGCTCGTCCAGCGTCGGGTCCTGCCCGTCGAGTCCGTCCCCTTTGCGCAGGCGGGTCATCTTAGCGAAGAGGAGGCCACAGGCATTGCAGAGCGTCCGCGGTCCCGTGGGGCCTCGACGCCATTCGGCGGTACTGAGGCGTCCGCACCCTAGGCAGGCGGGCGCCTCGCCTTCACGCTTGGTAACGCGGCGCTTTGCCTTGGATCGGCGCGAGGCAGTTGCAGCTGCTGCTGCGGACGAGGAGGAGGAGGACTGCGCGCCCCGGACCACACCGTCCCTGCTAGGAGGCGAAGGGTAGTACGGGTGACCGTAATGGTACGACTCGTGCTGTGGCATCTCGAGCGGGGAGTGGTGTCCACCAGCCGCTGGAGGCCATGAGGATGCTGGGGCGTAGCCGTAGCCATGTCCGCCAGGCGGGGAGGCGACGTATTGGTAATGACCACTTCCGGAGGATGTCGATGAGGGATAGCGCTGGTGGACTCCTGCAGGGCTTCGTGCATCGCCGTCCATGGCCGTGCCTCTCTCGTCGCCATAGGCAAACTGAAGGCCGTACGACTCGGCCACTTGACGGGCTACGTGTGGACCTTCCTTGGCCGAGACGAGGGAGAGCTCTACGTCGATGTATTCGGTGATGGCACGGTAGTCGCCGTACTCGTAGAGGTGGGGAGGGGGGACGGCATCGCCTTGTGAGAACAAGCGACGCGCACGATTCTCGGCGCGAAGGTGGTAGAAGATGTCGAGGAGCTGGAAGGAAGGGAAAGAGAGAGAGGTAGCGCTGGTCAGCGACGAATTCAGCGCAAGTCTACGGCGTTGTGCACATGCTCACCCTTTCGCACTCTTGCCTTGTTTGTTGAAGTCGCGAGCTGTCCATCGCAGTCGGCGTTGTAGGTGCGACGCTAGCATTGGGGCTGCGCTGCATGGGCGGCGGAAGTTGCGGCGGTTGATGATGCTGGCCAGGGTAATGATGAGCAGTCTGAGGTTGTTGACGAGCATCAGGGCCAAGGGGAAGCGTTCGAATGCCCGGTAGCATTGCAGCTGAGCCATGAAGGCGGCCCGATGCGCTGGGAGAGGATGGCGCTCGCTCACGGAAGCTGGGCAACGGGGAGCGTCTTGGGTACGACGGTGACGAAGGGCGCTCCTCAACGCCTTGATCTTTCGCTGATGGCTGTGATCTCCGCGGTGACGGCGCAGCTGGGCCTGGGCCTGAGCCATCGCTGTCGTGTGTATCGGCGAGGAGCGACGAGATCGACGGAAGTCGTACCGCTGCAGGCGGCGAGTCGTCTCGCCCTCGTCCACTCATCGGCGAAGCACGCAGATGCTGATACGGCTTGCTACTGCTGCTCCTGCTGCTGCTGCTGGCGGTGGTGGCAGGGCCAGGCGTGATTCTTTGGCGACGATACGGTCCCAAGGTGGGTGAAGCAAAGGCGGGAATGAAGGAGGAGTGGTGCACTTGCAAGTCCAGGGCCATGCCGTTGCGCTAGGCGGTGGAGGTGCTGAGGATGATGGGCAGCGCAACGATGGCGCGGCGAAGATAGAGAGGAGAGAAGAGAGAAGAGGAAAGGAAAATAAAAGGGCGATCCAAGGATGCGACAACGGGCGTTATTGGGGCATGTGACGTCGAGGAGGCTCCCTAGATTTGCGACAAGGGGCGGCTCTGCTGCTGGTGGTGGTGGTCCTGACGAGTGAGATGGCAAACCGTGGGCGCCTGCAGCGGGTGCTGCTCCTGATCGCTGCCTCCCTCTCTGTGATGAGATGTCGCAAGCAGGCAGAAGGGCTTGACGATGAGGCTTCTAGGCACGACGTCAGCAGGATGAGATGTGCTAAGCACCGTCACAGAGGGTGTGAGGAGAAGATCGAGCTACTACGTGCGTGCTACGAAAGAAGGTGGCGGCGGCGGCAGCGGCGGCGGCAATGACGGGCTACGAGACCCGAATTAGAGTGAGCTGAGGAAGGTTGAGAGGGAAAAAGAGTCGCAGGGTCAGGGTCGCAGGGTGGATGTCGAGAGTGAGTGCAACGGGCTGGCGGGGCTTGATATGGCTTGCCTTGGTGTGGCTGTTTGGTACAGATGAATTGAATGCCTTTGCAGGAGGAGCGGCGATGGGTCGCAGCGGGCAGAGCGATGCCTTGAACGTCCGACCTCGAGTTGCGATTGACGCTTGACGGAACAAAAGGTTTTGGAGCTCAGATGTCAGCCGCACAAATGTATTCAGTTGTGCGTGCAGCTGCGACGGGCGCTGTGAGCTTGAGATCGAATGGAGGAGGGCGAGGGCCCGCTAGCGGGCGGAGCAAGGCGACCGGAATGACGACAGGAGGGGGGAAAGGGGAGGGGGGGGGGGTTGGAGTGCGTCGGCCGATGAGCGCTCTGGTCCTTGGTCGTATCGTAGCGGCGGGCCAACAACAACGCACAGCATAGACCTGCCGGTGAACCACTTACACGTCGTGCAGTATGTCGAGCGACAGATGGCGAGCTTCGCGCTGATGGTAGGAGTCTGGGAAGGGGAAGAGGAGTGGTGTGTTGTGCGAAACAGGCGCGTGGAGGGATGCCGCGGCGTACGGCCTATGGAGAGAAGCAAACGAGCGAAGGAGCAAAAAGGCGACTCGATTGATTGATGCACGGCATCGCATGAGACGCCGCCCTTTTCGTCTCTTAGCCGGACAGCTGTGGAGATTTCAGAAGCGCCGACACCTGAGATGAGAGCGGCGTAGCAATTAGGGCAATGTGTCGTGCGCGTGCGTCGTGCGTGCGTAGATGAGTGCGACCAGGACCGCACTCGACTGTTCAAACTCCCGACAAAGAGGCGCCGCGTGCAGCGGCTCACGACGGCACATCCAAGACCCAATTGAGAGCACGGCGAGGCCGCGAGGGGCAACGACGTTAGCTCGCATCGCCATCTCAGCAGCGTCTCGCTGTCTCAGCAGCATAGCACGCACCGCATCGCAGCAAGGCAGGCCGTGGTACGGCAAGGTGTGATCAAGCCAAGCAGTCAGTCAAGCCCGCCTGCACGCACGAACAACCTCCGAGATCAATCCTCGGGGCCCGGATTAGGATTCGTCGAGTGAGGGGTTGGGGGGGCCAAGGGCAACTTGGCATCCAGTCTCCCGGGTGGCTATCGTTGCGTTTGCCTCGCCGCGCCGCGCCCATCTCGCTCTCTTTTTCCCCTTGACGTTCCCATGGGTCAGCAAAGCAAGGATGCTGACCATTATCGAGAAGGGCCCGCCCGCAGCCCGCGTGCCTGCTGCCGGCCGTGCCAGCATCGCATCATCAATCTCTCTCCCTCGCCCGCTGCAGGAGACGAGACAGATCGAGCTAGGCAAGAAGGAACCCTGCCTGCGCACGGGGCGGGCGCAGGCAGCGCACAATCACGACAAGACGATGAGCGAGCGATGAGCAGCCTCCAATGTCGCAACCCAAAGCGACGAGCGAAGTCTTGGTTCCAGCCAGATCAGCGGAGCATGAGCCAGCAGTAAGAACACAAACGCAGATAGCTTTGTGGGTTTCCCACCAATTTGAAATTGGCATGACCACCATGATGGAATAGTGTTCTTGGCCGCGATCTCGCTGCGCAGGGCTCTAGCGCAATCAGGTGTCAACTGTACCAAAGCCACCCAGCAAGCAGCTGAGCAGCGTCAACGCCGACGACGACGATTGAGGCGACCTTCGCTCGCTCGCATCGCTTACCTTCGCAAGGGAGGTGAGGCAGCTCGTCCCTAGCAGCACACAGGCAAGACGGCACTTTCTTGCGTCTTGCATCTCGTCTCGCTCGTCTCTTGTCTAGCGCGTCAATTCATGCACCGGCGACTGAATGGGGGACAGCCACGCAAAACCGAGATGCCGGCAATTGGCTCATTCGCCGCATCTCGTGCCTTATCGTCGGCGCATGGAGTCGTCGCCTTCGTCGTCGTCGCAGAACCAACCTTGCTCACTCGAGATCAAAGAGATGAGCTGAAACCGAGCGCTATCCAAGAGTGTCACACCATCTTGCCATATGATAGCTTTCACATCTCCCCTTAGCAGCGAGGTGCGACGAGTGGCGAGCGAGGAGGAGCAATCGGCGATCAGCGGGCAGCGAGATGGCTAGCAGCGGAGCGAGGCGGGGAGATGGACACGTCCAGACGCCCTCGGGTGAGGAGGTGAGGCGAGAGCACACGTCTATCACTAATCACCTGACAAAACAAAGAAAGGGGCCACGTCTGTCGTCGTCATCGTCATCGTCATGCACTCCCCGGGCAGATAGATACGTACGTACGTACGTCCAAAGAGCAGGCATGACGATGCTATTTCACGCCCAGGACTGAGCTGAGCTGATCAGGATCGGCAGGTTCGACGAGACACTCACCTTGCTCTAAGCGCGATCCTATTCTGGCCTGGCGCTGGCTCGGGAGGGCAAAAGGGCAAAAAGCGGAGTTGGCAACGAGAAAGCCGATCACGGCGACGAGGACGACAAAAAGCAGTCGCTACTGTACGCCACACTCAAGGCTCCTTTGAAACGAGGAGGGAGGGAGGCGGTGCACCCATCAGCCGCGTTTTCCTCGCAAAGCTTGTCAAAGCCAATGACAAGGAAAGCTCCCGGTATGTCGCACTCCGAAGCGCAAACGCTTTCAGCGCCAGCGGCAGCGCAGCATCATCGACCACGACTTGCTATTGCTGCTGTAGGTGGCGCCACGCAATGACAGGACCCGCGGGGGCAGAAGAAGATCTGTCCGAGGTCAAGCGAAAATAATTGTTGCATCTTGCTTACTACTACTATTACTACCCTTTCGCTTTTCCCCGGCGGGATTCATTCAATCGCACAGGATTGACCCGTGATTGCCATCTGCGATCTGCGATCTGCGATGCGATACTGCAATGAAAGACGGGCGATTGCGATGCATTGAGTTGCTCGTTCGCCCCGGCAGTCCGTGACAAAAGGGAGGAGGAGGAAGAGCAAGCAGCAGGCGGGCGGGCATGCAGCAAGGAGCGCGTCCAGAGTAGAGAGAAAGCCGTAGTGACAAGGACAACGTCATGCCTGCAAGGTCGAGTCATCATCGTCGGATGGGTCAAGCAATGCTCCCGGGCCCCTCGAGCGTATCAGTAAACCCCCCAAAACCCTTTTTCGCCTTCCCTTGATCGATGGCTTGGTCGGACTTTCGATCACTCCTGAGCTTCAACACCGCTCACTGAGCCACTCGGTCGCGGACCCTTTTTTTTTTTGCTTTCTTCGTCCATTCTCCGCTATCCCGTGTCCGCGCCATCTAATGATGAGCGATCAATGAGCTGCATCGGATGCCGAGATGGCAACAAGAGATGAGGCACGGGATCGATGCTTCGGTGCGAGACCGAAACGGTGAGATGGAGACGAGGGTGGCGGTGAGCGGGACATTGGGTGCGGAAAGGAGTGGAAAAGTGTGGTCTCTGATCGGGCTTCTTGGCGGAGAAGAAACCTAGGGACATCTCCGCTAGCACGAGCGTGGCGTCGATAATGGTGACATTGAGGATGAGGTTTCCTTGTACGTAAGAGATGACGAATGAGGGTTTGTGTATCGGATGTCGCGGCGTGCAATGAGTAATGAGCAATGAGCAATCCATTACGCACTGTGAGATCCTATCCGTGACATGACGTTCATGCCTCGCCCATAGCCACGCGCCTCTCACCGCTTCGACGCACCGCCACCGCCACCGCCTCCGCCCCCACCGCTCAAGCGTGACAAGGCCCCACCACCACCACCCTGCGCTCCCCCTCCTCTGCTCGAAGCATTGCTGGGCGAGACGGCCCGATTGATAGCCGCGTTCGCGCCCGCGACTTGGGATGGCGAAGAGGTTGTCGTCGTTGTCGTCGTCGCTGGAATTCCAAAGGCGCTGTACGTCGGCCCAGACGAAGTAGGCTGGGCTGTTACCCCTGATCCTCCGCCGCGAGGAGAGGCGAAACCGAGCGAAGAATTGTTGGTAGTGCCTGTCCCCGTACCTCCTCGCCGTCTTCCCGTATTCGCGGCACCCATGGATGAGATCCTCGAGCCGGGCAAGCCAGGCGACATCGGTCCTGCGCTAGCGCTCCCACTCCCGCTCGCATGCCCGCCAATCATCGTAGTTGATGCAACGCGCGACCCCCCCGTCATGCCTGGCACCAAACCGTCCCCTCCCCCTCCGCCTGCGCTGCCTCCTCCGCCTGGTGGCATCCCCACATTCAGGCCCGCACCAGCATGCCCCAGCCCCGCTGACCCGAGGGCCGCAGCGGCCGTATTAGCCCTTCGGACGCGCTCATGACGCATCTGTGTCTGCCTGAACCAGGCGAGTAGCTCCCCCCACTTGATCTCGTCGCGTCCTGCCCCTTTCCCTCCTGCCCGGCTCGCCTGCTGCTGCTGCTGTTGCTGCTGCTGTTGTTGTTGCCCCCCCTGCTGGCCCTGCATCGCACCACCACCTCCTCCCACGTGTGTGTTGCTCGATCGTACCCCGGGCCCCATACTGCTCGCCGCGCTCAATCGATTGCGCAGTGTGGCAAAAGCGCTACTCTGGGGCAAGAGCATGAGCAAACCGTAAAGTGCCTTGAGGAGGAAAGTATTCTTGTCCGCCTCGAGGAGGTGTAGTCTCAAGCTGGTAAAGATGGGGCTCTCCAAGAGTTGGACCAGCTTATCAATCTGGATAAGCATGGGGACCGTCACCTCCAACTCGCCGAATACGCTCAGCAGGTTACTGGCGTGCTCGTACGCCTGACTGAGCAGGCAAAGCGAGAGGGCCGCAACGGCGTTGTGGCACCAAGAACGGTAGAGGGTGCAGAAGAGCTGTGCACCGTCTCCACCTGATGAGGACGAGGAGCCTCGATGAGACGGTGAATCGTGCTGTCGTAACCTTCGTCGAAAATCGTGCAATTCCGGGGAGGAGATAAGGATGATGTTGAGGTTCTGGACCATGATGCTCGCGAATTCCAGGTCCTCATCACGTTCCAATAGCTCGGCCAGGGTGCGAAAGATACGTTCCGTCTGCAAACTTGCGCAGAGCTGTCTTATGATCAAGCTCCCCCGCGTCTCCAACAACCTACGATCCGTACTGAACAACTGAAGCAGGTTGGCCATAAAGCTGCTGAAATACTCGTCCTGCTGACCCCTCGCCCCTGCCCCTCCCCCTCCTCCTCCAGCCGCACTCGTACTATTGGAGATCTGAGCGAGCAACCTGAGGTCACACCGAATGACCTCCTCGCTGGGGTCGGAGAGGGTCTTCAGTAGGGCAGGGAAGGTCCCGTCGTGCATGGTAAGGATGCGGGCGGGCGCCTTTGAGTGTAGCATAAGGAGCCACTCGAGGGCTTCTATGCGTGTTTCGGCGTGCTGGTCTAGTAGCTGGAGGGTCAGTTGGGAGACTGTGCTTGGGTAGTCGAAGGGGTCTGATTGTGCTTGACCAGCGTGGAGGGAGGTGAGAGCACTGTCCTGCGACGTAGGGAGGGAGTGAGGGAAGGGACGATCGTCTTGTAGGGTCGTTGAGCTGAGACGTGGCGACAAGGGCGGTGAAGTGATGGTGACGCCTGCTCCTGGCGCTGGTGTAGTCTTCTTGCCCTTGGTGGCCATGCTCGTCACGCTATCCCCCGGCGAGTCGCTCCTCCCCTCCCCTTGCGTCCCTGCTACCACAACCGGCGCCGGCAATCCCTGAATGACCGCAAAGAGATTCACGTTCGTCTCGCTCGCCGCCATCTGGATCGCGGGGGAATGATGCGCCAGGCTGGGTAGGATAGCCGGGATCAATCTCGGCGTGAAAGGGACGACGACATCCTTGACCACAACGAGTAGCTCGGCGATCCATTGCAAAGTGGTAGCCTGAATCTCCTCGTCCGGATAGGCGATATGGTTTATCAGGATCTCCATGATCGAGGCAAAGTCGATTCGGATGCGTCGGCCGGGGATCCACGCGTCCTCGCCGCCCTTGTTGGAGGAGGTATCCTGCGTGCTGTCAAGAGCATCGTCGTCTGCCCCGTCTGGGCGTGGAGGGCTGTCTTCGTTCTGGTTATCCCCACCCCGTGTAGTACCAGCACCGCTGGTCGCACTGCTCCTCCTCTGGTTGTTGTTCTTCTTCTTGTCGGAACTCGCCCCTTGCCCTGCACCAAGCTGAGCCGCCTCCTTAATCTCCCTTAGAAACTCCACAAGGACATTAGCCGTCGCGAGCCTCACATCAGTATTAGGATCAGAGAGGTACTTGAGTAGCCCATCAAGAAAGTGGGGCAGGTAGCTGACCAGCTCCAAATCGGGTACCGAGTCGAGGACGGTGATCCACCCAACGAGGTAGTTGCGCGTAAAGGGGCTAAGCACGTACATGCGCTCAGCGAGAAGGGGGACGAAGCGTGCAAGACTAAACGTCTTGTTGGCCGCGCTGGCCTGCTCGTCGTCCCTCTGCCCTACTTGGCCGGGCAGTCGTGCTCCAGCACCAGCGCCCATGCTGGCCTTTTCGCGTGCCACGTCCATCTCGGCCACTCCGCCCACGTACCCGGCAAGAGCGTCCTGCCGTGAGCGGATGTGAGGGATGTCCTGGAAATGGGAGACATGGTCTGGTGCGGCCTCACATACGATGTCCTTGAGGAGACGGTCGAGGAGTTCTGCTCCGTTCTTTACGGAGACTTCGCTGTCTGCTGCTAGCTTGGAGAGGGCGTCGAATATTTGATTGAAGTAGATGAGGATCTCGCCTTTGCATCTGGCGTGGCGTGGCGCGGCGCGAAGGAGGGAAAAGGGGAGGCGGTGAGATTCGGGAACGTAAGGGCAATGCTGAGGGGGAGAGTGGCGCGAGGACACACGTACACTTTGGCGATGTTGTAGAAGGATTCACAGGCAAAGTAGCTGTGGTCGAGGATTTCCAATATCAGCTTGCTCGCCTTTCATTCAGACCACCCTTGTGCTCCCCCCTTGGACGCACCGAATCTTTGAATCTGCATCGGTAAAGCAAGCCAAGACGGGCGGCACGATACTCTCCAAATAGGGCGCAATATCCACGCCTAGCGCAATGGATATCCCAGCGAGTCCTATGAGCCCACCATTGCGCGCATTGATGTTCTGTGGAGGGGAGCTGAGCAGTGTACACAACTGCTGGATGATGAGATTGACTCTAGCTCGATCCCCTTTTCCTAGGGCTTCGCGAACCTGCTTCTCTAGGTCGAGGGTCGCCGCCTTGCGCTTGTCGTAGACTCGGTCTAGGAGCGCCTGGTGTGGCGTGGTGTGGCGGGGGAGTGGGTGAGGGAGTGAGTGAGCATGTGGCTAGCAAAAGGCGGTGTGAACGAGATTCGTGCGGTACCTTTTGTAAATTGGCGTCCATGCTATGCTGCCGACGGGGAGTGCGAGGAGTGATGAATCACGGGTCAAGTTTGCTCAACAGGCCTCGCAGCCTCCTGTTGTCTGTTGCCTTCCGCCTCGCCGTCTTTCCGCCGCGCTCGGGCCACGCCCAAAAAAAGATGCGCCGCCCTCGCTCGATGTTGCTCTCCTTCTCTCTCTCTCTCTCTCTCCACCATAAACACCAGGCATGGACTCACTCTCCCTCTACGACCCCGTCAACCGACTAGACGTACCCCCTTCACGCCACGCAGTCGAGTCTGACTCGGAGTCTGATTCTGGAGATGACTTGGATGACATCGATGACGAGAGGCAAGAAGAGGATGTCGTATCGCAGCACCTCGAGATGGAGGGCAACTTGGATGCACTCAGGGGCAAAGATCTGATCATTCTCGTGGGACAGGTGGGCGAGACAATTGTGAGCTCGCTGAAGGGTGAAGAGGGGTGGGCAAGGATGGTGTGTACCGTCAAATGGCAGGGTAGGGTGCAGGCGAGCTTCAGTGAGGGTGGGGTTGGGCTCGTTTATCCTAGTAGTCTGTTGATGGAGAGGCCAGGGATCATGAGCCTCGTCATGGCTGAGATGCTCAAACGATTGAAGCCAAAGAGGTGAGTCAGAGCTGCTCAGCGTACTACAATTGACCTCGAACTCAGGACTGACCCTCAGAATGTTCCCCTCGCCCAGCCTCTGCATCCTCACCTCGTACTCCCCCGTCCTCTACATCGACCCATCCCCACCCAAGCAGGACCACACGTCGTCGATCCGCTACCTCTCATCACGCCACATCGCTAGCGCATCATCACTCCACGCATTCTCGCCACCCAACTTCCTCTGGGGCGCAGACGCCGCTCTAACGCAAAGCGCCGTCTATGCCTGCATCCCAACTCTGGTCCTCCTCGCGCCCAATAATAGCCCCTCCCTCCGACCTCAGGCGCGCATCGCCCCCGATCACAAGGCGAAGCGCGATGCGCGTAGGAGGAGGATGAGGAGGGCCAAGAGTCGAGGAGCAGGTAATCCATTGGCCGATGGCGATGTTGGTGGGGTTGGGGGAGGGCGGCCGATGGGGCTGGATGAGGTTCTGGAGAGTGATGAGGATGAAGAGGAGGATGGGTCTACGGGAGTGGAGGAGGCGGATCCTATGCCATTGAGTCTGGATGAGGATGAGAGGATGGAGCTAGTTGAGGGATTGAGAGAGGGTTTGAGACAGATGGCATGGCCTGCCACTCTGCCTCTCTTGCCCGTGGCGAATCAAGGCAGCAACAGCAGCAGCAGCAGCGAGGGAACCTCGTTGGCTCACTTTGTCCAGGAGAGGAGAAGGGAGGCAGTCAGACGAAGGCAGCGTAACGCGAGTGGCATGTATGTATGAGACTGATGCCATCGATAGCATCGCCATTCTGATCGATTACATTCATAGTATCGAGTCGTGTGCGAGTGTACGAGTATGCGGGCGGGCGCAGGCATGCGTGGCCTCATCTTCATCCTGGTCCGTCTGCGTCTGCTTTGCCTCTCCGCTCCCGCCGCCAGACGGAAAATGCAAAGGGCGGCGGCGACGGCGGCAGCTCACCTCAACTCGCAGCGCAGCGCTCAGCTCTCCCCTTCCTTCCTTCCTTCCTTCCTTCTCTTCTCACCAACCCCACTCCACTCTACCTCACGTCTTCTTTCGCAGCCATGGGCGTCCCTGCCCTGTTCCGCTGGCTGTCCAAGAAGTACCCCAAGATCGTCCAGTCGGTCGAGGAGGAGGAACCTCGCCGTATCCCAGGACCAAATGGGACGGAGCAGGAGTTGCCCATCGATATGAGCGGAAAGAACCCCAATGGCGAGGAGTTCGACTGTCTCTACTTGGATATGAACGGTATTGTGCATCCTTGTACTCATCCGGAGGGCAAGGTGAGCAGGCGCAGCGCAGTGCAGCGCATCGCAGCGTTGACCCCAGGCTGACCAACTCCTTCCCTCACACCTTTCACTCACACACGCAGCCCGCCCCCGAAACAGAAGAGGATATGATGCTGGAAGTCTTCTCTTACACCGAACGGGTAGTCAACATGATCCGCCCTCGCAAGCTCCTCATGATGGCCATAGACGGCGTAGCTCCACGCGCAAAGATGAACCAACAGCGTTCCCGTCGCTTTCGCTCTGCTATGGAAGCGAGGGAGAAGGAGGAGGAGAAGCTCGCCGCCTTGGAAGAGTGGAAGAGCATGGGACTTCCAGTAACGGATGATGCTGCGGCGGGTCAGGGGAAGAAAGCGTGGGACTCGAATGCCATCACTCCAGGGACGCCGTTTATGGATCTACTGGCGGGAAGCCTGCGTTACTGGGTGACGAAGAAGATGAACGAGGACCCAGGATGGAAGGATCTCCAGGTCATCATTTCGGACGCTTCTGTTCCCGGGGAGGGAGAGCACAAAATTATGGATCACATACGTCGACAACGCTCTCATCCTGAGCATGACCCAAATACCAAGCACGTCATCTACGGTCTAGACGCCGATCTCATCATGCTCAGCCTTGCGACGCATGAGCCCCACTTTAAGGTCTTGAGGGAAGACGTCTTTGCGCAGGACAACAAGGGGCCCAAAGTCTGCAACAAGTGTGGCATCGAGGGGCATATTGCTGCGAATTGTATTGGCAAGCCAAAGGAGAAGCCCTTGGATCCGGCTTCGGACTCTTCAGCGAGGGATCAAGACCTTGCTAAGAAGCTCGAAAAGAAGTAAGTAGCCCAGCGTGGCACAGAGCGTGGCGCAGAGCGTGGCGCAGAGCGTGATCGTAGCGCGCAGCATGCTGACCTGCCTACCCTGTCTTTCGCGCACGCAGGCCCTTCATCTTCCTGGACGTCTCGACCCTCCGCGAGTACCTCGAAATAGAGCTCCAAGTCCCCGGCATCGCCTTTGACCTCGAACGAGCCATAGACGATTGGGTCTTCCTCATCTTCTTCGTTGGAAACGATTTCCTCCCTCATCTCCCCTCCCTCGAGATCCGCGAAGGAGCAATAGACATGTTACTCCGCATATGGAAACGCGAGCTCCCCCGTGTCGGCTCGTACCTCACCAAGCATGGGAGCGTGGAGCTCAAGAATGTTCAGGTCATCATGGAGGGGATTGCTGCTCAAGAGGATGAGATTTTCAGGAAGAGACAGCAGGATGAGGAGAGGATGGAGGAGAAGCAGAAGAGACGAAAGGTGGATGATGAGAATAGACAACGAGCGCAGATGAGGGCCAGAGGCGAAGCCACGCCCCCGCCTAGTGCGCCACCACCGGGACCACCCCCGCCTGCGCCTGCGCCTGTGGCGGGGGCTGGCCTGCCCAGCAAGCCGGGGAGCGCAACTGCGAATGGGGGAGGCGAGGGAGCGGCCGCGCCGCCCATCGACCATCGCGAGCGCGCCCTTGCTGCCCTGTCCTCCGGCAACGAGAAGGAGATCCTGCGAGCGCAAGCCTCGATCCGTATGGCTAATCTGAGCGCAGCTGAGCACCTGAAAGCGGAGTTGGCCGGCCAGGCAAAGAAAGCTGCCAAGCAGTCTGGCGCCGGGAGCAAGAAGGCGAAACAGGAGGCAAGGAAGGCCGCCAATGGCGTGGATAAGGATGCGGAGCAGCATGACGCCAAGATGATAGAGGCTGAGGCGGGCGCTCATCAGGCGGAGGAGGGCGATGAGCAGGTCAAGAAGGAAGACGAGAGCGCCGAGGCGGCAGGCATGGACGGAGATGTCGAGAAGACCGAGGCTGAGTTGGGGGAGGGGGAGACAATCAAGCCGGATGAGGAGGACGCTCCCGCGGTCAAGGCAGAAGAGGGTGTCTCCCTCTCCTCAGCTGCGGAGGCAGACACAGACTCCAAGCCCCTTGCCGTCCCCGCCCGCCCATTGAAGCGCGGCCACGACTCCCTCGAAGCCGACGACGACGAGCAAGACAGCAAGGACACCAAGGACTTCGACGACGAAGTCGAGGAGTCCTTCGCCCCGGACGACGCTGGCAACGAGACGCAGGATCCTGTCACTGAGACGAACTTCGAGCGCAAAGTCAACGCAGACGGCACCGTCACCTACGAGGACACGGTCCGCCTCTTCGAGCCCGGCTACCGCGAGCGGTACTATCGCCAGAAGTTCGGCGTGGAGCTCTCCGACTCGGCCTTCCGTCGCTCCCTCGTCCACTCGTACGTCGAGGGGCTTTGCTGGGTCCTCGCCTATTACTACCAAGGCTGCCCAAGCTGGACGTGGTATTATCCTCATCACTTTTCCCCCTTTGCGGCAGACTTTGTCGAGCTCAACACCATGCAGGTAGACTTCAAGCTGGGCAAACCTTTCCGCCCTTACGACCAGTTGATGGGCGTCTTGCCTGCGGACTCCAAGGTTCATCTACCCGAACAATTCCATCCCTTGATGACCGAGGAAGAGTCGAAGATCATCGACTTCTATCCGAGAAGCTTTGAGATTGACATGAATGGCAAGAAGATGGCGTGGCAGGGCGTCGCGTTGTTGCCCTTTATTGACGAGGGGAGATTGCTTAAGGCCCTCGAAGAGCCTTACGGCAGGTTGAGCGATGAGGAGCATCGAAGGAACGCCTTTGGAGAGAGTGTACTCTTTGCGAGCGAAGAGGCTCAAGTGTACGATGCACTCGCGGCCGTTTATACGAGCAAGGCGAAGAAGCTGGCCCAAAAGAATGGCGAGTCCGCAGCCGCCGCCGATGCTGCTGCTGCTACTATGGCGCAGGGCCAGCCACTCAACCCCACTCTCTCAGGCGGTATCACGGGCTTCATCCGACCAGACCCGGCCTGTATCCCGGGGGCGACCTTCTCTTCGCCTCTTACCAGCGTAGGGCTAGGCGATATAGTCTCCAATCGAGCCATCAGCGTCATCTACGACTTCCCCGAGCAGAAGAGCCCGCATCGCTCCGTGTTGCTCAAGGGCGTTGTGATGCCTAAGCGTAGGTTGGAGGAGGCGGACAAGGAGTGGACGAGGCGTGGTGGGCCTGACAGGAGAGGTGGGAGAGGAGGGGGTGGTGGGGGTGGGCCTGGTGGGAGGGGAGGAGGAAGAGGAGGATATCATAATCACCATGGACCCCCTGGGGGGCATGGGGGCGGACCGCCGCCTATGCGATTTGGCGCTGGACCGGTGAATAGCCATGTGCACTTCGGCAGCGATGGGAGCGCTTGGCCTGCTGCTGCTGCTGCCGGTGGGCCGCCACAGGCTGCATACGGCGGATACGGCGCTGCAGCCCCATACGGTGCGCCGCCTCCGCAGCAGGCGAACCCTTACGGCTACGCCAATGGTGGTGCGTCGACTGGTGGATACGGGGGATATGGCGGGTACGGTGGCGGCGGCGGAGGTGGTGCTGGTGCATACGGAGGGTACGGGGGCGCAGCGCCGTATGGCAATGGGCAAGCTGCGGCCGGTGGAGGGTATGGTGGATACGGCGGGTATGGAGGGTACGGTCAAGGTGGAGGAGGAGCCGCGCAAGGTGGTTACGGCGCTACGCCAAGCGCTGCGCAAGCGTACGGGGGAGGAGCAGGCGGGTACGGCTATGGTGGGTACGGTGGGTACGGTGGTGGTGGTGGTGCAGCTGGAGGTGCTCCTCCCGCCTCATACGGCTCATATGGCGGGTACGGCCAGCAACAAGGCGGGGCGCCCGCGCGAGGTGGGTACGGCGGTAATCCTTACTCGAGAGGAGGCTACGGTGGCGGTGCGGGCGGGCATAGACGTTAGCAGGATAGCAGAACACAGCACAACACAGTTCAGCACGGCGGGACAGGCTTTGGTCTCTCTTTCTCTCTCTCATATTCTGTACAGTACGCCTCGCAATCGCTCCTCGATATGAAAAGGGGCAGCTCAAGAGATTCTCCTCTCTCTGTCTACTATCATTCCATCCATCCATCTCTACGTCTCTGCCTTATCTCGCCCTGTCCCGCGGCTCTTTGCGCTCAGCTCAGTCTCTGGCGTTGACTGATCGCCGATTGGCAATGATGGGCTTGGCTGATGGCGTGGCGTGGCGTGGCACAGCACCGGCGTGGCATCTTCATTTTCGACCGACCGACGTGACGTCGCGCCCCCCACCCAACCTCCATCGCCTCCTCTCGTACGGACGACACGCCCTAGGATACCCGAGACCGGCTGAGCGGCTTCATCGGACGGAGAACGCGGCAGTGTCAGACGAGCGGGCGAGCGGGCGGGCGGTCAGCCCAAAGTGGGAAGAGCAGCTGGAGCGAGCAGTGAAGTGGGGAGGGGGGAGGGGAGGATTGCCCCGTGGCTCTTCATTTGATTCTCTTTGAATTAAATCAAGGATTGGAAAGGCACACGAAGAAGGGGGGAGGGAGCAGGGAAAAGGGAGCTGAAATTGTCTCTGGCTCGTCGGCTGGGCCGAGCGAGCGGGCGGGGGCGACAACGACGACGACGATGGTTGGGGGCTGAGCGAGACGCTGGTTCCGTTGCGGCCGAGTGAAGGATGAGCCTCGTCCCGCCCCTCCTCGTCTCGTCTCGTTTCGCCTCCCCTTGTGTCTGATTGCCGGTCTCTTGTCGTGCTGCGAGCTTGGGGGGCTCCGAGGCGGGCAAAGCATCGGTCTTCCCCTGGCTCTCGTCGCCATCGCCATCACCCTCGTCATCGTCATCGTCATCGTTTGTCCCTCTCCTTACCCTTAGCTCCTCTTGGCCTTTTGCCGTGTCTCAGATCAGGTCTCTAGCTATTGCTTCTCTTGGCCGACGGCTCGACGGCTCAACAACCAGACGACGCTACGCTCCCCTACTTGGCGTTAGCGGACAACTTAAGCTACCGGTTCGTTTGCAACAATGAGAGATCGCGGCTAGAGTAGACTATGGGCTAGTAAGCTGCCGTTACAGCACTCAGCAGCTGGCGTACCTTTCTCCTTGCCCCCTCTCGTACTCCTCCTTGCTACGAACCCCCATCTCCCCCCTCCCCCGTAAAGCTCGGCAGATCAGTGGAGGGACGGACTCGGGGCACGAACGCTCTCCTACTTCCTCCCTGACTGCCTGCCTGGTCTGATCGCCGACCTTGCCCCGCCCGTCAGATCCTGCCCGGATTTTTTTCCCAACTTTTTTTTTCTCTCTTCTTCGCGGCGAGGAGGGGCTTCGATGAAGTGCCGCACTTGAGCTTTGATTGAACCGAATTCCAGCAGCCCCACTCTCTCACGACGATCAAGGGGGAAAGGGAAAGGGGATCGAGCGCGTTGAAAATGGTCACGCTGGCGGCTATCATTCATTCATCTCGAATGCGACGAAGAGGGCAGATCTAGATATCGCCCATTCGAGTGTGTTTCTCTGTGTGTGTGCTTGTGCTTCGGCGTGCGTTGCGTGCGTACCCGCCGCCGCCGCCGCCGCCGCCGCTCCTGATCTCATCTCGGCGTGTTGCTTTAAAGCTTTGCGCCGTCCTTGCGTCTGTCTCTCAATAAGACGATGTCAAGCGGCGGGGTTCGTTTCGACGACACGAGACTCGAGAGAGAGAGTCGTCGTCGACGTCGCTGTCGCTGTCGCCGTCGCCGGCCCTGCTACGCATGTCAATCTGCTGCTGCCTGCCTGTGCACACGCGCTGCAGCTAGACGCAGAACCTCGCCAGCATCGCAGCGGCAGGAGGAGGAGTGGGCAATCATGGTGTCTCGAAGAATTATGTCGTGTCGTGTCGTGTCTGGTGCTGCGAAGACGACGTCGACGTCGATGTCGAGGATCCCGAGTGAAGGCGGGGATGCTTCCATCCATGATAGCGCACACGCACAGCGCTCAATGTCATCGACGGTCACCACCACGTCATCGAATCTTTCTCTTCTTTTTTCAATCATCGGCTGTCTCACCTTCTTGCCCCCTCTGATGCCCCCTTGTCTTGTCGTTGCTCATTCATCCGTCTTGCTCCTTTTGGGCGCTCTCTCTCTCTCTCTCTCTTTGTGTCTCTCTTCGACTTGCTGCCGACGACTGCGCGCGCTGTGCTCTTGCTCTGTCGGCGGACGGCGGACGGCGGACGGTCCGAGGGGCGGACACGAGAGAGGTCTGCGTCTCTGCGTCTGCGAGGCTGCGACAGCTGCGAGAGCGGCTCTCTCTGTTCTCATCGTCGTCGTCCTCCATTCTGTTTCGTGTCGACTTCACTTCTCAATCATCAGCCTCTCTTCTCCACTCGTCTTCCACCATAATCACCCTACCACCACTCTCATTCTCCCTCCCTCTTCATCACACACGCGCGTGCAATTGACAGCGACGGGTGACATTCTCATCACCGACGCTCGTCAGCCTCTTGCCCTTCCCCCCTTCTTCTTCTTCCACTACCACTACATCTTCTTTCTCCGGCCCTTCACCTCGTGTCAACGCAATGTCGCACCTCCCTGACCCCTCGTCATACGCCTCTGAGTCGTCACCATACGCCACGGCACGCGGTGGCGCAGGCGCCGGTGCTGGGGGCATGACCAGGCCAGGCGCAGGAGGCGCAGGTCACGATTCCAACGAGTTTCGCAACTCGTACGCGTCGTCCGACTTTTCCCAACAACCCTACTCTGCCTACTCGCAAAACCAATTTGCAGGCAACGGGTCCTCTCATCCCTCCTACTCCTCTGGCGGTGTACCCCCCTACGGCGCGCCTCACCCAGCCTCGGCGCCTTACTCTGCCTTCTCGATGCCTCAACACCCTTCCCACCAGCACGCTCAGCATCACTCGCGCCCCTCGCACATCCACCTAGGTGGACAGCCACAAGGCGGTGGAGCAGGCGGGCAGCCGCAATACGGCCATCACCCAGAGTCTGGCCCACCTACGCCGAACAGCGCGACAATGTCTCATCACAATACGCCAGGCGCGATGGGCGCGTATGCGGGCGTCATGCCGGGTATGTCCCACCCTCACGCCGCTGCGACTCACCAGAGCTACCCCTCGCACTACTCGGCGTCCCTTGTGCCATCTGCTGGGCCGGGACCGGGAATGGGCGGTCATCCAGTGCGTATCGCCGAGCATGTATGCTGCGAAGCGCCTTCCTCCCAAGACGCGCTTTTCTGACCCTTGTCCATCCACGTACCCCTTCTCTCACGCGCAGATGGCCTCACCCAGCTACCCCTCTGCGCCGCAGTACAGCACGCAACTGCCCATGGCTGGCCGACACCGCGTCACGACGACCTTGTGGGAGGACGAGGGGACCCTCTGCTTCCAGGTCGAGGCAAAGGGCGTCTGTGTCGCTCGTCGACATGGTGAGTGCGCGACCGGCTGCGACGCGTAATACGCGCTTCCTCCTCTGAATCTTGGCTGACTTTGCCATTGAATTGCTCGCTCAGATAACAACATGATCAATGGCACTAAGCTCCTCAATGTCTGCGGCATGTCTCGCGGGAAGCGCGATGGTATTCTCAAGAACGAGAAGGAGCGCATTGTCGTCAAGGTTGGCGCCATGCACCTCAAGGGCGTCTGGTGAGTTGGCGCGCGAAACCGTCCTTGTCTGCTCTTGCGCATATGCTGACCTCTTGTCTCCCCCTTTCCTTCCCCCCTAAGGATCACCTTCCAACGAGGCAAGCAGCTCTCCGAGCAAAACGGCATCGCCGAGATGCTCTACCCGCTCTTCGAGCCCAACATCCAGTCCTTTCTCTACCACCCGGACAACTACCCACGCACTGCAGCCGTAATGGCCGCTGCGCAGGAGCGCCAAGCGAAGCGGATGCCTGACTCGAACCCCTCAAGCGCGAACACGAGCTACGACACCTCGGCCGCGTCCATGGGCGCCACGGGCGATCACTCTGCTGCGGCCGCGTGGGGGAGGCACCCGAGCAACGGTGGAGGATACAACCTGTCAGCGCCTGCGACGGCCAATCAGAGCCCTAGCCACGGGGCTCACCCGCACTCCGGGTACAGCACGCCCTCTTTGCAGCAGCAGCCGCAGCACCACCAGCAGGGCCCTCCTTCTGGCGGCAACGGGCTCCCAGCGGGCATGCGGGCGGTGCAGCAGCAGGCGGACAATCGTCGCCACTCTATGCCTCTGGGCGCTAATGCGAACAATAATGGGGACTCGCGAGACCCGACGGGTGGGTACGGCAGCGCTTCGCTGGACCACGCTGGCAGCCATCATGCTGCTGCTGCAGCTCTTGCTGGTGTAGGAGGCGCGCCGCAACCTCGGAGGACCGTCTCTGGCGCAAAGAGGGACTACGATGATGCCAACGATGAGTCGGCAGCAGTAGGAGGGTATGGAGGCATGCCGGGCAATGGAATGGGAGGGGACAGGCTGTTCAAACGCGGCAGAGGAGACGAGACGAGCTACGACGGTGGTCTCGATGGGTCGCATGGGTACAATGGACGTGCAGGCGTGGATCGCAAGGCCTGAAAGGGCTCAGGAATGGAGGAAAAGAAGAAAGGAGGTCAAGACAGCGCAATCCAACAAAGACTACTATGACGACGACCTATTCAGAGAAAGCGCAGCCAGAGATGATGAGGAAGGCAGCCCCACGACCAGGACTGGACCTGTGCGGAGCAAGACGCAACTACACACACACACACACACACACACACCTCTTTCACCACTAATTCGACATTCATCCATCTCCCCCTCGCCTCATACACACGGCCGCACGACCCCGAGGACGTTGCGGCCACGTCCCTCGTCCCGCTGTAGCTGCCCATCTCTTCGATCATTGACTCGATTCGCACAATTCCCCGAAGAGGACTCACCTCCTTGTTTTGTTCTGATCCTGTCTCTCTCTCACACATACGCTCACGCATGCACCACCACCATAAAGAAGACCAAAGTCAAATTCTACGCATCATTCTGTCAGTGAGAGCTGATGAGGCATTGGCTGGTGAGGAGCTCGAGCCTGGGCTTGAAATGTGGTGATCCTTAGCTCTGGATTGAGTCAGTCCAGGAGCATGGGCTCAGAGCGATCACGTCCCGTCTATCCCGACGTGATCCTCGACCGCCTCGTTGGTTCCTCTCGCGGCTCGTCTTGCACGACACCTTCGACATCGTTGGCTCGTCTCCCCCTTTTCATCATCTCAGCTCTTGGTGTGAGGCGAGCGTGAGAAGAAGTCTATCATCGGACGACGTGGAGCGTGCGTGGATGCGTGGGTGCGTGTGCGTCTGTGCGCGGGCCGTCTCGTCCCTCACAGCGTTGCGTTGGACTCTTGACCCGCGGCGGAGCTCGCAGTTGGCTGCATTCATTCATCCGACGTTGAATCGCTCAGCTTCCTTTCCTCCTTCCCCTGCTCTCATCACCACCACCACCACCACCACCACCACCATGTCATCACAACCACGGCCAGGTGGCCGCGCAACATTGCGCAATCAACAGGTATCGGCTCTCCTCGCCATGCTCAATCTCAATGCGCCCAAATCAAAACGATCAGCTGCAACGAATGGCGCCAGTACTTCCTCCTCCTCCTCTTCCTCTTCGACGACGGCAATCGACACCCTCCCTTCCGGTCCTCCCACATGGAAAGTCCTCATCATGGACAAGGTCTCGCAAGACATCCTCGCCACCTCGCTGCGCGTTCAAGACCTCAGGGACAATGGAGTCACCCTCCATATGCAGCTCCACTCTGATCGTCCTCCCTTGCCCGACGTACCTGCCGTCTATTTCGTCAGCCCGACAGAAGAGAACACGAATAGGATCGCGGCGGATCTGACAGCTGGGCTCTACGAGGGCTACTACGTCAACTTCACGAGCGCAGTGCCCCGCAAAGTATTGGAGGCATTCGCGCAGCGAGTTGCGGCGGATGGGACAGTGGAAAGTGTGAGGCAGGTGTTTGATCAGTATCTCGACTACATCGTCCTCGAGCCACAACTCTTTACGCTACTTCCGAGGGCATTGGAGCCAGCACAACAGTCTGCTGTGCCTGGGCCCGCTCCCTCTTCTTCACAGCTCTCAGCGTCGACGTACTATCGCCTCAATCACTCCAGCGCGGGACAACAGGACGTGGAGGCAGAGACGGATCGGATAGCTGCGGGCCTCTTCTCTTCGCTCGCGACGATGGGGAACCTGCCCGTCATTCGCTGCCCAAGGGGAAATGCTGCAGAGCTTGTAGCGCGTAAGCTGGAGGGTAGGCTAAAGGACCATGTCACCTCTGCACGTGGGACGGGGAACAACCTATTCGCGCAGGGAGACTCGTCGAGTAGTGCAACGCCCGGCCCATCCTATGGGTCTTCCTCCTGGCAGTCCGCTCGCCCCTTGCTCGTGATCTTGGATCGCAATCTCGACCTGGTCCCCATGCTGAGCCACTCCTGGACCTACCAAGCGCTCGTGCACGACGTCCTCGACATGCACCTCAACAAGGTAACCGTCGATGCCCCCTCGGACGTACCCGGTGCCCCGCCGGGCTCCACCACGAAGAGGTCATACGATCTAGATGGCAAGGACTTCTTCTGGAGCAAGAATAGCAGCACGCCCTTCCCGCAGGTAGCAGAGGATATTGATACGGAGCTTCAGCGCTACAAGGCGGACGCGGCCGATGTCACGCGCTCCACTGGCCTCACCAATCTGGCAGACGTGAGCAACCTCAACACAACCTCAGCGAGCGGCGCCTCTCATCTCAAGGCGGCGATCACAGCCTTGCCCGAGCTCACGGCACGCAAAGCCGTCATCGATGCGCACATGAATGTGGCCACCTCCCTCCTCCAAGGGATCAAGACGCGTGGACTCGACGTCCTCTTCGAGCTAGAGGAGAACATCCAACGTCAAGCACGCTCCGCCATCCTCGAGACGATCCGCGACGTCGATGCGCTCAAGGACGCCAAAGAGGACAAGGTCCGCTTGGCAATCGTGTACTACCTTAGCGCGACGAGAGACGAAGGATGCGCGGATTTGGAAGAGGCACTACGTGGTGTCGCTGGCGTTCCTGAGGAGCTTGTGCGGGCATTGCGATACGTCAAGAAGGTGCGCGATCTCACCCGTATGAGCTCGACACTCGCAGCCGTCGACGCTCCCGCTGCAGGAGGAGCGACCAATGGTGCGGGCACGTCAGCGGGTTCGGGGGGCTTTGGTGGCTTCTCCTCCCTCTCTTCCCGCCTAACCGGTCGCCTCAAGGACGCAGGATTGGACAATCTTTTGCAAGGAGTCAAGAACTTTCTACCCCAGCAAAAAGACTACGCTGTCACCCGTATAGTCGCTTCGCTCATGGAGGGCTCGTCAGCGGGTTCAGCAGGCAGTGCAGGAGGTGGGGCCTCGACACCTCAGTCAGGAGGAGCAGCAGCCGCCGCCGTAGCGAGGGAGACGAGCGATTGGCTCTACCTCGATCCTCACCCGAGTGGCAATTCCGCAAAGGCAACGGCCGCTGCGCGTGAAGCGGCGCTGAGTGGCTCCTCGAGATCGGGGACACCTAATTCGCTCCCTCACGGTGCCCACCTGCCTCGTCGCGAGGCGATCGTATTCATCGTAGGGGGTGGGTCTTACGTCGAGTTTGCGAATCTGCAGCAATGGGCCGAGAGGGTCAACGCTGCGAGCGGGGCAGCTGGGATGATGGATGGGGCTCTTCCGCCTGCGGGACTGGCTGGGCCCGGTGGGGCGGTAGGTGGGAAGAGCATCACGTATGGGGCGACGGAGATGTGTAGGCCGGGAGACTTTTTGAGGGTCTTGGCTGCGCTTGACTAGGAGGAGGGAGGGAGCGAGTTGAGGAGTCGCCTTTGATTGATCGATGGATGGATGGCTGTTTAGAGGAGACGAGAAGAGAGGGAAGAGACAGAGAGAGATGATGAAATGCTAGAGCCTACATGGCGATTGTACAGCTTTGAAACCTTCCTTTCTCTCGTGATGCTCCTTGCCTGTGCTTTCTACTGCAGACCCCACGCCCAAGTCTCCCCACTTCGCCTTGCCATCTCGCACCCATCTACTACATTGCCCTCCTCCTCGTCATAGTAGTCATCCTCCCGCACCCGCCACTTCAAGGTCCACTGACGCTCCCAACCGCCCGGACCGCCAATGACGTCCCCGCCGCCTGCGGTTCGACCTGAGCGGAGCACACGCCGAGGAGCTGCTCCTGAGCCCAATGCTTGCAGAGGCGGCGAAGCCTGGTGTTCTCCATCAGCGACAGCAGCAACAGCTGAGCCGGTGGTAGTCTGCTCGCCTCCGCCAAGGATCGCAGCCAAGTGTCGCATCCGAGCCTCTTCGGCGTCCTCGATACGGACAATGCTGCGCAGCATCGGGGCATAGTCGAGCACGAGGCCGGGCGAGAGGGGGATAGACTGCAATGCTGACAAGGAATAGTCGCTGCTCTCCTCAGAGGAGGCGACGTGACGGGCGAGACGAAGCCAGAGAGGGGAGAGCGGGGCGACGAGGTAGAGTAGATCGCGTTGCGCCAGGAGGAGAGAAGAATTGAAGTGCTTGATGTCTCGTTCGCCCTCATCGCCGGCTTGCTTTGCGGGATGTAGTGCGATCAGATTCTGCCTCGCCCTCTCTTCCACCTCTGCTCTCACTTCCTCCTCCCTCCTGGCCGACTGCTCCGGCAACGCTACGTTGCCCTGTCCCGCCACGCTCACCTGCGCCCACAAAAAGCGAGGCGCCTGAGGTCGACCGGCACCACCGCGCGATTCTGGGTAGCATTGCAGCAGGAGAGCGTCTGACTCGGTCGAAGGCTCCGGAGTCGCCAAACGTTGAGAAGAGCGGCCCAGCTGAGTGTCGAGCTGGGTGCGTGCCATAGAGAAGGGGCCGCTCGAAGAGGGACCCACAGCATCGTCAATAGTGCCTCCGGAGGCAGAGAGGGATTGCGGGACCCCTGGTGCAACTTGCTCTGCGGCTTTGCGGGCGAAGGGCTGGCTGAGGTAGGCCAGTGAGAAAGAGAGGGAATCGAGACTGCGCCACGAGCTGCGGAGGCTGTTGAGGTCGGCTTTGCGTGGGGCTTGTGTGGCGGCCATGCCATTGGGCGCTGAGGTAGCCACTGGAACAGGCGGTGGAACGGGAGGCGTTGTTGGTGTTGCAGGACTGTTGTGGCAGCTGTCTTGTGCCGCCTTGCCTCTCATGAATTGAAGCTGCAAAATTGCTTGTCTGAGGTCTAGGCCCCCGTCCTCTTCCTCTCCCTTTGCCCCTCGTCGCAGAAGGCCAGCAAGCACTTCCTTACTACCCTCCATCTTGGCCCCTAAGTATTCCTCCACCGCACCTCTGCTTGGCCTATGGAAGCGCAACACCTCCTGAACCGGCAAATCCCCCAGTGGTACGGCCGAAAGATCGTTGCACGTCAGCACGACGGGGCGCCGAGACGAGGCGACGAGGTCGACCACTCCGGACCAGAAGGCTTTGTCATCCTCGAGGGAGAGGACGTCCACTTCTTCGAGGAGAATGAGGGATTGGCGTGCGGCCGAAGAGGAGGCCGACGGGGCATTGCCTGCAGCCGAAGAGGAGACCGTGGCTGCGGTCGCAGGCGCGGCGATGGGCGCAACTTGAGGGCCATTAAGATTGACGCGATTGCGACCGGCAGAGATGACGAAGTCGTCCGAGCTTTGGCTGTCCACGGGTGCAGCTTGATCCTGGGCTGATCCCGGCTCATTCACCGGTACTGCTGCAGCCACCTCAGTCGTAGTCTCGCTCTCCGCCTGCTGTCCCTTCATCATCGCCTGAAGCGCATTGATCGTGCCCTTGCCCTTCGACCCGCCTCTCCCAAAGACTGCTCCGCCCCCAGTCCCACCTCCACTGACCATATGGTTGCGCGCCAGGTCTCCTACAGCTTGATGTAGCTCCTTGCTCCCTCTCTTACCCATGCCAGGAAAGAGCTCGAACACTTCAAAATTCAGCTCGGCCGCGCAGGCGTAGACCGCAGCCGTCTTGCCTGCGCCGGGCGGGCCAGAGAGGACAATGCAGTTCGTCAGGCGCGGGGAGGCGTGGAAGGTAAGGGAGCCGTTCGGGGCAGAGCCATTGAGGAGGGGTAAGGGTGGTTCCTCTGGGTCTACGTAGTCTTCATCGTAGACTATGAAGTCATCGAGAGACCACCTGTCCTCCACCTCGTCCCCTCCTGGCCCGTACCCTCCTCCTCCACCGGTCCGCCTCGCACGCTTATTCGAGCCTGCCTTGCGTGGCGCCGACTTGGCCACTGCAGTCTGAATGCGTCGCTGCTGCGGGACTGTCTGGTGAGCCCCTCGCTTCTTGCTGCCGCTGCTCACAGTGGTAGCGCTTGGGTCTAGAGGATCGTTTCCGCGCGGTGTGTTCGCTGCTGTGACGACGAGCTCGAGCATCCAGTCGCGGAGGTAGCGCGCTGCGTCTTCATTGTCCAAGACCTCCTCTGCGCGGCGAGGACGCCATTGATCGGTCCATGCCAGGGAGGAGGTGAGGTGAGGAGTTGCGGAGCTGCTGGAAGCCGAGGGCTCGCCATATGCTTGTCTGCCCTGTTGTTGAGAGCGTACACGATGGGCAAGGCCACGTGCAGGCAGAGTTCGACTGCCACCTCCGAGCGCTGGTGAGATTGCTCTCCGCTTTCCCTTGCGGTCATTGGCAGGAGGGAAGGGGAGCGGTCGAGAGTTCAAGAGGCCAATCTTCGCTGTCTTGTCGTCCGCAGGATGTACGTGAATACTCTCTCGATCAGGCCAGAGTGGCAGTCGTCTTGGCCTTTGATCGCGCTTGGCGGTGGTTGTCGCGAAGGTTCCGCAAGCAGGTCCAGGCGTCGATGAGCGTGAAGAGGGCTCGCCAGCTGGAGCTCTCTTGAGCGCAAAGAATGAATGCATGGGCCCGTCGCTCCCCTTTGTCCCCTTAACGTTGAGGCTCAGAGGGGGCAGAGGAGCTGGCGCAGGAGGCGGAGGCACGGGAGAAGCTGCCTTCTTGTTGCCCTTGCGTTTTCTTACAGACGTTGAGGATGAAGAGGCTGAGGGACCAGATGCGCCACCCACAACTTGCCCGTCTCCGTCCACCTCTCGCTCCTCCTCGTCCTCGAGTCCGAGCTTTGCATGCTTGGCGTCCGAGTATTCGACCTTCTTGTCTTTTGCTGCGCGACCTCGACTTGATCGAGACGATGATGATGCGCCAGAGTCCTATCGAGGTGCAAGAGAGTGAACGTGAGCATGGCCGGCATCGTCGATCTGGAAGCAGCATACACTCACTCTTACGCCCGGCTGGAAGAGGGAAAACATCTTTGGGCCAGAGGGTGGCGCTGCTGGTGCATCATCATTCAAGACAGACGTCCTTTGATGCTGCTCGACAACAAACGGCTGGGGCTGCTCGTCGTCGACGATGACGATAGGATCGGTAGGAGCCTGTCTCTGAGCATCTCGGACGACGCTCGATGCTGGCTGCGTTTCTGTCCCCGAGCCAGCCTCGCCGAGCTCAGCAGGTCCGCTGCTGCTACTGGAGGGCGCGCCCAACTCTGACATGCTCTATGACTGTGCCGCTGCTGTCGTCGCTGCGAACATCAAGGTGAGCGACGAGGAGGATCGAGATGATGGGGCAAAGCACGGATCCAACACTTGACTTGCACTTCTCGACGGACAAGCGTGCGTCGGAGGCACGCGAGCGCGTCTGAAGCTGCTTGCTTCCGCGCCGGCCTGGTCATTTGGCGTAGATTGGTCGCCCTGGCCTGGCCTGGCGTCACGACATCGAAGAGCGAGAGGAGTGGCCATCGTCGTCGCTGCAATGGAGTTGGGGCATTGAAGAGCTACGAGCATAACGAAGCAGCAGACGGCGCTCTCGTTGGTAGTCATCGGGCTCCGTTCATCATTTCATCCTATCTCTCAGGAGTCGACAATCTATCCATGGATCGTCCGTCTCACTCGCACGCATTGGCCTCTTCTCATCGTAGCGGTGAGTGCGGTGAGGTGATCACGATGCGTCGTCGATGCAACTGCACGACTAGCTTGGTCTGTCAACCACCTTTACTCATCATACAGCCTGTCGGCTTCCCCTTCCTTGGTCTCGTCTGGTCCCGTCCTCACGCCCCGTAAAATGCAGCATCTCATGGGAACCTCAAGGCGTAGGACATGATTGGGCCATTGGCAGCAGCAGCAGCAGCGGCCGCCGCGAGGAGAAGCGGCGGGCGCGGCCAATCACCTCATGCATGCCCCTGCCCCGCTGCACGCGAACCAACTCAACCACGACGACATCATCGCATCGCCCTCACAGCTCGCAGCTCACACTAGCGCTCACGATGAAATTATTCGGGGCCAGCACCGAGAGGCACAGACAGCAGCGGCAAGCAGCGTCAACCATGCCAATGATGCCATCTTCCTCGGAGTCCTAAGCGTTCTTCCCCATCGGTACCACAACGCTCGCCCCGCCCTGGAGCATCATTCAGACGGCGCCGTTGCAGCTGATAGGATGAATGACGACTTTCTTCCCGAGACAGTGACTACTGAGTTCAACTAGACGAGGCGTTGCGTTACGAGAGAGACGAGGGCGGGGCACGGGAAGATCTGGGCGGCCTCGTCTCGTCTTGTCTCGCCTCGTTTCGATTGGACTGGCTTCGCTTGACCGGCCAGACACGCAGACGGGGCTAGTTCCGCTTTCCCGAGGGCCTCACTTAGCCTCGACCTTCGCACCCCGACGTCTTGAGTGTTGGGTACTGCTGCTCCCTTTGTCCTTCGATCGATCAAAGTGGCGGCGATGACATCTCTTGATCGGAAGCACGCAGGGTCGAGGGAAAAGAAGACTATTGGGTCTCGGAACGCACAGAGAAGATAGAGTCAAGGGAGACACGAGATTGGGACAGAGCCTTACTCATTGCCACCCTCCTTCTTTCCCTTCCACACCTCTGTTACGTTCCCGTGCTGCACCTTCCTCCTCACTCCCTTCTTCTCGCCTTCGCTCGCTCCTCACTCAGCTCGCCAAGCGTCCATCGTCATCCTCAGCCCTTTGCTGTTTGCCATTACACTCACACCACCTTGTGCCTGGCGAGCGGCGCTCAGCAGGGCGGGCTCAAGAGCGCTGCCGCTGTTGCTCTCGCGGCGTACTTCCTTGTCCTCGTACACTCTCTCTCTCATCGTGGCTCATCGCGGCGATTGCTCTCGCCCTGACCCTCGTCGAGTCTCGAAGAGGGAGCAATTACACCGCCCGCCAGCTAGCCACCCAGCCGCGCCTGCGCTCCAGCATCCTCCGAGTCATTCCAGCCTCAGCCGCTACGAGCATTCGTCTTGCCTCCCTACCACGCCTCCATCAACTGCCGTCCGCTCGACACCCCATCTTGTGTGGGCAGCCGCCCATTCGCGATCCGCATCGTCCTCTGCGCAGTCGTCGCCTCGCCGCTTTACGTCTCCGTAGATGGATCGCCTCCACGATCCTCACATCAGCGCAACGACGGTAGCAAGGCATCATCATCATCAGCAGCACCAGCTACATCCATTCGACGACTATCAAAGAGACCTTGCGCGAGGCCGTGCCAGCTCGATCACGCCCGACATCCAGGCGCACCTGGCCCGTTTCACCATTCGAGACCGGCATTCGTACTCAGCATATAGCCACGACCAGCCACGCAAACACTACGACGACTACGGTGTCCATCGCGGCTTCTCGTCCTACCTTCCCGACCAGCACGAGCAGGAGCTCGAGCACGAACACGAGCACGCAGAGCGTCGCGCTGGTCTCTACGACAAGCTCGCTCACCTCCGTACCCTGACTACGCAGCAAGAAGCATCATCCTCCGCCTTTCCCCAACCTCATCCTCCTACTCGTCAACCAAGCTCACTCGATTTTCTGCATCATCGCAACTCAGGTGAGTGATAAATTCCTTTTCGTGTCCGAGCGTAGACACTGGAGTGCGGCCATGACTGGGGCTTCGTCGTTGTAGTGATGGCGGGTTCGCATGCATGACGCTCGGACCGCTCGTCCCGAGTCGGCGCCTTTCCCATGTCGCGGACGCTGGGCGTCAGCATTGTCGATCAGAGCTCTAATCGCGCAGGCCCAAGGATGGGGCTCGAGCGCATCGCCGTCGCTGTCGTTGTCGTCAACACCGTTGCTTGCCCAATCCTGGTCTCAGAGCCGCTCAACACGGCTTCTCACGGCTGAGCAAGGGGAGCGGGACGGCCTCTTTGTAGCCACCATCTCTCTCTTTGCAGCCGCTCGGCCCTCCTTGTCTCGCCCGTGAGCCTCTTCTCGGATTACTCTGCAAGCGTCAGGCCGCCACCGCCAGCGCCGGTCTCGTACGGGGGTGACGAGGGCTTGACATCGACGAGTGAGGAGGAGGTCCAAGCGACGCCTGTACGACCTCAAAGTAAATCGTGCTCAGCCGACCGGTCACTCCCTCATCTCGCTCTGTCGACGCCAACACCTCTTCATTCCACTTTCTACTCGCTCGCACCTCGCACTGCAACGCACGCAAGCTTGCCGTACTGACAAAGCAATCATTGCCTTCCCCTATCGAACCACTCGTTCCCACCTTCCTCTCCTTCCATCCTTACCCCCTCCTGTCCACCTCACTTTGTCGTCATCGTCTACACCCGCCTCAAGCAGAGGCCCGCAGCAACATGGACGTCCGCATCGAAGACACTCGCAACTCCAGCAGCAATCACAGCAGCAGCGTAAACAACACCACGAACACCAACAGTATGCAGCCCCACCAATCGCAAGAGCATCTCCCTCCTCCTCCTACCTCTCGATCTCCTCTACAGCATCAGCATGGCCAGCCTCATCCTCCTCTTTCACCAGCCAAGACGCGCCTTGACCTCGTCCACTCGCAAGGGTATGGTCCGCTGGACGGCGGTCTACCACCTCTCACCTCATCGCCTAACACGGATCGATACTCCTCGTCGGGCACTGCTGATGACTCGACATTTACCAAGGGCTCGTCCTTCTCGTCCGATGTCGGCAGGACGACCGTTGGAGGGGACGGCTACTTTGACACGATCGATGCTAAGCAGCAGAGCCGTGTCAGGTACGACTTCAGCGCCACGCATGATAGTCTGGACGCGAGGGCTAGGCAGTGGCCACCTGCCCGATACGGAGGCGCAGAAGAGGACCAGCAGCAGAGGGCGGCTCGCAATGGTTGGCCTCACTATCTACCTGAAGAGCTATCGTCAATGAGCGAGGCAGAGTGGAAAGCCAGGTGCGTCGTCGAGTTCTTGCACTACTGCCGTAGCAGCTACTCACCATTACCTGCCGACCGCACCCGCAGATTCGACCCACAACGCCAAGCCCTCGCAGAGAGCAGCCTCCGAGCTTCGCGCGGCAGTCCGGCACTTCCTTTTGGACGGCGCTCCTCACCACCAATCGAGTACGCCGTCTTCGTCTGCGACCTCGCTCCCGACGTCCGCGAAGAAGACCTGGTGGCGGCCTTCCTCAATCCACCGGGACCACGTCCCTTCATCAGCACCCGTTCGGCCAAAGTCATGCTGGACACTGTCACCGGTCGCTCGATGGGCTTCGGCTTCGTCCGCTTCACCGACGAGCAAGATAGCCAGCGTGCCCTTGTAGAGATGCAGGGAGTTACCATCACCTCCCGCTCTGGCCAGGGCAGGCCCGTACGACTCAACCCTGCCAACCCCCGCCGAGGAGGGGAGGGAAGCACACCGAGCGACGCCTCGCCCGGCGAGCACCCCGCAGCGAGCAATATGGCTCTGCGCGACTACTTCGACAACCGCGGACGATACTCCAATCCCACGCCTGCAGAGATCGCAATGCAGTCGTCCCTCTCCCCATCCACCTCTAGCTGGGCAAGCCTTCCCGGCTTTCCAACTATACCCGCCACTGGTGCCTCGGGGCCAGTCGACGTCTCGCTGCGCAACAATTCCGCTCCAAGCGGGTCGAGCTTCGGTGGCCCTGCTTCGCTCACCAACACCGGCTTTACCCTGGGGCCCAGCACTCTACCCTCACCAAGCTCCGCACTGGACCCAAACAATACGACCGTCTTTGTCGGCGGATTGTCCAGCCTCATCTCGGAGGACACCCTCAAGACATTCTTCGCTCCCTTTGGCGCCATTGCCTACGTCAAGATCCCGCCTGGAAAGGGGTGTGGATTCGTCTCCTTCTTGCGCAAGATCGACGCAGAGAGGGCTATTGAGCGTATGCAGGGTTTCCCTGTTGGTGGTTGTAGAATCCGGCTGAGCTGGGGCAGAAGTCAGGGCGAGAAGAGCCAGCATCAGGCGCAAGTGCAGATGAACAATCTCAGTCAGCTTGCGGGGCTTGCTGGGCTGGGTGGACAGGGTGGGCTGAAGGGATTGAGACCACAGCAGTTGGCTCACCTGGCCGACCTCAGCCAAGCGCTCGCACAGCAGCAGAGTGGTGGTGGGAGAGGCAGGGTGAGGGCGCACAGCGGTAATGGCGCTGGCGGGTACGGGCAGGACGACGGTAATGCCGAGCTCACGCAGGAGATATTGCAGCGCTTCCTTCAGACCTCTGTTGGGTCAAGTGATACTGGTGGTGCGGCCGGCAGCGGTGGCAGTGACTGGCCGACCTCCTTCTCTGATCCTTACGCCAGCGGCTACGGGCACAGCCACGCGCAAGGATACGGCTACGGTCACGATCAGCTCGGCGAGTCCACTGCCTACTCATTCGGCAGTTATACGTCGGAGGGAAGGCAGCGCATGGCCGCTTCTGCTCGTCCATTCGAGTCACGTCGCTTCCCTGGCGCGAACCCTACTGAAAGCTGGGGTGGAGAGGACGTCGATTTGGCAAACGTATTTGGGTCCCTGGGTATCGAGGATGATCCCGGCTTCAGAGCACCGCCCGCGCAGCAGCGACACGTCCGCGGGGTCAGCAGCGGCGGCTTGACCGAGCAGCCGTATCGCTCAGTGCCCCACTCTGCGATGCGCCCACACGCACTCACCCTCTCCGAGGAGCACAGGCCATGGCAACATCGAACGCCTCCTTCCTCAAGCGGTACCGTTACGCTCAGCTCCTCAACTACGACTATGCCTCCCTCATGGTCCGCACCTGACGTCAGCTCAAGCCCGGCTCGCGCCGCCGCGCCGGCTTGGTCGGTTGATGATGCTAGGCGCCGAGCAGCGCCAAGCTACAAGAGCTATAGAGATGAGGATGAGGATGATCGTCACAAGGGGTTCTCGCCCTTCAGCCCTGTGGTCGGCGGTGGAAGAGAGCTGCGTGACGTGACAGAGGCAGGCGGAGAGTCGACGAAGTGCGACCAAGCATCATCTTCGACTTCGCCCGGCAAAAGCACCTCGCCTGCTTAGAGGGGTTCGTCTACGAGCCTGAGGAGTAGAACACCCTCCGCACATACTCAAGCTAGACCCGTCTTTCATTCACAAGTTCGTCCTCACTTCTGCCATGATTCCTCTCAGCGTTTCCGCACAAGACGCTCCCATGTTTGCACAGCAAAGGCCAGCAAAAGATACACGGCCGATTCGTCAACTCGGCTCGGATCATCCAAGCTATGCCTCAACGATGGCTGCCACCGTCGTGACAGCACAAGACCACCTCACCGCACTTTGCAGCGCATCACGCCCCCCTCGCTGCTTCTCCTTTACCATTCTTCACCTCTACACGTCACGAAGAGCGAAGCCCACTTCTTGCCATCATGGTCCGTTTATCTCACACGCTATATCGCAGTACTTCTATTCCCCCTCTGTTCACGCTTGATCGTCGATCGTTCGTCCGCAGCCCCGTCGCTATACTTCACGAATACGAATGCATTCAATGATCATCACTCTCTTTGAGATGCTCGTCCTCTCGTACCCCCCTGACGCCGTCCCCCAGAGTTTGGTGTTGCTCTCCCTCGTCGAGCCGGCGGCCCCTTTTTGGGAACCACGTGGGTGTGCGAGACCAACACTCGGGCGGGCTGCGACGACCAAAGTAGTGCGAGGGAGGGTGAGCGGGCGCTTTGTCTCCTCTGCCCCGCTCCAATTACAACACACGACGAGCTCGCGAGCTAACGCCAATACCCCTGGAAGATATCTTGAAGCACACGACTGACCCATAGCCTTTAAGGTTACATACCACCCGCCTCTGCTCCTCCCACGGGCCAAAGCCTAGGAGAAATTGCGCAGCTCAGCGCTCATCTCGCATCGATCGGCGATGCATACAAGACGATAAAGGGCAGCTGCAGCAACTCACTCACCTGCCCAAACCTGCCGATCATTCATCACTTACAAGGAACAGACCCCGGCCCATATTGAAGCTCAAACGGAATAGCAAAGCCCATGGACCCTTCAGCTGCCACGATGGCTTCGCGGCCGGCCCCGCCGGCAAAGCGCAATGCCAGCTCTGGTAACAACAAGAGAATGAGCGGATCACCTGTGCCGGCTAGCCCGCAGCCTGAGAGGTCGCCTTCTCTCTCTACATCTGCATCGTCGAGATCGATTCAGGAGACGGGGGATACTCTCGTTGGGCCTACCTCGTCTGCTACTTTGAGCGGCCCAGGCCTCGGCTTCGATGTAGGCGAAGGCGCAGGCGCGGACGGGGAAGCAGATGATAGCATGACAGCGGCAGAGATGGAGCGAGCCATGGCTGGCTTGACGCGCAATGACCTGTTCACGGCGCTGAAGAGAGCAAAGGAGGAGATGGATAGGCTCGATGCTGTGGTAAGGACGAACCTCGCTGCCCACCAACATTGCTTCGTGGAACGAACTGACATTCGCCCCTCCCTCGCGCCCGCGCAGGTCTCATCCCAATCCCTGGAGATCGAGACCCTTCAATCCTCGCACACGGACCTCACCACCCGCCTCAACTCGCAAGAAAATGAGCACTCCCGTCTCAACCTGGCCGTCGCTCAGCGCGAAGCCCGGCTGGACGAGATGCGCCTCGAGCAAGAACGGCTAGAGGCGGATCTCTTCTCGCGAGTCGCCAGTCAAGACCGGCTCAAAGCCCGAGCAGAGGAGGCAGAGCGACAGTGTCGTTTAGCGGAGGAGCGATTGATCGGGTTGGGTCAGGCGAGCGATAGGGAGAGGGAGTACGCGAGTGATCAGGAGGAGCTACTGCGCGGCCAGGTCGAGAGGCTGGGAAGGGAAAATGCAGGCTTGAAGGGTGAGGTGGAAAGGTTGAGGGAGGAGTTGGAGGCGAGGCCGGACGAGCATGAGCAGGCGGCATTAGACAGGGAGCAGACGGGCGATGGCAAGCTGGCTGGCGAGGAAGCAGATGCCAAAGATACGTCCGCGGTACCTACCACGCCCAGCTCTACCCTTTCAACACCACAGCGTCCCCGCGGTCAAGCATCCCGCGGGCACCTCTCGCCTTCCCCTCGTGGACCACGCTCCCGCTCCTTTGCCGCTGAGCAAGACGCCGCCGAATCCGAGGCGCTCGTCTCCTCCCTTTCAGAGGAGGTGGCCCAGCTTAAGAAGACGCTGGCGAGCCAGGACGCCGCCTTGAACGAGGTGCGCTCCACCCTCCTTAAGGAACGCTCTCGCGCTCAAGACCTAGAAGCGGAAAAGGCTGAGCTGGAGAGTCTGGCGTACGGGAACACGCTGCAGCACTTGATGAGGAGGCGCGACGCTAAAGATCGACTAGACGAAGAGGAGGAGGGGGAGGAGAGCGAGCTAGACAGCAGTGCGGCAGCTAGTACTAGCGGGCAATCATCTGGCACAGAAGAAGAGGAGAGCAGCGCCAGTAGCGCTGCTGAGCAACAGGAGGAAGAGGACGACGTACCTGACACGCCCGTCACTCCAAAGGCCAGCAACATCAGCGCGACGAAGGCTTCACGCCGCAAGTCGACCGGGCTTCGCTCCGCCTCCGGACGACTGCGTCGACGTACGAGCCTGACGGAGATTCCCGAATCCCTCAGTCAGGAGCTCCTCCAGCCGCAGCCTACGCACACGGACACATCTTCCTCCCTCTCCTCCTCGCCCTCCCAACAAGGCGATGTCGCAACAATGCGCACCGAGTTGGCCAAACTTCGCCTAGAGAACAAGGGCTTGAGCGTCTACATTTCCAAGATCCTCAACCGTATCCTCTCGATGGAAGGGTTCGAGAAGGTCCTCGCTGCCGACTATACTGGCTCCGGTGTGGGAGGAGCTGCGGGGGGATGGCAAGGCAGCGTCAGAGCGCAGAGGACTGCGGTGGCTCAGAGGGAGTGGCAGGAGAGGAACAGTCCTCAGAAGAAGAAGAGGACGAGCATTTTGCCTGCAATTTTGACGTCGGGAGTAGGAGGAGGAGGAGGAGGGGGAGGGGGAGAGAGATCCTCTTCGCCTGCGACTGGTGGGGACGATGTGGAAAGCGATTCTGCCTCGACGACGAGTGCCGCCGATAGCGCGGCGGCAAAGAAGGATCGACGTCGTCAAAGCACCGGCATCTTAGGCTTCGGCGGCTCGTCTTCCTCTTCCGGTGGTGGCCCTTCCTCTTCGTCCTCCTCCATTGGCGGCGCAGGCGACCAGGCAGCAGTAAAGAAGAAAGCAGGTCGAGCCTCGGTCGATTGGAAGTCTTTGCGGATGCCCTGGTCGTCTAGCAGCCCAACGGCTACTGAGCAGCCGAGCAATCTACGACCCTTTGCCCTCAAGACGACGAGCACGGGGCAGCCAAGCGAGTCCACCCCGCATTCAAAGCGGAACACCGTCACGCTCACCTCTTCCCAGGGAGCGGGAGCGGTTGGAGATACATCCCTTTCCTCGCTTGGTTCGCCCATTCTCTCACAGGGGGACACATCGACCCTCTCAACCCTCTCGGCTCACTCGCAATCGGCGCCCTCAGACGAAGATGAAGTAGAGAGGCAACGTGCTCGCACCTTACTTGAGATGCAGGGCCTGAAGGTCCCCGAGCATCAGTTGACGCCTGTTTCCCCCGCTACGAAGGAGGGGCAATCGATGACAGGCGCGAGCGGTGGAGCAACAGGAGCAGGAGCAGGTGGAGGATTTGGAGCTTTCTTCGCTCGCGTGCTGAGCGGGACAGGGGCTGCGCCTGCAAGCACGTCGCCGCAACCAGGCGTCGCTACCTCCTCCTCCTCGTCCTCTGGCGGAACTGCGCATCATGCAGGGGACGAGGAGGCCGATTCAAGCCTGACAAGGCCGGAGGACCTGATGGGCAGCAGCAGCGGTAGTGGGCGTAGGCGTGTGCGTCCCTCGAGAAGAAGCATGACGACCGATGGACTCTTTAAGGGAGCGGTTGCTGATAGTAGTGTGGCGGGGGATGAGAGTTATGCGTTTAGGTCGGAGAGGTGAGGCGTGGAGGGACAGACAGGGAGGGGAGGGGAGGGCACGCGAGCCAGCAGAAGATGCTTGGCATTTCACGACTTTTGCTACATTGCTTGCCTCATCTAATCATGACGAATCTTGTTTACGCCCGATGGGATTGCGTAGACGTGATTGCATTGGGTGACGTGGAGACGAGGGGAGAGTCCATAGTTAGGTTCCAAGAAGTACAGAGAGCGGGAGGGAGTGGATATCGAGCTCAAAGACAGTACAGCAGCCACTTGTCCCCGTTACGCTACGGCAACCTCAGCGCGTCCCGGCCCCGCCCCTTGTTGTGCCCCTCGTCGCTGCGGGGCCGGGGATGCCGCTCGGTCTTGCGGCGCCGCCCCGCGCTCCTCGAGCGCTTGCAGTCGTGGTAGTGGTGGTGGGACGTCCTCGAGTTGCCCCAGTGGTGCTCCCGCTGACTGTACGCCCGCGAGCAGAAGTGGCTGTCCCTCTAGCCGTAGTCGTCGATGCTCCCCTTCCCCTCCCCGTTCCCCGCGCACCAACCGTCGTCCCGCGTCCCCTTGTAGCCGCACCCGTCCCTACGCCAGCCGCTCTCGCATTAGCCTGCATCTCAGCCTGGACCCTCATCTCCTCCTCCCTCACCTCTCTCTCCCGTCTCCTCTTCTCCAGTTCCTCCTCGAGACGCTGTGCCTCGCGCATCTGTTTTGCCATATCCTCCGTCTGACCCCTCCACTCCGGGTTGAGCAAGAGGGACTGATGCTGCGATGAGCGAGAGAGGACGTCGATGTAGGACGAGAGAAGGGTGGAGGTGCATGTGAGCCGGTGGGAGAAGAGCTGTGCGCGCGTTTGCGGGGTGCAGAAGGATCATGGTCAGTAAAGATAGAGCGGGGAGAGTGTTGGTGCGAGGGAAGGCAGGGAACGTACCTCAATCTGTCCTGCGCTTCCCTGGAGCATTCTCTCATACGCCTCAAAGGAGGCATTAAGGCGCGCTAGATCTGCCAATTGACGCTGTACATTCTCCTTGCTTTCCACCTCACCTCCTTCCTCCCCACTTGCCTGCTCTCCGCCCATGGCAGGGGTGGTGGACGAGACAAAGTCTGCCAGACTGGGCAGAGGTGGTGGGTCGATATCGCTATTTCCTCTTGATCCTGCGCCACCGCCGCCGTTGTTGCTTGCCTTTGAGCATGTGGCTAGAATGGAGTCATCTGCTTCTGCCTCTCTAGCCGCAAGGTCGTCCTCAGCTTCGTCCTCTTCCTCCTGCTGTCCTGCCATGCGTTGATGCTGCTGAGGGATCGCACTGGGCGCAAAGAGGGAGACGCGACGCTTGTTCCCTCCTCCTCCGCCGGCAGCACCGGACACAGGTGGCCCTCCGGCCGTCTTGTTCAGTCCTTGTAGCAGACGCAAGTTGGCTTCGGAGGCGCGAGGAGGAGGAGCAGACGCCTTGGCCGATTTCCCCATCGTAGAGGGACGCGACCGAAGTGCTGCGCTTCCGCTGGTGCTGCTGGATGCGGTGGCATTGCCTGCTGCGCCTGCGGGGGAGGTGAGGAGGGAGAGGTCTGAGAAGGAGAGGTCGTCGTCCATTTTCCTCTTGCGGCTGATGCGGGTTGGAAGTGTTGGTTGTGATGGTGTGGTGAGGAGCGACCGACTGAACGCAACGCGGCGGACAGGCGGGGCGAGCAATCCAATGGGAGAGAGCGAGCGGATGGATGCATGACCGCGTTTCGGAACGGAAGTTGACCTGGGCAAAGGGAGCGGACAGGACAGGACAGGACAGGTGGATGAGCGGACGAGGCGAGGGACATAAGTGATCAACTTCCTTTCCAACCTTTGACCGCATACAAGGACAGGACATCGCGCGCAGCAATGTGTAAGTGCGAAGGAACGAGAGCAGCAGATGGTGGCATTGAGCTGAACTGTCGCTACACTTCTCGCGCGCCAGCCTTTGGCGGATTCGGCGGCTTCGGCCAGCAGAATAAAGCTTCTACTCCTACTGGCGGAGCAGCTGGCGGAGGATTCTCATTCGGTGCTCCCGCGGCCAACAACAACAACGCCTCCAGTACAGCTCCCAAGCCGGCGACGGGCGGCTTCTCCTTTGGCCAACCTGCCGCCTCATCAGCCCCTGCCAGCGGCTCGACCCCGACGCCCTCCTTCAGCTTTGGTGGCAGTGCGCAGCCAGCAACAGGAGCAGCTGGTGGAAGCTCACAACCTCCTGCTGCCTCGACTGGCGGGTTCAGCTTCGGCGCAAAGCCTGCCGCTCCTGCTAACAACGCGAATACGACTACCACACCCGCTCATCCACCTCCTGTAAACCTCTTTGGCGGCGGCGCTGGAGGGGCGGCAGCGGGAGGCAGTGGGACGGGCGGAGCAGCTCCTGCTCCTTCCTTTGGCGGTTTCGGTGGATTTGGAAAGCCAGCTGCTTCGACTGGATCCGCGGCGCCCGCAAACTCGGCCTCGACTTCAACACCATCATCATCCGCCCCTGCACCTGCGCCGAGCCTCTTCAGCGGCTTTGGCAAGCCTGCGGGAGGGGACGCAGCGAGTGGCAGCGGTGGCAGCGCGGCGCCGTCCCTCTTTGGCAAGCCAGCAGCACCATCAGCGGCGCCAGCGTCCACTTCAGGCGGAGCTGATGCATCGAAGCCCGCTGCTTCACCTTTCGGTGGCTTCGGGGGCTTCGGCACGGCGGCATCTTCATCATCTACCACAAAGCCGGAGGAGAAGAAGGATACGCCAGCAGCACCTGCAGCAGCTAAGCCGTCGCCCTTTGGTGGGTTTGGCGGTTTTGGTGCTAAGCCTGCTGAAGAGCAGAAGAAAGACCCTCCAGCTACTCCGACTTCAACAGCGACACCAGCAGCACCTGCTCCTGCGGCGGGCGGCTTCTCATTTGGCAAGCCGGCAGCATCCGCAGCGCCAGCAGCGGGCGTGGAGAAGAAAGACGAGCCTGCCAAATCGGCCGGTGGGTTCAGCTTTGGAGCGACACCCGCGGCTTCTGCTGCAGGCGCAGAGAAGAAGGATGGGCAGACTGCGACGACAGCAGCGCCAGCAGCTTCAACGGCTCCAGCAGCGAGCACGAGCCTCTTCGGAGCCAAGCCCGCTGCTACTTCAACAGCACCGGGTACGAGCAGCGCGACCGCAGCGCCAGCCTCAGCATCTGCAGCCAAGCCGGTCGCACCAGGAGCAGGCTCCACCGCAACGCCAGCCCCACCAGCATCCGTCGCCCCCTTGTCAGCCCCGTCTCTCCTCCGTGGCCGAACAATGGACTCCATTCTCTCAACCTGGACCACCTCGCTCTCATCCAGCATCAGCTCATTTTCCAAGCTCAGCGGGGAGGTACTAGTGTGGGACGATCTCCTGCGTCGCTCTGGCGCTGAAATCGCTACATTGGCGCAAGGCCTGGCGAAGGTAGAAGAGGGGCAGAGCAAGGTCGGCCAGGTGCTGGATTGGGTTGAAGGGCAGCAGAGTGATTTGGAGGGTCTGCTGGGGGGATACGAGCAGCAGTTGGAAGGGTTGAGGGAAAACGCTCTGGCTGCTAATGAGGCTTCATCGGGTGCGAGAGGGTTTGGGGCGTCGGTCAACAGGGGAGGTACGCCAGGCCTGAGGGGTGGGGAGTTGGAGCGTGAGAGGATGTACGCGCAGGCTGAGCGCCTCGATGCCAACTTGGGCGACCTTGCGGCAAGCCTTACCGCGATCATCAACGATGTCAACTCTTCGCTGGGCAGCGGCAACACGACGACAAGCAAGGACACGGCAGCGGCGGGCAGTGGCATCCCTGCCCTTCCCGGATCGAACGGCGCAGCTGCTAATAGAGAGGAGGATGCGGTGGAGCAGATCGTGGCCATTCTCAACGCGCATCTGAATAGTCTGCGCTGGATCGACGGGGCCGTCAAGGCTTTGAGGGGCAGGATTGGGGCGTTGAGACGGGGGGTGATTGAGTGAGCCAAGAGGTTGCTCAGACGAGACGAATGTAGAGGCGTCAATCCAAACTCATTATCATTGAGCAATTACAGATGTGAAGCTATGAGAAGGCAGAAGGGAACGCGAGACGAATCTGAGTCGATGAGGTGTGGGAAAGCGAAGAAGAGGAAGGCAAGCTGAAGACTGGAAGCTGCTCATTGCACCTTCTTTGCTTCGGCCTTGGGCGCGTAGAAGACGTCCATGTGGTCAAAGGCACCGCCATAACGTGCCTGCAGCCAGTCAAAGAACCAGTTGCTCCTCATGGCCCACACACCACCCTTGTAGTTCGTCCCGGCGCTCCTGGGCAGCACATTCTTTGCCCTCAAGAAGTACCCGGACTGGAGCGGGCTCATAGGCTCCGACTTCTCGATACTCTTGCCCGGAGGACCTCGAGGCGCAAAGTGCGAGATGTTGCGCTTGTCCATCTCGTTGAGCAGACGCGTGGCGTAGAGTACGCATACGTCCGATCCGAGAGTCCACGAAGCGTTGGTGTAGCCAAAGCAAAGGGAAGCGTTAGGCACGCCGGAGAGCATCTGCCCACGGAAGACCCAGCGCTTGTTCGTGTCGACCTTCTCTCCGTCGACGATGAGGCTTGCTCCGCCGAAGAGCTTGAGGTTCAAGCCTGTGGCGCACACGATGCAGTCGGCTTCGATCTCCTGCCCGTCTTCCAGGCGCAGCCCGTTCGGCGTGACCGTGTCGATCTTGCCAGTGGCGATATCCGCGTTGCCCTCCCTGAGGGCCTTGAACATGTCTCCATCCGGTACCAGGCAGACACGCTGGTCCCAGGGCTTGTAGTTGGGGCTGAAATGCGGGTCGATGCTGATTCGGCTGGGGAGTTGGCGCTTGGTGAGGGAGAGCATCACGTAGCGGGAGATACGCGGGAAGCCCTGGCAAACCCAGTAGAAGACGTAGTTACGGAGGGCGAGGAAGAAGCGAAGGATGGCAAAGTAGAGCATCGTGGGGACGAGACGCGCGAGGAGACTCTGGCTGTTCGCGTTGGGCAGGCTGACCATGTAGGTCGGGGAGCGCTGCAGGAGGGTGACGTGCTTGGCCTTCTTTGCCAGGTTGGGAAGGAGGGTGACCGCTGTGGCGCCGGATCCAATGACGACCATCTTCTTGCCCGTGTAGTCCTGCGAGCAAAAAAAAAGAGTAGCCAAAAAGGTTAGAGTGAGCTCTTCTCCAACGCTGTCTCGCCCGCCACTCACGTAGTCCTTGGGCCAGGCCTGCGGGTGAATCCACTTGCCCTTGAAATCCCTCATACCGGGCACCTCTGGCTGGTAGCCGCCCTGATAGTCGTAGTACCCGCTGCAGAAGAGGACGAATTTGCAAGTCGTAGTCTTGGTGTTGCCCGTCGTCTTGTCCAGCGAGGTCACCTTCCATTGGCGCTCAGTGGAGGACCACTCAGTCGAGTGGACCTCGCGGTTGTACGTGATCTTCTTGTCGATGCCTAGCGGGTAGCAAAAGCGCGCAGAGAAGGGGTCAACAACAGGACTCAAGGTGCCAAGCGAAGCTCGCCACACTCACCATACTCCTCGGCTGTCTCGCGGACGTAGTCGTAGATGTCAGCTCCATCCGCGATGGCCTTGTTGGCTGTCCAAGGGCGGAATGGGAAGCCCATGGTGAACATGTCTGAATCAGATCGCAGGCCACTGCACGAAACGAGGCGTAGAACAACGCTTGGTCAGCAACAGCCAAGTCAGGCTTCATATGTCGTGTGCTCGTGTGCTTACGGGTACTGGAACATGCTCCACGTCCCACCGAGGTCGTGCCTGGCCTCGAAGATCTGGTAGTTGAACTTGGTCTCCGTCTGGAGGCGGTAGCCGGCATTAATACCGCTGATGCCCGCTCCAATGACGAGTACGTCAACGTCCGTTTGAGTCTGCATAGTCGCGATGCTGTGGATGAAAGAAGGTCTAGACGTGGATGACGATGAGGCGACCTGCGATTAATCTAGATGAAGATGAGGACGAAGGGAGAAAGGGACGTGACGACGAAGACAGTCCTTTTGAGAGGCAAGAAAGATGATTCAAGATGCAACCAAGGAAGTGTGGGGTAGAAGCAGCAACGTCGGCTTTGCCTCCTCTCCTGGCTCTTCCTCCTCCCAGCTTCCCGTCTTTAGTCAGTCGATCCATGCGGTATCGAGCTGTGAAAATGACCCTCTCCCTCATGCCCTATCCGTCCGCTCCGCCTGCAAGCAATCTTCCCCGCTCGTGCGTGCGTCACTGCACTGAGCCCTAGCGCTCGGCGCGAGAGACACAAGCTTCGAGCCAAGTTGCCGGCGCGGGCGCCAAGTGTGTGGAGCGACTCGAGCGATTCAAGTGTCCGCGACTCGGCTGCCTCGATTCGGCCATTCTCACGCGCCAGCCCGCCTGTCCGTCCGCCCGCCCGGCAGGCCCGCTCACTCTCAGCTGGCTTCTGTGCCTGTGGCGCTCGTTGCTGACCGCATCTCTCGACGACCGCAACCAAGGCAATCAAGCAACAACAACGTAGTTTGACGTTGGGTTGGGCTTCGTCGGCGTCAATACCGAGGCCGAGCTTTGAGTCCAGCCAGTACCGAGGTAGCTAGGGTCGGGCAAAAAGGAAAGCAACCTCACGCGTTGCGCTACAACATTGGGAGAGGAGGGGCGTGAGGATGGCGTCGTCTTGTCATGGCATCTGCGAAGCAGCGAGGAGTAGGCAGCGAGCTCGGCATCAGTGATTTCAGTCAGGAGTGGAAGATGTGAGAGCCGGCTATGGATTGATGAGGAGGCGCATGACGCTCGACGTGTCTGTGAACGCTTGACAAGAACGAGAGATCGTCAAAGAGAGTTACGTGAGAGCCGCGGGAGAGTATCTGAAAGAGCGAGAGAGAGGAGAAGGCGGATGAGTGTTGGTGCTTGCGGCTCGATCGTGGAGATCGTTGATCGATGGTGAGCGCGCTTTAGTGGTCGCCTAATCGCAGAGACAGACGAGAAAGACGATTGAGGTGTCGCATCGTGGGCTATGAGTGTGTTTGGTGCTGATTTGACTTCAATGTGGAGACAGAGCTTGTAAGCTTTTGCAGCTGCGTTGTCGAGAAAGGATCGACGTGTGGCATGGCGTGGGTGAGGTGAAATCGACGAGTGGCCTCTGAGTCTCATGGACTGTTACTCGCGTCGCGGGTCAAGGCCGTGCCTGTGGCGGGGAGGTGACTTACGCCCTCCTGAGCCACTCGATGTGAAGGCGAGCTCAGGCGGAGGGTACCACGACTGATGAACGCGCGAATGCCTCACTGAGTGCAAAGGGGCGCTACTGCTCTCGCCCAATCGGCCTCGGTAGCAGCCGTCGCGTCGAAGTCTCTCGTCCTCCCAGTATGACTGACTTGAAGGGTAGCCACGAGGCTGTGAGGATCGAGGACGGGGCTCGTCGCAGTGGCCTTCATCAAAGCTCGAGCTGCGTCGCCTCTTCCTGTGTGAGCTAGCCTGACTGTGTTGCTCGGCATACCAAGTGTCGGGACCGGGACGCGTAGCACGCTTGTCAGTTCGATAGGCCTCTGCACGGCCTCGATCGTCGTGATGCTCGCGGCGGCTGTAGTCTTCACGTCGGTGGTCGTGAGTACGCTCTCGCTGTTGACGATGGACAGACCGGTGCCTCTCATCGTAGCTAGGGGGAGGAGATAGAGATAGCGAGAAGCTTCGGCCGCGAGGACGGTGGCATGACCTTGCATAATTCGCGGGAGAACAGTGACGCTGCGTCGTGCGAGGGTCATGGGCCTGCGGGTAGTACTTTGCTTCTTTGACTCTGTGCGACGGCTCGTTCTTGACTATAGCATCGCCTTGCGCTGACCCTTGGCCCAGGCGAGCCCCGATCTCCATGCCCCGACCGAAGTCTATCCCGCGCATGAAGTCCGTCGAAAAGGAAGACGCAGTAGGTAGCGTGGACCCAAAGCATGCTGGACCAGTCGACGGTTCAGGGACATGAGCTGGTGCCGGCGTGGCTAGGCGGTTGCTCTGCGTGTGTGTGTTAGGGGCAAGACGTCCTGAAATGGGATGATGTGGGGTGGTCAATGCTGGACCGCAAGAGTGCGCGAGTGTGTTTGAAGGATGTGTCACTGCATCCAGGTGAGGATAAAAGACGACAGCGTGCCCTTCGTCATCGTCATCAGAGTGATCATTCGTACGCTGATTCTGAGCACGGCGGTTTGGGGCCAGTGGGCGACGCTCGTGGCAGCCATTGCCGGACTGCGGCTGTGCTGAAGTGGCTTGTATCTTGCCCTCCTTGGGCACCTTGGCTTCCTTGGCTCCAACTAAGCTTCTCAAAGTGAGCGACGGCATGTGGGAAGCGCTCTTGGAGGTAGGGACTGCAGTTCTTTCCTTAGTGGTGATGGTAAGCGGACCTCTGATGTTGGTCTCGTGGTCGTGGCTAGCATTGATGGTATCGCCGAGCCACTTTGGGGGCAGCTGACCTCGGTTGATCTTTCGGACGACCACCTCCCAGGGGCACTGAGCTCCGGAGCATGTCAGCTACGGTCGTGAGGGGCGCTCGAGAAGGTCAGCATCGGACCTCAGCCAATAGAGAAGGCACCATAGACGTTGGAGCTCACAGTCCACTTCGTTTGAGTTTTCTTGATCACTGGAATTCCCCCGTCTCGCACACATTTGTAGGCGATGACCTCGCCGGCGGCCTGAGCAGTATTGAAGGTGGTCGTCTCCTCTGCGATGTCAGGCAGGTCTGGCGATGGAGTACGTAGGGGTGACGGTGTGGTGCCACGAGCCGGCGGATTTTCATTCGAGGTCGTCTGCTTGAGGGGATCATGGGAAGGTGAAGGACCCACCTCGCCTTCAGATGGCTCGGTGTCCTCTCTAGCGGTCAAGGGGGAGGAAGACTCTTGGGAAGGACCAAGCTCAGCAGCGGCAAGTGCCTTTGCTCGCTCTTTCGCCACTCGAGCTGCCTGGCGGGGTGGAGGCTGAGCAATAGCAGCGGGGAGCGAGGTGTGGCGAGAGGATGCCGTGACTCGATTGATTTCGCCTTGAGAAGGGTGGGAGCGGGGGAGAACTGGCTGACCTCTGTGCAGCGATGGGTGGGCAGGGATGGTTGTGAGCGACTGGATAGGAGCTAGCTGGTGATTGCGAGGGCAACGAGGCGAGACCCACGGCTGCTGCTGGGCAGGTATGCCCCAGAGGTCGGCCTCCTCGGTGCCGTCCATCCCAGCCACGGGTAGGGAGTAGGGACTGAGGAGCGGGTACAAGACAAAAGGGGAGCAAGGAGAGGGGTTGGGGGCAGGGGTCGACTTCAGTGATGGTTAGAAGAGAGGGAGTGAGCTTGAATCATCACTCAATCTGGGCTGTTGCCGCTTGTCTCGGTCTCCCGCTTAATGCGCGCACGAGGCTGCTCGACCGCGCCGTACTTTGTTCCTGACCGCCTACATTCTCCTTCCGCCGCGCCCATCCAAAGCCGCCGCGAGCGCTTATGCGCCCAGGAACGCGGCTCATCACAGCTGTGCTTCGAGGCCGGGCTTGAGCGTGGCAGACGTGGCTAGATACCGACCGTAGGCAAGGGTGAGTAGGCGAGAGAGGAGACTTGCGCACTGCTGGACCCGTCTCAACCTAGGCATTGTTATGCTTGATAGTAAGTTAGCATTGCAGGGCTCTGATATATCATGTCTTCCGTCCCTTCGAGAGCTCCCCTATTGCCCCGCTTCCTCGCCACCCCAAGCACTATAGATAACAGCGCTCAACGCCTTCAACTCCTTGACCGCACACACAGCGTCCAGCATCTCATTCGGGACCCCTTCCAACGCCAGCCCGCTCTGCCGTGCCAGCAGCGGCAAGATGGCTGCAAGCTTCAATCTCTTTCCTCCCAGCGCATTCGCGTGGACCTCCGCCTCTTCCTCTGCGGTACGCAGCTCGCGAATCCGATGCTGCTGCGGCGCTGCCTCGTCAAGGAGGGCCGCACTGTCGTGCTGACTGGGCTCGAGACCAAAGGGAGCGCGCAATGCTTCGGCCATCGTGTCAAAGGCGGCGTTGATGCATTTGCGAAGCACCTTGGCTGCGTCTCTTGACTCCAGGACGTCCCGTGTCTCGTCGAGGAGGGACGCGACGTGGGTGTCGTACTCTTTGACCGATATGGGTCCCGGACTGAGTGCTGTTGACGGCGGCAGGAGGCCAGAAGCGTGAAGGACTTCGAGGTCGCCCTGCGGTGTGGTGGGAAGGAGATATTGAAGCAGATGAACCCTACGCCTCTTGCCTCGCCTGTTGCGGGCTGTGGCAGTTGTGCTGCCACTCATGACGCTGACGCTCATCATGCTTTCATCCTCGAATTGGCCCGAGGAGAAGCCGTTGGGCAATAGTGACTCAGAGCCCATCGCCATTTTCGATTCGTTGGGCACGAAACCAGGGAAGTCTCCGCGAGGCGAGCTGGGTCCGTCACCCTCTTCCTCATCGTCCGCATCGCTCCTCTCGTACTCGTACTCAATCCTGCGCTTGATCCTCGCAAGCACGGCAACCGTCTCTTGGTGGTTCAACTGCGTCTTGAGCGGAACAGAAGCCATGACTTCTTCCACCTTTGACCTGACTCGTTCGCTGAGCTGCTGGCAGCCGGTGTGGAGGAAATACCACGAGAAGGTGAGGTAGGCTTCTGAGCTGTCTTGAGAGACATGTTGGCGCGATGAAGAGGAGGGTGACGAGGATTGAGAGGCGGCAGGAGTGTTGGCTTTTGCCCATGCGTCTTCGAAGGGATCCAGGGCAATGTTCGCCGGTGGCTGAGGCGTGGCCGCATCATCGTCCTGCCTCGCCAGGCTAGAGAGGTACGCATATCGCCCGAGAGTGTTGAGCTGAACGTGCGTGAGCATCGAAAGTAGATTGACGGCGTAGACTGTTGTGAGGGCGCGGGAGATGGCCGTAATCTTGAGCTCGGACCAGAGCTCCATCTTGAGCTTGCGATCCGCCGCTAGCTGCTCGGCGGCGAGGCGCTGCCGCTCCTCTTCAGCCTGACGACGCTGCTCTGCCTCTTCGAGACGTTGGCGCTCTTTCTCTTCTTCTTGCAGCTTGCGCTCCATCTCCTCCTCTGCTCGCCGCCTCTGCTGTTCTTCTTCCTCCTCTCGCTTCTTGCGCTCCGCTTCTGCTGCGGCTTGTCGAGCCCTCTCTTCATGCTCAAGCTGCAGACGCTTGTGATCCTCGTCGCTGACTGTTTTCCCCGGCTGCGTCGCGGCCGGGGGAGCATCTGCTGTCGATGCAGCCGGATGGATGCCGTTTGCCTCCGCTTTGGACTTGCCATTGAGCTCGTTTGCAGCGGGAGAACCTTGAGGCTGCGGGGCTGAAGATTCCTCAACTACGGCCTCGTGACTACCGTTGCTATCACCATTTGTCCTGTCGTGCATCCCATTGGTCATCGTCTTTTGCGTCGGCGTAAGGGTAGCCTCGGGCGAAATTGGCGGTGGTAGCGGCTCGGACACTGCGTCGAGCGCCGAGGTAGGAGCGCCTGAGGGAGCTACGATGTGCTTCGCTGGTGATGAGGCTGTCTCGGACGGCGCAGGTATAGCTTGTGCCTCTTCAATGGCTTCCACGGCAGGTGCTGTCGACTCAGCTTCTGGCGCAGCAGGCTGTATGTCGACTGCCTGCGGCACATTCGGCACCACCTTTCCCCTCTCTCCCACTTTCTTCAGCTCCTCTGTGATCTTATCAACATCAAATTTCTCGTTGACTCCCTTGCCCAACGTAGGCAGAAGCGCCATGACGGTGAACGCTACGTCGTTCTGGTTCTGTTGGAATCGCTTCTTAAGCCCATCCTTAGACTCGGCGTCTTTTGACATGCGCTCATGCAGGGCTGCGAGGCGAGAGATGAGGAAAGTTGTGAGAAAGTAAGAAGAGGAGAGGAATGTGACGAGATACCATGCTGGGCGGGGGATGCGGGATGCGAAGGAGGAGGCATAGCTGAAGAGGGAGGAGGCGGATGAAGAGATGCTGCGAGACGCGGCACCTTGGCGACGTGGCTGTGTGGGCGGAGCCATTGTGTAGAAGAGCGCAGCGAGTGTAATGCGCAGCCTCAACTGTATCGGCCGTGCTCGATGAGAGCAATTTTGCTCCCCTTTGGTGAGGGAAGTCGATGCAGAGATTGGGAATGTGTAATGGCAGAAAGGCAAAAAGCATTCTGGCTGGTCCGCGCCCGCTCGGCGACGTCCAACTCGAGCTCCTCCCGGCATCCGGCTCACGCGGAGCAAAGAGACCAGAGTACATCCGCTCAAAGACCGACGAAGACGACGATGGCCACGCTCAGACGAGTGCATTTAGGCGACAGCTTCGACGACAATCGCACGACTCTACGATCTGTCGCATTGCTTTGATAGATACGCGCCAGCACTCTGTATGCTGGCCGGCGATGCAATGCCCGCACCTGGCTATCTCAAAAAGTCACCACCTCGCAGCAGCGAGGTCACCATTTCGAGTCTTTGCTTCATCATTCGCTCCCGCCCTATCCTTCTCTGGCATCATCTAGCCCTGCGGAATATCACATCCACCGTCACCCTGCCCCGCTACCAATCACCCGCAGCCTATCGGCGGTCTCGCCGTCCCCTCTGATCAATCAAGAAGAGAGAGCACCTGGCGATGCCCATTAGCGGCGCCCGGCGTCGGCTCTTCTCCCGAAGCGACCACTCTGGCAAGGGGCCTCGTGGCCTTTCCTCGCTCTGGCCGTTGACGTGGTCGTTGTCCTGGAATCGACTGCTAGGGAGGTCTGATGGTAGTATCCGGCGAGACTGAAGCTGAACTGGCCTGGCCGGCGTTCCTTGTCTGTGCGTGCGTGCGGGCGTGCGTGAGGGCGTGCCTGCTTGCCTGCCAGGCTCGCTGCAAGCCACTCAAGTCGTCCTCCCCGCTCTGCCCCCGCCCGCTCAGCCGAGTCCGTGCTCGTCCCCGTCCCCGCCGGCGTCGAGTGTGACTAGACTTGGCAGCCTAATCGTCCTATCAAGCTTTCTTCCCCTTCTCTCCATCACTGCCAGTCCCACGTATCGTGCATCGTCATCATCATCTCTCCACCCAGCATCTCACCTCATTCATAGTCTTCGCCGCACCGACGTCGACGTCGTCTCCGGCGTCGCTCGCTCTTTGGGTGCCGCGTGCCGTGCCGTGCCGCCAGCCAAGATCTCAGCGCAGCAGCGATGCCTCCCGTCCGCACGGGCGAGGAGTCATCCCCGCCTCCAGCTCAGTCCAGCTCAAGCGCAGCGAGGATGAGGGTCGCTTCGCCTGGTACAGAGGGGAGTCCGCCTCCTGCAGGCGGAGGCGGTAGTAGCAGCAAGGATGGAGGATCGGGAGGAGGGATTAAGCAGCAAAAGGCCGTGAGTCGGGCGGCGCAAAGTGACAATTTCAAATACACACACGACACTGAGCTCGCCATTATCGTCCCATCTATGCTGTAACCGCAGTGCATTCATTGCCGCAAATCAAAGGTGAGAGAGCCCTGTTGATTGGAGTTGTTGAGCCACGTCATGCTAATAACTTTCCTATCCACCTTGCTTTCCTACCCGCCTGCCTCGACTGCTGCTGCTGCTGCTGCTGCGCGCCTCGTCCTGCTCCATCGGGCCATTTCTTTCCTTGCCGCGCGTCCTTTGTTTCATCGCAACGCTCATCGCGACGCACAAGGTCAAATGCATCAACGACGGAGGCCCACCATGCCGTCGATGCGCCGATGCTCGTCTCGAATGCAAGTTCAGGCTACGGGCAGACGATGAGACCTGGAGAGAGAAGACCGACGATCGTCTAAGCCAGATCGCTAGGAAGCTTGACGACTTCATCAGCGCTGCGCACCCGCCTCATCACCGTGGAGGTGGGTCGACCTCAGCAGCTCCTGGGCCGTCCTCCCTGCCGTATCATCATCATCACACTCACCCTTCATACCCATCTATGGCCCCGCCTCCCCTGCCTAGCCCGGGGATAAGGGCGCGCGCGAGCAGCGGGGCCACAAGCAGTCCCTCGGCCCCGTACCCGATGATGATCTCCAAGGCTAGCCCGCATAGCGACCACAGCTGGAGTATGGACCACACCTCGCCTGGCGGACCAAGGCAGAACAGCGGGCCAGGAGGTGATGTAGTCAACTCCTCTTCTCACCATCATCGCCGCTCCTCTAGCATGCGCGGAGGCGACCTTCTCTCTGCCCCGCCCGGCGTCGTTATGGCAGGTGGCCCTCACTCTCCCGGCGAATCTCTGACTCCTCGATATCACAACCCGCCGCCACTCTCCTCTGTACCCATGCTGCCGCCGTTGACGCTGGACCCAAGCCAAGGAGCTGTACCGTCTTCACTGCAGGCCGTCAGCCATCATTCGGCGCCTTTTTACCTCACCAACCCGCTGCCTATGCGTTGGACGAGTGGCATCTCTAGCAAGGAGAGTTATGGCGCGCCTGTGCCTTACATTGGGCGAGATGATCCCCGTCTCACCTGTGAGTAGAAGGCGAGCGAGCTCGATGTAGGGCCACATTGTCGTACTGTAGCTGACCCATTCTCCCACTTCTGGCCGCTCGAATCAGGCATCAGTCGCGGTCTCTGCCCCCTCGAGCGTGTTCGCCAACTCTTCATGTTCTTCGCCGATCGTATGCAGCCACACAGCTTTGGCTTCCCGACTTTCCCTCCCTCCGAGCAGATGACCCCACTAATCATATCCTCCATCGCCATGGTCGCTTCCCTCCACGAAGCCTCCAGCCGCCAGTACCACGGCGTGCTCAAGGGAGACGTCCTCTCTCAACTGCCTACAGAGACGGACCTGACAGAAGAGCACAGCCTGGATCCAGAGCTTGGCATAGGCGTGGAGGAGATTACGGCCGCCTGCATTGCCAGCTCATGGCTAGGAGGGGACGAAGCTTGGAAGCTCGCACGCACCGCCCGCTGGTGGGCCCTCGCCTACCTCCGGCACTACGAGCTTAACATGACTCCCGGCCCCTTTGGCGGAGTAGGGCAAGGACGGTCGGTCACGCTCGGCGAGGCCCTCACGATTCTCCCTCCCTTCCGCAATATCGACCTCTCGGTCAAGTTGCGTATCTGGCTCGAGTCCTACATCGTCGATGCACAACAGTGCTTCATGCTCGACCGCGCTCCGCTGGCTCCCATGCAGACGCCGCACCAGTATTGCGAGACACTGCGTGGGGTCTACTATCAGAACGCGAGGGATACGGCCTTTCACAATGGGAATGCCAATGGTGGAGGCGCTAATGGAGGGGTGCCGAAGCTGAGCCAGCATGATAGGCAGCTGATTGCGCATGCCAATCTACTCGACGTCTTGCTCGAGGCGCAGAGGGCCGAGAGGATGACGGATTATTCGACGCTGCATCATCAGAATGGGGGTGGCGGCGTGGATCATGGTGCGCAGGAGGAAATTGTCAGAGTGAGATTGAGCCAAATTCTGGCGCAGATGGAGGCGGTCGATCGTTGGAGGGAGCTTTGCAGGCGAGATGAAGGTGAGCAGCGAGGGCACACAACGGACGATGCTGGGTCCCAGGCGCTGACGATCATCTCTTCTCACCCTTGAACCCCGCTTCCGCAGACGTTTCAGCCGCAACACCCTCCTCGATGGACCTGACCTTCATCTACCACCTCGCTCGCGCCTACATCGGCTCGCTCGCCCTCTCCCTACCGTCCGTCTCAGCCGCCTACACCCCCAACGGGAGCAGCGAGGCAAATCACGCCACCTCCCTTTCATCATCTCAAGTCTCCCTCGTCTCTTGGGCAAAGGAAGCAGCCCTCACTTCTCTGGAGCTCGCGCAAGAGAAGAAAGGTCGCGGCTTCGGGGACCGAATCGTAGCCATGCCCACGTGGTACCACTTTCTCCTCACACAGATCGTCGGGTTCCTCCTTCAGCTCATTCAACGCAAGCACCGCTTCCTCCTGGCAAGGGAGGCGCGCACCATTCTCATCAAGTTGGAGCCCTTTGTCCAACTCTACGTGTTCGAGATCAATGCGCACGCCTGCTTGGCTCCCGCGTTCAACTTTGGCGGGCCAACAGCCAGTGGAGAAGAGGGAGCTGCGCCTGTTCCGCCGCCTATACCGAATGCGAGTGGAAGGCACCCGGCTGCGGCCATGGCTGAGATGATGGCGAGGGGAATTGCGCATGTGAAGGCGCAGAGCAAGGGGTAGTCAGCGCGACCTAGGCTCACCGGCGCGATGCAAGCATTGGGGCCGTGTAGCAATAGAGCCACGGTCCCAAGTAGACATGCTCCTTCCCACACCTTGAGCTTCCTTTCTCTCGACTTTTTCCCTCCTGTATTCTTTCCCAATAATTCTGCGCCTCCGTTACTCGTCCCAATCGCCTAAACACGCCTCAGCACCAGGGCGACACCGGGGAGAAAGGGCCGCATCGACCGCCCAACCCCCGCCTATATCGTCATCAGCAGCCAGCAGCCACGCAAGATAGTGTGCTGCAATGTACATCGCCTCTGTCTCTTCACGTCACGAATCTCAATGTGTTTCTACATAAGACGAGCAAGCACAGTGGTCTTGGGCGACACGGTTTGCATGCTCCTGCGAGTGTGAGCTGGGAGAGCGAGGCGGGCGGAGACCGCGCGCGGCGTCTGGCACTCGGACGGAGAGGAGAGGCCCAACTTTTCTGTTCCAACGTCGGGGCGTCGCGCTCCTTTCCTCTCTTCTTCTCTCAACAACCTCGCCACGATTCTCCAACAGATCATCTTCCCAGGGCCCTCTTTGCCCCTTCTCCATCATCGATGCAGGGGGCAGTAGGGGGGCCCGCTTCACTTTTTTGGGTGAAGATGGGGAGACAAACGACTTAGGAATCACCGGCTGAGGGAGAGAGAAGTGATAGGCCATTAAAACCATTGTCTGTTGAGGGCGACCCCGTTGAGGGTTGTTGCCCCAGGATGGGATGATGACCTATTGGACCTTACATTGATGCGAGTTATGAGACGATGGAAGAAGAGTTGCGGGTCAATCGGGATCGCGAAGGAGAGGGCGGACCAGATACGAGGCAGAGGATCGAGAGGACGGTGAGTCGTTACTCGACTGGGTCATGTAGAAGATGGGTAAGGGAGCCGGGCACGAAAGAGAATACCATCGAGGTAAAAGCATGCGTTACAGCAGTACACGACCAAAGTGAGACAGGGTGCGCTCGTGACTTGAGGCGCTCAGAATACTAAGCCAGGAACTGGCTCTTGAATCTCCCCTCGGTTATGGCTAGAGCTTGCAGAATGCGTACAGCACGATTGCTAAGGCATGCTGGATTGAGCCCGCGATCATCGGCGCGCCTTCACCTGGTCCTCCCTATGCTACCATCGCTGGCTACTCCAGTGGTGGATTGCGGTAGTGGCTTGCGAGCCGCCAATTTCCGTCCGTTGGTATCAGGGAAATGGCTCGGCGCCGCCGGTCGCTCAACTCCGTGACCGGCTGCTCGCGCTGCTCATCGACAGCCGCTGCTGGCATCAAGACTTTGGACTCCGGGGCGTGCCATGAGAAGCCAAGAAGACACAAGCGCTCAGTCAGTTGCCCTTTGTCCATTCGGCCTTGGCGTGACGTTGTGCCGCTACGGCTACACGGACGATGAGGTGGCGCCCAGATGCTCCTGTGGGAAATGAGAGGACCTGGGATCACACTCGGTCCACAAGACAAGAGGAGTGCATAACTCCTTCTTTGACCTGTCAACATCTCTTCACACCGTCCGCCCACATACTCATGCCTTCCAAGCTCCTCCGTGTATGGCTCGCCACTGCGGCTAGCCTGTACGTCGCCTGGTCAAATGCCTGCGGCGTTTCAGCAACTATATGCTGCAACCCGGCCCAGGGAAGCTGGTGAGTGATCAATCCGGCGTGTCGAAGAGGTTCTGTTGCTTACTGAACTGTGAATACGCATGATGGCCGCAGCTACTGGGCGCCGGGACCCTACTGTCCAGGGTTGGGCGACGTCACTGATTACTCCGGGGACTGCTGCCCGCACGCTGTCGAGAGGGGGACGACAGAGTCCTTCCTGGGCCCGACAATGTAGAGTCACTCGGCAAGACGCAAGCGGGTCGTAGCCCTGAAAACGGCGTCTGGTGAGTGAATTCGAGCGCATCAATCGCATGCGCCGGCCGCTGAGCGCAGCTTGCCCTCTTGGGCAGCCGCTTCAACACACTTGCGGTGTCATCGCGCAGCTCATCAGCGCCTGCAAGACCCTGTGGGCCAGCTGTCGCCCTGTGAGAGGTCTCCATAGTCCTTTCTGGATCTTCTGAACACGCTGCCAAGTCTCTTCAACCTTCGTCTTGTGTCAGCTTGCCGTCTTTGAATCACGCTACGGCTCGTCATTTGGATTGAGGGCCATTCTCACCGTCTCTCTCTCCTTGAGCAATCTGACACGGGCGTTATGACGTCCCTTCTCTTCTCACCCGCGCCTAGCACAGTTGCGCAGACTTGCAGCTTTCAGACGACACAGATGACATTGACACAGTGAGAACAAGACGACTGAGCAAGAGAAAGCTCAGCGGCGGGGAATACTGGGGAGAACACGGGAGGACAGACAGCGGACGGTGACATGGAGAGTATGACTGAGGCTGCTTCGTTGAAGCGGAGCTCTCACGCCTAGGCAGATCCGAAGGGAGCAACAGACCCATCGCACGACCCTCGGACGAACTGGGAGATACCCATGTCCTGGCCCGCAGGGCTGAACACCCTGAAAAGGAATGATCCAGGCGGGAGTCCGTCAGTCCAAGCAATTCGAATCGGCAGGTAGTCACCGCTCTTCATCGTGACGACCTTGTCGCCCGCCGCCGGTGCGGCGCAGCGGCCCGTCTGGTCAGCGTCAGTCGTCCTCCAGCCGCTCTTGGCCACATCGCCATACCAGACACGGGCAACGTCGTCGACGTTTGCGAGCTGGAACTTGTAAGCTCCGTCGGCGGGAGCCTTGAAGTAGAAGGTGTGCAGCATGGTAAAGAGGGACGATTCCAGATCCTGGTTGGTGCCATATGGCCTGAAGGTGCTGCCACCGGCGTAAGGCTCGAATCTTTGACCAATGGCAGTGCCAGTCGTCTGAGCGGTCGATGGGTCGCCAAGGTCGACGATGTCGCGGTCGTAGGGGCAAGCGTCAGGCTTTGTAACCTCATTGGGGCGGTAGTAGTACTCCCACTTGAAGCCCTGCATGCCGTTGTTCACCTCGCACTGTTGGACAGCGGCCACGGCCGATTTGACGTAGCCTCGCGAGTAGGTGACCTTGACCTTGTTGACATCGTCGCCGAAGTTCTTGGCGGTCGAAGCGTCGATGTAGTTGCGGTACAGGGAGCAAGTGTAGGTGCGAGGGTCACCGTTGACGACACCGCGCCAGGTGTTGAAGGCTACGCAGCCAGAGGTCTGGTCGCAGATCTTGGAGCAGGCTACGGGGTCGTTCTTGGTGAGAAGCTTGTACGTCATGTAGCCCGGGTCGTTGTTGGCTGCGTTAATGGGCCCGTACGTCTGCGTGTAGCCAGGGACGGTGGGGTTGGCATCCAGGCGGCTGGGCACGGTGAAGACCGAGGCGGAGTCGATGCGGGTCAAGGGCTCGGGCGCTTTCTTGAGCTGCTGACCACCCTTGTTGGTGATCTGGTCGAGCTCGGGCTGATGGTGATGTAGAGGGCGAAGGCGTCAGTCGCGTGCGCGCGACACTTTTCATCTCGCTCGACACTTACAACATCGCCGAACAGAGCGCACTTGGCGTTGCTCTTCTCGCTGAAAGTGTAGTCAAGCAGTGGGTTGTTGTACTCCTTGTAGAGATTGGCCGTCACGCAGCTCGGCGTACGGTCGCAGAACTTGAGGCAAGCGTCGCGGGCTGCGGCGAAGTTCCAGTTGCCAGATGCGTCCGTGGCGTTGGTGACGACGGTGTACGTCAGGTAGGCAGGCATCTGAACGGCGGCAGTGGCATACTGGTTGCTTGCGTCTTGTCCGTCAGAGATGATCTGGTAGGCGGTCCCCGAAGGCGAGGTGGCTGACCCGACGGGCGTAGGAGCGCGGCGTTGGAGCGCAATGTTGCCCTTGTTGATCATGGCGCGGCGGGCAATGACGGAAGAGGTGTTGGTAGCAACCTCGGTAGCATCGACGGGCTGAGCGGGCCAGGCATCGTCGGGAACACCCTCAGTCTGGTTGGTGGCAAGGATGGCGGTGATCAAGCTGTCCGCTGGGGTCACCGTGCTGTCAGTCGAGCTCATGGAGCCCTGGGCGTTGGCGAGCTTGGTAAGGCATAGGGCGCCCAAGATGGCGGCGAGGGGGAGGGCGAAGGTCCGCATGGTTGCAGAGGAGAACAAAAGTGATGGACGAATGGATGAAGATGCTTTGCTTCGACGAGGAAGGCTGTCCTTTTATCCTTTTCGATCTGGTCCATCTTCTTGCCTTGTCTGCATTCGACGGGCCTTCTCGGAGGTGACTCTGACGGTGGCTTGTAGAAGACCAGCGCGGGACATCATGCCGCGGGCACATTCGATGTCGGTGTACGAAGGCGAGTCGGAGATGATTTGTGTCGAGAAGAGGGTTCTACACACTGCTCGAAGTATGAGATCCAATGTCAAGCTCGAAGGTGAACCCGACTGTGAGCTCGGAGGTCAGCCAGCCTTTGTGCGTCGCGTTCACCTTGGCGGTGGCCCGTGCGTATGGGCTCGCGACGCGGGTCAGGCGAGGGTGAGCGGGAGGACGTTGGGGGCGTGAAGGTCGACTACAGTATACGACGCCACACTGCCCTGGCATCTGACTTGCCAACCTTGTCACCGACTGCGATCCACGCCAAATGAGGCAACCAGCGCCCGCGCATCCTGGCTTTGAATCTCGACGACATCGAGGCTTCACACAGATGGTCCCGCTCCGGGGGGGTGGAGAACTCCACTACGAGTGAAGCATTGCGCCGCGCGACATCACAGCACCTGAAGCTTTCGCCTGACGCCCGCTGACCAGAGGAAGAGTCGCGCTGTGGATAACGAGCGAGCATGGCAGCGGGTGGACCCGCGATGTGACAACGGCAGCAGAGGAGGGTCAGCCTACCCGCAAAGCAGTTGCGGGCTCGAGACACACATCCTCCTCGACGTCGGACCTACCACGCCAGCATCGCATCGCCTGACATTGCAGACCCCGCACTTGTGCTTGCTTGTTACCACGGTCCCGCTGAGTGGCGCAGCTTGAATGGTGGGCCCCGCTCCCGCCTCCGCCTTGAAGCCTGGACCTTTCGTCCCCGGTGAAGGAGCAATACTTGCTGAATGATCATACAAGAGCATTGGTGCACGATGGACCTTCCATTGTGCGAGTCGGCCCGACTTTAGGACAAACGCAGCGTCCGACCGGGCCTGAGAGCGCATCGAGGTGGTGGGAACAGCAGGTTCGCATGGGCATGGTAGAGCGACGACGCTCGCATCCCCATCACGGTACCCGTTGTTGACTCTAGAGCCTAGACCGTCTACTGAAGTCTCCCAGCGGGGAGCATTGTGCGCGGAAGGTATCGGTTTCGTAGCTATGGCCAGGCTGCCCCGGGCCACGGTGGCTCACACAAGGCGCAGTGACGAGGCGGTATCGAGATGTTCTGCTTGGCAAGATGAAAAGGCCCGTGGATGGGCTCACACATCTGTGATGGTCCCTTGCAAGACGTTGCAACGTGCGAGGAGAGAGCAAAGTCCTCCTAATGCAAGACGAGAGCGAACGTCGGCGGGGCCGACACGCGTACAACCAGGTGACGTTGTGCATGCGAGGGCTAGGGACCCTCATTGACTTGCTCTCGACAGTACCAGCTCGTTCTTGTCTATCGCAGAGAGCCCGGCCGCGGGACATCTGCTGCCCATGACCCGTTTGACGTCGAAGCGTGATGTTGAATCGGTAGCGAGAAGAAGCAAGGAGCCGGCCAATCTATCGAGGGCGCGTGTCTCACCGTCTTGAATCTTTTGACGGACAATCATTCGCTGCCGTGCGACGTGCGCGACGTGCGACGTACGACTTGAATCATCGCGTAAGTGATTGCATGCTCCTCAGCGTCTACCTTGTCGACACATGCCTTTGCTCGCGCTCCGGCCGCGCTGCCTCCGCTGCCGCTCGCTATGCTGCTGCGGGCTGCCGCCCTTGCCTGTAACAACTCGTGATTGCCAGCATGCTGCTCGCTCCTGCTCGATAGAAGACGCATCGCTTCGATTGTTGTCGCGAATCGCTCGACCCGCTGTCGTTGTGCATGGTTCGGTGCGAAGGGATGTGTCGAGGAGCTCAATGCCCTTGGGCGCTGGCCTAGCGCCGAGTTTGACTCCGGTTAATCCGGACGAGAGAGAGATGTGCGACCGGATCGACCGGGATCTTGGGCGCGCGGCGCAAGCACAGAGGGCGGCAGGGCGTGCGACACCCCTTTCCCAATTTTGGATCTAAACGGCTGCGCGTCAATCTGCGTCTGCGCGTCTGCATACGCTGACGACCTCCCCCTCTTCCTGCCTCTCTTCATCCTCAAGGCAGTCGTGAGTCGTCTCAGTTGCCAAGGCCAACGGCCAAAGCCCCAAGTCCCTGCTGGATGCTACTCGTTGCTGTCCACCGCCATGGATACACCCTTTAGCTCGGCTAGCGTCGAAGGGACGCCGTTCTCGGCGGCCAACGGGGTTGAGTAGCGGGGACCCATGGCTATGGAAAAAGCGCGACACTCGCAACGCTCTTTAAAGATGAAGGGTTTAGTGATCCCCTTCTTTGAGCTCAGCATTCACTCGCCGCCATGTCTGCGACGATCACACCCGGGTGCCAGGCCGTCGCCCTTCAGACTGCGGAGACGATCACGACCGAGGTCAACCGCGCCCTGCCCATCGTCTTTCTCATCTGGCTCAGCTTTGGCATCTGGCTTGGCGAGTGGACCAACGCGTGGGGAGATGAATGGCAACTCATCAAGCGTGGCTTCACTCCAGCGGGCCTAAGCTACTTTCTCGCCCGCTTCGGTGGTGGCTTGGGACTGTTTTCCTTCGCTCTTACAACCATGGTTGGCGGGACGGGCACGCTCCCAACGAGCTGCCATGTGACGGACAAAATCCTGGCCACCTTCTGGCTCATTTGCGGTGTTGGAGCGCAGGGAACATTCATGCTGCGCTGCATTGCCGTGTGGGAAAATGACAGACGCATCAAGCTCTTCCTCTCCGTGCTACTCGCCATTATCGCCGGTACGTTCGTCATCTTCATCGTCGTCATCGACGGCCTCAAGACGGAGCTTGGCTTGCTTGTCTGCACCATCAAGACGCCCAGCCGGCTCGAAGCCATAGCTACCATTTCAACAATGGTCATCGACGTCATCGTCATCGGCCTGACGGCATACAAGCTGTTGGGCTCGCGCACGCAGAATGAGGGACGCATCCGCCACCTCCTCTTCCGTGACGGAGTCATCTACCTGGCCATTGTTGTAGCCGTCTCTGCGACCATCACAGTCATGCTTCTCACCGACTTGCCGCCTGTCCAGCGTGTGGTCCTCTCCCCCATCCACATCGTGTCACTCTCTCTCGCAGCCACACGCGCTCAGAGGGCGTTGCGAGCAGAGGGTATCAAGCTGGCCAGCATGAGCAAGGGCAGCGCTACAGGAGCGACAGAAGCACATCGTCGTCTATCGAGCCACTCCGACCAGGCGACTACAGCTCTTCCACCGTCAACGCCGCTTACACCTGTCACGCCACGCTTCTACGATGCAGCAGCGTCGCCGCGCTTCTCCACCAATACCAAAGAGGGCGATGCATCATGGCAGACATCACGCCGAGCGGCAAACAAGATTGTCCTCGAGTCCTTTGCCATGCAACCACCGCCGCTACCCCCGAATGCTCGCTATCAGACTCATCATCACCAAGAGCAGCCGCATCCGCAGCAATCGCCTCGCTCACCACGTTCCCCGCGCGACCCTTACGGCATGCAGACGTCGTGGAGCTACGCGCCCGGAGCTACAGAGGAGATGAGCGAACGCAGGGAGGATGAAGAGGCGGCGCGTGACACGCGGCCGTGAATAATAGAGAAAGCCGCGCTCATGCCATCGCTTATGCAATGATAGACTGTACTCATCATCGCTCCACGGTCTGCCTGCGCTGGTCTTTGCCCCTGATCGTTGCCGCCGGCAATGACCCATTCGGCGCCGCATCCGAATCGCTAACGGTACTGTAACGTCACATGATTGAAGCCACCATTCATCAGCCGTTTGCCCTGCGCGACTAGCAGCTCGGCAGTCACGCCGCCGTGCCAATGTTCCGCCGCCGCCGGCGGTCACGGGCCGATCCTCAGCACCGCGTCGAGGCAGCGGCCTATCATGAGACGATATCGGGGCGCCGCGAGGGAACTGACGTCCGCTTGTGCGGCCCGCAGCGATCCACACGAATCAGCGAGGTATCGTTGCGCGAGGAGGCTGCTGGGCTGAGCGATAAAGACGCACGCAGCGCCTGACCCATTCTTGCCTTTCTCCCAAATCGCCCCCCACGATACCGTCACGCTCCCAACCATGATCTGCCTCAGCCCTCGCTTCATCACTTTCGTTCTGGCGAGCAGCATCGCTTTACTTGGAGCTGCTCATGCTCTGCCCTCTGACATGGTCAACCGCGAGGACCGTGAGCCGTAGGACCAGCCGCTGACGATGTGAGCTCGAACTGACCAACGATACCTGCTGGCGGCACACACGTTCAGGCGCCATGATGCAAGCTCGCGAAGAGCTCGCCGCTCGCTACCAATCCTTTCAAGCCGCTGCAGGTGATGTGCTGCTTCGAAGGAACGCCAGTTGTGTGAGCACTGCGAGCCGTACTGACTGCACCATCCATCTATCGAAGGGAAAGCCTGATTAGCGCTCTTTTTCGCCATGCGCAGGACTGTTGCAACTCGTGCAAAGGGACCAGTCTCGGGAATACGCTTCAGTGAGTGTCGATGTCGCGGTTGCCACTGGCGTAGCCCAGAAGATACTGTAGCAAGTGCTCGACACCTGCTTACACCTTTCTTCCGCGTCTGTCAGGTGCCACCACTGCTGCGGAGACTGTACGCCGGGAATGTAGAGAATGAGGGATCGCTGAGGGCGTGATGCCCAAAATACTCTCGAAGGTGAAGAGGGGGCTTTGTAGCCGCTGCTGATTCGCACTGTGAAAAGCCTGAAGTTCGCCAGCGAGGCACGATTGATCCTCATCAGCTGCCAGTAAATGTTATGATACGTGCACACCTTCGTGCTTCAGCGTTGTCAGGGAGTCCCTCGACATAGTGACTCAAGGTCCGGTCATCACGTACCAGCGGGCTGACGGGCTTCAATCGTATAGCTACGGCGCAGCGCTTTCATCAGAGCTCTCCCCAATCCGGATAGCTTCCTCGTTCAGAAGCGGCCCTGTTGCCCATTGCCTTGGCTGTCGAATGTAAACAGAGGCCGGTCACGAGGCCGAAGGCTTATCACTGCTCAATCCATGCATCAGGGCGGATACAATTGCCCTGGGAAAAGGGCAAGCCGAGATTGCTTTCGCTCCCATCGAGACGCGCTCGCTCGCTCGCTTATGGTATGATTGACTTTGATGGAGGTGCTGCAGCTGACGTCGGTTTCTGCTTGCTGGCTGTGGGTGGAAGTCAACGCAATCAAATGAACAGCACGTGTCTCCACGAGGGCAGGTCGCTGATGACCTCATGTGACTCTGTCTTTGAGCTCGAAAAGCTTATCATCGCCGGAGCATTGCGGCCGGCCTCGCCCTCGCTCGTAGGCAGTAAGTCTGCGTGCCATGCTCAGCACATTTCTGGCTGCCCTACTGTGGTGATTCCATGTCTTGGCGGCTGATGATGAGTCGCCGCTACATACCTCGCGCTTGATCAGCGCCAGCTCTGTCGCGGACCGCCTCAATCAATTGCGGAGGCACAGTGGTGGCATCGTCGGCGTTGCATGTGCAACCCTGTGACCCGCCTTTCCCATGACCTGCTCCGACTATTGCTGGGAGTTGAATGTAGGTGAAGAGATATGAGAGGGTTTTTCTCTCCCTCCCTTCTTGCCGACCGAGTCTCACACCTCCTTTTGTGAACAGTATGAAGCTCTTCTTTGCCGGACAACACCTCTTGGCTCTGCTCAGCGTCATCGCTGTCTGTGGGACTGTCTTCGCCCTACACGTCCCTATAGACCCCCTTGCCGCTCAGTATGAAGTGCGCACGACTCAGCAAGATGACTGCGTACGTTCTGAGAGACCAACGAGCGGACTTAGGCCATTGCATTGCTGACGTTCCTCTTCTTCTGTCGTACAGACGAAATGCGCGCAGTGCTCAGACAACACTGTCTGGACTCAATCGTAAGTAGCGGTGACATCATCGACGGAGTGGAGACTGACAAAGTAGACGGCGACATCATTCTTTGCACTCTGCGCTCCTCACAGCTGCAGTGACGCTTGCAAAAACTGCGGTGGTGGCCGCAAGGAGTAACCATGGAGAATTAGACGCTCTCGACGGTCAAAACTATTGAGGACGCAAAGCGAGGAGGAGGCGCATGGGCGGTGGGAACGTTTGCCATGTGGGGTCCAGTAGCAGCCACAGAACCTGCTTCCAGATGCGTCTTGACCGAAGTGTCGTCCTTGCTACTCTGCCCTATCCACCTTTCGATCTCAATTTGCATTTCCTCCTGTGTCTTATCAGCCCCAATGCACACCACTGCGTGTCCCTCCTTCCTTTCACCTGCGCCACTTGTGACGATGCGATTCGGTGATGGTCGGGAAGATCTCTCACCTTGACCGGCGATTGCGGGCCGCTTTGAGCGGCAAATGTCGAACGCCTTCCAATTGTCGAGTGATGGCATCATGTCGAGGCCTTGACTGTCATCCAAGGATGCGTTCTTTGGGAGCCAAGGAAGGGGCTGCCACCTTGGCGTGCGCCTTCGGAGATGCCGCCGGTTCGCGCTGCAAGCTGACGGCTCCCGCTGCTTGACTTGCCTCGTCCCGTGCCTCCGCCACTCGAGGCGCATCTTTCGTGTCCTTCCTCACCACCAATGCCTCCTCACTCCCCCTCACCGCGGGGTGCGGCGTCCTCATCATCTACAACCAACAACAAACGCAAACGCAGCAATGCTGGCAACAATGGCTCATCATCACTGCTCAACTTTTGGGGGGCCAGAGCGGGCCCGGCTCCAGCTGCTACGAGTCCATCCAAGAAGTCAAGAGAGGAGATCGAGATGGAGTGGGCCATGAAAGAGAGCCTCAAGGCGTACCAAGCGGAACAGAAAACGTCTGAATGTCATGACCAGGATGTTGGCGCTGAGGCAAAGGTGCAAAGCCGCGTTCGCCGGCCTTCCCCTGCCCACATCGTTGAAGATGCAGCTCAGCAATCATCATGCGTCAGTCCTCCAACTGGCGTCGCTTCATCTTCAAAGGTGACTCTCGACGCGACGAATGCGCAGCAAGAGGAAGGCGACGACGACGACGACGACGACGACGACGACGACATCACGGAGCTGCCACCTGGCATGCCCCCCTGCATCGCTATGCCTGACCCAACCACCAGCTCCTCGTCATCCCGGGACGCCTTTTCCCTCCTTATGTCCAACACCAACGTCGTCCCCACTACACAAGCAACGTCCCCTTCCCTGCCTCGCGCAACCCACTCCCTCTCCACCCTACCTGCCATGTTCGGCTCCCCCTCTGCAGCCGACGCCGACCCACTCCTCACTCCTTCGACGCTCCTCAAACTTTGGACCCACAGTGACCAGGTCGAAGCTCGCAATCGCCTCAAACGCGGGACACGTAAACCGCGCGAGGTTCCCTTTTACAAGGTCCTTTTCGGCATGCCACTAAGCGTCGATGCATTCCGCTTTGGAGCTATACCGGGGTGTGTGGGGTACTTTCTGTCGCATGCCCATTCGGATCATTATGCCGGGTTGAGTCCGAGCTGGAATGCTGGGCCAATCTACTGCTCAAAGACCACGGCCAATCTGATGGTCAGCAGTCTGGGAGTCAAGGAGGAATTCGTTCATACACTGCCCTACGAGGAAGAGTGGGAGGTGCCTGGTAGCGGAGGTGTGAAGGTCACTCTCCTGCCGGCGAATCACTGTCCAGGCTCCTGTGTCTTCCTCTTCAAAGGGCCACGAACGGCATACATTCTTCCCAAGCCTGCTCCTGGACTTGGCATCCCCGCTCCAAGCCCACTGCCCTGCATTGACCCCCGCACCGGTCGGGAAAAGGAATGGGCTTACCTCCATTGTGGCGACTTTCGTGCTTCACCCGCTCTCACCGAGCATCCGAGCCTCAAGAATGTGCACTTGGACGTCATATACCTCGATACCACTTACCTCAATCCGCGCTACTGCTTCCCCGCGCAAGAAGAGGTCGTGAGGGAGTGCGCGCAATGCGCTTGGGAGAACTTGGGCAGCAAAGAGGAGAGGGACAAGGCCGAGAGGCAGCGACGAGAATGGGAGCAGGCTGGTTGGAGGATCGCAGAGGAGGAGGGATGGAGAAGGGAGAAGGGGGAGAGAGAAGGCGAAGCGAAGCGCAGGCTCAAATACGAGACAGAGCGCAAAGGGATGAAGGGCTGGTTGGGCAAGGGCGAGGATACTGATGAGAATAAGGTCAAGGCCGAGGACAACGATGATCTGGGGGAAGACGGCGATGAGGACGAGGAAGCTGCCTGGCGAGACGCTCACGCTCAGATGCGCAAGGAAGAGGGAGGCTACCTTGACGGCGATGATGACGAGCTGCAAGGCGAGGACGAGCTGCTCAACGGCATGGACCTGGTCGATGCAGCCGAGCTCGAGCAAGAGCTCGCAGAGGATGGCGGGCAGGATTCACCGACCAAAGAGGAGACAGACACGCTGCCTCGCCGCATCAAAGAGGAGCCGCGCACCCCATCACCTCCGCTGATAGATGAGAAGAAGAAGATCCCGCTCTCATCGACAAGCCCGGGAATTGTAGGCGCGCGAGTCCTCTCAGTACTGCAGAAAGACGCCAAAGCTTACGAGGAAAGCGACGAAGATTCCGGACAGCCGGGCCTACCCTTCTGGAAGCAAGTGGAGAAGAGCCGCCTGGCTGCGGGTTCGAGCGAATACGTCGACCTGGACCAAGTAGGCGTCAATGTTGAGCCCGGCCAGTCACGTCTCGCATTCGGGCAGGGCAGCAAGCAAGCGCCCAAAGAAGAAGACAAGGCTGCACCCTCCTCGTCTACCAGCGTCGTCGCGCCTAGCGTCCCACGCCCCTTGGCTGGCCGCCTGTTGATCGTGGTCGGCACCTACTCGATTGGCAAAGAGAAGATTGCACTGAGCATCGCCCTTCGCCTTGGGACGCGCATATTCTGCACTACGCCCAGCAAATACCGCATCTTTTCTCAGCTGGAGGACGAGCCTCTTCTCCAATCTCTTCTGACCTCGGACCCAACAAAGGCAGCCGTGCACGTCACCAGCCTATTCGGGGTCAACTACGAGTCTCTTCGCGCCCACCTGGACGTGTTGCGACGCAAGCACGGAGCAGACTTCGAGCGCTGTATCGCCTTTCGACCCACAGGCTGGTCGTATCGTCCCCCACCGGGTGCGGGCCAAGCTTCCCCTACCTCGCCCACCGATCTGGCCAAATTGATCCACGCCAATCAAACACGCCCACGCTACGCCTGGCGTTCCTCTTTCCGGCCCACTCGCGACTCTACGGCTCAGGTTCAGATCTATGGCGTGCCCTACTCTGAGCATAGCAGCTTCTTTGAGCTGACGGCGTTCGCACTTAGCGTGGGGAAGGGGTGGGATCGAATCGTTCCTACGGTCAATGTGGGGAACAAGGCGAGTAGGGCCAAGATGGAGGCGTGGGTCAAGGCGTGGAGGAGGGAGAGGGAGAAGAGAGGAGGCAAGAAAGTGCAAGGGAGGGATGAGCAATATTTCTGAGCCTAGGGACGTGTGGTGATCGTGGGAAGGGATAAAGATCCATGCTGTATTTGTATCCATGACATTATTTTGGCATTCGTTCCAGACCCTCATCGTTGCCTCGCAACACTCCACTCTACCTCTCCCTCCCTTGGCCTCTTGTTCCGCCTCACGACCCAAACGCTACCCACACCCAGGGCATCCATCTCCTTCAACCTGGCGCCCACACCTACAGCGTGGCGATCGTCCACGAGCAGCCGAGTGTCCGGCGAGTCCGGACCGTCAAGCTCGGCGATCAGCTTCTCGACTTCTGAGCAAGCTCGCGCATCTTCCTCCGCGAGGACAATCGCATGCGTGTACGGAGCCAGCCATTTGGGCCAAAGGAGACCTGGCTTTCCCTTCTCTCCGTCCCCTTGCTGAGCCTTCAACCACGCCTGCCTCGCCCGTATGGCAAGCACGCCCACCAATCTAGTCACCCCCAATCCATAGCATCCCATCTGGGCGAAATGACGCTCCTGTCTGCCAGAAGAAGAGGGACGAGCAGCGAATTGATAGCCGAGCGCCCGGGTATAGCGATCTCCGAGGACGAAGGTGTGACCCACTTCGATTGCTTTGCGTTTCGTGAGCGTGCCTGCGGAGCAGGAGGGGCAGGAAGTCGAACCCGAGCCCGTCTGCGTTGCCTGTGGAAGATCGATGTACTCCCACCCACGAGGGCCGGCGGGGAAGAAGTCGCGCAACTCGGGGGAGCTTGGCTCGACGTTGCACAATTCCAAGCCGTTCGTAGTATCAGCGGCAGCGGTCCTCTGGTCACTGGCCAGTACCAGCGCTCGACGAATGGCCTCCTCTACGTCTTCTCCCTCTACGCCGGCGCAGCTTCTCTCTGCAATGACGTTGAGGTGTTGGAAGCGACCGAGGATAGGGCCCTCTGGCCGTTCGCGCCAGTCCCACGGTTGCCAAGATGCGCCGGACGACCTTGACGACGATGGGTAGACGCGCTTCATATCGGCGACGAGCTTGGCCGAGTCTAACCCCTTGAAGTCGCGTGGCATGACTACAGCAGTAAGCGCTGCCTCCTCCAAAGTATGCCCGGGCTCTGCATTCGTGTAGAGGTGAACGTCCAGATCTTGCCAGACTGCGGGAGGCTGCCGTGATGATGAGGGTTCCCCTGTTGTACCGTCATTGGCTGCCGCCGCTTCCGCCACCTCAACATTTGCGGCATATCCGCACGAGCTGCATGCAACGATGACATCCTCCCCCGCCTCATCCTCTACATGGTACTCATGACTCCTACTACCACCCATGGCTCCACTATCCGCCTCTGCCACTCGCCATCGACCCTCCACCTGCGAGCCAAAGAGGCGCTGCATGACCCTCCCGTATGCCGTCTGGACAGCCTCGTACGATACGAGAGCGGAAGGTGTGTCCTCGTCAAATGTGTAGAGGTCCTTCATGAGAAACTCTCGCGTCCTCAAAAGACCGAGTCGAGGCCGAGGCTCATCGCGATGCTTGCGGGTGATCTGATAGACTTTGACAGGTAGATGCTTGTAGGTTTGAATGTCGCTGGATATGAGGCGTGTGACCTCTTCTTCATGCGTGGGGGCGAGCAACCACTCCCCTCCTCTCCTATCCTTCAATCTATACAGCTCACTGCCCATCGCCTCGAGTCTTCCGCTCTTTCGCCAACCCGCCTGAGGAAGTAGGGTAGGCATATCGATGCGCTGAGCGCCGATGCCTTGCATCTCTTGATCGATGATCGACGAGATGGAGCGCAGCAGGTGGAGGCCTGGGCCGAGGAAGGTGTACACTCCGGAGGAGGATTGGCGAATGTACCCTCCCAGAGTGAGCTGATGGAGGGCCTCTTCCGCTGAGCCTGGGACGGGGTGTGCGGGTGTTGAAGAGGACACGTCGGGGGAGGTAGCCTTGCCTTTGCCTTTTGGGTCGGAGGCAGGCGCTTGCGGCATATAGAGACGGGAGGCGTACGTGATGCTGGATTGGCGGCCGGTCCGATTTGAATTGTATCGACGAGCTGCGATGAGCGCCAGGGACTGGCGACCAAGACTGCTTGGTCTGATCGTAGTCATCAAAGCCATTGCGCCAGCCGCGGATGGACCGGCCATCGTTGAATATCTCGAGTCGAGAAGAAGTCAATTGATTGAAAGCAGAAAGCGGACGGAGAGCGGGCCTAGTCTAAGCTCTTGCTCTTGCTTGCTCGGCTGCACGGAACCACCCACGAGGCAGCCAAAGTGTTGGACTGGTTGCACTTGGAGACGATGCGCCCGCGGCGGCGCTCGTGCTTGTGCTCGCCCTCCGGGCCGATGTCCGCTTCTCCGGCCGGCCTTGATTCCCTTCCTTTCCCTCATCATCACGACGACCAAGACTCGACTGCGGCTTCGATACCCTCTACGACCCACCATCGCCTCCATCTTCATGCCCATACCCTGAGTGACCGATCACTATCACGACCCTGCGCTACGCCAAGCCACGCCACTTGGGCGCACGCATATAGACTGCCTTCCCCTCTTTCCCCGCGTCTCTTTCCCCAACCCACGCAGCAATGGCCGACTCAGGTAACATCAAAGTCGTCGTGCGCTGTCGTCCCCTCAACAGTCGAGAGCGGAATAGAGGGGCTTCCAAGCTCATCGACGTCAACGATCAGCATCAGCTCGTCCTCAACCCACCTAATGATACGGATCAGAGGGAGAGCAATGCGCGCGCGACAAAGAAGAAGGCCATGCCTTTTTCGTTCGATAGGGCATACGATGAGGATACCGAGCAACGAACGCTCTTCGAGTATGTAGGGGTCGATCTGCTCGAGCATAGCTTCAATGGATTCAATACTGTGAGTGAGAGGAGCAAGCTGAAATTGACTTGGAGGAACTGACGCTGAGTCCACTCCTTTGCGCCACAGTGTGTCTTTGCCTAGTAAGCAAGGAGGCGTAGAGAACAGGATGATGTGATCGACGGGCTGAACATCTCTTTGCTCTTACTCGCAGCGGCCAGACTGGCTCCGGCAAGTCACATTCAATGGTGGGATACGCAGAAGCAAAGGTGCGTAATGACGCTGTCCAGGAGCAATCACTGTACGCCTAGCTGATCATGCCATTCTCTCTTGCTGCGCAGGGTCTCATCCCTCTTACCTGCTCCAAGCTCTTCAACGACGCACAAGAGAAGATGGAACAGGATCCGAATCTGGTAAGGCGCTGCACGAACCACTCTCGCGATCCTCTCCCGCTGATTCCACCCATGCCTTTGCCCGCACGCAGCGGATCCGTGTCGAAGTCTCGTACATTGAGATTTACAACGAAAAGGTTCGTGACCTCCTCAACCCAAAGAACAAGGGCAATCTTAAAGTCCGAGAGCACCCTAGCTTGGGACCCTACGTCGAGGATCTGAGCAAGCTGGTAGTCTCGTCCTTCAGCGATGTGGAGAACTTGATGGATGAGGGCAACAAGGTGCGCCTTGAAGATGTCACAGGACCGTAAACTGGCCCTCGCACTCACCCCATCACTCTGCGCCGTTCGTCCGTCCTCAGGCCCGCACCGTCGCTGCGACGAACATGAACGAGACGTCTTCGCGCTCGCACGCCGTATTCACCCTTGTCGTCACGCAGCGCCGCAAGGATGAGCAGACGGGTCTGGAGGCGGAGAAGGTGTCGCGCATCAGTCTCGTCGACTTGGCGGGGTCAGAAAGGGCCAACTCCACGGGGGCGACGGGGTCGCGACTGAAGGAGGTGAGCCGATGAGCGTGGTGAAGCATCTAGAGCAGCGCTGAGACCTTGTTCTGTCCTCACTGCGCCGCTGCAGGGCGCCAACATCAACCGCTCTCTCACTACGCTAGGCAAAGTCATCGCAGCCCTCGCAACAGCCAGCAGTGTCGAGGCGTCCGCCACATCAACGCCGCGGAGCAAGAAATCCGCCGCAGACCACGTACCCTATCGTGACTCGGTGCTCACTTGGCTGCTCAAGGACTCTCTGGGAGGCAACTCCAAGACGGCAATGATTGCGGCCATCTCGCCTGCTGACTATGAAGAGACATTGAGCACCCTGCGATATGCTGATCAGGCAAAGAAGATCAAGAACAAGGCCGTCGTCAACGAAGATCCCAATGCCAAACTCATCCGCGAGCTCAAGGAAGAGCTCGAGATGCTGCGTGCTCGCGCTGGTGGAGGAGCAGGCGGAGGCATGGGAGGCGCAGGCGAGTCAGGGTGGGACCCTTCTCTTCCACCTTCGCAGCAGGTGGTCCGCTACCAGACCAAATCGGGTGAAATGAAGACGGTCACAAAAGCGGAGCTGCAGGAGCAGATGGAGCAGAATGAGAAGTTGATGAGCAGCCTCAATGAAAGTTGGGAAGAGAAGCTGCAGAGAACGCAGGAGATCCAGCTGGAGAGGGAGAAGGCTCTGGAGGAGTTGGGCATCACGATCGATAAGGTGAGAGTGGCAGGGGCGTGCTTGATATGAGATCGTCTAGCTAACGTGCTATCCCTTGGCTACTCCCTCGCCAGGGCAACGTGGGCGTTCACGCCCCGAAAAACCTTCCCCATCTGGTCAACCTCAACGAAGATGCCCTCATGAACGAATGCCTCATCTACCAGCTCAAGCCGGGCACCACCGTGGTAGGCAATCTCGACGCTCCCTCATCTTCGGTCCAGATCCGTCTCTCTGGCAGCAATATCCTTGCAGAGCACTGTCGCTTTACCAACGATGACGAGGGCGTGGTCACTCTGCACGCCATGCCCGATAGCATGACGATGGTCAATGGCAAGAGGATCCTACCCGCAAATCCGAAGCGACTCCGCTCAGGGTACCGCGTCATTTTGGGCGACTTTCATGTGTTTCGCGTCAATAACCCGAGCGAGGTTCGCAAGGCGCGGGCGGCACAGAGACCGGACTCGCCAGCCTCAGAGGATGGGCAGGACGTAGATTGGACGTATGCGCGGCGAGAGGCGATCATGAACCACCTCAATGGTCAAGGGCAGGATGTTGGGCTTGACCATCTCAGCAACGAAGACCTTGACCGTCTCTTCGACGACATCTCGCGTGTTCGCAACCGCAAGGCCGCGACCAGTAGGCCGGAGAGCAGACTCAGCTCCGCGTTGGATGGGTCTGAATCCTCTCCTCGGCCCTACTCGATGAGCACCTGGACGGACGACACCAGCGTGGAGGATCCTTGGAGTGACAGTATCGCGAGCACGAGACCGGCGTCAACGACGGTCGTAAGCGAGGATCCGGCGTTAGAGGCCCCGCCGTCCATTGAGAAGGAGGCGGCGATGCTTCGTGCTACGATCCAGGAGTATGAGCAGAAGTTTCAGAAGCTCGGCGTCAATGTGGCCGCAGCGCAGGAAGAGCCGCCCCTCACGCCACGGCAAAGGCAGGTTGCTCTGGATGCGCTGGCAAAGTGGCGCACGCGCACCACGGTCTCCATGGCAGAGGACGTCCTGTCTCACGCTTCTGCGCTCAAGGAGGCCAATGTCATAGCGCGACAGCTGAACAAGGGCACTACGTACCAGTTCATCTGCATCGACCCGCCGCCCCTTTCCAACCCGACGTCAACCATCGAATCAATAGCAGGGTGCGACGATGTAGCTGATCCGGAGCTGGCAAGCTGCGTAAAGCCCTGCGTTGCGGTACGGGTAGTGGATGCGGTCAATCGGAGCGTGTACGTGTGGTCTCTACCCAATCTGCTCGGAAGACTTGGCAAGATGCGTAATCTCACCGCGTACGTGGATCGCCCAGAGTATTCGCAACATTTCAATTGGGGCGACCCCTTTTACGAGAGCCCAGCGCCGGCGTACACTTATCTCGGTGCGGCTTTGGTGCCACTCATGCCGCTTAGTCAACGGGAGTCGGCGCGATATAGCAAGGTGCCGATTTTGGCTACGATGGATGACGAGGTAGTGGGAGAGTGCAGCGTTGAGGTCAAGTTTGTCAGTCTGGCCGCTCCGCCTGCGACGAAGGCAAATGGTCACGCTGCGAGTCCTTCATCAAGATCATTCCTCGTCGCGGGTCACAAGCTCGGTCTTCAGATAACGGTCGACTCGGTCACTGGCATCTCGCGCGCGTTATACCACGCTATTCATGCGCAACTGCGGCTCAGCAGTATCGCTGGTGCGCACATCGAGCGAGACGACAGCTTTGCTTCCCCGCCCGTCGAGGGTGACACAGCAGCGGAGGTCAAGCTGCGCAAGACGGTGGGGCTTGTGTTGACAGAGGCGACTATTGCGCATCTCAAGGCGGGGTATGCGGCCGTGGAGTTTCACGTGAGGCCAAGCGATCAGCACCTGGCGAGGGTGTTGGCGCGCGATGCTGGAGGGAGCGAGGGGCAGCGCCACCTCCATCCCTCGCCTCCACCTACTCTTTCCCACTCTACCGGGTCACAAGGTCGCCTAGCAGAAACGGAACTCATCGGCGAGGAGAGACACGATGTCCTCGCGTCGCTGTGCATCTGCGAGTTGGATGCGCAAGGAGAGTACAAGCCTGTCTCGCTGCACCGACCGCGAAGCAAGGCCGCTGGCGCCGCGGGAAGCGTGGTGTCGGAGCTGCGTCAAGGCCTGCAAAGACGTATCTCCATTCAGCTGATTCACGACTCCGGCCGGCAGCTCGAGTGGCGCAAAATTGCTCGATTGACTGTGGGCAATGTGAGATTGGTAGACGCGCAGGGAAGGACGCACGAGTCTTCGAGCAGCAACGCCCTTTCACTACCCGTACGCGGGCAAAGCGTCGACTTCCATTCCAATGGCACCAGTACCTTGCGCGCCTGGGCAGCTTGGGACTCATCAGCGCACGATTCGCTCTTCCTCAACCGGGTGTCTACGAGCGAGGAACAGCGTGTGTTGGTCGATGTCAGTGTGGACCTCGACGTCGAGAAGCCGGTCTGTGCTAGCCCGCCGAAATTCGTGCAGACAATGGCTGTCAGAGTTGGAGCGAGAGATGCGAAGACTCGTCCGAGCATGGCAGTAGGGTCCAGTTCGGCGGCGGGCAGGTTGCTATCCTTCATGAGCGGTGGGAACGACTCAGCCTCTTCCAACACCTCCACCGTCACGGCCGCCACATGCCAATCTGCCTCTCGGCGCATCAGCACGATTTTCACTCTCACTCTCGCTCCCCCATCTCGTCGAAGCATCAAGACGCGTGACGACCTCTGGCGATTGGATACGGCCAGCAAATACGTGCGCGGGCAGGAAGCACTGGGAGCATGGAGAGCGAAGGGGCCTGAGGAGGTCGAGAAGCATAGGAAGTGGCTGGACAGACAGGTCAGAAGGGTTGATGTCGAGGGGTGGAGGGTCGTTCTTGCGCGTGAGGACAAGGCAGGTCGGAGGGGAAAAGAGTTAAGCGCTTCTGCGCAAACGGAGGTACTGGCTAGGGCAGTCGAGCTTTGGCAGGCGGCGATGCCGGCGAAGGCAGCAGCTCAAACTGGTGTGGATCCGGTGAGCGGGGAAGATGACGATCGCGAGACAGTGATCGATTTGCGGGCCTCGTCAAGCAACAATGGCTCGACCTCTCCGCAGCCGGCTTCAAGCTCGTCATCCACACCAGCGGAGTCGAGCGTCGCCTCAACGCAAGCATCGTCGACGTCCGCCTCGGCATCCATCCCAACTCCACCTCTCATTCCGGAGGTCAGCGCAACAGACGTGACAGCGCTATGCGCCAAGCCCACCCGGCAGGGAATTCTCTACCTCCCTTCCGACAGCTCCGCCTGGCAAGCTCGACTGTTCGTCCTCTCCCGGCCGTACCTCCTCGTATACCCAGCAGGCGGCTCCAACGCAGACGAACCGGGCATCTCGCTCGCTATCTTCATCGGCGCGGGCGGCGTGCGTGTTGAAGCTGTGGATACAGTCATGGAGGACGCTTTGCTCGGTGGCAGCGAAGGGGAGCGCGGCGTGACCCTAGCGCTGTACACGGCGAGTAACAGCTACATGCTGAGGGCAAAATCGAGAGTGGAGAGGGACGAATGGATTGGGGCGATCGGGGGCGGTGTTGGCGGGAACAGGAGATAGGCTTGGATGTGGCAACAAGACAGGTGATAGGGGTGACGACAGAGGAGATACGATAGGCCGCTGCGTGGAGGGAAGATCCGTGGCCGGCTGGGCGTAGCACCAACTCAATACCAAGACTCTGCACCTGCAAGAATCAAGTCACATAACGTTGCGCTGTGCAGACTTCAGAGAGGTTGTCACGTTTGAGAGTCACCGGTAGCGTTGCGTGAGCGTCCCGTCGAGCGCGATGAATCAAAGACGATCGAGCGTAATGTTCAGCTCCGGCCGACACCATCACGCTCTCCACGCATCTCTTCTCCACTGCATCCCCTTCTGCCCTTGACTTCCGACGACGACAGCTGAGCGGCTTTCTAGCGTAGTTGGCGTTGGGCGCTCTTCAAACAAAGGAAGGCCTGGGCGTCTTGGTCTCAGACGACGGAGTGAGATTGCATCTTGCTGCACCCCCTCTCTTCCCCAATGCAACGCGAGGCTCACCAGCGAACGCTTCTGCTTCCTGCAAAGCGTGAGAAGGATTCGCAAGGGTGGAGAAGGCGACCACTGTACCGTGATGCGCGACATGATGATGAGCTGCAACTACACGAAACTACAGACAAGACAAGCTTCGACGCTACGCAACGCAATCTCCAATGGAAGCTCGTTGCATCTGCTCGCTGCGCAGTACGCACGGCGTGAAGTCCATCTGCATCGTCGGAGATTCTTTTCCGACTGCAAACAAACAAGGCGGGGAAGTCAGGGCGCGAGGGGCGTGAGGACAAGGGACGACGCAGCGGAGTCAACCGCTCAACGTTGGCGAACAGTCTAGCCATGTCTCAGATGACGGGCAAAGGTGAGACAGGGGTGGGCGATGTCGTCGAGCGCTAATTGTGATGCGAGGGCATTGAAAGCAGAAGCGATGGGAGCGTGATGAGCGCGTATCGGGCAAAAGGCCCGTTGCCAGGGCGCGACGGCCCGGGTAAGCATGCTCGCTCCCTCCTCGCACGGTCCTGGTGGAAGCTGAACCCGCCGCGTTCTCCTTTGTCCCTGCATCATGCTCAACGAGCTTCGCTGCGTGCTTCCAGAAGGCGGCCACGAACAAGGGAAGCGATCAGAAGATTGAATGAGGATGGCGGAGAAGGTTGCAATGATTGAGAGTCAGTGAGACGCCTGTGAGCGAGATTCGCGACTTGTTCTTCGTCTAGTGGTGAGCGAAAGAGTCAAATAGTCGCGGGTTGTGACGATTCCACGACCCACTTCATCACCCCTCACTCATCCTGTCTCCTTCCTCGATCATGCAATTCACCCTCTCGACCACGCTCGCCCTTCTGGCCCTCGCCTCTTCCAGCGTGGCCACGACGTCCTGCCTGACTCACTTTGGCAAGCACGAGTCCTCTCAATCCTTTACCTTCGAAGGGTCCCTTTCGTCCAAGAACTGCTTCGGCGCAGTCGGCAAGCCGTGGGAGCACAACTCCAAGCCCGGATGGGACTGCGGTAAGAAGCCCGCCGGCAGCGTCCCCAAGTGGGACGGCGGTGACTCGGCGTGGTGCAGCAGCGCCAAGCATCGCAAGCACGACTTCTGCAAGAAGGGTAACCCGTGCACCGAGTTGCCCAAGCCTGTTGACCCGGCCAATTGGGGCAAGAAGGGGTCGCACGACTGGCCGAAGCCCAAGCACCCAAAGCACAAGAAGCCTGAGCATGGGAAGCCCGCGCCCAAGCACCCTGATCACCCCAAGCACCCTGAACACCCCAAGCACCCCGCTTCCAGCAAGCCGGCGCCTAGCCATCCTGCGACCACCAAGTCAGCGTCGAAGGAGCACGCCTCCAGCTCTTCCGCTCCTGTCTCGACCACGAAGAATGCCCACCCTCACCCTCACCCTCACCCTCATCCCACGGCCTCCCACTCAACGACTGCGGCCCCTCCCGCGCCGACGGGCCCTACCTGCACCTCGGGCTACCAGCTCGTAGGCCGCAATCTGACCACCGTCGCCGACTCTGGCGTCTACTTCGGCCAGACGGTCGGTGTTGCCATCCGAGACGACCCCCATTACCTGACGTACGGTCTTGCTGACAAGCACGAGGATTGCCTCAAGGCCTGCGACCAAGTAGCGGGCTGCGTCTTCGTCAACGCCTACCTCGACGTGCAAGAAGACGGTACCGACGACCCTGTCCCCGAGAAGCACAGCGGCAAGTACACCTGCGCCCTGTTCTCGGCTTGCAGCGACAAGAGCAAGGCCGACAACTTTGGCGGGCAGAACGACCCCAACTACATCACCGACTCGAACATCTACTGCAAGACTGGGGCGTGCAAGGCGTGAGCGTGGGAAGGGGTGGCATCGAGCGTATCGCTCTGCCATGACGTGACGTGGCTTTTCGTTTTCATCTTGACCTCTTGAATGATATCCAATTTAGTTGCCAGCCCATCCAAGTCCCCACACCGTGATCCATCTGTTGCGTACGTGAACGCCGCCGAGCTCCTTGCTCTCTTCCTCGCGCTCTTCAATGACGAACGTGCGACGTCGGCCAGTCAGACGAGGTTGTGAGCCAGTATCGATGCATGCTGCCGTCGGGTCTTGTTCGTCGTCGTCGTCCGACGCGAGCTCCAGCTCGTAGACGAATTGCGGGGCATAGTAGAGCGCGTCGTCGAGGGTCATGCTGGCTTGCTCTGCTTGAGCAACAACTTGCTGCTCTGCGTCGAGTGAAGGGAACCCAGCGCCTACGTTGACGAGAGCGAGGCCGCTCCTCCTCGCTCGCCGGATGAAGTTGACCAGCTTCTCGCGCCCTGTGTGCAGGCCAGAAACGACAAGGACGCGGCCGTCCGGTTTTTCGAGGAGCTTGGTGATGCTCGCAAGTAGGTCGGCATGACTGAGTGGATCCCAGAGACAGTCGGCGAGGAGAATGCAATCCCAGCGGTACGATGTTTGCGGGGTTTCGCCCGCTCGGCGTTGTTCTCGTGCTAGTGCGTCGACGATGTCCTCGAGGTCCTCGGTACTTGAACCCCAAGTGAAGCCCGCGGGTCGGATCAGCGCCTTGATGTGCTCTGGTGTGAAATTGGAGCGAACGTTCGACGTGAGGGTCCCGATAAGAGGAGGAGAAGCGTAGTCCGTCACAAGGGACTGTGGATGCCAATGGACGATGAGCGACAGTCACGCGGTGATCGCTCCTTGCACTTACCCTACTCGACTGACCGACTTTCGCTGCCACCATGCCTGGTATAGCCGTCCCGCAACCCAGCTCAAGCACGCTGCGTCCTTGCACATTGAAAGGCGAGGAGTGAGACGCGGCCGCAATCAAGTCCGCGAGGATGAGGCCCGCTCGCCATTGTCGGTGGGCAAAGATGAGAGGAACAGAGGCAGGAGGGATCGTGACGGTGAGCAGCGGCGTCGTTACTGTGACTGCTGAGTCTGTTTTGCTACCTGACGGCCAAGGCGGACATGGTCGATACGAGACGCTTTGTTCAGGCAGGCCGACGCTTGGATGGAAGCGGGCCGAGGGCGGTTGCGAAGTCGCCGGTCTGAGGAGCTCGACTTGTGCGGACGCAATTTCGCTGACTAGCGCTGTCGCAACTATCTGGGTCGTTGAGTCTGTCGCAGACATAATGTAGCGAGCTCCCTACCCTTAGATCTGAGTGATTCAGTCGATCCAGTCGATCTGCTCCCGCCTCGACCGAATCTGCGTGAATGAGAGCTTCGCGGTAGAATGAGCACCTCACGGTTCGTCGCGATGGTGACAGAGCCACGCTTTGATGCGAGAGTCTTGGTGAAGGATGATAATGATGGCGGTGGGCAAGGATAATGGTACGCCGCGAGACAGAAAAAGCGGAGAAGAGGACAAGGGGCGGAAGTAGGACTGACTGGCACTTTTTGGCCGGTCCCACGATGCTGAGCAGGGTGCATACAGGAAGGCATGATCGAGACCAACGATGTGCTGGGATTGGACTCGATCTACTACGCATCCACCTCCTTCAGGCTCTCTTGTCACGCAAGCATCTGATGTGCTCGACGAAGACTTTCTCCTATTCTGCGTAACACGTCAAGAGTGAGCAGGCATGTCTCCATCGTCTCCCGTGCGCTAGGCTTGCCAGGGCGGCCCCCAGGGTCCCTTCCGCATCTCATGATCCCTCAAAGTCTGAGCTTTATCGAGCGACGATTGATTGAAGGAATCAGAAGTTGCAAGCGAATGAGCAAGCGTCACAGGAATGAGAGGGAAAGAGTGACAGCAAAAGGCCGAGGGACAGGCGGGTGGATGTCTCAGCCGTCAGCCCCGGACGGAAAGGGCTAGCGCGAAATTAGGGGCGCGCCACGCGAGCAGATCTTCCTCCTCACGCCTTCATGCAGCGAGCGACCTTCACATGACGTGAATACTCATGACACACAACAAATCATCCAGCAAGGCCAACTCGAGATGACTCGGGGCTATGGAATGGCACCCTGGCTTTCAGCCCATGTCAACGGCGCGGAACCTCATGCAATATTCGTGGCAGGGGAAGAGAACTTCGAGCGCACGACCCAAAGTAGCCTCTGACACCTCCCAATCACCCCTGAAGGCAAGCAAAAGGTCTGTATCGGCTTCAGCTACAACTGCTGGGACTCGAACCCAGGATCTCAACCGCCCTCACAACTTGGTTCTTGTGAAGGTTGCGTCCTAACCATCTAGACCACAGTTGCGGGAAGAAAGCTACGAAACGCCATGTCCCGGGGGTACCTCCCCAGGCGTGCGCCGCGGCGAAAATCTGCCATTAATAATGTACAACATTGAGTTCTTCGCTTCTTTCGGTTGATCTGGAGCCTCCACGACCTTGAGGAGGGCGTAAAGTTGAGCATGCGGGTGCGGCTTCGTCGCGGACGCAGATTCGCTCCGGCCACCAAAGAGTCATTCCTCCAGCCCCTTCCTTCTTCCAAGTCTCGGCCTTCAACACGACGCTTCTTTCCTTGCTTTCAGGGTCGAATCTACAGCCGCTGCCTCGTCGTAGCAAGTGTGTCATCTCCTCATCATCGTCGTCGCAAGTGTGTCATCTCCTCACCATCGTCGTCGCGTCGGTCGTCGCAGTCAGCCGCTGCGTGACGCTCGGCAGTTCAATTCACCCTGTCCACCCATTGAAGCACCATGCAGTCATCATGGAAAGTCATCATGAAAAAGTCAAAGATTTGCATTTGGTTTGTGTAGCCTATCATCGTTGGTTCAGCACTCGAAAGGGGAGCACCTATCCACCCATTGCCGCGAGGAGGCCATGATAGCGGCGAGCTAAGTCAGGGCTCACCGGAAAGGGCATAAGAAACCGTCCCCACCCTCCTTGTCCTCTCCAACCTCTGCCGCCTCCAATGCCCTCATCAACTGCTTCGAAACTGCCTGCAGCTCTGCTCCTCATCTCCTGCTCCGACGGCGGCGGCGCAGATCCCACGACCTCGGCGGCCAGCGTCCTCGTCCCCTCCCCGTCAACCGTGTGCGCAGGCTCCCCTTGCGAGCGCCACGATCGAGCCAGGTGCGCCACCAGGACCCTCGCCTCGTCCAGCGAATGGCGGTACTTGACGTAGTTGCAAGCAGCGCGCGTCATGCTGAACTTGCTCTTGCCGTAGCCTTCGCCTGGTCGGGTTTGATCTGGCGATGCGTTGGCAGGCTGGACGCGCCAAGGGTGCTCCTGCTGCAAGTTGTTGCGCGCGCGGCCGATGGCAAAGAGGTCGCTAGCGGGCTGTTGCGCAGTCGTCTGAGGAGCCAAGGGCTGTCGCACCGGTGAGGAGGACGAGGAGGAGGGCGAGGACTGCGGGGAGGAGGCTGTGGCGCCAGTCGTTGGCATCAGGAGCGCTCCGCCTTCTTCGTCGGAAGACTCGCTCGCTATGCCGACCTTGCCCTCATTGCCGCTCGAGCTGGAGCTGCTTGAAGAAGAGTTGCTCCGCGCCTCTTCAGCAACCGACTGCTGCTCCTTTGCCCCCACCACCTCGAGCTGGCCTGGTGGCAGCGGCTCGCGGCGGCGCCTCCCTTCCAGCTTGAGCTGGCATCCGCACAGAGAGCAGTGGCCATCCTGCTCCTCGATCTTGGCGGCGAGGTCGGCCCGCAGATCGAGACGGGCAGGGACCGGCAGATTTGCCCCCTTCCTGTTCAACGCCTGGATCCTCTTCAGGCAGCCATTGGCTAGCTCGTAGAGGAACGCGTTGTCGGTCAGCTGGGCGTACAGCGGTCCTGTTGGGCGGCTCCTGAAGCGCTCCAACGCCGTCATGAGCTCGCTGGTTGGGAGGGTGAGGGAGAGGTTGCGAGGCCTCGATGCCCAGCGGCTGACATGCTTGTCTCCTGATCGAGGCTGGAGTGTCGAGTAGCAGGGCTCCTCGTAGCCGTCCGTGATGCTCGCAAGCAGCAGACCCTGCACCGACCTGTTCCACCTGCCGCGGAGAAGCGAGCGCTGCAGAAAGGGGCGTCGCTGTCTGCGGAGAGACTTTCGCAGATCGCGGAGGAAGCTCCCTTTCCTCAGCTCCTTGCGGGCGTCTTCCCGGCTCATACGCTCCTTGGTGCCCTTCTTGAGCAGGTTCGTGCTCGCCGCGTCCACGCTCAAGGCAGACAGGCCCGGAGTCAACTTTTGCAGCCCGAGGTAGTCACGATGCTGCTGGTGACTGCGCTGCCTCACACCGCGGATGAAGGCGCTGAAGGGGTGATGCTGGACTCGGTCGAAGATCCGGTCAGTCCCGCGGCCCATTGATGCCTGTCGATTGGAAGCTAGGGCTCTCTGCTGCGCTTCCTACTCATCCCGCTCTTCCTTCGCCGGCCTCTCGCGCTCCCGCAGCCTCGCATTGGCACGGGCATGGCTGTCACTAGAGCGATGACGATCCCTCGGCTGCCTCGCTGCCCTGCCACTGCGCGTCGTCGCTACCGCCGCAAAGTTTGCCTGTTGCTGACGTTGAGCGCCAGCACTTTGCTTCGAGCTTTCCGCATTTCCTCGCTCCTCAATCATCGTGGCTTCCTGCAGGCCCGTGACATTTTTGGCTCCCGACTGGCGGAGGCCGATCTGCTGTCGAGGCATTGTCGTTTGCTGATTGGGTACAGGAGCATCTTTGCCAGCGAGAGACTTGTGATCGTCGCTGAGTGGCGCGACGACAGCATCCAGATGGTCAAGTCTAAGCTTGGAGCGCTGGTCCAGCTCTGTGATGCTCGTCTTGAGCTGATCGATCTCGCCCATCCGCTCTTGCATCCCTCTCGTTGTGCCGGGTGGTAGCTTCGCGGGCGGGAAGAAGTCAGGGAGGTGGCTGCGGCGGCCGGTTGCTGGCGACCAGACGAGCGAGGTGCAGCGGGGACGGAGGTCGACGCCGGTTTGCCTGAGCCGCTTGACGCTTTCGGGGGCTGCTGCGGCGCTGCATTGCGAGATGTGGGCGACTTCACAGGCGGGGCAGCTGTCGGCTTGTGAGCGGGCTGGCGCTGGTTGACCATGCGAGATCGCGAGGGAGGAGAGGCTCGAGCACGAACTGCCGGTTGAGCAGGCACCGGCGGAGATGCCGCTACTTGTGTAGCAGAGGAGCGAGCTGCCGGTGGACGAGGTGCCGGACGAGGTGCTGCTGGGCGTACGGCGGAGCGAGCTGCCGGTGGACGAGTAGCACGGCAAGAAGGAGATGTTCGCCTCCTAAATAGACTTTCGACTAGCAGACGACCAGCAATGCGCATGTGCTCGTTGAGATCGTGTTGAGGGTATGGGTGCCATAGGATGGCTTGCATAAGTTCTCGGCAATCAGGTGTCCTGGGAAGACCTTGCGTGGATCGTGGCGCTCAACCATGGCCGCAGCAGGAGAGGCAAAGGTGGTAATCTACAGCGAGTGACGCGGTGGAGGGAGGCAAGGTTGGTTAGCAACGGTATGAGAGGGCGCTGCTAAGGCGTCTGTCACTGACCTCTTGCTCCTGCTACCACTGTTGCGTGCTGGAAGGGCTGGTAGTGGTGGGAACCAGGCTGGATGCAGCCGTTGCGCCGTTGCGCCGTTGCCGGTTGAGATGTAGTGAGGAGGCTGGTGCTGAGGAGGAGACAAGAGCGGTGGCGATGTAGGAAGAAGAAGCGTGGCTGACGAGCCCCAAGACACGTGCGGCCCGGTGCTGAGTCGCTTGAGCTGGAGACGTGACAGTGCCTTATGTCTGGAAGTATGGGTGCCGGATGGGTGATGAGGTGGTACTGAGTCTTGGTCGACGGTGGGCCAGCAACCTATGGACACCGAGTTGGTCGACGAGATGTTGGCTTTATGCTCTGTGCCACGAGACTGAGCGCCAATGGTGGGTGTGAGCAGATGTTGCGGATCAAAGGCTGGTAGTGTTAGTGGTGGCACGGCTGGGTGCGTGACGGGGTGAGGGGCAGTCGAGATTGCGAGGGGTGGTTAGGAGGGGAAGAGCGGTCGAGCACCGCCACGTCAGCTTTGTTGTCTCGACGGCGGTCTGCTCGTTCGGCCTCGAGTCATCAGGCACACAAGCGTCGCCCGTGCATCCGCCATCCGCATCGACCCGCTCATCAAGAGCCGTGCTGACGCTTAGTCTAGCCGGAAGAGATGTTGACGCGGCGGACTAGGCACCAATGGCGGACCAGCTGACTCGCTCGCCCTCGCTTCATTGCTGGCTCGATGCAGGGCGACGTGCGGGACACATCCTTTTGCCAGCACCGTAGATCCGCCTCATCACCCACATCAAGTCAAGCGAGGCCAGGAGGACTACTCAGCGACCCGCAGAAGGACGTAGGATCACTATCTGTTGGGAACCCGCCTGGGTAAGGAGGAGAATGGCGATGGCTTCTCATTGAGCACTGCGCCGAAGATGCGTGACGATGCGCGACACAGGCGACGGAACAATGAGGTGGCGGCAAGCCTGCCTTACTCTCACATCATGGCACTCCTTTGTCGTTCGTCCAAGATGCTGTGATTGGTATCGAGTGGCGACTCTCTAGGCTTGTTCCTCCTTTGATCCTTTCGGCATACCCTTCTCTCTGTCCTTCCTCGGCCGGCCCCTGTTCCAGTCAACGCGTAAGTCTCTCCACCTCCCAGCGATTGTTGTGCGCTTCTCCCACTCGACCTCTCCTTCTTCCACAAAGTCGCGCTGTTGTGCTTCGTCTCTCTCTTCGTCCTCCTCCTCTTCCTCGGCAGCCTCTTCTCCCCTCGTCTCATCCCGATCCATCCCCATTTCCAGATAGGCCAGCAAGGCTGCTCGTGCGTCGTCATCTTCAGCTGTGCCCAGCCGCATTTCCGACCCCTCTGTCACAGCGCGTGGGTGCCTTTTCAATTCCTCCTCCGCCATCCGAGCAGTATTGCAGACCCCTCTCCCAACCTCACCACCCCAACGCCCCAAGAACCAGACAAAGAGCTCAGGAGGCAACAAGCCAGCACGCTTACGCTGAGCGGCCGCGTGAGCTAGCTCTTCGCCGAGGTGTAGAAGCTGAGGAAGGGCCGCCAGCGCAAGGCGAAGCTGAGTGCGCGCAGCTTCATTCTCGCTGCCTCCAGCACGATGAATCGCGTCCAAGAGCCTGGGCCACCCTAGGGCCTTGAGCAAGGCTCTGTAGAAACGCACGTCCAGCTGAGCGTCGACATGCTCTGCCTGCCAGGAGGCGCGCATCTTCTCGTACTCTTCCCACACGATCTCCCGCCGATCCTCGAACGTTTCGAAGTTCCTTGCAGCGAGTGCCTTGTCGGTGAGGGCGGCGAGGTACTGCAGGTAAGAGGTTGCTTCTGCCACACTCGGCGTTGGGGCGAGGGCGCGTAGATAGGTCCACGTCTTGGCGACAAGGATAAATGAGCCAGATTTGACGCCCAGATTGAGCAGTGAAGCGAAGAGGCCGGGCGCAAGGGTGGCGTTGTTGATGGTGGGAGTTGGAGCGCTCGCATCCTTTGGCAGGTCGGGGATGAACAGCCTCACAATCGCTTCGGCGTCCAATCCACCTCGTCCGTCCTTACTATCTAGCAGCCCCGTAGCGGCAATGTAGCGGAGCATGGAACGGCAGAGCGGGCTGTCCTGCCTTGCCTTCGCCACGCGTGTCAACTCGAACACCGCTTCCTCTCTCGCCGCGCTGGGATCGATACCGTACTGCGGGAGGAGCAGGCCGAGCAACTGACCTGCCGAGTCGTGTTGACGGTAGCGTACTGCCTCATCAAAGAGAACCAGATCCACACGAGGGTCCCTAGTCCCGTTGCGGGAGACGTGAGCAAGAATCCCCTTGACGACGTCGGACCGCAACAGCGCTCCCTCATCTCTCCCATCCCGAGCATCTCGGTAGACGTACCGCAGAGCGGCAATGTAAAAGTAAGGGCTGAGGCGCACAGACATGAGCCGTTTCCTCCTCGTCGCTGGCAGCTTCCTCTTTCTCCTATGCTGACGTTGCTTGTCTGGATTGAGAGGCTCGAATGTCCAATCTAGAAATGTCGCTATGTTCGAGCGGTAGTCAGCCGCTATCAGCCGGTCTGCTGGCGACGTCAAAGGTGGCAACTCTCCATAGCGCAACGCTTCCGGGAAGGCGATGAGGACTTCGTGGTAAAGCAGGCGCGTTGCTTGGTCGTGGGAGAGAGGGAGAGGAAGGTAGGCGCGGGAGAAGTAGCGGGCCAAGGTGCGAAGCGCAACGAGGTAGGAGGTGAGCAAGACTGAGTTTCCGGCGTCCCCAGCCAGCCGCAGTCGTGCCGCCTGCAGAGCTCGAGCGACATGGCTGGCGTCTGCGCCGATGCCTGCGCGCGGGTTGCCCTCGAAGGAAGCGGCCTCATGATCAGCTCGTTCTGATGAGCCTGCGAGCTTGTCTGTCCAGTAGAGCCTGAGTCGAGCGCCCAAGATCTCGACGATGAGCCCCAGCCTGTCCTCGTGCAGATTGCCTGCAGCACAAAGGCTGGCACTTGTCGCCCTCAACATCCTTGGCGTCCACTTGATTCCCGCCGCCTCACTAGCATCCCACAGGCGCTGAAGTGCGCCGAGCCAATCGACGCCGCTGGTGCTTTGATTGCGAGCCAGCTTGGCCACGACCAGGATGGCCATCTGCATCGTTCTCATATCCAGCACCTCTGCCGGATCCCTCACTCTCTGCGTGGCCGCAAACCTCAGCCAGTCCTCCAATGTCTGCGCCGCTTCTTCGTACTGTCTTCGACCACACATTGCGCGGATACCAAAGTGGTAAGCTCTGCCAGCCATTTGCGCCTCCTTCGGCATGCTGGGGACCGACCCTGCGGCTACCCAGGAGCCTTCTTCGAGCTCGGCTTCCGCCACGCGCATCAGACGGCGTCGAATGTGTGAAGCCAGGCCCGGCCCTCCGCCATTGGTGGCTAGGTCGAGGGTATAGCGCGCAAACTGGTATTTCTGCGAGAGGCGCAGGGACCATGAAGATGACCAGGAGGGGTGGGCGTCCTCCTCAGAGGAAGCGTGGGTTGGCGCCGAGGAGAAGGAGGCATCATGAGATGCTGAGCTGGACGTCGAGGCGAATGATGAGGAAGTGGTGAAGAAGGAGGGGCGTGTAGCGTGAAGTAGGGCGTGGCTTGCTGCACTTGGTCTAAGCAGGCGAGCAAGAGGCATGCAGGCGCCCGGGGGAGCCAAGTTGATGATGACGAGTGACGAGAAGTCAATTCAAGTGGCCTCGACACCTTTTTCCCGCCTGCCTCGCCGCCAGTCCGTGCCTTGACCTCCGCTCGTCTCTCGACTGGACTGACGCGCCCCCGCCTGCGCCGACGTGGCCCTCGATCTCTGTCTGTCCGTCCGTCTGCGCAGCGCTCTCATCTTCTCAATCAACCCAAGTCCATCATCCTCGTACTCGTTGCGCCGCCATGTCGCAGTACAAGTACGACGAAGAAGGAGGGCAATTCCTCACGTTTGTCCTCACCTTCCTACTCTTGGTTCTCGTACCATTGACATGGACTCTGCTCACGGGAGCGTCAACCACCGCCTCGTCGATCTCGCAATCGTGGTTTGACAAGCGCGGTCAAAAGGTGTCAACCATCAAGTCCATCAATCGGCGGTCATTAACCAATCCAAGGATCTCAAAGACGTGAGTCACATCACTCCCACCAAGCACATGCTGCCACTTTACTCACGCTTTATACCGCGTAGCCTCGTGGCTGTCGTCGCAGGATGGGCGCTGGCAGCCTACCTCTTCCAACGAGTCGCCAATGCTGCAGCCAATTCGTCCCATGCGGTGTACGATCCCTTCCACATCCTCGGTCTCGCTACCAGCGCAACCGAAAAGGAGATCAAGAAGCACTACAAGCGACTGTCTATCAAGTGCGTAAGCTTCCCCCTACGCTCCGTCGTGGTTTCCCCGCTAATGCTTCATCCCGCTCGACTCCCGCCAGGTTCCACCCTGACAAGATTCGTCTCAGCGCCAACCAAACCAAGGAGTCAGTCGAATCGCACTACATCGAGCTCACAAAAGCCTACAAAGCCTTGACGGACGACACAATTCGCAAAAACTTTGAGCTGTATGGCCACCCCGATGGACGCCAGGAAATGAGCATGGGGATCGCGCTCCCTACCTGGGTCGTCGAGTCGCAGAACAACATCTGGGTACTGGGAGCCTACGGCGTCGTCTTTGGTGTCCTCATGCCCTACCTCGTAGCTCGTTGGTGGTACGGCTCTCGCGCCAAGACCAAGGACGGCGTGTACACCTCGACTGCTCAGACTTTCTTCCAGCACCTTCGCGAGGACACCGACGGCCCGCGCATCATCTCTATTCTCGCCATCTGCGAAGAGTTTCAGGACCGCAATCTCGACCGTCGAGGCAAGGATGCCAACGAGGCGGCCCTCAAGGAACTCGAGACGCAAGTTCGCGCCAAACTCAAGCCCTTCGGACCCAACTGGCAGCTCAGCGAGCGCCATCGCTCCCCTTCAATCCGCAAAGCCCTCATCCTCCTCTACGCCTACCTCTTCCGCATCGAGTCCAAGAACGCTTCGCTAAATCAACAGCGCTACCTCGCCGGCTCTACCGCCGAGCGCCTCTTGGACGGAATGCTGCAGATCAGCCTGGCGCATAACTGGCTCAACACGACCGAGGCGATCATGCATGCCATTCAGTGCTTTGTGCAGGCCGTGCCCATCTGCGAGGACAGGCGGGTAGCAGAGCTCCTCCAGCTTGGCGGTATGCAAGCTGCGAATGCCAGGCAGATTGTAGCCAAGGGCGGCGAGGCAGGCAGAGCGGGAGTGCAAGGCTTCTTTGCTTTGGACGAACCCACCCGCAAGTCATGCGCTGGTGTCAAGCAGGAACAGATGGACCACATGATGAAGGTAGCCGGAGATTGGCCCCGCCTGGAGTTGGTGGACGCGTTCTTCAAGGTCGAAGGGGAGAGGCTTGTCACCTCGTCTGCGATCGTGCAATTCGTGGTCAAGGTGCGCACCCTCCCGCCAAAGAAGGACGATGTTTTGCTCGTCGACGGCAGGCGCGCTGGACCGCACACAGACGGGTCAATGGACATTCGCTCGGGTGTAGAGGACGTCGACGACTCGAGCTCCAAGCAGGGCAAGTCTTCCTCCGATTCCTCTGCCGACTCAGGCAAGCAAACACTGGGCGTCGCCCGCGCGCCCCACTTCCTCTCAGAACGCAAACCGCATTGGTGGCTCCTTCTTGGTGACTCCAAGCAGAACCGCGTCATCGTCCAGCCAATAAAATTCAGCGACGTCGGCCCGGACAAGCTGCGCACGTACACGGTGCAATTTCAAGCTCCACCTAACGCAGGGCTTTACACCTTTGTGGCGCAGATTCGCAGCGATTCCTACCTCGGGTCTGACGCAAGTCGCTATGTGCAGCTGAAGGTTGAAGAGCCTTCCGTTTTGGAGGAAGAAGAGGGTGGGGAGATTGAGGACGACATCAGCGAGCCTGATGAGGATACTCTGGCGGGCCAGATGGCGATGATGCGCGGTGGCAAGGTGAAGCCTAGCCCGGTACATGGCGACGACGACGACGACAGCGAGGGTGAGGAAGGGGACGAGGAGGACAGTGAGCCAAGTGATAGTGATACAGATGAGGAGTAAAGCGCATTGGGAGCGCGCATGATCAATGCTAGCATTTGTGCTCACCACAAGCGATGCCCGCTCGTATCTCTCCTCGATCTGAGAAGTCGCGAGTCTTGTGATCGGGGCGAGTTTATCCGCGGCGGTGCGACCTTTTTCCATGCGTGAGGCGCAGGCGAGTCAGAGAGTCGAAAGTTGAGTCGGCGTCTGAGCGGCTGCGAGCGGGCGGGCAGGCGGGCGGGCGCTCAACGGACAGAGCGAGAGAGAGAGCAAAGAGAGGAAGGTCAAGCAAAGGGACAGAGATAGCGCGGGGTCAAGCGCACAAGTCGTACCTTTCTTCCTTTCTTCCCTCCCCTCAACCTCCTCGCTACCTCTCTGCCTCTCATCAGCAACCGCCTGGGCGTCCTGCTCTCCGCTGCCATGCTGGGCCATCACCTCCGCCTCGCGCGAGCATTCGCTCCGACAGCGCCCACCGCATCGCTCGCGTCTGCCTCTTCCTCATCAACTCTCTTGCCCCGCCTTCGCGCTGCATCAACTCGATCGCTGCACACTACCCCTCGCCGTCGCTCTCCCGCCTCCCCTACCCTCCCCAAGTCAGCGCAGCCTGTATCGACGGACTTCCATGCCGTGTCCCCCGCAATGGCCGAGTGGGCAAAGTACCTGCCAAAGGTTGAGCGAGCCGGAGTCAAAAAGGTCCTCCTCGTTGGCTCTGGTGGGCTGAGTATCGGGCAAGCAGGAGAGTTCGACTATAGTGGTAGTCAGGCTATCAAGGCGCTGAGGGAAAGCGGCATCGAGACAATTCTCATCAACCCGAATATCGCAACGATTCAGACTAGGTGCGTAGCCGCCTGAACCGATAAGGCAGACTGGCTTCAGCGCCTTCCACGCACCGCAACCGCTAATGCTTCGTCTTGTCTGTTTCGCTCGCAGTCACCACCTCGCATCTCAAATCTACTTCCTTCCCATCTCACCTGACTACGTTGCCTACGTCCTCGAGAAGGAGCGCCCGGATGGTGTCCTCCTGACATTCGGTGGACAATCCGCTCTTAACGTAGGCGTCAAGCTCGACGAGATGGGCGTCTTTGAGCGTCTCGGCGTCAAGGTCCTCGGCTCTCAACCAGACGTCCTCCGCATGTGCGAGGACCGCGACCTCTTCGTGCAGGCCCTCGACCAGATTAACATCCCCGTCGCCAAGTCAGAGGCCGTCTCCTCTGTCCCGGCAGCTCTCAAGGCAGCAAAGGAGATTGGATACCCGGTCATTGTGCGAGCTGCGTACGCGCTTGGTGGGCTGGGTTCGGGTTTCGCCGAGGATGAGGATGAGCTGCGCGACCTCAGTGCTCGCTCGCTCAGTTTGAGCCCGCAGATCTTGGTTGAGAAGAGCTTGAAGGGATGGAAGGAGAGCGAGTACGAGGTGCTGCGTGACCAGGAGGACGTGAGTACATTAGCGTGAGACCGAGGTGCCAGCCTCGCAGACTCGCAAACTGACTTGTCTTTCGCCCACTCGCCGCTAGAACGCCCTCATCTGCTGCAACATGGAGAATTTCGACCCGCTTGGCATTCACACTGGAGATTCAATCGTCGTGGCCCCATCTCAAACCCTGTCAGACGACAACTACCACATGCTCCGCTCTGCCGCGCTCAAGGTCATCCGACATCTGGGAATCGTAGGCGAGTGCAACATTCAGTACGCTCTGGACCCCAACTCGCGAGACTACCGCGTCATCGAGGTCAACCCGCGTCTCTCTCGCTCTTCTGCGCTCGCGTCCAAGGCGACGGGATACCCGCTTGCTTATACGGCTGCCAAGCTCGCCCTGGGCCACACCCTGCCTGAGCTGCCCAACGCAGTAACCAAGACGACGACCGCCTGCTTCGAGCCGGCATTGGACTACATTGTCACAAAGATCCCCAAGTGTACGTACGCGAGCCCCTACGAACACACTGATTCCTCCAGCTAACCTATCTCTTACCTTGCGCCATCCTAGGGGACCTTTCCAAGTTCCAACACGTCAACCGCGAGGTCGGCTCGTCGATGAAGTCCGTAGGAGAGGTCATGGCTATTGGCCGCACATTCGAGGAGTCTCTGCAAAAGGCCATTCGCCAAGTCGCGCCCAACTATGATGGCTTTGAGGCGTACCACGCCCCCGCCGACCTTGACCGTGCCTTGTCTGTCCCTGAAGACACGCGCTTGTTCGCAATTGCCCACGCCATGCTCAACGAGGGCTACGACGTGGAGCGCCTCCACGACCTGACGAAGATCGACCGTTTCTTCCTTTACAAGTTGGACAACATCGTCCAGATTCATAGGCAGCTCAAGGAGCTTGGATCCCTCTCCGCCGTTGACAAGGAGCTGATGCTCTTGGCCAAGCAGCGAGGATTCTCCGACAAGCAGATGGCCAACCTCCTCTCCGCTGGCGGCAGCGCTGTGAAGGAGGCCGACGTGCGAAAGCACCGCAAGGCACTGGGAATCACGCCCTTCGTCAAGAGGATCGACACCGTTGCTGGAGAGTACCCAGCGCACACCAACTACCTCTTCACGACGTACAATGCAAGCTCGCATGACGTTGAGTTCGATGAGCACGGGACTATGGTGCTGGGCTCGGGCGTCTACCGAATTGGTGAGTGGAGAGGCCCGGGCGAGAGGCAAAGAGGGAGGATAGACTGACCTGATGCCATTTGCGCCGCGCTCGCTCAGGCTCTTCGGTCGAGTTCGATTGGTGCGCCGTCACCTGCGCTCGCAAAGTCCGCGAGATGGGACACAGGACGATTATGATCAACTACAACCCTGAGACGTGAGTTTGCGCGCTCGTGGAATGTACCGATGAGAGGCAACCTCGAGCTGACATTCTGCTCGTTGCCCTGCCGCAGCGTCTCGACCGACTTCGACGAGGCAGACCGCCTGTACTTCGAGGAGCTCTCGTTCGAGCGCGTCATGGACATCTACGAGATGGAGGGTAGCGAAGGTGTCGTCGTCTCCGTCGGTGGCCAACTCCCGCAGAACATCGCTCTCCGCCTCAAGGACACTGGCGTCAACGTGCTGGGCACCGACCCCAAGATGATTGACAATGCCGAAGACAGGCACAAGTTCTCGGGTATCCTCGACTCGATTGGAGTTGACCAGCCTGAGTGGACCGAGGCGACCTCTGTAGCCAAGGCTAAGGAGTTTGCAAACAAGGTCAGCTACCCCGTCCTTGTTCGACCGTCCTACGTGCTGTCGGGAGCGGCGATGAACGTCATCTGGGACGAGTCGACGCTCGAGAACCATTTGACTGCAGCGGCCGAGGTCAACACGGATTACCCAGTCGTCATCACCAAGTTCATCGACAATGCCCAAGAGATCGACATTGACGCAGTAGCACACAAGGGCGAGCTGCTGATCCACGCCGTCTCCGAGCACGTGGAGAACGCCGGTGTCCACTCTGGTGACGCAACGCTTGTCCTGCCCCCCTTCAGTCTGGACCCCAACGACATGGCTCGCCTCAAGACGATTGCTCAGAAGGTTGCAAAGGCGTTTGAGATCAGTGGGCCGTTTAACATGCAGGTCATTAGGAAGCCGGCGGGCGAGGGAGAGCACGAGGCAGCTCTGAAGGTCATTGAGTGCAACCTGCGAGCGTCGAGGTCCTTCCCCTTCGTCTCCAAGGTGCTGGGTGTCAAGTGAGTATGCGCGTCGAGATGAGTTGAAGAAGCAGGCAAGTCTGACGCCAGCCTCACACCACTGCCGCACAGCTTCATCGACATTGCCACGGCAGCAATTGTAGGCGAGCAAGTCCCCGCGCCGGTAGACCCCATGGCTCAACAGCGCGACTACGTGGCCATCAAGGTGCCTCAGTTCTCGTGGACTCGATTGGCAGGCGCTGACCCCTTCCTTGGAGTAGGTGAGTATCTGCGCATCGAGGCCGACGTGGCGTGGGGTTGCAATGATGCTTGGAGGCATTTGGCTGTACGACCGTGTGACCCTTTGTGGCGCATGGTCAATGCCGAAAACTATTCCAGCTACCTTATTTTTTTCTACCTCTGAGCAACATGGAAAGGAGGAGGAGCAGCGGGAGGGAGAGATGGGCAAATCACGTTCAACAGTGAGCACTAGCTGACCACACTCTCCTGCTCCCGCTAACAGAGATGGCCTCTACCGGCGAAATCGCTTCTTTCGGCTGTGACGTCGCCGAAGCCTACTGGGCTGCCATGTGCTCTCAAACAGGCTTTCGCGTCCCCGAGCCTCGCAAGGGCGTCCTCCTCGGTGGCGACGTCAACAAGCCCGAGCTCGCACAGGTGGCTCGCCGCCTGTCCGACCTTGAGTTCAAGATCCTCGTTACCGACTCTGGAGTGCAAGAGCACCTCAAGGAGGCTGCGGGCGTGAAGAGCACCAAGATCTCGTTCCCTGTCAAGGACAAGCGCAAGCTCCGTGAGGTCTTCGATGAGTGGGATGTGCAATTCGTGGTCAACCTGGCCAAGAGCCGCGCGCCCAACTTGCTCGACCAGGACTATGTGGCTCGTCGCAATGCCGTGGACTTTGGCCTGCCGCTGATCAACAATGGTCCCTGTGCGCTGCTGTGGTGTGAGGCGTTGGAGTACAAGATGAAGCAGCCGGGAAGTGGCGGATTGAGTGGATGGGAGGAGGGCAAGCTGCCGCCAGAGGTCAAGAGCTGGAGGGAGTGGGTGCCGGAGAGCACGGCGTAGAGCGTCGTGTGAGGTCATGTCTGATCCTGTTGTTGTGCTGGTGGTTAGTCGTCGCTCGTTCTAGAAGTACTCTTCTGCTTTTCACTGCTCGTAGCGCTCCTTTTGCTGCCCAGATGTGAAGGCTAGAGCGGAGGGACATGAGGCGTAGGCGATTCAGCGTCGGAACGGAGGCCAACGCCAGTCCGCCTCCGCTGCCGCTCATCTGTCTGCCGTCGTGTGCATCCGCCCGCCCGCTCAAGTCAAGGCTGCGATTCTCGACTCCTTCGCATCGCATCGCATCGCATACAACCACTCTCCTCATCCTCTTGTGACTGGCGTCGCCATGAATCACTACGCCTCGTCATCAACACAGCCTTATGGTGCTGGCGCTGGTGGGATGAATGGGATCAACGGGGGCGGCGGAAGCGGCGGAGCGCAACGGCCGCGCGTGACGTTGAGGAGCATTAATCATGAGGAGGCAGACGTCGTTCTCGAAGGAGTCGATCTCAGCTTCGCAAACGCTCTGAGAAGAGTCATCATCGCGGACATTCCTACGCTAGGTGAGCTGGCGTTCATGGCTCTACGGCTTCTTCTCTTCGACTCGAAGTGCTAACTTGCCTCTCACCTCTCTCCCCGTGCGTAGCCATCGACATGGTAGAGATCCAATCCAACACGACGGCCCTACCCGACGAGATGCTTTCCCATCGTCTTGGTCTCGTCCCGCTCATCTCAACAAACTGCGATGCAGTCCTCGTCGACCACCGAGATTGCGCCTGTGAAGACGGCTGTGATCGCTGCTCCGTCGAGCTCACATTGCACGCTCGTTGCACCACAGGCGGGACGATGGAGGTCACCTCGAAGTCATTGGTCCGCAGTGCCGGGCTCGGAGAACCATGGGGCGGTGATCCCGAAATGGCAGAGATGGGACCGAGGCCGAGGGAGGCTCGACGCGAAGAGTTTGGTAGGGTGGTTGGCGCGGATCAAGAGGGAAGGGATGGGATCATGCTCGTCAAGATGAAGAGAGGGCAGGAGCTCAAGGTGCGTTGTATTGCCCGCAAGGGCTTTGCAAAGGAGCACGCAAAGTGGAGCCCCGTCTCTACCATTGGCTTTGAGTATGACCCGCATAACCGATTGCGGCATACGGCCCTATGGCACGAGGGCGACCCGAAACGCGAGTGGCCCTTGAGCCATAATGCCAACGAGGAGCCAGAGGTACGGGCTGGGGAGGAAGACGAGGTCTTCGACTTCAATGCGAAGCCGGGACGCTTCTACGTGCATGTTGAGGGCACGGGCGTCATGAGTGCGCATGAGGTGGTAATGAGCGTGAGTTTGACCGGCAAAGGTGCGAAGATGGGCGATACGAATCTGACGCTTCGCTCCTTTTCTTCTCTCGCCAGGGCCTCCGCATCCTCGAAACACGAACGGCGCAGATTATCCAAGAGCTAGGCTTCATGCTCGACGATGGCGGCATGGGCGGTGGCGGCAATGGCGTGCCACAAGGCGGAGAGAACGGCGGGGCAGGCTATTACGGCGGCGGAGGAGCGAATGGAGTCAATGGTGGTGGTAGCGCATGGTGAAGCGCTTGTTTCGCACGGTGAAGCGCTTGTACGCATACGGAATCAAATGCATAATGATGCCAAGGCGTGCAGAGCAGGTCTATTGGCATTGCATCTCGACTGCCCTACGACGTGAGCCACTTGACGTTTGCATACCACTCGAGCATGGGATTTGGCCCTCGCCCGCCATTGAGGGCACAATGCTTTGCCAAGTCGGGGTATCGTTCCAGGAAAGCTCGATGGCTGGAGACGGTAGCCGTGCCGGTGATTCCGCTGCCTCTTTTGCCCGCAACTACCTGCCCATAGATGTCTCGCAGCACTTCGAAGTTCGTCGGGTAAAAGATGTCAAAGAAGCCCTGTAGCACAGCGTAGGTGCTCACTGCCACGGGCGTGGCTGCTGAATTTGGGTCTGGTCCTCCCCTTCCCCCTGACACGGGGCCAGCATTACGCGCCAACCTCGTCTGGACAACGGGCCCATCTACCCCTTTCACCGCCTGCGGTAGAGCGCTGAAGTCGCTGATCAATGTATGGTGCTTGGGAAACTGTGCCGCCAGCACGTCGATGAGGCGCAACGCTCCAGTGGGGAGGAAGTGCCTCTCTTTCGTCAAGTTGGGGAAGAGGGGCCAATGCTCTGCCAATCCTCTTCGCAGGGGCGTAGGGAGGGAAGAGAGCCAGCGGGGTACTCCTGGTGGGCTTGCGACTGTGCCCGGTCGCACCTGCTGCAGGAGGTCTAGATACCGTCGGATGAGAGGATCCACCGCAGGCGTGTAGAGCTCAGCAAAATCTCCTGTGCCGTCTATGCTGATGTAGGCTTGGTAGGGTAGCAAGTCCGATGTGCCGTAACGAACCACATCGTGCGGGAGATTGTCGAGCACCTCGAGTGCGATGACGACGCAGGAGCGCTCCTCCATTTGATCCCATTCGAGGAAGTCGCGGCGGTGCACGCGCACTTTGCCTTGGGAGACCCACTTTGCAAGCCTTTCCTCTTGGCCCTTGGCTAGCCGCTCAGAGATCTCAACAATGTTGTACTCAATCCTCTCGTAGGCCTCACTTGGCAGCACCTCCTCCAAATACCGCATTACGTCCCCCGCCAGGCTCCCATCGCCAGCTCCCAGCTCATAGATGACCAAAGGCTCACCCCGTTGCATTGGCCCTTGCAGAGTATCAAGACAATGCTGCGCCACGATCCTAGCATAGTGCGGGCGAAATAGCGTCGTGGGTGTATGCCACACCTGGCGCGCAAGCATCGATTGGACACCAACGTCGTGCGACTGGTCTTCACGCAGGGACTGCTCGTACGCAGCACGGCCAAGTGCTTGGGCCGCTTCGAGGCCAGCGGCGGATGAAGGGGACGGAGCATTGGGACGTTTGCGCCCTCCTCCTCCCGTCGATGAGCTCGTGGGAGGTGGTCGTACTGGTGCTCCTGTTGGTGTGCTCGCGCCTTGTTGGATGACTGTACGCTCAAAGGCATTGTATCGCTCCTCTACCTGAGCCATAAAGTCGCGCTGGTCCTTCATCTCCCTGAAGCGAAAGCCCCCGTCATCTGCGTCGTTTCCATTGCTCGACTGCTGCTGAGGCGGGAGAAGGGCCGCCCGTCTGGAGAAGTAGCCATACCTGGGATTGTACAGACTATCTGCCACGAAGTCTCGGGCCAGCATTCGGACCTCTCTTGGGCGAAGCGGCTTTGTCGAGGTAGGAGGGTGGGAGATCGCAGCAGAGGCTAGGTCACTGGCATTCACGAGAGGATAGTGAAGATGCTCTTCGGATGGGTGGAGGGAGAAGGGGTCGTCGTTGTACTGGACGCGATGCCTTTCTGGGGCTTCTTTGGGAGGCGGAGGAGGCGAGGAAGACGACGAAGACGACGATGAGGGGCCTGCAGAAGAAGAAGCGAGACGGCATTGCGACAGAGCAGCACGAGGAGGTGGCTGCTGTCTTGCTGAGCGCAAGTTTGCAGCGACCAGCACCGTCCCTCTTGATCGAGCTGCCATCGTGGTGGTGGTGTGGAGTCAGGGAAACAATGAAATGCAAGTTGCCGCTGTTGCTCTCCTCAGCAAAAGCCACTTCGTCCTCTTTCCGCCCTCACCCGCTTACGTAACGCATAGCGGCTACGGAGACGAGCCAGACCGCTCGCAGCTTCCAGTGACATGTTTCGCATTAGCAAGCATCAAGAACAGGCTAGTCGCCCACTCAATCCGCCTTGGTCGATGGAAGTTGATGATGTGACCCGGACCTCGCAACACTGCCATTCTGTACGCCACCCGCAACAGATATGCTCCTCTTCTTCTCATGCCCACGGTGAACACTTGTTCCGCTCGACGCCATCATCCCCGCTTTCTCACTCACTGCAGCTCCTGAAGCCCCACTTCCTCCCTCCATATCGCGCTCATCATCCATCCGCTTGTACCTCGGCAGCCCACTGCGCTCAGCTCTTTGTGACCGTCTCACATAGCTGAGCAACCCGCCGAGTAGGGCAAAGAGGAAGAGCATGGCCATGAATGGGTGTCGAGCGCCAAAGGAGACAAAGCTCCCAATGCGCCTGTATGATCGGTCGATGTAGGAGCGCGAACTCCTTGCTTTCCCCTTGCGCTCACCTCGTCCAATGGCCTCAATCTCGACCAGGATGCCCAAATCATCAATGAATGTGTCGTCCCCTTCTGACGAAGCTGCAGCCGCGGTGCCATCTTGCTGCTTCGCGGCGGCAGCCCCGCTCCCCAACCAAGTGCTCACCTCCCTACTCTCACCAGCATAGCTCAACTTGCTCTTGTACTCCTTGACCGCTGCCAATCCACCCGCTCCAGGCGCTACAGCTCCTTCCCCACCTACTGCAACCAACGGCTTGACCTCTCCCGTAATCAACGTCATCGCTGGCGGAGGGTCGAGCTGAGACACGTCGATGAGCTGGGAGGGCTTCTGCGTAGGGAGAGGCCACCATTGCAGCGTGGGGCCGTCAACGAGAATTAAGCCAGGAAAGTCGGCCGGATTGCGTAGATTGTAGTACTTGCCGATGGCTTGGCGCCATCGATCTGCGTCGATCCATCCCCAAAGTAAGCCACCCGCTGCAGCCGCGCTGCCATTCGTCGCGGCGAATTTGTGTTGACCGTCTCGCCATGCCAGTGCCATGCGCTTCAGAGCGGCCACTTCAGCCTCTCTCCGCGCGCTCCCGGTGCCAGTCGGGTACGTCTCTCCATCATGATGCTCGTCGCTCAACAGCGCAAGGGCAACGGGCGCTCCGTGGCGATTGTTGACCACGTCAACCCACGAGTCGCCGCCTACCTGCGACAGGGTAGGGTAACGATTCCAGTCCAGCCATTCTGCCAGCCTCGCTCGCTCGCGGCGCCGCCACTCTGGCCGCTCAGCTTCTCGTGGAGGTGCTGGGGTAACGTGGAAGGCATCTACGGGCCGGTCGGCCTTGCGATCCTTGAAAGCCAGAACAACGCTGCGGAATCCGCCATGCCTGGCGCCGAACCAGCTCTGGAATCTCCCTGCCAGAGCACCATGGCTTGACCGGTACACCCTGAACGGAGATGTAAAGATGCCCCTACTAGCTGCTGTGACGAGGTCGCGCTCCTCCTCCCAGTGAGGCACCTCTACGCCGCGATAGCTATCCAAGTCACTCCCGTCCGTCAGCCACAGGAAGCGCACCTCCTCCTTACGCGAAATGTCGGCCCAGTGTCCCTCGTCATTAGCGATCGGCAGATCCACGCCCTCTTCTTCGGCAGCCTTGCTGCACCACTTGAGCATGGCGTCGAAGGACCGACTGCCGCGATACTCGGAGACCACGCGATTGGTGGGAGAATATAGGCGGAGAGTGGGGTAAGACTGGATGCCAAAGGCACGACAGACGCCGCGGTGAGCCTCGCAGTCTACCTCGAGGACGTTGAGGCGATTCTTGAGGGCAGGTGCGAGTTGCTCGAATGATCTGCGCGAGTGGAGAAAGCAGGACGGCGTCAGAGTGAGGGGAACGATTGAGGCGTACGTCGTACACTCACTTGGCCATTGCCTTACAATGAGGGCACCAAGGCGCAAAGAACTTGACGAATGTCCCTCCCTTTGCGAGCGAATCCTTGCGCAAGGGCAGCCTCGTGTTGATGTTCGAATCAGGGGAAGGCTTGCGGATCGTCTCTTCCAGCAGCTTGTCGTGGTCTGCGATCAAGTGAGCCCCGCCATGTCCTCCGCCAACAGATGTCGAGCCCGTGCCATGACTGCCCTCATCATCGTTGTCCAGCATCGCCGCTGCGGCGTGAGACCCTTTGTCCGCCTCTTCTTCGTCGTGAGAGGGCACAATACCCAGCCAGTTGCGCAGCTCAATCACCGTCTTTACTCCTTCACTGATGCCGAATTGGAGAAGCTGACCACGCGGGTTGGGCAGAGTCCAGTCGATTTCCTCGACGGGCGCAGGTGCTGGCTGTGGTGGCGGGCTCGCTGCTGGTTCGGGCGCAGAGTCTGGAGGAGGAGGAGGAGGAGCAGCGACGACTGCCTCGGCGTCGGCTTTGGAAGGAGCGCCGGGGAGCTTGACGTCGGGTGGAGACGCGGGAGCTGGCGCAGGAGCCGGCGCAGCTTCGATGATAGGCTTGGGCTGAGCAGGACGTTCCGGCTGCGGTTGAGGTTTGACGACAGGCTCGACGACGGGCTGCTGGCTGTCTTTGACTGGGTGAGGAGTATTGCTGGCCTGCTTCAAGCTGCGATAGTAGTGGGCCTCCTCTTCAATCCAATTGGCCAGCTCTGTGTACTCTCTATCTCCCTGATACTCTTTGCTACTCCTCTTGCCATCCATGTACAGCGTCAACTTTGGAAAATGCGGCACCTCCTCATCTACACAAAGCTGGCGCTGCGCATAGCAATTGACCTGCGCCATGCGAAAGGGCGCATCCGGGTAATCGGTACTCAGAGATTGTTTGTTGTTGGACAGCTCCTTCCAAAGAGGGAGGAATGCCTTGCAGTGCCGGCAGTAGGGCGAGTAGAACTCGATGAGCCATGCTCCCTGCTGGATGTTACTTGACCAGTTGGTCGCTGCCAATTGGACCAAGTCCGGGTGAGTGCCCGCAGAGGGCGACGTGGGCGCGGCAGTGACAGCCAGAGCGACGATGGCTATCAGCGCAGCTACCAGCGCCGTCAGCGACGTCCGAAGCCATGCCATCGCAGTCTGCGTACTTGATCCAAGATGAGAAGGAGGGGTGTATGGGACGAAGGAGATGAGAAAAAGGCAAGGAAACGTCGGCGCCAAGAGCCGCATGCCCGCCTTGATGCCACTGACTTTTGACTGCAGCCGCCGACGAGTCGAACAGAGCCGGCGGAGCTGCAGGCGGGCGGGCGTCGATCAGGCGGACAAGCGACGCCTGCGTGCAGAGACTCAGGCTCTTCGCGCCTCTGCCACGCCTATCGACTATCGCAATTCCAGTTCACCGTGGTCTTTGCTCGACTATCGCAACATCCTGTCTACAAGTGACTTTCTCGCGTGTGAGAAAGTGGAGCTGAAGAGGTATCATTCATTCCCTGCCCAGAGCGTCCCGGTCGTCGGCCGAGCTGACATCTTTCTTTGGGGCAGAGATCTTCAGTCCTTTGCTTGAGAGCGACGTTGCGAAAGGTTGTATACGCTGATACCAACTACCTCGTTGAGCTGTTCCGCAGCCGCACGCGCTCTCATCGGCAGGGTCAAGGATCCCTCAACGCCTAAACAATGCCAACGCCCCCGGCGAGATTCTTCATCACGAGTGAACATGACTGGAGGTCAGCACACGTTTGCAGCTACATCAGGGCCCACTTAGCTCGGTCCCGCTGAAACGATGGTCTCGGGATCGCGCGATCCGCAAAACCTCAATAGCACCGCTCGCGGCGCTAGGCAATCCGGGCCTTCGTGGCTGAGCACACGGCGACCAATACGACGGCCCGGGCCGCTTTACAGCGAGCCAGCCAGGTGCCTCTTACAACAAGCGACCAGTATCCCGGCACTTGTGGAAATTCTCGGCGAAAGTTACCCGTGACCCACTGTGGGAGTGTACGGAGTAGCGATGCTCACGACCTTGCAAAGAGGCTGAGGACGGCAGGAGATTGGCCGACGGATGAGCGACGATGCGGGTGGGTGTCGAGGGCCAGAGGGGAGCCAAGGCGTCATGCCAGGACGTCGAGCCGGGACATCGAGCTTTACAAGAAGGCTCGATCTCGTCCGCTATCTCTCTCTTCCATCCCTACCTCATACTCTCGACTTCCCCCTTTCCAGCCCCCATCCAACACAATAGTGAGTGTCTTCGCCGTGGCGCCCCTTGCCGAGCGTGGCTGACATGCCCCTCCCGCCTCCCGCTCTCCGCCCGCAGTGCGCTTTACCCTCAAGTTCGCTACCCTCGCGATTCTCTTCGTCGCCAGCCTGGCCGTTGCTAGCGTGAGTCAGGTGCGAGATCGTTGAGGAGACACCTCGCTGATATCGAACTCTCCACTCTGCAGGTCGAGGCTCAGACCAAGCGTATGGACATCGAGAAGAACGTCCCTGGTAAGTCCCACTTCCGCGCGCCTCCAGCACCACCCATGCTCATACTCACACTCCTCCTTCTTGCACATAGGCCCGTCCCTGGCCGATATCTCTGGCATGGGAGACGCCCACCTCACTCCTAAGCTGAACAGCTTCATGGCCGACGGAGGCCCCGTCCACGGCTCCTGCCGTGACTGCTCCGGCGAAGCTACCGCACGCGACACCAAGAAGGCCCTCATTTGCCTCAGGTCTATCCTCAACAACTACGAGCCTGACAAGCAATGGAAAGAAATCGCGAAAATCTACTATAACCACGACAAGAGGAACGACGTCTGTGAGCTCGAAGTAGAGGTGTTGAGTAGGTGCGCTGGCCGCAGCAGAGCGCGCTGACCTCAAGTTCCTGCACGCGCCGTAGACTCCGCGTTTGGAGGATTCGACTTACCGAACGCTCAGTACTATCGCGTGCGTACCACCTCGTCAGCCAATTGAGGATTCAACAATCGCTGACGTACACTTCCTGCGAGCACTCCAGTCCCAAACCAATGCTGGCACCGGGTTTGCCCGCTTCGAGTACGACTGCGAGGGAGACGGTTCTGCGGCTTTGGCCTGCGACTCGTGCAAGGAGAACAATCCTTCGTCGGAGACGAGCAGCACCCCCAGTATCGTCACGGATAACACCAAGGATGGTACCAAGCACCATGAAGACGGGGATCCCTCGGTGAACAGCGTGATTGAGAATGTGATTGGGGTAAACGTGGGCTGCGGCGACCACTGTGACGAAGGGAGCAAGAAGAAGTGACGGCGAAGAGCCATCTGTGAAGACCGGTATCATCAGCTTTTATGTTACCGCAGGGCGTGCCACACCTCACAATCATCTCGTGGGCTTGATGCCTACTCGAGTATACACGCTTCATCCTACTTGTGACCAACCACTGCTCTACTCGACGAACCAATAATTTACTTGATCACTATCTCGAGCGCTCAGCATTTGTCTGTCATGATGAACAGAAGCTTTCTCAGCTCTTAGCGTCGATGCCCGAACGAGGATCGCCACGTTCGACCGTTGCGCTCACGAAGAATCGTAGAGGGTGGCTTGGACCGTGCCTGAAAGGACCGGACATCTCTCTTCCCATGGCCGCAGGAGCCTGCCCAATCGAGCGTCGACAGCAAGTGATTTCACTCATCTTCAGCCCGGAGACTGGCAGTATGCCCCTTCAAGTACACGCAGCCTTCTGTTTCGCCTGTCTGACGCTGCTGTACCTCTTGACGAAGGTCAACTCCTCCGGCTGTCTCACCACAGCCCTTGACCCCCATCACCGACGCCCGAGCACCGATTAGCAAAGGACCGCCAAAGACCGACCGATATCAGGCTAATAGAGCCTCGCCTGCGGATTCCCACGTTTGCGGACCTTCGCTGCCCACTCCTCGCCGCACCACTTTACCAACAGACTCGCCGTGGTCCGTCCGATGGTGGCTCCCATTGTGCCCGTCATTCCTCCGCACACATTGCTACCAGCACCACCGCGAGAGGCTCCGCCAAGGAGGACTGGCTGCGCCGACATAAAGACGCAGCCCAGCGACGAGACGTCTGTCCTCTGCAGCATCCCCCGTCGCCTATGGCGCCAAGCCCTTCAAGGCGTGACTCTTGCCCTTTCTCGAGGTCAAGAAGCGCAGCCCAGCCAACAGGAGCAGTATCACTACCGCCAAGATCTTGAGCGCTATTACCGCAACGGCCCCACCGTCAGCAACATGAGTCTTCTCAGCAGCCGCAGCCTCTCGCGTCGCCCGCAATCGGCCAATCCTGCGTCTCCACATTGTCGCGGGCCCCGTATTCATGCCCGAGGAGATATAGGAGGTAACTCTGCACCGTCGCACAAGACTTCTTTCTCATTGAGCGATCGCGACGAGACACATAAGCACCATAGCCCTGGCCCTGCCTCCTCCATTTGGCCTTCCACGCCTACATCTCCATCCACGCCTACTTCAGCCTTGTCCAAGCGCCGCTGGTTCCTGCTTGCGACCCCGAGGTCGAGGCGCACTTCCTCGTCCGCAGCAAGACGCAATGGAAGCCGCTTCTCAGACGATGACGATGACGAAGGCGATGGCATCGAGTCTCGCGCAAATGCAGGAGCTCGCACTTTGCCAGGAGGCGGCAGCGAATTTGCCCGCTGGCTAGCACCACCTGCTCGACCCTTCATTGCACGTCCTACTGCAGATGGAGCAACGGCTTCGCCCTACGGAGACGCCGAAGGGACTGACCCTGTTTGGAACATTGAGGTCGATCCTGAGCCGGTGCTGCGGAGGTTGCGCTTTCACGCCGGAGAGAATTTCGTCACCTCAAGCGCCAGCCAAATTCCCACCTCGCAGCTCGCCGTTGCCACATCTGCCCCGACGGTAGCCACCCACCCACCGACAACGCCGAAGTCGACAACAAGCAGCGCTACCCTCTTCCCCAACGGAGATGGTAGTGCTACGAGCAAGTGCTCGCATGGCCCCAGTGCCTCGGTCAGCAGTAGTACTAAGCGCCGTCCCAATGTTCAGAGACCTACCTCGCCCGTGCGCGGTCAGACACCGACCAAGAACGCTGGCATGGCCGCAGTGCTGGCTCGGAGTGGGTCGACGCTGGGAGGGACATACCACGGTTGTGCAATGGTGGGCAGAGATGACTTGAAAGGACGTGCCGGTCCGCATGAGTCAACTACATCGCTGCTGACCAACAAGAGCACAGGTCAGGCGACATCGACGCCTACAACCCCGAAACGAAGGGAGACGGCGACAATCCCGCGTGTGGACACGCCTGGCTCGCCCGACGGCCAATTCCACGACCATCAGCATCGCCCTCGCCCAACGACGGAACAGAGACCCGACCCGCCTCCGCCGCGTTCACGCTTTCATCTCCACCATCACGGCACCGGGGGCCACCATCGGCAGCCCTCTTCACACACTCTTACTCCCGTTGTCTCACCGCTCAGCAACCCTTCAAGCGGGCACGACTCGGCCACGCCCATCAACGGCGCGGAGCGTCGCTCACGTAGAGTCGTCCAACCTCCAAGGAGGGGAAGCCCCACCCTTTCCGAAGTGTATAGGGACCTGGATATCGTCCCACCAGCGTCCAAGGAGAAGAAGGGCAAAGCAAGGGTCAGGAGCAAGACGGCTTCGAATGACAGATCTGGCGAAGGGAGCAATGGTGGCGGTGCAATGACCAAGTGAGTTTGAGGACGACGAAGTAAGAGGACGCAGGCTTTGCTGACTTTTCCCTTTTCCCTCTCTCGTTGTACAGCGGCTCGCCGTCGACGTCGAACGCAATGAAGAGGCATGTGCCTGCCTCAAGTAAGGGATGGTGGTGAGGCGATGACGAGGAGACGATGCAGGGCATTTGAACTCCATCGCTTTGACACCTCTTTGAGCGTTTGACTCCATCCTATTCCTCTTTTTCTAGGCCACAAGCGGTCCTTTTCTAACCGTCTGCTCGTCAATTGATCGATTGACTGCGCTTGTGATTCATGCTAAGTCGTCCTTTCAAACTTCCGGCCCTTGCCGCACTCACGCCTCTCCCCTCTCCTTCGCAGCCTTTTGCTCTGCCTCCAACTTGACCTCAGCCAGGCGCCATCTTAGCTGACCCCCTTTTCCTCCCCCCTGAGCCCCGTCCAATTCCAATACCCTCAACAACGCCCTGCGCAGGTCAGCTTGCAAATCCTCAAAGGCCTCCAGCCCGACGCTGAGTCTGATCGTACCCGGATCCTCGCTCGCTTCAGCAAGGATACGCTGTTCGATGAGTGACTCGACTCCACCGAGAGAGGTGGCAGGGATCCAGAAGGCGGTCTGGTGAGGGAGGTACGCAGCGCGTGCCCCACCATTGTGCTGTCCGCCAGAGATGCGCAGCGAAAAGGTGGGCGAGAAGCCGCCAGGCATTTGGGCGCGCGGGTCAAAGTCCTGAGGAGCGAAGAGGATGCAAGAGTGTAAGCTTGGGCGACCGACGCCGACGTTTCAAGGCAGACGCGGCTACTCACCACTCCCTCGGGCTTCTTTCCCGACCCCGTATCCTGCATGTTAGGACCCCTGGGCTGCAACGACCCATGTGCCACCCATCCTACGATTCCCGACTTCCGGATCACGAAATCCCTCTCATTCTGTACCTTCGCCTCTTCATTGCGCGGGCAAAGCGTCCAGAGCCATTGCGCAAGCTTCGTCGCCGTCTGACTCTGCTTCTCAACACGGACGGTAAGAGTACGCAGAGAGCGTAGAAGAAGGTACGACTCCAGATTTCCTGGAGGAGATCCAAGGTAAGTCCGGTCGTGCCACAATCGCTTAGCCTCCTCCGCATCTTTGACGGCAACGACGCCGACGAGCAAGTCGGAGTGCCCGCCAAAGTACTTGGTGCCCGAATGCATGACACAGTCTGCTCCTTGCTTGAAGGGATTTTGCAGGGGAGGTGGTGCAAAAGTGGCATCAACTGCCAGCTTGCCGCCGGCCTGATGCGCGAGCGAGGCGTAGTGGGCTATATCACGCGCTTCACCGCTGGGATTGAGAGGCGTTTCTAGCCAAACGAGGAGGGGCGAGTTCGGCGTCGAAGCCGGGTAGGGAGCATCAAGGTCGATGAATTGCTGCGATTATTCAGGACGAGCGCATCAGCGACGCTAGTGGTGACAACTTTCTCGCTTACTGCTACTACTCACGACATCGCCCTTTGTCTTTGCGTACGTCTTGAACGACTCGTGACAGCCAAAGTATCCCTGACAGCGATGGCATCAATGGCGTGCAATGTCAGTCTGGCTGTGAGCCTGACCTTCTACATATCCGCATACTCACCCTTCTCAAGGCAATGACGCGGGGCTGGTAATGAAGTGCCACAGCAAATGCGGCATTGAGGCCACTTGCGTACGTAACCGCATGTCCGCCCAACAGGCTGCTCAAAACCTGCTCGACTCTGTTGCGCGAATCCTGCGTGTACCTCGAATAAATGTGGGCCTGTGGTTTCTGCCAGTCGTACTGGTCATGGGGCATCTCATACAGCTCTGAAGAGGGATGAGCATGTCGGTAGGTGGTGGAGAGGTTGACATCGGGCGCTACGGGGCCTACGGGGTTGAGCGAGAGGTCAGGCTCGTCTGCGTGAAGCAGCAGCGTCGATAGACTGGGCTCAAGGTCATCTGCATGGTGTGGTAGGTGCTGAGGTGCCAGGGAGCCGTCACGGGCTCCGCCAGGGTGGAAGGATGAGGTACGGTCGCTGGCCATGATGGGCGTGGAAGCAAGAAAGGAAGAAGCGCCAGTCGACAAGAGCTGACTCGAGCCCTCCGCTGCACCTCGAGCCGCCCACGTCCGTGCGCGACGCAACGCCGGCAGCTTGCAGCGGCACGCGGCAGAAGCACGAGAGCTTCCACCGTCGACAATTCTGGCCGCGATTATTTGTTACATTGCGATTGGGCTACCATCTCTATCGTCGAATCTTCTTGACACCACCAGCGCCGCCATTCGCCTTTCCTTTACCGCTCTCGTCCTTGCGCTTCTTGTCGCCGCCACCAGCTGCGCTCTGCTTCTTTTTCACCTCCACCATCCTCCTCAGCAGCGATGCATTCGCCTCTAACACCCTCTTCTCGCCCAGCCTCACCACGATTGCACTCCTTGCATTGGTGCCCAAATTCTTGGGCTGGGCACCATACAGGATCTCCTCATCCTCCTTGCTGCTCGGTCCACCCTCATATCTGCCTAGGCGTGCTTCAATCGTCTTGATGAGGAAATGCGCAATCTCTTCATCCAACTTCGGTTTAGGCACTTTCTCCTTCGCGCGATATTTGGCCTCAAATTCCTCTTCGCCCATGAGAAGAGCACGGCAAGTGCTGAGGAGCTCCTCATCCAATGCTTCTCCTATGACGTTCTTGACTTCCTCATCTGAGGGCGACTCCGGTTGCGGGCGATACGGCTTCTGATCGCTGGGAGGGAACGGATAGGTGAGAACAAAGGACTCTTCGAGGCCTTGGGACACGAGGTAGGAGACACGCTCGGTAAGCTGAGCGCCGCTGCTGCTGCTCGATGAAGAGGCTGCAGTCTGAGCCAGATGAGCAGCATCGAGCTCCACTTCATCCCCTGCATTCCACTCGTCAACGTAACCATATCGTCGGAGCAAGTCGGCGTTGGGTGGGTCGCCGTATGCTGGATGCGTGAGCGAGACAGAAGCTGGTGAGCCTGGGGATGGAGGCGATCTGGCTGCCTCGCGACTCACTGTTCATGATCTGCTCCCCCTTCTTGATCGGACGAGTGCTGCGCATAATGAGCGCTGTTGACGAGTAAAAGAGCTTGGCCTGCGAGTGCGTGGTGGTCAGCACATTCTTGGGCAAAGGTAGCGTCTCTGCACTCAGTCTCTGCACTCACGTTCTCACTCGCGTAGCTGGCATTGAGCAGATCCGCGAACGGTACCATCGAGATATCCGCTGTATCCTCTCGCTCCTCGTCCTCGTCGTCGTCCTCTTCGTCGCTCTCCTCATCGTCCTGCACGTCACCATCTGCGCCGACAACAGTTCCCTCGTCGGCGTGGCCCTTCTTGACATGGAAGCTGCGGCTAAGAATCCTCGATCCCTGAACGTGAAACTGCTCCAAACCGTAATGCTCGTCCATCAACTTTTGCAACTCCTGCTCAGGCAGGTCCTTCGCTGCTGGACCGAGGAAGACGGCTGCGTGTGAAGCAATGAATGGGCGGACGTTATCTCTGTATTCTGCCTCTGCCTCTGCCTTGCCTATCCTGCCGAGGACGTCAGTTCCCTTGAGCATGTCGAGGTCTTGTTGAGGCCAGAACATGGGCATGCTGCTGAAGTCGGTCGGCATGATGTCGAGGTAGGACTTCCAATCGCGATCGCCCAGTTGATCGTCCAAGCGTAGATTCTTGGCTATGCTGACTGCAGCGGCGGCGGTGTCGTTATCTCGTGTCCTCCACGTCTCCCACATCATGCAAAGAATGAGCGGTGACCATCCTGACAGATCTTGCCAGTTGTCAGGGGACTGCTTGGATGACGAGTCGTCGTCGCCTACCGCTGGGTGTATGCTATCGATGCTCATGTCAGCCTCCCCTCTGGTAGACTTTTCCGATCGCTGTGAGTCCAAGGCCTTACATAGAGATGGCAGAAGGCTGTTGGAGATGTTGAGAAGGTACATTCTAGGGATGACGAAGAGATCATGGTCCTCTGGAATGTCCTCACGCGCGACACAGCATCTTCCCTGCGAGGGTAGCTGTGTAAGGCTCACCGAAGGGGAGACTGTCCCGCCTGCCGCAGCGAATGATGACAGGAGAGCCCGATAGAGGGGATCGTCGTGCTCTTGAGCCATCGTCTCCGTCATCGCTGCGGTGTTGAGCAAAGTGTGCGAAGCTGCCAAGTAGGCAAGAATGAATGGCCAACTTTTTCTGGTCCGTCGACGTCGAGCGTTTCCGTCTTGTCGACTCCACCTCGCGGAGCCAATGCAATCGAGGCCAATCGACGTGACTTTCTGCGCAGCCCTCGTTGATCTTTCTTCACCCTGACCTCATCACACCTGGTTCTTACCTCGATGGCTACAGAGGCCCATCGACGGGCACTCTCCGATCTCATCAGCGGTAACGGCTCGTACAATGAGCTCACACAGGAAGAGTTGCGCTCCCTGCAGACGGCCGTCTCTCAAGTCGCTTCGTCGTCCAAGGAAAAGCTACACGACAACGAGGCGAATCAGCTCACAGGTAGCGGCCATGAGACGGACCTCCTCTGGACGCAGCTGTTGCGGGAGGTTCAGTCAGATGGTCAGGGATCTATATCGTCGATCTCTCCGCCCGTTGGGGACGACGCTACCACTCGACTGGACTCGCACCTCGCCACAATGGATCCAGACGTGGCAACATCGCTGCGACAGAGCATCGCAGAGTGTCTGTCGGATCCAGCAAAGACGGACGATGCAGCAGCTGCTGAGCTGGCAGAGATGCTAGGCTACGACAATCTTGATCTGGTCGGCGACCTCGTTGCGCAGAGGCAGCAGCTGAGTCTCAGCCTGGCATCGCAGCAGCACAGCGCTGCGACGTCACCATCACTACAGAACGCCTCTCTGCCAACATCAGGCAGAACCTCGCCCACGCAGCCTCGATCCCATCGCCCATATGTACCAAGCTCGCAAGTCAAGGTCCAGTCAGCCTCAGAAATCGCAGAGGCAAAAGCAGTTCGCCAAGCCAACAAGCGTCTCAACAAGGGCAAAGCCGCAGCATCAAGTCACGGCCACAACTTGACTCTCGAAGAGATGGACCAACTACGACAACAGCAACTCGATGAAAATGCCAATCGACCTCTCTTTTCTGGCGAGTCGTCCGCAATGGATCAGCCAAGGTACCCGCACGTCTTTTCATCGACGGCATCCGGTAATACCTTGTCCGTCTTTGGTTCCAAGTTCGCCCTGCCCATCGGCACATCACGCTCAGATCACAAGGAGTACGAAGAGGTGACGATACCACCACCGAGACCTGTACCTATGCGCAACGCCGAACGCCTCATCCCCATCAGCGAGATGGAGCCACTTTGTCGTGGCGCCTTCCCTGGCTACAAGTCCCTCAACAGACTGCAGTCAGCCGTGTACCCCTTGGGTTACGGCACAAACGAGAATCTACTCGTCTGCGCGCCAACAGGAGCAGGCAAGACCGACGTTGCAATGCTTACCGTTCTTCGAGCCATTTCCCAGTACTCGGCCGATGTTCACTCAACGGGCGGCCGAGGCTTCGGCATAAAGCTCAATGACTTCAAGGTCATCTACGTGGCTCCCATGAAGGCTTTGGCAGCCGAAGTGGTGCGCAAGTTCAGCAAGAGGCTCAGCTACCTTGGTGTCAAAGTGCGAGAGCTGACGGGAGATATGCAAATGACTCGTCAGGAGATCGCAGAGACGCAGATGATCGTCACAACGCCAGAAAAGTGGGATGTGGTCACGCGTAAGCCGACAGGAGAGGGCGAGCTGGCGTCCAAGGTCAAGCTCCTCATCATCGACGAGGTTCATCTCCTGCATGAAGACCGTGGCGCCGTCATCGAGACAATTGTCGCTCGTACGCTGCGCCTGGTGGAGTCGAGCCAATCCCTCATCCGCATCGTCGGCCTCTCAGCAACTCTTCCGAATTACGTAGACGTTGCAGACTTCTTGCGCGTCAATCGATATCAGGGCCTCTTCTACTTCGACTCGTCGTTCCGACCCGTCCCACTCGAGCAGCACTTCCTAGGCGTCAAGGGCAAGCCAGGCTCTCCCGCTGCTCGCAACAATCTGGACAAGGCGACTTTCATCAAAGTGCAGCAGCTCATCGAGGAGGGACACCAGGTCATGATCTTCGTGCACGCAAGGAAGGAGACGGTCAAGACTGCTCTGACTATCCGCGAGATGTGTCGCGCTGAAGGGTGTGAGGACTTGCTTTTGGCTGGGCGCGACGACAAAGACGCTGTGGTCAATGGTTTCAAACGTGATTTGATGACCAGCCGTAACAAAGAGCTAAAAGAGCTCTTCGAGAGCGGCCTCGGCATCCATCATGCGGGAATGCTGAGGAGCGACCGCAACCTCAGCGAGCGCATGTTCGAGACTGGCATCACCAAGGTGCTATGCTGTACCTCAACGCTAGCATGGGGCGTAAATTTGCCTGCCTACGCCGTCCTCATCAAGGGCACCGAGGTCTACGACTCCGGTCTCGGCAAATTCACCGATCTCTCCATTCTCGACGTGCTGCAGATCTTCGGACGAGCTGGTCGACCCCAGTACGAAGACCTAGGTGTGGGCTACATCCTCACACCACAAGAGAAGCTCACTCACTACGTCGACGCCATCACCAGCCAACACCCGATAGAGTCCAAATTTGACAAGGGCTTGATCGACTCCCTCAACGCAGAGTGCGCTCTAGGCACAGTGCGGAGCACCTCAGATGCCATCACCTGGCTGAGCTACACATATCTCTTCACACGGATGCGCCGCAACCCGCTCGCTTACGGAATGTCCCACGATGAGATCCTCGACGATCCACACATCGGCGCCAAGCGGCTCGTCCTGGTCAATCTGGCCGCTAAGACGCTCGTGGCCTGCAAGATGTTGGAAGTCGATACCAAGTCTGGCCGACTGGGCATCACTGAGTTGGGCCGTATCGCCGCTCGGTACTACATTCCGTGGCGAACAGTCGAGATCTTCAACGAGAAGCTTCGTCCGAACATGACCGAGGCGGATGTACTCAGCGTCCTCTCTTTGGCTACGGACTTTGAGCAGATCATACCTCGTGACGCAGAGGAGAGGGAGCTCAAAAAGATGCTCGAAAACGCTCCCTGCGAGGTGCCTGGTGGGATCGAGACCTCGCCAGGCAAGGTAAACATTTTGCTTCAGGCGTACATCTCGCGCGTCTACGTGGAGGACTTTGCTCTTGCGTCGGACACAGCGTATGTTGCTCAAAACACCGGTCGCATCATCCGAGCCCTCTTTGAGATCTCTCTCAGCCGACGTTGGCCCACTACCACTGCCTCGCTCATGAGCATGAGCAAAGCAGTGGAGCGCCGCATGTGGCCCTTTGATCACCCGCTTTCACAAGCGACCCTCACGCAGGACACAATGTTCAACATCCAACGATGGGCCGACGAGATGGAGATCACCGACTTGGCCTGCATGCCAGCGCGAGAGATTGGCGATTTGATCCACTTGAACGAGCGCATAGGCGGCGCGGTGCGGACTGCGGCGCGGCAGTTTCCTCATCTGGAGCTGAGCTACGACCTCAAGCCGATTACGCATGACCAGCTCAAGGTACGCATCGACGTGAAGCGCAGCTTTGAGTGGAATGATCGAGCGCACGGGGGAATTGAAGCGTTCTATATCTGGATTGAGGACAAGACTATTCTGCAGTGGTCGCGAATCCTCGTGAGACCAACAACACAGCAGAGTGAGCTGGCGTTCACACTCAGCGTAGCAAGCCCAAAGCCGGCGGGGCTGACCATCAGGTGGATCTCAGACAAATGGTTAGGAGCAGAGGGGTCTGTATGGGCGCCATTTGACGAGCTTGTCATGCCAGCGCCGCCACCGCCGACGTCTCCGCTTCTCGACCTGCCGCTTCTCACCGTCGCCGAGGGGCTCGCACGACTCCCTTCTGAGACTCGACACGCCTACCTCTCGCGCTTCATGGCCTTCAACGCCATACAGACGCAAGCCTTCCACACAGCCATGCATGCACGCGCAAACATGCTCCTCTGCGCTCCTGCTGCATCGGGCAAGTCCACACTCGTAGAAATGGCGATATGGCGACAGCTTGAGCAGGACAGGACGTCGCACATCCTCGTCCTCGTTCCGCAGCATCGTCTCCTCCTCCAGCAAGCGCAACGTTTCGCAGAGTCCTTTGCTATTGCTCGCTCTCGCGTAGCGGCCTCACCTCGTGAGATTGCGAAGCAGGATCGCTCACTACGAGAAGAGGTGCTTTACGCCCTCCCACAGCATGTGCTACGCGTCGACCCTCAGCATTTGCGACGCTTCAAGCTCCTCGTACTTGAAGACCTTCATCTTCTCAACCCAGCATACGAGCTCGCCGTCGCGCACCTACGACGCGTCGCTGCCACCTCTCACGCCCGCTTCGTAGCCACAAGCGCCAGCCTGCACGACGCCACAAGCTTCAGTGAATGGCTAGACGTATCCGAGCTAGCCTTGTACGCTTTTCACGCGAAAGACCGCCCCACGCCGTTGGCGTTGGATGTACAATCGTTCGACCTGCCGCACAGCTTCGCCCTGCTGAAAATGATGGCCAAACCTACCTACGATCGCGCAAGAGCAGCCGTACAAGCTGGCAAGGGACCGGTGCTCATCTTTGTGCCTTCGAGGCAACAATGTCTCTCTACGGCGAGCGATCTCGTCACGCGTGCGGCCTCTGAGCTCAATCAGGGGGGTTTCCTCGGTGTCGATCCAGCTGAACTGGAGCCCTACCTCACCAACTTGGTGGACGAGCGTTTGCTCGAGCCTTTACTGCACGGCATTGGTGTATGGCATGAGGGGATACATTCTCGGGACCGGAGCTTGATGCTCGAGCTGTTCAAGAGCGGGACGATCAAGCTTCTTATTAGCCCGAGGGAGAGCTGCTGGTCACTGCCCGTTCGAGCAGGACTCGTCGTCGTGATGGGTGCCAGATCTATTCAGGTGGTGACCGGTAGCTTGACCGCCAAAGCGGAAGCGACCGAGAAGGCAGCGCCAACATTGGTAGAGGCAACTGAGAGGAAGGTGGTCGACTATGCGTCGACGGATGTCATTCGAATGAGCAGCTTGGCGTCTCGTCTTGACGGTTCGTCAGCTGGGGAATGCTTGATCCTTTGTCAGGGAGAGCAGGCGGAGCAACTGACCCAGGCTGTCAGGGAGGGGCTACCCGTGGAGTCAGGCTTGCTTGAAGATGCTGAGGCCACGATATCGGCAGCCACGCTGCCTGTCGCACCACTGCTTGTGGCTTTCGTCTTGCGCAATCTGGCTGCAGGTGAGGGCATGGACGCCCAGAGCGTCATCGACGACCTCTCCTGGACCCTTGTACAGCACCGCCTCATTCGGAATCCCTCGTACTATGATTCGGCCGGCACGAGTGGGACAAACGCGGCTGCGCGCCTCTCCACGGTGGCGGATGGGATCATTTGCATGCTCAGCGACGCAGGTCTCATCGACGTCGCCCCAGCAGGACAGGATCGTCCCGCTGAGGCCCGGATCAGCCTGCTGGGCCGGCAGCTCGTCAAGGCGTTTGAGAACAATGATGACGCTGCTGCTGTTGGGACGTTGCTGCGCTTGATGAAGGTGACGAGGCAGGACCCGCTGCTTGCTGCTGCGCTTTGTCAGAACACGTTGCAAAATGAGGCAAAGCGGGACAAGGAGGAGGCGTTGTACGCTCAAGAAAGTGTGGCCATCAGAGATCGCATACCCGGCGAATGGTTGGCGGCCTTTGGAATTCCGAGGGCGGATAGGCGAGAGAAGAAAGCAAGACAGCAAGCTGCGGATGCGGCCCAGACGAGGCAGGCAGAGGATCATGGCACACCCTCCTTGGAGCAGAATCAGCAAGCGCTCGTGGTTGAGGAGGAGCAGAAGCTACCCATTGGCGCATTATTGCTGGCCGCCTACTTCTCGCAAACTCCGATCAGGAGCAGCAGCGGAGGCAGGGTTGCTTCTTCCTCTACGCCGCACCTCTACGAACGTCAAGCTGCTCTCGTCATCAGGGTTCTGTCGGATCGATTGAGAGATGTAAGATTCGGTGATGCTGGTGCAGCTGGTGGCGCCGGCGCTGGAGAAGCTGCAGCGAAGAAGTCCAGGCCTGCATGAAGCGTTGTAATTGCTCGGAGTCGAGACATGCTGCTGTAAACATCCGTCGATCGCATCAAATCGCGATATTGTCGCATGCGCCTGCTGCTCGCCGCCGCAGCCATTGATTGCTATTCACGCCTGGTCGCGATGACGATTAACGAGTAGCCGTCGCGAAGACCGAGGCGGCTGTTTGCTTGCTCGCCTTGGCTGCCGGCGCTCGCTCTCTGTCCCGCCGTGCATTTCTTGGAAGGAAAACATCCCTCGCTTGCAGCAGGTTGCACCAGACCCAGACGCCGCCTCAGCCTTGCGAAGCCCCGTTTGAGCCCGCCCCTCCGCCCAGCGAAGTTCCACACTTTGCTCCCACGGACCCTGACATGACCACTTTGAGATGACTCGCCCGCTGTTCCACTTGGTTGGTCGGACGCTTGCTCGCATCGTTTCAGAGGTTGGGTGACGAAGACTACACGCCCATGACGAGTTGTGCAACAGATGTCAGGCAGGACAAGTGTGATTAGGTGTGCGTGCCTCTTCCCCAAGTGATGCAAAGGCAAGGCGGGAAAAAGAATGGATGAGGTTGGTGTGGAAGAAGCGGTGCGAGGCAAGGGGATCGCTCATCTCGCATCGGCTCGCTCACTTGGCCCCACGCTCGCTACCGCCGGCTTGCGCTTGTCAAAAGTTGCTCGACTCACTCACGCACACACACTCGCGCCAGCTCGCTCGAGCGAGCGCGCGAGCGAGTGAACTCGTTCAAGACAAGATGTTGCTGCTTGGCTCAGAATGCGGGACGCGGGGGTAGCGACACTCATCGAGCGAGTGACTGACTTACTTAGGGTAGCCTAATGCCCCGCTCCTCCTTCTTCCTTTCAATCCTTTCACTTCCCTCACATTTCCTCCGCTGATAGTCTGCAAATCCCATCGTCTCAACCCCCTTCTCATCGCACCTGGCGTCCGACGTCCAGAGGTGCGGCGAAGCTCTGCTTCAGCTTCCCGTCCTCATCGCCGCCGCTCGCTGGTGTTGACCATCTATGCCATCAACTCAAGCCCAATAACTGCTGACCGCTCCTCACCTCAAGATGGACAGCGCCAAGTCTTCAGTCTCGCCGTTGTCGTCGCCCCCGTCGACTTCGTCGCGGGCACGAACCCAGCCTGCCTCTTCTCTCCCAGATGCTCCTTCGTCTTCACTATCACCGTGGCCTCAGCCTTCATCGCCGTCGCCTCCTCGCAATCGACCTTGGGGTCCACGTCGGGCACTACCGCCTCCTCCCTTGAAATTGATCCCACCACCAACGCCCAGACTGGGCGCTACACTGTCCTTGCCTAGTCCAACGGTCCGCAAAGCGCCCATCTCGGCACCACCCGTGGCACTCAGCTTCCCTCGAGACGGCCGCTTCCTAAAGTCACCTTGGGCCAAGCCAATCGATTCTAAGACGGTACACAACACTCGACGCTCCATCGATAGCGCCGTCGCCGTCAAGTCCTGGACTTCCACCAATGTCTGCTCCGCAACGGCTTCCCCCGTCCTCACAGCCTCTTCGTTCGACAGCCAAGACATCGAGTCCGAGATCGAGGCGGCTACGGTCGCTACAGAGATGGCTCTCCAGGTCCTACGCTCTGAAGGTAGCTCGCTACTTGGTCCCGACGCCCCTTCTGGCTCAAGCAGCGATGACGCCAACGAGGAGCAGCTCGTCGCAATGTACAAGGCTCAAGGAATGTGGCCCAAGACCGTCGGCTTCCAGCTCAAGCCTCCTTCTCCCTCAATGGACGCTATTTGGGACCACGAGCGCGGCGAGCAGGATACCACGGGATCCTCGCTACTCCGCGGTCAGCTCTTCCACGGTGGCATTCAAGCTCAAGGTCAAGTCGGCCCAGAGGGAGAGCCCAAGCGCAAAGGGCGAGCAAGAATGAGCCAAGAGAAGCGACGCCGACTGGCACGACGCAAGGAACGAGAGGCTCTCATGGCAATGGGAATGGGCATGATCGATCAAAACTATGGGCACAACCAAGGCCACGGTCATAGCCACGGCCACGGCGGGTACGGAAGTTTCAGTGGTTCTGCCTCACCCACCGCCAGTCGCAGGATGTCTGGTCTCAGTCATAGTCAAAACTACCAGCATCTCGCGCAGCAGCCGCGTCAGCACCAGTACTCAATCGAATCTCAAAGTCATCATCATCAGGCTCAGAGTAATCCTACCTCACCATCCAATTACTTCCGACCTCTGCCTCCGGTCTCTGGCTCGGACAATGCTCTCGGCCTCGATCTGACCGCCATGGCCCGGAAGCAAATGGCCTCTGCCGTTGTTCGAGGCCATCACTTCTCCTACGGACCCGCCATGCATCCGGTCGAGACCTACTATCCCTCCCTCCCGGGACCAGGGATGGACGCTCCCTCGTCGCGCTGGTGGACGGCCAGGGATATCGCCGCCGTCTCGCCGAGTGCGTCTGCATCGATGGGCCTGTCACCCACTCGCACCTCTCGTGACACCATCGCTACTCAACAGCAATACCAGCACTACCAGCTGGCCAACAGCTTCGACCCGCGCTACCCTCCCCTGCCTACCACGCCGCGATCCTACGCCGCCAGCGCCTTCTCTGCCGCAGCTTCGCCGCCTGTGCCCTTCCACACGTACGCCTCCATGGCCTTGGCCCCGGACTCATCTGCCGCCTTTCACGCTGCCGCCGTTCAGCAGCAGCAGACTGGTCCGGTCCCTAGCACCACGACTCGCTCTCTCGCAACGACTTCAGCTTGGAGGGGCACCGCTGCTCCCCGGGGCCTTTCGATAGACTTGACTGGCCAAGCTCCACCTGCTGCCACGGCAGGCTACGTCCACATCTAGAGTGGCACGCTCATACCCAATGCTGGCCCTCACAGAGGACTGGCCTTGACAAGATCAAGCTGAGCGCCTCGAGCATCCAAAGTACGGCAGTCACAACTTCGCTTAGTCTCGCCCGCACCCGTCAGCGGCGCTCCTTTCGCCCTTTGATTGTCTTGTCAAACTATCCGGATCGTCCTCTCGTTCGCGCTCCCTCTCTTTGTCCAGATCGTTACTCCTCTTTTCTTTCTCACGCCTCTCTAATACCTCAGGACGTCCCCATCAATCTCTTCTGCCCTACAGTACGTTCCCCTCATCATCATTCTCATTGCATATAGACGTCCCGTCTCGTCCACCGCCGTCGAGACGAGGAGCAGCAACGAGGCGAGGAGACTTCGCCTCCCTTTCTTCCTGGAATCAAAGCGAAAGGAGAGTGAGTACGCAGATGCCAGCCTGCCGTCGCCTCCATCATTATCATCGCGATGCCTACGTCTTTGAAATCAGCATTTGTCATTCAGTCAGATGAAGAGTCGGTGATGGTGATGGAATGAGCGCTAGGGCGTGACATGCGCCTCGAATGGGGAGCGCGGACAGACGGACCGACGGACCGACGGTAGGTCGAGGGAGCGCATTTTTGTGTTCGTTACCTCGTTGACATCTGACGACGACGAGCGACGGCGACGTCTGGGTCGACAACGAGGAGTTGACGCCTGGTTTGGACCTCAGTTCGGCCTTCCGCCCACCTTGAAGGGCCCGACATTAGGCCATTGCACCCAGCTCTTTGTCTTTGCTGTGGCTCTGACCTGCCTAGATCGACGGGCGGGGCATTCAGTCGAGTGATGAGCAATGGCAGCCAGGCGGGCGAGGCTCTAGACGACAAGAGTCACTATGAGGTCATGGGACTCCCTCTTACAGCATCCAAGGCCGAAGTCAGAGCCAGGTTTCTCAAGCTTGTCCGGCTGGTGAGTCGTCGATTCCAGGCCAGAACGATGTCGCGTGTCTCGTCCCACTCATCATCCTTTGACCCCCTTCTTGCAGCACCACCCCGATAAGGCGGGCGCTCGCTCCTCTTCATCGTCGCAAGTCATTCACAAGCTATATACGGCACATCAAGTCTTGTCCAACGATGACTCTCGCGCCCTGTACGACGCTGAGCTGGCGCAGCGACGTGGCACCTCCCTCTCGCCCACCTCTCACACTGCGCGGCCGCCGAGAGTGAGCGCCACCCTCGACCTTGACACCTTTGAACCCACGGATGAGGAGGCCGTCCGCTTCGAGCACCCTTGCCGCTGCGGAGCAAAGTACATTGTCTCTGCAGACGACCTAATGGTGGAGGGATTTGAGCTGGTAGAGTGCTCAGGATGCTCAGAGGTCGTCAAGGTTGCTTGGCGTGATGAGACAGACGAGGATGGCAGGCAGGGGCACGAATGACTGCGACGGGCATCGGAAGTCCAGGAAATTTCGCTAATGGTATCGACATTGGTCCGCACAAGTGAAGAGACCGAAGCCACTCAAAGGCAGCGCACGCCTTTACACCATTATCTCGCATGCGTAGGACAGCTTTTCCCCCTTCCCAGCCAGCTAGCAACACAAGGCTCATGGAAAAAGCACAAGCACGGCAGCCTTGCAACGGCCTGGCCAGCCAGTAGCTCCTCGAAGCAAATGACGCACTCCTTTGAGATGATAGGCGAGTCCTCCTGCAGCCTGTACACCAAGTAACGCCCGCCCTGCACGCTACCACCGCCGCCATTTTCAAGACAGATGCGAAGGTGTTCTTCTTGGTCTTGCTGGCAACCAAATTGCGCGAGCGTCACGTTGCAGACCGGACATTCGTTCAGTTCGCTCGCACGCGAGGATACGGAGCTGCTGAACGCCGTCGTTGTGGCGCCATACCCCTCGGCCGCATCTGCCGTGCTAGGACCACCGCGCTCTTGCGCAGCACTCCGCAGCATTAGATCGGCTCCGCCTCTCGTATTGCGCAAAGCAGGGGGCAGCTGCCGCTCTGCGTGACACCCGGCGCAGATCCTCGATATTCCCATGCTCGACTCAGCGAAGAACATCTCAGGCACGCCCGGGTCGATGACCAGCTCGTCTGCCGAAAGTTGAGCGCGGTGCGAGGAGCAGTCGGCACAGAAGATACGACCGCAGCGGCGACAATGATGCTTGCGAGTGAAGAAGGTGAATCGTTTTCCGCAATTGCGACAGTCCGCTGCGTCCTCGTCTGGCTCCCAATTTGGAATCAGGGTTGCTTCGCGGAGTGTCGGGTGCTGGTGGATAGGAAGCGTCGCGGGAGCTTCGTTGGTGGGTACGCGGAACTCGGTAGCTCGAGCGAGATCCGCTGAACGATGATTTGAGGCGGTTTTCGCTGTCGCTCCAGCCTCCGAGGGAGGGGCTACCGGCGTCGTGTTGCCAAAGACGGAGTACGAGGAGTTGACGCGTGGTCCGATCGCGGGCCTGTTAGTGGCGAGGTTGCCAGCCTGAGAGGCTCCGGCGATGCGGGTGATAGTAGATTGCGTGTCCTTGAATGAGTTGGGGTAGATGAATTCCTCGTCGTCATCCTCTTCCTCTTCATCGTCATTTGCGTCATCTCCTTCACCCATTCCTGCAGCCTGGCGGAGCTGGCTGACTTGAAGGGTGAACTCTTTGAGCAAATCCTCCGCGCGAGTCCTACGCTCCACGTCTTGATCGTCAAATGCTGAGCCTCGCAGCTCATTGATGGCGAGCTCGAGTCGAACGCTGCGGCTCTGCAGGGCTTGCGGGCTCAAATCTCCCATGGCATCGGCCGGCGTGGCCCCTTCCTTAGCGCCAGCGAGGGCAATTGCCTTGGCCACATAGTCGGCGTCCGCACCCAGCTCATCGCATTCAATTTGGGCAGCCTCTTGAGCGGTTCGAGTCGTGGTGGACGAAAGGTCGACGTGAAGCTGGGTGGCCTCGACGCTGTGGTCAGACAGCTCAGCCGCCTCGAGCTCATCGCCAAAGTCAATGTCGAGCCTGCGTCGCATCACCCGAACCCATCGCCGGCGCCTCACCCATCCAGTCGGCGTTGCTTCGCTGTCGCCATTGGAGTCACCCAAGACGCTGCTCTGCCCTGGCCCAGGCAAGTGGCCGCCCGAGATGGCTCTGGTTACTGCGGACCCTAGTCCTTTGCCTTCCAGCAGCCTAGTCAAGGGAGGCGGGACCTGTGCACTCCATCGGTCCTCTGCGGCGTCGAACGACTGCGCATATTGCCATCCGTCGACGTGATCGGCTTGAGGATGAGTACGGTCGAGCTGCCAGTCGCAGAGCCAGAAGTGGGATGGCTCGTCTTGTTCGCGAACGCTTGAGGAGACGGACCCTCTGCGTTGTTGCTCGAGGATCGATTCTGGTGTCGGCGTGGTAGAGAAGTCTTCACCGTTGGCTCGTTGACGGTGCTGCGCCGCTATCGCTGCTGCGCGACTTTGACTCTTGGTTGGCAGACGTAGCTTGTAGGGCTGCGAGCGTCGAGGCAAATCGACGTCTTCTCGACGCATGGGTGTGTGGCGGGCGAGTGAAGACGAGAGAGGTCCAGGCGGCAAGGTGCCTGGTGCTCTGCGGTCTGGCTTATGTGGTCGTCCTGCTCCCGATCCACTCCATCGAGGTCTGCCTCCATTGGTAGCAAGGGCGGATAGTCTTGTGTCGAGGCGTTCATTTTGGTAGATGAGTACGGGCACAGTTGTGTGAAGGTAGAGGGGATTGTACGAGCGTTGCTGAGTAGCACCGGCTGCCGAGGCGAACCTCAAGGCACTCCACCTTTCTGCTTCGTAGCTCTCTAGGACTTGGCAGATGAAGATCTCAAAACTAGCAGCAGCGACATCGTAGGCCGTCTCTCCTGCTGAATTGCGCTGAAAAGGGTCTGCATGATGCTTCGTGGTGAGGAAACGGACTATGGGAAGGTGGCCATTGGATGAAGCGTTCATCAAAGGGGTCCAACCTCCTCTGCCTCCCTTGACATCGAGGCTGGCGCTGGCCGTCTCTACTAGGTACTTGACGAGGTCGAGATAGCCGCGTGAGGATGCATTGTGAAGGGCAGTCCAGCCATCTCCGTCGGCAGCATCGGCTTCGGCGCCATGAGAGAGGAGGTAGACGAGGACAGGTAGTCGACCTGCTAGGGCCGCCTTGTGAAGAGCAGTCTGCAAAGGGAGCGTAGAAGAATGACAGTCAGCTTTGGGGTTGACAGAGCAAAATTGCACCGTCACGCTTGATGATGACTCACCTCTCCCTCTCGATCTTCAATCTCAACGAGTGCTCCCACATCCTCGACAAGCCACTTGAGTAGGTCGAGCTTTCCTTGCTTTGCTGCATAGTGAATTGGCATTTGCCCGCTGGATGGATTGGGCTCGTTGGCCAGGGCAAAAGAGGAAGTGCCAGTCATTTCCGTCGTCTGTTGGAAAAACAGCTGAAGCGATTCGAGTGAACCTGAAGTGCATAGCTCGTGCAGTCGCTGGTAGTCGATGGGTCGTGGCCGAGGGCGAGGCGGCCCTTTGGACTGGTCACCTGACCCCTGCATGCCCTCTGATGGCAACGGCGACGACGACGTCACACTTCCAACATGGACGACGTCGTTTGTGCCCGATGGGTAAACAAAGTCTTCTTCCTCTTCCTCTTCCTCTTCATTGCCCTCGTCACGATGATGCGCGCCGTTAGCATTCTCATGAGGAGGCGCATCTTGCTGTTGGTATACGAATGCCTCTTCGTCTGCACTTTCGCTGCTGCTGTCAAGTGGCCCATTTGTGCTCATCAAAGGCATGGCGTCGGCGTCATTGGGCCCTCGATGATGAACCAATTCAGGCGCAATGCTTGATAGCTGAGCCTCTTGCGTAGGCTTTGGGGTGCCAGCATCGCTGCCACCTCGAGATGCCCATGCTGACTCTGGGCTCAGAGGATCGGCAAATGCGCCAAGTGAGGGCACTGATGGGCTGCCTTGAGTTTTGAAATGTCTGGTCGACGACGATGGTGGTGCCCTCTGCGGAGTCGGCCTGGCGATGGACGGATCATCTGGCAGGCCATCATCGTCGTCGTCTCTGGACCACGCATTGCTGGACCTGCATGGCACAGAGGTAGTGAGCAACGACGAGTGCATTCCTCTCTTGCCCAGCTCAGCGTGAATTCCACTCACTCTCCTAGCGGTCCGTAGAAGGACATGACGATGGCGAACGGACAAAGGCAGGATACGATGATGATAGCAATCCAATCACACAAGGCAATCCAACACCTGCCGGTCTGCATTTTGGCCCCTCCACGCGCAGCCCGGCTCCCCTCTCGTGCGACACCCACGCGCGCCCATCCGATTCACGCCCGCGCTTCACCAAACGGCAGTGTTGTGTGCTATCGATTACTCTTACAATCGTTCTACGCCCACTGCATCGCCGACTCTCCCTGCATCGCCTTCTTTTGCCTGTCTTCAAATACATTTCGCTTCTCGTGCCAGTCGCTCATCATCATCTCGCCCCTCTGCCCGATCACCTTCTTCAACTCATCTACCAATGCTCTCGTCGCAGCCGCTGACTCTGTCGCAGACACCGGTCGCTCATCAGGATCGATGGCGCGCTTCATCAGAGAGTCGAGCGTCACGTAGGCAATGTAGCGCTGCGGCAGCATTGCCCCTGCACCACCACCCGTGACCTTGCGCGTGCGAGCCTCTGAATTGCTCTTCTGCACCCAGCGAATCGCAGCTTGCAGTGCTTCGTCCACTCGATCTGTCTTGAGGTAGACCTTGATCAGCAGCTCCGGCTGCTCATTCTCAAACCAGCCCAGTAGCCAGAGGGGCACCTCGAGCTTACCGCCATCCGACCGCCTCAGCGCAAGGAGACGCTCGAGTACTATGACGCGATGGCGCCAAACCGTCTCTGGCCCACGAGCATCTTCGATCTCGAGGTTGAGCTTCAGGTAGCGCCAGGCTCGCTCCGCCAAAGACCCCGTCCAGCCTGATGTGCGATCCGACGAGCGCAAAAAGCCCCATCCTGCCGACCAATCTTCACCCTCCTCCTCTTCTGCTTCGCTTCCTTGCCCTGCCTCATAATCGCCAGCAAGCAAATCAAGCATCTTATTTGCCTCCACTCCTGTACCCTCGGGATCTTGCGCCTGGAGTTCTTTTTCCGCCACCTCTTTGCGATAGCTTTGCAAGAAAGCGCTCGTGGCGCACTTGACGGCTAGCTGCGCAAAGATGCCACAGGGGTCGACATCCAGGCCACGTGCGGCCGTAAAGGCCTTGTCGTACTCCTCGTTGCGGATCAGTAGCGAGACGATGTCCGTCGCGCTTAGCGTCATTGTTGCGCTTGCTAGCTCGGGATACATTTGCACAAGTTCCAGCCGTGATAGGACTAGGCGATACTCCCGCCGGACATCGTCTTGTTGGACGATGCGGATCTCTTTGCTGCCTGCTTGCCAATGAGAGGAGGGAATGTAGCTCGACAGCTTCTTCGCAGACGAGGACGGGTGAAGTCGAGCTGACATCGTCGCGGGTGCAAGATTCTCTTCCTCGTACTCTCGCATTGCGCTAGTGTTGAGCGCGTCTGCAAACCAAGCATTGTTGGCATCGAGGAGCGAGAGGGCGTTGATCGCTGTCAGATAGCTGCGAGCCTGCTGAACCGCGAGGTCCAGGAAATCGTCGTACACAGAAGCGGCGCTAGTCCCGTTGGCAATGCGTTGCAGCTCCCCGAGTCGATGGGCCTGTTGGTACATGACAGCTCCAGCGGATTTGAAGTCGCTGCGATGAACATGGTACGAATAGAGGATGTGGAAGAAGTTGGGCAGCGCGGTCGGGTCGCAGTTGCGAGCCTTGAAACTCAGGTTGCGCTCCACCTCAGCTTGCAAGCCTGCAAAGTTGAACTCGAGCAGCTGCGATACGTGGCCTGTCTCACACATGGCTGAGATGAGCGTTCGCAGGCAGTCGCGACGCAGCACGTCCGAGGGCATCTCCATGACTGTAGAGTAGCTTGCAGCGTAGTCGCCGAGGTGAAGTTGCGAGCGGAAGAGGCGGAAGTAGAGCTCACGAGCATCGGCGGGCGATTGAACTTCCGTCGACTTGGTGCTGCGAGCGAGGCGCAAAGCTTTGGTGACAAAGGCCACGATTTGGGAATGAGCTAGGAAGGGCTCGAAAAGGTCGGCGACATGGCGGCAGTATCTGGCAAGAAGGATGTCAGAGACCGCTTCGGCACTGTCGTATTCGCCGGATAGTACCGAAGGGGGCAGAAGCTGCGCGAGGAGCTGCTGATCTTGTCTGATGGGGCGTTGGCTCAGAGCGAGGATGCCAGCCATGCTGGATGAGAAAGCTTCGGCAGCTTCGACGAAGCAGCCTTGCTGGAGCAGCGCAAGTGCGCTCAGATATGATGACGCAGGCGTTTCAGCAAAGGCGTTGGCCAATAGCCGACAGGCGAGAGGGACGCCGTGCGACACGAGGCTGTGGCACAAGAGAGCCTGCCTCGCGCCAAGAGTAGGCAATTGGATGGCCTCGCGTGCATCGCAACTCGACGAGATGCCCATGGCTTGCAGCGTGGATGAGACAGCGTGAGCTAGCATTTGTGATGCAGCAGCGCCCTCTCTATCGTCCCCGCTGTCCGTCCTCAGCATCTCTTGCGCTACGCAAAAGTGGACGAGGCCAGAAGTAGGCGCCGCGACGGCTATGCGGCTTTGCTCGCTGACATTGAGCAGACCGAGCTCCTTCGCGATGTCGTCCTCATGCGTGCCCTTGCATGCCAGGACGACCGCGCTACGGGACTCCTCCGGGGGGAGGGGCAGGTCTGCAAGCTTGACGGCGAGTGAGAGTGAGTGAAAGACAGTGATGAGGCGGACGATGAGATTTGGCAGCCGCTCGAATGAGCTTGCGACAGAAGCCGCTTCGTCATCCTCACTGGCGCTCATGGCATGGATAGCCAGCACAAGCAGCAGCAGCGACTTGCTGAGCCGTGTGCGATTGCGAAGCGACTGGTAGGCGCCATCAGCCACGAATGCCGAGGCGATCTCCGTTCGCAGTAACGACCTGTTCCAAATGAGGCTGTCCTTCTTCGAGTTCAGTGAGGGACTTGAGATGAGTAGGTCGGCGAGGGCAAAGAAGGCCGGCTCCAAGGCCGGCTTTTCCCAATCGATATCTTCCGATACTGTCTCTTCGGCAGGAAGGACCGTTGCAACTTTCGACTCAGCCAGCCGTGTGAGCACAGCCAGGGCAGGCTCTTGCAGCTCTTCAAGCCCAGCATCGAGTCCAGCGTTCCAGAGGTCCAGCGCGGCGTCATTGATATCCGAACCAAGAGGTTGTGACACGAGCTGGAGTGTGTCGCGGGCGAAAGCATCGACGGAGATGGCGGGAAGACTCGAGGTGAGCGCTGTTGCAACAGTGGCAAGTGCCACGCTCATCTCCCCCAGATCGCTGATGGCTGCCTCGCCGTAGTCTTCTTCTCTCGCCTCACTACCAGTGTTGGCCGCGTTGAGATGTTGTGCGAGACGACGACGCTTGCGCGCGAGCTGGCCATCATTGTTCTCGTGGCTGATCTCTTGGGCTACAGCGGTGAGAGAGCCTCCTGACCGCTGCGCTGCGCCGACACAGTGACCTTCCGCCAGTGCTACCAGGGCATCCACGGCGTCTTTGTGGATGGTAAAGGCCAGGCGGTCCCTTGTTAACACCAAGGGTGTAGTCCAGCGCTCGTCATCGGAGGAGGCAACAAACTCGATCGGCCACCGACCCTGACCATCTGCCTCTTCCAGCAAGCCAATGAACCTCTGCCACTCTCGTCGGATCGCCGTCTTGAACTCTTCGTGCAGGACAGCACCCGTCTCGGGATCGATCTCGAGCTGTACGCCAGAACCGACAGTTAACGCGATCTGGTCTGCCAAAGACTGAAATGCAGCGTCCGGTTGCAGAGCGGCCGGGAGCGCGAGGCGTGCGGAGGACAGCGAGTCGAGGAGCGCTGCAGCATAGACGTCGACTGCCCACTCGAGCGAAGAGACGCTATACCTGCCTGCCTCCATGATGCGAGAAAGATAGAAGGAGCTCGCCGCAGATTGCGGCGATGAGTCGTAGTCTTGCTCGGCTGTCGAGAGGAGAGCCTCGATCTCGCTGCCTCGCAGCGGGGTATATGTGGTGGATGGGTCGTAGGCTGTCGTGCTCCAGTCCTCAGAGTCAACGGTGGTCTCTTCACCATCCTGCTCTTCTTCGATCAAGTGTACGATTGACTGTTTGATGAGAGAGCGTCCGCCTGCATCCCAAAGCGTCCAGAGCGCCCACTCGTCGCTCGACATGACGATTGCATCTCGCAGTTCAGCAGCCATTCCTTTCGTCTCCTGGTCACAAGCTTTCTGCCACAGTAGCGCAATTTGACTGATTCCTTGACCTGATGCTGAGTTGTGAGATGGCGGAACCGGTGATCGCGTGGCGATAGCCCGCGTCGATGACTTAGCGCCGGCGAGCTCGACGCCGTACAGGGCAAAGAAGGAGCCAGTGGGAAGCGGCGTTGGAACAAAAACGAGGAGGTAGAGTGGATACTCGCTTTCATCTCGAGCGTCTGGCTGGAAGACGCGTACATGCGGCCTGCTTGCGCCGCGGCTGCCAAAGGGAGGCAATGAGGTGCCTGTAGCCTCATCGGTTTCAGAGACGAGAGCGCTAGGCAAGTCGACGGTAACGACGCAGGAGTCTGTGACGAGGTCCCATGCTCTGAGCTTGCGATCACGTGAGATGCAAAACGCGATCGAAGAGGCATCGTCCCGTACAAGTGTGTCCATGGAGACGACCTGGGTGGATGCGACATTGGCCGAAAGGCTCGTGTCGACGCTCACGGACTGCTGGGCTGGCGAGGGCGAGGAGCGAGAAAAGAACTTGGAAAAGTTCTTGAAGAACGAAGTTGAGCGCAGCATCGTTTCGCGCCATTCGTCGTCGTCGCTCTGGCGCTGCAGCTTGATGAGGGCTCCATCCTCGCAAGCGACGAGGACAGTCGTTGGATCAACGATATGGACGAGTGCGTTTGCGCGGATGGGCGGTAGCGGCGAGCCTCCTCGTTGCGGGCTCATTGTGTTGCTGCTCGACTCGACGAGGCTGGCTACCTTGTGTTCAGACGCCCAGTCGTGCGGGAGCGTTGACGCGTAAAAGGCGCCTGGCGGTGGGAAGCGGAGGTGGAAGAGCCATCCGGTGATTGTGATGCCGATGAAAGCGACGCCGCCAGAGAATTCGTCGAGGAATATGGAAAAGCCAGGCAAGAGAGGGGCAGGAAAGAGGAAGTGTTGTGGGCAAGGTATCGGCGAGGAGATGCCCATCGGGAGCTCGTTGCCGTCATTGTCAAGGCGAATGAGGCTGAGCTCCAGAGTTTGGCCCTCGTGAATGGCGCGCGCAACGACGATGCAGCCGGATTGATCTGCGGACGACGATGACGAGTGCATCCTTGCCGTCGCATAGTGGGCATGCTCAGAGGGTATTCTGTCCCTCGTTGAAGAAGGCTGCGTGTACGCTGGATGAGAAGAGGGTACGGTGCGGCTCTCAGTCGTCCGCGAGGATGAGAGGCTGTACGCTACGACCCTCTTACTCGTCCAAGAGGACGTCGACGAGGACGAGGCCATGATGGGCGGCTTCGAGAAGGTAAGACTAGGAGGAGCAGACGATACGAAGAAGCCTTGCTTTTGCATCTCATCGACTTCGCTGGCTCTGTCTTGGCTCGCGTCTGTCTCTCTCTCTCTGTTCCGTCCTTCCGTCCGTCCAACTCTCGTCTGCGATTGACTTTGGACTTGAGCCCGCGCTTCGACTTGTCTGTCTGTCTGGGCCGCTCTCTCTCTGTGGCTCCGTGTTGCCCACCCGGTCGTCCGCCCGCCCGCCCGCCCGTCTGCCCCGCGGTTGGCGTCAGAGGCAGGGCATCGCCTTGGACGTGACATCGTCTGCATTCTCTTGCTATCTCATCCCGTCTGATCTCTTTCCTTGCTGCGGCCACAGCTACTTCTTATGCTGGGACCCTCGAGCACGACCGATCTCTAGCTGTGCGTCGCCCAATTTGGAACTATCGACGGCATACAGGCACTGAGGTAGCACCACGCAACACGCACCACGCACTACGCACCACATCCTCTTCCTCTTCTTCCTCTCTCTCTGGCGGTCAGATCCCCTTCTCATCGGGACCTCGCTTCTAGCCGACCTGCCAGAGTGCCCTCGACATCCTCGACATCCTGACGATTACAGAAGGCATTGACGGACGACAATCATCTTTACCCTCCTTTTCTGCCTTCGCGCTGCATCATCGGTCCATCCGCTCATCGCCTCATTCATCATCTGCTACTCTGCCCTTCGCCATGAGTCCCCCCTCTATTGGCGGCGGCGGCAACGGGGGAGGCAGCATGGCAGATCAATCGATTTCGACGATATCAATGTCCTCATCGTCGAGTCGAACTCCGCTCGAGATGCCCTCCATCGCTCAGAAGCGCAGCTCTAGCTCTATTCATACGCCCAGCCACTCGCAGTCGCAATCACAGTCTCAGTCTCAGTCTCAATCGCACCGAGCACAAAGCTCAATATCTCTAAGCACAAGAGGCAACTATCGGGAGAGCTCTCAGTCCCTCGTTGCCCCGGGTACTGGGGCTGCCAGCCCATCGAGCCATCATGCTATTCAGTCCTCACCCATGGAGTCGACTGCGTCATACCCGGGCTCTACTTCCATGGCTGACACGACGCAGATGCTCATCGCGAGCGCAGTCCAACGTCTTGTGCGTAGACTTCCCTTCAATTCAGGTACCAAGCTCACTTTCCTTGAAGAGGATGAGCTGGTCCGATCATGTGTCGCCAACCTCGTTACTGTCAGTCGAACGCAACTACCTACCGTCGCCAAGGAACTCATGGCTGCAATGGAGACTCTCAACAGGGTTCGTTCCGCTGATCGTGTTGAAGTGTATAGCATTGACTAATACTTTCACCTCGCTGTTCTGGCCCAAACCCACAGAGCGCTCAAGCATTCTCAGAAGACCAGATCAGCGTCAACCTCCTCCAGTCACAGCTCCTCGTCCTGAGAGTCATGACCGCATGTATGCTATACCATTGGCGCTGCTGTCAAGAGGTAGCTCCACCGCAGCAATCCCCTGAGGGAGCGCCGCGAGAGCCTCTACCTCTGGCTTGGGTAGACCCAGACCCACTAGAAGATCACTTGGCCAAACAAGTCCTCTCAGTCATGACAGTCACACTGCGGCAGACGGTAGCGCGGGAAGATCGCCAGATCAATGCGTGGGCCGGCCTCTCAATGGCAGGCAACGCGACGCAATCGGGTGCAGGCAAACATGGCGGCATGAGCAGCGCAGCGAGGTCAGCCATGCGTGATTGGGATCAGACGGCAAGTTTCGGCAGCGTCAAACAGCAAAGTCGGTGGGACGAGCAGACGCAATCGCAACCGGGAAGAGATGAGAACATGGGCTCGACGAGTGCGGCAGGAGGCATGAGTGGCAGTGGCAGCGCTCCTGGACCTGCCGTCGACAGCGAGGGCATACCAGTCGCAGCATTGTCCCTCGTCAATGGTGTCAGTCTCTTCGTCCTGCCACCTGGCTGTCCTCCGGCATTGGCTCCCTTTGAAGTACCTTCACCCGGCTGTCCTGACCTTGGCGGGACGGATAGGCCGCAGCGCTTCAAGCCCCTCGCCGTCATTGGGGGCGCTCAAGAAGGCTTCGGTAATGCAGGCCTCGGCGAGGATCTGACCAAGTCAGTTCCAGCCTTGACCAAGGCAATCTACCGCTACGCAAATCTAGTCATCTTCTATCTCAGTTCGAGCAACTGGCAAGTCGTCTCTGCGAGGATCAAGAATCGCATCGCCTACCTCATGTCCACGCCAGAGGAGTTCCCCAATGCCGCCGACCTGCGCCTCATCGAGTGCGGCAATCTTGATCCGCGCCGTCTTACCATGGTCTTCCAAGAGCTCACGAGCGCCTTTCACCACTTGCGCAAGAGCACGCAGAATACGGCTGGCCTCATCGTCCGCAGAATGGTGTGGGCCTTCATCCAATATAACCCGGTCCATTTCGCCACGCTCTATCAGACGGGTAGGCGGCTCGACGGGAATCCCGAGGTCCTTTTCGATCAGGCCTTCACGCTTTCTGAGGCAAGCAAGAGGAAACCCGCACTCTGGCCGATGCTCACTGCGCTGCTCATTCTTTGCCCAGACGTTGTAGCAAGAGTCGTCGCTTCGGGAGGCAGTGGCAAGAACAATGCCTCGGCAGGCTTGGCCAAGAAGGCGAGCTTCATTGACGCCCTTCGCAAAGCTCTCAAGACGGGCAAGTACGGGGACATTGCCGCTGTTTGCGCCATGGACATTTGCAAGGCTGCTACGTACACGCCTCCGACGAGCAATAGCGGGTTGCGCATGTTGGTCCCAGAGTTCGAGCGAGAGCTCAAGGAGCGAGTCTTCGACCCCTCTAAGCCTATGCTCAACTCCGCCAAGCAAATTGAAACCTCACTCATCGTCGATGGCTTCATCAGCTTCTTCCGCCTCGATCCGAAGAGGACGTTGCAGCACACCATTCCCGTTTGCATCGCTGATTCCAGCCCGACAGCCTTCAAAGTTGGCTTTCTAAAGGCCATTCTGCAGCTCGTTAGCGAGTCGTTACACATCCCTTGGAATCCGCAAGTGCCCATCGTCTTCCCGCAGGCGAGCCCGTGGATGAGACGGACATTTAAAGACCTCGTGTACAGGCTTTTGAGAGAGGGGCGAACGCAGCAGCAGCCAGCACGAAGGGTCCTCCCTGGCGCGGGCAAAGCCGGCGCCGACGATCTTCAGAATCGCCTTCAGCTCCTGCACGCCATCCTCAGCGTCTGGAAGGCCGATCCGCGCACTGCCTCGCACGGACTCGCCTTCAATTATTCGACGGGTCTGGCATCTCTGTCGCCTCACCGATCAGTCGGTGATATGGACCAGCTCCTTCAGGGGGCCATGCAGACGGACTCGGTCCTCTCTTTGATCTTCATGATCACCCGCGCGTCCTTTCTACCTGGCTGCACAGAGCTTCACGCCGCAGCTCTTGACGTCTTGCACGCTTGCTATCAATCGGCACAGGGAGGCGGCCACGGCCATGGCTCTGACCGTCCAGACGAGCATCACGCAACCTTCTTGCTTCATGCCCGCAGGGCCATGCACTCGTCTGAGGCAATGTTGACCCAAAGGCTCTCAGAACATCTCGTGCGCGCACCCGACGCCGTCGAGCAGCGACATTGGTATCGCTTGTGGGTTTCTGGACTTCAACTGCAGGTCCAAAATGCTTTGAGCTACAGCGCGATGTCGGTCGCAGAAAAGGCAGAGACGCCTCGCCCGTCCTTTATCGAGAAGCTCCTCGAGCGGCTGATGCTTTCGATTGGCTTCTTCCTCGGCATCTGCTCTGCTGATTCCGAGGTGGTGACCATGGCATTGAGCAGCTGTGCCAGCGTTGTCCTCCTGCGCAGAGAGGCGAGACGAGTGGGCGACATGGCCAAGGCGCTCGGCGATGACTGGAGCGTCTTTTGGGAGAAGCTCACTGATCCGGCTTTTTTCACCCTCGGCCGCGTAGCTCGTCAGAAACGCATCCGTGCATTGCTGCGCAACATCAAGTATCCTACGCCGGCAGCGCTGATCACCTGGAAGGAGACGCTGCGAAGGTGGAGCGTCCTCACCTCCATTGTGGCCAAACCCATCGAGAATGGATCCTCGAGCGAATCCGTGGTTGACGAGCGCGTGGCAGCTCAGTGGGACAACTACGCTGGCTTTTTGGCTTCACTCAGCGGTTGCTTTATGGGATCGGCGCCTACCGACTTGCCTGCACTCCCCGACTCGATGCTCGACCCGGATTTCGCCCTTCCCGCCGACATCCATCAGCTGATCGACAGCTTTCTCCAAGAGATGGTCGACCTTCTCGTCTCCGACTCAGTGTGGGTGCGGGAGAAAGTCAAGGAGACACTTGGCCTGGACCTCAATTCGCGACTATCAGGCGCTCTCTTCCGCCAGATCCATGCCGTACTGGGCGACTTTTTCGACAAATCAACGGGCCTGCCTCAACCGTCCGAGATGTTCACCATCTTCGTTGAGCAATCAATATCCGTCGTTCAGATGGTACTCAATCGCATTGACGTCGAGTGCACGGAATGGACCGGCAGCGTCGACATCGGCTCGCTCATGGTCCTCTACGTTGAGTATGTCAATGCTCTTGGTCGTCGCGAGCAGGCTCTGCGCATCAAGACATCGATGTGCCAACTTTGCGAGGCTCTCATGGACAAGAGGCACATGTTTGCCTTCCGCAACGAGCTGCGTGTGCGTAATCGCCTCTTTCAGGCTCTCATCACTTGGACCTCGGACTCGCCTGTCAGCGAGGACGGCAAGGCATCTGGCAAGATCGACCGACTCCAGCGTGAGCTCGACGTTGCATGCCTGAAGATCATCTCGACTCTTTTGGACGGCTTGCCACTGCTACTGGCCGACGATGCGCTCATGCTGGACGAAAAGGTCGAATGGGCCAAGTCGAGGCAATTCTCGCTCTTCTCCAGCATCTTCATCCGCATTCTCAACCGCACTCGGCAGCTCGAGTCGTCGGTGGGTATCGGCATCGGATCCGCGGCTAGCATCGTGGATCGAGCTCGAGCCGGGCAGCTACTCTCGACTGCCGCCTTGACTGCTCAACGTAATCGCGAGGCCGTGCTCAAAGAGACTGCTCCGTTGCGAGAATCGGCCATTTTGGCCTTGTCTAACTTGCTGGCATCGAACATCGACAGCGGCCTCCAACACTCGCTCATGCTGGGCTACTCGGAGGATCCAGAGCTACGCACGGCTTTCATGCGCATCATGACGAACGTTCTCAACCAGGGCACCGCTTTTGATCCGTTGGAGCGTCTCAAAGAGTCGCAGAAGCAGAATCGTCTCGTCGAGCTTATCGGCGATCGTAACTTCTCTCTCGCCCTCGCCATCTGCCAAGTCTGCCGTGGTTGGGACCCAGAGCTGGGCATTGACCGCATCATCTTGAGCATCTTTGACTCGAGGGGCGGCATTATCAAGTTCCTCAAGGCCGCCGTTGAGGAGGAGATCGAGAGCACGGCATCTGAGGAGATGGTATTCCGCAGCAACTCGTTCCGCACTCACCTGTTGTCTCTCTTTGCGAGGACGCACGGCTACGACTACTTGCGCTCCATCATGACTCCTCTTATCACCGAGATGGCCAACAAGCCACGCGGCTTCTCCTTCGAGATCGACCCTCAGCGTCTGGAGCCTGGCGAGTCAGCGATGGTCAATCAGTCGAGGCTGGAAGAGACGGCGCAGAGCTTCATCAACACAATTTGCGACTCTGCCGCTCAAGTGCCAGCGGTGATGAGAGAGCTCTGCCGCCACATCCGCCTCGTCATGGACCGCAAGTTTCCCAACTCGCGTTACCAGGGCGTTGGAGGCTTCATGTTCCTGCGCTTCATCAGCCCAGCAATCGTTGCGCCGCAGAACATCGATATGAACCTCGACGGTCCAGGCAAGGGCTTGCGAAGAGGCTTGCTCCTTGTTAGCAAGATCCTGCAGACGCTCGCGAGCAACAATCTCTTTTCTGCGCACAAAGAGCCGTTCATGATTGGCCTCAATGACTTCCTCAGGAGCAATGTCTGGCGGGTGACTACCTTCCTCGACGGCATCTCAGACACGCGCACCGATCCAGAGCGATTGCACGCCGCTGATCAGCCCCTAGGCTATGGCATCCATCCATCCGGTTACGGCATCGATGAGCGAGAGCAGCGCGCTCTGCACCAGTGGATGGTGGACAATGCTGAGAAGGTTGGCAATGAGTTGCTGTCCAGGGCGTCCGCGACAACCCAGCCCTCTTCTCCTGGCTTCGATGGCTCAAATCAGCCCACGTCGCCAACGGGTACTGGCATGGCTGGCAGCGGCGGCAGGCAGACCTATGACCAGCTCAAATCCACGTTGGCTGAGCTGGGGCCTCCTGGACGTCATGCGTCCGACGCAAGCAACAGCAACATGAACAACGCTGGTCTGCCTCCCGGACAAGGTACTCAAGCGCTGCAAGATTTCTACCGTCGCACTGGCGCTCGCAACTTGCACGACAATTCTTACGACAAGCTTTTCTACATCGGTCCTCCGTCCAAAGCTGGCCGTCCCGTAGTTTACTACTGCCCCAACCTGCAAGACGCAGAGACGATCGACTTTGAAGGCTTGATGGCGCACGGGATCCAGACGCTTGAGCAGCTGCGAGGCCAGGAGTTTGACGCCATTGTCGACATGACGGCTCTCAAGAAGAGCAATTTGATGCCACCAGCTTGGGCATTCTACTTTGCGAGCATCATCCCTCCTGACATTGCGAGCAAGATTCGAGGCGTCGTCATGTTCAACCCAAATACGGCGGTACGGCTGTGGTACGAGTCGGCGAGATCGTTCCCGGATTCAGCCTACTCTGGCACGATTGGCTTGGTGGCACAAAACCTCCAGATCCACCATTGCAACTCGTTGGGCGAGCTCGACTCCTTCATTGAGCGTCGCAACGTAGCTCTCTGCCCGGAGACGCTCGCCATCACATCTGCCGTCGCTGAGCATCGCTTCACTCAAGTGACGATGGTATGGTACTACCGCCAGCTAATCCCAGTCACATTCAAGATTGGTGGCGAGTATCTGCAGATCACCGCGCTCAAGGGCACGGAGTTCTTCGCTGGTCGCCCCGCCAACGCCAATGACGTCTTTCATCTGGCCGATATCGACGACGTCCGCTCGCTCGCCAATCGAGGCGACGACAACACCTTCCTGCTCACCGTCAGAGCGAGCGAGCTCTCTTTCCTCTTCCACAGTCGTGAAAGGACGAACATCGTGCAAGCGCTCAGGGAGGCGAGGGCCCGAGTGTCACGCATCCGCCCGACTAAGTCGCTCGACCGTACGCTTCTACCCAGTGACGTACCAGGCACACTGCTCAATATGGCCATGCTCAATATCACCAGCGAGCATCCCGGTCTGCGTTTGAGCGCATACAATCTACTCTGCGCACTCTCTGGCTCATTCAACTTTGGCGCATCGGCTGCTCGCAAGAAGCTGCTCAATAGCAAGGGCCTTTCGCTGCCGGCCAACACGACGAGCTTTGTGGTCGATCTCAGCCGCGACTTCGCCGTTGCAGCTCCAGGCGCCACGCTCGAGTTCTTCGTCTCCTTCTTCGAGGGCTTCGAAGCGGCGTCGCCCAACCAAAAGACGATGAGCCTGCAGTACATGGCTCCCTGGCTATCCAATCTCGTAATGTTCACCCATGCCAGCCGCGAGGAGCAACCAGAATTTCAGCGCCGCATCAAGGAGATCTTCGGCCAGCTCCTGGCCATCACCACGAAGCAGAGCGACATGTTCGCTGTCATGCAGAGGACCGTCTGGTGTCACGTCAGCAAGCTCGACGACCTTATTCCCCTCGTCTTGGAAGTCTTTTGCGAGGCTGCCATTGATTCCGGCCTCTACTCACCACGCTTCGACGCCGTCGTTGACACAATGGTTTCCTTTTCGTCGATGAATCTGCGTGGCAAGCTCTTGGCCAGGCTACGCAGGGCTATTGGCAAGACGTCTCACAATCCCACGGTGGCCAGCCTGCACGAAAATTCGGCTTGGAAAGAGATTGCTACCTTGACTCGTATCAACATGGTCTTGTCGTTTACCGCCGGCCGTCTCGAGGCTCTACTTTACCTGCCCGAGGTGCTGCACGTCGTCTTACTCCTTGCGGGCAACGGCGCTGACGCAACGCGCTACGCTATTCGCGGCACCGCCATCAACCTCATTCACTCGCTCTGCACAGAAGACAGGCTCGAGATGACAGGCTCAAGCTCGACGGCCACAACGGCCAATGGTGGCGGTAGCAGCAGCGTGCGCGAGGTCAGCAGCGATGAGGGCACTGTGCACAACCGAGAAGGTCTTGCTGGCCTCCTCGAGCGCCTGGCTGGTGACGAATCCGCTCCTCTCTTTGGCTTGCCTCAGGGCACCGACGGTGACGCCTACACTCTCGCCTCCTCCGACGTGGTACGACCACCGCCAGACAGCGATCAGATTGCAAGCCTCGCCGAGCTCATCTACGAGATTGCAGAGCTGGCAGCTCCGACGGTGGACACGGCCAACAGCTGGCGAGCTCGCCTGACAAGCCTGGTGACAAGCAAGGCCTTCCAGTACAATCCCATCGTGCAGGCTCGAGCCTTTGTGCTGCTTGGCTGCCTGGCTCGCGGGGAGATCGACGATGACTTGCTCTACCAGATCTTGGTCTCGCTCCGTGGTAGCATCACTGAGTGGGCAAACCTTGGCAACGACGCGCCCATGATCAGCATAGTAGCCTGCCTGGGCAAGGTCGTCACCATTCTCCCGCCGCAATCGCGCTATCTGGCTCAGATGTTCTGGCTGGGCGTCGCAATGGTGCAGAGCGGTCACGTACCCCTCTTCAAGGCTGGTGTCCAGCTCCTGCAGACGACTGTCACGACTTTGGAAGAGCGCAAGACGGCCGAGGCCATGGGTTCCGACTTGATGGGAGTCCTCTCTGCCGCTCGAGCTGAGGTGCAAGACGCTGCGGATCGCCTCGACGCTGAGTGTGGTGTCGACTTTGAGGGCAGCTTCTCATTCCATCTTGCCGCTCTGCTCGTCAAGGGTCTGCGGCATCCGTCGACGAAGACTGCCACGACAACCCTCTTGCGCAGTCTGCTGAGTGCGACATCAGCGGCAGCAGACGGTTCACGCAGGTCGGCGCACGGCAAGGTCGATGCGGAGCAACTGGGCTTTTTCGTGGCTCTGCTGCCGACGATTGGCAAAGCGGAAGACTACGGCGAGCTGCTTACCCTGGCAGGTCTGCCTGCACAGGCTAGTCAAGAGGCTGTCACAGCACTGGCCAGCACGCAGCGATGGCAGGTTGAAGGTGGCGGCGGCAGCATCGTCGTAGTTGGCGGCGGCGCTGCGACAGGCGACGGCAGCAATGGCTTCTTCAAGTATCTCGAGATTCCTGACAACAAGACAGCTCTCCTCGCCGTAGCCCTTGTGTGCAGTCTCTTGCTCAACGCCAGCAGCGAAGGGGAAAGGCTCATCCTCTTTACTTACTTGGCCGACGCAAGCCGCGAGACTCCAGCCATCCTCTCGATTCTCTACAACTCGCTGGCTCCCTCCATGCGCGAGATCCTTATCAACTCGCAACTTGGCCCAATTGTGGACGCGGTACAGACAATTGCGCAGGCTGCCATTTTCGAGCCCGTCTTTGCGGCGCAGGCGGCAGAGACGGCTCGACGAGGTGGGCCCGAGGCCTTTTTGGAGGAGGCTGGTTTCTCGAGCCTGCTGAAGTGCGGCAGCTTCGGTGCTCCTCTTACGGATGCGCGGCGCTTGGTATTGGCCAAGCTCAGTACAGCGATGCTGGCCAGTCTGGTCGATGCGGCGGCGGCGTAGTGCGACGACGTCGCTTGCAAGTACACAGCCAACGTCCACACTCAACTTCTCTTATCATCATCGATCGTTCCCACCCCTCTCTCCTCTTTACCTGTAATACTGTCCCGCGAGCCCTCTATTTTGCACCTGCAGTGGACTCGGCCCCGCTTTCCTTAGACTCGATAAGCCCCAGATGACTGTTGTCTCCTTTCTCACCCTCTCGCCTCTCCCCACCTTTCTCGAATAATCAATCATCAGCCGTTTTCTTGGTCGATTTCGAGTTGAGCGAGGCGAGAGCAGGTGGGCTGTGCGTCTGAAAAGTGCGAGGCCCGTGCGCCGTGTGAGCTCATGCCGCCTGTCGATTGCCGCTCACTCGAGGGCTGAGTGCCGCCAGTGCTCAGTTCTTGGCTGTGTCCTCCTTTCTTGCCATCGCGACCGTCAACACCATCATCATCCCACCATCACCGACCTTGGCGTCACTCTGCAATGGCGTCCATGACTATTCCCACCGATATCAGCAATACGACGCTGATCATCTTGGCCAGCAACATGTCTACGCCACAGCCTCAGACTCCGCGTCGCATTGCCGTCGAGGGCTTACGATCAGATGGTGACATCAAGTCCTTTCGACGTCGACTGCCCACGATCCTTGCCTCAAACGATACGTCGATGGCCGTCGACATCTTCTTTAAGGGAAGCGGCGAGCGATCCAGCGCGGGTGTCCCCAGTGGCAGCAAGGACAAGTTTGAGAAGCGTGTTCGAGATTGCCTCGATGCCGGCAAGCCCATGTCCATCAACTATCGTCTCCGTCCAAAGGCTGCTCAGCCTACGGGCGCGCAGAGCACGACGACGACGACCACCACCACGCCAGAAAGCAACAAGGAGCCAATGACCTTTCAGCAAAACCTGGCTGGTCTCGTCAAGTGTATCAGCGAATTGCAGACTGAGAATCGCAAGCTCAAGGCTGAGCTCGCCACCAAGAGTACGCCAGTCTCGGATGCTCAGCGCAGCAAGGCGTCCGCTGATCGACCCACTCAAAAACTTGACCTCAAGGAGGAGGCATCCGGTATCGCTAAGACGATGAGCAAGTTCCTCGACGCGTACAGTACAGTGAGTGGGGTGAAAAGGAAAGGTTCATACGTGGTAGCTTGCTGAGACAACCTGCCTCTACCTGCAGCTCATGAGCCAGGATGGTATCATGCCCGGTCCCGTGGCTCCCAGCGACGTCCCCGTCCCGCCCAGCGCCAGACCTACGCTGCACCCTAACATCTACTGCGATGGGCCGTGTGATTCACAGGTCGAGGGCATCCGCTTCAAGTGCACTGCATGCCCCGACTTTGACATGTGCGAGCCCTGCTACAAAGGTCACCGCAAGGCACACGTCAAGACACACGGTTCCGACCACCTCTTCCTCACCATTCACGAGCCTCGTCTCTTTGGGATCGCTGTCCAAACGGCCAGGGCCAAGGAGATGGGGCAGAAGTCGAAGCCCGCCCAAGACATGGCTCGAGGGAAGGAGGAGATGGAGACGAAGGACAAAGTTGCTTCTCCTCCCACCTCTGTCGCACAGCCGCGCGTAGTCATCGACGTCCTTGACGAGCCCGTGCCTGACAACTCGGAGCTTTCGGCGGATGAGAAGGTCGAATTCTCGTCGTCCATAGCAGCGGCCATCAACAATGAAGGCGACAGCTGGCCATCCCTCGTCAAGAACATCGTCTGGTTTCTCCACGGCAGCGCGGCCGTGCGCGCCATCAGTGGCGGCGCCGAGACTCCTGCCGACGACATCACTCTCGATCTCGACCGCATAACACGGGCTCAGGTTCAGCAGGTCAAGATCTTCCTCCGCGCCAAGGAGGTCGATAGCGAGCAAGCAGTGGTCCGCGCGCTCCACGAGCAAGCCTGCGGCGAGGGAAAGGTAGAGAGAAGCAGCGAAGCGAGCGAGAACGTCTTCATGGGCGAGCCAGACGATGCCGCCGCCGCCACCGGTCGCAACTCCACGACGGCGCCCGCGTCTGCATCCGTGCCCGCGTTTGTGCCTCTTGGCTACAAGATGCAGTCCGGCACTTGGAACAGCGAGATCGTCGAGACCACCGCACAAGGGTGGACGATACGCAACACGGGTGCCTCGCCCTGGCCGCTCCAAGGCAAGGATGCAATTGTAATCGATGTCGTGTATGCCGGCCCACGCTGGCACGGGACTGTGCCTACGACAGATCTCATCAAGGGAGGCGACAAGCTTCAGCTGTCAGCGGGCGAGACTCTCTTTATCGCCCGCCCTGCCGAGGTCCTTGACGAGGCTTTCCTCAGATTGGCTTACTACCATCGCATGGGCTCCTCCTCACCTAACCGATTTGGCGAGCAGATTCATCTCACAGTCAGCGCGTCCCACGGCGAGTCCGCCATAGAGCCCTCGTCCACGTCACTCTCAAGTTCTTCGCTCCTCACCATCCCTGTGGCCCCCGAAGATCACGACGGCTCAGCTAGCCTTGCTCCCGCAACGGACGTCGATGGCTTCTCCGACGTGACCACTTCCGCCACCCACACCACCAGCGAAAGCCTCCGTAGCCCGGCGCTCAGCAGTGTCCGCTCCTCGGATGTCGACGATGAGGATGACGACGCTTTCGAGCTCATTGACCGCGCGACGGACGAGGAGAGTGTGGTGTGAAGACACGCGGCGCCGCGCAGCGCACGTGCGTGAGAGCTCCTGGCTGCGGCTGTGTTGTCCTTCATCTTTGACTCTTACATTCAATGACATCTGCTGACAATCCGGACTTGACAGCGAGTGATCAGCATGCCGACAGTCCGCCATCACGAGCGTGCTGCATGAAGGCATCAGTCGTAGAAGGTCAAAGGCAAAGCCAGACATCGTCACCCGTGTTGCTGAATACCTTCGCATGACAACGTGTGGCACTCATGCTTCTCTTGACCTTGATCAATGGTGCTGGGCTTTCATCAACATTCTTGCATCACGAACCCTCATTCTATTGCTGCCTCATCTTGATGCAACATCTGAGCATGTTGCAAATGGAGAGCAAAGTACGCAAGGTACATCGCACTCAGTAGCGGCCTTGCGACCAAATGTCAAAGCCCAGTACAGCAGACTCTATGCTCCTCCTAAGGAGAACGAACCTCACCTGACAACATACAGCTGTGACGCTGACAAAGCGCATTGGGGTGGGCTCTTCCCGCTGACAAAGCGCTGTAACGTCACCGAAGAATAAGGCAGAAGCGCTGCGGTCGCGAAAGAGATCATTTCTTTGAACGCAGTCAGATCACGCGTGTCGAGATGCTAAATCACTGCTGCAAGCTGCTGATCAGTGAAGATCACAGTGCGCAAGGCATGCTAGGACTTGTACAAACAGCGCAAGTCTGTAATTTTAAGGTCACACCAGGCAATTGTTGCGTCTTGAAGGAGTGATGTAAGACGAAGAAGCGTGACACCTTTGTACACGCGGTGCGCGTCGGCTTCGCGATCACGCAAATGGGCAGCGCGCGCAGCGCTGCCATCACCTTCCGATAGCTCGCGGGGAAGACTGAATGCGATTATGATTGTACTAGTCGCTCAGAGCAAAGCGCATCATGCCATCGCCTCGTCCATCATCTTCTTCCACCTCCTCTGCGCGTCGATCATCTCTAGGAAGATGCGATACTTGGCGTCCAGCAGCTTCTTCTCTGACTCGTTACCAGATGGATACACAAAATGCCCTGCCTTCGTCATTGTTACCATGAGGTCCCACAGTCGCTCGCGGTCCTCCCATCCTGCTGCGGTCACGTCACCCTGCGTGGCGAGGGCGGCGCGCTTGTCGCTGACCTCGTGTGCAAAGCGACCGAGAATTGCCGACCCTTTCACAACGGCTGTCGCTCCTCCGCCTTCTGGGATCAAGACTTTGACGTTGCAGCCGTCGGCGAGAAGGTGCATCAGCGTTTCGTTCTTTGCCTGCGAGCCGCTCATGTAGATTGAATCGATCTCGTGTCCCTTGCTGTTCATCTTTTCGATGATCTGTCGCGTCTGGAGCGCGATGGCTTCGAGAGTCGCAAGGTACTTGAGCGCAAGGTCTTCTGGTCCGGACGAGAGGGTGAGGCCCGAGATGATGCCCTTCATCGACGGGTCTGCGAGCGGAGAGCGGTTGCCGTGCAGGTCAGGATAGATGTGCAGGTCGCGCGTAAGGTGTACGAGTGTCGAGGCATTGTGCCGCTTGGCCAGGGAAGCAAGGATGCCGTCCAGGAGGGCAAACAAGCTGGTGCCCTCGCGCTCTGCTTGAGCCTTGAGCTGCGGAGTCGCCGGGTGTGTCTCAATGATGAAATCGATGAGCTGACCCGTCGAGCTCTGCCCACCTTCATTCTGCCAGAAGCCAGGAAAGACGACGTCCTTATAGGGGCCCCAGACGCCCTCGACAAAAACGCCATCGTCGTTGCCACCCTGAGCTTGCACGCAGTAGCACGTCGACGTCCCTGCGATAGCCGCCAGACGGTGCTTGGACGAGGCGAGGGAGACGTTGGCCGAACCGGGCTCATTAGTGGCTGGCGCGGCTACGGTACCCACCCAGCCAGCATAGGCGTCGATGAGGGCTGAGCCAACTGCTGTACCAGGCAGAAGCCCCAAGTCGGCCGCTGCTTCCTTTGTCAGGCCTTGGCCTACAGGCTGGCCAGCCACTTGGACGAGGCCATTCTTGCCGGGCACGCCTCCGATCTGATGGAAGTCATTGTCGGTGAGGCAACCCAGGCCGATGGCTTGATGAAAGTCTGGCGACCATCCAATGGTGGAACCGGCGACACCAGGCGGGATGTACGACGTCTTACAAACGAGGGAGCAGGTAGAGCGAGCGGTCGATGCCGTGGCCTTGTAGGTGAGCCAGTCCGGGAGGTCGAAGAATTGGCAGCGCGAGAAGAGCAAGTCGGGCATGTTCTTCTTGAGCCAGAGCGTCTTGGGAATCTCCTGTGATGGAGCAGCGAGAGGGGAGGAGGACCACTTGTGTCAGTTGGATCTTTCGGATTGACTACCCTTCACCTCGTCCGGTGCTCACCATCTCAAGCGACATTGATCCGCCAACGTAGTCGAGGACCTTGTGGCCCGTAGAATTGATGGTACGCGCCTCCTCTTCAGCTCGGTGGTCCGCCCAGAGGACAATATTGGGCACAAAGCTGTCCTGGCTGGTTCGCAAGGAGGACGACCCCCACTGCTGTCCATGCTGAGGTGGACTGACGTCGACTGGCTTACCCTCATCGTCTACAACGGCGAGGGAGCAAGTAGCGTCGAAGCCAAGACCTTTCACTCGAGCTGGGTCTACCTTGGACACGACGAGACACTTGTTGACGCAGGCAGCAATTGCTGCCCATATGTCGCCTGTCGACTGCTGAAAGATCCTGGAGTCGTCTGGGCTTCGCCACGTCTTTGTATTCTGTGAGTGCGTGGCCAAAACCTCGCCGTCTGCGGTGACGAGGATGGCTCGCGCAGACCCAGTGCCTACGTCGATGCCAAAGTAGCAGGGCTGAGATGAAGACGACATTTCGGGTGCGTTGGTGGAGATGGAAGGGATATCGGCGTCGTCCTCTGACGAATTGGATTGAGATTTCCTTCCCTTCTTCCTGCGGGCGCAGCATGGCGGTGGAGGCGTCGCAGGTGCAAGGGCGGAAGGGCGGAAGGGCGGGAAGGGCGGAAGGGGGGGAAAGGCAAGAAGAGGGCCGGGCTGAGATGATAGGCGCCAGTCGATGAGGAGGAAATGAATTGTCGCCTCTGTTAGATAGCCGTTAGCCTGCTCAACACCTTCCCATCGTCGCCGCCGCCACCGCCGCCACTCGCCATGCTGAGAAGTGCAGCGCGGGTAGCCGTGCCCGTCGCCCCTGCGTCGCAGGCCTATTCGCGCCTCGCCATTCGGTGCATGACATCCTCATCTTCGTCTTTAGCGTCAGCTCCTCCAAAGGCGCCCGCTAAGACGCTCAAGCCGTCGTCCAAGGTCAATGCCCGTACATCCCGCCTACTGCGCTCGCAACTAGGCACTTCCGCCGACGCCTTGGCTCCTGAACAGCCTACTCCAGAGCAGCAGGCTGCTCATCAGGCTGCTCTGCAACAGGACACCTTCTCGCGTGTAACTTCCTCCCCACCGGCAAAGCTGCAGCAGGTCATTGCTCACGCAACGGCGTCGACCTACGACTTCAATGCGCTCATTCAATCTGGCAGACTGCCTCCAGATTGGCAGCTCTTGGAAGACGGTCAAGTCATCTATCTGCCGTCTTGGCCAGTCTCTAGCCACGCCGGCCCTGCAAGCTACACCTCCCATCGCGCTGGCTCGGGCGAAGTCTTCATACTCCGCAGTGGCGCCTACGTGACATGGGGCATCAACGCCGAACAGTCGAAGCGATTTAGGTCTCTCGTCCTCACCCCAAGGCAGGAGAAGGGAACGTCGACGTGGCAGGTTGAACGGGGAGCCTATGAAGATGTCGGAGAGGAAGAGATGGTGCGTACCAGTGGTGCGAGTCAAGAAGGGAGGATATGCTCTTCTTCGAAGCTGATCAGAGTCCTGCCCCAACCCTTTGTTAACGCCAGGAGTTCTTACGCAACGAAGAAGAGGTGACGCGAGTCGTCGGCGACGTTCTAATCATCGGACGAGCACCGCCCGAGGCAGATCCAGAGTCGCCCACCTATGACGATCCCTGGTCACCACTCCTCGCTCGCCTCTCCTTCAGCGCAGGCCTGGCCCTCTCTGCGCGTCTGTCGTCACAAGAGACGTCCCTCTCGACGTACCTTGCATCCGTCCAAGGCATCCCGCGCCTACTCGAAGAAAAAGGTCGCGTACCCATCTCACGGCGAGAGGTGGTGCGCAAGATGGGACGCCTCCTGAAGCTGCGTCAGATGGTCAATCTCGAGGAAGGGTCCAAAGTCGAGGAGCTTGAGCTCTTCTGGGAGAATGCGAGAATGGAGCAGCACTACGATTCGATCTGCACGACTCTCGACATCGAATCGAGGTTCCGATCGCTCAACGAGCAGCTCGACCACGCCGAGAACCTCATGGGTGTGCTCAGGGCGCTCTTGACCGAGGGCTCGAGCCATCGTATGGAGCTCGTCATTATCGCTCGTGAGTTACTCGTCGTGATATTTCGAGATCACACAGCAGCTACTGACTGTGCCGTCCTTGCGCCGCTTTGCATCCAGTCATCGCCGTTGAGGTGGCATTAGCTCTGAGCTCCCATATACCAAAGGTGTGGGCGGACGATGACGAGGAGGAGGAGGAGGAGGAGACAGTCAAACCCGTCGTCGTGGCGCGCTGAGCACGCTTACCTCTGAATGCTATTACTAGTCATCGCTCTGCACATCGTAGCTGCACGCTTCTGTCGCAGCTTCTGTCGTACCGTTTGTGGCCGCCCGCTCGTCGCTCGCCGCGTGGCACATCACCAAAACCAACGACAAACATGTGGCCCCATCACCACCAGACGGGCAACGTGGGTCTTTCCGTTGGCAGCAGCGCGAAGCAACCAGTCGTCAGATCGCGTAGGACGGCATGGTCTTGTCCGCTACGCCGCCGCCGTGTCCACTATCATTACGCTGTTTCGTCTTTAGGGTCTCGGCGGCCGATGTGGATATTGTGACTGATGCGATGTGAGGGCGGCGAGGCCGGCAAGCGGGTGCCACGTGTACAGGGCAATGAAGCTGTGCGCGTGGCTCGAGGCAAGGCGGGCACGGGAGGCAAGCGCGTGTTCCTCTCTCTCTTTCTCCCTTTCTCCATCTTGGACTCTGCCATCCATTCGATGGCATCATCGTCATCTCGTCAACACCCTCATTTGCCTGTTCACGCCGCATCATCTCCGCAGCCTGTCCTCCCCATCGAGCCATCTGACTCGCGTCACCAAGCATATACGATGAGCCAAAACCTCGGAGGTCGAAGGGGATCCACCGATCCCATTCTCCACGCTCACATGGCTGCGACGGCTACCGCCAACGCCAACAACTCGTCAGCCTCGCCCGCTCATCAGCAGCAGCATGGCAACCAGCATCATCAAGCACCCTCGCCCTTTGCAGCCAACTCCCCAGGGTCGCGAAAGAGGGATGCCGCTAGCGCCATGCTCGACCACGCAGGTGCCAATTCGTCTCCTGGCCAAGCCAACAATGATGGCGCGTCCAACAGCGGCAACGGAGGCGACAGCGACTCTCACGCAGTCATGCAGCACATGGGACACGATGGTGAGATTGCGACGCGACTCCCTTGGGTAGGATCGAACGGCTCGCTGATGCATCCGCTTTCCTCTTCGCCCTTCACAGGCGAAGGACGAGCGTCCCTGGCTAACTTGAGCGAATACGATCTCGAAAACTGGGATGGCGCCGCTGTGGCTGCTGCCGCTGCCGTCGCAAACGCCAGTGCCAACGCCAACAATGGCGCATCCGCTTCTTCCCCCGGACAGACAGACCAGTACGGCAATTACTATACTCAGACTGCTGCAGGAGGTCATGATGCTACCAACGCGGCTGCCCCCGGCGCTAGCGCTGGCGGCAGCAACGCGACGACTACCAGCACGAGGAGCAGCAAGAGGGTCAATCGCGGTGCAAGCGCCAATGCAGGTAACACGACCGCAGAATCTGCCAACAACGGCGGTTCCTCCACCGAAACCAAGAGCAGCCTCCCTTACGCCCGCTCCCCCGAGCTTCGAGTCTCTCACAAGCTCGCTGAACGCAAGCGCAGAAAGGAGATGAAGGACCTCTTTGATGGCTTGAAAAAGTGCCTCCCTGATCCAGAGACCGTCGCCGCCAACACAGCAGAGGCCGTCGCAGGCTCATCGTCGCGAGCAGGAGCAGAAGGCGGCCCATCGACTGAGTCGGCCAAGGATCGCGGCAAGCTCAGCAAGTGGGAAGTCCTCTCCCGAGCGAGCAACCACATCACCTGGCTGCAGCAGTGCAAAGACAAGCTACTTTCCGACGTCGAGCGATTGAGGCAACAAGTCGGGCTTCCGCCCTTCGAGTTGCCCCCTTACCCTCAGGCAGAGGCTGTCAACATCGACGACGAGTCCAAAGATGCGGATGCCACCATGGGCGAGGGCGAGGCCGAGACCGAGGCCGCTTCCGAGTACAAGCAGGAGCACCAGGAGCACCACAGCGAGCACGAGCAGCACGAGCAGCACCAAATTCCTGAGCCCCCTCAACACAGCAGCATGACCGAGGCAAACAGGCCCGCCGAGGAGCCAATGTCTGCTGTCCACCACGAGAACACCAATGCGGGCCACGAGATTCAGGCCGCCATGAACATGTTCAAGGCGCAGCAGCAGCAGCAGCAGCAACAGGCGCAGTAAGTCAGTACGACTTGTCCGCGCCTTCTGCCTATCGCTAGCTACCTTCGATCTCCATGATATCCTGCTTCGATTCCCTGGTTCTCGCGGCCAGCTCGTTGTCTTTGTTTTCTAGCCTCTGACTTGTCTTTGAGCCAGCTAGCCAGTCAAGTTGTCACTCGTCGCCAATGTGAAAGTTTCAGTCTACGAAAGTGCAGAGGACGATTGATTGGTATGATTGGCAGATCTAGCATGCTGCGCGTGATGTTGATGATGCCCTCCTCGTCTTCGCCTGCTCGCTCCATCTACCAGTACTGGTCCTCCTCCTCTCCACACCCTTGATCCCCATCGAGTCGCCGGCTCCTCTCCCCACTCAGTGCCCGGTCCATCGTCCAAGTCCTGACTACACAGTCATCGGCCGCGCTCGCCAGCTTCCATGCCGATCCCTTGCCCACATCGCCCTCACCGCCGCTAGCTGCAAAGCACCACGAAACTGAGTTGACCTCACAGTTGCGCTGATGCGCGCCAGTCCCGCTAAGCGCCGCCGAGGAGTCAGCGAGAGCAAAGCGCCGCAACACCGTTGGCGTCTTGGCCTTGACGTCCCACAGCAGAACGTCCCCTGAGTTGCAACCAAGGGCCAAGGTCCGTCCGTCAGGGCAGAGGGAGAGACGGTTGTAGAGGGAGTTGCCCCGCTGCGTGGGGTGATAGAGGGTCTCGATTGAGGCCAGCTCTTCGTCGCGTTGGGCGAGGATATCGAAGCTACTGGAGCCTGCAGGGTCGAGCAGGTGGTAAGGCACGCCATAGATTCGCCCGTCGGTACACGCTGCCCAGAGCGTGTGAGATGATGAGCTGCCGTGTCCTTCGTCGTCGATTCCGCCGACAATGCTCGAAATGCCGTGGGCGCGAGCGTTCCAGCCGTGTCCGACGCTGGTGGAGAGATCGTTCGACTCGTAGACGGGCTTGATTGCGATGCGCTCTTCGCTGCTGGTGCAGGCTGTATCTGTCAATTCGCTGTCAACGTGGTCGCTGGGTCCTAGCACAAAGGACGGTGAGCCTGGTCGAGCCTTGCGCGGCTTGACCTTGCGAGCGCGCCTGCCGCTCGATGTGATCAAGGTATCTGAGTACGGCGTGGCCGCGTTGACGTCTACGTCGCTAAATGGCACCCTTGAAAAGCTCGGAGCGCCCGCAGCATCACCACTCCTTGGCTGCTGGCTGCCGTGACTCTTACGAGCGACGGCGAATCTCAGGTCCCACATCTTGATGCGCGCGTCCGTGCAGCCCGTCGTGATGAGATTATGCTGATGATGGCGATGATAGGAGATGCTTGTGACTCCTCGAGGCGCCGTAGCTGCCACCGAGGTCTTACGCTTGACGCCGCTGTACGAGTTGGCATGGGCTGACCATAGAGAGAGCAACGGTGCCAATGACTCGGGCTCGTCGCCTCTGTCGGCCTCATCGCCGCTTCCTGCTCCATGGCCGAGGTTCATTACTGCGTGGCCGGTCGGCGTCCTAGTATCGTAGACGTGGACTGCCCCATCGCGTCCTCCACTTGCCAGAAGATGGCCATTGCCTGCGGGATCCCATTCAATGGTCCTGGCTGTACCCCTCGAGCCGTGAAAGGAATTAACGAGCTTGCCGCTGGCCGTGTCCCAAACCTTGACCGAGTAATCAGACCCACTCGTGGCGATGAATCGATCATCAAAGCGCCAGCTTACTGAGAAGAGGGATCCCGTCGTTGCCTTCCAGTTGGGACGGCGGATATCGGTATCGCTCGCCGGGATGCTCGTATCGATGAGGGAGAGGGTGCCCTCGTTATCGCCTACAGCGAGCCATTCAGGGCCTGGGGAATAGGAGCGGGCCGAATATGAGTAGGTTGAGCACAATGGCTGCGTGTGTCCCTGATGGTCCGAGGCCGAGATGGCATACAAGGAGTCGAAAGGTTGAGAGACCAAAGTGGAATGGGCTGGAGATTGAGAGATCTGTCGACGGAGTGCGAGTGTTGAGGAGCCAATTCTGCCGCCTCCTATACCAGGGCCACACCTCATCGAAGCTAAAGCCGAGGCCAGATTGGTTGTTGAGCGCAGGCTGAGGGGAGTGGGTTTGCGGGGTGAAGGAGAGGCTGAGCCGCTGAGGATGGTCAAGTTCAGTTGTGGTTCAAGGCGACGAGATTGACCGATGTTGGTGGGCGAAAGAGGGCCTCGTTGCAATTGCGTTGGCCTCGTGACAGAAAGTCCGTCTCCTGGCCAATGGTAGTCGTCGTCGTCGTCGTCATCATCATCTTCATCTGAAGATGATAAGTCGGACGCGTGACGCATGAAATGGATCCGGTCTGCCCTCTGCCTCACCATCGTTGGACTGCTGGCGATTGTATTGGCATCATCATGACGTCGCGCCCTCTTTACGCCTCTGCGCGCGCTCGTATGGCTGACAGGGCTGGTCAGAGTGGATGATGATGCCGATGCTCCTGTCCTGAGCCTGGCTCTGGGCGCAAAGAAGGCCGAAGCTCTCGAAGGCGTGACATTGCCCTTGATTGTAAATGAAGAGGAAGAAGGTTTGCGTGGAGAGTAGAGATGCAGCGTACGCGACGAGGTACACGGTGGTGATGAAGGGGGCGTCTCTTCCCTTTGTCGTCGAGTGGCTGACGATGGAGGAGTGCGAAGCGTAGGTGACAATGCTGATGAGCCTTGAGACGATGATGGCCCTGAAGGTGTCTGTGGGCATTGCAGCAGCGACATGCTGAGCCTGGCCACTGCCTCGCCTTGGGGGATGCTCAATGGATGGATGTGGTTGATGTGCTATGGTGGTATGGCGACTACTTGCTTGTGCACTTTCGTGTCACTTAGACTGTTCCCTTTTTGGCGCCCGCCTCGCCCTCAAATGAGCCCGACGCGGCACGACGCGACTCATCCAACGACGGACTGGCGGCAACGACGGCGGCGTCGGCGGCGACGCGCACGCCACGGCTACTCGTCAATGTGGAGAGGAGCGTCAGCCTCCTTTACACCATCAACAGCCATCTTGAGCTCATCTGATATGCCCCTCTGCTCACTCCATCTCCTCTCGCTCACTTGTTCACCACAACAGTACCTTAAGCAGCTCAGCACCAACAAGAACATCGTCCTCGCAAGCCAACCGCGCAATCCCCCCGTCATACGCGTCGGCAACGATGGCGAGCGAATCAACGCCACTCAATGGCATCTCCTCGTCATCTTGGCGGGCAAAAACAAGCCCCTCAGAGATGACACTTCGCTGGGAGACAGCATCAAAGTCGAGCTTATACTCTCAACAGGCATCCCAACGAAGCTCATCGAGGCCTACCGAGACCGTCGATCCAATCTCATCACAGACATTGGACCTCCCCTAGCATTCAACATCGTAGCTTGTAGTGGCAGCACATCATCATCACAGACGATAACCCCATCGCCCGACTCACAGAATCTCGAACTCAGCAATGGTCTCATAGATTTTGCACATCGATTACAAGGCGAAACAGCCAGCAAGGGTCCCGTCTGGATGCTCAACCTTCTCAAGTTCAAGGAAGGCCACAAGGAGAATTACATCAATTATGGAAAAGTGAGCGCCGCACCCGACTCGTCCTTTCAGAGCTGAAATGCCCTTCTGACAAGTTTGCCCTCGTCATCAGGCCTTCGCAAAAGTAGCGCAGCGCTTCGGCGGCCAGGTCGTCCTGGTAGGCTCCGTCTCCGACTCTCACTGGGACGAGTTCGCTCTCGCACACTATCCGTCCATCAGCCACTTTGTAGACATGTCCGCCGATGGCAGCCCTGGCGGATACCAGGAGATCAACAGACGATGGAGACTGGGAAGCCTCGAGGACACAGGTATCATCTGTACAACGCCACTAGATGTGCCGCCGGACGGAAGAGCAAAGATGTAGTGCAAGAGAGAGGGAGAGCAGATTGAAGATGTGCAATGCAATTGCGAGGAAGCCTCGCGATGAAAGTGCTGATAGTGCTGGTGCTGATGGTACAATGCAGAGATTCGCAGCCTCGCCTCTTTGATCCCCTTCGCCCGCCTTCTCTCACCGCTCAAAATCTAGATAGACTTTCTCCCCTTCATGCGCTCCTTGGCTTTGCTCCCCTGGCCACCACCTCCATGAGTATGGAAGCGCTGCGCCGAGATGGGCGACAAGATGCCCGCACCTGCCCCTCCACTCTTATGCTTTTTGTGCTTGCCTCCGCCGATGCGATGCAAAAAATCGGCGCCGTGCTTATTTGCTGCCTTGGAGAGGGAGAAGCGCGACGACGGTGGGCTAGAACCATTGGGCGTAACATTGCCGCCATAAGAGGCGGCGTATGGAGAGCGGATGGAAGTACCGAGTGGGCTAGACGCTGGTCGACCATTCTGGTGCGCCTTGGGGTGCTTGATGAAGCTGCTGTTGTTGCTGCTGCTGCTGCTGCTGCTGCTGTTGCTAAGATCGACCTTGGAATGCGGCGGGCTGCTCGCTGTCGAGAGGTGCGGATGCTTGGCAGTCGATCGAGCGCCGAGGTCTTCTTCGTCGAGGTCGGACGGCGGTCGCTTCGCTGACTTGGTATGCACAGGAGCTGTCGAGGTCGTCGCAGTCGAGATTGCCTGCGCCAGGGAGTCACCGTTGCCGCCTTCCCTGACGTAGAAGAGAATATATGCGCTCTTGGATGCTGCGCCCGGCCGGCTACTAGGCGAGACCATGTCGTCATTCATTCCACACCACTTGCCTGCGGGTGATTTGACCTGCGCGACATAGTGTCCGCTATGAGGGCCGCCCCCGTGGTGGTGCACGACGGCGTAGAGCGAGTACGAAGGTCCGTCTTGACCTGACGACATCCATCTACCTTTCAGTCTGAGCTTCTCCTGGAACTCGATCGGCCTGCCGATCTTTGCGCCCGTAAAAGTGAAGCGCTTGAGATGGACAGTGAGAACGTTGGGCGCCTGGTCGATCTTGAAGTGCTTCTCTGCATTTACGAGGTTTTTGCACTTTTCGCATCGGTACTTCTCTGATCCTCGAAGCTGTTCTACATCAGTGAAGAGGTGGAAAGCGTCCTGCACCGAGTCGCAGCGACGTATGTCAAGGGAGAGGTCGAGGATGGGGTCGAAGGTGTCCGAGTGGTGCTTACACCTGCCACATGTCACACGACTTCTCAGTCTGCCGCCGAAGATCTGGTGAACGAACGTCGTTTCCCTCAGAGCAGACTGCTTGGCCTTCGCAGACCCTTCTGCTAGGCATGCTTGCTGCAGAGAGTCGAGGAGAAGACGAAGCCACTCATGTGCGTCCTCCTGACGTCCATGGTGGAACGACTTTGCGACTGACTTGAGATTGCGAATGAACTCTTCTGGCGTCGTCGTCGTCGTCCGACCACCAGTCTTGCCGATTGCCCTCTGTGTAAAAGACTGGAGCGCCTTGACAGGGTCAAAGTTCTTGACGGAGCCTCCAAGTTTGCCCTTGAGGAGCTGCACGTCCTGAGTGAGGAGCAGGTGTGCGAGGGGCGCAGTATGGACGATTGCCTGCATGGTACTGTTCATGTAGCAAGTGTTTCCTCGATTGTGAAGGCCAGCGCCGACGTTTCTAGCCTCTCGAGGCCATGTTAGGGGGATCCTGCCAGAATAGAGGGAAGGGGCCGAGGGTGAAGAAAGCATTGACTTGGACGATGAAGCTAGGGCTGATGCAGAAGCCGGCGATGACGATGACGACGACGACGCAGAATTGCGCATGGGTTCATCGTAGTCGACGGTCATATGTGGAGACTAAGCGATGCGAGAGAGAAAGTCAGATGCTGCGTGCTTGGTCACTATCGAGTGCAGAACTGACCTTGGCGATGCCCTCGTTGATCGGAGGGTATTTGACCTTTGGCGGCTGAAGCTTGGACTTTTCGAACTTGAGGGGATTAGATAGGAGCTCAGAAAGAACGCTTTGGACCTGGAGTGCTGAGTCTATTGATGGCAGCTTGGATTTGGATGATGACGATGATGGATGAGGAGGAGAAGAGGAGTCAGGACCGAGGGGAACACGATGAGGTTTGCCAGCTACCAAGGCTGGCATGGCGATGTCGAGCCGACGTGGTTTCCTGTCTGAGCTGCAGCGGCGTCGTGCGAGGTGACGAGTAATGCCGTGTCTTTGATGATGAGAAGTAGGTGGATAAGTAGTCGCTCAGCCGGCTGGGCGGGCGGATAGAGTACGAGTAGATTGGTGGCACCAGCGGCGGCAACGGCAGCGGCAGCGGCGTCAAGCGGTCAAATTTTCTGGCGCGACACAAGTGAGGCGCGACTCGAATTGGGTGGGCGAGCGAGCGACAGTGGTGAGCCAAAACGCTCGAGCGTGTCGTCGATCTAGCTGCAAGGTGGGGTCGCGCTGCCTGGTCGCTGCCTAGTGCTGCCCCGTGCTCCTTCCGCCCCTCATCGTCATTAATCCAGGCAATACCACGATGCAGTCGCCTCAGAGGCCTCTGGACCTGGCCACCATACCAGCCATCGTCGAGGAAGATGGCAATGGTCTGGATGCTGTCGAGGACTCGCCATCGTCGTCGTCATCATCATCGTCACCGCCTGCCTTTGCTCTAGCTACGGGACTTGTCTACTCGACGGTCATGATGCTCCACAGCTACCCAACGACGATCGTCAAGCCAAGCGACGATCATCCAGAAGCACCCGAACGAATATCGAGGGCATTCATCGTCCTCAAAGAGAATGGTTGCGTCAAACGGATGAAGAGGATACAACCCAGGGAGATTACTCGGGACGAAGTAGCGCTGGTCCATGACAAAGGCGTGTGGGAAGGCGTTTACCGATCCCAGTTCTACACTCGTTCGGATTTGGCCGAGATTACGGCCCTTTTCGGCGAGCGCTCTTCCCTCTACCTCAACGAGCATACCTTCCTCTCGGCAAGACTATCATGCGGAGGTGTCATGGAGCTTTGTGATGCAGTATGCTCTGGCAGAATACACAATGGCTTTGCAATCGTCCGTCCACCTGGCCACCATGCCGAGCCGGACAAATCAATGGGCTTCTGCCTCTTCAACAATGTAGCAGTCGCAGCGAGGTGGATCAGGCAAAGATATGGTGGCCAAGATGTCCCAAAGGAGCAGAGGGTCCGTAAGATACTCATCCTCGACTGGGACGTCCATCATGGCAATGGAACGCAGAGGTCAGTCCAGTCGTCGAGTTGACACCCTCTCGGCGTATCTGAACACCTTCCTTTTGCCGCACATACAGAGCATTCGAGGAAGACGACGATGTGCTCTACATTTCCCTTCACCGCTACGACGATGGAGAATTCTACCCCTGTGGCACATACGGCGCAAGCGCGTCAATGGGATCTGGCAAAGGTCGTGGCTTCAGCGTCAACATCCCTTGGCCGTGCGGTGACATGGGCGATGGCGAGTACATCTACGCCTTCCATCAGGTCGTCATGCCCATCGCAGCAGAATTCGGACCCGATCTCGTCATCATCTCGGCTGGGTTCGATGCTGCCATGGGTGATCCATTGGGCGGCTGTGATGTCACGCCAATTGGGTACGCTCAGATGACTTGGATGCTCATGGGATTGGCAAAGGGCAAGGTAGTGGTAGCCCTCGAAGGTGGATACAACATCGAGGCACTCGCCCTATCGGCTCTGGCTGTCACTCGCACGCTTCTGGGCGATCCAGTCCCTTCACACGAAAGCCTCGCCCCCGCCTGTACCGCAGCGGTCGACGTGTTGCGGCTAGTCAAGAGAGACGTAGCGCCCTATTGGAAGTGCATCGAATCCAACCCGCTCGATCCGCGCCCAGATATCGAAGACGGCCTTACTCGCTACTCTCTATCAGAGCTCCTCAAGGCGCACCGCCAACAGGAAATCGCCCGTCACTTCCAACTCTCGGAGCTACCTGCTGGTGATCGCAAGTGGGACTCTCATGCCCTCTGCTCGAGCGACCTCATGGACACACCGCGCACCGTCGTCCTCTTTGCGCACGACATGGGCAGCCTACGCGCAGGCAATGAGCGACCCAATCTGGCACTCATACCCGAGTCAGAGGGAGCCTACATCATCGACTCGTCCAAGGTAGTCCTCGATTGGATTCAGCAACGTAGATTCGGTATCGTCGATGTCAACCTGTACTCCGGCTCATTGCACGGAGCAGACGCGACCGACTTCCTCGAGTTCATCTGGGACACGTATCTCGACCTCTGCCCTGCGACGGACATCGTCCTTTTCGCCCATGCAGGGGCAGCCAAGTCGGTCCTTTCTCTGATCTCTTCACGCCGTCTCGACAAGGACTCGCGTGTCATATCCACGTGCTTGACAATGGGCCATGAAGCCGTGCCAATGGTGCCCAAAGACGAGGTGGATCTACGCAAGTGGTACATCAAGAACGGAAGAGTCTTCCTACCTGAGACGCATTCGTGGTGGTCGCAGGATGATGACAAGAGGAGGAAGATGAAGAGGGCAGGCAAAGTTGTATCCGTCGCTGAGAGGAGACCCATTCAGGTGCTTACGGCTGCCTTGGGTGAGGTCGCGGCGTTTGTTGATGCGAGGCTAGCAGCGAAACAAGAGATAGTTGCGTGAGGAAGAAAGTGGCGACGCTGCTCTGCGCTGTACTTGTACGATATCATCATCTCAAGCATTTCATCTGCTTCCACCAGTTGGCTTCGAACTTCCTAATCGTCTTGTGCGATGCCTCTTCCAGCTCATCGTCGTCTCCATCGTTCTCCATATCGACATCTCCTCTTCTTTGAGCAAGACTTCGATCGAAACGCTCCCAATTGTGCGCTATTAACTTCGCCGCCTCGTTCACGTCTCCACCATCATTACATGCTCCAGGCTCCTCCCTCAACACGTACGGCGTCGCCATCTTCAACATCTCGTAGTTGCGCTCTGCGAGGTCTCCCGCCGTGTGCCAGTCAGACTCGATGAGGAGCCTCGTAGGCGGAACAACGCTAAGCTGCGATGCCAGACTCTTCTGCCTCAAGTTGATGGTAACGGAGAAGCTCACAAAGACGTTGGGATGCGTGCGAAGGATGGCGGAGATCATCTCTTCGCTGAGCGTGCAAGAGTGCAAGTCGAGACAGATGTCCCGAAAGGCTCGACCATTGGCACCATTGTAAACACGACAGCTCTCTTTGAGAAGCTGTATGGTAGCCTCGGGCGCTCGCACGCTGTGAAAGGAGACGCTGCGCCCCAAGTCGACGGCGACGCCGATCTGGGCGAGGACGACCTTGAGCTGATGCTCAATGGGGACGGAGAGGGTCGTAAGGCGTTTGCCGCGCAGGGCGAGGGTATGTTCGTTGATTGGCGGTTGTGAATCTAGCAAACCTTGCTCTGATGGTTGGTCCTGAACGACATGCTTTGCTGCTGGAATGCGAAAGGCCCGATCGAGGCCTACTTCGCCCAATAGCGCAGAAGGAAACTCCTCGAGGTGGGTCCGAAGCTCGGACAGGATCGCCTTGAGGGAGCGTGGCGGAGGTAGATGAGGGAGAAGGGCCTCTAACTCTTCCTTTGCCTGTAATGTTGATCTCGAGTCGATGAGGAGCGAGCGATAATGGTCCTCACGCGATGTGACCTCGTCATCGAGGGAAATTGTGTGACTATACCACGGGTGGTAGCCTGATGCGGCAACGGGCATGGTCAGCATACGAGCCCCAGCTCAATGGGAGACCTCCTGGGACGAGCTCACCAAAGCATGGTCGCAAGTCCATGCTGCTCTCTTTGCTACTCCCCTCGGCCTGCAGTCTCCTCACCTCCAACGCCAAGTTGCGAACTAGTTCCTGATCACCGCTACAGCTGCTCATGGCGCAGACTCTGCCCAGCGGCACCTCGCAGAGCCTCTGAGCCAGGTCCTGCAGTCCTTGCTCGTCTCCTGCCCTCAACCTCGGGTCATCGGTGGGGTGAGCGTGAGCATCGGTCAACAAAGACGCGATGTTGGCGTCAAAGGTCATTGAGCGGATTAACGAGAGGACACCTTCATCGCCGAGAATCGAGGAGCGCTCGAGCCAACTTGGAGACGAACTGGCCTCCACTCCACTTTGAGAGCACCAGACGCAGCGCAGACGACATGCAGACCAGCAATGCCACAGACTCGCTCGCACCTTCGCCCCCGTCGAATGCGACGATGCACGACAGATCCACGGTGGTATTGTATTGACAAGGTGATGGAGAACGACGCCCACTTTAGATACTATGTACAGTACAGCACGTCTAGATGAGAAGGCTAAGCATTGAGGATGAGAGTCGTCAGCCCCGAGCTGAATTTGAACGTCCCCCTCCTGCCATCAACGCTGATCATGGCCGTCCGCCTCGAGCAGTCATTCTGCACAACCATCCCGATGCGCTTCTGACTCGATGTAGCCAAATTGGTCCCGTTCCAGGGCGCCGCAAAGGTGGAGATGCCGCTCAAGCAACCCAAGCCTGCCGTACCCAGCGATGGCATCTGCGTCCCCGCATCTGCAGCAACGCGGTACGCAGCACCGCCGCCAAGCCGAGTGAGGTTGGCCGTAGCTGCTGCGAAATGGTAAGTGACGATAAATTGCGCATTGCCCGCCCACATGGCCGGATCCATAAAGTTGTTGGGCGACGTGAGGGTAAAAGCTCCCTGGCAATTCTCGCACGGTGCATTCTCAATGTATGGCTTCGACTTTTTGTCGAGCACGATGTTCCACGCCATGAAGGAGCGAACGCCGCGGTTGATCGTCGGGAATAAGAAGTTGCTCAGCCAATACTTGGTCGACCACCACTGGTTGTCACTGTCGTCGGTCGTGGTGCACTCGGTCAAGTGGGCCTCATGGCTCATCCCGGCCGTCGCGGCGTTGAAATCATCGAGCTGACTTGCATTGCCATTGTAGCAATGCCAAGCTACTCCGTCGCTCGTGTTGGCCTTGATGGCGTCAACGGCACGAGACCAACCGCTGAAATTGTCGTCATGGACGAAGATCTTGGGGTGGTAGCCCATGGTGGCAAGCTGAGTACGCAAGGAGGCAGCTACGGCCGCCTCGCTCGAGGCAGACAGCCAGCTTGATGGATAAGTCTCTGTGCCTCTAGTCGGCTCATTCTGTATCGTGAGCGACGTCGCCGTCACTCCGGCGCGGACCAGCGCCTGATAGCTCTTGGCAAGGTATTCGGCATACAAGGGCTCCTGGCCATACAGAAGCTGACCACCATTCGTATTGTTGGATGTCTTCATCCAGGCCGGCGGCGTCCAAGTCGAAAGCATAATCTTGAGATCTGGCCGACGATTGACGGCGTCCTGGAGGACGGGCAAAATGTAGGCACGGGTGTCCTGGATGGTAAAGTTGGCGAGCGACGAGTTACCGCCGGTGATGGTGGCATTGGTATCGGCAAAGGTGTAGATTCCCTGCGCAGAGTAGTCGCTCGATCCAATGGGAACACGAATGGAGCTGAATCCAGTGCGGTTATTGAAAAAGTAATCCATGACTGCCTCGTAGTTGGTGGCGTTGCTCTGCTTGAGCTGAAAGAGAAGCCAGCACGAGCTGTCGGTAAACGCGGCGCCAAAGCCGTCCATGGGTTGCGCAACGGCCGAGGTATTGACGACAATGTCGACCCCATTGAGGTCACTGGTGGTAGCGTCGAGGTCAACGCCACCATCATCTGACCATGAGAAGACTTTGGGCTTATAGCTGTCGCTGCTCGTGTAGAAGGAGCCCGCCTCCCGCATCCCTTCGGCGTCAGTAGCTAAGCCCATCGACGGCAACTTGAGAGGCTTGTGCTGATGACCATCGTTGGGGACACGGTTCTTGATGCCGTAGTAGGCGCCGAGCACGGCCTGCGACAGAGGATTAGCGTGTCAGACTGAAGGCTCCAAAAGGTTTGCTAGCTAGCGCCTTTACTCACCGCCGCGACGACCGCCGCAACGAGGAGAAATGTCCATATCAGCGGCTAGAGGCGTGAGAGTCAGTCAGTGACGAGAGTTCTATGGCTCAATTAGCGGCACAGTCTTCTATGGACTCACCGCCGGTCTTCGCCACCAAGGCTTCGGCCGTCTCTGATAATCGGAGGCGGCCCGCTTTGGCAGCTCAGGTGTGGCGTTGCCGGACGACAGAGCATGCTTGCTCTCGGAATAGCTCCTGTACGACATAGCTGCTGCCTGGAAGAGTCGCCGGCAATGACGAGGACGAAAGGGTATCTGTGCGAGATGAAGTGGACACTAGGGAGAGGTTCGTGCCCGCGATTAGCTTGGGTCGAGAGCACGAGCACGGTGTCCATGACGGCCTCTGAGATAATTCTCCGCCAAGGCTCATGGCTGGATCTAGGCGCTGCAGTGCTCCTTCGCTGCGCTGCGAAACGACGCCCTGCAGCCACACGCAAAATGCAGGACCCTCTTAGACCCCGATCGATTGACCTTTCCGCCCTACCACGTCTGAAAAAGAACCACCTGACTTTGCCATTGGGTGTCGTTGAGGACTGAGACGACGAGCTTCGGAGCGAAAGTGGTGTCGCAGAGAAAGTCATCTAGCTCGCGCTCAAGGAAGATGCGTGACGAGGGCGCCGAGACACATGGTATGCGGGGATGTAGTCTTCCAGTGTCTTGATTGGCTCGGCAACGTGCCAACGTGGGGACAGGGGTAGGGTACAGCTTTGACGCCCTCAGCAGTGGCATCGAGATCGGGATGGTCAGTCCTGACTGACTCCTTACCCAAGTTCGCCGCTTTACTCACGGCATACCATGCTAGCTTCTCTCACCAACCTTTGGTCCTCCAATGCGCCTGAGAAGAGCAAGGCCGACGATGAGTCTAACGCTCAGAAGGTCGTCATTCCGGCTCGACGCTCCTCAATGGCCGTCGAGACACGCGTCGATGAGCGCGGACGCAGGCTAGGCTTGGAAGATCCGGATGAGCCCGCACTCAAGGACGATCCGGCCATCTTTGTCAAAGTGCCCAAAGCCCAGGCCAAGCGAGTGACGGTAGGAGGCAAGCGAGCAGCACCAGAGACCAAGGTGGCAACGTCCCTTGTACCCTCGGAGGGCAAAGACTACATTGATCCTCGCGTCTACGGCGGTACCAGCCTGGACTCTTCCGCTGGCTTGGGGGAGCCGCTCAACGTCATCGTCTCAGCACTTTCCTCGCCAGAGGTGCTGACGCGGAAGGGCCTCCAGTCTTACTTTCGCTCCCTTGACTTTGACTTTGAGTGCTTTGGTCTGCACTCTGGCACCCCACAGACGGCTTTTCTCGATCTCAGAGGCCCAATTGATCAGAACTTTCTCTATCGCGAAGTGTACACGCCCCTGGATCACCTCTTTGGCACCTGCATCGAGTCGCTAAAGGGCGGCAACCACATTCGGGCATGGCAGCAGCAAGGGACGGGGGCTTGGTTCCTGGCCTTGTCAAAGGAGAAGGATGTGACGAGTCACCACGACGTCGTCCCCGATGGCTACAATATTGGGCGAGACGAGTTTGTCAAGAAGTCGCAGTCGGAACCGAACGGCCATACGTCCTTCTTTGGCAAGCATTATCGCACGACTGTCCGCTACGTTGAAGGCCTCCTGCCAGTCGGAGCACAGGGCATCAATCACGACATTGCCATCGATGGCAGGACGGCTGTGGTGACGGTCGAGCTGTTGAATGGCAAGTCAAAGAGTACATCGAATGCGAAGGTAGCGAAGGCGGGTACGACGCCAGGGAAGCGACGTGTATTGAAGGTCCTACTGTCAAAGCGTCGTGAAGGCGGTCTGAATGTAGCCACTGCTGCGTAGTAGCAATAGCTTGCTTAGTACAATGAGATACCCGTGACGTTCGACTTTTCTTATGCGTGATGAGGGGTGGCAGAGTCAAGTCAAGTGCCCTTTGTTCCACGCCTCTTTCTCGCCCGCAGGCCCGCACGCCCACACGCCCCACACGCCCTGGAGGGCGACGCGTCCGCTCCGCTCTTGGTCCGCCTTCCGCCGTGGTGTGCCTTGGAGACGGAGGGTGCATTCAATCAATCAATCTTCTGCCCCTCCTTATCACTCCCACCAACACCGCGCTCGCACTGCTTGATTCGTCCTGACACTCGCTGTTCATCGCTATGAGTGCCTCTAGGGCCTCTGCGAGCGGGTCTAGGAATAAGCCTCTGCCATCTCAGACGAATGGAGTGGCCGCCGCTGCATCCAATGGCCGGCGATCGCGTAGCTCAGCAACCCGCCAGCGAGGCAACAATGACGAGGGCAGCGGCCTCGATGGCGATGCCGACGGAGAGAATGACCCAGCTGCCGCTCGTCAGCGCAAGCGTCTGCGACAAATCAAGCACGAGGCCATGGATGGCGCTGCTGCGGCAGCTCGCGGTCCAATGGGCGATAGCCAGACGCAGCCAGAGGCAGAGGCATCTACATCGACGGCGCGTACCTCGTCTTTGACGCCCCCGCCCAGCATGCCAACTGCTTCCGACGCAGGATCAACAGCACTCGCGGAGATCAAGAGAGAGGAGCAGATGCTCAACAGCCACAGTCAGGCGGGCCCGAGCCAGGCCACGGATGGCGAGGACGAGGAGATTGAGGCAGGGCCGAGCAGCGGTAGGCAAACACAGCCGGAGACGGCAGCAGCAGCATTTCAGTCAGACGAGAATGCCATAGAGAGGGATGCGGATGGGTGAGTAGGAACAATCTGGCCCTGTGAGCTCTTACCGGTCGTGCTGATGACCCTTGTCCTTGGCCCCAGTTTCATACCCGGATCCATCGTTCGCGTCAAACTCGAGAACTTCCTCACATACGACAGCGTCGAGTTTGCCCCAGGTCCACACCTCAACATGATTATCGGTCCCAATGGGACAGGCAAGAGTGCTATTGTCTGCGCAATCGCTCTCGGCTTGGGTTGGAAACCCGCGACTCTGGGGCGAGCCAAGGACGTGGCAGCCTTTGTCAAGCAAGGGCAGGAGGACGGCTTCACAGAGATCGAGCTTAAGGGACCCATCGGGGAGCGCAACACCGTAATCAAGCGCATTATTCATCGCAAGAACAACCAAAACGAGTATCGCCTCAACGGCAAAAAGGCTACCAGCAATGAGATCAAGGAAGCCGTCCAGCACTTTGATATCGACGTTGGCAACCTCTGCTGCTTCCTGCCCCAAGACAAGGTGGCAGAGTTTGCCCGGATGGATCCGTCGCGCCTCCTCATCGAAACGGAAAAGGCAGCAGGTGATGGCAATCTCGAGCATTGGCACGAGAAGCTCGTAGGCTACGGCGCGGAGGTCCGAGACCTCGAGGGCAAGCTGCAGGAAGAGAGGGACGAACAGCAGAACCTCGAGCAGAGGAATGAGGTACTCAGTCGTGACGTGGACCGTTTTGAGGAGAAGCGCCGTCTGGAGGATGAGGTTGCTCTGCTGGAGGTGCGATTGCCCTTTGCAGAGTACACCCGAGCCAGAACAGCGTACAGCAAGGCAAGGGACGCTAAGATCGAGCGCAAAGCAGATTTGAACGCCCTCAGGCAGGCAAACCAACCTCTTGAGCGCAAGGTGGACGATATGAAGGAGGAGCAGCGCAAGTTGGAAAGTCGCAAGCAACGATGGGAAGAGAAGGTCAAGAAGCTCGACCGCGAGATCATGAAGCATGTCAAGACCGTCGACGAGCTTGACACCGATATGACAGACCTATACGGTTCCATGGAGAACATGAAGTCTCGAGAGAAGATGCACCAAAGGTTGGTAAGCGAGAGCGTCAGAGGAGAGCGACGACACGTACTGACTGCGCCGAAACGATCATTTCCCCATTACTCTCGTACGCAGCCTCATCGCCAAGCTTAAGCAAGAGATCGCCACACTCGAAGCCATCATTGGCCAGCAACCACAACAAGCAGACACTTCCGACGTCGATCAGGCCTTGCGCCAGACTCGCGCATCGATGAGACAGATTGAAGAGCGACAGAGGGCAATTCAGGAGCGCATCGAGGATATTGGCATCGAGAATCATTCGCTGCATAGCACCAAGGACGAGACGCTTCGCAAGCTGCAAAGACTCGACGACGCCCGAGGCCGCAAGATTCAGATGCTGCGCACCGCCGATGCTCACGCCGTCAAGGCCATCGAGTGGCTGCGAGCCAATCAGAATCTCTTCCAGCAAAAGGTCTACGAGCCTGTCATGCTCGAGGTCTCCGTCAAGGACAGTAGGGCTACTGCCCATGTCGAGTCGTGCATCAACTGGCAGCAGATGAGGACGTGAGTACGCACCGGCCTATAAAGACAACCGGGCAGCAAACCTGATGCTGATGCTCTCTAACCCTTTCCTTCGGACCCTCAGCTTCGTCTGCCAGACTCGAGCTGACTATGATCTGTTCACTCGCGAGCTCGTGGACAAGCATAAGCTCAAGCTCAACGTCTCTGAGCTGGAAGGCGCACGCTCCACCCGGCAGATGGAGGCGCAAAGGCCATTTCAGATTGACGACATTCGACGAATGGGATTCGACGACTTCGTCTGCAACCTCGTCGAGGCTCCTGAGCCTGTGATGCAGTTTCTCTACTCGTCCTGCAACGTCCACACTATACCCGTCGCCTTTGGCGATACTGTGAATCTGGAGCAAGCCGAGTCCACGAAGCAGCTCCGCCGCTACATTGCCAACGGCGCCAATCACACAATCCAATACTCGGAGTACGGCAACCGCCTGCCGCAGACGATGTCGCGCGACCTCAATGCTCCTCGTACCCTGACGCAGACTGCCAACCAGGCTGAGAAGAAGCGGCTCGAGCAAGTCATGAAGGACGTTGCCGAGAAGCTCAGCGAGACAGAAAGCAAAGTTGGCGAGCTTCAAGGTGATCTGGCTCGTGAGAAGGAGGCTATGGCAGAGGAAAAGGCCAAAAAGGAAGACCTCGAGCGCCAAAGGCAAGACGCTCTTCGAGCTCTTCACGAATGGGAGAGGGCCAAGGTCGATGCTGATCAGAAGCGCAAGAGACTCGACATGGAGCTCAGGAAGCCGTCGGCGCAGCAAGAGCGTCAGCGCATTGCCAAGCAGTTGGAGAGCAAGACGCTCAAGCGCCTCGAGGCAGTCTCGACGCTGCATGGCATTGTCGTCGACCAAGTTCAGCTCAGGGCCGAGGTCGACGTCGCCCTCCTCGCCGAGCTCCAGCACGCTTCCAACTACAGTGCCTGGAAAAGCTACCTCCATACCAAGGACAATGACTTCATCGAAGCAGAGAATCGCTACAAAGACGCAAGCCTCGCCTTGGAGCAGGCGAAAAAGGCATGCGACAAGCATCGTGAATCTGCTCAAGCTAGGTTGGACCTTCTGCCGCAAGAGGTCAAAGACCGCTTCGAGGAGGAGCAACAGCAAGAGGCTGACCGCAACGAGCCCGCAATGGACATTGGCCAGATTCAGTCGCAGCTGTTCGAGAAGAGGGCTGCTCTGGAGCTCGCGCAGGGAGTTTCGCCTGCAGTCGTAGAGGCTTACAAGAAGCGCGCCGCTCAGATCAAGTCGCTCGACGAGTCCATTATCATCAAAGAGCGCGATCTCGTCAAGAAGATGACCAAGCTGGAGAAGATCAAAGAGAAGTGGTATCCCGAGCTCGACAGGCTTGTCAAACAGGTCAGCGAAAAGTTCTCCGCAGCCTTTGACCGTATCGGCTGCGCGGGAGAGGTACGTCTCTCGGAAGCTGATGATCATCACTACGAGAAATGGGGCATCGACATCCTCGTCAAATTCCGCGACTCAGAGAATCTCCAGCTACTCACGGGTCAGCGTCAGTCTGGAGGGGAACGCTCCCTGTCCACGATACTCTACCTCATGTCTCTGACCGAGCTCTACCGTTGCCCCTTCTCTCTCGTCGACGAGATCAACCAAGGGATGGACCAGAGGGCCGAGCGTGCTGTTCACGATCAGATGGTCGAGGTGACATGCCGTAGCTCGGCGGGGCAGTACTTCCTCATTACACCGAAGCTGCTGACTGAGCTGAGGTACCACGAAAGGATGAAAGTGCTCATCATCAACAATGGCGAGTGGATGCCCGAGAAGTTGAGTCTCGCACGATACGCCAAGCTAGCGACCGGAGGAATGGCAGGTGGGGCAGCTACGGCCAGTGGCTCGTCGGGCAGGGCCATTGTGGTCTGAGCAGACAAGCGGTTCGAGAGCTTTCCGCATACGAGAGTTGTTGTTCATCATTATCGTCATCTTCATTGTATCTCTTTCGATATCTCTAATCAGTCATCAAATCCTGAAGTCGCGCTGCAAGCGCTATCTCTCAATGCGAGAGGCGTGAAGGGCATCTCATTGCTACAAATCGCTGCTCTTCCTCCGGCAGTACTCTCGCACCACGAGCGACACAATGAATTCAGCGAGCAGCACAGAAGCTAGGATGGCCAGCGTGCCTGTGAGAGCCTGGTCAGATGGAGGTCCGCCGTACGCGATGAAGACGGCTTGGATGGCTGGAAGGACGACGGCAAAGCCGAGGCGGAATATCCAGCCCAGCTTGTCGCGACGTCGAGGCCTCGGACTGTCAGTGGCACGGGTCCTAAGGCCGCGAAGGATCTTGACGATGGCATCTGCGGCAAGAAAGATTGCGCAGGCTCCGTAGAGAAACTTAGTCTGCCGGGTGAGAGATAGAGTGAGGAAAGGACGGGGAATCAATCAGTTGGAAACGCGTCCCATCATGCTACTCGCGCCTCGCCGCCACCGACTCACCTGCAAAAGATTTTGCTCGATCCACGAATTGAGCGATGACGAGTTCTGCTGCGAGATGGCTTGGGACAAGCCATCCCATTTCGACAGCACCAGTCTTAGCGGCGGGTCAAGGGATATGGACGCCATCTCCTTTGCGGCGCTTCTGAGGCCAGCTGCCTGCCCTGCGCTGGGTATTTGACTGCCGAGAGTCTCTTCTATGATGGTGAACATCGACAGCACGACTTCGTGCGCCCTGGCACTGCCGTGCGCCGGCATGGTCTCGTTTCGACCGTCGATGATGGCGTACAGGTCGTAGTAATCTAACTCGTTCCACGGCGGGTAGTCTGGCAGCCATTTGCGCGGGTTGTCGAAAAGCTCCTCGATGGCGCGCATAGCATTGAGGAAACCGACAACCTTCTTCAGACCAACGACGGTGACCAAACTGGCCAGATGTAGGATGAGGTGCATGTAGCTCCAGCTGAGCCCAGCGAGGGGAGGAAGGTCGAGCTCTCGCGAGGCGTCGGAGAAGTAGGCTGGCCATTGGATTAGGGGGCATCAGGGACCGCTGATGAGTAAAGCATCGATGCAGTCTGTCTCTTCTCGCAAGCGTCGCACACTCACCGTAGAACTGCATCAGTAAGGTAATGACAGAGCTCAAGGTCTGTAAGATACTACCCCGAGCCCATCCGCCAGCAGGACTTCCATCCCCACCCCACTGGTGAGCACCAATACTGAAGCCGTTGAGGACATCGCCCAGAGAATTGAAACCTTCGCCCAAGATAATTAGCCCAAATGTCGCCATTCTTTCCGCAAGGATCGTGTCACCTAGTGGCCCGAAGCGAAGCGTAAGCTCCGTATAGCTTTGGGCGACGACTTCGAGCAAAATTGCCAGACCCCACATGACACCCTGCTGCCAGACGACACCAAAGTTGTCGTCGAAGAGGCGGCTGACGCCCCACATGATTGCAGAAATGGTGCTTGCGGCTACTATGACGCAGGTGCCTAGCCGCATCTGCGGATCGCAGCGCAATGAGGGATCCAGTGACCAGACGAGTGCGAAGTCGAGGATGAGGCAGACTCTAGTCAGGGCGTAGAGGAGCGTCGCCGTGGCAAAGCCAGACCGAGTGAACTCAGAAGGCACCGTCGTGAATCCCAGCCAGACGCAGAGGAGCACGAAGCGGAGGACGCCTTGCGCTACGCTCCTCAAGCGACCCGTACGCTGGCGGTAGCGTACGTCAAAGAGGGTTTGGGTGAACCAGGCCCACCACAGTATTGCGAAGAAGGCTGCAAAAGCGGCAATCTGCCTAGCCCGATCGAAGCTCATCGAGGCTGAGTATACGTTGAGAACGGCGGCAAAGAGGAGGTCGAACAGCAGATCCTCAAAGGTCGGCAGCTGAAATGACGTCGCAGGTCTGGGCGTAGAGTCGATCGATACGCGCGGAGGGCTTGTGCTGCGTGTGTCCCATGCCTCCTCTTTGCCGTCTTGTCGGTCCACTCTGTTGAGGAGCATGATAGCATCCGTGGTCGACTCGGGACGCTTGTGTACATCAAGAAATCCATGGGAGGCTTCCTTTCCCAGCGAAGTGGATCCTTCGGCCGCCAGCATGGACATCTTAGAAGTGTCGGTGGTAGCATGACAAGAGAAAAGGGATATCGATGAGCAATTGGGGACCTACTGAGCGCTTGCCAGGGCTTGCTACGACTTGCTGCAGCATAGCATTGCCTGACGCCTCTCGGTGTGTTGCGCCTCATTTTCGTGCGATTTTGTGCTTGCCGCCGGTCCTCGTCTGCTCTTTGCCATCTGCCAGAGCCGAAACGGACCAGCCTGCCGGAACCACCATTCTTGTTCCGGACTATCGTCATTCACGACCTTCGTGTCTTGAGATGTTTGGGCAGGATCAGATGGTTGCCTGAATTCCTGGCCCAGATAGACCAGCTTCAAAGCGCCGACTATCTATTCCGTGATTGTCCTTTTTGCCGTCGCTGTGATACCGTCCCCGGCTTCGCCGTCTGCCCAGGATCATTTCCGGGCGTATATCTCCCTTCAACAGGCTCTCGTCCTGACGAGCGCTCAACGCGGGGCTGAGATCGATCGATGACTCGGCCAGAAGAGCCTCTCATCCCTCTTTGCCACTCTCTCTCATCTGCGCTGACCATGCTCGCTCTCGCCATGTTGATCGCTTTTGCTGCGCTTGGCGCTCGTATGACCGATGCAGTCGGCAATGGTAAGCGACGAGTAAGTCAAGCTCCAATCGGGGCCTCATCTTACCCTGTTATTCTGTTCTGCCCCAGGCGGCGAGTGCCAACGACTCATCGACGGCCATTGTCAGTCCAGATTTGCGTTGCTAAGGCCTTCATACGCTCACACATCAGCCCGCTACCGCAGGCATCTACAGCCCGCCGGCCAGCAAAATGACACAGCCCATGGCAGTTGACCTGTCCCGAGGCAAGATACTCCTCAAGACTACAGGCGGTGGTGGTAGCCAGACTTATCTGCTTGATGATCACAGCGACGGATTCATTGTGGTCCATTGTCTCGGGGACGCTAAAGACCAAGCTCTAGAGTTCAGCTTCGATGGCAGTCAGGCGTTTGTCGTCGGGCCGATGACAGATGGGAAAGCGTATGCTTCATTCTCAAATAATCCACGGAAGGTCGGCAAGGGAGCTGAGCAGGGTAGCATGACCAAGGGGGTCGATATCATCGTCGGATGCGAGTAGCTAGCAGAAGGTGGCACTCTCCGTACCCTGTCGCCCACGCTCGTAGCGGGTACAAACGGGTACAAAACAATCAAAGCCAATAAGCGACCGCTGCTGACGAGAAGCTGATGATCGGCCAACGCTTGCCATTGACCTGAATGCGATCTCCAGTGTGTCTTCTTACAGTTCTTACAAACTACAATATCTAACATGCTCCTGGCAATCAGCACGTCCTTTATCACACTTGCCTTCGTTCGCCCTGTCCTCAGTCGTGAGTACGCGAGGCACAGGTGCAACGCCTCAGAATGCTGACACGTCGACTCGATGACGGTGCAGAGGGCGAGTGTCAGCGCTTAGTTGATAAACATTGTCAGTCGTAGCCCACTTTCATTAAGTCCAGCAGGTGCTTGCGCTCGCGCTCACGGCTCATTCATCCACAGGCATCTACGGTCCCGACTTCTCGCATCTAGTCGAGCCGATGTTCGTCAATACCACGCGCGGCGAAGTCCTTCGCGAGAGTCGTGGCGGTGGCGGCTCGCAGACTTTCCTCCTCGACGATCACAGCGACGGCTTCATCGCAGTGCATTGTCTCGGCGTTGATAAGGACGAGTCTCTCGAGTTCAGCTTTGACGGCAATCTGTCTTTCGTTGTGGGCCCCACTGTAGAGGGAAAGGCATGGGCATCTTTTTCGAACAACCCGAGGAAGGTGAGAAGCGGTCAGGCGCAGCATCGAACGAGAAGTCCGGCTAACCATGAGTGCACGCGAGGCAGGTTGGCAAAGGTCAAGAACAAGGCAGCAGGACGAAGGGAGTTGACCTCTTTGTCGGATGTTATTAGACCAGTGAGATCGGCGCAATGGTATGATCAGACTCGCGTCGGGTTTCTTTCAGTGAAAGCGTCTGTAATGATCCAGCGAGACGTAAATCTGCCTTTGATCGGTGCTTTGCGGCTCGGTAATCGTGGCGAATCCCTTAGCTTGCGGGCCGCATCCGCAGACGCGGCTGCATCCATGCGCTACGGCCCGTCCTTGAGGCCGCTGCCAGATCGGCGGCACCATAGGTACTGTACCAAGCGTGCGAGGATTTGCTTGCAAATGATGGTAGCGTCCAAGAAGGACCGCTTGTCGGTGATCACTTCCAGTAACTTTCGGGGCCTTCAGCAGACCGCGGTGCACGGCAGCGGTACGAAGATGGCCGCAACGAGGCGGCTTTGCGACGGTGGAGTGACCACTGATGGCCGGTCTTACCATCGATGAGGACTCTTTCCTCATCGTGTCCGCTCGATATAAAAGCAGAATGCTCCGTTGCCTCGCCCTCTTCCGAGCGACCATCTCACCTTCAAACATGTCGGTTACCGCCAAAGTGTCCTTCTTCATTCTCTTCAACACCGTCATGGCCTCGGGCGTAGCTGCAAATCTAAGTGAGCTACACATCGCAATCATACTCTACGCGACGTAATGCTCACCTCAGTCCATCCTTTAGATCCTCTTTGCAACGGCGACAAAACGGTCCACTGTGAGTGGAAGCCTTCTACGGAGATAGGCGGTCTTCGCCGCTGACTTTTACTCGGCCACCTAACCGACCCCTAGGCATTCGCTCCCCTAATAGCGCTCAGTTGGTCGGTTCGCCTTTTGTGCACCTTGACTCGGGGTCCCTCCTAGGACAAGAGGTCGACGCGGTCGGCGTGCACACCTGGGCCGTCTCCAACACAGCGGCAGTCAGGTTGACCTTCCGCTGTGGGAATTCTGGGCATAGCCAGACGTTCAATATGGGCTTGACTCCGACGGGTGGGGTGCTCTTTGGGCCTCAGGTGGAGGGTAGCGCAAGTGTTTACTTCAATGACAATCCGGGTCAAAAGGTGAGCAGGCTGGAAGCATTGGCTGAGTACGCGAAAGATCATACTCCATTCTTCGCTCACAGGCCACTCGCGGCAAGGAGATCCAATCGAGCACGCCGGGCGTTGATGTCACGGGCAGTTGTTAACTGTGGGCAAGCTTGGTTGCTGTCCTCACGCCGAGGCGTATTTCCGGCTACAAAATAATCACTCCTTCGCTCTTGCCCACGTTCTGCCTTGCGTGAGAATCGCGACTCTTGGGGTTCCGCATCTGCATCACAACTTGCCCCATCTCATTTCCTTCTTGCTCAATGCGGCCGCAAATGCCTCGGGCATCTCCTTGTTTTGGAGCATACTGCTATTGACCCAACCGATGTGGTCCAGACCCTCTCTGACCGAGTGGTCGCGAGAGTAGAGAAGGCTGGCCTTGGTTGCGCGTACGGCTACGGGCGACTTGGCGGCGATGAGCTTGGCGGTAGCGAGGGCCTCGGCTGGTCGCGTTGCAGGGAAGGAGGAGGACCGGTCAGTTTACCAAAGTCGTCCCTTTGTAGAATGATCATCGCCTGCTACCCACCAATGACTCCCCCTCTGCCTCCCTTGGTGACCTTGCCCACGAAGCCAATGCGATGTGCCTCCTCCGCACCAAATTCTCGCGCCGTCAATGCCAGCTCACGAGCCACGCTATCGTTTCCTACAATTCGTGGGAAGCGTTGCAAAGAGCCAATATCTGCTGCTAGGCCGATGTGCTGGTAAAGACAGGCAGTGTCAGCTCATCGACGTGGGAATGCCCTTCAACGTCGCCCTCGCTACTTACGACCTCCCTGATACTAAATCTCGCCCCTTGATCCGCATACCTAATATCACAAGCACTCATCAAATCTACGCCTAGTCCATACGCAACTCCATGCACGGCAGCAATGACCGGCTTGCCACATCCCTCGAGCATAGTCAAACTAGCCTGAAATTCGTCGATATGCCGTTTCAACTTCCAGGCACTCCTCGCCGGATCGTCCTCGATAAGCTCCACAAGGCCGCCCGAGGTGACGTCCAGTCCTGCGCAAAACGCTTTTTCGCCCTCGCCTGTCAATATCACGACGGCCACGTCTGGGTCGACGGAGATGTGAGAGAGGACGCGATGGAAGTCGTAGGTCATGAGGTCGGACCATTGATTGACTTTGCTGTTTGAAAGGGAGAGGCGCAAGACGAGGGGAGCATCGAGGGTGAGAGAAAAATTACGTGGTGCAGGGGAGAGACCATTGTAAGGCCGTGGGTATGAGGAGTCTGCGTCTGACATGCTGCCGAGCTGAGATAGTCTTGGGACCAGCGTCAAGGATGGCAAGCCAAAGACGTCGCCCTCGCCCTCGCCCTCGCGGCCAATCCGGTCCTCGGCTGAGCCTGGGGGCGGGGGGATCCTCGAGTAACCGGACGGCCGGGCCACCCTCGAACTTCGTCAAGACGGCACACAGATCACTTGACAAGGTCGTTGTCATGCGATCGACGAGGAGGCGAGACGAGATCAAGTCTTCTGCTCAAGTATGAATTCGACAGCATGGAGCCATGACAATGATGGCGGCAGGCGAGCGGGACGGACGGGCGGGCCGGTGAAGCAGCTGAGTGAGAGTCGGGCCAAAGTCTTTGCTCGTCAATGAAGGATAGCTAGAAATACAGGTGAATGAATGGAAAGCAGGGTGATCACATGGTGGCGAGCAGACAAGACCGGACGAAAAGAGTGCCACAAGAACGACACAAGAATGCTGCGCCGGTGGAGGTGGAATGCTAGGTGAAAAAATGGCAAAGGAGCCAGAGGTCAACAGGCGCCGGTCGCACAGCGGCGGCTGAGAAGCAAAGGCTGGGATGAGAGCCGCTGAAGTGCTGACAACATGGAAATTGGTGGATCGTGCGTCTTCCTTGCTTGCTTGCTGCAAAGAAGCCCATTGCTTTGCCCTTGAACAGGCCGGTATGGCAGTAATGCTGACCTGCTCCTCTTGGCGGCTTTATCGGATGGGCGATGGCTCAAAGCCATTGACGAGCTTCTTGGGGCTCGATCTGTCGTGACGACGTCCGTGAAGGTGTTCTTCAAAGTCTTGCTGGCGGCCACCAAACATCTGCTGATGGTGCTCGTGATGCTGCTGCTGGTGCTGCGGCTGAGCATTAGGCGAGAGAGACATCTTTGCCCTATCTTCAGCGACTGCCTCTAGATGTCCGCCCGGACGTTGATGCCACTGCTGCTGGTACGGCGATGAACCAATGCGATCAGATGGTGTCTGCATGGGTGTGTTGGCCGGTGCTTGAGCAAAGCCAAAGCCAGACGAGCCGGCGCCCGACTGGTAGGAGCCGTTGGAGTGATGACCCCCCGAGGCATTAGAGGAATAGCTACGAGGAGCATTGCCGCGGTCATGGAAGCCATTCAACTCTGCGCTGCCCTGTTGGTATCCGAGCATCCCGACTGCCATGTCCTGGTCTACATAGCTACCGGGTGGCTGCATTGGCGTGTCATCCAGAGAGGACCCGCCCACCCATCCTAGCCCATCCTGCCCAACAGACCCGCCGCCACTACGGTGCTGCGGTGTCGAGGTGCGGCGCTTGCTGTTGGCAGAGCCGCTGCTGATTTGACGTGAGCTGGATGGCCCAGCATGAGGATGGCAAGGGCCGAGTGCCTGTTGGCCGAGGGTGGCGCGGAGGTTCTCGCGAATCTCCTCAAGTCCCTGGCCGCGGTCGCCGGCGTGGACCTGTTGCATTGAGCCGATGAGGTCGTCAAGGTTGAGCGCCATCTTCGCGGAAAGGTGTAGAGACGACGATGGCGGGGGACGAGACTTGGGTTGAGAGCGACGAGTGCAAAACCGGCTGAGTGAGGGAGGCTGTGGCGCTTAGTGGTCCCAGTCGTCTTAGGAGAAGAGGGAGGACCTGACCGTACGCCCGACGTCGTGGCTGGCAGAGGACCCGAGGATGAGTGCGACGAGGGCAAAAGAGAGAGGAAACAAGAGCTGAAGATGTATGAGATGGAAAGGATGGTGGAGGATGGTAGTTGCGAAGCACAACTCGCTCGCGACTCGGTCCGGGCATCACTATGTAACCGGCGCGTGGAAGCAGCGGAAAAAGGCGCCGGTGCCACGTGGCCGAGCCTTCCCGTCCTCAGTCATGGCTCAAGGCTCACCACGGCTCACGGCTCCTCACGCCTACTCTGACCAGCTAGCGCCACGAGACCGCCGCAAGTGAAAACATATCGTGGCACGGCGACGATCGTGTCTTGCCTCGAAGTTATCAGATGGTCCCACCGTCGTGAGGCTTGGACGTCCATCGCGCTCGTCTCGGCCTTGCGCATGCTGCACCATCGATTGACGGTGGTCCAAGAATTGCCGCTTCATTCCCATCTTCATCCGTCTTTGTGAGCCATGGTAGCGCTCACTGTTCGCCCGTTCCCGCTCTGAACGACGTGCTGCAACCGTCCTCATGGAACCTCTGATGCGTACGTTTCGTGTGCGTGGCGTCCGTACTGCTTGCATGAGAGATGGGCCCACAAGCGTGCGAGGGGCATCGTGCGCTCAAGTGGGAGTGAAGCCTGGAAGAACTGCGCCGCCCTTCCGTCGCCCATCTGTCAAAGGGTGCTTTTGTGTGTTGGATTCGATTGGGGCGCCATGGCGCATTTCGTCTGGTCGCCTCGCCCGCATACAGGCAGGCAGACAGGCAGGTTGGTCTGGGTCTGGGTCTCCTCGCTCTCGTCGGCGAGGCAAAAGCAGAGTTGAGTTGGCCGAAACCAAACGGCGGACGGGCGGCGGCGGGCGGCAGCGGCGGCGGAGCACGACGACGTCGAGGCCAGCACGGACAGAGCGAGCGGGGGCCACAGGACAGCCTACCAGGCAACATCCTTCTTGCTCTTCTCTCCTTACCATCCTCCATCCTACCTAGTAGCCGCTCCGTGAGTTCAAAGGCGGTGTGCAAAACAAGACGACTATTGCTGACCCTTTTGCCGTTATCGTCTCGACGACCCGGCCAGTAAACGCTCCTTGGTCCGCACCCTACCTTTACCTTCTCCCTCTCTCCTTCAACCAACACCCTAAGATGGCCAGCTCTCTCTCGACGCCGGGCTCGCAGCAGGTCAAGGTGAGCCGGTGCGATTGACCGATGTGAAGGACTTGGAGCGGGATTACTTACTATCACACCCCTCTCGTGCCCACCAGGCCAACCCGCGAGCTCGCGGAGCCTCTCACATCGACTTCAAGTCGGCCACTACTGGCGTGGCCGCAAAGGCGATGCGAAATGAGCTCAACAACATGGTCGCCGAGATCCAGGACTCGGCTGCTAGGAAGGTGAGCAAGTCGCGTCTCTATCGCCCTGCATTACCCCTCTCTTGCTCACAATCAGTTCCACCCTTCGTGATCTGCGTTCAGCACTTCGACGCCGAGATGAGCGGCTTCTTTGGCCTCTTCAACCGCTACCTCGCTGAAAAAGCAAAGGGAGAGCGCCTCGACTGGGACAAGGTCAAGAGCCCCGCAGCAGAGCAGGTCACCCCCTACTCGCAGCTCACCAGCAAGGCAGCTGACCCTTCAATCCTCAACAAGCTGGCTGTCCTCAAGCTTAACGGTGGTCTGGGTACCACGATGGGATGGTGAGTAAGCGCGGTACAGAGGTGCGGGAGCGAGGATGCTGCGTTCAAAGAATCAGAGCTGATGCAGTCTTCTGCTCCTCGTGCAGCACCGGCCCCAAGTCGGTCATTGAAGTCCGTGATGGCATGACTTTCCTCGACCTGTCCGTCCGACAGATTGAGCACCTCAACTCTACGCACAATGTCAACGTGCCTTTCATCCTCATGAACTCGTAAGTGTCAAGGCAGGCTACTGAAGCAGTCAGCTGCCAAACAAGCTTTCTCATATCTCCTCGTCCCCCCGCGCCCCTCCCAGCTTCAACACCGACGATGACACGGCCCGCGTCATCCAAAAGTACGCCAATCACAACGTCGAAATCCTCACCTTCAACCAGTCGCGTTACCCGCGCGTGAGCAAGGAGACGAACCTTCCTACTCCCCGCAGCGCCACGAGCGACAAGAGCAACTGGTACCCGCCTGGCCACGGTGACCTCTACGACGCCATCAACAACTGCGGTCTCCTAGACCGCCTGATTGCTGCAGGCAAGGAGTACCTCTTTGTCAGCAACGTTGACAACCTGGGTGCTACCGTCGACCTCAACATCTTCCAGCACATGATTGACACTCAGGCCGAATTCATCTCCGAGGTCACTGACAAGACCAAGGCCGACGTCAAGGGTGGTACTTTGATCGACTACGAGGGCCAAGTCCGTCTCCTAGAGATCGCTCAGGTGCCCAAGGACCACGTCGAGGACTTCAAGTCGATCAAGAAGTTCCAGATCTTCAACTGCAACTCTCTCTGGATCAACCTGAAGGCAATCAAGCGCGTCTTGACAAATGATGAGCTCGACCTCGAGATCATTGTCAACAACAAGGAGCTTCCCTCAGGCGAGGCAGTCATTCAGCTCGAGACGGCGTGCGCCGCAGCCATCAAGCACTTCCGCGGCGCCAAGGGCGTCAACGTTCCTCGCTCACGTTTCCTGCCCGTAAAGGCGTGCTCCGACCTGCTGCTGATCCAGTCAGACCTCTACTCCCTCGAGCACGGCGCCCTCGTCATGAACAATCAGCGTCTCTTTGGGCAGACCCCCGTTGTCAAGCTCGGAGACACCTTCAAGAAGGTGTCCAATTACCAGAAGCGCTTCAAGTCCATCCCGAACATCATCGAGCTGGATCACCTGACCGTCTCAGGCGATGTCGTCTTTGGGCGCGGAGTGCAGCTGAGGGGCACTGTGATCATTGTGGCGAACGAGGGGCAGCATATCACCATTCCGGAGGGGTCGGTTCTCGAGAACAAGCTCATCTCGGGGGCGTTGAGCGTCATCGACCACTAGAGCGGCGGCGGCGGCGGCGGCAGCGGCGGCGGCAGGTCCCTGTCTGCTCGACTGCGATACTGAAGATGAGGGAGGGGCGAGGGATGGGAAGATGTACCAGGCCATCGGGTCCTGCATAGCCGCTCAGCACAGAAAGCTTGCCCTTCTCACTTTTTCTTCGGGACGATGCCTCGGACTCTGCTTCTTCTTCCCTTCTCAGGGTTCTTTTGTTGATGTCGAATGGGTGCTGTTCTTCTCGCTTGCTTTATATACACTTTGAGACTCAGACGCAATTCACGCGAAAATCACACGATGGGTTCAGCTTGATCGATGCCACGGTGTAGCTTAGTATGGCTTGAACCTTCTCGCCTTTCTGCCATCAACGCCTTCTACTCCGCCCTCTTTGAGTTGCCTCATTCTCTCAGCATCCTCGGCAAAGCCCTTTCTCAGGTTGGCGATACGCTGCCTGGCCTCCTCGCGCACCTGGAAACGATAGAAGTCCTCCAAGCCTGCGGGCACAGCACTTTTCCCTGCTCCCTTTGCTTTGGCCTGTGCTGCGGCCAAAGAGCGAAGTCGGGCCATCTTGACTCCTCCACTGCCCGCGAGAGGAGGAGCACCAGACTCTTCGCCAGGTGCTCCGCCACCACCTGAGCGACCGTACTTGCCTCCTGGGAGGACGATGACGAAGCCATCCTCGTCCAAGGGCTCGCCATTGGGCCCATATGACGCTATACGGATCCCACCGGGAGCACCACCCAGTTGACCAGGTGTCCCACTCTTGTGTCGCTTGATCATCCACGTACGACGCGCGACCAATGAATCAGCGTGTCGCTTGACGGCCGAGAGGGGTGCGGGGCGGTGAGCGTCGTAAGTCTCGATGAGGGATTGCAGGCCTAAAGGCGCAGAGGTGGCTGCCGAGGCAAGCGTGGCTTGCAGCGCTGTTGTAGGGCGATGGCTCCGTATATCATTGCGATCGTCATCGTCCTTGTAAAGCTTGGCAGCCTTACGCTGTGCCTCGCGGAGGGGATCTTGCCACTTGAGGGGCTTCGATGCCGAGGATTGGGAGAGTTCGAGGGCGCGCTGCACGCTCGCCGGCTCGAGCAAGACGATGTGTGCTGTTGAGCCAGTGTTGAGGAGCGGCCTTGGATTGAGGGGAGCGGGTAGAGGGACAAGGGCTGGTGGGATGGAGGCGGCTGCTGAGGCTGCGACAGCCTTTTTTGATTTGCGACTGCGGGGTGGAGCTGTCGATGCTGCTTGCGCTACTGCCGCTGTAGTCTCCTCCTCCAGATCCTGACGCTCCTCATTCTCGCTCTCATCGTGATCCTCCTCGATTCCAAGCGTGGTCTCATCCTCGAGGGCCTTCTGACCAGCGAAGCGCACCTCCTCGACGCGGCCTACGCCGGCCTTGTCAAAGAGGGAGCGCAGATGAGCCTCGGTGCCGTCGGCGGGAATATTGACAGCGAAGAGAGTGCGGTCTGATGGGAAAGATGCGGACGAGGAGGAAGAAGAGGCAGTCGCCTTGTGCGGGCGGAGGTAGAGGAAGTGCGCCGCCGAGGAAGAAGACGAGGACGACGAAGAAGAAGAAGAAGAAGAGGGAACAGAGAGGCGTAGAACATGGAAGCCAGCGACGGTGTTGTGGGCCTTGACGGATGAGAAGCTCTTGGACGATGACGACGTCACTGCCTCTGCCGTCTTCATCTTCTTGTTTGCCTTTGCCATTGTTCGCGAATGGTTGACAAGACGATGAGCGGCTGCAACCTTGAATTCACTCCTGGAAGTGCGCCTCTCTCCGTCTTGGAAATCTCGCGAGTGCGTCTGCCGCCTGTCATCCGCGGGCCGACTGGTCGACTGGATTCTTGGTCCGTTCTTGTCGTCGTCGTCTCATCACCATCATCATCCTCGTCGATCGTGGTCATCACCTGTCCAACGCTACAGAATGCTGCGCCCTACTTTGCCACTCTTCAGCAAAGCTGTGCGACTCCCTCTCAACTCAAAGAAGGCGAATCGCGACTTCTACAAGGGAACACGTACTGGCAACCCACTCCGTCGAACCCGTATCGCCCTCATGTCGCACCATGGCTCGAGGATTCAGAGGGATCCAGCTACAGGCAGGGAAAAGACGTGGACTATCATGGGACACAGACTTGATGAGAGTAGGATGATGAGCTTCGTCGTTCCGCCCGGATTGGAGGGTTGCTCTGTGAGTTGGCCCTCATAGCAAGCTTCATGGTCACCAAAGTATGTATGCTGACATCTACTCTCCATCCAGCTCAAACCCTACGTGCAGCGTGCCTTTTCGCCAGCTGCAGATGCAGAAGGTGTGCCGCACCTCCGTGGTGGATATCCGGCAGTGACCAGGAACAAAGAAGTAGAGGAAGGCGTGGCGCTGGGTGAGGGTGGGTTGGATGCTGTCAGCTACGAGGAAGCGAGGAGAGTCATTTGGAACAGGAGGTCATGATTAAGCAGCACCGAGGGACAGCAAGTGATAACAGGAGGAGAGGGACGAGATAGACAGCCTCAGCGCATAGGCGCCATCGCTGGAGGCCACCAGCACCCATTTGTACTATACAATTCGCGACGCATCGATGTGGAACATCTTTGCTTCACACAAGAAATCAGCCTACCCTGTAATCTTTGTCTGTCGTATGCGAAGCCAAGGCCCCGTCATGGAAGTGGAGCTATTCAGCTTCTTAAGCAGAAGCATTGTGAAGTTGTCATTCGTCTTTCATCGTTGATGGTGCTGTCGGCCCGCGTGTACCGTGCTCACTCGCCGCCGTCGGCCTCGTCGGTCCTAGCTAGACAAGCAGGCACCGTCGTGATCGGATGTGGCGGCCTCGAGTCAAGGCGCCGGCAGGCAGACCGAGCTCGAGTGCAACCAATCTTCCGTTGGACGGCCCGCCCACTTTATCCATTTCTAATCCCTATCCAAATCAACCTCATCCACGTCGTGCCCTTGACCAAAGGCAACACACAGCTCATCAGCAAAGCCAGCTAGCCACCCCTCGTCTCCTTTCTTTCCCAACGACCCTCGACCTCCGCATTCTTGTCGGTGCGCGCAGAGCTGCGAGACCAATTCAGACATGGCCGCCGCCCCTCAGACCCTCTACGAGAAGATCTTGTGAGTGCGGCGCCATTGAGTGCCACATGACATGACTAGCACCTCACTGATTTGACTGACGATTTGTCTGCTCTGCTCCTCGCAGCAAGTCCCACATCGTTCACGACGATGGCAAGGGCAATATCCTCCTCGCAATTGACCGGCATCTCGTCCATGAAGGTCAGTGAGCGAATGGTCAAGGCATGACCGAGAGTAAGCTGAGCTGATCCCTCAATACCGCTCTCTCACTCGTAGTGACATCGCCCCAGGCATTTGAAGGTCTTCGCAAGGCAGGACGCAAGGTCCGCCGAGTAGACCAGACGCTCGCCACCGTTGACCACAACATTCCTACCATCAGCCGCAAGACGTACAAAGACACAAAGACGTTTGTCGAGGAGTCCAACTCGCGAACTCAGTGCCTCACCCTCGAAGACAACGTCAAGGAGTTCGGACTCACCTTCTTTGGGCTGACTGATAACCGTCAGGGCATCGTCCACGTCATTGGGCCCGAGCAGGTGCGTGCGAGCCCGAGAGCTGCTTTGCATTGATATGGGCTGAGTGGAGCTCACAAGTATCTCATGACCTCCTTTTCCGTTCGCAGGGCTTCACGCTCCCCGGCGCTACCATCGTCTGCGGTGACTCGCACACCTCTACCCACGGAGCTTTCGGCGCTCTCGCCTTCGGTATCGGTACCTCGGAGGTCGAGCACGTTCTTGCTACCCAGACGCTGCCACAGAAGAAGGCGAAGAACATGCGCATCCAGGTCGACGGTCAACTCGGTCCTGGCGTCACGTCGAAGGACATTGTTCTTCACGTCATCGGTATCATCGGCACTGCTGGTGGGACTGGATGCGTCATCGAGTTCTGCGGCAGCGCCATCCGCCAGCTCTCGATGGAGGCCCGTATGTCCATCTGCAACATGTCGATTGAAGGAGGTGCTCGTGCTGGCCTCATTGCACCCGATGAAATCACCTTCGAGTACATCAAGGGCCGCCCTCTGGCCCCCAAGGCGGGCAAGGAATGGGAGGACGCCGTCGCTTACTGGAAGACGCTGCCATCCGACGAGGGCGCAAAGTACGACGTCGAGGTCAAGATCGCCGCCGAGGACATCCCTCCCACACTCACCTGGGGTACCTCACCTCAGGATACCGTTGCCATCACTGGTGTTGTCCCCGACCCCTCGGACGTCCAGGACGAGAAGCGTGCCGCAACGATTAAGCGCTCCCTCGAGTACATGGGTCTCACGCCAGGAACACCCATGGAGCAAGTCAAGCTGGACAAGGTCTTCATCGGATCGTGCACCAACTCGCGTATCGAGGACCTGAGAGAGGCGGCCAAGATCCTCTACGGGCGCAAGATTGCTTCTCACATCTACGGCATGCTGGTGCCTGGCTCTGGGCTCGTGAAGAAGCAGGCGGAGGCAGAGGGGCTCGATAAGATCTTCACTGCAGCAGGCTTCGACTGGCGTGAGGCTGGATGCTCCATGTGTCTCGGCATGAACCCTGACCAGCTCGCCCCGGGAGAGCGATGTGCTTCGACGTCGAACCGCAACTTCGAGGGACGTCAAGGTGCCGGTGGCCGCACCCACTTGATGTCACCAGCCATGGCCGCCGCCTGCGCCATCACAGGCTACCTGACAGACGTGCGCAAGTTTGCGTCGGGCCGTGTGGGCTCCGAGGCAGACAAGCCGGCCTTTGAGGTCCAGGTGACCGACTCTAAGGCCTACCTCGGCGAGACGCCCCTCCACGTCCCTGCCGATACGCCCGAGGGCGCACAGACCGGACAGACTGACGAAGACAAGATCCGCGACGTTCCCGCCAGCACCACTTCGTCAGCCGCAGCGTCGGGAGGTACACCGTCGGGCAGCTCTCGCAAATTCACCGTCCTCAAGGGCATTGCCGCCCCCATCGACCGCGAGAATGTGGACACGGACGTCCTCATCCCTGCTCGATTCCTCAAGACGGTCACTCGTGCGGGGCTGGGCAAGTCCCTCTTCTACCGTGACCGCTACGACGACTCGACGGGCAAGGAGAACCCAGACTTTGTTCTCAACCAGGACCCTTGGCGTCAGGCCCGCATCATCGTCTCGAGGGACAACTGGGGCTGCGGTTCGAGTCGCGAGCACGCTGCCTGGGCCCTGGATGACTTTGGTGTCTCGTGCGTGATTGCCAAGTCATTTGCCGACATTCACCACAACAACTTGCTCAAGAACTTCTTGCTTCCCATTACAATGAGCGATGCGGAGCAGCTGGAGGCCTGCATGGATGCAGCCAAGCGTGGAGAGGAGATCGAGGTCGACCTGCCCAAGAAGACGGTCAAGCTGGCGTCTGGGCAGAGCTTTGCCTTTGAGATGGACGAATGGAGTCAGCATTGCCTTGTTAATGCGCTGGATGACATCGAGCTGACCCTGGCCAAGGAGGAGCACATTGCGGCGTATGAGGAGAAGAGGAGGCAGACGACGCCGTGGTTGGAGGGTCCCAAGGCGAGGAAGCTCGAGGCGAAGCCCGTGAGCAAGATGGAGGCCAAGGCTGCTAGTGGGAAGTTGGACTGGTAGCGCGGTATCAGTGCAGCAAGTGAGAGGCAGCTTGGTCTCGTGTTCCAACTCTCTTGATATTCCACGTCTCTCATTTCCCAATGTCAATCGCGTGTCTACCGATTGCTGTGGAGTGTTGTGGGTGGCGTCTCATCGATTTCAAAAGAGGTGAGGCGGGCGGTGCAGGGTCCAGGCCGCGGTGTTGAGCGTGACTGGCTGCAAGACAAGCGGTTCAGTCCGCTGCGCTGCAGGCGGCATCTCTGGTGATCCTTTGGTCTTTCTTTCACTTCTCAGATACCATACCACGCCTTGACGGCTGCGCACGCGAATGGTCAAGAGACGTCGCGTGCTGCCATGGACGGCCTTCCTGGCCAGCTTGGCTGCCCTAGCCGTTGCATCATCCTCATCGACGGCAACGACGCATGACATCTTGACCACAGCAAGAAAGCATCACAGCACGTCGTCCTCCTCCACGTCCCCCTCATCGTCTAAGCACCACTCTACGACATCGCACTCACAAGGCACACCGACACCGACGTCGACTCACCATCCTTCACCACCACAAGACAATTGCGACCCTCTACCGCTCAACCTGTCCCCTCGTGATCTCTGCACTCATGTTCAGTCCAACTGCCCCTCAAACGGACGAATTGACTACCTCGAGCTCTACTACTGCTCTCCCCTCGGTCCAGATCCCAGTGGCGGAGCGAACCTCACAACAGGTATCACTGCCAGGCGGATTGGGGCCATTCTGCTAATCGTTTCCTGGATGGCCTTCCTCTTCTCCTGCCTTGGTCTCGTGGCCTCCGACTTCTTCTGCCCGAACCTTAGCACTCTGGCCTCGCGCCTTGGACTCAACGAAAGCACCGCTGGTGTGACCTTTCTCGCGCTAGGAAATGGGTCGCCAGATGTCTTTTCCACCTTCTCCGCAATGTCCACCGGGTCCGGAGCATTGGCCATTGGAGAGCTGATAGGCGCCGCATCCTTCATTGTGTCCGTTGTTGCAGGGAGTATGATGCTCATTAAGCCTTTCAAAGTTCGACGTTGGCCCTTTCTCAGGGATGTTGGCTTCTTTACCGTCGCAGTCGCTTTGACTATGGTGTGCCTCGTTGATGGACACCTCACTCTACCAGAGAGCTTGGCGTTGGTGGGACTTTACTTGGCCTACGCGAGCGTAGTCATCATCGGTTCGATGTGGGAGGAGAGGCAGCGACGTCGCAAAGTCTTTTGGCAGCAGACCAGGAGCGATTGGGCTGGCTCGGCGGGCTCAGGCTACCAAGATGATGCGCCAGTAGGCGATCGACTACAGGTAGAAGAGGTCGCGCAGCCCATGGATGTTGGGAGACATCTGGGGCTACCTCCGCGTAGTCCTGAGTACCATGTTGACGACGAAGCAGAAGAGGGCGACCCAAATGCCGATCCTTTCGAGGTTTGGGCCAGTCAGCAGGCAGCTACTGGAGCCACGACTTCCCCTCGCTCAGTACCTGGGGCAAGGCGGCCACAGACCTCATCGCGCGAGTCATCACGGCGAGGCTCACCCACCGGCTCGCCGCAACTGCAGACACCTCGAGGCGGCGGTGGTCTTCCCCCTTCTCATCGGCTGGTCAGAAGCGCGTCAAAGCTGCGCAACAGATCAGGGCACATGCCCCGCCACTCTCTACTGGGGGCAGTCGAGTTCCGAGATGTAGTCCGCTCGCTCACATTGCAGGGTCAGCTGGCGCCAGCGGATGATGTAGCCGCAGAAGCACAGGCGCGAGCTGTAGCCGAAAGCAGAGACCCGGAGGTATTCTTGCCACATCCGTCTTCGCACCACCATCAGCGCCACCAGCGTAGGCACTCGGTCACAGACAGCGAAGGTCGCGCTGCGGCGAGGGGCGAGCCTTCAAGACAGATGCCAGCGGCATCGAGCTCCGCGTCTGTTCAACGTCCGGCAGCCTCTTCGCGCGGATATAGCGCTCCATCGCGCCACCAGCCTAGCATCAGCCTGGACGCTTCGGGCATTGACGACCCGTGGAAGGAGCATTCAGCACATGATGGCTGTGAAGATGCGTCTGGCGGTACAGCGGGCCCCTCAGCTACCGCTGTGACATCCCAGCCTGGTCTGGCTCGCCTTGTCATCCCCGACAAGAGCAAGAACGACGTCTTTAGCAACGGCAATGGCAGGAGTCACGGCTCTGGAGCGGGAGGCGGAACCAAGCAAACAAAGCACTCCCCCGCTCCCTCAATCCTTATCCTAGACGAGAATGGACAGGAGCGCGTGGCGCTCACGATGGGTGGAGAAAGTGAGGACGCTGTGCCTCCTCCATCACTCTCGCCGTCCGCATACCCTAGAGATGAGGAAGAGGAGGAGCCTCTCTACCGGTCACTGCGCCGCTTCCTCTTCCCTTCACTACATCACTGGCGCAATAAATCCATCCTGGGCAAGGTGCTCAGTGTGGTCAACCTTCCGCCCCTTTTGGCCTTCAATCTCACGCTGCCCGTCGTAGACGATGAGGCGGAAGCGCGAGCCGCCGCACGCGTAGTCACAATAGGTAGCGCTAGCGGAAGTGGCGTTGGACTGGGCGGGGAAGGCGAAGGCGCCCTCAGACTCAAGGGAAGCGACGAGGCGCCCCTCTTTGCTCGCTCTCCCGTCGCCGTAGAAGAGGATGCCCACGAAGTCGCCGAGGACGAGGTGCTCGACCTCGCAACTGGGCAGCGGTTGCGCTCACCGAATGTCTGGAGCGAGAGCAATGCTGCAGGGGACGGCGGTCAACTGGAAAACAAGATGCGTGATCTCGATATCTCCAAGGCACTGCGGCGCCATCCGGCAGAAGAGACTTCCCCGCTTCCATTCGGTGACCGACGAGGTTCGATGAGCAGCGTCGATGGGGACGATGACGGGGCCTCCTGCTCATCAGATGACTCCAACTCCAGTCTAGAGTCCCACTCCGTACCTCAAGGCAACGCTAAGCTGTTTCTCACCTGCTCGCAATGCCTGCTCGCCCCACCGTTCTGCGTTTGGGCAGCGACAGATTTTGAGCCAAGGTGGTCGGCCTTGGGGTCGGTTGCTGCGGGTACAGGCCTCGCAGCAGCGGTGGTCGGGTGCTCGATGCGCGCGAGAAGAATGGGAGGGGCATGGTTGAGCACCAGCACAAGAAGTGCTTTTGGGCTGGCAAGATGTTTTCTCGGCTTCCTCGTCAGTATTGCCTGGATCTCGACCGTGGTAGACGAAGTCGTCTCGATTCTGCAAGCCCTAGGACTTATCTGCGGACTCTCGGAAGCGATCTTGGGGGTCACACTCTTTGCGATGGGCAACAGTCTCGCAGACTTGGTAGCCAATACGGTCATCTCCCGGGCTGGATACCCAAGCATGGCGATTGCGGCTTGCTTTGCTGGGCCTCTCCTGAACCTGCTTCTAGGAATAGGGCTGAGCGGCACATGGTTGCTGGGTCAACCTGCTGACGACGGGAGCCATGGTGCGCAGCGTTACCATTTCGAGATCTCCCCCACTCTGCTTAGCTCTGCTACTGGACTGCTGGTGCTTCTGGTCGGTACGCTGGTGCTTGTGCCGTTGCACGGTTTCTACTTGGGTAGGAGGCTGGGCTGGATGCTTATCGGCAGCTATGCGCTCATCATGACGATCAATGTGCTGGTAGAGGTATTCGTTGATCAGAGAGGGGGCAAGAAGAAGGGGCACTATGGTGTAGGGTGATCAGGTGAGCATTACGAAAATACGAGCGTCCTCACAGTCGAACGATCACGCTTCACGCAGACAGATGGAAGGATATTTCGTGGGGTCTGACTGTGTGCGTAAGGTCGCATCTACCATGGGAAAATGATGCATGTAACGTGTAAGGGACTCCGTCTCTACCAAGAAGTGGTGTATGCTTGACAGTTGTACCTCTGCGACGACCCTGATCTAGCGTAGCTTCTAGGTGATTTTCCTCGCGATGGTGAATCAGCGTCGCTGGGAACGGCCCATTCAGGAACGCAAGGCCCCTCTGATGTTACTCTTACTTCCCCATGTACCAGATGTGGAGAGAACTGGTCACTTCGCCAGCCTTCAAAGCGACCGGCCATTCGCCTGCCAAGAAAGCAGAGAAAGCAGAGACGCGTGTCAGTGCAGTCACGAAGCGCCAATTTGGCTACTCGCCCGCTCTCTCGCTATGCTCACAGTCATCCAGAGGATTCAGGTAGAGGCAGGTACCACCAGCCATACCGCTTGGCTGCTCAGAGTTCAGTAGACAGATTGCCCACTGGTCTCCTCTGCATTGTCCGCGTGCGAGGCGGCCGTAGCCAAAGGGGCCGCAGGGAGAGTCTGCCGCGCAACGTCGGAGCAGCGACGTCAGCGGCAGGCAAGGAAGCGGATATGGCGGGCGGCCGTGATACACGATTGATGTCGATCTTACTTACTGATCTGTAACATGTTGGGACCGAGTGCGCCCCAGTCTGCCACCTGTACGGTCGGCTGCCCTGCATCGCCACCCTGGCACTGAAATACGACCCTGGCTCCCTCATCTATCCGCGTAGTGTTGGTGGCAGAGCAGAAGCGCGAGTAGGTGACGGGCGCGGCCCTCTTCTTCGTTGAGTGCTCTTCGCCAGCCACTTTGAAGGGCGCATGCGAGCAGACGGCGTGCTTTGCCGTGCAGAGGGCTGCTGAACTTGCGAGCAGGATGATGGTCACAAGCATGAGGAAAGGGCAGAGCAGAGCGTAAGGTGAAGAAGCAAGGAGTCAAAGAGAAGGTCGAGAGGAGAGATCAAATAGTCCTCAGGCAAGCCGCCAGGAGCGGGGCAAACAGGGCTTCATCGGCTCACGGAGAACACTGACAGTACTCTTTGCAGCCCTACATTGGTTGGCGCCGCAGTTTCGGAGGAGGCATCGACCGAAGTACGAACCTGCTGGGCAGAGGCAGACCTTCCAATGAGCGCAGTTCGCCATGCCGGCAGGCACACGACTGCCGCGGGGCAAAGTTGGTCGCGATCGGTTGGCGGTACTGAAGCGTTCTTATTGACAATCGGAAGCTCGCAGGGGGCAAAGGCAAGCGGCGACGGCGACTCCGCTCTGATGCATTTGAGAGAGCAAGGCAGCGTCTCAGGGTGCAATGCCGTCTTCAGGCCCACCCTACTTTCCATTCCAGAACCAAACCTGGAGTTTGATGGGCAAGGCGGTGTACTCTATCGTGTGCGGCCATTCGCCTACATCGAGCGTCGCGATGCAAAGTCGTCAGCAGGTTGCTTGGCTGCTCATTCCTCTGCAATCTCTTCGCGCTCACAGTCATCGATGGACGCCCAATAGTAGCAGTCGCCAACACTGGAATCGCCAAGGCATGCGGCCCAGAGTGTGCCGTAGCAGTTCTCGTGCTTGTCCCGGCCGTATCCAGTACCATCTGCGCAAGGGGTAGCTGTCGGTGAGGAGACCACCACGTGAGCTTATGAACAGGGATGCAGCCAGTCGCTCTCGCACTGACCGAGCTCGAGCGTCTTGCGCTTCAAAAATCCCCAGTCAGCTACTTTTGTGTTCAGGCCGCCGATGAAGCCTGGGTCGCAGCCATAAATGGCCACATCGGTAGAGTTGATGTGGTCTATGATTCCTGCATGGCAGTATTCGTGGTAGCCGTACTGAACAGGGCTTCCGCCACCCGGCTTGTAGCTGCACACGAAGTGATCAGCCACGGCCGGCTGGACAGCGAAGGTAGCTGCGAGCGTGAGGTGAAAAAGGAGCGCGAGCATGACGGGGATAGCGGGCAGCGGCGTGGAGAACAAGATGTGAGGTGTGGTGATAAGAAGAGAAGGAGCAGCCTCCCACGGCACAAGAGGTTTGTCAGGCTGGCTGCAGCTACCTCTCTCGGATGATTTGACGACTGCCTGAGAAGATCAATGCTAAGCCGCACCCACGAGCCCATCGCATTCTGTCAGCACCATGGCCTGATAAGCGTAGGTGCGGGCGGAGACGTAAGCGAGGGTCTAGCTGACCGCCCAGTACGCGACAGCGAGGGCGAGGGGCGCACACGGGCCAGGATGGTGCGGATTAGAATTCTGTCAGGCCGTCGAATGTGTCATTGAGGCAGACAAAGGGCGACGAAAGCTTCAGCTAGAGCACCGTACTAAGGCAGAGCGACAGGTGGACAGCAGGATTGCTGCGCACCCTCATCACAATGATCTTACTTTGATCAGCATCGTCAAGAGTCGTGATACCACACGATGATTTGGCGAGGCAAATCCTTGTACTCCTTCGGCCCAGGCCAAGCACCTAGGAAGCCATCGGGGCAGGTCCATAGTCAGTTGCACTTCCTCATCACACAAGCTGCAGGCCGAAGCGGCTTCCTCACGTACAGTCGTCATGAGATGCCAGATAATAGCAGGCGTCGTTGTCCGAGCTATCCAAGCAGAAGGCCCAGAGCTTAGAATAGCAATCGCCGTTGGCCCGGTGTCCGTACCCGCCGGTACCGCAAGGAGTTGCTACGGTGCAAGTGGCATGCATCTCGCGACGCGAGCGGTGCATCAGCTCTCTCCTTCGCTCTTCGCGAGCTCTGGTCCTGTCACTGACCAATCTCGAGCGTCTTGGGGGCCAAAAAGCCCCAGTCGGAAATACGTGCGCTGTTGTTGTCGCCGCCGTCAGAGCGACAGACATAGGCGCACACTTGGGTTGAATTCGCCGGATTAATTCTAGTTGCCACGCAGTATCTCTTGAAGCCGTACGTCGAAGGAGCTTGAGAACCAGGTTTGTAGCAGCATGTGAAGTGGTCGGCGAGTGTGGAACGTCCCAGCAGTGCGAGTGCAAGAGTGAGCGTATTGGCGAACATGGGCCGAGCAGATCGCAATTCTGGAGAGGTCGAGAGCGGGAATGGAAGGGGATGAAGAGAGCGAAGGCTATCTTGCAACTATGTAGCGCTCAGAGATGCTCAGACCATCTCTCCTGGTCTGCTACCCGGGATTGCAAGATTTTGACCCACACACGTGCGTACAATACGTTTGGCGCCATTGTATGAAAGCCATTGACAGCAATGAACAGGTCGGGCAGGCAGCAACGCCACGATCTCATTGCACTCAGCTCGCTCGATACGCGGCATGAAGGAGTATAGAAGATAATGTGGGAAAAGCAAGCTACCAGGCGACGCCAGCATCGCCCACCCCAGCATGTGCTTCGTAATGGCACGCAGCGTAAGCGGAGTTAGGGAGGAGCGAAGTACCAGATGGTGATCGTAGTGGGAAGCTTCGCGTACTCAAGCTTTCCAGGCCACTCGCCTACGAGTTGCCGTTTGGCAGATGGGCAGGGTCAGATACACTCTCGGCAGGGCTGTAGCTGCTGGAAAGCTACTGGACGTACAGTCATCGTGGCGGTCCATATAGTAACAATTTCCCAGATCAGAGTTGTCCAAGCACATTGCCCAGTGCCTGGAGTGGCATCCGCCGTCAGCAGCGAAGCCGTAACCGCCGGAACCGCATGGCGTAGCTACAGGTTGCGGTCAGCAGAGCCTGCGTGTCAGCTCTCCGGCCGAGTCAAAAGCATGCCTCGATCCTTACCCATCTCGAGCGTCTTCGGCGCCAAGAAGCCATAATCCGCGACACGGGCATTGCGATTATCCCCCAGTTGAGAGCTACAGTTATAAATCGCGACCTCGGTTGACTCCGCCGAACCGCTCTTGTTGGCTACGCAGTAGAGTTTGTACTGATACGTCGAAGGGTTCTTGGACCCGGGCTTGTAGGTACATACGACGTGTTTGGTCAGCGCCATGCGACCAACGCATGCGAAGACGAAGGCAGCGGGGATCAGAATGCTGTGAAGCATTTTAGCAGGGCTGAGCGAAGGTCGTCCAGCAGCGAAAGGGAGGATGAGGAGCAGATCACAGGTCAATACGCATGCTGAGATGCTTTGTCGCTCGTCGCTTGTTCGTCCGTCGGTCGCTCGTTCGCTCATTCATATGCTTCAAGGCAAATGAGCCAGTTAGACACGTGCTGAGCCACAATGAAAGACATAGGGCTGTGTTACAGTGGCTCGCGCTTGCCGTTGGGCAGGATATCAAATCAGGAGCCGAATCAGGAGCCGTGCTACGGAGCCCCCGCTCAGCCATCTCGCAATGCATTAGTCGGCGGGATGGAACCAAATGTGCATCTTCTTAGGCAACTGATGCCATTCAAATTGCACTGGCCACTCGCCTGACCGAGCGGGCCAGAGGGGGCAGCGCGCGAAAAGCAGAAGGGTCAGCACTCGTGAGAGCCAAGGGGGTTCACCGCTTTACGCACAGTCGTCGTGAGATTTCAAGTAGTAGCAATCGCCCGCATCTGAGTTCTCCAGACAAGCCGCCCAGTGGCGACCAAGACAACGGTACTTATCGTCCACGCCGTATCCCTTGTCGCCACACGGAGTCCCTATTCGGCGAGGTGCGCGGCGCAACGTTGTCAGCTCATCAGTCTCGCTTGCCTTCATGAGAGTCGATGCTCACCGATCTCGAGCGTCTTCGGCTTCAGAAAGCCCCAATCGGCCACCCTCTCGTATGTCTTTCCGATGATCGCCAACTGACAGGTGTACTCGGCCACGTCCGTAGAGTTGAGCGGGTTTTCGAGTCCTGCGGCGCAGAAGACCTTGTAGCCGAAGTTGGCAGGACTGCCGGCTCCAGGCCTCCAGAAACAGGTAGCGTGCTTCGCGTCGGCAAGGCGCCAAGGAGGAAAGACCGTGAGGACCAGAGCAAAGGCGAGGTGGAGTGCAAAGGCTAGCATCACGGGTCTTGGTACCGTAGGAGACTCAGGATATTGAGATAGTGAGAAGGAAAGGACAGGTCAATGCGATCTGATGTACTCTGAGATTCTGCTCGGCTGAAGTTTATGATCAAGCCCTGGACCCAGGGATCTCACGCAGCGAAGGTAACCGTTGTCAACAGCAAATGCACACTACAGACTGGGGCGGGGCCTACAGTGGAGCGAAAGTGCGGCCAGATTTGAATGCCATTCACAGTATTTGCAGGCTGCAGGAACCGTAGGGGGTCACCTCCGTCGCTTGCGCTGCGGCGCCCTCATAGCCTCGCATCACTTTCCCGCCTTAAACCAGATATCGACGGCGCTCGGCAAGTCCTTGAACTCCGTGGTCGTGGGCCATTCGCCTGAGTGGGTGAGTCGGGCAGACAGGGGCGTGAGAAAATTGCAGCCCATCCCTATCTAAGATGAGGTCCGAGGAGCGACGTACAATCATCATAAGCGCCGACGTACCAGCATTGGCCCGAGTCGGAGCTGCCCAAGCACATTGACCAGGTATGGCCGTAGCAGAGCCCGTTGCTGACATCAGTCCCGTACCCATCGGCGTTGCAGGGGCAAGCTGAGCGTGTGTCAGAGGTGTCGCTTCAGCGCTTGCACTAGGTCTGCTGTGTGGATCCCCTGCGACCCACCCATCTCGAAAGTCTTTGGCTCTATGAAGCCCCAGTCAGCGACCCTGAGAGTCGTGTTGCCCTGAAGGTCCGAAACACACTGATAGATGGCTACGTCAGTGGAATTGAGGGGATTATTTTTGCCCGCAGAGCAAAACTTTTGGTACCCATAAGTCGAAGGGCTTTTAGGCCCTGGGGAGTAATTGCACGTGAAGTGCTTGGCCACGACGAAGCGCCAGCCGAGGACGACAAGGAGATGCAGAGAAGACGCGACGGTGAGCATGATTGGCGATGTTGGTCGCAGCGACTACAAGGTGATGGAAAAAAAGGAGCGTAGGACATGCCGCGATGCAGCATCTTTGATTCTTTCACTGGACGCAAGAAGAGCAGTTGCACATCTCAGCCCTCTGCCCTGCTCAGCATTTGCGATCAAGCGGAATGGTTTCTTTGGGTGCTACTTGCACTTATTGGAAGCCCGCAGACCGGTGTTTCTTCGGCTTGCTCCCGATGCCCCGTCCTCTTGCCCCAGTCCCCAGAATCATACCAGATATCGATGTATACCGGCAACTGTTCAAGCTTGAAGCGGCGAGGCCACTCGCCTGCAGCAAAGGGCGGTGAAGAAGCGTCAGCTTAATGCGTTCCTCAGCGAGCTAGCCGGGGGCGAGTTGAACGCACAGTCATCGTCCGCAGACATCCAAAAGCAGTTTCCTTCTCGCGAGATGCCAAGGCACATGGCCCAAGAATCCCCATAGCATTGGTCGTCCTGATCCCGACCGTACGCTAAGCCTCCACAGGGACTCACTGAGGGAGCGTCCGGAAAGGCGAAAAGGTCGGGAGAGGTGAGCAGTGCACCCGATGAGCGACGAGATGAAGCCGCCGGTACCAACTCATGTCCAATATTTGGCCAATTTTCCCCCCAAAGCTGGCCACCTTCGTTCCTTTGGCTCCAAAGTAGCCCCAACCACACCGGTATTCGGCAGTGACACCCATTTCGACAGAGTTGCCCAATTTCGCCTGGCAGAAAAGCTCATAGCCGTAATGCTCCGGACTGCCGGGGCCGAGCTTCCACGAGCAGGCGACATGGGCTGCCAGGGCAAGGCAATGAAGCTGCTGGAGAAGGGGAAGGACAGTGAGCGTCAAAGCGGCGAGCGAGAGAGCCAACATGGGAAAGGGGATATGGAGTGGGGGAAGAGCAGATAGCCAAGACAATCAGTCAGATTGACAGTGCGATAAGATACGACCGCAGAGTCACAACCGTTATTTGGCTCCATGCTTGCCCTTTGCTTTCCTCGAGCCTCCTCGCACTACGGCCTCAAGCGGAAAATTTGTCCTCTGCTGCTAGATCCGAGTGTCAACAGTGGGTGCGAGGGTCCGGTGAGGGCTCGACTGTCTCTCCGTGGCAGCCGCAACCCGGCGCTTCTTCTTTCTCCCGCCCCCGCCCGAGTCGTACCAGACATTGACGAACGTGGGCAGCTCGTCGAAGTCAAAGAGACGGGGCCACTCGCCTGAGGCGAAACAGCGGAGGATGTTGCTGTCAGCTGATCGTCGTTGCAAATGTGCTGCTTGTACTGTATGCTTGCTAAGTGCGTACAATCGTCATCGGCAGACATGTAGAAGCAGTTTCCATCTTCGGACCGACCTAGACAGACCCCCCAATGGGCCGAATAGCATTCGTCGTCGAGGTCACGGGCATAGGGGAAACCGCCGCAGGGACTGGCTGAGCGAGCGAGAAGAGCGAAGAGCTCGGCTCAGTAAATTCATCTTCTGTCTCATAGAGCTGAGCCGCTAGTCTTACCAAAATCGAGCGTACGCCCAAGATTCCACCCCCAGCTGGCCACCATGACACCAGGTGTCCCAGCGTAATTTTGGGAGCACTTGTACTGTCTCCACTCTGTTCCACTGCCCAGCTCTGCCTGGCAAAAGTGCTCGTATCCGTAGTCTTGAGGACTGCCAGGCCCAAGTTTCCAGGAGCAGGCGACGTGCGCTGCGTGGGCGTGATGGGATTGCGCTTCGAGAAGGGTAAGGATGAGAAGCAGGATCAGCGTCAGCGTGTTGGAACCCATGGGTGGTACTGAGCAGGGTTCAATAGGCAGGGACAGGAATGTCGACAGCGCAAGTAGGTCATAGCCGCAGCTGTCTTTCTTTTTGCCCCTCTACTGTAGAAGCTCAGGTGGGTCAATCGTATCGGATGATCTCGGCTGGAATTCTTCTGCTCGCCGGCTCGACGGTAAGATTTTGAAACGTTCTAATGAACGAAAGGCAAGCAGGCGCGCCTTCACCAAGGGATTGCGCGGTATAGTTCGATGGTATTGATACGCGACCGGATGCTGGGTCAGCGCGCCCTGATGGGCAGAACAGGTCGTGGGTAGTAGTGGTCATTGTGGTAGTCCCGAAGCGTTCAAAAGCGCTCCTTGTCGTCTCGCTGCCGTAGATCCTTGGCCCTGCTTACCGCAACCAGCCGCCAAGGCCCCACCCTCCTTGCGTGCCACCACTCGCTGGAAGCCCATCCTTCATCACTGCTGCCTCACCCTGCTGCTTCCCACCACCAGGCGCAGAATCAGCCCTCAACAGCTTGAGCCGCGCCAACGCTCCCTCATCCCTCGCCCTATTTGCGTCTTCGATGATCTCTCCGTCCTCTTCATGCACGCCGAGTCCGGGAGATCGCAGCGCATTATAAGCTGAAAACTCGGACGAGGCGGGCGTAGAAGGCTTGATGACTGAGGGTGAGCGCGCATGACCCGTACTCAGCAGCATCGAGGCCGCGGAGGCGGATTGAACGCGCCGATGTGGTGGCGGTGTTGGGTTGACTGCCATGAGGGGAGGTAGGTCTACAGGAGCGTTTTGCGGAGTGACTGGAGGCGGGTCCGATGCCCACCTGTCTTCGGCCTCGAGCTGCTCATGCACGTCTTGCAACGAGGATGAGGCGGAGGTAGAAGGCGCAACACTCGATGGCGCGAAATACGTTTGGCTTCGCCGATGCTTCGGCATGGGGCCACGAGCGGGCGAGGCGCTCGTGGCAGCCGTCGTTGTGGATGCTGCAGCTGTCTTGCCCACGCCCAGTAGTGATGGAGTTGATAGCGGGGCAGCGAGCGAGTCTTCTGCGCCGCTGCTCGAGCTGCTGATGACACTCGCCGAGCTCGACGCCCTTGCCAGCTTGGGCGTCGATGCAGCCAGGCTGGTGAGCAAGGCTTTTGCATCCTGTGTACCACCGGCAGTGGCATTGGGGTTGCTGCTGCTCGCGCCCCCAGCCAACATCCTCTCTAATCTCTTCGCAGCCGTCTTCCCAATAGTAGCACCAACATCTTGTGCCTCAACGATGCCTTCTAGCCTAGTCGATGGGCTGACATGCACCTCTGGCCTGGCCAAAGTCCTCCATCTAGTGCCCCCCTCCCCGCCGGACAAGACGGCCCTGTTCGACGCTATACTGGTGGACGCAAGAAGTCCCTCCATCTCGCGATTCACCTTGAGCAATGCATCCTCCATGGAGCGATTACGCTCCAGCTGAGCCCGAAGCTCCCGCTCCCGCTCTTCGAGCTGGGAGTCCATCTCGCGTTGTCTTGCTTGCAGGGAGGAGAGGTATTCACGATCGGATAGGGTGGAGTGGAGTAGGAGGTTGGCTGCTTGCAGGGCTACATTGGCAGAGACGAGGGCGGCATTGAGGGCTGCATCGCCCTCATCGCTTGAATCGTCGTCGCCGTTTTGGCCTGATTGGTCTTGGTATCCGGCCATCGCTTTGTGCTGCAGCGCAGTCATCTCGCCGCGCAGACTGTGTGATGAGGCGGCCGAGGTAGAAAGCGTGCAGCCAGTCGAGCTTGGCGTATCCAGTGACGAAGAGGTGATGCTCCCGCGGTACGAGTTCAAGTCCTCGTCTGTCGGCTTGATGAGGTGCTCACCGCAGATGCCGAACTTATCCCTCAACGAGCAATCTCTCTTGACCTCAAGCGGACTCGACTTGCCCTCTCGCTCATGCTCCGGCACCTCATCTTCACAGTCACAATCCAGCGTAGTCGATGCTGCAGTCCAAATACTCCATCGCTGATTGTTCGCCACGCCCGAGGTACCAGACGAGTCCGGGTCGACGAGAGTATCAGACGAGATCATCCGCGACTGACGCCACTGTTGCTGGCTGGAGCGAGGGGATGTCGTGCGCGCCTCACCTACCGAAGAGGTCGAGGTCGATGCCACTGAGGCTATGGATCGGGTGGATCGAATCGTTGCAAAGGGATCGCGTGTTGATCTTGTTGACGAGGCAGCGTGGGCGGCGCCGTGTTGTTTGGGCGTGGGACCCGGCCTTGTCTTATGCGGATCAAGCGAGGGGGAGCGAGAGGATGATGGTGATGACGAGGCGCGAGACGGACCTTGCGTTGAGCGCAACGTCAGAGGAGCAGGAGGAGCCATCTTCGCAGACTGAGGATGCGCAGCAGCAGCCGCTTTAGTCTGTGTTTCGGGTGAGTTTCGGATGCGCCGGCGGCGACGTCGGGCGAGAGGTCAAGCACAGCGGCTCATCCACCCAGCGAGCTTGGTGAGAGGAGTGAGCGTCGCGCTGGTCTGTAGGTGTTTCTGTTGTGAAAGGGAGATGGTTTGGATGATGGTAGGGAGCTGAGCGCACCCTTGTCAATTAGTGATCGTATTTTTGGCCGTCAAAGCGGCACCGGCGGCGGTTGAAGCCCCTGGACGGACAGGCAGGCGGCGGAACGAGCGCAGGCCCATTGCTGCTTTGAGCGCCGCCCTTTCCCCTTTCCGCCCTGGAGGCTTTGGCTTTGACATCAGCACCAAAACAAGGCAACCTCAACTTCCTCACGAAAAGCCCCTTGGCAAGAATGGCTGGTCTCATCCTCGTAGATGTCCAGTATGACTTTCTGCCTGGTGGAGCGCTCGCCGTCAAGGAGGCGGACACGATCATCACGCCTATCCTCGACGAGCTTCTCCCGCCCGCCTCGGCCTCATCGAGCTCCCAACAGCCGTGGCGCACCATCGTAGCGACGCAGGACTATCATCCGGTGGGGCACATCTCTTTCGCTTCCTCACATACAGGAGCCAAACCGCTCGATACGAGACGCGTTAGTCATCCCTTGATCAAGGGCGAGGAGATAGACCAAGTCATGTGGCCAGACCATTGTGTGCAGGGTACCAGGGGCGCCGAGATTGAGGATCACGTCGCGGCCAGGCTACGGCAGATCAAGACGTCAGAGCGGGAAGCGCCGGACATCATCCTGGTTCAAAAGGGTACCGACCCGCACGTAGACGGGTATTCTGGTCTAAGCGACAACGCTCAGTCACGCTTTACGCCCTTAGTACGATATCTCTCCTCTCGCCGCCCCGACCCAATCGACGTGGTCGTCGTCTGCGGCCTGGCGACTGATTATTGCGTACTTTACACTGCGATGGACCTCGTCAAGTTTGGGTACAAGGTCCTACTGCCCCGCGAGGCGACCAGAGGAGTCGATGCGCAAGGAAGTCAGGAGGCGCTGGACAAGCTGGAAGCTGCTGGAGTCAAGGTAGTGCAGACTGCGAGGGAGGCAAAGGAGCTGGCGCGGCAGATGGTGAAGCAGCTCGAGGCTAGAAGCGAGGAAAGCTACTTGGGCAAGTTTGAGCTGGAGCAGAAGAAGGTGTGGGAGGAGCAGATGGGGAGACAGAGTGTGCAATGACAAGAACTTCAAGCAAGGAAAGACTCGCATCCTGCTGTGACAGAGCTGAAATGGGGTATAGATCGCGTGAGGAAAGCGCTGGTATACATGAGGAGAGAATGGAACGGGCGGAGGGTGAGAAGAGGCTAGATCTCTCTTTGCAGAATGGCGGGCTACCGATGATCATGGCCCTGCTTCGGCGAAGGCATCACCGTACCAGGATGAGGTCCTGCGCCTTGATCGCTATGGCATCGCCCTTGCTGCGGGCAACCACGCTTGCCATTTGCCAAGTCGAGCCAACTCGTCGAAGTCGGCGCAATGAGGATTGACGCATCTTGGTTCTCGTCGTCTCCACTCCCAGATTGGCGTAGACCGTACGCTCCAGTCCAGGATAAGACGTTTGCACCGTCAGCTCGCTCAGCATAGCGTACCGGTGTTGCTGCTCCTTGTTGGGGAGGTGGAAAGGCGAGCGCGAGTGCGAACTTCGGTCGCATAGATGAGGTGGCGGAGGACGGGAGAGCTGCAACCTTTTGCTGATGCCAGAGGGCGCAAAGAAGGGACTCGCGCACCCAGACAGGAGCGCGGGCCAGGTCGTCTTGGTCTCCGTCGTCCTCGCCGTGTCCGCTGATGAGTCTGGCCTGCTCTACGTCGAGACGCTGCATACCGTCGCATTGAGGCAAGAGGCCGGCCGACAGGCTCGTCTGAGCAGCAGTTTGGCAGAAGTTGTCCTCGAGAAAGCGGGCCGCCTTCCTTGCTGCGACGTTGATGGGAGAATCACCATTCTTGAGGAGGTCGAGGGTGCGCATGGCTGTGCGTGCGAGCCAGAAGGGAAGGATGTATGCTAGTCAGCTATTGAAGTGAAGCAGTCGCGTTCCAACTGGTTCGAGCTACTCACACTCCAAGGGCACTACCACCTGCACATCACCGGTCTTGAGCCATTGATGAACGGTGCGCAGCGAGTAGATGAGAACGCTCGAGTCGACTACAGTGACCTTGGATGCCGGATGGGCATTTGTGGCGCTGTGAGAGGCCTCATTCTTGAGTCTGGAAGCTCTGCCTCTACATGCCCTGGAGGCCAGCCCGTCACTTGCCGCAAGCGTTGTCTTTGAGGACGACGATGTAGCAGTCGCGGTTGCTGCCTGCTGTGCATCCTTCCCCTTGTTGAGCCTCCTCCCGATGGAGCACCGATTCTTTTCCTGCTTGGACGCTTCCACCTCCTTTTCCATACACGCTACTCGGTGCTGGAGGAAGAGGGCGCCCATCGCTTTGCACATTGAGTTCTAAGGGGACGAAAGGAAGGACAGGCCCACAATCGGTAAGTATCGTAAGCCACACGGGCTATATCGGCGGCTGTCTGAGACTGATCCTCACTTTGTCCTTCTCGACAGCTGTGCTGTCAGGCGCCATGATGGCGGTGGAGGGATGACTGTCTCGCTGTCGGTGATGATGGTACAGAGTCAAGATGGAAATGACGGCACGGCGATGAGATCAAATGTCCGTCCGGCTGAGCGCTCAGTCGAGCCGCCGGATGGGCTTGCCGAGGCCGCAACGAAATCAACGACTCCACACAAGAGGCATCCTCACCAGACTGCACATCACAAAGCGACTATGCTCCAAAGTACAGTAAAAGCTTCGGAGCCATTTGTCGATATCATAGATTACAAGATCATGGCTTCTGCGCCACAGACAAAGCTTGAAGGAGCTCACCGCCTTGTCAGACGAGGTCACCCCCTCCTGTCCACCACCTTTCGACCGTCCTAAACTGCCCGGTCGACCTACTTCGATGCCGGTTGTGACGGAAGGTACTGGAGGCGGAAAAGAATTCTTGGTCAGGATTCTACGCCTCGAGCAGATTCGCTTCTGGCTCTCGCGGACTCACCTTGTTTGGATTGAAGATGCCCCTCTCGTCGAACAAGCCCTTTATCCTCTGCATCCACTCGACGCTCTTCTGCCCCTTGGTATACCCAATCTTCTCAGCCTTCATATAACCGAGCCCATGCTCAGCACTGATAGATCCTTGCACCCCACTCGTCCACTCGTAGACATACGGCTCGATCAAGGCCTCGATCTCAGGTGCGTAGGCCTCGGCTACAATGTTGATGTGGAGATTCCCGTCCCCAATGTGGCCGTAGCCTACCACGTCCTTGATTTGCTTGTCCTGACCCAATACGCCTGCGTCGTTGAAGCGTTGTCGGAGGTGCTCAACCAGCTCGTTCATCTTGGGAATGGGCATGGAGAGGTCGTACTTGTACACGGCTCCCTTTTTGCCCGCTGCCTCTGCGATACTCTCCCTCAATGACCAGAGAGAGCCAGCTTGGCTTTCATCCTGCGCCATGACACCGTCTGTGATCATTGAGCTCTCCATCAGCTCCTCGAGAAGACCAGAAAGCTTCTCGTCATCGTGATCCTTATTGCTGCCGCTGGTTTCAATGAGCACGTAGAAGGGGTGCTTGGCCTCAAAGGGGTTCTTGATGCCGTGATGCACGACGAGGTTGAAGGCGTCTTGGTCCATGAATTCAAAAGCGGACAGGATCTCACCGCAGTGCGACTTGACGCGACCAAAGACTTGCTGCACGGCATCGAAGGAGTCGACGGCGAAGACTGCTACATTCTGTGCAGAGGGGCGTCGAGGTGTTACGATGGAGACGCCAGTGATGAGTCCGATGCTGCCTTCCGAGCCGATGAAGAGCTGCTTGAGATCGAAGCCCGTATTGTCCTTGCGGAGGGTGCTGAGTCCGTCGAGCACTTCGCCATTGGGCAACACGACTTCGAGGCCGAGAACGTTGCCATGCAAAGAGCCATATCTCAGGAAGCGAAGCCCTCCTGCATTGGTGGCTACATTGCCTCCGATGTGGCAAGACCCCTTTGCGCCCAGATCGAGGGGCATCATGTATCCCTTTGCGCCAATCTCTCGGTCAAGGGACTCGAGGATGCACCCGGCGTCGCATACAAGGGTGCCAGAGACCTCATCGAAGGAACGGACCTTGTTCAGGAGAGCCGTCGAGATGATGACCTGCAGCGAGAAGCAGAGAGAGGAAAGAGAGGATGAGCGGGTCTGCGTGTCAACACTTGGGCCTCGCCCTCGGGCGCTCGTACTCACCTCATCCTCCACCGGCACGCTCCCACCCACGAGTCCAGTGTTCCCGCCTTGCGGTACGACTGCGATCCTCTTCTCGTAGCAGTACTTGACCACATCTGCCACCTCCTGCGTACTCTTGGGCTTTACGACCAGCTGCGAGCGCCCCTTGTACTTGTTCATCCAGTCGGCATTGTAACCGTCGAGCTCGTCTTGGCCTACAGGCTTGACGCCACAGGACGAGTCGGAAGGTTGAATCGTGGTGAGGAGGGATGACGAGGGGGAAGAGAGGAAGGAGGCAAAGGCGGTGATGTCCTCGCCGGTCAACTTTGCATATGTGTGCGGTGAGGCATGGGTAGCGAGGGCACGGCGTGGCGCAGATGGATTGGCTAATACTTTGGAAGGGAAGACATTGGTGCGAGGCGAAACGCGAGGAGCTGGAGTGGCCGTGCTAGTGGTGAAGAGCCGTGAACTCGAAGTCAAGGCGGCTCGAGAAGGGAGCACGACTCTTCGACCGCCGATTTTTGCAGCGGGAAGGAGTGACATGACGATGTAGAGGTGATGTAGGGTAAAATCAAGAAGTCAGTCTAGTCACCCTCGTCACCATTGCAACATTGCCGCTCTTGCCGTCCTCGGTCGCCTCGTCTCGGATCGGAAGAGGAGCTCGTCTGTGCAGTCGAGCGGACAGAGCGAGGCGGGGAGCGGGCTGAGAATTTCAAAAGTCGTCTTCGGAGTCGCCCGACTGTGGATGGAGGGATTCGCCGCTGTTTCTCGCCATCACCACCACATTACATCCCAACATGGAGACAAACGGAGCAGTCGCCTCGTCGTCATCTTCATCGCCACGTACCGCGCCACCAACATCGCAGCAACCGCGCATCGATGAGCTCATCCTCGATGCTGGGCCTCTCCTTGCTCAGCTACCTCTGCGTGGTATGGCAAAGAAGTTCTACGTGCCGCCAATGGTAATGGCTGAGCTAAAGGACAAGAAGGCGCGCGATCACTTGGAGTTCCTCAAGGTTGGAGGCCTCGATCTAGAAGTGAGGGAAGCAGGGCCTGAGGCTCTTGCTGCAGTCATCGCATTCGCAAAGAAGACGGGGGATTATGCCGTCTTGTCGCGCCCGGACTTGTCAGTTCTGGCCCTGGCTTATGCTCTCGAGGTGCAGAGACACGGAACCTGGAGGATACGAGATGAAGTGGGAGGCAAGACGGGTCAGCAGATGCATGAGGCGAGGAGGATGGTGGAGCAGCCGGCTGAGACAGGGCCGTCTTCATCATCAGCGGCAACTGCTGAGCGCAGGCGAGAGGAGAATGGTTTCCAGGCAGAGACGACCGTCGAGCAAGACGAGCCAGTGGAGCACTCAGCCGCCGCGCCCGCTACCGAGGCCCAGTCAATACATTCAATCGCTGACGAAGAAGAGGAAGCCAGCGAGGCAGAGATTGCCGCCGCTATCGCCAAACTCGATTTACAGTCACAGCAGAATGGATCCTCGACTCACGGGGAGAATGCCGACGAGGAGGAGCACGAGGACGACGAAGGCTGGACACACGTTGGCTCGTCTTCGAAACGCGTCGCTCGCGAACAAGAAGATTACGGCGGCAGCGATGGCGAGGGAGAGTGGGTCACATCGGAGAATATTACGAAGCAGAAGCAGCGTGACCTTGGCCTGGTAACAGATGAGGCTATGGAAGCCATGCGTGGCGACTCTGCTGTCAAAGAGGCAGTCGACCCTTCAAATTCGACCGGCCCCTCCAAGCCTTCGCGCAATCGCAAAGGCAAAAAGGGTCCCTCCCGCATGACCGTAGCAACGATGACGGCAGACTACGCAGTGCAGAATGTCCTCATTCAGATGGGTCTTTCTCTCGTCTCCACCGAGGGCTTACGCATTCAGAAAGTCCGCAGCTGGGTGCTCCGCTGCCACGCCTGCTTCAAGCTGTGCAAGGATAGCGAGAAGAAGTTTTGCCCTCACTGCGGTAACCCGACACTGCTAAGGACGAGCGTGACGAGCGCTGCACCTGGTGCGAAAGGTGCTGCTACGGACGAGGGGCTACAGGTACACCTCAAGAAGAATTTCCAATATAAGAATCGGGGCACCATCTATTCTCTGCCCGCCCCTAAGCCTTCCTCCTCGTCAGCTCTCAAAGACCCCAAGCGTCGTGCTGTGCCTATCCTGAGGGAGGACCAGCCCGAGTGGCAGAGAAGCGTAGAGAGGGAGAGGGTCCGCAAGCATAAGGAGCAAAAGGCGCTGGACAAGTCACTGGAGAAAGGCTTCGATACACTGAGTGCGAGGTACGACGATCCGGACTTCATGACTGGATTGCTTGGTGGGGACTCGAGTAAGGGGTGGGAGGGAGGTCTGCCGGCTGTGGGGGCTGGCAGGCGCAACCCAAATCAGGCGAGACACGGAAGGAGGAGAAAGTGAGCGTGAGAGTGTGTGAGACACCTGTAATACTACTGTATGGGATCTGGCTTGCTTTCGCAATGTGGACGGCTCGCTCGGCAGCGCACCGTTCAAGTGTTGTTCTCTGCTGCTTCAGCGCCGCTCGCGTCGACGCCTTTTGGACTGCTCATCGTCTCCCTCTCCGACCGCGTTTCGCCCGCCCGCTCGCTCCATTGGCCTGTTCCGCTCGCTCCTCGTTTCGTTCCCTTCAACGCTTCCAAATTCACCGACCACCCCTGTCGCCCCTCTGACAGCTTCTTGCTTCGCAATTTCTCCTTTCTGAGCTCTTACCATCATCACTGCTAAGCTTGTCACGACACGGCGCGCGCACTCGCAGCTACCCTAGCATACAACCTCATCTGCCACGACTCCGACCTGCATTGACGCCACTTTTACGCACCACCACGAAATGAGATGAACAACACGACTTTGTCCACTCCGTCTACCTCATCGTCTCGAGGCAGCGCAGGGGACAGCAGCCACGCTCAGATCCGCACACGATCAGATAGCATGACGGGCAGCGGCGGCGATCCTTCTAGCCGGTCCATCCTCCCCGGCTCCAGTCTCTTAGGCCTCAGCACCCCCGAACGGCCTGGCGGCTCGTCTTCCTCCTCCTCAGGCGGTACACTTCGACACAAGGCCTCGCTCCTCTCTGTCAGATCCTACGATGGAGGTCGATGCTCCTCCCCAGCTCCATCAACACACAGCGTCCTCTCTGCCCTCGAAGACGACGACCCGGACGCGATTGAGGACCTCGAAGACTCTATGCGACATAGTGGCACAATTGATGAGTTTACGAGGATTATCACTGAATTTCGCGTGGAGCGGAAACGCCGAATGCAGAATAGTAGTGGGAGTAATGGAAGCCGACGAGGCAGGGAGAGTAGCGGCCTTGTTGTTGGTAGCGGTGAGCCACCTGCGTCAAGAAGCACGACGCCTACTCCGCCGAGAGTAGGGCAAGACAGTGGACTGCTTCCGCCAGCAAATGGGAGAGATAGTTTTGAGTCGACTAGTGGGGATGTAGATTCGCAGCAGAGGAGAAGGTGTACATGTTGCTGTGGGCAACATAATTGCGAAAGAGCGAAAAGAGCAACGGAGGAATGGGCGGACATGGAGTCGTGAGTATTGGCAAGGCATCGGAAGACCTCCATACCATCGCTTGTAGCTCGCTGACGACCCTTTTCGTTCATCGCTTCATAGCGATCTCCGTCTCGCCGCTGAGATTGGCCAAGCTCTCCTCCGAAAGCACGACGACCTTTCTGCCCAAACTTCAACGATCGAAGCACGCCATGCATCTCAAGTAGACAGCCTAATGAGCAAGCTTGCTTCCAGTATCAAGGAGTCAAACGACTACTCTCGACGTTTAGCGGCTACTACTCTCAACCTCGAGGCAGCCGACTCGAGCAATCGGGCCCTGCTCGCCGAGCTGGACAACTGTCGGCGAGAGCTGTCACGCATCAAAGGCGAGAAGGCACAGCTTGTTGCTGCGGACAGCAAAGCACAGAGGCTGGCAAGGGAGCTGGAGGATACTCAGCAGGAGGTCCTTGCTGAGCGCGAAAAGAGAGAAGCGGCTGAAGCGAGGAGTAAACGGGCGGCCGAAAGAGTAACGCAGTTGAGTGAAGCATTGAAGAGGCAAGTAGACGAGGGCCAGACAGCACGGCAGACTGATGCAACGGGTGCGAAACTCGGGGAGGACATCGTTGAGGCTGCGAAGGAGCGCTTCAGGGCTAGCGTCGCTGCTGCGCAGCAGGCCGGCGAAGCTGCTTTATCATCGACAGCCGTCGACGCCAGCGAGCTTGCGGCCATGGCGTCTGCGAATGAAGCCCTAGAGAAGCAGGTTGACCAGACGACCGCCCTTCTCGCGGCCGCCAACGAAGAGCTGGCCACATTGAGGGAGGAGCGCGCGGGTTTCTTGAACACGGGTACATCCTCTGCAGGTGGACGCAGTATCCCATTCCTGGGCCGCTCCACGCACGCACGCAGCGCCAGCGGAATGAGTGATGGGCATCATCGCCTTGCTTTGGCTTTTGCTCACCAGCAGCACCTTCAACAGGATCTCAACAGCTCAAGCGCTAGCCAAGCAGATGAAACGGCCGTGCCAGGAGGAGGGGCTCCCTCGCCCTCTCTGGCCGACGAGCTCTCTTCGCACGAAATGGTCGCTCAGCCTTCACGCTCTCCGTCTGGTCGCCCACTCTCACTCAGTCTTCATCGCCCGCTACTCCTCTCCGATCGCTCTGCGAGCAGAGCATCTGCCAGGAGTGATGTTTCCCCGCGGCTGGGCGGAAGTCGTCTGCTATCTCCGACGATGCCTCCATTTGAGCAGGGGTCTGCAGCAACGTCAGCAAGCATTACGACGCATGCTGCACCTGCAGCAACAGCAGCACCAGTTGCAAGCTACACATCATCCCCTGGAACGACCGTAGACTCTGCCGCGACTGTCAGCGCAGGTAGACGGTCTGTCAGCTCTGAGGCCCAAAAGATACGAGCGGAATATACTGCTATGCACGCCGCCGCCCCCCCTCCGCCTTCCGACAACGGCTCGACAAGCGATACGATGAGTAGCGCTGCTCCCTCAGCCTCGACCGCTCCGACGAGCTCCGCTGCTCACGCTCCCGTCCGCAGCTCATCGACATCCTTACCTCCGGCCGCGCCAAAGCGCGATCCCCGCACATCGCATCTTCTCACCCTTCTCGACTACGTTACGCGACTCTATACTCGACTTTCGACTGCGGACGTTGACTCCCTGTCTCGCCGTCTGCAGCGCCAACACTTGGCGGGCGGAGATGTCGGCTACTTGGCGAAGGTGACGATCCAGGGGATCACCCGCGACGCCGAGGGGTTGAGGGAGCACTTCAGGCGTCTCATCGAGCAGGAGGCACGCGAGCGCCAGGTCCAACCGGCGGAGGGAACAAAGAGTGATGCAGCCTCTTCGCGCTCCTCTGAAGCAGGGGCAGTAGGCACAGCAAATCCACAGCTGGAGAGTCTGTTGACTCGCAAAGACTTCTTCACGCTAGTCAAGTTGCTGAGGGACGTCCTTTTCGAGCTCGCGAGGCTACGAAGCTGTATCAATGAGGTGCAGCTTAACCCGGGGCATGCGACAAGAATTTTGAATGAGCATCTGAATGGCGGGCAGGGGAGTGGGAAAGGAGAGGAAAAGGGTGTGGGAGGATGGTTTGGAAAGCTACTTGCCGGTGGACTCGCAGTCGCTGGTGGTGGGAGCGGTCAGTCTTCGGCAACTCCTGCCTCAGCAGCGCCCCCTTTGTCTGCTACCGCTTCGAATGCGGCAGCGAGTCCCGCCGCAGATGCAGGCGACGGCGCTTCTCCTGCCGCCGGCCAGGCTACGCTTACAAGAGGAGCAAGCATCAGTCGCCCAGCGAGTCGGTCAGGACCTGCCGGCCTGGCGAATTCCGCGGCTTCATCACTACAACGCTCGGTCTCACGCGGAGCAGCTGTAGCTAGTCGCCCCTCAACGGTCGCCGTAGAAGTCAAGGGTGGGACCCGCGCTACATCCGCCGAGTTCCCTCAGGATCAAACGGAAGGCCCAAGCACCGCGTCATCAATATCAGCTGCCGCCCCTGGAGGCCTGACACGGCCGATGCCTCGAGCGACACGGGGTCGCTCCGGTCTGCTAGGCGTACCGGGCTCTTCATCCGTCGGCGCGGGCGCTCCTCACCCTCACCTCCTTTCGCGGGTACAGAGCCGCAACCTCAGCGGTCTCTTCGCCGGCGCTCCAGCTGATGCATGGGAGTCGCTGCGTACTACAAATGCGCCGGTGCCAAGCTCGGGTACTACCACTAGTGCGACCCACGACTTCATTCGCTCGCCGGGATATCATGGTCGCAATCGCCCACTTTCGCGAATAGTGGACGATGATGAGGTTTCATTGCACCATGGAAAGCCTGGATGGGGGTCGGATGACAGTGGAGACCCGACGGCAGCGGACTCTAGTCGCAGAGGCTTGCAACGGCGCCCGCGCGGCCTGTCTGACAGCTCGATTCACTCGACCTTTCTCGAGCACGGAACTGCTGAAGGCGAGGAGAACAACGCCAAAAGCTCTTCAGGCCACGGCTTAGGCATCTCTCACGGCGCGAGTAGCAGTCATGCCGCCCCTGCGGGTCGTATCATGAGCCGAGCAACTTTGGCCTTGCAGGCGCCCATTGCGTTGAAAGGAGGAGGAGGAGCCGGAACTGCTTCTGTGACGCGGGCATACGGTTCGAGCAGGCAGTACGACGAGGAGGACGAGGACACTGACGGCGACACGGCTAGCACGCTAAGCGTGAAGGCTCCTCCTTCCACTGGTAGCGGTGCCGACAAAGCACGTTCGAAGCCGGCTCGGCCGAACACCGCAAGTGGCACGGGCGGAGGCCTGCTCTCTGGCCTCGGGCAAAGTATGTGGTCCGGCTTCCCCTCGTTACGACCTCAGCCCTCTACTGCTACGTTGAGCACAAGCGCTGCTGCCAGTGTCGCAGCTGTGCTTTCCTCATCACCCGGGCATGTGAGCACGATGAGGCCCGGAGGTGGGAGTGGGGGTGGGTTGGGAGGGAAGATGGGTCGCGATGGTGCGTGAGAAGATGGCGGGCAGACGGCTCGCATCGTCCCGGAGACTGAGACTTTGTATCATATTCGCTGTGCGACTCTCTTCCACTCTTTGCACTTCCTTCCCCTGCAGCCGGTTGACGAATCAGGGTCGTCTCTTCAGTCGTCGCCGACGCTTCCTGCTGTGCTGAGAGACTCGCGAGAGACTAGCATTGAGCGAGCCCTCTCCCTTATAAATCGGTCTCGATCGTGCGACTTGCGCAGTCAACACGCGACCTCGACGAATGCGAAGAGACGAGAAGGCAGATCTATGGTACTTGAATACCAATTTGCAAATCTGCCTTGAAGTTCACGCGACACAAGCGTGCGTGGCTCCCCGGCTTCTTTCCTTTTGATATCGCTGCGCCTCGCCTCCATCCCCGCCTAGAGGGGTGAGAGGATCAGCAGACAGATGATCGGGCGACAACGGGGCAACGATGATGGGAGAGCTCCTCGGCCGCTGCTAGCGGCTGCGTCCACGGGTCTCTTTTGGCGTTGATATCGTCATCGCAGCCCGCTTGCTCGCGTCGCTGGACCCGCATCTAAGGGTCGCAGACTCCGGGCAGCCGAGCAGTCGAGCAGTCGCGCGATGGGGCAAATGCGACGCCACCCGAGAAGCGTGAGCCGGCCGCCACAGCAGCAGGCACCACGGCTGGGTGGTACCTCGGCCATGAGATGCCGCGACCCGTTCACAGCCTCAGCTCGAAAGGAGAGGGTAAGAGAAGAGACAGAGTGGTGCTTGAGAGCGAGGGCGGCTACTGATTGTGTGTGAGCAATGCCCCGTGAGTGAGCGAGCGGGCGACGAACGCTCACGATGTGGATGCACTAGCAAGAAACCACTTCTGCTGCACACAAAACGAGACGTGCGCGGGCATTTTGCTCGAAGGCGCAAGTCAGGGTCAATGGACCCTGGAAAGCGCTCAGATGCCCAGATGGGCTGAACAGTCGCTCTCCGCTGATCCCGTCTAGCGACGAGTCGCCACAGAAAGAATCGCGCCTGGCGTCCGCGTCCAAAGGCCGTCGCTTTGTGATAGCCTCTTGCTTCTGCTCCTCTCGATGGATGCGCTATGCGATGGAAGCCCACTCAATCTCAACTCGGATTAAGGGTGTCTGTGACTGGCTCATCACAGGAATCAAATCCTTTTCATTGTGGTCATCATCTCATTGAGAGATTCCTTTGTTTCTCTCTGACCTGGTGGACCGCCCCGCGTCACTGTCCCGCTCTCGCACTTGCCTTGCCTCCGACTGTGCCGCATCGAAGCTGCCGCCGCATCGCCGCCGCATCTCCGTGCCAAGCCCAACATCATCCCGGCCCTTCGCGCCTCACGACGACGGTGACGACGACACGACAATAGCCTCTCGGTCTAGCCGGTCCAGGCTCCAGCGCGAGAACTACGCAAAGCAGCCGCATCGTTTTCGTCCAACACAAGCCGGCCCAAGAACGCTGCCTTCACTATCAAGGGCGCCCCGCTTTTTCTCCCTTCGGGTCTAATAACGTCAGGCGTGCGTGCGTGCGTGCGTGCGTGCTTGTGCGTGCCGTGCCTGCTTCCGCGTTCGTCTGGTTCCGCCGCCTCCGACGCCGCCTCGCCGCTGCCCTCGCTCTCCCTCTCTCTCTCTCTCTCTCACCACTCCTTCAACCTCACCACGCCAATATCTTGGCTTCGGCCACACGAGCCCCTTTCCACTTCCTTGTGCTGACGGGCAAAGCCAACTAGCATCGTCTGTCATCGCTCGCACAAACCTCTCGCCCCACGACCGATCTCTGAGGCGGGAGCGACGCCCGTCCCCTGTGGCTCCCACAATACACGACGAGGCGAGCGCACAAACCTCTCTTTCCATCTCGTACCGTCCCGGCATTGTGACCGTACCAAAGGGCACACACCCATTGTCTCGGGGCTATCCGCCCGAAGACGTTGCCTTGGCCAGCATTTCTTCTTCATCTAGCTTTTCACCGGCCATGGACGACGACGACAACGCAGAGGCATCAACGTCGAGAACCATGCCATCTCAACCGCCAGGAACAATCAAGGACCTACCCGCCTTCTCAGACGTACTGCGTTCCTCGTCTCCATCTCTTGCATCGCCCGAGGAGGTCTTCTTCACTCCAAGAGCAGGCTCTCCCTTCTTCCCTACCAGCATGTCCGCTCTCCCAGCCACTGCGAGCAAAGTCTCCCATCGCGATCCTTCCTCTTCCTCATCCTCTCGCTCCATTTCGCCATCCAATCTCCTACGCAAGCCCATCTACGACGTCAATTCAACTGCACCCAGCCGCCGTAGCACAGATCCAGAGGCGCAGAGCGATTCGAGCGAGTCGTCATCCAAGACAGAGACGGCTAGCATCGCTACCATCACGCAGTCGCAGCGAGACAAACCTCTCCCGCCGTCGCCGCTGTCGATAGAAGCAATGTCATCCCCACCACCAGCAGACGAGACGGTGACGGAAAGGTTGACGCAATCTCGGGGTCTGGCCCCCGCCCTCGCTACCCTCGATCTATCTGCAGCGGCATCTACTGCCCCATCCCTGCTGCCAGCTCGACTGCGCCAGGGTCTCATCGAGGAAGGCTTGTCCGAAGTGGCAGCCACGACTGAGCAGGAGCTCATGGTTGGGAGAACAGAGCCGGAGGTGGCTTCTGCCCTCGCCGCAGTAGACGCTCTCGCTGCCGTCGACATGACAGATCGTCAAGCCTCGAGCTCCAGCGATATCAGCCGCACACCTTCGACGTCGACTACGGGGTCCATCACTACGCAAAGTCAGATTTCGACCGAGACGTCGCCCTCTACCGTATCCAGCGAAGCAGCTGACGACCTCAAGACCGTTCGGCCGGACAGCAACGACCAAACGCCACCGAACTTGCTGTCCGAGAAGGACCTACAGTCCAAGCTGCGTCGCTACCACGCCCTGGTTGAATTGGTTGAGACGGAGCAATCGTACGCTCGCGATCTCAGTGCGCTGGTGCACGTCTACATGGATTCACTCCACCTCCAGCAATACTTTGAAGATCATCCGGCGCGCATCGAAGTTGTGGTCCGCAACTCTCCCGAGCTGGCTCAACTGCACGCCGAGGTGGCAATGGACCTTGAGCGCATACTCGACGAGAACTGCATCGGGCCTGGAGACGTCGGGAGTGAGAGCGATAAAGCCGTCAGCCCTGGAGTCGATGCAGCCATCGTGGCAGTCGGAAGTTACTTTGCCAAGCTGGATGGCAGACTGGTCCTCTACCAGGAGTTCTGCGCTCGTCATGCAGAAGCGCTGGCCGTTATCAGAGAGGCCGAGAAGAGACACAACGGAGAGGACTTTGCTGCATTTGAACGACTGTGCGGTAACATCTTGAGGAGTAGGCCGAGTCCATCGCGCAACGCGTCTGTGACGGACCTTTCGAGACAGTACCACTCTCGCTCGGGCTCGTCGACTCCGGCGCGTGCGGTGACACCGCTGCCTAGTGGCCTTTCTCCCATGACGCCAGCGACAGCTTCAGCTGATGGATCCGCTTCGAGCGATTCGACCTTTTCTGCACGGCCAAGCGGGCGATTGACGTTCGCAGACCTGCTCATCAAGCCTATTCAAAGGCTGTGTCTTTATCCACTCGTGCTGCACACTCTTCTCAAGCACACAGGCGCAGAGGACGGCGGGCGCGACGAGCTCGAGGCGGCATTGGTGACCGTGAAACGGGTGGCTGACGAAGTCGACGCAGCAGGCAGGCAACGCGAGCAAATGCTCCTTGCCGAGTTGATTGCATCACGCGTCGAGGCACACGCTATCATCACCAAGCCACTCCTTGCATCCATGGGCTTCGTCTCGCTCTCCGGCACCCTTGACGTTCTCTACCACCATGCCACCTTTTCGCCTCTCACGGCACCACTGCGATTCCGCTTCCTGGGACTCTTCCTCTACAACGAAGGCCTGCTGATGGTCAAGGTGCGCAAGGGCGGGGCATACGATCCATTGCATTGGTTTCCATTGAGGGATGCCGAGATCAGCTCCGTGGAGGAAGACGAAGGAGTTCTGCCGCACGCATTTAGGCTGAGCGTCAAGGGCCAGCATCATTTTGAACTTGCGGCGTCCAGCTCAAGGGAGAGGGCGTTGTGGGTGGAGAAATTAATGGCGGCCATGGCGGCCGATTCGCTCGAGGCGACGACGACGCTGGCCGAGGCCAAGGGCAGCAGCTTCCCCTCGAATCTGCCCTGCCTGCGAGACCCTTCATTAAGCTCTGCAAGTGACGCGAAGCGCGACCCTCTGAGCGAGTTTCTCGCTCAACAGAGCGCCTCGGCCAACTCGTCCGAGGTGCTAGTGCGGTACGCCACCCTCCCGCAGCGAGCCGTCATCGATCGGGGGATGATCTTCTCAGACTCTATTCTGGGCGCCAGAGCTATCACGCAGCAGGACGGAACTTTCACGCCAGGAGGGTCGATCACCAAGTCGTCGGCGGGCAGTACAAATACCACGCCTGGCGCCACTACTCCCGTCGCAGGCCTCACTGCATGGCCAGCGAGCGCCTCTGCTTCTTCGACGTCCTCCCTCAGCGCCGCGGTCGGAGCCGCGATGGGTTTGGCACGGGTGGCCAAGCGCACAAGCAGGCAGAGCATCAACGCCAATGTTTTTGAGATGGCTGCGCACCAGCACGTGGCTGCAGAGGAGCAGAGGATTGCAGCCGCGACGCGTGCGGAGGAGCTTGAAGCTGCCGCAGCAGCCGTGGCAAGTAGCAACACCGCTCGTCGCACAGGTCGCCCCACCCTCCGACCACAGTCGATGATTCTCGCCTTTGGGTCAAGCTCGAACGCAAATTCGCCAAACTCTACGGCGCCCACAGCCCAGTCTCTTCAGTTTCCTTTTACGAGCACGAGCGGGTCGGATGTTGTGCTCGACTCCCCGCCTACCACGCCCTTTGCGCACCTGAGTCAGCAGAGTAGCGAGGGATCGGCAACGGGAACGGCCATGTCTGCAGGTGGAAGCATCTCGCGCCCGTCGTCGCCAAACAAAGGCCCCTCCCTACTTAGGAGAAGGCAGAGTGGATTGCGAGATGCCTTCTCCGGTACGTGGTCGAGGAGGGGACGATCGCAGACGGCAGACGTCGTCGTCAGCGGGAGTGCTGGCGCAAGCAGCAGCAGTGGCGGCAGCATGAGCGGGAGCAGCCCGTTTGGCCTTGGTGTCAGCCGCACTTCGCCATCGCAACCTGCCTCGCCGCTGGGGTCGACCTTCGTGCTTGGGGACTCGGGACCATCAGAAATGGGCGTGGTTCGAGTGGCCTCACCTGAGGACGGTGCAGATTCGACCCAGCAGCCTCCTCGCCCGCCCTCCTCGCTCAAGCGAGCTCTCACTGGCTTGACGGGGAGGCGGGATCGATCAAAGAGCGTGACGGACATGCGACCTTCTATTGGGCCTCTCGCACAAGCAGAGCCTGCAGCACGATCTGCGTTCGAGAGCTCTGACAGGGCAGCGGCTCAACAGCAAGCTCAGACACAACCACGTCCCCCATCCCGCGGTCAGCATCGTCGTCGAACGAGCAGCACATTTGGCAACATGCTCGGCCTGATGGGCCCACCGCTCGACTCTTTGCGGAGGTCTGGGAGCATTTCGACGGGAAGGTGGGGAGGGTCTCAGTCTGCTAGCGCAAGCAGGAGGGGTAGCGTGGTAGATGAGCAGCAACAGCAAGTCGCGCCTCAGCAGATGGTCGACACGTTGGCCGCCAGCCGCCTATCTATGTCCTGCATTAGAGATCCTCCGCCAGCTTCACCATCTTTGGCGGGTACCATGCCCGCCAACTTCGCAGCGCGCAATCGCTCACAGCCTTTCCTTGTCTCGAGGGATGCGCAGCAGCAGCGGCAACAAAGCGCCAGCGCCAGTGAGGGCTCTCCAAACAGTCGCTCCCCGCAGTCATTCGGACGAGCGGCAACGGATACAGACCTCATTACAGGGCCCATCGTTCCAGCTCAGGAGGCGCGCAGCTCTCGTCCATCTACACCGCGCTCCACTAGCAGTCCGCTGCAACGACAGGGGCCGGGTAGTAGATTAAGCCAGTTCGGCAGCGACTTCCTGCAGGGAATGACGGCTCGCTTCCCAGATTCTTCGTCGTCCTCACTTGCATCTTCGCGCTCGAATCCCGGGTCGAGAAATCACTCTAGGCGGAGCTCGGCAGCCAGTGTGGGCGAGGTTACCGGAGTCTCTGCGGCGGGCGCACCGACAACAGGACTCACTACGGGCAACGGGACGGTGACTTCTTCTTCGCCCTCTGGCAGCGGCTCAGGCTCGACGTTTCTTGCGCGTACCTTCAATCAGCAGAGACGGAGCAATCGGCTGTCGGCCTTGTTCTTGCCGCTGACCACGAGCGCGGGCGCTGGCATCGGTGGTAGAGAAGGTGCCAGCGGTGGCAGCCTCCTGGGATCATCGGCCAACAGCAGTGCAACGAGCGTTGCAGCCGCTCATCAGCAGCAGAACGGGCTTTCATCAGGGCCTAATTCGCCTCCGATTCCACAGCGCAGAGGCAGCTTGGACCTCAGCGAGACGGCGACTCTCGCCCCTCCCCTGCACCTGCCCCTTTCGTCGACACGGCTGTCGCCGTCCTCGGCGTCGAACACTGGCCTCGCACCTGGGAAGGAGTTTGGCCTCCCTTCCCCGCTTGCGGAGCAAGAGGAGACTGAGAATCCTTTCAATTCGATAGCGTTCCCACAGGGAAAAGAGGGCGAGGACGAAGAGGTGCAGGGTGAGAAAGGGCAGGAGCAGGGCGAGACGCGACATGAGGAGAAGACTGAGCACGGCGCGACAGCAGGAACGACGGACGTGGGAGAGGAACAGTCATGCGCGGCAGCCTAGCGATTCTCAGCGACACAGGTGAGATCAGCAAGGTGCGCCCGAAGGTTGCGGCGGCACCGCTTCCGAACACGAATCACTTCCCTACCCACCCAAGACTTGTACAAAGAACATTTGCTACCCCACCCACCCCCTGCCCCTCTCTACTGCGGCATTGCCTGCTTCCATCCATTGCGAACATTTTCTCGACGATTGCGCTCGACACGAAGGACGTACTGTATCATCATTCTCATCATCATAATCATAATCATTAGCGCCGCATTCGTGAAATGCTTTTACACGACGTCTCACCGTCGTAGCGATCAAAATCGGCCGCCCAGACTTCTCGCAGCTTCAGAAGCGCTGATTCGACCTCTACCTCCTCGCCCAGCTGCGCCTCCTCCTCGCCCAGGTGGGCCGCTACGGGGCGTAGTCCCGAATGTAGAGATGGGTGGGGGAGTGGAATCGGCGTCTGCCCTTCTCTCGGACTGTGGCAGGGCGGAGACACTGTTGCTCATTCCTGCTCCGCTATTAAGGAACGGGTTCGGCCGCCCGCCGCTGAAGCGAGATGTGTTCAGCCCACCTTGCCCGCCTTGATGGGCACTAAAGCCACTAGGCTGCTCGTCCTGAGACGAGGGCTGGGGCAGGAACATGCTCTGCGTAGCGGTCGGTGCGGGTGGAGAGGTGGGACGCTGCTGAGTCGCTGGGGAGGGCGGGGATGGAGACAGCGGGCGCGGCTGTCCGGCTGCGAATGAGGTCGGCGGGCGCTGCTGCTCAATGCTGTGACGAGGAGACGTGTATGGCGACTCGGTGCTCCTTCTGGGCGCTGGTGTGTCCGCAAAGGACTCTTGCTGCGCATGCTGCTCCTCGGATTGCGGGGCAGGAGCACCTCGAGAAAAGTCGCGATTGCTCGACACCGTGGCGGGCGCTGGTGTTGACGATGGCGGTGGGGAGCTTCCAGCCACCGAGGACGATGGATGTCCAACCAGCGCTTCGTCCGCCTCCTCCCCCTCCCCCTCCTCGTCTCCGGGCAGAACCCCGCCCTTTCCAGCCTTCTCCACCTTTTCTCCCCTTAATTCCCCCCTCACCCTCCTCAACACGTCCATCTCCCTTCTCAAGCTCCTCACCATTCCCCTCGCATGCTCCTGCAAGCTCTGCTTTACATCAGCATGCGCAGATCGACTGTGTGCGCGCAGAGACTCATGCATCTGACCCGAGAGATCGCCCAATAATTGCCGCAGGTGGGCAGCATAGCGTGCGGAATCGGCAAAGTCGTCGATTGCGACTTCGATGCGATCGCGCGTGATGAGGTGAGAGTTGGAGGAACCTGAACCATGATGTGCAGCTTGAGAGCCCATCTTGATTTTCAAAGATTCGACGTCGCGCTTCTTGACTAGAGCGCGTTTAGAGGCTTCGTAATGCTCTTCGACGAGCGCATTGCGCGCGAGTAATGCTTCCTTGGCCGCTCGAGCATTCTTTCCCTGGTAGGCTAGCTGGTAGAGAAGGGTCAAGCCTTCTGTCTGGCAAGAGGAGCGCGTCACTGCGTCCAATGGACCAGCGAGAGCTTTTGCTAATGTCTCCAAGTGGGAGGGCAGGCCAGCACCGGCGCAGAGTGGTCGAGTGGCCTCTACGCCCGCCCAGGTGTGCAATGAGTTGCAGAGGGCTGCGGTTGACGTTGAGAGGCGTGAGGTGCGGGCGGCAACGCAATTCTGGCCCTTTTGAGCTGCGGTACTGAATTGGAGCTCGAGACGTGTGACTTCCATGCGAGCTGACACGAGGTCCTCGTCATCATCGTGTACGTTGCGCGAGAGGGAGAGGCCTTTGCCGCCTGTCCCTGTGGACGAGGACGAGCTCTTGCCTCCGCCTAGAGAGATGCCGAAGAAGCTGCTACCACCGCTCGAGCTACTGCCGTTGCTAGTTGTCCCTCCGCCACCTACTGTCGTGCCGACGACTCCACTGGGTAAGCCCAGCCCTACGCCAACATCAATCGTCATGCCTCCACCAGCGGCGGCTGCCCTATCATGCGCCTGTTGCGCCATTAGTGCATGCCATCGTTTGGCAACGAGAGGCATCGCGCCGCCATCTTCCATTGGCTCTAGTGGGTGATAGCTATAGTCTGCCTCGACAAAGTTGCGCGTCTCGGCGTGATCTCTATGCGCCGGCTCCGCAACGAGGCGTTGCAACCAGCGCGAGAGATGAAAGCAGAGCAGCCTTCCCTCTGGTAGCGAGGTGGGATGGACAGAGGCATCATTGCCAATGGTGGCGAGCAGTCCAGGAGTGGGGAGTGGTAAGGCGGCGAGGATATGAGTGGGGACGTGCACTGATAGGGAGAGGGCGAAGAGTGCTAGCTCGCGGAGAGTGCGGGTGAAGGGTGGGTAATGGGAGCGACGATATGCTGGGAGATTTGTGCTGGCCTCGAGCTGGACGCAGAGGTCCCTGCTGCGCTTCTGAAGAGAGAGGACGCGGATGCGAAGGTGAGGCGGAGGACGTGGAGGTTGCGGAGGAGCAGGCGTTGATGAGGAAGAGGGGCCACGCTCCATTGTATGCGTCGTGGCAGGGCGTGGTTGGTGTCGCACGGGCGCAGATGGGCGTGGTTGTAGGCCACCATCACTGCTTCCGCCGCCGCCAATGACTGCCTCCATGCCGGTCGAGGTGCGGTGAAGCAGGGGAGGGCAAATGTGTGGAAAGCGAGTAAAGGCTCTTTGAATGCGAGGCGAGGCGGTTCCACTGAGCGCGGGCCACGACAAAGCCACGTGGCGCCCGACTCCACCCCCGCACTTAACTCCGGATGTCGGCACAGGACGCCGGCTCGAGAGTACGTCTTTCTCTTGAATCCACTTCAATCAACAGCCTCCCAAGCTAGCTGTCATGTCTCCACCGTGAGCATAAGGCTACGCATTGCCCGTCACTAGCAGAGGAACTGACCACCTCCCTCCTCGCCCCGACAGCACCCAAGGTCAGTTCCTCCGTCTGCACGCTCCCCCCGAAGGGAGCCCCCGCGGTACCCGAGGAACTGCAAAGGTCGAAACGCTCCCCCTCACGCCTCCCTCCAAAGACAAGGATCTCGTCCTCTTCAAAGTCCTCGCTGCAGGCTTCAATCGTCGCGATGAATGGTCGATGCAAGGCGCCTACCCAGGCTTGACCTACCCTTCGACGCTAGGCTGCGATGCGTGTGGATTCGTCGTTGGGGAGGAGAAACAGCGCTACCTCGTCGTTCCCACTCGCGGCTGGTCAAAGGACACGCGAGGACCAGAAGCGGATGTGCCCGGCTCTGATGGACAGAAAGCTGGTAATGCGCTGGGAGGTAAAGGATTTGGGCTATTGGGTGGGACGCGCCAGACGGGCGGCGTCGGCTGCTTTGCCGAGTACATGACAGTAGAGCGATCCCAACTTGTGCCTGTGCCTGACCACCTCTCGGACGAGGAAGCCGCAGCCTTGCCCTGCGCAGCCGTAACAGCCTACCGCGCCTTGTTCACCAAGGCGCGTGTCGAGCCAGGCCACAATGTCCTCATCACGGGTATCGGTGGAGGGGTGGCCCTCCTCGCCCTTCGCCTCGCTCTAGCACGAGGTGCAAACGTATACGTGACCGGCGGATCGCAGCCGAAGCTGGATCACGCCCTCAAAGTGGGCGCAAAGGCAGGAGCAATCTACAAAGATGCCAAGGCATGGCCAGAAGCGATCAAGCAGTCCCTCCCCAAGGACCGTCCTTACCTGGACGCAGTCATCGACTCGGCTGGCGGGGCCATTTGCGCTCAAGCGCTCAAGGCCGGGCTTCGACCTGGTGGGTCTGTCGTCGTCTTTGGCATGACTGCAACGCCCAAGGTAGACTTTACCATGCGTGAGGTGCTGCAGAACGTAGACCTGTGCGGCTCGACGATGGGATCTGAAGAGGAGTTCCGTAGGTGCATCAGATTCATTGGCGAAAAGGGCGTCAAGCCAGATGTGGACACGGTGCTGTGGGGTGGGCTGGAAGAAGCCCGCGACAAGGGATTCGAGATGCTGGCTGATGCCGAGAAGAGGGCGCGCGGCGGCAAGGTGGTTTGTCGTGTGGCCCCCAAGGAGGAGGGAAAGAGTGGTGGGCCAGAGGAGAGCAAGCTGTAGGCGGGCAAGCTGTAGGTGGGCAAGCGATATGTATTGGGGTCGCAAGGAATGTACAAAGAAAGTCTCGCCGTGCTACATGAACTGCAGCGCCGCAGCCAACTTATCCGCAGGATCGTCATCGAGCCTCGCCATTTCAATCTCACTCAGGAGCTTCTTGATCCCCACCGTCTTGGCTGGCGCACCCGACTCGTCGAGTGCTGCTCCCTCCTCGCCGTCATCCCTGCTGCTCCTCAAGCCTACATGCGAGAGCAGTTGCACGCAGCGCTGGTGAGCGCGTTCGTCGCCGTTGAAGAGGTCGACCTCGCGCAGGACGTGCTCCACTGAGCGCACTGAGGAGATGGCAGGGACGCGCATCTCGGCGAGGAAAGCCTGCTGCAGATCCATGTCCTGGAGCATCGCCCGGTTGCTCGTGGTGGCGAGGACAAGAAGGCGGCGACCCTTGGGTGGGCGCTTTCCCAGCAGCACGCTCAGCGCCTGCAGAACACCGTTCGAGAATCGCGGGCCGATGGGCACCCACTCGACGAGCTTCTCTACAGAATCGACGACGATGCAGCTGAGCGGCGACTTGTACGAGTCGTTGAAGACCTTGTTGAGGTGCGCAATCTTGGCGGGCTCGCTCAACCCCACCATGTTCTCGGGCGAGACGAGCTTGACAAAGGGGAATTGCGACGACATGGCCATCGTAGCGGCGAGGGCCGTCTTACCTGACCCGGGCGGGCCGTGCAGGAGAGCGGTGACGAGAGGTGTGCGAGTCGAGGTGCGCACCTGCTCGACGCGCAGAGCGCCATCGCGAAGGATGACGTCGATGTGGGGCGCGAAACGCATGATGCCGTTCTGAACGACTTGTTGCAGCTCTTCTTCTGATACACCGAATGCAGGCTGAACCTCGTCAAGGGCTTGGAGGAAGTCGTCGCGGTTGACGCGCATGTTCTCGACATCGTCTGAGATGCCAGCCATTGTACCCACCTTGACGTGGCGTGAGAATGCGAATGATGTGGCGCTTTTGACCAGACCGGCGATTTCAGCGCCAGAGAAGTTCTTGGTGGCCGCAGCGAGCTCATCAAGGTCAACGTCATCGTCCATGACGCCGTTGGTGCGCATCTTGTTCGTCTGGATGGAGATGATCTGGCGACGGCCGTGTTCGTCGGGAAGGTTGATCTCCATGTGTACTTCGAGTCGACCCGGTCGGAGCAGCGCTTCGTCGATCATGTCGAGACGATTGGTCATTCCGATGAGCAGGATGTTGTTGAGCTGGTCCACGCCGTCCATCTTGGAGAGGAGCTGATTGACGACGGAGTCGCCGACGCCCGTCCCGCCACCCGTCGAACCACGCTGCTTGCAGATTGCGTCGAGCTCGTCGAAGATGAGGATGTGCAGGCCAGACTCGTCGCCCTTTTCCTTGTACTCCTTTTCTGCGTCTGCAAAGAGTTTGCGGATGTTCTCCTCGCTCGCTCCGACGTACTTGTTGAGAATCTCTGGACCATTGATGATCTTGGGCTCGCGAGCGTTGAGCATCTTGCCGATTTGGCGGGCCATGAGCGTTTTACCCGTGCCCGGTGGACCGTAGAGGAGGATACCCTTGACGTGCTGGATGCCGAGCTTGTCGACCAGGGCTGGCGGGAAGATGCGCGAGGCAAAGGCACGACGAAAGATGGCGCTGAATTCGTCGTCGAGACCGCCGATGCCCATGTCCTCGAACTTGAAGTTGGCTTGAAGGATGGCATTGGGAGGGGCCTTTTTGCCGCTGGCCTTCAGTTTGATCTGACTGTCCTTGGCCTTGTTGAAGTTGACGTCAGTTTGAGCGATCAGTATGCCCTGGCGCGAGAAAGAGGGGGCTGAGTGTCAGCACCGCAATGGGATCGTCTGGAGTCACGCCGCGTCGCGCACCTTGTCCATGCCAGTAGGGGGGCCGCTCGCTCCACCCTTTGCATCAATTTGCCCGGCCTCGACGACGTTGACTCCTCGCACGACTAAGCGCAGGTTGTGGCCGTGGAACTCGAAAACGAGCAGCTGTCCAACCGAGAATATATGCCCCTCGAAAGCGCGCAAGAAGTTTCGCGCCATCTCCTCGACGTCGAATTGCTCGTTGGCGGTGATGGCCGAGCGTAGGAACGATACCTCCAAGTCAATCCCGCCCAGGTAGATGCCCGACGACACCGCCATTGGGTCGTAGACTTCGGCCGTCATGTAGTCTCCCGATGCGCTCAGTCCGGCCCATTCGCGCTGGAATGCTGCGACGCCGATGGTGCCCGGCTGGATGGTATTGGTCGAGTCGTGAAGGACGGTGAAGACGTAGCGTCCCTTGGCGAGGATATACTGGGTCCCTGGCCACTCTTGCGGGTTGACGACGAGGGCGTTGCTGAGGTTGAGTTCGTTTGGGCATCGCACGACGGCGTACTCGCGGTGAGCAGGCTGGTGGCTATACGCTGCCTTTTCGGCGCCGCCGCCATAATCGCGGGATGGAGGCGGGACTCTGCGTGATGGAGGAGGGGCCTGCCCTTGCTGAGGCTGGCCATATGCGTTCGACGTCTGGCCATACGCGCTCGACGTCTGGCCGTATGCTGAGCGTCCAGCAGGAGCGCTGCCGGAAGAGAAGCCTGCTCCGCCACTAGATCTTCCTCCTCCAGCGCTGGATCCGTACGCTCCCAGTCCCCCATATGCCGAGCGGTCTGGTGGTGGTCCACCTCTCGAGAAGCCTGCCATTTGTGGAATTGGATGGTGTGGTGCGGTGTTGAATTAAACGATGTGGCCTGGGCGAGTGCACGCTGCACCCGCTGCGCCCGTCTCGCTGTCCCGCTCTCGCGCCGCGTGGGCGGCAGCCAAATCAAATGCAGCCGCCTCGCCGCGAGATTCTCGCCTTCTCATCCTCCTCCTCCTCCAATCATCGCGGCGACGCATCAGCGTCATGGCTGCTCGTCGCACGCTCTTTTCAGCATCGCAGTTGCGCTTGAGACCAGCATCGCTATCAAGAGGGCGTCAATTCGCCTCTGGGTCCTCACAGCCCACTCCGCCGCCCTCGTCATCGTCCGCCTCCACCACGAAACGATACGAGAAGCAACGCCGCAACGAGTGGATCGTCATTGCCGTGTCAGGAGCAATTGCGGCGGGCGGAGCCTATTATTGGACCAATCGACCCAAGGACGTGGACGACAACGTCTTTGCACCTCCATCTTCCCCTGAACCCTCCTCATCGTCTCGCAACTTTTCCATTACCGTTCGGCATCCTTCAACAGGCGAGAGGATGACCAAGGTCTTTACCATGCTGTCGGACTCAGAGTCCACCAAAAGATTGCGACAGAATGAGCGTGTGGTGGACGTGCAAGATGCAGGTGCCGTCTCCCGCTACTACGTCAACAGCGTCGCAGCCAACGCTCCCATAGAAGATCGCAGCTCGCAAGCCATTCTACCCCACGCCAACTCAGCCTCAGCCGCTGCCTTCTTTGCGGTCATGGACGGTCATGCCGGCTGGGACACTTCTGAACTCCTTTCCAAGCGCTTGATCCCGGAAGTCGCGCTACACATCGACGCGGCGCATCGTCTAGCGGAGGACCGAGCTCGTAATCCCGGCCTCGCAGCGAAGATCAAGGCGGCTCTCGGCGCAGGTTCTGGCAGCGAGGAGGAGATTCGCTCGGGCCTAGTCAAGGAAGCCATTTCGACGGCATTTCTGGGCCTGGACAAGCGTATATGCGAGACGCCCATCGAGATGCTCAAGCGCGGCGGTGCTGCGTCAGAGGGATACCAGGCCATGCTCCCCGCGCTATCGGGTAGCTGCGCGTTGCTCACCTACGTCGACTCGGCGCGGGATACGGTGTACGTTGCTTGCACGGGAGACTCGCGGGCACTGGCAGGCTATCAGGATGCGAAGACGGGGCAGTGGAGTGTGGAGCCGTTGAGCGAGGATCAGACGGGGAGAAACATCCGCGAGCAGGAGAGGATGCGGCGCGAGCATCCTATCGAGGAGGCGGACCACGTCGTGATGAGGGGTCGAGTGCTCGGCGGGCTAGAACCAACACGCGCGTTCGGAGATGCACGCTACAAGTGGGATCGCGAAATGCAGGCCAAGCTGCGAGAGGCGTTCTTGCCTGCAGGAAGTGGTGGGAGAGGCCCGCCTCAGCTGCTCAAAACCCCGCCGTACGTGACTGCGCGTCCGATGATCCAGAGCCGCAGAATTGCAGCGGATGGCAAGCAGCTTCGCTTCATTGTGATGGCGACGGACGGGCTGTGGGATATGCTGAGCAATGAGGAGGTCGGGTCGCTCGTCGCGGGGCATCTGTCGGAGGTCAAGGGACGAGTCGGGAAGGAAGAGCTGGAAGGCAAGGTCTTCGGCAAGGCAGCGGCACCTGCGATCAGCGACCAGCAGGCGGTCCTCTCGTCGTCGCACCACCCGCTCGCTCGTGCTCAAGGCCAGCAAGTGTTTGCGTTCCAAGACGAGAATCTCGCAACGCACCTCGTACGCAACGCGCTCGGCGGAGGAGGGGCTCAGCGCGTCAATGCCTACCTTGCTATACCGGCGGGCGATGCAAGGCGGTACCGCGATGACATTACGGTGAATGTCGTGTTGTTGGGCGAGAAGCAGGCGTCGCCGAGAGAAGCGAAGCTGTAAGACACGCGCGGCAATGAGAGCAAAGTAGAGACGCAAGAGCCAACCCTGAATTGCAAGTCAAGTATGCACGTCGCCTTGCCACCGGATCTCAAAGCTGCGGTACGTGGTCCTCAATCCTCTCTGCCCCCCGCCCAGCGATCTTGGCCCGAAATCGTCGTATCCCACCTCGTCTCCCTCCCACGTAATGCAGAGCCCCTCGCCCTCCCGCGGAAACGCACCATAGATCGCCTCAACTTCCGCCTTGTGTGTCTCGCGCAGAGGAGTGATGAGATGAAGGACGCCGTTCTGCGTAAGATAGCGCTGCGCTACTGAGCGAATCCAGACCGGGTGGTGGACGTCGTAGATGCAGTCGGCCGCAATGATGGTGTCGTAGCGCTCGCCAGCGGGGAGCGGGGAGAGGTAGGGGGCAGAGGTCGGCACGTCCGCCGGTAGTGTCTGCGCTGTTGATGTGTAGTGGGGTTGTGCTCCATGCACGGCCTGCCAATCGAGTCGATACACTCCAGCGACCTCGCTCAGGTCGTTGAGCTTGACGTTGGCCTCGAGATTGGCCAAGACGTGCGGGTGATGATCTGTGAGGTCGACGTGCGTGTTACGGAGCGCCGCCAGAGCCAGCCCTACCAACCCCGTGCCCGCGCCTAGCTCAAGCACTCGCTGCGCTCTCTCTCCCTCCCGCACGTACCTGCCCACCAGCCTGCGCGCCAGCAGCGGCGCCGCCCCCCACGTACGATTGCCCAGCGCGTCCGCCGTAATGGGTACGTCTCCTATCCTCGTCCGCGCCACGATTGCGTCCGCCGTGCAAAAGAGGAAGGCGGTGATCTGCGCTTCTGACGCGGGTCGACCACACAGCGCTGCGAGGGCCCTTGCGGCTCGATCTTGATCCTCATCTTCTAGCCCCGGTACCTCGCCCGAGACGATGCGAGTGAGCCACGAGTGTGCAAAGCGGTGCTCCAAGTCGTGAGCCGTCGAATCGTCTTCCTCGTCTCTGCTTTGCGTCGACTGCTCGTCGATCATCAGCCGCACCTCCTCTTCTCTGCCTAGACCCAGCGCCTTCTCCAGCGCTTCGAGCCCGGCGCGGATCTTCTCGCCCGCATTGTCGCCTTGACTCGAGATAGTAGCAGCGGCGCGTCTAAGCGGGGGTAAGTCTCGTGAGGGGAGGAAGTCGAGCTTGAGCCGGGAGGTGGATCCGCGACCATTGGTACTCATAGGGTTTCAGCCTTACCGCTGTCCCCTCTTCCTCGGCGGAACGCGGGATGGATGCGAAGAACAGTGGCGCGACGCCGATGACTTTTGGGTGAAGCGGTTCGTGCTGGAGGGGCTCAGCTCGACGAGAAGGCGGTTCGGAAGGCAAGCCGGCGTCGAGGCTCATGCACGCGCGCAATCGACAGCCGCCTGGTGAGGCCGCGCGCGACGCGATTCATCTCGAGCGAGAGCTCGCGCTTCCTCCTTCTCTTCCTACCACACCTTGCCCCACCTTGCCCCACCTTGCTTTGCCTTATATATTTTTTATTGGCACGACCTGCACGACAACCGTCCACCAACGCAAAGACGACAAAAAATCAAGATAAGAGCAAAACACACGAACACACGCAACCTAGGTGAGTGGCGATGCGGTGGCCTCATCTTCCTGACAAGCCCTAGTCTCGCTGCTGACCTCGCATCTACCCTCTCCACCCACGTTCTCGCACGTTGGCAGACGATATGGATCCCGGTCTACTCGTCCCACACGATCTTTATGGCGAATCTTCGCATGTTACGATCGGCTCAACGTGAATAGCATCGAGAGTGAGAGCCGTACGCAGAGCAGCTGCTGACCGAGAACGCCACGCTCCACCGCCCACCGCTCAGCCACCTCTGTGTAGGAAGCCAAGTTGAAGGCTGTGGCAATTGCCAACCCCTGATAGTCAAAAGCTCGAGCGTGAAGCCTGATGTGTGCAATGACTCGCCTCTCTGCTTGAGTGGGAGGGTAGAACGCGTCCCGCGTCTTGAGCTGGCCGCGCGTCGCTGTGCTTAGTCCATCTTGAGCCATGTCGTGCCGCTCTTGCTGCCACAACTCACGCTCATCTTCTCTCCTCTCCTTCTCTGAAAAGTTGACTTCACCAACGTGCACACAACCAATGAGTCGTTCTGGAGACAGTCGTGATGGCCCGGCACATTTCTCGCCCTTCCAGGAGCCGCTGAGCTCGGAGCGACAGCAGCCTGCCACCCCGGAGGCAGCCGGTCCAGCGGCTCGTCCCATTAGACCTCATCACCAGCCTGCATTTTCTACTTTGACGAGCTCGGCAGGCGCACCTCGCCCGCCTGCACGTCGTATCAGCGTCCCCGTTCGCCCTGCTAACGCCTCCATCGTTGCAAACAGGTGAGTCCACTACTGACGGTTTGTAGCTTTAGCGAGATGATGGGAGAAGACATCGACTCACGAGCAGTCCCCCCGCCCTTCGTGCTCCCGCTCCCTTTCATTTGGTAGAACAAATCCTTTCTCGCGCAAGCCGCCTCCCAACCTAGATCAGCCTTTTGTTCCTCCCCCGACGAGGTCGTACGCCGTACCGTTGCAGCCGGTGCGACCTCCTACTCTGCCATTTAGACCGCCCGTCCTCAAAACTTCCTCTTCTCGTCCAAGGCAGCCCTTCATTCCTCCGACTCTCAAGCCATCCTCCCTTCAAAACTCTTCAAGCTCGACTCTCAACCTCATCACCCCCATCTCTGGGCCGCCCTCTTTTGAATCGGAATCCGGCCCATCTCGATCTTTCGTCTCTTGCAAGCTCAGGCCCCCTCACAATCCACCGGAGTCCGCCTCCTCGGCTTCTGATGAGGGCCCCGCCTCCTACTCCTCGACTTCCACTCAGGACTCCTTTTGTCCTATCCCTTCGACGGCTGCCTCTACCTCTCGCAATATTCCCTCAAAGTCTCCTGCTACCACTCGCAAGTCATCTCCTGCCAAACACTCTTCTACCTCCGCCAAGTCGTCAAAATCCCCTTCTACCGCACCCAAGTCATCTCCTGCCAAACCCTCCTCTACCTCCGCCGAGTCGGCTGCCCGTAAGCCTCGCTGCTTCGGCAAAGCGCCGCCGCCGCCTGCACCCGTGCGGACAAAGCCGCCTGTAGTAACTTCAAACACCTTCTTCACGGCAACTGTGAGCGCTGCCGTGGACCCTTCGATGGGTGGCCCTTCGCGTGGAGTAGGAGTCACGATGCAGGCTACTCCGCAGGCGAGAGCAGAGCCAGTTGTGGTCAAAGTCGCTTTGAAGGACAGCCTGCCCGTCAACGCCGGCCCTTTTGTGGAGGAACTTGTGGATCCTCGACGGGTGTACCCAGGATCGGATCGCCCGGTCATTATCGGCTACGAGGATCTTCCTCGTCCCGATGAAGGCCCCGGTCGCATCGCTCCCCTCACGATCCGCTATAGGATCGGAGTACCCTTCAAGGACACGCCGGCGGAGCGAGAGGAGCTTCAATCAACAGTCCGCGCACAGATGAGGCAGCATCTGGGGACATGGGCAGAAGGGCAGGATCCCGTCACCCACTTGCCCTTGCGACAGCGGGGCCAACTGAAAGCGGTCGACGTGACCTTCGCCTCCGTAGAGCAGTTCGTCGCCGCGAAGACTGCGGAGCTGCAGTACCGCGGTCGCGATCTCAGCCCCCTGTTCTGCGGTCTGGCGCTCGACCCCCGAAGGCAGTGCATTGTGGTCACGCAACTACCACGCGATGTGGGGATCAGCGAGCTACTCAGAGGCTGCGCTGAGGCACTGAATCCGTGGGGGCAAGTGATGGAAGCCTGGACACCATATGGAATTCTGCCTGGAGTGCCTCCAACCTTCCTGCGCAAGCTGGTGCTCCTCTTCGAGCGCGGGGCCGCCGTCCGTCCGAGGGATCTGCCCGGCTACGTTCGCCTAGACGGCGAGTCATTCGAGTTAATCTTCCACGGCAGACTGGCCTGGTGTGGCTTTTGCCGAGGGGAGGCAGCATCATTCCATCTCTATGAGAATTGTCCGCGAAGGAGATGTAATCGCTGCCACGAGCGCGGACATCTGGAGAAAGCCTGCCCGCTGAGTCAAGCTGACCGCAAGAGGATGAGAGCGGCCGACGGGGTCGGAGACGCTCCATGAAGGGAGGGTTGGCGGGGGAGGGCGGGGCCAGGGAAGAGGAAGGCGGGAGGGGGAGAAGCAAGTGGGAAGCATAGCGTAGATGGAGTAGGGTGTGCTGGAGGGATCGTCAAGTGAAGCGTAGCGGGGGAAGCGAAGAGCGGACAAGGACGAGTGGGACTCAGTAGCTAGAAGGTCGTGAGCCACGCAGCCCGAGTCTGGGCGTGAATGCATTGCTGATGCCGGACGGCATGCTCGAGCCGTGAGCAGTGCGTAGGTGCTGTCAAGAGAACCGACATCGATCATCATTGGGGTGAGCTTGCGTACGATCGGCGTGCAGTGATTATCGCGATGATCACACGACCGTCTGGCCCTGCCCCGCACTATGCTGCCGCTTCGATGAACGTCTCTGCCGTCTGCTTCCCGAAGCAGCCAGATCGACTTGATTGGGCGAAAAGCTCCTATCCTTCTCGCCGAATTGCCCATCCTACGTTGCTCGCAGGCATATCCTTCCCTTCACCAACCTCCGCCGACAGACACAGCACTCTTAACGAAACATGTCTACTCTGCGCATCGCGACCTGGAACGCTCAATCGCTAACTAGCGACAGGAGGTGGTCTGAGCTCCGGGATGACATTGCCCTCAACAATGACGTCCTTCTACTTCAAGAGGCTCGAGTACAGAATGAGCGGGCGCTCGACGCTTCCAATCCACAGAACGACCGCTACGGGATACTGGAGCGACGTGGATACTCGGGCATTCTTACGAACGACTGCGGCGTGCTCTTCAAGCCCAAGACCTGGCGCGTCAAGTCGACGACGGTGCGCCGCAGCTTCGTCATCTTGGAGGTCTATGCCGAAGGTGGCGAGACCGTCCTCCCTCTCGATCCCCCTGTCACCAGCCTCTTCCTCATTTCTATTCATTATCCAGCGACGACTAGTCCCGCGATCGGCTGGCAAGGCGAGCATAACCCCTTCAAACTGATTCAGCGCCCCACACATTCGACCATCATTATCGGGGGTGACTGGAACATGATGCCCTCGCTTGAGCTGGACTGCGCCAGCTTTAAGTCGCAGGCGGGGAAGGTTCGGGGCAGGAAGATGCTTGCCGCTGCACAGGAGATGAACGGGCTGGGGCTTGTAGACTGGTATCGAATATTCGAGCCAGAAGGGCGCGGATACTCTAGGCCATCATCGTACGGTCAAGCAGCTCAGCACACCTCGGCGCGTCGCCTGGACAGCATCTGGGGCCCTGAAGGCATGGTAAATCTCCTCGTCAACGTCTCTTTCTTGACAACAACAGCAGATCATCACCTCGTCCAGTACACTCTTTCATTCCTTCGGAGCTACGACTTCACGCCAGTAGACCTCGGACTCGGGGCGCCGCTCTGGCGCTTACATCCAGGCGTACTGGCAGACAGGAATTTTCAACATAGGCTGAAGAGCTGGGCAGCCAGCTATCGTCCAGAGCCGGGCGAGCTCGATGCAGTGCAGAGGTGGGAGGGATTCCATGAGAAGCTGCGACACCTTGCCTACGTTGCCGGGCTGCCAGTAGGAGTCGCCCACCAGAGGGCTGCAGACAACGTTGGCGTACTGCAAGCCTGTCTCGATCAGCTCAATCTGGGACATGACGAGCAAAGACGCCAGCATGCTCGACTGGTGCCGCAGCTTATCCAGGCTCAGCAAGCACACGCGGACCGCACAGCAATGGGCATGACCGGACGACAGGCCCGAGTCTTTCGAGCTTCGTCTGTACTCCCCGGAGGTACTCGCTCAGCCGTGCAAGCCGTCTTGCCGAGCATGCTCGAAGACGGCGAAGAAGTGAGCGACCCTCAAGAAGTGGGAGCTGTCGTCCAGCGCTTTTTTGAAAAAATCTTCATGTCGCCCTCCGTGGCCTGCAACGCACCCGCCGGCGCCACAGCTACAAGCTCGACCTCCGCTTTGCCCGTCGCCTCGACGTCGACGACGCCGATAAACGACCCGGACGCCTCCGCTGACGAGCTGTTGCGAGTCAAGCTGCGAGAATTGACTGCTCAGCAAAAGGTCGCCATGGATGCTCCCTTTACGATCGCGGAGATTCAAGAAGCGCTCAGGTACGGTCGCAACGATGCAGCCGCAGGGCCTGGCGGACTACCATACGGCGTCTACTGGCTGGTTGAAGACGCGTGCGTGCCCCTAATCGTCGACCTGGCGAATGAGCTCATGGCCGGCAAGTCGCTAGGAAAGAGGGACGCGGCTATGCGGGCGGTACTCAAGCACAAATCGGGAGACAAGCGCGTCGCCGACAATTTCCGCCCAGTGCTGATCCCTGAAGTCGTGCGCCGAGTCCTGGGACGGGGCATCTGCAATCGCCTACGGACATTGGACAAGTTCTGGGCGCCGCAGCAGCACGCCTACCTCGCGGGACGCCGCAGCGAAGACTCTCTTGCAGTACTGCAGATGCTGCTGTCCAGAATCCGCCGCGGCCAGGAGAAACCCGCCTTGATGGTTGTGTTGGACCAAGAAAAGGCCTTCGATCGAGTCGAGCATGGTTGGTTGCTCCGTACGCTGGAGCACTACGGGTTTGGAGAGAGGATGAGGTCTTTGGTCACAAGTCTGCAGACGAACGCCACTCTTTCGTTCTGCGTCAACGGCTGGCAGACAGATCCTATCGAGCTCGGATGTGGCCTACCACAGGGCGACCCGGCCAGCCCTTTGCTCTTTGTCGCCTCGATGCAGCCGCTGCTAGACGGCTTCGAGGCAGCTGGCGTTGGCCTAACTCTGGGCGATTCTTCTTCCGGCGCAAGTCTCCATGTGCCATACCTTGCTTTCGCGGATGATGTCGTCACCTTCGTGCGCACAAAGGCGCAGCTCTCGGCTCTGAGACGTCAGGTTGAGCTCTACACCAGGGCATCAAATGGCCGCCTCTCCGCCCGTAAGACCAAGGCAGTGCTGCTGGCCGCAAACAACGCCGGACTCAGCACGCTCAATGAGGTGAAGCAAATGTGCTCCACATCATGGACAATTGTCGAAGACGCTGAGCTCATGTTTCTCGGTCATCCTGTCGATCTCGCGACAGGAGGGGGAGCGCAAGGCGGCCTGACTTCCGTACTCGCTGGGATCACGATGGCACGGTCTCAACTCCGCGGCAACGGCACGGCATTGACGACCCGCGTACGCCTGGCCAGGACCCATCTGCTTCCTCGTCTGCCGTTCCGCATGGTCCTCAACCCGCTGCCCGACGACTATCTTGGCACGGTCTTGGAGACGCTGTACCCCTTCATCTGGCTCGGCAAGAAGGCGTGGCTGCAGAGGGAGATTTTGATGGCGCCGCAGGACGTTGGCGGCCTGGGCCTGGGCAACCCAGAGCATGCCATCATCGCCTCCAACGGCGGGGCAATCGCTCGCTTGCTGAGCCGGACGGATGACGTGGGCGCTTTCTTCCGCCGATGCCTGCGAGACTATCTGCGGGATCTACAATTGAGCGAGTCTTGCTTCCTGCTGCACCATGGGAAGCCTTTCAACGAGAAGATCAATAATCGTTGGAAGATCAGGTCTGACTTTTGGGGCCTCCTCGCCTGGATAGTCTGTCAGCTGGGCGTCTCACTGGTGGAAGACTGGTCGCGGTGGACGTTGGAAGACCTGCTCGCGGTGCCCTACGCGTACCCTGCATTTGGCAGCGCGCCGCGCTTCAAGTCTGTCGAGAATTTCCTCGGCGGGGTTCAGAAGCACCGCTTCGAGTACTGGCACGACGTCTCATGGTACTTTAGCCCTCGCACGAAAACCAAGAGGCCGCCTGACTGTCTGGCAACGCTTCCGCTCACGCCTCCTCCGACTGAGAGTCTCAAGCAGTATCGCGACCTGCAGCGCTGCAGCGACTCTGACTGGACCCCGCTGTCGAGACTCGCGGCCATTGTCAAAGGAGAATGGGACAGCTGGTTCCCGACGCTGCCGGAGCCTGTACAAAGGCTGCTGCGCACCATTCCGCAGCGCTACCTCCCTCACCCAAGCAGGTGGCCTGAAAGCGGCATCGCCAGCAAGCAGACCAGGCCTTATCAGTGGAATGTGGACCTTTTTGAGTATCCATGGCATTTGTCCAAGCTTGCCGGCATGGAGCTCAACAGCTACAGCGTAGGAGGTGCACTCGCCGCGCTTGAGCGTCGAAAGCCCTTGCAGCCGGATTGGGACGTCGTAGCTAGCACGGAAGACTGGCAGCGCCTGTGGGATTTCTCGAGTAGGTCTGATCTACTGCTGGATGATGCTGCGCAATCGCGGGTAATGATGTTCAACCACCACCGCGCGCGCACAACTGAGCGCTTCTCTGGCGACGAGCCTCCAGCAGGCGATGGGGATGTCGTGATGGCAGAGACTACGGCTTCGGCGGTGGCTGCAGCTACGACTAGCACCGTCGCTGCTGCCAAGTGTTCTCCTATTGCCTTGAGTGTGGGGGACGTCTCGGAGGAGGTTGGAAGCTCAGGCCGATCGGCTGCACAGGGAGAATCGATGGAGGCAGCCGGCACGGGGAAGGGGAAAGAGAAGGAGCAGGAGAGTGCAGAAGGTGAAGTGCAGTTGCGAGGCGAGGCGATGGAACTCGATGGCCGCATCGACGTTGAACAGGCTGGCGAGCTAGCCGGTGCGGAGGACGAAGATACGGAGCCTTTGGCGCAGAGGACCTACAAACGAGGAATCTGCCCAGTCGACAATTGCGCCGAGCGTGACTCCACGTTCCATGGCTATCTCGACTGCCGTCCCATCATTGACCGGATCTGGTGCGCAGCCACCCCTATCCTCAACGCATGGCTAGGTCATACCTTGCCTCTGGACATCAATGCTCGCGACATCCTGCTTCTCTGGCCAGACCTCCAGTGTGCTCAAGAGCAGAGGTTGCGCATGGCAATCTGGAGGGCAGTCGGGGTGGACTGCGTCGCCCAGCTTCGCGAGACGGCCATCGTCAGGAGCCTTGCAGCGAAGCGTAGGCGCACGATCGAGTGGTCGGGTGAAAGTGAGGCTGTTGCCATCCACCGCACCATTGTCAGGATGGTGTTCACGGCATGGCACAAGCTGCGCAGCAAGACGGCCGAGAGTCAGCTTCCTGCCAAGGAGGCAGTGTTTCTGCGCAGATACGTAGAAAACAGCTCGCTCTTTGTCGTCGAGGGTGGTCAGCTTGTGCTTGGCCCTTTTAGGCCGGCCGGCGCATCTGCCGTAGCTCCCGCAGCTCCTGTCGCCTCTTCATCCGCCGTCAGATTGTGAGCATCCCTGTTCAGCCCTTGCGATGGATGATATCTCCGGATTACCGCTCCTTGATGTGATGGTCTTCTTGATTCTCACATCATTGTTCTATCCATGTCTTTTGCTTTCTGCTGAGTATATCTCCTCGTACTTCGCGAAAGCTGCAGGCAGGAAGTGCGAGTCATCGAGCATCTTGGCCGCTGTTTCCCCTCTTCCATCAGAACATCAAGCATTTTGGCCGCTGCTTCCCTTCCTCCATCAGGGCAGTCCTGAAGAAGCATTTCGGTGAGATATTCAATAATCCTGCACATATGGTGCATGATTTGCTACAAGCCTCTAACAGCACTCGACCTGCTTGCTACAACCGCCTTCCACATGTCGATCTGATGACTCTGGCTCGATACGTCCGAGGACCACTGCGTCGAGCTTGTCAGTGGATGCTTCTGACCTATGTTGTACGTGATCGCTCCTTGCGCGAATGATCATCTTACATGCTGTAGCTATGACCGACTCTGCTTTGATCTTTGCAATTTTCCCAGGCCTGCGTCTGGTAAATTGCTAAGCCGATGGTGTGCTGTCCGGCTGAGCTTCAGCCCACCACCGGTGGATGCTGGCGTAAGTCCATTGATCCTGCCCACGATGCTCATGGGCTCAGCGATACGCAGGATTGCAGCCAGGACCTGGGCTAAGCAGGTCGGACTGGGCAGCAAAAACTCGTGGAGGCGATGCCGGGGACAAGCAGGGTGAGCATGCTTGCAGACACACAATTTGTACATGTATTGCTATTCTGGTGCCGGCACCTAACCGGCAGCTTAGCCAGCTACTGAGTAACAATCGCATGATCGCGTAACTCAGTCGGTAGAGTGTGAAGCTAATACTTCCGTAATCAGACTTCAAAGTCGCGAGTTCGAGCCTCGTCGTGATCATTTTTTGTTCACCCCACGTCTGGAGTGTCGATCGCGATGTCGTAGCACCTCCTGGAGACGCTTTGATCGTCGAGCGAAGTGCCCGCATTCGAGCTCTTGGACGCCGGCGACCACGCCAATCTAGTGGTCAGGTCGGGTGGGGTGCCATGGTGGCGCACGGACTGTTGAGATTTCGAGCGAGGCGAATCGATGTCGACGATGAGTGATTTTACTGATGACTAGATGCTGGTTGTGAGATCCGACGCTCATCCTCACACGAAGATAATTCTTCGCACACGCACTCAAACGTCACCTGCCGCAATGCGTCCCTCTGCGTCGGTCGGTCGGGGGCATTGTATCCATTGTGCGACGCAACGATCCATGCAGCGACTCGTGCTGCACGCAACGTATGGCATCCAATGTGAAGATAGTCGATGTAATGAAGGTCAAAAATGGAAAGAGGAAGTAGGGTGGAATGAGAATCGATCGAGGCGAGATCGATGGGACTAAGTGAAGTGCACCGTAGGCGACGTTGAAGAGGACGGCGCCGTCGTAAGTGCGTCGAATCCAGTTGGCGGCTTTCGACTCGAGCAGGAAGTTGCGCGACGACTCCCGGTATTGGCCAACATCGCTGGGGAACACAACATCAAAGCCCGATGAGAAGGGGAGGCCGTGGATGCGGTGCGCGACGATGGTGACGGGGACGTCGGCGTGGTTCAACGGCAGACCTGTCAGGTGACAGGCGACCAGGTAAGGTTTGCAGAGCATTACGAGGAGGGCGGCGTAGAGGTTGAACGGATTCAATCCCACACAGGCGCTCCTCTTCAAATGCTCGCTGCCTTCGTCCGCCACCCACTTGTCCCCACTCAACGGCCCTGGAGGCGGGGGCCTCAGGGCGCGCATCTCCTCGCAGTCCCTCGAGTAATCCGTCCATTGCGAAAGCGCGCGGACGAAGTCAGCTGCGGTGAGACGAGGAGGGAACAGCCCCAGCGTCGACAAACCAAAGCCCATCATCTCGCAACCGAACTTGTCACCGTGTTGAGCGACGAGTGACTGGAAGAGCTTCGCGAGGTTGGACAGGGCGAGGTCTTGGCCCTGCTCGTCGCACCCGACCTTGGAGCTGCCAGTCCGGTGAAGCGCGGTCCAGATCTGCTCGCTGGTGCCGCCATCGACTTCGCCGCTCGAGAGAAGAAGGCCGAGCTCATCATCTTGATCTTCGTCGTCAAGATAGGAGCAGCCGGTCGCGCCTCCTTTGAACTCGTTCGCGTCGTTGCCGTCCTCGGTGCCGCTCTTGCCACCTTCGCCATTGACGTCGTCGCTTTCTTCATCCTTGTCGTCGCCGACTCTGCCGTCATCGTCGCAGAGGCCAGTCTTCGCCTCGAAAACGAAGTCGGGGAGCGTCTCCTCGGCTGACGAGGGGATCAAGTGCTCGAGCGACGCGCGATTGCTGGCACGTTTGAAGGCAATGACCAGCTTCTCCATGCCGTTGGCAAACGCAGCGGCCTGATCAGCGTTCAACCGAGACTTGTCCACCAGCTGGTGCAGAACGAAGAGCCACAGGCTTGCCTCTGCACGAACGCATGAGTCGGCCGCCTTGCTCATGTTGAGCGATAGCGGGACCCATTGCAGGCGCCCAGGTCCAACGAAATGCCTCGTTTTGTCGCCGTGAGCGTTCCTAGAGGCAACACGATCGACAGACGGCTGACCAGCGATGTTGGCCGCTCTGATGCATCATCACGTTGAAATTTTGCGGTCGATGATGAGTGACAGACTGCTGAAGACGCGCTTGTCGTAGTGCTGGAGGAGAGGTCGTGAATCTGACTCTGCCCTCGATGGGGCGTGCCTCTACTCGATCTCACGGCAAACGTTATGGCATTAGGTGCCGCTGAAATATCTTCCATCTGCGCGGCGCAAGGCGACACCGCAGCACCGGTGGTGCTCGTAGCTGCCGCGTGTGCTAACAGAGGCCTTTCTTGAGGCTCTGTGATCTCTTGGTCGTTCTCGGTCATGATGGGCAAGTACGTGTATTGAGCAGTAGCGCTGCTGTTACTTGTGCAAGACCTTGCGTTGTCTGCTGTTCAACTTCATGACTGTTCGATCGTAAAAGGCTGTTTCGGCGTTGAGAATTTGAGGTACGAGCCGCCTGGGCTCTCGCAGCTTATCATCTCTGGCTAATTTGAGTTGGCTCACGCGAGCCTGTAGTGCTTGGACCTCATCAGCCGCTCTCTTATGAGCCGCTCCAACGGGCAGCTTTGCGAAGTAGGCAAGGTGCCCCACACGCTGGTGGAGCTCCACCCATCTCTGCACCGTGTCCGTCGCCTGTTGCTGCGGGCGGTATCCCACTGCCGTCATCCGGCGACCGGTGACATTCCCATCTGACGTCCACCCGCCGAGGTCGACGCTTTCAAGATGTCTGGACGGCGGCATGTTCCAGTCCGCTCCGATGATGATGGCCGAGCCGGCTGTGTCCTGAATCCGACTCAGGTGGTTGGAATTGCCTTGCCAGCCGGGCGTCTGGCTCAGGTTGTGAGGATAGTGAACAGAGATTCGAGCTTGCTGATGGCTGCATCGCTGGGTAGCAGAGGCGCCTGTCCTCCTACTTCCAAGATCTGATACTACGCATGCTTGACACTAGGTTCGGTGCGCCACTTCGCTGGCTGGAAGAGGACGCCGCACACCCAGTCCAATACGCCAGAGAAGTCGCGTCGCTCTAGAGTGCCATAGCGATCCTCGCGAGGCTTGCGGGCGTCGAGGCGTCGTACCGGCTTCATGCGCGCTTCTTGAATGAAGAGGATATCAGACTCTGTGGCGCAGGTAAGGAGGTTCTCCCCAACGACGTTGTTTCTCGAGCGAAGCGGCGTTCCAGGTCGAGATGCGGAGTGCTGCCATGGTGGTCTAGTGAGGCGAGCTGCGCTCAAAGGGCATTTCTTGGACTTGCCAGCGACGAATGCCCCTCGCAGGCAGATGGCTGAGGGGTAACCGTGAGCGGCGTCATCGCGGAGGGGTGCACGGCGCCACGGATGATGGGCACGATGGGAGATCATGGAGATGCTGGCATGGCAGATGCTGGCATGGCAGATGCTGGCATGGAAGACGGTCAGGGAGAGGTCAGCGCAGAACGGGCTGGCAGGACACGATGGGCAATTCACCTCGGCATGGGTCTCCGTGTCTACTCTACTGCTTATAGTACCTCGTTCCCACTCAAGCTGCGTGCAAAGAGGTCTGCCTCGACAGCCACCGAACCGAGCGGTGATGCTCATCGGAGCTGAGCGCTTGAGGTTGATTGGGCGGGGCTGAACTTGGGGTGTGCGCTGGAGGCTGACGATGTGCGTGTGTGCCGGAGCTGAGGTCGAGGTGAGCGGTGTGGCGCTGCTTGTTGCTAGTCGCGGTGGCTGGTCGTGCTGGATGTGCTGGTCTTGGAGTTGGCGGTGGGTTAGGGTGGTGGTCGAGATCGAAGTGGATGCTAGATAGATGAGATGTTGACGGCGATGTTCGCGGCGGCTGTCCAGTGATTGGCTGAGCTTTGGTGATCGGCTCAGCTTTGCTTCTCGACTTGGCCTGCGAGGCGGTGCACGGTGCCTGACGCTAAGTGCGCTGCTGCTCGCCGCTCGTGATCAGCAGATGAATGGATGAGCATCCAGGTTGATTGATTGCTCTCGCGAAAGAGGAGCTGGGCGCAGGCGACCGAGAGCTGAGCGCCGAGAAAGCCGAATGCTACGTGACAAGGGGGTGAGTTGACTGTCGAGTCAAGAGACGTGAGTTGACTGTCGAGTCAGGAGACACTGGTCGAGAAGTAGCTTAGAATGGTGGGAGACGAGGGAAGAGAAGAAGCTGACATGAGTACTACCTGCGCCGAAACGGTTGCCTCAGCCTGCGAGGCGCAAGGACGCGAGCTGCTGCTAAGCACACGCGACGCTGCCTTGCCTGCCTGGCTCACGACCGCGCCTGTCCAGCGGCTCTGCGCTGCTCACTGTGCCCGTTCTTCCTGTCCTGTATGAACATCACCAGCATCACCGCCCGCCTCCCTAGCGCGCCCGTCCGGTCACACTCTCCCACGCCTCAATCTCCTCAGAATCGGCCAGCCTCCTCCTCTGTACGTGTGCCGGTGGCAGCCAACCAGTCGGTTCATCTACTCCTTGGATGTGGTGCGCTCGATGAGGGCAGTGCTTGGCCTCGTGAAAGAAGATAGCATGGGCCTTGCAAGAGGTGCAGTGTCCCGTCCTGGGATCGTACTTGAGGCGCAAGTGAAGGCTCATGAGCACGCATCCGAGCATCTTAGAGAAGGGGCATTGTGAAGGCTCCCGCTCGGAGAGGCAAACAATCGTGGGTCAAAAGGCGATTTGCCCAGAGGAGAAAAGGCGCCCACGAGGAGCGCATCGTGTGGGGAATGAAAGGATAGCGCGAAAGCGGACCAGGCGAGGAAAGGGCGGAGAGCGGAGAGCGGAGAGGAGTGGAGACGAGATGTGAGCTCTCTCCGTCCGCGCTCTCTCTCTCCTCAGCAACTTCTCGATCATCTGCACATCCCCGGCCGCTCAAGTGAGAAGGCATTCACTCAACTGCGCAAGATGCTTTCAACACCCACAATGGCCTCCATGAGACGGCCACTCTTTGCCTCGCTACCAGCACCGCATCTTGGTGCTGCTACAACGGCGGCGACCCGCTCCCTCCCAAGGAGCATTCAGCGACATCGCCTCGCCCACACCAGCTCGGCAGGAAGTCCCTCCTCATCCTCATCAGCATCAGCACGACCACCCCCAACTCAGCGCCCGCTACCTTCTCTCCCTCCGCGGTCACGCCGCCCGCTCATCATCTGCACCCTTCTCGTCCTCTCCATCGCAAGCTGGGGAACCTTCACCTCCCTCGCCATGAACGACGAGCGAGCAAACTCTTCCGCATTCCGCTCGGCCCTCAACATGGTGCGCGACTCGCCGCGAGTACGGGAGTTGCTCAAGGTGGAGGGAGGTGAGGCGGTCACGACGAAAAAGGAGTGGTGGCTGGCTCCGTATGGCGGGGGAGTATGGGTTGGGGGTAGCGTCAATATGATGCAGGGCAAGTGCGATGTCATGTTCAGGGTGGGGACGACGCGCGTGGGCGGTGGTGAGTTGGCGTGGCGCAGCGCGACATTGAGATGAAGTACCAGAACCTGACCCCCCGCCTCGCCCTTCACCCGCACAGAAACGGCCACCGTCTACTTCACCTCGATCCGACGCTCTCAGGTGGGGTCATTCGAGAATCTGCGCTTCCTTGTGGTGAGGGACTCGGATGGGGAGAGGATCAGCCTGCTGCCCGAGGACGGCGGGGCGTAACGACGAGAAGGCCAGGAGCGCGGGGGGCAATGCATGCATTCATTTCGAGAATCAACGAACCGTCTGATGGATGAGATGATGCGGTGTGCGACAGAGACTTTCGTTCAGCATGCGCCTCGCCTACGCAGGAGGGACCTCATTCGCAGGCTTGGCTGGAGCAGGAGCTGACGGCTTAGCCGGATCGCCCGCCGCCTGCTGCTGCTGCTGATGATGATGTCCACCCGCGACCCCAGCCGTTCCCTCGAGCACCATAGCCTCCACCTTCTCCTGGTCCATCGCAGCGCCTCCGCCATCGTGGTGCTCGACCTTGCCATCCCCGGGCATGATCACGGGCTGGATGGAGAAGACGTTCTCCTCATCTCCAGGCTTCGCCACTGGGGCAGGCGGGGCAGCAGCAGCCGCGTCCGCCGGAGGAGCTGCTGCCACGGGCTCGGCTTTGTGTCCACCCGCAGCGGCGGCGCCGCCGGCGCCACTGTGCTGCGCTTGCTTCGGTACGTCTTCAAAGGCGTGCTGGCCTGGCTGAGGCATTCCCAAAGCCGCCTCTGCAGCAGCCTCCGTCACCCCACCTACGCCAGCCTTGGCTGCATCGTACGCCTCTACGGGGCTAGTCTGGCCCAGCGTGTGGACGGCGGGCGGGAAAGTCTTGTACTCGGCGAGGCTGGAGGGGAAGTCGCGGCAGTTGAAGTCCCACGTCTTCAGCCAGCGTGCCCGCTCGCAGCGCTTGACCGTCCAGGGCCCGGCGTACGTGAGTGGGCTAAATTCGAGGTACACCAGAACGACCAATCCGACTGCGGCGCTTGCGGCGGCGAGGCGGAAGCGCGGGCGCAGACCTGCGGTGACCAGGTCGAAGAGGAGGGCGAGTAGCAGGACCGCAAAGTAGAGGGAAGGGAGGTAGTGGTGGATGAAGAGTTGGCGGGACATGAGGGCGAAGGGGAAGAAGTGCAGCGAATACGCGAGGAAGAGGAATGAGGCCTGGTGTGGAGAAAGGGGGAGTCAGTCACCGCTTCCAATCAGTCTGACCTTCCAGTCGCACGCTCACCGTTCGGTCGTAAAAGACAATCGTCGAGTCGAGGAAGTCGCTAGCGCCACGTTTCTCTCGCAGCATGAGGATAGCTCGTGCACCTACGTAGACGAGCACGGCAACAGTAGCCCCCCACCAGACAAGCGGGTTGCCGACGAGGTAGATCTGACGATGGTCCTTGCTCCAGAAGTTGATGCCGCGACGCAGGACGGGCCAAGTCTTGGGTCGCGAGTCGTAGACGTGTCGCTCCGTCAGCCCCGCATTCGTCTCCCACATGACCTTTTGCAGCTCCCAGAACTTGGACAAGAAGGAGGGGCGCAGGTAGTTGATCGTCTTTGCTGGGCGTACGGCCACGGGGTCCTCCTCGCCATCCTCGTCAACGCCCAAACTCTTGTCGCCTGCGACGGAGATACGCGGGTGACGACTAGACTCGACGAACCAGAGGGAATTGGGGCGGGTAGGACTCTTGTTGCAGGTGACCTCCTGCTGGCCGAAACCCCATTCGGGGAGGGGAATCTTGTGGCTGAAGAGGTAGCAGCCCGTGAGGGTGTGGCGCAGCCTGAAAACCGTGCGGAGAGAGCGCACGCGCATGCTCGAGGGAGCGTCATCGGGCGAGCCGCGCTCGATCTCGACGCGCCAATTGTCGTTGGCATCGCCGGCGAAGCCAGGGAAGCCGTATCCTGTCACCTCGTTCTGGAAGTCGGACTCCGTGACTGGAGGGCGGTTAGATTCGTGCGAGTGGAGACGCTTGTCTGTCATGCGATGGACTAGGCGGACTTCCATGCCGTGGGTAAGATAGAGGACCCTGTGCGCGAGGAGGGAATGAGTGAGCTACTGTAGGCCGGCAGTCTCGGCGCGCGCACTCACTTCTTCCTCTTGTACTTTTCCGACTCGTGCGGCCCACCCGTCGTGAGCGGCACGCCATTCTCATCGGTCGGCGTGGGCGGGTCATCTGGCCCGGGCGCCGCAAGAATGTACCACTCGTTGTTCTCGTCCGAGTGCGGGTAGAGGGTAATTTGCTGCTGTCCAGATCCAGCGGGATAGTTGTGGGAGTGCGAGTGGAGCAGCCCGCCCTGCGTGTTGAGATGTCGAATTGTGACCGTAGATCCTAGAGCCACGTCAGCGTACGTGTCCGGCATGCCGTGCCCCACAAGCGTGTGCTGGAAGGCAGACGACATGAAGCCGTCACCGTCGCCCGAGTGATTGAGGACGCCCAGGTGGACGGCAAAGGACAAGAGGTAGACGATGAAGGGGACAACGATGAGGCCGAGGACGCGTGCGAGGAAGTGGCGCCAGAGAGTAGACATGGGCATGCGTACGTCGCCGAGGTGGGACCAGAGCTGAGCGATGGTGCTGACGCCAATCGTGGCAATGGTGAAGAGGCCCACCCACTTTGTCGATACGACACAGCCCAAGAAGCCGCCCGTCGACAGAAGCCATGCCCACCACTGCGGACCAAATGCCCTCTTGCGCTCCTCGTTGCAGAACTCGACCCAGCAGTAGGCAGTGGCTGCGGTGAAGAAGACGAGGAAAGAGTCGAGGAGGATGAGGCGCGATTGCGTAGCCAGAGCGTTGTCGAACAGAATGAAAAGCGAGCCGACGATGGCGGTGGTGCCGCGCAGTGAGAGAGCCCGAAGCGTGAGGTACGAGAGGGGCACCAGAGCCACGCCAAGCATGGCAGGCAGCATCCGCATAGCTACGTAGGGTACGGGCCTGTCGTTGCCGACAATGTATTCCTTGCCGATGTCCTTGAAGTCGAAGCTGCCGTCGAAGCCAGCCATCTTGGCTGTACCGGCGATCAACAGCTTGGCCAGGGGCGGGTGCACATCCATGAAGAATTTGCGGTTGATGTACTTGGTCGCAAAGCCACCGAAATGAACCTCATCGAAGACGACGCTCGACGGCTGACCGATCTTGTATAGACGAAAGGCGAGGGCGACGAGGGTGAGCGGGAGTAGAATCGGCAGTTGGGAACGGATAGACGTGGGCAGCTGAGACACGTAGGTGCGCGAGATAGCCTTGGGAGATGAGGGTCGACCGTTGATGGGACCACGCGACTTGCCTACCATGGACGAAGTGCGGGGTGGTGCCGAGTAGGGATCATCGTGAGAAGAAGCCGCAGCGGCAGACGCAGACGCAGCCGTGTTGCGGGGACGGAGCGACGCCATGCCGGGGCGTGACGATGGAGGAGCTGATAGGGTGGAGAAGAATAGAGATGAAGAAGAAGGAGGAGAAAGAGACGCGCCCTCTACGCCTTGGCTTTGCTGAGATTAAGGTTGAGGAGCACACGCGGGAGCCAACCAGCGAGGAACCAAGCAGCGCTGGCTCGCTCGCCGGAAGCAACACAAGGCCCCTTCAAGCGCGGACCGTGCATGAAGCGCGAAACACGACCGCGTGGCGTGGCAATTCGCCGCACCAAGATTAGGTAAGCAACTCCTCGAGGTGGAGAGACCCGCAAGATACGGACAAGGGAAAGCGCAGCAGAAGCGGCGGTTCAGCACTTACCATAGTCGTCTCCTCCTCGTTGCTCGCCCACCTCACGCCGCCATGTCAGTTCCAGGCGAGCCGGATGCCGTCGAGAATGCCATGGAGCAAGGCCCTGGCCGCTACGCCGTATTCGCCAATCGCCTTCGCACGGCCTTCGTGTCTGGCCTGCGGTACAGCGCCTACTCATCCGAGCTCGGCGAGGCATTTCGTCCCATGACCAAGCCGGCAGTCGTACGTGGTTTGTACGCCATCAGTTGGACATGGGTCAGCGGTGATGTGGCCTACGCCGGATACAAGGCGCGAGAACAGCATAGACGCATGGCCGAGGAGGAAAAGGATCCGGCGCTCAAAGCCAAGAGGATCGCAGAGGAGCTGGCTGAGAAGGCCAAGCATGCGGTCCAGGGCAGTGACGCCGGCTCACAGACGCACCACGAGCAACACCACGAGGGTGGAACCAAGATCAGCCCACTCGAATTGTCCGAGAATGGCTACATCGCCCTCGTATCGACAAGGAGAGCCGTCCTGCAGAGTCTCGTCTCAATGGCTTTGCCTGCCGTCACAGTCCATCAGACAGTCCACTATTCGGCGCCGCTCTTCAACAAGTTCTTTACTAACCATCGCGTCAAGGCGTTCGGGCCTACCGCGCTCGGTCTGAGTTTGATTCCCTTCTTCGTGAGTCCGACGGGAGGGGCGCGATAGAGAGGACGAAGCCAACTCACAGTATTCTCGCTGCCTCTACTACGCCTCCAGCCGCTTCTCTTTGACGAGCCCGGCGAAAAGTTCGTCGACGGCGCCTTTGACTACGCCGAGGCACTCTACTTTGGCAAGGCGGCTCCGAGCGCGGAAACGGCAAAGGCGACCGCCATGCCTCTCGCTCTTGTGGGCACGGCATCGATGGGCAAGGGACTGAGAAGGCAGTGGGCCTCGCAATCGATGTCGGTAGCGACGGCGACGAGCACAGCGCTGAGGGCTGCACGCCCGAACGCTTGGATGGTGGGAGGGGGATCGATGTTGGCGGCTGCAGCTGCCGTTGGGGCCTCAGCGACATCATCACGGCCGGCGAGCTCACTCGAGACGATGTCCTCTTCGTAGCATAGCATTACCATGGCTTCTCATTCTGGTCGGGGATTTGCAAATAGATGCCATCATCGCTCCCGCATCGCTCACGCAGCTGCTCTCCGCGTGCTCCGCTCTGTCCCTGTCCTGCTCCCCTCCCCGCCCCCGCTTTGCTCCGCACGTGAGTCGAGGCGTGAGTCGAGGCAGCGCCAACCGGCTCGGGCGCCTATCGGCTAGCCCGAGGTTGAGGGCGAGGGGCCGGACAAGACGCATAAGCAACTCAACTCACTTCGGGAGTCAGAAGCGCACAGCGTTCTTGTATCCTTACCACATCACCACCTCTTACTCCCCATCAACATGTCCCTCCGCGCCTCCTCGTCCTCCATCCTGCGATCTGGCATCGCCGCCGGCGCTACTAGAGGAGCAGCAGCTACTTTGCCCCTCCGCAGCGGCGCTGTGGCTCTCCCTCGCCACGCAACACTTCCTCGTGCTCGCGCCCCTGCTGCTCCCCGTAGCTTCTCCACCACCACTCGCCGTGCTGAGGAGTACGAGTCCCCCTTCGGCATCAACTCTCTCTCCAAGCTGACCGAGGAGGAAGAGATGCTCCGCGACGCCGTCCGTCGTTTTGCAGAGGATGTCGTCGCCCCGCGCGTTGAGGCAATGGACGAAGCAGAGAAGATGGATCCGGCAGTTATCAAGGGCCTCTTTGAGCAAGGTCTCATGGGCATCGAGACTGACCCCGAGTTTGGCGGTGCGGGCGGATCCTTCACGTCGGCCATCATCGTCATCGAGGAGCTTGCCAAGGTCGACGCCTCCGTCTCTGTGCTCTGTGACGTGCACAACACCCTTGTCGACACTGTGATGCGCAAGTATGCGAGCAAGGAGCTTCAGGAGAAGTACCTTCCTCAGCTTTCCGAGAGCAAGCTGGGCTCCTTCTGCCTCAGTGAGCCGGCGAGCGGATCGGACGCCTTTGCGATGAAGACGAGCTGCAAGAAGTCGGACGATGGCAAGCACTGGATCATCAATGGCTCCAAGATGTGGATCACCAACTCGGCAGAGGCGGTGAGTAGATGCGCCAAGAGGTCGCGCTGTCTCGCTTCCCCCTTACTGACCTCGCACTCTCCGCCTCGCGCCCACCGCTAGGACTTCTTTATCGTCTTTGCGCAAGGCGACCCCTCCAAGGGATACAAGGGCATTAGCGCCTTTGCCGTCGAGCGCGAGCATGGCATCGAGATTGCCAAGAAGGAGAAGAAGCTCGGCATCAAGGTGTGCACGAGGCCCGCCAAAGCAGCATTTGCGGGGTGTGCACTCGGCTGACCTTTTCTTCTCCCTGTCCCTCCGCATCAGGCCTCCTCGACGTGCACTGTCAACTTCGACGAGATCAAGATTCCCATCGGCAACCTCATCGGCGAAGAGGGCAAGGGTTACAAGATTGCCATCGAGATCCTCAACGAGGGCCGCGTTGGCATCGGTGCCCAGATGATCGGTCTCGCCCAGGGCGCCTACGACAAGGCCGTCCGCTACGCCTTTGAGCGCAAGCAGTTCGGCAAGCCCGTCGCTTCCTTCCAGGGCATGCAGTTCCAGATGGCTCAGGCCCTCACTGACATCGAAGCCGCGCGCATGCTCGTGTACAACGCTGCGAGGCTGAAGGAGGAGGGCAGGCCCTTCACAAAGCAGGCCGCTATGGCTAAGCTCTTCTCCAGTCAGGTTGCGCAGCGCGTTGCTGGTCAGGCCATCGAGTGGGCTGGTGGCCAAGGATTCACGAGGGAGATGGGACTGAGCAAGTACTGGTGCGACTCCAAGATTGGGGCCATCTACGAGGGCACGAGCAACATCCAGTTGCAGACCATCTTCAAGCTGTCGCAGGCCGAGATGGGTTTGTAGAGGTGCCGTGCGTGCTGATGATACTCGCCGCTCAATGTTAGACTTTCATGACCTCGGCGTGTGAGTGAGGCGTGAGCTGTCGTTGCGGCAAGCCCGCCACTTTACGCGTCGCCGCTGTGGCCGCCGCCGCCGCCGCTTCCGCCGCTGACCGTGCCTGAATGAGCCCGCCTCCTTGCTGAGCATTTGCGACCGCCATCTCTTCCCTCCTTACCATCATTCTTCTCTCTTGCCAGTCTTCCCCAACATCGTCCTCTCAACATTGTCCTCTCACTATGGCCGCACCTGATCCCGCAGCTGCGGCCACACCCACCCCACCGACCGGAGTGGTAACACGCCGCACCCACTCGCGCAACGCAGACATCGCCCCCGTCAAGCAGGGTAATGCTCAGCAGAAACCGTCCATCGAGCTCACAAGCTTCACCGACTGGATAGTCGCGCCCGACGCAGGTGCGGCGACGGATACCACTCGCCCTCACGACGATGCGCTGAACGCTGTGCAGGCCTTTCAGTTCCAGCGTCCCAACCAGCAGCGTGGCGCACCGAGCAAGAATGACTCAGCACCAGCATACAAGGGGACCAGCTCCAACGGTGAAACGCCTACGCATTACCCACCCTTTCCCAGCCCCAACCGAAGGGCATTTGAGCCTAGCAAGAAGGCCACACCACATCAGCAGCAAGCGGCGACGGTCCAAAAGCCGGATGTCACAGCTCCTCGCATGGCTGGCAGCGCGCGTACTCCCTCTCTCGGGACCGCTCTCGCAGGCCTACATGCCTCTCCCAGTAGCTCCCTTGGAGATGCTCAATCGAAGCAAACGAGCACCAGGGGTCGCGACACTACGCCTTCGCCAGTGAGCGCGATGACGAGTCTCTTCAGGAGTCTTGACGCTGATGTTGCTCTGCCCTGTGCCCCTGGCCAAGCTCACCCGTGACCTCACGCCTCGCAATGACAGCAGTGAGCCGACCACCACCCCGTTCTCCATGCCACCGGCTGATGTCATTCTCATTCTTCCCGCCGCACAGTGCTCGCACCCGACCAGCAGCCCTTCAACACACCCACGCGCACGGCATCAGCTGGTCAGCGCGACCCACTCCCGTGCCCGTCGGCTGCAACCTCAATCCTCTCCGACCTCATCTCTGGCAATGCAGCCAAGCGCACGCGCAGCCAAACCGCTGACACCTTTGGAGATGAGAGCGACGCTGGGCGCCCCGCCAAGCGCACAAACAAGCTCAAAGTCGAGGCCCCCGAGTCTATGCTGATCGGCAAGCAGTCTCGCGACTTGCTCGACAACATTGGTGCCGTGGCGAGGGAGCGCGACGAGCTCAAGCACAGGACGGAGAGCTTGCATCTGACCATCGAGGCGCTTGAGAAGAAGATCTTCAGCAGAGAAAAGGAGCTCGACGCCATGAGGCTTAACACGAGGGAGATGGTGCGCAAGGCGCAGGGTGTGATGCAAGTGTGAGTGGGGGCGAGGTGGTGATGGTGCGCAAAGTCGCGGCTCTGACCCTGCTCTCCCTCTCTCGCACGCAGCGCCGACGAGGTCAAGAGCGATTGCTTCGCTCAGCAAGTAAGCTACCGAGTTGCCGTGGAACAGCTACGCGAGGAGAAGAGTCTCCTTCAAGAAGAGCGCAAGACGTTTGCCGACTTTTTGAACGGCGACGACGATGGGTCACTTTGCTCAGTCAAGCGCACGATTGAGCATATCCGCGCGCAGGGCATCGAGCCTTTTCGCCTCACAAGCCAGTCTCTCAACGACATCAAAGCTGCATACAACAAGGAGAAGGAAAATGCTCAGCAGGCTCAGTATGATCGCGCGTATGAGAGGGAGCGAGTCAAGGTGGGACTAGACCTGAGACAGCCAGAAGAGCGAGCTGTGCTGATCATTGACGTCTCGCGCGGCCAGGAACTCACCACCGAGCTGCACAAGTCAGCCACCAAATACGAAGCCAAGACCGCCGAGCTGACCACCATGCTCAAGCAAGTCGAAGAGCTCAAGGCAGAACGCCGCATCCTCGAGCAGAGAGAGGACGACTTCCTTGTCTTCAAGGCCGAGGCAATTGACAAGAGCAAGGAGCAAGCCACTCAGCTCATCGCAGCTAGCGAGCGAGAGGGGAAGCTTCGCGGCAGGATTGAAGATGCTGAGAAGTTGCTGGGTGAAAAGGAGAAGGAGAAGGTTGATCTCAAGAGGCAGCACGTGGACATGGAGCGGAGGTGAGTCCGTGGGCGAGGGCAACGGGTGGGGAGCTGAACTGACACAGTATCGTGGCCCCTCAGGCTTGCTACCACGCAGACGCACCTCGAAGACAAGCAAGAGGAGCTTGAGGAGCTTGAAGATCAGCTTGAGCAGCAACGCGAGGAGCTCAACGAGCAAGCTGACGAGATCACGAAGCTTTCTAATGACAAGGAAGAGCTGCAAAAGAAGGTGAAAGAAGCGCAGCAGACAATTGACTTCCACCAAAAGAGGTAAGACGCAGCGTATCAGCACGCTCCTGGGCAAAGCTGATGGCTCCTTCGTCCCTGATCGCTTCTCGTTGCCCTCGCTGCGCAGCATCAGTGCCCTCACCGACTCACGCAACGAGTCGACCGACGAAATTCGCCACCTCAAACGCAAACTCCAAGATTACGAGGAAGACCACCTTACTCGCCAGCGCAATGATGTGCACATCGACACGCTCAAGCAGCAGCTCGACGAGCTTCGCGCCTCGAAGTCGCACTCTGAGGAGGAGCTCAGCCGCATCCGACTCGAAGACATGCAAAAGGGGTATCGCCTTGAGCAAGCCCAACAGCAGGAGTCGCGCCTTCGCACCGACGTCGACGCTGCCCGCGCTCGCGAGGCAAAGTTGCGCGACGAGATGGAGCAGGGTAACGCAGAGCGCAACAACCTGCTTCGCCAGATTCAAGGGATTGAGAGCCAGCTAGCCAAGGCTCGTGACCAGGCAGACAAGGCCCGCGGTGATGCTGCCGAGCATAAGCATGGATTGATGGAGAGTCGAGCCAACGAGGATCGCTTGCGTGCTGAGGCCACGTCGGCCAAATTGGAGGTAGAGAGGGTGAAAGAAGCGAGCCGTTTATTGGACGAGGAGAGGGCGAGGGGCGTTGCCGCATTGGTTGCTGAGCAACAAAAGGTGGGCCAATACGAGGTAGACAAGGCAGCCGTTCAGCGTGCAAGGGCGAACGTTGTCGCCAGGTATGAAGCCAAAGAGCTAGAGCTTTGGTGAGAGCGGGCGACAGGATGGCAGCATTGAGGAAGATCAACCATGCCTGACCCGTCTTGCTATTCCGCCGCGCCAGGGAAATGGAGCTCTTGGACCATGCCGATTCACGCCGCTATACCGAGCTCCGCGAACAGCTAGCTGAAAAGGACAAAGTGGCCAAGACAATGAGCATTCGCATCAAGGAGGTACAGGCCGATCTCAACGACACGCGCAGTCTATTGGAGGCGTCGCGCAAGCAAAGCGCTGGCCTTCACCGCGCTCTGGCGACGGCCCAGGCGCAAGCGAATGCTGCAGGCGGCGGTCGCAGTTACGGTGTCGGAGATGGAGTGGGTGCTGGTCTTTCATCGAAGACGACGGACATTCCGCGAAGCAAGACAAAGTCCAAGGTGAGCGCTCGGAGGACTCGGCGTGGGTATACGGTGGCATTGATTGATTCTCTCCCCCTGCCTTTGCGCATGAAGATGGGCTTGGCAATGGGCGGCGGTATGGCCTCTACCTACGGTCACCGCACTCCCTCGATGTATCGCGCCTCGCGCATGTCCCGGGCCCCAAGCAGCAGCGATGCTGAGCGACGAGATGGCGGGCGTGACGATGAGGATGAAGAATCGCCGAAACAGCGAGGCCGCCAGCGTGACCGCACGCCCAGCAAGATGTCTCAGGATGGTGACAGCGACAATCGTGCCCGCCACCGAGCTGCCGCGGCCACGCAAGAGTCAGGCGAGGGCAACGAATCCGTTGAGGCCGTCAGAGGAAGCATGCCCCCTCCTGCTTCATCTTCCATCCTCGGCCGCAGCAGTGACACTCGAAAGACGCGTCGCTCCCAACGCAATGGCGGGGAGACGGCCTCATTTTCTGCCAGCACGGCCGGTGAGAGCGCTAGTATCGACATCAGCACGGTCGGGCGATCCGGGAGGTCCCAAGCAGAGGCGGAGTCCACCCCGATGGGTGGAGATGTTGGTGGCATGGGCCAGGGCGGCCATGGCGAGTCTACTGGTCGCGCTGGTAGCGCGAACAGCAAGAAGAGTGAGGTGATGAAGGGCAGAAAGAAGGTTTCGAAGGCGTAGGCAGGTGGAGCCACAGTCCCCGCAGAGAGAGGAGCCTTTGGGCCGCAGAAGGCATTGAGGATCCAGCGAAACCTACTATCCAACCACGCCATGTCCCTGTCCCAGACACGAGCTCGTCGCTCGCCCAGAATACAAAGACCATTATCCACCCCTTGACCGCTCAATGCTCTGCTCATTGTGCGTGACTAGGCTCATCTCTTGCTCTCGCCTGCTGGCGGACCAGGATAAGGAGGCAGCGTCGCCACGCTCCCTTGATATTGAGATCGGCCTACTGCATCATCTTGCATCTGTTGAGAATCACGACGTGGAGGAGGTGGTTGCTGTCCTTGCCTACTCTGCGGCATCGTTTGAACACCGCCCATAGCTGACAGGCCCCTGCGCTGAGCGTCTGCATCCGAGTACGCTCCAGCTCCCTGCGTGGATGTTGATTGGCCCATGAAGGCGTCCCCGCTGCTGCTGCTGCTACTGCTGCTGCGCCTCGAGTGAGATGACGACGAGAAGTAGACTAGCTGGCCGAGCTTTTGGCAACGTAACACGCGCGGCTCTCTTTTGCCGTGCTTCCCCGCCGGTCGAGGGGTGTGGAGATGCACGGCGGACTGAGCCGTCAAGATCGGGGCTCAGCACATATGACAGACGTCGAGGGCAGCTTCCATCATATAGCTCTTCTTTCCCTTCATATCTCATCTCCACTCGCTTCCATTCTTGCCTTGACGCCCACTCTTTCACGCTGGCTGCACCTCTCCCTCGCAGCGTTCGTAGGCTTTTAGCTATGGCCAATTCGCAAACGCAAACGCAACCGGCCTGGCAGCCTCCCAGCATTCCAACGACGGTCGCCTCCTCTTTCCAATCATGGCTGAGGCCCAATCATTCTCCATCTCCTTCGTCATCGCGCACGCCAGACTCGGGACGGTCACCGCATGCTAGCGCCGCTGATGTCACTTCGGCCAAGCAAGGCCAGCATAATGACACAAGGGCAGCATCAGCAGCAGCAGACGTGGCCGCCGCCGCCACTCCACCCTCATCTCTCCAATCTCCCGTATCTGTACGGTACCACGGCAAGTACGATCAGCTAGGAGCTTCTGCAGAGCTGTGGCTGTACACACAGGCTGCGCCCAGCTTCTTCAAGGGAGCGCAGCTCGCCAACGCGGCCAACGACATATGGCGCGGGGACCGGGGCACGTTCGATTCGATGTGGCGACAGGCCAGCAGCAACTCAAGCCAGCCTCGCGACACGAACCATAACAGCTACGCAGCAGAGGAGCGAGCCACAATTGCCACCTCACCGAGCGAGGTAGAGGGAAAAGTGGCAAGCATTCGATGGGTCTCCGTGGAGCCGGAGCAGCCTCCGCCTGCCTCCAAGGGCTGGTTTGGCTCTCTGCTTGGATCTTCACATACACCGCGCTGCATCAATGTCCTCGAGATTGGCAAGCCCCGCGCCGAAGCCACGACCTCTGCAGCCACGCAGGACGACGGCGAAGAGAAGATCGTCCTCCTTCATGGCTATGGCGCGGGCACAGGCTTCTTCTTCCAGAACATCGACGCCCTCGCGTCACGCCCCCATTCGCGCCTCTACGCCCTCGACTGGCTCGGAATGGGTCGTTCCTCGAGACCTACCTATCACATCCCTTCTCACATCCTCAAGAGCGGCGACGACTTGCAGCGCGTGGAGGCGGCAGAGGGATTCTTCTTGGACTCGCTCGAGGAATGGCGTAAGCGGGCTGGTGTGGAGAGGATGACTCTGGTTGGACATTCACTGGGCGGATATCTCAGCACAGCCTATGCCATACGACATCCGGAGAGAGTCAACAGACTGGTCCTCGTCAGCCCAGTGGGCGTGGGAGCAGCCCCACCTGAGGAGGGTCAACCGCAGCAGGCACCCGCCTTTGATCCAAAGAATGCGGCGTACGTCTCAAAGTCTGCACAAGGCGATGTGGACGCAGACGGTGCGAGCCTGCACAGCGTACACAGCGTTGAGAGGGAGGTGTTGGATCCGCAGCGCAATATGGTACCAGAGAATGCGGCACAAGAGCATGAGGCGGCACAAAAGGTGCAAGCCGGAGCGCAGGGCGCCCCCACAAATAGCGACGGTACCACCCAACCACTCACGGAAGAGCAACTCAAATCCTCAGGTCATCGGCCACCACGCTTCTCCTCGCGCACCCGTGCAGTCTTTGGCTGGCTGTGGGAGCAGAACTTCTCTCCCTTCGGTCTACTCCGCACCTCCTCCATCTTTGGGCCCTACCTCATGTCTCGATACACACAGCGACGCTTTGGCACTCTGCCGGAAGAGGAACTCAAAGCTTTGCACGCGTACTGTCAAGGCATCTTTCTCGCTAGGGGCAGCGGGGAGTACTGCCTGGCACACATGCTCAAGCCGGGAGCATGGGCGAGGGTGCCGCTGGTCCATCGATTAGCGGGGTCTGGTGGCGCGGGAATCGGAGCTTTGCCATCAACGCTGCCCGTCTCACTCATCTACGGTGAGCACGATTGGATGGACGCTGATGCAGGACGGGAATTCGTCAAGAAGCTCAAGACATACTGCGGCAATGAGCGTGGGGCTTGCTACGTTGTACCTCATGCTGGGCATCACGTCTACCTGGATAATCCGCTTTCGACTAATCGTCTGCTGGGAAAGATTCTGGATGGGAGGGCGGACAAGGTGGTGTCGAAATAGATGGTCGTGACGGACGCAGCCGACTCAATGCTTGCTCGCTCTACTGATATCCTTCAAGATACTCGTCTAATGATATAGATCCAAACCGATATTCGCAGCTACATTGAGAAAGAGGCCATGTCTCACTCGCGCTCAAGATGCACCCTTCTTTTCTCCCTCTCCACCACCCCCAGCCGTAATTGCGGTCCCATCCGACTCGCGACGAAGCTGAGGCTGCTCCGAAGGCGAGGAGGGCGAGGATGTCGATGAAGGCGATGAAGCTGTGGCAACATCGCCGCCGTTTGCTGACAAGCCGCGCTGCGCCTGCGCCTTGCCACGCACGAGACCCGTGATGATGAGCTTCCAGGTGCGTCGACCCTCGATGGGTGGGAGGAAGGTCACGATGAGGAGAGCGGCCCATAGCCAGATGAACGCTACAGTGATCCAACCGGTGAAGAAGGAAGCTGAGAAGACGTACTTCTGCCCGTACATGATCAACGGCCACAGTACCCACACGGCGAGGAAGAGGAAGATCCCCAGTCCGCCAGCCCACCAGCTTGCCTTCTTCATGTAGCGAATCTCAGCGTCCGTGAAGTGGGATGGAGCGCCGTCCTGCTCTTCAAGTGCAGTGACTGTTACCTTTTGCTCGTTTCCACTGTTGTCTTTGCCCTTGTGGTCTGCGACCAGTGTCGAAGCCGAGTCATCGTCGTGGTGGACAAGCTTGATCTTGCTGAACTCGTTCCAGTTCCAGTCGGGCTCGGGGCGAGCCAAGCTGATGAGGACGGTGAGAATCGGCGGTACACCAGCCGAGGCGATGGTGCCCCACAGGCAGGGTAGGAGCTCGCCAGTCGTGGTGACATTGAGCACCCCGCCTGGGGCGTAGTACCAAGCCGTGGTAAGCCAGACGATGAGACCGCAGGCCATTCCAACCAGCGGACTAATGATGGCGGCGAGGCGAGTCTGCCTCTTCCAGAAGATGGTGAGGGGCAATACAACCATTCCTGGGCAGACGATGATGCCTAGCCAATAGAGAGTCCACGTCAAGGAGAGGCCAGCGTAGTAGAATCCAGTCGAGACGCCGCAACCTACGATGGCGAAGCCCACGCATGCATAACGACTGACAGTGATCACGCTGCGGTCGCGTGCGGCGGGGTTGATGTAGGTGTGATAGATGTCCGACGAAACGATGGAGGAGACAGCAATGATCTGCGCCGAGCAAGTGGAGGTGACAGCCATGAAGATGAGCACGACAACGGCGACTGCTCCTCCCTTGCCTGCTACGGCCAAAGCGGCGTAGCCTAGGGGCAGGCCGTCTGCCGTCTCCGTCATTGTGAGAGAACGACCGAAGGCGGGCCAGATAGGGTTGTTTTGCAGTCCGACAGCCGCGAGACCCATGGTGGTGCCCAGGGCCCAAGGAATGCCAAAGTAGAGGACCCCGCCCAAGATGTAGCCCGGCACTGCTGCTGAGACGTCTGCGCTGAAGGCTTTTTGCCAATAGCTGCCTGCGTATGTGTGTGCAGAGGTAGAAGGGTCAGTCGCTTCGGAGAAGGTGGAAGAGTCGAGCCCTCGCGCGACTCACTGTCCATGATAACGAGAGCAAAGTTGCCGAGCGTGTGCAAGATACCGAACTCGATGGCGCTCTTGGATGCCATGGTGAAGTAGCTTCCCTGCTCATTACCGGAGACAGGCGACTTGCTTGCCACCTGGTTGACCAAGGTGAGCAGCTCAGCTGGCGACCCAATAGCGGGGTTGGTAATCGTCTTGATGACCAAGTACGTCGCAATGATGAGCAAAGCAACGGTGTGCAGGTAATCGGTGATGAACGTCGCCCTCAGTCCACCAGTGATAGTGTAGAGGCACACACCGACGGGCAGCAGAAAGATTGCAGCAACAGTGTGCATGCCAGTGAGGGCGGAGAGGGTTGCCGAAGAGCCGAGGAACATGTTGACTACGGCGATGAGGTTGTTGAGCAGGCATAGGAAGATGAAAACCGAGTGAGCAATTGTGCCGTATCGGACTTTGACCATCTCGAGGGAGGTATGTGCGTGTGGAACGATGAGTTTAGAGCGGATGGCGAGCGTCGCGAAGCCGGCAATCTGGACGAGGCAGCCCGCTGTGGGTAGTGAATAAGGAGGGAAACATGTGCTCAGCAGGTGACATCTCGACGCCCTCTCGCACATACTTACCCGCAAACCAGTACGCTCCAGCCACGCCATACGTGTAGGTAACGACAGACGAAGAAAGAAGAGCTGTACTCCACGCCCACGAAGAGATGACAGCTGTGGCAGTGAGACCGATACCGACTGACCTTCCAGCCGTAGAGTACGTTTCGAAGTGGCTATTGTCTTCGCCAGTGAATCGACGAAGTAGCTGCGTGATGAAGAACATACCGATGGCAAAGGCCAAGCCGGCACCCAAGGTGACACCGTAGCCTACACCTTGCCCGAGAGGCGGGTGGATGGAGGGGTCGGTTGAGCTCATGGCGGCTAGAGGAGAGGGTGTCGGAGGGGTGTGACAGTCGTGGATCGTAAGAGGGAAGGGAGAAGTCGTGGGGGCGCTGGTTTCCCTCCGGCTTAAGTTGCATTCTGCCCAGCGGATGAAGACGCGACAGCAGTAATGAGAGCACGACACGCGAGGTCGAAGCACGTCAGGCCAATTTCATCAGCGTCGCTAGCCAGTGCCGGCGGTAGTGAATGGTGGTACCAGCAATCTTTCGACGTCGGCCATGCATCACAGTGATCATCTACCGAGTGGTGCACGTGAGAAGGTTTGACACCTCGCCATGGGAGGCGACATTCTGCCTGTGCTGTCGTGAAGGGCAGAAGGGCGTGAGCCGGCACTCGCGCTGTTGGCCCTCATCATCGCGTGCTTCGCAAAGGGTCGGCGATGGGGTCGTCCATCACTGGGTGTGACTAGCCCGCTGCGCCTTGTCGTCCTATTTGCCGCTTGGAGACGCCCTCTCGCCCAGAAAATGATAGCGCTCCCCTGATACCCTGGCCGGTGCGTGCTTTGCGCTCCGTGGTGCGCCAACGCGATCGCGACGTTGTGCGACGCTCGAATTGCGCCATACCGGCGTCAGGTTGGCCACTTCGCTTGGGGGGCCGAGCACGGGCCACACGACCCGAAAACACCTCGACCGAGCTGTTCATCTCCATGTGGGGAGGCCTCGGACATGGGCACTTGGTCATCACTTATGATTAAACAACTCCACTCATAAGAATAGCAGCCCCCACGTATATCAGGCGCCGAGAAGACGTCAGTCGCAGGCCCTGCGGGGCATTCGAATCACCATGATCGATACTATCAACGCCACAAGGGCTCCACACTCCCTTTCCTACAGCACATATCGCCTATCGCCATCCAGCAGGTCCCATCGAGCTTGAGTCGCCGCTTAAAAGCAGAACACCTGATCATCCATTTTGCTCATTGGCCTCGGCTTGGCAAAGCCCAGCTCGTCCAAATGCTTCTTGCATGCGTCGATCATCGGTGGCGGGCCTGCGTGGGCCATTCACAGAGAGTAGGTCAACATCAGCTGCTCCACTCCCTCGACCGCTCGTCTTGCTCGTGGGCGAAACTTACCACACATGAGAATCTTGGAATCATGCTTCGGGGACGGCAGGTATTCATCGATGGCCTCCTTGGTGATGAACCCCTTGCCGCCGGTCCAACCGTCGGGGGGCTTGCCGAGGAAGTAGTGGACCTTGAATTGGTCGTGCTTCGCCGCCAGGTCATCAAGCTCTTGCTTGAGACTGCGAGTGCGTGAATCGAGAACGCGATAGCTACGTCAGACGGCGTACAAAATCTCTCGACCCTCGTTGGCACTCACAGGATATCCTTTTCGGTGACATTAGCGTAGATGAAGCTCACGCGCGTGTTGTCATCCGGGTCCTTGAGGATCTGCCTGATCACTTGAAGGATGGGAGTGATTCCTGTGCCGCCAGCAATGCAGCCAATCTCTCTTGCCAGCTCGGCGTGGTAGCGCATCTGGCCCTTGGGGCCTTTCACTTCGAGTAGATCGCCCATACGCATGCAGCCAATGTACGAGGAGACAGCCCCGTCTGGATAGGTCTGTGTGCGCGAGTAAGAGGTTGCCAGGGGAGCTGTGAGCGGGACAAAGGAAGGTAGATGCAGGCGGAGAGATCGTTGCTGCTCACCTTGACTACGAGATCGAAGAAGCCGACCTCATCATCACTGGTCGTGGGAGTGTAGCTTCCTATCGAATCGCAACGAGGTTGATGTCAGCGCGAGACTCGTCAAAGCTGCAACGCCGTCACGCCGCACTCACTCTGTACCATCTTCCCATTGACGTCCACTTGCACGCTCAAATGCTGTCCAATGGGCAGCCCCAGCATGCTGTCTTTCTTGGGCAGCTGAAAGCGATATCTCGCCGTGTTAGGTGAGATCTCCTCCTTCTCCACAAGAGGGAAACGCTGCCATGTCGTAGGGTCAAGGGTCGGCTTGGCCTTGCCATAATTGAGGCGAAAGATGGACAAGGCAGTGATCAAGGCTCCAACAGAGAAGGCTAGAAGCATGGGTGTAGTACGGATTGCTTCGAAGTAGTGACTGTCCAAATTGAGGTAGCTGACCCCGCCGACATACTCGCGGATGCGATCTAGCGGTTGGTAAAGGGCGGCTTTGTCTATTTCCATGGTGGCGGCAGGGGCAAGAGGGTATGAAGATGGATGACAGAGAAGGGAAGAAAAGAGCAAGTCTCCGATCGACTCTACAAACAGCCTAGCGGTAGCGCGGTGGCGATGAGTAACGTAGCGAGTGGAAGTCCTCGCTCCTCGCAGAGATCGATGACGGAAGGATGCTTATGCTCTCCTCTCGTCTCGTCTGCCATTGGCGAAGATCTGCGTCCTCTTGTGGACTGGCCCCCGCTGTCCGATCTCCCCGCACGACCGCGCTGCACCCACGCGCATGAAACAGTTGGCTCTCTTTTTCGCCTCAGTCGAGCTGCGTCGTCTCACTTGCCCTCCTTCCCCGCATCATCGATCGAAGGGGCTGAGTGTGGAGTGGAGGCAGACGCGCCCCGCCTCTGCTTGCTTGCTTGTTTCGATCAATCAGAGCGTGAGAGTGACTCGAGAGTGGCTCCCATGCAATGCTAAGACGCCGAAGCTGAGACAACAGCCAGCCAGAGGGAACGGTGACATGGTATCAATTGCGACGTCATGATGTACAATAGGCTGCCAGACAGTGAAGAAGCTGGATTCGGGCCTGAACCAGGCCAACCTCGCAGAGGCTCTACGACACCGGCTCAGGCTCTTCCGACCTGCTCGCCTTCATTCTGGCGTCCACACCTCCGTCACTCTCAGCAGCAGCAACCTTCAGCGCAAGGTACGACTCCCTCTTCCTCGTCGCTCGAGCCTGAAGGACGTCATGCAGGTACGCGGGGAAGAGAGGTGAGGTGACGCGACCTCCTCTGACTGCACCACCAGCGCCTGCGCCGGCTTCATCATCGACCGCATCGCCCTGCTTTTCCGGCTCAGATGCGGAGCGTTGCCTTGCTCGATGGCGACGATGATATGAGGTAACGCGCTCGATCGAAGGTGGTTGCTCATCACGCACCACAGCAGCAGCGCTTTTACGCCCCTTTCTTCCTTTGGCTGCGCTCTCCGTCCGCTTCCACTCGGCCATCTCCCACGCTCCCTTGAAGAAGTGATCCCGATCGAGCACCTTGCCAAACTGTACCTTCATGTCTGCCGGAGTAAGCTCCTCGAGCTCCGCGTCCGCCTCTGCCTCTTCCGAAGGCGCCGAGGCAAATCGCACAGTGCTCATGTCGACCCAGCTTCTCATCAAATTGTTCGTCCACCCCTTGCGCCTCGCCCTCGGCCCAACGATGGGAATCCATGGAGGGGGGACAACGCTGTATTGCTGCTCTGCGGAGCTGCCGTTGAGATTGCGGCTGGGCAGGAGCATGTGCGATCGATCTGACGAGAAGTTGTCGAGCCAGGCTTCGGCCCGGACGAGTCGGAAGGTCGGGAGGAGGCATTTGGGCGTCGAGGCGGCATCGCCGAATGTTTGGGCTACATACAAGCTGAATGGCACGGGCGTCGGTACGGATGGGCCCGCGCTTCCGTCTGGTGATGCTACAGGGGTAGGATGGCAGAGGACAGAGTCGATGTCGTAGACCCAGCCTTGCCAGCCGCTCGAGGAGGGAATTGACGAAGCAGCAGGAGCTGGAATGACGACGTCGCCGAAGACGAATCCTGCGCTGGCAGGCGCCGTCGGGGCGAGGGGCTTACGTCGCCAAAAGAACGAGTTTGCTCGACTACGTGATGCACCTTTGACCGACTGGGAGCTGGCAGGACGCTGAGGTGCGGTCACCTGTCTCGACGTTGCGGTCGCGTCTGCGCTTGCTTTTTGCCCATTTTCCTGCATCTCCTGCTCATTCGCATCTCCTGCCACGCTCTGCTGCGTCGCAGTCACAATGGGAAAGACGTGGTAGTCCCACACAACCGGATGAGCCGCCAGCGCCGAGGTAGAGGCTCTCTGCTGCCAGAGCAGGACCTGGCCGGGCGAAGAGGAGAAGCAGTCTCTCAGTCAGCGCTGCCTTGTATTCGCATTGCCCGGCCCGTACTCACCGTCTTGCCTTGGTTAGAAACGACTACGACCCATACATCCCATTTCCTGCCCTCTGCGTCCACTCTCTCCTTCCCGTGTCGCCTTTCAACTTTGCGAAGCAGGCTCTGTGCGAGAAGGTATGCATTCTCTTCGCAGTAGCAAGCGCAATACTGACTCGATTTGGGCCAGTCGAATGGTTGCGGAGGGCAAGATGAGGATGGCACCGTCACAGCTCCTTCAAGGCGGCCTTGGGCGCTGTGAGCTGTCGAGGGGAGAGGCGGGCGAAGCACTGATGTTTGACTGGGTACTTCTTCTGTCTGTTTGTCTCGTGTCTGTTGCCGATGGACCGAGCGACTTCGTAGCCGCTTGAAGGAAATTGACCGTCGTACTGTCTTTGAGGACGAGGCAGCCGGATGCGCCGGTAATGATAGTGTAGACTCAGCTGGGTCCAGCCGTCTGGCCTCACTCTGCGGTACAGTCATGATTGACAAGCCGGCAAGAAGGAGCTGAGAGGTGGACGAGAGGGTGAGATAGTGGGTATATGCTACGGTCGAGAGGTCAAAGAGGACAAGCGGTGTTGGCGGCGTGTTGCGTTGCATTGCGGGTCCCGGGCCGAATCGAAGTTCCCAGCCCACAGGCGGCAATGCATGCGCGTGCGCCATGCACTGCACGGCCAGAGAGAGCGGCACGGATCGATCGGACGGAAGGCGGCGATGCGAGCTTTTCCTTGCGCTGCTACGGTAGCGCAAAGTCGAGCTGGGAGGTAACGCTGCCTGGAGGAGGAAGAAGAGTGTATATCGATTCGAGAACGGGTGGACACGCTGATCTATGAAGAAGAGTGTTTACGAGTTTGATGATCTATAAAGAACTGTTGTCGGATGATCTATGAGGATGAGGTCGCACAGCGAGACGAGTCCATCGGGCGGACTCGATTCACCGGCTTCTATGGAGGGTGATCTAGATGAAAAAGAAAGAGAAAGGAGGTGGAGAAGATTATCGCAGCCAGCTCTTCGCGCGAGCTTGCATCGCATCGCAGCCAATCGTTCATGAAGCGCACGCCGCCCGTTGAGGACCGTCATCGCTCTCGGCCGCTCAGTTCTCCTGGTCGGCCGTCGACTTGAGCTTGTAAGGCTTGCCCGAGTGGTCGGCCTCGGCGGCCTTGAAGTTCTCCTCGGGCACGCCGAGCTCGAGGAGCTTGGCGAAGACGTTGGAGAAGTCGGCAAAGAAGGCCTCCTCGTCCTTTGCGTACTTCTCGACCCAAGGCCTGAACGACTTATCCTTGATCAAGGCCATGTCCGTCGTCAGCATCATGAGGCCACCAGTGTTCTTGTCAATGTACTGCTTGGGTCCGTTCCACTTCTTCCAGTTCCACTTCTCGTTGAGCAGCAGGTCGTAGTACTGGTTGGTGAACGAGATGGGCGAGTGCGTCCAGGGGCCCTCGAAGCCAGAGCGGTCCGTGTGGCAGCGGCCGAGAGCGTGAGCGCCAGAGAGGGCGACGATCTCTTGGTCATTAAAGCCCATGCGGTAGAAGATGAAGCGAAGGTGGTCCTGCTCCTTGTCACCATCGGGCAGGCGGCCATCGGGTGCGCAGTGCTCCTGCTCGCGGTCGGAGCGGCCGGGACGCCAAGCGATCTGAGGTCCGCCCATCTCTTGAACAGCGACAACGCCAGCCAGAGTCCAGAGGTCAGAGTATGTTACCCTAACGAGGCAGGGAAATGGTAAGTCAGCGTTGGGCGAGAGGCTTGACGTCATCGCTGCCATCGCTGCTCACCAGGGAAACATAGCCTTGACGGGCTCGAGGAAGTCACGAGCAGCCTTGAGACCAGCGTTAGCACCGTGGTCCGACTCGGGAGCAAAACGCATCGTAGCTGCAGAGGGAGAGGCGGGGCAAGCGCGATAGCACGGTCAGCGCTAGAGCTCGCCACGGACGGCGCTCGCTGGCACGCTCACCTCCGTTGGAGCCGCCGGTCTTGGTGTCCTTGCAGTAAGTGCCCGACGAGTGCCAGGCCAAGCGGACAAGGACGGGACCGTAGCTTCCGTCATCGTAGCCCTCCTGTCATCGCGACAAGTGCAGCAAGGCGATGAAGGGGTGCATGGTGTGATGTTCCGCAGCAGCAATTGAGGCGCGCAAGATCGGCGAATGGAGGTGTGAGGTGGCGTAGCGTGCGCGTGTGGATGGGTGGAGCGGAGGGGAGGAAAGGGGATTTATGCAAGGTGAGACTGACTGACTGACTGGCGCTAGTGATGTCTGAGGAGAAAGAGTTGGGAAAGCGGGGAAAGCGGGGAAACCCGATGCCTCTCAACCCTCCACTTTGAAATATGGCGACGGCAGCCGGCATGGTGCCTTCAATATAAGCTCAGATGGCGCGTCGCGGCGACGATCCCTGCCTTCAAGGCAGGTCGCCCTCTTCAAGCTCTGATGACCACAGGACCCTGCTAGCATGGCCCCTTCCTGCCTGCCGTAGCCCTTGCTATCATCTTCGTCATCATAATCGTACCCAATGTGCCATTCAGCTACCTGAACGCTACGACGACGCTGCTACCGAGGAGGAGACGCGCGGCGAGGTTGGTCGAGCTGGGCGTATGCTAATGCCCTTCTGTGCCCTCTGCTTCTGCTTTCCTTTTACCCTCTTCGTGTTGCCCATGACCGATGACGGTCGCCATGTCCTTGCGCAACTTTTCCTCTCCTCCACGAACTCCGTCTCTTGCACGAATCAGGCCACGTCTCATTTCAATCTCGATCCGTTAGACGCGTACCTGCTCAAGCCTGTCGGCGATAGCGTTGTAGACCTTCTGGTAGTCGGCCTTGGTTCCAGCAGAGAGGTCCGAGGCAGAAGCCGCTCCAGCCTTGTGCTTTGCGCCCTTGGTCTTGGAGATGCCCTCCGACTCGCCGACGCCGAGAGCAGACTTCTTGTCCTCGCGGCCGAGGTAGAGGAAGGCGCCCGTTGCGGCGACGATGCCTACAACGGACCAGCCGAGCATGGGAACCGTGCCCTTGACGCCGGAGACGGAGGGGCCAGGTTGCTGTGCGCGCGAGACACCGACAAGGAAGGCAATGAGGTGGGGAAGGGAACGAGCGAGGTTTGAGCATCAGCATCTCAGTTCGTGGCAAGACGGCCATCATCGCGCGGCACTCACGGCACCACCGGTGGGTCCCGACGGAGGAGGCTTGGGCGAATCAGCAAAGAAGCGTCGAGGAGCGACGTTGTTGGCTCCCATTCGCGGCGCAGCAGTAGCGCGGGGCATGGCCCTAGCTGCGGGTCGGATAGCTCGAAGAGCGGACATGCTGGCGATAGTGGGGCTAGTGATGATGGTGTAGGAGTTGAACAATGCGGTAGATTGTCAAGATGAGTCGCAGAGACGAGCCAGAGTCAAGATTAGAGCTTGTCCCGTCCTGACCTCGGTGGTAGTGGTGGTCTGGGCAGCAAGATTTAACGTGCCGGCCACTCGCAGAGCTGGGTCGCCGTCGTGGTGCCTAAGCGCGTGGGACGAGGCAGAAGATTGCTGACTAAAAGAGCGAAGGGCCACGAGCGAGCGAGGCGGGCGGGCCTAAATGAGCTAGAGTGATGGAGCGAGCGCACGGACGGGCAGACAAACAAGTGAAGGCAAAACAAGGAGTGAAAGACGCCCTGAGACAGCTTTACAGCGCACATCAAATGGATAGCGATGCATTGCGGATGGCAGAGACAGATGGGTCTCAGGCGCTCGCTCTGTCTGGTATCATGCTGTGTTGCTTAGCTCCACTACGCCTCGCCGCGCTTGATGGCTTTCCCCGCTGCCACCTTGTCATCATCACGACGAACAACGCCGCTCACGACCTTGGCGTCACCCTTGATCTGGTCTTTGACTTTCTTGCCCAAGCCTCTGCTCTTGCTCTCGCCAGCTTCAGCACCCTCGTCATCGTCTCGACCTCCTTGTGTTGCCGCATGCCCGTTCCTATCATTTCCATGGGCGCTGTTTTGGATGGCACCGCGCTTCTCATGCCCATCGACGTACTGCGAGGGGCAGTCGACAGGCTCGTAATCCTCTGGCACTTTGGCAGGCTTGCTGTCTACTGACTTGCCAGCCGAGTCGAGGACGGTCTTGTCCGGGGGCAGTGTCGAGCCATATCCAGCTGCGGTGGGGACTTTGTCCTCGATACCGATGTCTGTTTGGCTCTTGTTAAGGCGCTTGTCGGTCGATGGACCTTGCCGCTTCGACTCTGCGATCCGCTCTTCGTGTTCTCGCGAGAGTCGCTGAGCCTGAGCAAAGGAGAGAGAGGAGGAAGACGATTCAGATGGAAGTCGAGTCGGTACGGATACGCTACCAGCCCAGCATAAACTCACCCCGTATTCTGCATTGTCGTCATGGTGAGGTGCGCTTTCGCCAGCCTGACCAGCGTTACCACCACTTGCCTCGGCTTGTCCATTTGCTCCGTCATCCTGGCCGCCTGCCCCGCTGGACAGCTTCTGCGCTTGTTGACTCAGTCCCATATCTGGAGCCTTGTCGTAGGCAGATTGCAGTGTGCTCGTGACGCCAAGGTCAGGCGCATTGTTGTACGCTGATGTGGCAGAATTGGCTACGGCTTTCCCAGCTCCTGATACGGCAGCGCTCACGCCTGCCAACGCTCCAGAGCCCTTGGCCGTGGTCTAGAGTAGAGGAGGACGGTGAGAAGAAGGGAAAAGTCAGTGCCTGTGTTCTGAGGCCGCTGACCTCTCCTCGCTGCGCTCTCTGCTCACATCGTGCGGTTGCTCTGACATTATCTTGGTGGTCTTGGTGGATGGGAAAGCGAAAAAAAGGTTGTACCCAATGGATCGCCACACCCTGATCGGCAATGATGCTTCCCTATCTCAGTGTGTCCACGATTCGATCTCGGTATCCGACTCCGACGTCATACACCCGCTGCATTCATCTGAGTGAGTCAGTGGAGGCTCAGTCGATCGATGACCCGAAAATGGAGCCCACGCTAGCGGAGCGACATCCACGGCAAGATCGGGCGAGAGGGGAGGGCGGTCCTGGTGCACCTTGGTCAGCTTCCATAGGGGAGCGAGCGGAAAGCGCCGTCCGTCACTAAGGTGATGGATGGCCCGAGCGACGAGCAAGGGCTGCGCGTCTCATCTCCTCGTCACTTCTTCGCATTGATACCCCCCTGAGAACTCGCAGCAGACCATGGACTACGCATACGCTGCCCTCGATCGAGGCATCATCCCGGACTTTGCGTTGGTGAGCCGCGCCGCGTGGCAGAAAAGCCATGCTTTCGCGCTCTGACCGTCGTCTTTGTCCTCTCAGCGCCGAGCCATTCGAGCCCTCAACCAGCAGCGCATCGCGAGCCTCTCTACGGGCACCTTTGGCGGCGACGTCGAGAAGAAGGTGCGCATCAACGATGCTGGGCCATCACGGAGGGCGTCAAGCTGATTCTCGCTGCCTTCGCGTTCAGAATGCCTACATCGAGAGCCTCAAGACAAACGAGATCGCGATCGAGACGGACACCGCCAACAAGCAGCACTATGAGGTAGACACCGATTTCATGCTCTCCTGCTTAGGCAAGAGGGCAAAGTACTCTTGCTGCCTCTACGAGACGGGCAAGGAGACCCTCGATGAGGCAGAGGAAGCCATGCTTGCCTCGTATTGCGAGAAGGCGCAGCTGGTCGACGGGCAGGACATCCTCGATCTGGGATGCGGATGGGGAAGTCTGTGCCTCTACTTGGCTGAGAAGTACCCGGGGAGCAGAGTGAAGGCATTATCGAACAGCAAGACGCAGAAGCTGTACATCGACCAAACGGCCAAGGAGAGGGGGCTCAAGAACCTCGAGGTCTTCACCGGAGACGTCAAGCTGTATGACTTTCCTGCCAATTTGCGCTTCGACCGCATCCTCAGCATCGAGATGTTCGAGCACGTAAGTACGCGAGGCGACAGGGAGACAGCCTGATAGGGAGCTGATCTTCTTTTGCTGTCACCTCGCTTGCCGATCAGATGAAAAACTACTCCCTCCTCTTCTCCAAAGTCTCTACCTGGCTGCGGGACTCCTCCTCTCTCCTCTTCATCCACATCTTCTGCCACCGCACCATGCCCTATCACTTCGAGCAAGATGACGGCTGGATGGCTCAAAACTTCTTCAGCGGCGGTACCATGCCTTGTCACGACTTGTTCCTGCACTTCCAACAAGATGTGGTGCTGGAACGCCTCTGGTGGGTCAACGGAAGGCACTACGCTCAGACTTGTGAGGACTGGCTGAAGAAGCAGGACAAGAACAACATGGGCGGAAAGGCGGTTCAGGCGCTGAGGGAGGACGCGGTGAAGAAAGGGAGCGAAGCAATCGAGGGGGAGAAGACGTTCTATCGCTTCAGAGTGTTCTACTTGGCGTGCGCTGAATTCTTTGGTGAGCTCGGAGTGGCAAGGAGCGAAGATATCTCAGCAGCTGATCACCATCTCTTTCACTGCTCGCCGCAGCCACGAACAAGGGAGAAGAATGGGGCGTGGGTCACTACCTCTTCCGCAAGAGGGCTTGAGGCGATGCTCTCATGCGCGCATACAGACTTGACAATTAGGCATTAATCATTAGCATTAAAGAGGTTTTGACGCCGCTATTGGTGCGAGGCTTTCGACGCTCTCGTGTATAGAATAGGGTGAGTAGTGGGGGAGCCAACGGAGGCGGGAGCTGTATTTACGTGCGTTTGGCTCAGTATCGTGTACGGGAACCGAATATCAACAATTGCGGCGAGACGCTGTGGCTCGGGTCAATCTCCAACACGCCTTAGACCTGAGGTGCATTGCCGTCGCGCTTTCCAGGACTGTGCCCAAATTCTTTCTCGTAGGAGCGGGCAAGCTCCTCTCCGATCTTTTTGCGGTCAATGGGTCCACCGAAGGTTCCCCCTCTGACCTCAGCCTTGTCGTCACCGACCAAGCTGGTAGCGAGAGTGCGGCCAAAAGTCTTCTCGTAGGACTGGGCAAGCTCGGCGGCTACCTGCTTGCTGTGAGCGATGTTGGGAAGGAGGGAGGTGGCCTCGGCTCGAGTGAGGAACTCGGCGATGGATGCGCCATCCTCAGAGTGCCCGCTGCGCAAGTTGAAGCGATGGCACGGGAATCTGAATGTCAGCTCACGTGCAACGAAACCCAAGGTGACTGGGCATGCTTACCCATCGCGCTCATTCTTCTCTTCAACCTCAGTCGAGCCAGCCTCCAGGCATTCGGGGCAAGAAGGTATGCGTGGAGATCGACCCTGCAAATTGCCGGTGGTCTGTCCAAGCATCTCGAAGTCACGGGTCATCTGATCTTGCTCATCGCGCTTCTCGTCCTCGCCACGGTGACGCTTGCAAGGCGGGTGCGTGCAGCCTGGGAAGCCCGTGCGGCCCCTACTGAAGCCTGGCCATGGGGAGGGGCCGAAGCCATCATCACCCCTCTCTGCGGGCGTCAAAGTAGGTGGCTCGCTGACTTCAGGGCTGCGCTGTTCGTGCAGCTTCCCATCTACGCCTGGGTCCTGAGCCTGGTCACGAGCGACCTCGCTGCCTTCGTAGTGAGGCTTGGGACAAGGAGGATGCTCACACTTAGGGACTGAGGGAGCTTTAGCAGGATTGAACTTCGGCACCTCGGGAGCCTTTTGCCCGCGATTGTCGAAGCCTCGCTTGACGTCGACACCACCGCCCTGGCCGTGATCATGCTCTGAGCCCAAAGTAGAAGTGGTAGGCCTCTCTCCTTCGTGCAAAACGCCATTCATGACGTGGATGGGATTGACTTCGGTGGGATTCTTGTTGACACAGGGCGGCTTGTCGCAGGCAGGGTCAGCAAGAGCCTTGTGAGGATGCCCACGAGCGTCGTGGATGGGATTGACTTCATTCAGATCCTTCTTGACACAGGGCGGCTTGTCACATGCAGGATCAGCAAGGGCTTTATGGGGATGCCCACGAGCGACGCTGGCAGCCAAGCCGTGAAGCTTTGCAGGGTGCTCGTCGCTGGGAGCGCGGGCGAACAGGCCATGACGCGGAACGTGAGTGACCTTGGCTCCGTCAAGACGCTTGAAACAGGGAGGTTCCTTGCAGCCGGGGTCTGACAGGGTGTCGCGGGGAGCAGAGGCATCCACTCCGGTGTCGCGCGAGGCAAAGTCTTCGCCGTGGGAGAGCTGAGGAGGAGTGTAGGGTAGGGCGACTGCGACTGCCCCAAGAAGCACGGCAGCGAGCAAGGGCTTGAACTGGGCGAGCATAGCTGGAAGTGGTAAATCTGGCAAGACGAGGGGATAGGACTGGAAGGGAGGCTTCTTAGTGAACCGAGTGAGGTGAGCCTGACTGCCCTGCTTTTTTGTAGGCTACGTGACGACCGGCGAGCGTGGAGGCGCACTGTAGAGCAGTGCAGGACGGCCGGCGCTCGTTTGCGGCCGCAGAGTGATATGGAGAAAGGCTCTTCCGCGCACTTGCGCCGTACAGGCCTATTTGCGACTGCTTAGAGGAACACTCCGTAGCCAGCCCCGGGTCACGAGTGAAGCAGCACATCGCCAGTACGGCCGTCTCCTCCTCGCATCGCTCGCCCCGCCGCCCTTCCCCGCCTTGAGGGCAAGCTGCGCCGTGCACGGACGGCGGGAGACGCGGCTCGGCGTGGGTGATGGATGAGCGAGCAATCGACTGCAAAGATCGAGGGTCGGATCGAGGGTCGCCGCAAGCCTTGATTGCTCCTACACCGCTCGACCACACAAGATTACAGCCAGGAACACAGCCGCCAGCAAGCAGGCAAGGCTGCGGAAGGGTCCAGCCGGCAGCAAAGGCAGGAGGGTGGCCACCGATCCAGGGCCCCATCGCACGGATCCTCCCTCCTCTACCTCCCACCTTCATCAACATCACCACCACCACCCTTGACGCACCGCCCGACGCACCGCTTCACCACCCTTTCCCATCATGGCATTCCCAGAGCCAGCGCTGACGCCGGAATACTTTACCTTTGTGGTGGGTGTGCGCAGCAGATGCCGTGGCGGTGAAGATAAGCTCAACGATGGCTGACTTGATCTTTTTCGCCGCCTGGCGCGCTGCGCAGCTCCTGTGGGCACTTCCGATTACCACGCAGGTCATCCTGATGTTCTTCGAAGGCATCAGGACAATTCCCGGTGAGATTCGTATGATGATGCGCATCCATCGTCGAGGAAGGCCCAACATTGTCGAGATCATCTTCTTTGTTATCAAGGTATGTGGGAGAGAGACGATAAGGGTACGACGACTCGCTCCTGATGTCGACCTGAGCACCGTCCTGCCCCTCGCTTGCGATAGTACATCGCCATCCTGGCGACCGTGATGAGCGTGCTGCAAGAGTGGACCCCCTGTGAGTTGATGTGTACGGTCAGTGATCTATGGAGGTGCAGCAATTGACCATCATCAGTCCTTGCCACCCCCAGGGCTCACCGCCAAGAGCTGCCTCGCCGCCAGTTGGATCCTTCAACTCGGGCTTTCCCTCTGTACTGTCCTCGTCAGCACCAGCTTGGCTTGGTGAGAAGCTGTCCTGTCACTCAGGATTACGTTCCCACACATTGACCCTAAGACCTTGCTCGCCCACTTTCCAGGCGCTGCTACGTCATTTTCCAGCGCAACCGTCGCGTGGGCCTCATACTCCTCGGCGGCCTCATCGTCCATCTCGCCATGAGCCTGTTCGCTGCTATTGGCCAGGCCAAGGTGGGTAGCGTACAGCACTAGACCAGCTTCCGCACTGACCGTGCCAATTCCCACCCCTCTGTGCGCGCCCTCGCAGTACGACATTAAACAAGAAAACTACTGCGGCTGGTCTGATGCCATGCTGCACAAGAACCACTCGCACAAGTGGTACCAAATCCATGCTAGCTGGTTTATGCTCTACTCCACCGCCTTCGACACAGTCATGGTCATTGCTGCCTCTTGGCGCCTTCTCAAATTCGTCCGTGGCCCCACCGGCCTGCAGCGCATTGGGCGACTACTCTTCATCAACAATCTGCACTACCTCGCCATTGTCTCCACGATCAACCTGATCCAATTCTTCGTCCTCTGCTTTCGCTTCTCGAGCATACCGCCCCTCATGTGGCTCACCGAGACGCTGCAGATCATTGTCTGCTTACAGATGCTTATCTCAGAGCAGGATGAGGCGCATGGATACAGCAACAGGGCAGGACAGCAAACAGCATACCGGGGCGGTGGCGGCGGCGGCGGCATCGGAGGAGGGGGATACAGCGGCGGCAAGACGCCTGGGTCGAGCTTCGTGCCTGTCAAGTCTGGCACGAGCTCCAAGCCGCAGCAGTCGACCTTTTCATCTCTCGATCAAGCTGAGATACGCCAGCCGCTTGAGGGAATCCGCTTCGACGCCCTGCACTCAGAGTCCATTGTTGATCGCGACACAACCATGAGCCAGATTCAAGCCGGCGTGACCAAGGAGATCACGGACCTCCAGCATCCTGCACCTCATCCGTGGGCATATCAGCAAGATTCGTCCATCTCTCATGGCCCTTCGACACCCCACAGTGGTTGCGCGCACAACAGCAACGGCAGAACTCAGGTATACGGCTACGAGGTCAGCTCTACCTTACCAGCCACCAGCACGGCCTTTACGCCACGTCTCTTTTACGGCACTGAGCCGTCCTCTTTCCACACTTCACCTCCCGCCTCGCTGGGAGACGGTGGTGGCAGCAGCAGTTCCCCTCGTCCACCCAAGTCAGGTGGCGGTCTCTCCGTCAAGGCCATTCGTGCTGGGCTCGACTATCAACAGAGCCACAGACAGATGCCCATTTCAGGCGCCACCGCTGCTAACTGCGATGATGCCTATGCCATGAAGCCCGTGAGCGTCCACAGTGCTCAAGGCAGCGAGCCTGCCGGCAATTCAGGAGGGCGCAAGAGAGCCATGTCCAGCCACTCTAATGCTAGCGTATGCACCTGCGCCCGCAGTGGGGTCGGGCAGCAGGTCTCGTATGGGACTGCTCTGACTTGCGAGATGACCAACCCTCGCGAGCATGCAACACGCCGGGACACGACCCTCTCGACTGCCACTGGGGCGAGCGCGGCTGTCGGAGGAGCTTCACCACAGGTGGATACGACCATCTCGTTCGATGCTCCCAAACTGGGCGAGGAGGAGGGCTACCCGTCTCATCGCTTGCTCAGCTTCCCTCACGTCGGCGGCAGCGAGGCTCCTCATGACCATGGCAATGTCGGGGTCACTGCAGGCGACAAACAGATCCGTCACGTTCACTCGCACGTTGAGCAAATGACCAACGGCGCGGTCAATCCGGATGCGCCGTTCGCTGACTACAACACTTCGGTGCGATACCGCTTCTGAGGAGTCGTCGCCAGAGAGGATGGCAGGCGACGCTGCCCTCGCAATACCACGGTCGACCTTCTCTCGATCTGAAGTCAAGGCGACAACGATAGGCCTCATTCCCCACATCCATCTCGCCGAAACTCTTAGCTCCGCTCCTGCAAGTCATTTTCTTGCTCCCCGCCCTGCGTCACCCATACCCCTCAAGCCAGAGGCGCTACTGCGGCGGCGACCCAAATCTCGCCGCTCGAGGTAATCATGCGCCTTCGCTCATCTCCTGGCGGCCCTCTCTGCGACACTGCTTCACTCAACACCCATTCCATTCCCTCTGGGCCAACACGTTTGCAAAGGCCCAAAAATCTCTTGTCTTTGAACTCATGATCATGACGACCACTTACGATCTTCTTTCTCGACTCGAAATGCCACGAAATTCGCACTCAGCGTCTTGAGCGTCAGCCTCGCATATCGTCTGCGTCATCATGAATGCCATTGCTAGGCGCCGATATACAGCGCGCTTTCTCTTAGCGCACGTCACCTCTCCTGACGAAGGGTACTCCCAACCCACTCAGAAGCTGCCTTGCCCGAAGCGTGGCCCTAGGCCCTCGCTGGTTGGTGATGCAATCGATCTGGAACCCAATCCCCCTGTTGCTATACGCATCCCAATTCACCTCCGTCTGCGGGAAGTAGCCCATTGCCTCTGGTCTCATTCCCAAGCTGACCACTCCGCTCATGGCTGCCGGGCTTCCCTCTGGCTGGCTGGAGGGCGGAAGGAGGAAGCCCTGGAATGTCCTCATCCTCGGCAGGACGAAGGTGACGAGGACGTCTAGGAAGTCCATTGCGACAGGCCGAGGGAGGACCGCCTGTACACCGACGGGCATACCGGGGCGAATCTTGAATGAAGCCACGCCTGATTTGGCACGGAGGATCGAGATGTGACCCTGCGCTTTGTTGAGGTGCGTGGTAGTCGCATCCTTGTGGTCCAAACCAGAGGCAGGGTCTGCCCATGATCCCCTGGGCGTGAGTCCTGTAATGGCACGGAATTGCGCCACGAGAGGAAGGAGGGCATGTTTGCTGCTGATGGCATCTTCGCAGAAGGCGGTCAATACCACCCTGTCCAGAGCGACGAGGTCTTTGGTCGGGTCCTCGAAATTGGGTTTCACCGGGCCTGGCTGCAACGTCCTCGCTCCCCTCGGCGGGCGAGCGGGACGATTCTTTGCGTACGGATTGCTGGGGTCCCACCTACGAACAGAGTCGGACGTTGGGGCTGCGGCGAGCTTTTCGCTGGCAGTGAGCTTGGACCATTCGGGGTCGTGCGTCATGTAGAGGAGCGAGGGGGCGAGGGTACGACGATAGTGCTCTTCGTATCGATTGAGCTGGGTGGGGCCTACCGTGAGATGGGTGAGGGGAGAGTGAGCAGAGGAGGCAGTGGAGTTTGATGTTGATGGGCTGGGGTGGAGGATGTTGCGCGGAGGGACTAGGGATGATGGGGAGGCAGGAGGAGGGGGGGACGATGCCGGGGGGGCTGCCTTCGTTGCCGAGGTCGAGGCATAGCGAGCAGCAGATGATGAAGTGCTAGTAGATGTACTTGCCAGCCTCGTGAGGGCCGTGCGGCTTGATGACGAGGCCATTCTGTCAGCGTGTATGCGTATAGAGAGTGAGGAGGAGGAGTCGCAACCCTCTGCTTGTCGTCGTCGGCTCGTCGACCTCTCATCTTCTCAGCCCGCCCTCGACGACTCTCCGCCCGCTTTTCTTGACTTGCGCGCTTCCGAGTCCGAGCGAGCAGGCGGGGGAGCGGACAGGGCCAGTCGATGGACGATGGAGCAGCTGCTGCATTCATTCGTGTTGCAACTTTAGTATCCTGCTCAACACTTCATCACCAAGCATGTCAAACGTGAGCACCAGATCGCCTTCTTGATCGCCTCCTTGCTATCTCAAGCTAACATCTGCCTCACCACGCTCCCCCTCCACAGCCGGCTCTTACTTTTCAGCGCCATTGGCACCACCTCTCTGCCTCCTCCCAAACCCTCGGTCCACTCTCAGTTCGCATAGCCACCCTCCTCATGGGCAAGCACAAGCCCCGAGGTATCTACTCGCCCGCAAACGACCAAGCAGGTGACTACGTAGTGGTGACAAATGCCGAGAAGGTTGGCGTAACGGGCAAGAAGGCCGAGCAGAAGGTGTATTACAGACATAGCATGTATCCGGGAGGTTTGAAGGTTGAGCGATACCAGGAGAGGATGGAGAAGAAGCCGGAGGAGGTGAGTATGCGAGAGGGAGCAAAGAGGAAGGGACAAGCTGACCCGTGCCTGTCATCACGCCCGCGCAGATCATCCGCTCAGCCGTCTCAGGGATGCTCCCTAAGAACAAGCTGCGGGATCGTCGCCTGGCAAGGCTCAAGATCTTCGCGGGTGAGGAGAACCCCTTTGCGGCAAACATTGCGAGGAGGTACGATGTCTCAGGAGGTGTACAGTCATCGGCTTCAGTCCAGGGTGTCGTCGATGCGATCAAGGAGCAGCAGGCTGGCAAGTCATAGCAACGGCCTCCCTCCCTGTCTCGTCCCTTTGCCGCCTGCGAACCTTCTGCGAACCTTCATATTGTACATCTAGTAGTCCATTACACCTCCATTAGCATCACTGGCATGTCTGTCATCGTGGTCGTCATCGCCGTCGTCATCGTCAAAATATCGCTCCTCGTCGAGGATCTCCTCCTGTCTCCTTGCGAGCTCGACAACACCGCCAGCCTCGCCTTCGCCTCTCGATGCTGAGGCTTGTGTCTCCCGTCTCTCTCCCTGATGAAGCGGTGATGAGTCCTCAAAGTCGATGCGCGCATACAAGGAGGATGGCAGGGTTGGCTGGGATGAGTAAGGGAATGAAGGGGTTGAGGCGGTCAGATTGATCCCCCTTCCCAGATGACGTCCCGACTGACTTACGTCGCCTTTGATGAAACGCTCCACGACCGCCCTTTGAAAGACTTGCATTAGCTCTTCCTCGATCTGCTCGTCATCTTCCTCGTCTTCCCCTTCCTCGACCTCTGCTCCGTGTAGCCCATCGCGCTCTTCTCTCTGCCTTTCTTGGTCCTCTTCCTCATCCTGCTCATCCATCAATCTAGCTAGCCTTGGGTGAGAAAAGAGATCGCCCTCGTGCGCTGGACCATACTGGACTGAGCTGGTCGTGCCCGCAGCCGCCTTGTAGCCGGGGACGGCGGCCGCTGGGTGATCGGGAAAGGGAGGGTCGAGCTGACGGGCAGCAGGGCGCCGGCATGGTGTAGGAAAGTGTCGCAATCGCGGCCGTGTGGTGCTACCTACTATCGAAGACCAGAGTTCGGGCAATCTCCGTCGGCTAGCCTCAAGGCCTAAAGTTGTTGTGGCGTCTATGTCATCTTGGCCGCCGTCGCCGGAGAGACGGTCTGCACGGCGTGCCCAGCTTTGCCGCCTGTACATCACGAGTGGGATTCGGCTTCTCTCCTGAGCTGTGGTGACCTCAGCAAAGGGTACTAGTAGCTGTGATGGCAGGCTGTTGATGTACTTTGCGACAAAGTTGAGAGGAGAAGCTAGCATGCTTGCCCGTAAGTCTTGAACTTCGGAGGGCGGTATTGAGAGCCAAGCTTGCACTGCAGATATGAATTTGTCATCTAGCTGTGCTGGTGTTGGAGCCGCTGCGGTGCCCCACTCCTTGTCGTCGTCCATGTTCAGGTTGCACCGATGTCACGGCTATGAAGTTTGTCAAAGATGGTTGCTCCCTCGCTCGCGTGGTGATCTCGCAGCAGCAGGGTCCACATTTCGAGATCTGGCGTCGACGAGCGGAGCGTCGCGTCTCGTCGTCTGAGATGAGCGTGGCTGGATGCGTCGGCGTCGAGCAGGCGATTGATCGACGGACCGACGGCTCCACCTTTCTTGCCTTCGTTACCCACCAGCCCGAGCACATCGAGGCGCGCTCGGACCTCTGCCTGCACCCCAGCCAGCATCGAGAGGTCCAGCGCTGACGGTGTTACCGCCACCACCACTGCCCTGTCTCCCTATCTCTCCGTCCATCACCATGTCCTCCACCCCATCATCTGCAACGCGTCGCCCTGCGCCCACGACGAGCACCACCAATCCTTCTACGCTAGACGCCTTCGCGGCCAGCAAATCTGTCCCTCTACCATACAGCATCGCAGCCGTCTCATCCTATTCAGGTACCTATGAACCCTCCAACATCCTCACGGATAAGCCGCACGACCTCTCATCGCGCTGGTCCGGGGCGAGCGTAGCCGCAGTCGCTTCTTCCTCTGCCACGACTTCTGCTGGAGGAGTGGCCGGAGCAGCAGCGGCGGCGGCAGCGGGAAGCAGTAGATCGGCAAATGTCCCAGCTGCGACGGTAGGTGGAGGAGCAGGGGGAGCGGGGAATGGGAAGCAGTACATTATCCTCAAGCTATCCCAGCTCGCAGTAGCAAGTGAGTCCCGCCCTCGCCTGTCCTTGCTCCGAATCTCACCTGCTCACTGGACCCCGACTTCGCTCATCTACCCTAGAATCCATTCTCTTCGGCAAATTCCACAAGGCTCACCCTTGCAACCTTCGCGACTTCAAAGTGTACGGCGGCCCTTCTCCCGACCCTAACTCGGGGCTGTGGATGCGATTGCTGAGGGCGGGGTTAAGGAATGACGCGCAGCCCGAGGAGTTTGCGCTCAAGTGGTGTGATGCAGATGGGATGGTGAGCATTCTTGACGCTTCGAGTTGAATGATGGAGCGGAGTTTGACAGTTTCTGGCCCCTCACACTCGCAGCCTGTGCCCATTCGCTACATCAAAGTCGTCCCTCTAGCAGCGCACAGCCCCAACTACAACTTCTCCGTATGGCACATCGCCCTCAAGGGGGTATGCGACAAAGCTTTGGTTAGTCGCGCCTCGCTGGAGTACGACGAGCATCGCGAGAGTTCGACGATGCGACTCATGCTCAAGCATCTCCGCTCGAGGGGACATCATGCCGCTTTTGAGGCATTGCTCAAGAGTAGCAAGCTCGACGCACCTCCGCTGGACGCGCACCAGAGGGAGCCAACTCCATCTCTGACGTCGTCCTCGTCGGGCTTGGACCATCAGCGTCCAACGCAGCGTCCCTTTGAGCACCCCATCGTGACCCAACTCTTCCAATCCATCATGAAGGGAGACTGGGATGCCGCCGAACGCTGCCTCGACATCTCTGCCGGCCAGGAATCTGCCTCCTCAGCCAACCTGAATCTCTTCGCACGCCATGTCTCGAAGCATGCTCACTCCGCTCACTGGCAGCGCATCAACGCAACAGACGCCGATGGGGATATACCCTCTCCTCGTGGCGGGCATCAGCTAATCGTAGATTCTGCGAGGGGCACCGCGTACCTCTTTGGAGGCTGGGATGGGGCCAATGATCTCTGTGATCTGTGGATCTACTATATGGCGGAGAGCCGTTGGAGGAGGATCAGTGCGGATACGAGAGAGCAAGGGGGCCCAGGACCAAGGAGCTGCCACAAGATGGCGTTGAGTTCGAGGAGTGGTCTATTGTATGTCCTGGGCAGGTACGTCGACTATTCCGGTGGGCCAACGAGCTCCAGCTCGACGACAGCGGGTCCGACAACAGCGGGAGCAGCGTCATCGTCGTCGTCATCATCGGCGGGCAATGCGAACATCCCTCATCGTCTGCGAGCAGGGCGATACGACACCAGGCGAGACGCTCCTGCCACGAGCAGCACCAGCGGCACCGTCCCTGGCTCCTCACCCGACCCCAATGGCTCCAACTCCGCCTCACCGAATCCAACACACCCACCCGCAGCAGCAGCTCCTCCTTCCTCGTCTCCGCGCCCGACTTCCCTCCAACCCTCCGCGACAACGAGCAACACCTCCCCACGCAACACGTCTCCCTATCCGACCTATCAATCCGACTTCTACCGCTTCTCCACCCGCTCAGAGCGCTGGGATCTACTGTCCCGTGACACTGCTGCCGATTGCGGGCCTAAACTCATCTTCGACCATCAAATGCTAGTGGACGACGAGTCTCAAATGCTCTACGTCTTTGGAGGTCGAGTCGCGCATTGGGACCCTGCACACTTTGAGCTGAGCGGGCTCTGGAAGTGGGACTGTATTCAGAGGACGTGGCATTTCGTTTTCGACGACGAGACGCGACTCGGGGACAAGATTCTGAGTCGAGCGGGGCATAGCATGTTGCTGGACACGGTCAAGCGACAATTGTGGGTTCTAGCCGGGCAGAGAGGAGAGACGTACCTTGCAGACATGCACGTGTACGACTTGACCACTAAAGCGGTCCGCGAGATCTCGCACGACTATAGCCAAGGGGGCAAAGGGCCTGAGGGAGGCTTTACGCAGCGCGCCACCATCGACTCGGGGAAAAGAGAGATCTACCTGTTTTCCGGATTGGTCAGGCGCAGTAGATGTAGCGATGAAAGAGTCAAAAGCGCGTTCTGGCAGTATAGAATGGAGGAGGATGAGTGGCGAGTGGTGTGGAGGGGCCAGGGTAGCGCGATTGCTGGTGGTGGCTCACAAGGCGGAGCGAGTAGCGGAGGAGACGTTGAGATGGACCTCAGCGAGATCGACGACGACGAGGACCCCGATGGCGACTCGACCGCTACTCCAGGTCTGCTCAGCGCGACACGCAAGAAAGCCAAGGCGACAGCGGCAGCCGCCGCTGCCCTAGCAGCATCGGAGCCACGCCCGCGGTACGCATCCGAGATGGTGTACGATCCACGAACAGAGACCTTCCTCCTCTTCGGTGGCAATCCCGCCGACCCATCCGCCATGCCTGCACGTTTGGACGATCTCTGGTCCCTCAAGCTTATCCGCCCTGGGGTGTGCGAGGCACTACGACGGGCCAAGTTCACCTTGAGGCAGCAGAGGTTCAAGGAGATGACCGCTCTGGGAGCAAGGGCTGCAGGCGGCGATGGACTGGCGGCGATGGAGGCGCTGATGTACTTGCAGACGCAGGTGGCTGAGGTGGTGGACCATGACAAGGCGCACGAGAGTAGGACCTTCCGGAAGCTCGTCGCTGGGCTACTTCAGCACAACGAGGGCGGCACGGATGCTAACATGGCGAGCCTTGGAGATGACGGCGACGCAACGGTCACCCGCTCTAGCAGCACATCGGACCCACTCAACAGTCCTATCTCCTCGGACGGCCTCCCCTCAATGGACACGGACACGGGCGACATGGATGACGAGATGCTCTCTATTTCTCAGACTCTTCCTCCGCGAGCTCAACATGCTGCTCGTCGTCATCCCGACTTGAGTCGGCTGCGTCCCTTGGAGGCAGGGCAGCGTGCCCCTGCCTTATACGCGCAACGTCTTGAGCTCTTCAGGGAGCTGCTCCGCTTCTACCCGCCCGAGGCTATCGAGCCCAGCGATGACGTTGGTCTGGCGGTGAGTGCCGCGCTTGTCAGAGGGGCGAATCGTCGATAGGCTCAAGCGATTGATTGTTGGAAGAGGTAGATCAATGGCATGTGATTCATGAGCTAGTCTAGTAGTGCGCTATGTGACCGTAATGAGTGAGCTGCTGAGTGAGCGAGAGCGAGCGAGCGAGCGTGTGTGCGCCGACGTGTGTCGCGTGGCTCCGCAATGCCTGCATGCAAGTCGAGGGCATCACAAATCGGCGCGAAGAAAGTCCAGTTCGGTCCTGTTGCTCTTTCGAGGTCGAAGACGAGGCGGAACGAGAAAGCAGGCGAGGGGCGTTGGGCATTTTGAACATTCTCCTTCTCTTCTCAATTCCACAACCTCTTTCGTGCCCGAGATGGATGCCCTCTATTCCATCTTCCAATCGACGCTGAGCCCCGACCCGAACACGAGGGTGAGGGCCGAGCTCGACCTCCGGGCTACCGAGGCGCAGCCTGGTATGTTGCCTGGCGTGCTTCAGATTGTTGCGAGCGAGCAGGCAGATGGTACCATTAGGCAGGCGGCTGCGATGTGAGTGCGCGCAAGAGGATAGCGAGGATGACAGAGCATCGTCGATGCTGACCTGGCTATTTGTTTTCGGCTCCCTCTTGGCAGCTACCTGAAGAATCGCCTGCGCAAATCGTGGGACGATGAGGGAAACAATGCCTCGTCGTCCAAAGGCCCCGCCGCTGTCCCTCAACAAGACCGCGAGCCTATCAAGTCGTTGCTACTCCCCACACTCGTTTCAACCACTGGCCAGGTACAGGTACACGTCGCATCTGCCTTCCACACCCTCGTGCGAGCCGACTTCCCTTCCAAGTGGCCCGACCTCATGGACAATGTCGGCCGCCTTGTCAAGAGCCAGACGCCCAAGGAAGTCTACGGCGGTATTCGCGCTCTCCTTGAGATCGTCCGCGCCTTCCGCTGGATTGACGATGCTAACCTCATGGAGCCAATCGTCGCCTCGACGTTCCCTACCATCCTTGCGACGGGCACGCAGCTCCTTCAGTCCCCCGATGTCGACTCGCAGGATGTGGGCGCGCTCATCTATATCATACTGAAGGTGTACAAGAGCTCCATCAACAGTCAGATGACGTCGCACCACCAGAGCAACGAGAGCATCATTCCTTGGGGTAAATTCCTCCTCGACGTTGCGCAGCGTCCCGTCTCGTCTGCCTCGCTGCCCTCAGATGAGGACGACCGTGAAATCTGCCCTTGGTACAAGGCCAAGAAGTGGGCATGCTTCTCCCTCAACAAGCTCTTCTCGCGGTACGGTAACCCCTCGCAGCTTCCCTCAACCCTCCAGTCCTACAAGCCCTTTGCAGAGCGCTTTGTCGCCACCTTTGCACCGGAGATCCTCTCCGCCTACCTCCGCCTCACCGAGTCCTCGATCAAGGGCGAAGTCTGGCTCTCAAAGAAGCAGACGCACCTCATCCTCCGCTTCTACGAGGAGTGTGTCAAGCCGAAATCCACGTGGTCCCTTCTCAAGCCGCACGTCAATACGCTGGTGCAGCAGTTCGTCTTCCCGAGGCTCTGCACGAGGCAGGCAGACGAAGAGCTCTGGGAGCTGGATCCCGTCGAGTTCGTGCGATTCAACATCGACCCGATCGACATTGGTGGGCCGGAAACGAGCGCTTCGAGCTTTTTGACCGTCGTGGCCTCCAAGCGCACAAAGACAGCATTCCTTCCTCAGCTGGAGTTTGTCACCTCCGTCGTTCAAGCTTACCCTGCCTCGCGATCCGCGGCAGAGAAGGCAGGCGCACTTGCAATGTGCAAAGCGATGGACCTGACGATGCTGCACCATCCCAAAGTCTCTACCAGTCTCGAGGGCTTCTTCTCCCAGTACGTCGTACCAGAGCTCACCTCTCAGGACAGGGTGCTCCGCTTCCGTGCCTGCCAGCTCATCTCAGCCTTCGGCAGCAAGATGGCATGGCGCAACTCTGCCAACCTCCAAGCCGCTTTCATGGGAGTCATGCAATGCGTGACGGACGAGGAGCTGCCCGTGCGGGTCGAAGCCGCTGCGGCCTCCACGGTCCTCAGCGAGCACGATGAGATCCACGCAGCCATGGCTCCCAATGCCCCGCGTCTCATGCAAGAGCTCCTCAAGCTGTCCGACGAGCTCGAGCTTGACTTGCTCACCGAAGCCAAGAGCAAGGTGGTGGAGCGTTTCTCTGAGGAGCTCATGCCCTTCAGCGTGGAGCTTGTCGAGCAGATGAAGAACAGCTATGTGCGCCTCGTGGAGACTTACATGGCTTCGGCGGACATCGCAGAGGACGGAACGCACGAGTTCAACATCAACGATGGCGAGGGCGATCGTCTCTTTGCTGCCATTAGCGCATTGCAGACAATCTACTCTGTCCTCACCAGCTGTGACGAGAAGCCGGAGATCCTCGCCCAACTCGAAGGGTCTGTGCTGCCCCTCGTGGCCTTCACCATCGAGAAGGAGGCAATCGAGCTCTACGATGACTGCTTCGACCTGCTGGACGTGCTCACTTTCTATCAGAAGAAGGTCTCGCCTGGCATGTGGGGCATCTTTGAGCTCATGGCCAAATCCTTCCTTGACGGAGCCGGGATCGACTACCTGGCTGAGATGCTCAGCACGTTTGACAATCTCGTGTCTTACGGCACAGACGTCTTCAAGTCCAACGAGAACTACCGCAAGTTGCTCCTCGGCATCTATGAGAAGGCGATGAAGTCCGATCAGCTCGGTCTGGGCGATCACCTCTCTGCTTGCAGGCTGGCGGATGTGGTGCTGCTCCTGCTGAAGGGTAGCATCGACGAATACGTGCCCATGATCGTCTCCACGGTCCTGCCACTGCTGGACGAGAGCAAGGCGCAAGGCGCAACCGCCAACCTGCGCAAGTGGGCTTGCATCGTCATCCTCGACGCTCTCGTCTACGATGCAGGCCTGACGTTGCGCTGCCTCGAGTCGAGCGGGGCGACGCAACACTTCTTCACCTTGGCCTTGGGCCAGGTCGTGCCCAAGCTAGTCAAGGTACACGAGAAGAAGGTCGTGGCACTGGCGCTCATGAGCGTTCTTGGCCTGGACGAGGGGCAAGCACCGCAGGCCATTAAGGCTGGCGAGACACAGCTCCTCACCTCTTTGCTGGACAATCTCGCAGGCATCCCGGAAGCGATCAAGCGCCAGCGTGCTTTGGAAGACGCCTTTGTGGACGATGAGGACGAGGATGCTGAGGAGGAGGACATCGACGGTGGAGCTGATGACATTGCGAGCCAAGTCATTAACGATGGGGACGATGATGCGGACGTGCACGACGAGGATAACGAGTACCTCGAGCTTCTCGCACGCGAAGGCGCCCGTTTGCGCGCCAAGGCCGCTGCTGCTGCTGGCGCCTCGGCTGGAACAGGCGGTGACGAGTACGCAGACGTGTCGTACGATGCGGACTCGGATGAGGAGGCCGATGAGGATGAGGACGAGGAGGGCGTCGTGTATGAGAGCCCGCTCGATGACGTGCCCGTGTTTGACCATTTCCGTCAACTGATGACGCATCTGCAGAACACGCGACCCAACGTTCTTGCGGGGCTTGGCGCAGAAGGCTCGAGTAGGGTCACTGAGGTTGGGAGCATCATGGATGAGAGGGTTAGGAGGGAGGAGGGCGACGAGAGTCAGGCGAGCATTCAGTAAGGGAGCATGAAGGGCCGGAGGCTGGAGAGGAGGAAGGAGTATACCAAGTGAAATCGTAGATGCCGCAGGGATGTTTTTTGAAAACATGCGCAGTAGATTGCAGAATCTATCGGCCCGAGCTGAAGGGCGTGGGTAGGGCGCAAACCAGCCTCAGGCGTCGTGGCAGGTACGCTGCCCAAGATCTCAATCTCTTCATGTGGTGATTTTGGCTTTGCATTCTAGCACAGCGGCCGCTACATGGGGGGCTGCGCTGAAGTAGGATCGTCACAAATCGGATCTAGAGCTTAGCCAGTGAGATGCGCCCGGGCGAGGAGTTGTCCCTGTTTATTGCCTGCGCCAAAGCAGGTGGAAAGTCAGTTCATCAGTCAGAACTTCGTTTCGTAGTGAAAGAAAGATGTGCGCGCGCACACACTCACATCTTGATGACGCAACGAATGCAACCTCCCTTCTTCATCTCTTCGAGACCCTTGTTGATGTTCTCGAGGTCCTGGCTGTGCGTGATGTACTCGTCGACCTTGAATTGGCCCTTGAGGTACTTCTCCACCAAGCCGGGCAGCTCCGTACGTCCCTTGACACCACCGAATGCCGATCCCTGCCACTTACGACCGGTGACGAGCTGGAAGGGGCGCGTAGCAATCTCCTGGCCTGCAGCCGCGACACCAATGACGGTCGAGACACCCCAGCCCTTGTGGCACGCCTCGAGAGCTGAGCGCATGACCTTGACATTACCTGTGCAGTCGAAGGTGTAGTCGAGTCCACCGTCGGTCATCTCTACGAGGTGCTTGACAATGTCGTCAACCTTGTCCGCCTGAACGAAGTCGGTTGCGCCAAACTTCTCGGCCCACGCCTTCTTCTCCGGGTTGACATCGATGGCAATAATGCGGCCAGCCTTGTTGGCTACCGCTCCATCGATGACGGCAAGACCCACACAGCCGATACCGAAAACAGCGACGGTGCTTCCCTCCTCTACGTTGGCAGTGTGCGTCGCTGCACCGTAGCCCGTAGTGACACCACAGCCAAGCAAGCAGGTCCTGTCCTGCTTTGCCTCTTGGTTGACGGCTACGAGTGAGAATTGAGAAACGACGGTGTACTGCGAGAAGCAAGAGGTGCCCATGAAATGGTTGAGCTCTTTGCCCTTGCAAGTGAAGCGCTTTGTGCCGTCAGGCATGACTCCCTGGCCCTGAGTGGCCCGTACACGTTGGCAGAGGTTCGTCTTGCCCGACTTGCAGAATTTGCACTCTTTGCACTCGGCAGTGTAGAGGAGAATGACCTACGTCAAACACAGCGAGAGAGGAAGGTCAATGTTTGCTCGTGTAGCGTTATCAGTTGGCGGCTACTCACCGAGTCGCCCTCCTTTACGTGGGTGACGCCCTCTCCAACCGACTCGACGTAACCGGCACCTTCGTGTCCCAAGATGGAGGGGAAGGCACCCTCTGGGTCGCTACCAGAGAGGGTGTAGGTGTCGGTATGGCACAAACCAGTGTACTCTACCTTGACTCGTACCTCGCCGGCCTTGGGCGGTGCCACCTCTACATCTTCGAGGGAGAGTGGCTTGCCTGCCTCCCAGGCAACAGCGGCCTTGCATGTGATCGTCTTGCCAGCGGTAGGTGCCATATTGTGTAGATGAGTGAATTCGGTGTGAATGAAAGGGAGAGAAGATAGGCGGGAGTCGAGTGGCTGCTCAAATGTGGGGTTTCAAGTAGGCTGCCAGGCACTCTGTCGTGTGCAATTGATTCTTCGCGGGCAGTGGAGGCCGTTTCGCAGTCAGCTTTGACTGCTCTCGTGCCTTGAGTCGTCGTCCACATGACCGACGGACCACACGTCGAGGGGGCTGCGTCGGATTCTCAGCTCGAGAGGACGCCTCAATGGCCCGCTCTTCGGACGACGAGCAAAAGATGCACACAAATGCCTATCAAGGCGAGAGCAAGAGCAACGCCACGAGGTTCAAGGCGCTGTGGGGCATGACCAGGGATCACTGCGACCGCGTCTCTCATCATAGCTTTGTGTGCAAACGTATTGATGTTCGAGATACAATTACATTGCTGCGAGAAGAGGGTCAATCTATCGCCACAAAAGCCCGTCTACTCTCAAGACGCCCATCGAGGCCAGTCGTGCAGCATCATCCCACACTACGTTGCCACGGTCCTCGTCGTCGTCGTCGACCCGTTCAGCTCACTACAAGCACCCAAAGATGCTTCCCAAATGGCCTACGCTCTCGGCTCCGTCTAACTTGCTACCCTCCTTCTCCTCCTGCTCATCGTGCTCCTCCTCGCTCACTTGTTCTTCGAGAACTTGTACTGGAAGCGCTTCCTTGTAGGAGCAAATTCTCCCAGCTTGTGACCCACCATCTCCTCGGTGATTGAGATGGGGACGTGCGACTTGCCATTGTGGATGAGGAAGCGCAGGCTGGCGTGGCGCAGCGTATGAGAATGAAGAACGGCAGGGGTCAGCGTCAGGGGGACGGAACAGATGCAGAGGCAAAAGGCTGTTGCGCTGCGCCGCTCTGCTCTCGCCGTACTCACCCCACGTAGTTGGGAAGAATGGTACATAATCGCGCATTGGTACGGATGGGTGTGTTGCCCCTCAGTGCCTCGGCCAGGTTGGGAAAGGCGACAAAGAAGGGGCCCTTCCATGCCGAGCGCGCTCGCAGGGCTTGGGATGGGAGCATGGCGAGTGTGAGGGCGCCTGAAGAGAGAGAAAGGCAGATAAAAGCTTAGTCAAGACTGCGGCGACATCGACAGAGGAAAGAGCGTAGACTGACCTCTGCTTTGTCGAGACTACCAGTACGATGAGGATGAGACGAAGCGAAGTTGCTCGAGGCCGGACTGAGCCACCTTGTTGCGTCTGGCTCGCCACGTGATGCTCTCTCTCGTCGAGATTTTTGGTCCTCAGTCCGTCATTCCACCTCCGCACCTTCGACCTCCATTCCTCCTCATCACCCTCGACCCACTCCACTTCACCACATCGCCAGCATGCGTCTTCTCACCCACAACCTCTTGGCATGCTCGGCACGCACTTGCCTCACCACGTCGAACAACTTCCCCTTGGCCCTCAAAGATGTGCAGCTCGAAGTTGTAGAGGTCGAGTACAATGAGGGCTTCTTGAAGGGCCTCATGGGTGGGGGAAAGGTCGATTGGAGAGGTCTGGTGCAGACTGTGAGATCGGTGAGTGAGAGAGAGTCCTAGCAGACGATCTGAACATGGGAGAGAGCTGATATCGATCATCGGGTACTCGCGTGCCTCCCGCAGCTCGGTGACAGCTCGCTGCCCGAGACGGTCAATGAGGACGAACTTGACGACGACATTCTCAAGAAGCTTCATCATCTGCTACTCGAGGTGAGCCCACGCTACGCATCCTGCCGTCGCTCAACTTCATTCCCTGACTTGCCTTTTTTCCGCGCCCACTCGCCTCCTCGCACAGATCCACGTAACACAAGGAGCCATGGTCTGCCCAAACTGCTCTCACGTCTTTACGATTCGTGAGTACATGTGCATCTCCAACCATCCTGTCGATCTCGCCGCTCACCCATTGCTCTTCTCTCGCGTCCGGCGTCTCCTCGTACAGGCAACGGCATCCCGAACATGGTGAGTATAGAGCCCCGATCCTGTCGCGTGCAGCGCCGGTCCCTTGTGCTTTGGTTCTCATCTCGCTCGCTCCAATGTTCGCTCACTCATTGTGTCCCTTTGGTTCGCTCATGTTCGCAGCTCCTGGCCGACCACGAGGTACAGCGCTAGGTCATTTCGCGCCAGGCCGTGAAGTCTTGTCATTCGCCGAAATACCTCCCCTCACCGTTTCTCTCTGCATCGTGTCGTCCGTTCATCATGTTGTACCACATTCATCTCACCTCGAAAATTCCATCAGCTGTGATAGCCCAATGCGACTGATACACTAGCGTCTACTTGGTGAGGTTCCCGACGGCAGCTTTTGGCTTGGATCCAAGTGTGTGACCGGCAGCCCGTAGGTTCAGGCACCATTGCGGCGCCAATCTTCTTCTCGCACGACATTGCTTCGCGTCTTTCTCACGGCCAGGAACGAGCGAATAGGTGTACGAAGAGGATTGGCCGATGAGGTGGCAAACGCGAGCAGCTGAGCGCTCACCAACACGCCAACGCTCAAGCTCATGTACCCGCGGCCACCTTGAATTGCTCCTGTGTGCTCCCTGGTCTACTAAGCTAGCGGGACTGATGGTCGCTCACATTCGTTCGCTCACTCACGCTGCAGCTAGAGTGTGGCGCTCTCTTTTGCCTCTGGCCCGCCTGCAGCCCACTAGCCCGGCCAGGCCCACGGCGCCGTAGGCCTCCGTTCCCGCCCGGCGGTTGGGAGTCCTGTCGAGTTGAAGTGCTTGCAGGAACATAGACTCGCGAGATGTGTCGACGCGGTATCTGATTTGCCGTCGCTCTCGCTGACCCTCGTTCAAGGCGAGGCTGAGATGTGGTCTTCTGCCTCCGTCTCGTCTGAGGAGCAAACGACGGTTCACGAGACGGCGACGGCGGGTTGAGAAAAAGTCAGAGGGCAAGGGGAGAGAGTCACAAGGAGGGCAGGCAACACTTTATCTTATCAGGTCGGCGTCGCCCTCGCTCTTCCCCATTCCATCTTTTTTCCCATCACCACCGCCACCTACCTGCCTCCATCAGCCAGACAGCAGCGCGATCCATCATGATCCGCAATACGCTCCTCGTCGCCGCTGTCTCCCTCTTGAGCGCAGCTAATGCAGCCAAAGTCGAACAATGGTGGAATGTCGGATGGGTTGAGAACCAGAATCCTGATGGTCTCCCGGCCAGGCGGGTTATTGGTGTAAACGGCACATGGTAAGTAGCAGTTCCGTCAATGAACGCTGTAGTACCGCGCTCACATCGCCATGCTCGCTGCGCTGCAGGCCGCCTCCGATCCTCAACATCAACAGCTCCGACTCGCTGACCATCCACGTCAAGAACCAGCTCAACGATGGCATGGGAACGGCGTTGCACTCTCACGGCATGTTCTTCAACGGGACAGGCTACTACGATGGTGCCGTCGGCATCACGCAATGCCCGATCCCTCCCAATGAGAGGTGAGAAGTCATTGTCTCAGCGTGATAGCAGCGCAGCATGCTGACTTCGATGGGCCCCCCGGCTGACAGCTTCTCGTACGAGGTGCACAACTCGCCCAAGTCGCCCGCTGAAGCTGCCAAGCAGTGGGGTACATTCTGGACTCACGGCCACTCGATGGGACAGTGAGTTGACGCTACCGATGGCAAATGCCTCCTTTGCAAGGCTGACAAGCTTCTTCTCGCTCCCTCGCAGATACGTCGATGGGCTCCGTACCGCCTCAATCATCCACGCCGACACGGCCGAGACGCAAGCTCACAAGTACGATGAAGACTACACGATCCTCATGGCAGACTGGTACCACGCAACGCACGACATCCTCATGGAGCAATTCATGACCGACCGCAATCCCACGGGCGCCGAGCCCATCCCCGACTCATCGGTCATCTACTTTGCTCACACGAGCAACAACTCTGCTACGCCCACGCTCGTTCCCGGATTCAACGAGGACGCCAAGCTCCAATTCCAGCCGAGCAAGACGTACAGGCTGCGATTGATCAACATGTCCGCCCTGGCTATGTTCCAATTCTGGATCGACGGCCACGAGATGAGGATCATCGAGGCTGATGGAGTCGACACACAGGAGTTCCCCATCGACCGCATCTCCCTCTCGGTAGCCCAGCGCTACTCGATCCTCGTCACGGCAAAGAACACGACCGACACCAACTACGGCATGCACATCAACATGGACCCCGTCATGTTCGACACCGTACCTGACTCTCTTAAACTCAATGTCACCTCGCTCATTGAGTACAATGACAAGGCCGGTACCCCGGTCGCCGCCGAGGAGACGCGCGACTATGACGACATGATTGACGACACGCTCCTCGTCCCTTACTACCCGGAGCCTTCTTACCCTGCCGACACCAGCCACGACCTCAACGTGTGGTTCGACGTGCGTGCCGACGGCAAGAACTATGCCGCCTTCAACAACATCTCCTTTGTCTTCCCCGAGACGCCCTCCCTCCTCACCCAAACCACCATGGGATCGGCCGCCCTCGAGCCTGCGGCGTACGGCCCCTCGTCGCATGCCATCGTCACCAAGCACGGCGACATGGTTGAGCTGACCATCTACAACTGGGACGCAAACGCCCACCCTTTCCACCTGCACGGCCACCAGTTCCAGATCGTCAAGAAGACCATGGACGCGCTCTCGGACGACCCGACCGTCAACCCTCCCCTCAATGAGACGGCCCTCAGCCTGGGTAACCCCATGCGTCGCGACACCGTCACCGTCCCCAGCGGAGGCGCAGCCGTCCTACGCTTCAGGTCGGACAACCCTGGCGCATGGCTGATGCACTGCCATATCGAGTTCCACTTGAACGCCGGCTTGGCCCTGATCATGATTGAGGCGCCCGAGGTCGTCAACTCGAAGCTTCAGATCGACCCAGCAGTGCAACGTCACTGCCTTGCTGACAATATTGCCGTCACGGGCAACGCGGCTGGTCTCAACTCGACGACGGACTTTGGCAATTTGAAGAAGGAGGCCAAGTTCATCATCTCAGGGTGGACAAAGGAGGCTGTGGGAAGCGTCGTGGGATGCGCCATCACTGCTGCGCTTGGTTTGGCTGTGGTCGTGTACTTCGGCCTCAGCCAGGGGGAGGAGCAGGAGGACAAGGAGTAGAGAAGTGATGGGAGATGGAAGCATGGGGAGAAGAATTCTAGCAGAAAGAGTGGAGGCGCGCCGCCACGGGATTGCCTCTATAGTAGTGTAGCGTCTCCAAAAAAGCAAATGTTATGAAGCAACAGCGTCACCATCACTGGCATCTCGCATGGCTGCGCATGTGAATTGCTCTGATTCTTCTCTGCTTACCATCAAGTGGTGGTCGAGGTGAATCCCGTCGACCGTAGGCGCTTGGGTCGCTGAGTCAGCCGCCCGTTCCGTAGCTCACCGAGTCGCCCCCGCCGCCAGTCCGCCCTCGTCGTGTCTTGCCCCGCTCCACTTGACATTCTCTGCATGCATTTAATTCACGCTTCAATCTCGCCTTCCTCACCATCACAAGACTAGATAGACCCTGATCGACGCATAGAGCTCCTCATCACTACCTCCTCTCTCGCAGACATGGTTCACCCAACCACTCTCCGCTCCCTGCAAAGGACAGCCCGCCTGCTCAGCGACAACCTCCCATCATCCCCTGCCGCATCCTCCTCTTCTTCCATCTATCAGCGAGCCGCCTCTTCCCTCCTTCCCCCTCTCCCCCTGTATCGTCGCCTCCTTCGAGCTCATCGCACCAAGCTCTCCTATGAAATGCGATCATTAGGCGATACTTACCTTCGGGATGAGTTCAGGCGACACAGAAGTGTAACCAACCCGCTGCAGGTTGTGGGCTTCTTGGGCGGGTGGAAGATTTACTTGGATCAGTTGGAAGGAGAACTTGATGGTGGGATTGCCGGTGCGACGACTGGTGAAGGTGGAAACAAGAGGTTCTTCGAGGGGAGGAAGTTGAGTGCTGAGGAGTTTGAGAAGGTGAGACCCGGTCGCGGTTGCGCCTCATCTCGCTCATACCCGCTGGCCGAAAGAAGTCGTCCTAACTCCCTCTCTTTCCTCCACTGCCTCGTTTTCATACTCGCAGCTCTCAGAAGAACAGCTCTACCAGCTGCACGAATTCATGACGGCCACGCAGGACTTGTATGACCCCAAGGCACCTGGCCCACCTGGACCGCCGAGCGCCGATGGGAGTGCTGAGACTGCAGAGGCGGCAGGGAGGAAGTCAGGAGCAGGTGAGGCTAAAGAGGGAGAGGGAGAGAAGGTCATCAAGGATATCTTGGAGTCATCATCGCCGGAAAAGAGGAGATGACGGGGATGTTGAGGGCATGATGCGCACATGAGAAGCTGGTGAGCGAGCCCGCTGTAGTGGATGCGCCACTTTACCTCAGGCAATAGACAGTAGCATTTGGCCAGCAGACTGATTTGTTTGAGGGAAGTCGTCGGCTGCTCGCCATCGTCCTCGCTTCACTGCCGTGGTCACTCGAGTAGAGGCTGCATTGAGTTGAGTCGCAACGCCGGCTCTTTTCGTGGATGAAAGGGCCGACGCCACTGAGCGATGAAATGTCATTGTTCTCGTCTGAAGACTTGAGCAGCTAAAGATGAAGAGGTGGAACGCGGTAAGAGGAGATGCTGAGAACATGTGCGAAGCGAAAGAGCTACATGACGAAACGGAACAAAGTTTCTGACGTCGTGAAGAAAGAGGAAAGGTGTCTATGAGCTCCCGTACCCCACAGGTGCGATGCTGAACTTGATTAATCGGAGGCGTAGTGGTCTTGACGGGAAAAGAGGGAGAGTCCGTGTCTTGCTCTGTGTTGACGAGACGATGCGTGACGATGTGTGTTCCTGAAACTGCGTGTCCTCTATGCCGCGGCAACGGGGATGGCGGCCGCTGGAGGAGCCATCGGCGGGACCTCGGACTTCTCGTTGACAGCTACAAAGCCGGGCGATGAGGTGTTGGAGCTAGGCTGGCTGCTAGCACCCGCACCACTTTCGTCATGTACCTCTACGGGGACCTCCTGCTGGACAACTCCCCCTGAGGCAGGCGCAGGAGCCATGGGCACAACGGTCTCGGGCACGTCGAGGTGCTCGGCCGTCTTCCAAGCCTCCTTGAAGGTCACGCCTGCCCTCTTCTCCAGTTGGCCGATCCAGACACTCTGTACGCACCACTGGTGGAACGTGTAGTAGCGGAGCGTCGACCAGCGGAAGAACATGCCGACCTCGTTGCGGCGATACTGCGGGAAATCGGCCGTCATGCCCTCCCTCACATCTTGAAGCATGGCAGTCTTGTCGGTGAGAATGGCCTTGACGCCCCAACGAGTCGCCTCGACCATCTCGTCTTTCCTGTTGACGGTCCACACAAAGACGTCCTTCCCATCGCGCTCAGCTCGGCGGAGAAACTCCTGCCCATCGGTCCCGATGAGGGAGGGGAAGCTCATCGAGAAGCCGTCGCAGTGCTTCCAGAAGTAGGTGGTGGCAGCCCAAGGGGACCCGCCGATGTGAATGCGGCGCATGGAAGGGACGTGCTTGAGTGCAGCTGCGAGGAAGCAGGGGTGCCAGAGGCCAAGGATGAGACGAGGGGAGAGGTCCGTGGCGTAGGATGGGTAGGAGGAGACGACTTGCTTCATGAGCTTGAAGAGGACCTCAGGGTCGTTCTCTGGTTTGATGTCGATCTGCAAATGCGCGAGGAGGGGAAGGAGTGATGAGATCGGCGTGTCCTTCTGCCCACGGCACGCGGACCACTCACGTTGAGCTTGACATGCTTGTTCTCCGGTCGCATCAGCAAGTCGCAAACGTCCTTGAAGGTAGGCAGCTGCTGATGAGGCTTCTTGGTCGTCCTGAAGTTCTCAATGACGCCTTTCCAAGGCTGCTCCTTGATGAGGCCGGTGCCATTGGTGGTGCGCTCCAGCGAAGGGTCATGAAACATGATGATGACGCCGTCGGCCGTGACGTGGACGTCTGCGAAAAAGTTGGTCGAGGGATGAGTAAAACGAAGGGGGGCCGTTGGGCGGCAGAAGCGAGCGTGTAGCGAAAATGTTCCCCCCTCGTCCTCTTTTAATGTCGTGTGCCATCCGCCTCGACTCTACCCGCCAAACCTCTTTCCCGCAGCGAGAAGTCGCTTCCCGCTTCTCCCCAGCAAAGGAGCAATCAATCGAGGCTACGGGCGCAGACACTAACCAGACTCCAGACCTTCAGATCCATCCCTGACGGCACGCTCGAAGGAGGCAATGGTGTTCTCCGGGAAGGCAGCCGAGGCTCCACGATGACCCCAGCACTCGGGCATCGCCGGCTTGAGATCCTTTTTGAGGAAGGATTTGGTAAGGGGCCGCATCGCGGTGATGATGAGGATGAGGAGAAGATGAAGCAGCGAGGGAGTAAAGAGGGTGGCGGCAGTGATGGTAGTGGTTGGGAGTAAAGGGAGGAAACGTCAGCTCAGGTCCATTTGATCGCGTGGATGGTGTGGTGTTGACGAGTTGACGAGGGCCGGCGACAGGGACAGGGCCCACGTCGTTTGGCACGTTCTGCTGTGGGGTAATGTGGTTCCGCGCCCTCGTCCCACTTCGTCGATGTCCTCCTAGTCACCGCGATCCACGGTCTCGTCGAATCTCAGTCACTCTGACTCTCAGCTGCTCGTTACTCACCTCGCTTGTCTCAGGAGGTGGAGTGGTCGCTGCGAACGTGCCCGCCTTGGCGCGCGTGCCCGGCTTCGCGGTGCCGCTCATGCCGCCACTGCCGCTACCAGGACCGCTCATCGTCGACGACGACGACGATGCGAGGGCGGAAAGGTGAGAGGCGAGGACGGATGCTCCGACTTCTCTGAAGTAGGTGGGCATCGAAGGTGATCGAGGGAAGGAAGGTGTGGTGTGGTGAAGAGGAGAAGTGTGATTGCAATGCGGCTCGGCCTTGACCAAAATTTGGAGGTGGCGCGGGGCAGAGAGGCTGACAGCTGCAGGGACCAGAAACGCTCTTCTAGTCACCGATGGGCGTGAGCGAGATGAGCGTGTAAAGAGGTCGAGGTCTACGAGACGAAGTCAATGGGTAGAGATGCGGATGGTAAAGAGCGAAGAAGAGAAGATACCGCATACAACCCGACGTCAAAGCAATCTCCCACCCCTCTTGTCGCTGCATCACTCATCAGGCAATACGGTCAAACCTCCATCTTGCGCCGGGCCCGCGGCACTCAGGCACGATCCGTCGTCTTCGTGAGCCGGCAAATTCTCGCTCCCGTTCGTGCAGCCGGCGGGGCGCGGGCTCACGGCGCTCTACGTCGTCGCGGGGGGCTCGGGTTGTCGACATCTTGTCATGATTGCGAGAAGGCTGACATCGATAGCTTGACACCAGAATGGAGACGCAGAGAGGGACAAGTCACGACATCTTAGCGGGGGGCTCGCAGGAGGTGCAAGAATGATGAAATAGAGTGACACGGAGTGGGTGAAGGCCGCTGCCTCGTCGTCGTGCGCCAACAAGCTTAGGCTTTGGGCTCTGCCGAAGCTTCGAATCAGGGTCCATTTCATCTCGCCTGCGCGACTACGACTACGGCGCACAACGCTTTGCACCGTCTTGGACAGCGCAAAGCTGCCGTCGAGTTCGATGGTGCCGAATTGAGCAGCAGAGGAAACGAGGCGACCTGGTGGCTGCTGATGGAGGCTACGCTGCCTAGCTCGTGGGCGGCGTATCCCTGGCCGTCTTTGCGGTAGTGAGCAGCTATCCTGACGCTTCCCGACGGCGTGAGCGGGAGGCCGGAGTCTCGCGTGTGCTTCAGGGGACGCCAATGAGGCATTCGAGAGCCACGCTGGTCATGACGAGAGAAAAGGTCTGCGAAAGCGGTTTACGAAGTGTACCTGTGCCGCTTGACACAGGGCAGCAATCCTTGCTTCTCCTCGACTGTCCCTCCGAGCTGGAGCATCCCAATTCTAAGAAGCTGAATACCTTCGAGGGCATGTCGTCTCGATGGACATGGCCGAAAAGAGCGAAGTGAGGCAGACCCAACTCGAGGAAACTCGGTCATATCATATCTCGCCCTGTGCGTGCATGTCTTCCGCTCAACTCCACACGCCGCTCTGTCCGTCCGTCCGCCATCTCGCTCACTCGCTTGCAGCAGAAAAGTCGACCCACCAGTCCTCTCCATCCATCCCTTCCATCCAGCATCCCTCACTTCTCCACAGCATCTTCCACGCAGCATGCCCCGCCATCCATCACGCTCTCCATCCCCAGATCACTTCGGGCCCGCCCCAGTCCTGCCCACTGCAGAGCAGGACAAGGACCCTTTGTACCACCCAAAGAACGGCGTGGCACCATGGGCTTACGGCGAACCTTCACCAGGCCACGCCGCTGCTCCATCCATTACACATCTCCCTTTGGAGAGCGCCTGCTCCCCGCTCATCTTCGGCGGGGGCGTTTTCGGCGCTGGGATGTATAATGCAGACTCCTACATCCGCACAGACGTCCCGTTACGAACTTTGCTCCTCGCCTTCCGGTACGGCGTCAATGCCATCGATACCTCGCCTTACTACTATCCTTCGGAGTACATTCTTGGCAGACTCCTCGCTGCACTGCGACCAATCTATCCGAGGGATTCTTACTTTCTCTTCACCAAATGCGGGCGGTATGGACCTGACAAAGGGGATTTTGATTATTCGCCGCAGAGAGTGAGGAGAAGTGTCGAGGCGTCTCTCAAGCGGTTGGGTTCCGAGTGGTTGGATGTAGTGTACTTGCACGACGCCGAATTTGTGGCAGAGCAGGTGGGAGATCCCAGTGGCATGAACGCGGCGAGGGTCGCGAAGGGCGACAATGAGGCCTTAAGAACGTTGGGTCTTGCAGAGGGTGACGAGGGCAAGGTGCACGGCTCTGGAGACGAAGTGATCCTCAAAGCGGTAGAGGAGCTGCTACGCCTCAAGAGCGAAGGCAAAGTAAGACGCATAGGCATCAGCGGCTATCCTTTGCCGGTACTTCTCCGTCTTGTCCGCCTAGTAGCGGCCAAATACCCCAAGTCTGGCGGACTGGACGTTGTCCTCTCCTACTCTAATCATACACTCCACTCGGATATCCTCACGCCCTACCTGGATCTCTTCAAAGGGTCAACACCCACGGGAGGGCCAATTGTGTTCAATGCCTCGCCCTTCAGTATGGGCCTCCTCACTGATGCGGGTCCGCCAGGCTGGCATCCGGCAAGAGAGGAGCTCAAGGAGGCTTGTCGGGAGGCAGGAAGGCGGATACGCGGGCAGGAGGGGGAAGCGACGCTTGCCAAGACAGCTCTGCTCTATGGCATCAGAGGGGCAGAGACGAGTGCCAAGCAGCCGACACCAGATGGTGGTGCGGACGAGGGTCTCAGCGGCGTCAGACTACGCACCCTGCTGGGTATGAGCTCCCCAGAGCAGGTGCAGGACGCTATTGAGGCTTATCGCGTTCTATTGGCTGGGACCGCAGCCTCGACCGGCAGCAGTCAAGACGCCGAGCGACATGAAAGTTTGCTGCAGGCGTACGAGACGCAGCTACGCAACGAGCGCATCGTGATGGAGGAGATGGACAGGGCAGGAGTCAGGGACGAGAGTTGGCCTAGTGGAATATGAGGAGAGGTGCTGGAGCAGGACTGGGTAGCGAGTGGTACTAGCATTGCATCTACGTCATCTCTCAAGGCGAGGCGGTGAAAGAGGGAAAGTAGGAAAAGGAGCGAGGGCGGGTGATTGACAGGTGTGATGGAAGGGATTGTTGGTGCGAGACTGAGATTTGCCAAAGGACCCAGAGTGACAATGATCTTGTAATCACTAGACAAGTAACGACCGCTACACGATATGACGACACGATGCTGTCGTCTGCTGCTATTTGCTGCTACCCCTTTACTTGTACGTCTTCTTTCCCAGGTCAAAGGGTACGTAGCGGTACTTGATCATGTGCCTGGCGCGGCGAGGAGAGGCAAGATCATCAGCTGTCGTTGCTCGTACTCAACACTGACAAGCGTGTACTCACTTGATCTGCCTCTTCATTGTGATTCCCAGAAGGATGAAGAAGTACATGACCAAGATTGGCCAGTAGACGGGTACGTCACAGAGCTCTGTGAGCGTACATGCCAGGGAGATGAGAATGGCCTGCGTCGCTGAGAGCCAGAACTGGCGGCGTGAACATGAATGAGAGGTCAGCATACGGAGGGCGAGTATTGACCTGGTTTCAAGAGATGGCGTCACTCACCTTGAATTCCGGCAACCTGCGAATGAACGGCCTGAACTCCTCCTCCGTGTTCACGCTCCCGTTCGTCCCAGGGTTGCCAAATACGCCGCTCATCAGTCCACCGCCGGCTCCACCTTGCCCTCCAGCTCCGGCTCCCCCTGGTGACTTCGCCGCCGCGGACGCTGAGGTCGGCAGACCGGGCTCTCCTTCCTCAATATCCTGCGACGCGAGATCGTCGTAGAGTTGCGGGTCGAACTTTGGCTGGAGGAACGCAAGGAATAGGTTGAGAAGGTAGATGAAGAGGGCGTAGCATACTGCGAGCGATTGGAAGCATCACATGTCAGCCACAAGTTGCAGAGCTAGGCTGCCTCCCATCTCGCTGAAACACACCAATATACCACCCCTGAGCAATGACGATCCTCAAGACGAAGAGGGTGAGCAGCCCGCCTGTCGTGGCCCATCTTCTCCCGACGAAGGGCGTAGTCCTGTCCAAAGCAGCTTGGAGGCGCATCTGTGTCACTCGCGCCTGCTCAATGGCGTGCGCCACCGCTGGCGGGGGATTGGCGCCCAGCTCGGATGACATGGCACTGTTGGTGAGGAGCGGGTAGGGAGGAAGGAAGGAAGGATGTCGAGCGAGAGGAAGCGCGACAAGCGGCGGCCAAGGCGTGGCGTCGCAGACGGAGCCCACTTTCGCTTCTCCGTTGGCTCGACGCCGCCGTCCGCCCAACAGACAACGTGGAACCCCCTTCCGGCTGAGGCCCACTGCTCCGCTCCACCAAAGACGGAGAGAGAGGACAGCAGCTGCAGCTCAGCCTCACAGGTTGGACCCCGCATTATCACCACACCATAACCACGAAACTTATCCTCACGCCAAGATGGCGACTCCCTCCTTCCATCCTCCCGACATAGACGCTCTTCTGCTGCTAGAGTCGCCTCTAGCACGCGCTCCCTATGAGGATCTCAGACGCAGGATGCGCGTCCACCAGCGTATCACTGAGACGACCTTTGGAGGGTTGGCAGGGGTGACTAAGGATCTCGAGGGGTGCGGTAGCAAGGAGGAAATGCTCGGGAAGCTAGATGGAGTAATCGAGAGAGTGAAAGCAATGAGGGAGAGGGTAAGTGGCATGCACACGGAAGCGTGTCCTTTCCTCAATGATCGTTGTATGCTGACCACCTTAGCTCCCCCTTGCTCAGCTCAACCCCCTCACCGGCCACCTCGAGTCCTCCCTTTCCATGCTCCAAGATCGTACGAAGCACCTCGCAGAGATTCACGATATCGTGGGGTCAGCAACAGCTGCATCTACCAGCACGGACGCTACAGTCGAAGCCGCATCGGAGCCTGCCGCCGCGTCTGACCTGCATCCCCGCTACCAAAGCTGGACGGATACCCGCCTCCATCGCATGATAACAGACTGGCTCCTCCGCCGAGGGTACGTCTCCTCCGCAGCAAGCTTTGTACAGTCGCGCTCCCTCTCCTCCCTCGTGGACATCCCACTCTTCCGCGAGCTGGCAGAGATTCGCTCTTCCCTCATTCCGGCGCCTAGCTCAGGGGTCGCGCCTTCGTGCAGCTTATCGCTAGCATGGTGCACGGAGAACAAGGCTGCCTTGAGGCGCTTCAAGTCCACGCTGGAGTTCGATCTGAGGGTGCAGGAGTTTGTCGATCTGTGCAAGTCAGCGCCATCAGGAGGGGCAAGCAGGGCAGCGGCATTGCCTGCTGCAATCAGCTATGCGAGGAAGCACCTTCTCGCCCCTTACAAAGCGGCACTGGCTGCGAGCGCTGAAGGAGCTCCCTCCGACGGCAAGATGGAGGTGGACCCGGCGAAGGACCAGGACGAGGAGGACCAAGCCATCAACGCCCGCATCATCTCGACTGTCAGCCAAGTGCTCGGCCTCCTCGCCGTCCCTCCCGGCGGGTACGCATACGAGGACCTCTACTCCCCTCTGCGCTACAGGCAGCTCTATGACACGCTCCTCGCCGCCGCACTGCGCATCTACTCGCTCCCGCCGCAGCCAGTGCTACACATCGCTTTGTCTGCGGGCCTCTCATCGCTCAAGGTGCCTGCATGCTACAATGGGGAGAGGAGTAGCCAGTCTGTACATCAGGCTGCGGCGGCTACTGATCCGCCGGAGGCGGAAGGTGCTGGACCGGTCAACGAGGATCTCCTCGCCGACGTTCATCGCGAGGTTGAGGCCGAGACGCGCAAGCACGATGCTGAGCTGCATGCCTCCTCTTCTGACGAAACAGTGGACGAGACACGCAACAATGACTGCCCAGTCTGCGCAACGGTTGGTTGTGGCCACAAGAAGAAGAAGGGCGGCAATGAGCTCGGCTTGGGGGTTCTGGCCAAGGAGGTGCCTTGGAGCCACCACAGTAATTCGACGATCGTCTGCCGTATTACGGGAAAGGTGATCAGCGATTCGGGTGAGGAGGCGGACGAGGTTGTTGCTCTTCCTAATGGGCGCGTATACAGTCGCCGAGCGCTTGAGGCAGGCTTTGTGGGGAGGTTGTCTGGAGAGGAGGTCAAGGAGGAGGAAGTAGTTGGGGATGGCAGGTCCCCGTGGGGAAGTAAGAGGGACAGGGCTCAAGTTGTGGCCGAGGGAGGCGAGTTTGTCACCTGCCCGAGGACGAAGAGGCGCTTTCCTAGGAGTGGGGTCAGGAAAGTCTATATCACATGAGGAGGCGGAGCTCTTTTTACGCTCCTCTCTGCGCATTCAATCTGTACATTATAGGCAATCCCCACTTGATCTTTCACCTCGATGTGTGCGCTAGACAAGCTCAGCCCTACCCGCCCTTACCAGCGCTCTCACCCCACTCCAACTCAGAAGATGGACGCTCCCCTTTACAAGCTGCACAGTCTCGCCGTCAGCCATTGTCAAGCTTCCGCAGTCCTCGATGCACCTGATGAAGACGGGCCCTTGGGCATCCGGCCGCGACACCATCCCGCCTGCTGAAGAGCCGGGTTCCTCGTCCAAGGCGTCATCAGCTAGCCCGCGTAGCGACTCGGGCAGATAGTCGAGAATAGACGTGTTGAAGTGGGTTGCGCGGATCGAGGCGTACTTGCGGAGGTAGGCGCGCTCGAGAGGTGATACCAGCATTGCCCCTCCTGGCCCACCACCGTCATCGTCTCCAGCTAAGGAAAGGTAATGCTGCGGGTGTTCCTCCAGCTTGGAGAGGCGAGTCCGAAGAAAGGCACGTAGAAGCCATCGTGCTCGTTCGACGTCTAACTGGACGAGGCTGAGCCGCAAATGTTCCTCTTCTGATGTGGCCTCGTCTGTTGAGAGGAGGGTGAGGATGGACTGCGTACGAGGGAGTGGCAGAGGGGCGGCGCCTGAATGTCAGCTTTTGCCTGCTGTCTCCCCGTCTCGCTCCAGTAGACTGCATCGTGATGACTCACCACCTGCTGCTCGACCTGTGCACAAACCTCATCGACTACTTCATCGCATCTGAGGCTGCCATTCGGATCAGACCAGGGCAGTAGCTCGGGGCAGGATCTCTCTGCTACCCAGGCTTTTTGTAGGCGTGTGATGGCGGGAAGTGGTGGAGGAGGGCCAGGACCGGGCGCTGTGGGCGCTGCACCGCGTATTGAGAGGGAGGGGGACAAGCCGCGATTGTATGCTGGGGGGCGTCGTGGTGGTGTAATAGCCCCTGCTGAGGTTGACGGGCCCGCGTGACCGCCGCCACGAGAGAAGGGCGAGGCCGAAGGCGATTCGAGAGCGTATGCTGCTGCGCTTGAGTCATTGGGTTTGTTGCGTCTCGGTGTTGCTAGCATCGAGGGGGATGAGGGCCCCGCAACGGGACCGTCCTCATCGTCTGAGAGGGAGTAAAATGCCGACATGCTGGACGAGAGGAAGGAAGTGATCAGGCAGTCAATGCCAATGCTCAGACCAACGCCTCTGTCCGCCTCTCCCTCGAAGTCAAAGGCGAGAGTGGAAGCCACGCGACGCGCATTGCGGGGACACGGACCAAGCATTTTGGGCCTCGAGGCGCATCGTCTTCTTCCTTTCCTTCGTTCCTTGCTCTGGAGTCCCTTGGGAATGAGGCATCAATGGGCCCTCGTTCAAAGGCTTGCAAGGCAATGTGCCGCATCAAGAGCCTCCACCACTCTGCCTCGTAGGCTCTTGGCTTCACAGTGCCCGATTCTTCGCCGCCAACCCTTCTCGTCAACGCCGAAGCGCAGGGAGGACGATGCCTTTCTCGGCTGGCTTCCTCCACGGACTCACTCGGCCTCCTCGATCTATGCGTCAGATGAAGGCAAGGAAGTCACGCTATCTGGATGGCTCTTACCATGCCGCAAGATCTCCAACTCCCTCTCCTTCCATCCTCTGCGGGATTCGACAGGCGTCGTACAGCTGGTGGCCCGAAACGAGCTGGTGCAGACCCTCGCCAACCTGCCACCTGAATCCGTCGTTCATGTCACTGGACAAATCGGCAAAAAGAAGCAGAAGCAACAAAACCCTCCTTTGCGTGCGGGGGAGAGCAGTCGCCTCCCCTCCTCGACCGCCCAGGACGAGGTGGAAGTCGAAGTATTCTCCTACCACCTCTTGGGTCGCGCTACTTCTTCTCTACCCTTCCAGCCAAGTGATGCCCACAACCTCCCTTCCGAAGAGCTCAGAGCAAAGTATCGCTACCTGGATCTTCGCCGTCCTCAGCTCACGCACAACATACGTTTGCGAAGCCGAGTCACCCACGCCATCCGCTCTTATCTGCACGACGAGGGCTTCCTGGAGATCGAGACGCCCCTCCTGCTCCGATCAACGCCAGAGGGGGCAAGGGAGTTTCTGGTCCCTTCACGTCTCGCGCCGGCATCAGAGCAGGATGAGGAGGTAGATGCGGGCGCACCAACTTTCTACGCCCTTCCTCAATCCCCGCAGCAGCCAAAGCAGCTCCTCATGGCATCTGGCGTCACCGATCGCTACTTCCAAATCGCAAAGTGCTTCCGTGACGAGGCTGGGCGAAAAGATCGACAGCCGGAATTCACGCAAGTCGATTTAGAGATGGCGTTTGTGGACGGGGCCGCTCCACCTCAGGCGAGGGATGGGTGGGCCATCGGGGGATCGCAGGTACGGCGCGTCATCGAGGGGCTGGTGAGGGCGGTCTGGAGAGAGGCCAAGGGGGTCGATCCTTTAGAGCACGAGGAAACGGGCTTTGAAGTCATGACATATCAGGATGCGATGCGGAGGTATGGTTCGGACAAGCCTGATGTGCGTTTCGGACTAGAGATTGTGGATCTCTGCCCCTACATCCGAGAGTCGGGAGCCGCTGGGGAGCGGGCAGAGGATGAGGAGCGACCAAGCCGGACTGTTGAGGTGCTGGCACTTCGAGTGTCCGCAGCAGGCAAGGACAGCTCGACGAGCAAAGGCAAATCTACAGCTCCCTCGAGCCTGAGCAACAAGGACCTTACCGACCTGATGAAGGACAAGTCCGGCTCCTCCACCGCTAGCAAGCTAGAGCGCTTCAAGTCATCTTCTTCCTCCTCGTCTGCATCTCCGCATGCGCTCGCAAAGCTCCTACTGCACAAGTCCTCTCACCTGCGCTCCCACCTCGAAGACCTCGAGATCAACCCAGCAGACCTGGACGCCGAGCTTCTCGCACAGGGAGTTGCTGAGGCCCTTCGGGTGGGCAGAGCAGACCCAAATACTCTGACCTCTGATGGTCAGGAGGAAGACGTCCACCTGTTCGTCAATACACGCCATTCCCCAGCAGATGGAGGAAGCACAGAGCTAGGAGAACTACGACTGCGTCTCCGGGATGCACTCGCCTCTCGCTCCCTCCTCCCAGCGCACCTCCTCGACCCTACCCTCTCACAGCCGCGCTTCCTCTGGATCACCCAATTCCCTCTCTTGACCCGCTCTGATCCTGACAAGGCCGACCTATCCCAGGGAAGATGGAACGCGACGCATCACCCTTTCACTGCCCCAAGCGTGGAGAGTCTACCGGCGCTAAAAGAGGTACTGCAGGTAGCGGACGGGAAGCAGGGGTTGGACTTGGATGCCCTACTTTCTAGTCCGCGGATTTCGGAGCTGCTCAATTCAATCCAAGGGCAGCATTACGACCTTGTGCTCAACGGCGTCGAGCTAGGGGGCGGGTCAGTTCGTCTTCACTCTGCATCCTTGCAGCGCGCCGTCATGGAGAAAGTGTTGGCTCTGCAACCTCATGAAGTCAAGCGATTCGACCACCTGCTCAGCGCATTGGCGAGTGGGTGCCCGCCTCACGCTGGGATAGCCCTGGGACTGGATAGGCTGGTTGCGATGCTAGTTGAGCAAGTCGGGGGGACGGCAGCGAGTATCAGGGACGTGATTGCTTTTCCGAAGAGTGCGGGTGGGAGAGATAAGCTCTTTGGCGCGCCTAGTGTGGTCGGGGGGGATGAAGGTGGGGCTCGCGGAGATGAGGAAGAGAGAGTGCTCAACGAGTTCAGGTTGCGAAGGAAAAGGGACGATTGAGGAGCCACGCTTCGGAGAGTTATGCATTTGTACTTGTCCTTCATTGCCACCATTCTAATAGACAGCCTTGCGATCCACGGTCTCAACCTTCTCCCTCCACAGCCTCGTCACGACCTGTAGTCACCATTGATCGCCACATACTCCTTACTAAAATCGCACGTCCAGTACGTCGCGCTGGCCTTTGCTTCCTTCCCACCATTGACGTCAGCCCACGCCCCTCCTTGAAGGTCCACCTCAATCACAATATCCTCCAATGCAAGCAATCGTCCCGCCTCCGTCTCATCCACTGGCTGCGGAGCTCCGTTCTTGAGCACCACAAGAGGCTTGAAGGCCTCACCGTTGGCTCCGCTAACAGACGCTGCAGTAGAAGGCGGTAAGAAACGAACCGTCACTTTAGCAGGATCGATGCTCCACCCCTTTGCTGCCCCCTCACTCTCTCCAGCAGGTAGCTTTGCGTACCCAACTGCACAAAGGATTCGTCCCCAATTCGCATCCCCACCGTGGAGCGCACACTTGACCAGCGCGCTCGTCGAGACACTCCCCGCGACAGCGTGGGCCGTCTCCCAATTGGGCGCTCCCTTCACTTGGACCTCGACGAACTTCTCTGCTCCTTCACCGTCGCGGACGATGAGCTGGGCAAGCTCGATGCAGAAACGAGTGAGAACGTCACGGAACTGGGCGTAAGAGGCGGAAGACTCGGTGAGGAGTTGCGAGTCGGGGACTTGCGCATGGTTGTTGGCCAGGGCGAGGATGGTATCGTTTGTGCTCATATCACCGTCGACGGAGATGCAGTTGAAGGAGCGAGCGACCGCGTGGTTGAGGGCACTCTGCAGCGCCGTTGGATGGATGGGCGCGTCTGTTGCGATCAACCCCAGCAAGGTAGCGTGCAAAGCTCCACCTGCTGAGCTGGGACCGGCCATGTTGGGGTGAATCATACCTGCTCCCTTATCGATCCCCAGCATACGGTACTCCTGCCCGTCTAGTTGGAAGACGCGCGTGCGCAGCTTAGGAAAAGTGTCCGTCGTCATAAAGGCGCGACTTGTTTCGTGCCACTGCTCAGGCGAGGATACCTCTCCCTGCTGTTGGATCTGCTCTGCCAGGTCGGGCAGCTTAGCCTCGATGGCAGGCATTGGCAGGGGAACGCCGATGACCCCCGTAGAGAGAAGAACGGTCTTGTCCTCCTGCGAGCTCTTGAGGAGTCGGGCCACTTCGGAGTCACAGCGCTTGGCGTCTTCAAGGCCTTGTTGACCGGTGACTGCATTTGCGCATCCTGAGTTGACGAGGATGGAGCGTGCTCGCCCTACCTGCGCGATGATCTCGCTGGACAAGACGACGGGCGCAGCTTTGAAGACATTTTTGGTGAAGGTGCCTGCCGCAGCTGCAGGCTTGCTCGTTGTAGAGACGATCAGCGCCAGGTCGGGCTTAGGGGTCGTTGTGGCTGCGGTCGAGGCAGAGGGGGATGGAGGTGGGCCGGCATTTGCGTCTGGGACGGGCTTGGGAGAGATGGCAGCCTTGATGCCTGCGTAGCCGTAGGCTGCTGCAAAGCCGCGTGGAATAGTCGACGGGTCGAGGGGCTTGACAAAGCGCGTGGCTTTGCTGCTCGTAGAAGAGTAGCGCGTCATGCTTGCAGACGAGGTGGCGGCGGTACGGACAGCGCCACGACGAGCTGCAATGGCAGTGCTGAGGAGCATCAGGGCTGGGACAGCGGAAGAGGATTGTGAGGTCGTAGTTGAAGATGCGAAAGGTTTCGCTCGGTCAGACGAAGATGATGTGGCTGACTCAGAAAGACCAGGGATAGCTCCTCTCCAGGAAGTGCGATCAAAGTAATGGATGCCGTGCACTCCTGCGCCGACGACTGCCGTTGACAGAGTGAGGGCGATGGGCCAGGGCTTGCCGGCGCGTAGGGTCGGATAGCCGTGGAAGGCGAGGTAGAGAAGGGACCAAGCTGCGAGCAGGCAATGCAATGAGTCAGTAGGCAAACAAAGGGAGTGAAATTCACAGGCAATGCTCGCCTGTCACTGTACCAGCGCCGTTCAAAGGATCACCTTGTGAAGTGATATATCCTCCAAGGCCGATGAGGGACCCAATACCAGCGAGCTGCCAAAATGGGGCGAGTCCACCACGAAGGATAGTCTTGGGTGAAGCTACTTTCTGCCCCGCAGTCTTGACTGTGTCTAAACTATGAGCGTCAAGGGCCTTTGCGAGAGGTGACTTCGCTGCGGCAGCGTGACCAGACGACGAAGCAAGGCGAGGTGATCGTGCGTCCGAGTGAGCGGATAAGAAAGATACGGGGACAGACGCCCAGAAGAGGGCAGAGAGGCCGTACGCGTAGAGAGGGTCTTGAGCACCGCGCTTTGCAAGTGAGATGATCGGAGAGGGGGAAGAAGGCGATGCAGGGTTATTTGGAGTCGAGGTCATGAGGCAGACAAGAAGGAGAAGATGGGCAGCATCGCTGGCTGGCTGGCTGGCTGTATGCACGCTTCGACTGACTCGCTTTTGGTCTGACGCCCTCGACCCACTCCCGCTCATCGACTCCCGCTCTTGCCGCTTCCGCTCCTCTCGATTTCTCGCACGGCCTCGCGACTTGCGATTGGCCGCGACTTTGGCGGATCTTTGCTTCCTGCTCCACTCCAAATCCTTACCCAGCATGCCTCCTCATCAACAAGGAGGTGGCGACAAGCGATCCCGCTCCCCCACGCCCTCATCGTCACGCTCTTCAACACCAGGCCCAGCTCCTCCGCCACCTGCCGTCCGCAATGGTGACACAGCAGACTCAGACTCAGACGACGACGTCGGCCCAGCGCCGCCTCCGCCCGCAGCATCCACATCCTCAGCTCCTCCCTCAAAGAAGGTCAAGGTCGCACCTCGCAAGAGCCTCCCGCACGCCAACATCTACCTCTCCGCCCTCCCTTCTGCAACTCGCTACTCTCAATCGTTCATGCATCGCTCCCCGATCAACTTCGTCTCCGTCACACCGTACACCGACTTCCTCATCACAACAAGCGTAGACGGCCACGTAAAGTTTTGGAAGAAGCAGGAGCTAGGCATTGAGTTCGTGAAACACTACCGAGCCCACATTGGTGTGGTGACCGCAACGGCGACTTCAGCTGACGGGAGTCTATTCGCATCGGCGGGGAGTGATGGGACCATCAAAGTGTTTGACGTGTTCAACTTTGATCTCATCAACATCCTCAATCTGGGTCAGTGTATCACGCCAAGGACGCTTGCCTGGGTACACAGGAGAGGAGGAAGAGTCGACGCTGTCTTGGCTGTTGCGGCAGAGGGATCCAATGTCATCCGCCTCTACGACGGGCGAGGCGACGGCAAGCCAACGGCAGAGATCGACAGCGTGCATCGCGCACCCGTCCACCTCCTCAGCTACAATGAGCCAAGCGACTGTGTCGTCTCAGCGGACGAGAGTGGCATGGTTGAATACTGGGCGCCGCGAGAGCCTTACGAGAAGCCTGCTACTTCCAGCAGCCAAGGAGCCCTCTGGGAATACAAAGCCAGCACAAACCTCTTCGACTTCAAGAAGGCCAAGTCTGTTCCAACTTCGCTCGTGTTCTCTCCCAAATACGACAAATTCGTCACGCATTCCCTACCCGACCGAGCTATTCGTGTCTGGGACTTCAAAACGGGCAAAGTGCTCCGCAAGCTAGACGAGAGCCTCGATGCTCTCCAAGAACGACAGGCAGCAGGCACCTCTGGCGTGCCATCCCTCGACGCTATGGAGCTCGGTCGCCGCTTAGCGTTGGAGAAACAGCTCGACGCGGAGAGTGTGGACGCCAAGGCGAGTGCGATCAATTCTGCTCAGGGACTGAGAACGATGAACGCCGTCTTCGACGAGACGGGCCACTTCGTTGTCTACCCGACCGCTTTGGGCATCCACATCATGGATACATACAGCGATGATGCTCCCCCAATTATTCTGGGTCGGGACGAGACCTGTCGATTCCTGAATGTCTCCCTGTTCCAAGGGGTGGGCGGGTCAGCCAAGAAGAAGAGAGGAACACGCAGCTTGGCGCTTATGGCCTCGGAGAATCCCGCAGCAGCAGCAGAATCCAGTGGCGGGGACGACGATGTAGCGGATCCGACGTTGTTCTGTACCGCGTTCAGGAAGGAGCGCTTCTACCTCTTCACGCGTCTGGAGCCCGATGAGGCGGACGTTGCTGCTGGAGCCGACAAGAAGCGTAAGGGCAAGGGTCACGCGGGCGGGGCAGAGAGGGATGTCTTCAATGAGAAGCCGAGTAGAGAGGAACAGACCATTGCCGGTGGGAGCGCCGCTTCGGGAGCTACAGATGAGGGACAGGTAGCATCTCGCTCAACCGCAACAGGAGCGACCTCGACTGCTACATTGCACACCACTCTGGGAGACATCCATGTGCGTCTCTATCGCGAGCTCACGCCTCGTACGGTGGAGAACTTCGTTGGGCTCTGCAAGAAGGGCTACTACAACAATGTGACCTTCCATCGCGTCATCAAGAAGTTCATTCTTCAGACTGGCGACCCTTTGGGCGACGGAACGGGCGGGGAGAGCCTGTGGGGTGGACAATTTGAGGACGAGTTCAGGGCGGAGCTGAAGCATGACCGACCGTACACGTTGAGCATGGCGAATGCGGGGAAAGATACGAACGGTGAGTGCGAGACGCAGGACATCAGGTGACGGCTCAAAAATGGTAGCTGATCTTCTTCTCTCCCCTTCTTCTCACGCACACCAGGCTCCCAATTCTTCATCACCACGGTCCCAGCACAATGGCTCGACGGCAAGCATACCGTGTTCGGACGCTGCACCACGGGCTTCGACGTGGTGCACCGTATCGAGAATGTCCGAGTCGACCAGCACGACAAGCCGAGAGACGCCGTGAGGATTCTCAATGTCACGCTTGGCTGAGAAGGCGAGGGGAATGGTGTGCGATGGCGATGGCATTAGCGAGTGGAAGTTATAAGGAGAGAATAGAGTGAGGAGCGAATAGAGAGAGAGAGGTTGTACAAGTACAGTAGAGTGTAGAAAAAGACACGGAGGAAGAGTGAGGGATAGCGGCGGTGCGGGCGTCACGGTGAAGCCGCATTGAAGGGGAGGGGGAAACGGTCATAGTTGTACAGGGTGAAGAGGGAATCTAGCCCCTCTGCGCGAGTCAAAGTCTAGTAATAAGAGTAAGCAGCCCCATTCTGCTGTTGTTGATGATGGCCGCCGCCGCCTTGTCCGCCTTGATACTGGTGTTGCTGATGGTGGTGCTGGTCCTGCCCGTCTCCCTGCGGGTCATAATAGCTCCCCTGCGCATAATAGTCTGCACCTCCCTGCTGGTAATCTCCGCTCCATTCCCCGTGCTGACCATGCTGACCGCCATTCTGCCCATTCTGCTGATCGTAGTAGTCGTACGAGCTCGCCGCTCGACTGTCCCCACTCGGCCCGGCATACGCATCATAGACATCGCCGAGGGCTTGGGCGTCCTGCTCGCGGGAGTAACCGCCTTGCCCATCGTCGTAAGGAGCATACTCGGAAAGGTCTCCCATGTACGCTCGCGCATCGTGTCCGCCCTCGTTGTAGTCGTAATCATAGTCGTAGGCACCGTCCGTTCCTGCCATAGTAGCGCCAGTGTGACCATTCGGCTTGGCGGCGTAGTAGTCGTCTTGACTGCTGCCACTTCCACCGCTGCCCCCATTCTGCCCGTGGTAGGCATAGTAATCGTCCTGACTGCCGTTGCCCGCTTGCGAGTGCTGGTAGGCCGCATTCGAGTCTGCAGGCGCGAGAGGGGAGCGAGAGTAACTCGTTGGGTCGTGCTGCTGCGCCAATGCTGAGCCGTTGCTGTTGCCGTGAACGACGACGCCGCCTCCAGCTCCCATGCTGCGCTGCGCAAAGAGCTGCGGGCTCGTCCCTATGGGCCCGAGCTGGCTCATCAAATTGGCATGCTGAGAAGTCGACGAAGCTGACGGCGGCATTCCTCCCCTTCCCTTGACATGCAGCGCATACGTCTCCGGGCTAGTCTGCGCGCTAGGCGGCAAGCTGGGCTGCTGGCTTAGGCTGTCGTGGATGGCGTGGCCTCCGCCGTAGGAGTTGCTGTGGCCCATGCTGCTTTGCGCGCCTGCATGTCCTTGGTTCAAGACCAGATGAGCCTGGCTGCCGTAGTCTTCCCCGTACGCCCCGCCATTGCCGTACACGTTACTCGGGCCGTTGCCGTAGGGCGAGGCGGAGCGAGAGACTTTCTCGTCATTGAACAAGTCGACGTCCACCTTGGGCAGAGTAGGCTGAAGCATCTTCTGCCCGACAATGACGCCCTTCTTGTTCATCAGATGCTTGTAGTCCCCTTTTGCCTCGGCTCTCGCAATGGCCGCCTGACGGGCTACCCTCTCCTTCTTCTTGAAGTGTACCAGCTCGGTGATACGCTTGTCGATCTTGTGGCAGCAGTACTCCTTCAAGTTGCCCTTGATGTAGCAGAGCAGCGGCAGGTACATGATCGACGCAATGAGAAGCAGAATTGCCGACCCAGCGAAGATGACGACGGTGAAAATCATGGTGAGCAACATGATAGCGGTGAAGATCGAACCACCGTAGTAGTCGTAGATGTTTGTGCTGAACTTGTTGACCTCAATCAGGCCGTACAAGGTGAGCGCATTGATGACTTGACGGGGACCATCTGCGACTACAAGGCGTTTCCAGCCTTTGAAGGTGAAGAAGATGAAGAAGGCGATCTCGTCTTGCTTCTTGGTGGAATTGTTGATCTGAGAGAAGAGGCAGAAGTGGTCGTAGGAACGAAGCGAGTAATAATTGTTGGCCATGACATTCGTGTAGGCGTAAGAGATGTCGCGAGATCGCACGATGGCGCCTGGAGGAGCAGGTGGGGGCGACGAGGTCTGATCAGCAATGCGTAGCGATATAAGGCTTGTCCTTGCCGCTACTCACGACACTTGTGCGCCTCGTAAGCCAGGAGGAGAAATGAGAAGATGATACAGCCAAAGAAGACCCATTTACCTGTGTATGCAGACGAGGAGGCAGGTCAGTCATGCTTCTTATCCTGATGCGCGTCGCTCCTTGCTCACCGTACTGAATGGGCACGGGCACCGTATTGTCTGGGTTATCCTGCACCTTGTTGTAGATGTTTCCATTGAAGTGATTGAATGCAAGCAGCGTGACGGCGGTGTAGATGTCGGCAATGTACACAGCAAACGACTTGATGACGAGGGCAAAGACGAAGCCGTACTTCATTCTCGTCCAAGCCCCATTATTGTGGTAGTCTCTTACGTCGATGAAGTCGAACTTGTGATCAGGAACCTCCTCACGCTTCCAGGCGGCATTGCCACAACAGCAGGCCATCGCGGCGTGGGGTCAGAGATGAAGCTGCTGACTCGCCGCCGCTGTTATCGCGTGATTTGGACTACGAGGTCGTGTGGGGATCGTGATTGCGAAGCTGCGCTGCGCGTCGTGTTGGTCCGCGGGGAGAAAAGGAGTGTGATGGGATGGAGAGGGGGAAAGGGGCGAGCCGTCAAGGCTTTGGTGGTAGTGATAGGTGAAAAGAGAGGAGCGTGAGTATGGGTGTTTGCGGTGGTGATATCGATGATGGTGTTATTCGAAGGTGTCCGGCGGCTCCGCCCCCCTCGTCGTCTGAGATCAACGACCGGCGCCCTTCGTCGCTAAATTGGTCACCTCACTTGGGAGCCGAGTCGCCTCTCGCTGTGGGTGGCTGCTGGTGTTGGACGGATAGATCCGCTGCCCGCCTCGTCGTCTTCGTCGTCGTCGTCGTCTGTTTCGTCGAAGTCTTCCTTCATAGCCGCGGCTCGGTCGCAGGCCTCGATCCTTTCGGCGAGGCGCCTCTTTCGCTCGCTCGCTCTTTCGAAGTCGACTGGCTGCTTGCCTGCCTGGTCGCCCGGCCACCTGCTGTCTGGCCTCGTCGACTGCATCTCCTCTCCGCCTCCGCTCAACTGCCACGCACCGTTGCCCGCCAGTCCGAGGGCCCCTGCACCCTTTTCGCTGAATGGGGCCAGTCGAGCGAGACAGGAGAGCAAGAAGACAAACACCGTCCGTCGACGACCGACGCCGCTCAGTGACGACCCTACGACGACAAGACGTCAACGAAGACGACGACGCAAGCCACGCGAAGAGGCACGCTCCCTCGATACCACGGCCAATTCCCACCTTCTCTTTCACATCATCCCTCCCCACTCCATTCCCCCTTTCGCGTCCCTTTGCCTCGTCGTTGCGTGCCGTCCAGCGCGGGCAACGACGTAATTCAGGCACCACCAACAAGGACGACCAAGTAGCCTGTGCCGAGCGATCAGTCCCCCTCTCGCCGGCCTCGGGACTCTCTCTCTCTCTTCCTCGTCTTCCCTTTTCACTTCATCAACAACGACGACGACGACCAAGCAGCCGTCAAAAGTACCCTCGTCGTCTCGAAGACGTCATCATCATCTTGCAGGCAGCCACTGTACCGCCGTCTGCACAGCATTCGACGCTCCGCCACATCTTGTCCCTCGTTCCCTCGTGCGATCTGCCATTGGCGTCATCGTCAGCCTTCCCTCACTTATTGTCCTTCCCACCGACGTCTTCCTCGTCAGTCTCCCTCTTCTCCCCACGGTCGCTACTCGTCGTTAAGCTCGTATCGCAGATACCCGCTCATTGCAGAGCAATCACCACGGCGTCCAGATCACTGCGCCAATCAGCATCCAGAGCAGTCACAATCGCCGCTCTCTGAATCTAGCATCGTAGGAGCGCATCGTTGTCCGCTATGTCTGGCAACAATCCAAGCAACGACCCGTTGGCCTCGGTCATCACCCAGGTCCAACCGGGTCAGGGAGCAGCAGGAGGCGCAGCAGCATTGAGAGGAGGAGGACCAGCCAGACCTACGCGTGTGGCCAAGGCAGGCACTGCAAAGGCAGCTCAGCAGCAGCAGGAAGCCGCTGAAAAGAAGAGGAAAAAGAAGCAGCAGCAAGCGGCAGCAGCAGCAGGAACAGCGGCCAGCCCTCAGCAGCAGCAGCAGCAGCAACAGCCACCTTCAACGGCAGCTACTGCCTCGACGGCGTCCACCGGGGAAAAAGCAGCTGAGGGCGATTCGAACGCAGGCGCCGCAGCTGGACCGTCATCAACGCCTACGGCTTCAGCATTGATGCGACAAGAGGGCGTAGAGGGCCATTCCAATGATCCATCGTCCACCCTCGTCGGTACCACCAGCACACTGCCAGAAGGTAGCGCACCTGCCGCCGAGAAGGGAGCCACGCCCGGAGCAGTCGGTGTCGGGGAAACCGACCCAGCTGCAAAGCTGCAGTCGGCACCCACGAACGAGCAGGACATGACACAAGCGGCGCAGGCGCTTCAGAAGGAAGACGACAAGGCTACTCCGCAGACAGCCGCTGCTACTACTGCGACCTCCAAGACGAAGAGTCAGCCAACGACGTCCGCAGCCAAGCAGAGCTCGGCCTCAAGAGCACCTGCCACTCCGGCAGCTCCCTCCTCGAAAGCAGCTCCAGCAGCGGCGAAGAAGACCTCCCCGCTCAAGAAGCTCATCGCCTTCTTGACATGTTCCTCGGGCGCCTCTGCGGCAATGGCAGCAGAGGACGGCGCAGGCTCATCGCGTAAGACTACCTCGGGCGACGAAGTGGAGATGGCAGAGAGGAGCGGCGGCCAGCAGAAGAAGGGAAAGGCCCCACCCACCTCTTCCCAATCACCCTCGACCCCATCACAGAAGGGCCCGTCGGCCAAGCGGTCCAATAATAAGCTCGCCCCACCCATCACTACCGCAGGACTGGGCGGCAAATCACGGTCCGGGGCCGGACGCTCACCGTCGAGGCCGAGCTCAGCGCGAAATTCACTTGAGGGCAGATCAGAGACTGGAGTCGTCGCCCCTGCTCCTGGAACGCCTACTGCTGGTGGGGGCACAATGCTGCCAAGAGAGGAGACGGGCGATGTCATGAGTGGTGCAGTCGTACCGCCAGGCAGCTCGTTCGTCTCGCCGCACGATGTGACTCCCTCCAAGCAAAGAGGCGCAGCGGGAGGAGGCGCCGAGTCCGAGTCAGATGTAGCGGACAGCAGTGCTCCCGCTGCCTCATCTGCAGGCGGAGATGATGACGGTGATGACGGTGCAGACGAGAGTGGCTCAGAGCTTGTCGAAGATTACCTAGACGACGAAGAGCTCAACGAGGAGCAACGCCTGATCGCGGCCGGCGGGATGGGCATCCCGAAGGATGAGTTCGGGAACGAGCGTCCCCTCCTCGTACCCCTGTCCCAGCAGGACTCAGGGCGTAAATGCCTCGTACTGGACTTGGACGAAACACTAGTCCACTCGTCGTTCAAGATGATCCAGAACGCGGATTTCATCGTGCCCGTCGAGATCGAAGGAACGGTCCATAATGTCTACGTGATCAAGCGTCCCGGTGTCGACGAGTTCATGCGCCTCATGGGCCAGATCTATGAGGTAGTCGTCTTCACAGCCTCTCTTTCCAAGTACGCCGATCCCGTGCTCGACATCCTCGACATCCACCGCGTGGTGAGGCATCGCCTCTTCCGCGAGTCCTGCTACAACCACCGCGGCAACTACGTCAAGGACTTGAGCCAGCTGGGTAGGCCGATAGGGGAGAGCATTATCATTGACAACTCGCCCGCGAGCTACATCTTCCACCCAAATAATGCCGTGCCCATCTCAAGCTGGTTCAACGACCCGCACGATACCGAGTTGACGGACCTTTGTCCTTTCTTGGCGGATCTGTGCGACGTGCACGACGTGAGGGCGGTGCTTGACGGGGCGCTGGCTGCGCCGGTCGGGATCGAGGGATAGGGGAAAGAAGAAGCATCAATGGCGAATCAAGGCTGACAAGCATCCTCACGGCTGGGCCATATTCTCAACGGACAACAAGCTTAAGCATCTTTTCTTCACCACCCCGCCACCCCCACTATCCGACCTTGCTAATGGCTTCCACGAGCATCAGCATCGACTGCGGCGACGACGCCGTGCCAGGTCAGGCAAGCGGGCGAGACACCAACCGTCGATCACCGGCACGATACCCGTCCTCGCCAGCTACACCACCCGGACATCCTCCCTGCACCTCCCTGCAAGCATCATCATGATCATCACCGGCTGTCTCCAAGCTGCCGCATCCTTGCACCTACCCCTCATCACGACGCTCCTCTACTCCGCTGGGCTTGCCTCGCTCCTCTTTCCCCTCAACTTAGACCTTCTCATCCTCTTTCATCTGCCAGCTGGGTCTCCTCGGCGTCAATGCCAGCACCACCAGCCCAGCTCACGGCTAGCTCAATACATCGAGGCTATTCTCAGATTGTGCATCCCGTCGGCATTTCGCCGACTACGTCCACCTTGGCATCAGTCGACGTTGCGACAACAGTACCTTTGCTCTTCTTTCACCAGCCCAAGTGGCTGCTCTTCTCTCTACCCTTTTTTCTTTTTTACCTCTTCTTTGCCAACCCCTTCTTTTCGCCATCCTTCTTCGTTCGCCCCACCCCACCTCAACACCACATTACCTCCCTCTTTTGTTTTCCCCCCTTTCTTGCCCCCTCTTCAATACAAAAAGACTCGAAAAGCTAGCTCATGCTTTGCGTCTCGCTACGGGATGATCGATCGATTTTATGGAACCAAGACTGGCCCTGCGCATCTCAAGGTCGCTGGCGTGACGGCTCTTCAGTCTGTGTAAGTCTACTCAAGTCGTCTACGGTCTGCTCACAGCCTTGGAACTCATTGCTCGTGGTATTTGCTGCAATGAGGTGGTGATGGGGGAGAAGAAGAAAGCAGCTACTGGCTGCGCGTCGCCTTCAAAGACCTCGTCGAGGTGGCGCGATGAGGGCGGGCACAAAGGGGTGGAAGCGCGTCCGCACGCGACACAGAGGGAGGGGCGGAAAGGGTGCCTGGTCAGTCGAGCTACGGGAAAACGCTTCTCGCTCGCTGCAATGCCCGTTACCTCAAGCTGAAGTGAGAGATGTGGTATTGATGAATAAGCTCAATCTGACAGGCAGACACAAATGGACTGAGTGGATATCGAAATGACGGACCTCTGAAAACGTGCTTCTTGGAGGACCGGTGGTGATGACCGCAGTCGCTGCTTTGAATCGCACGACGCAACTTAATGCTCGTCAGGGCAGGGCTGGCCTCTGCCATGACGATACCCTTAGTCGACTTGGGCTGCAAGATCGTCCTCCTCTGCACCGTGCATCCCGCCGCTACCTTGGCCTGTCTCCTGCTTCGGCAGGACTGGGATGACAGCCCAGGCGTCGCGCTTGTCTACGGGGCATGTGACCCAATGGCCTACTTTTCGGACCTTCTTCGCTGCTTCGCCGTCCATCTCGGGGCATTGAGGGTCGTCGATGTTCTGCTCCGGGTCGCTCCAGTCAATCTTCCCACCGCCTGCTACTCGCGTCACCGTTGTCAAGCATTCGCGATGCAGCTGGTGACCACATGGCCGCAGTGTGACGAGGCGCCTGTCCAGCTGAGCGTCAAGACGCGCTCGTGCTTCATTGTCGTTGAGACTGACCGCGTTCTCTCCTGTGCTGTTCTCAGGCGGCGTATCGTAATCGGGAAGGCATGCTCCATAGTCGCACAGAAACCCCCTCGCCTTCTCCCTCCGTCTTATCTCCTCACGTAGTGAAGCTTTCGTCGTCGTAGCCTTGCCTTTTCCCTTGCCGTTGCTTGATTCCTCTCCATTTCCCTCTGCAGTCTCAGAGAGCGCCGTGCGACACATGGGGCAAGTCCAATGCTGCGGTGACTGAGCTCCTGCGAGCCATTCGAGCAAGCACTTTCGGTGCATGCAATGGAAGCCGCCGCATGGGACCACGACCACGCGCTCGTCCTGCGCTGCTTGTCCCCCGGCCCACTCCGGCTTGTCGGATCTCTCGTCGTAGATTTCAAGACAGACAGGACATCCTGGCCCCGCATCACTTGCTGCACTGCTAGTACCGTCTTCTTCGGCGTACGCTCCAAGCTCCCCGATCTCGAGTCGAGCCATACGCTTCCTCAGATCTGCGTCGACTGTCTCGAGCCCGTCGACATAGCTGCGAGCCTTCTTCGGGTTCTTGTCACGCTCCTCTCGTAGCCTTGACCAGCGTTGCGCTGATTCGCCCCAGGGTAGCGATTCCGTAAGATCATCCGGTGACAGGCCCATGTCGTCGTAGAGGACCACTGGGAAGGGTGGGCCGCTGACAAAGTGTGCATTGCGCGGGTTTGGGTAGCTTGCTCTCGAGACGTCTGTGACGCTAAACAGAGGCCAGCCCCAGCCGCTCTCGATGTCATAGAGGAAGGAATAAGGACGGTCTGTTGCCCAGTCTGGTACATAAGTGGGCGCCGTTGGAGCCAGAGGGATCATACGAGGGCCCGTCGGTGGCGGGCGAGGAGGGGGACCAGAGGTCGTCCCATTGGCAGATCTGAGCATATGTTCCAGCTCTCGAAAGGCGTCAAGTCGCCCGTAAACACCTGAAGACTGCTCGTTGCGTACCTCTTCGACCTGAGGGAAGAACTCGCCCGGAACAGCGGCGAGGGCTGGGCGTCCATCGGGAGCCGTGAACGGCAGCTTGTACAGTGCAGTGAGCAGCCGTACGCCGTCGAGATATTCGTTGATTGAAGCTTCGTCCTCGGGAAGAAGCTCAGCCCTCTCAAGGTAGTCGTACCCAGCTTGATCGGCCGGCACCAGGCGGCCGCGGAGACGCTCACGAGGTCGTGCAGGCGGGCGCTGTTGCTGTTGGCGTTGCTGCTGGGCCCGAGAAGCAGGCTGACGATGCTCCGTGGTGGACGAGGGAGAGAAGATTGGAGCAGCTGCGCGCATACGATTGCTCGCGGCGCCGCTATTGCCTTGAGTGGCCGCACGAGAAGAGGAATTGGTCGCGGAAGCACTGGCCGGGGGTGCTGGCGGTCGTGGTGTTCGCTGACCACCGCCACCCCACATGGCTCGTGCTGCAGCGCCTAATCCAGTCGATGATGCTGTGGGCCTGTTGGTTGCTGCCGATGCAGTTGCCGCTTGACCCATTCCATTGCTGATACTGTTGCCATTCGTGGGCTGCGGTCGAGCAGGCGAGCCCAGGGGTTGAGAGAAGCCACTTGGACTTGAAGCGGATCGAGGCGCAGCTGAAGTAGTAGATTGAGAGGGTGCAGAGTTGGTGCTGCTCGCAGGATTTGTATCGTTTTGAGAAGCGCTTGCTAGCGAAGCTAGCCACGCCGAGTTGACAACAAATTGCTCAGACGGTCTCGATGTCGCGTGTGAGGTTACACGCTGAGCCGCGCCACCCGGCTGTGTGTTTGGTTCATCAGATCCTGCAGGAGGCTGTCTGGATGGCATGCTGCTCTTGATGTCAGTGTGATGATGTTGCGACGATGATGATACGGTAAGGAAGGAAAGGAGGGGCTTGAGCGCCCCCCTTCAATCAACTTCTCCCTCGAGGGCAGCAAAGGAACAAAGAAAGGATGCGGAGAGAGAGTGTTGGACGGCGGACTGAGAGCTTTGAGCAAGTGGCGGCAGGCGGCGACGAACAAGCGAGCAAGCGACTCGAGACCGGGGGGCGGATTCGGCGCTAGGCCGCTAAGCCGGTGGAGGCGACCTCGCAGCAGACCTCCTACTCCCACCTTCATCGATGCGAGGACTGAGCCTTCAGTGACAACAAAGAAAGAAGCGAGCGAGCCAAAGGATGGGACAAGCGGTAGGCTACGAAAGGATGAAAAATTTCTGACTCACTTTTTGCTCAAGAGAGGAAGACAGGAGTCGACGCCGTTGCACGTCGGTCAAGGGGAAAAAGAGGAACTGTGAAGACTGGCTACGAGAGCTAACGTCAAGCTGAAAAGGGTACAGCCGACGCTGCCTAGTAGGGAGAGAGACAGAATGGCTGAGACGTGAAGTACGGCAGGTCCAGCTACGGACGTTGGCGACGAGGCAGCTTCAACGAGCGCGCTTCTGCGCAAGCTCAATCTGCTCATTGAGCCTATCGATCCTGGCGGGATGCTGGCCCCAATCAATCTTCTGCTGACGTGGATCGGGGCAGGGGATGTCGAAGGGGTCATAGGGGCACGGAGCCCAGCCCATGTAGTGCGCCTTGCGATAGTTGGGCCAAGTGGGCAGCGCTGGCCTTTCCTGGATGTCGAAGAGTGGAAAAGCAAAGCCGGTGCCCGCCTCATAGAGCATGGGGAAGGGGTAGTCCGAAGCCCACTCGGGCACGAAGGTGATCCTTTCGAACAAGACTGCCGGCGTGGGGATGGATTCGACCTCGTCGTCGCTCATGTTGGGGCGAGCAGGGATGGGAGGAGGGCGAGGGTCGACAGCACCCGCAGAGAGGTCAGGCCTGCGTGCCCATCCGTACTCAAGGCGGTTGAGCCAATGGGACTTGGAGAACTTGTACATGCGTTCCGTCAGGGTAGCAGGCTGACCGAAGACACCTGGGCGGGGATGACCAGGTAGGAAGAGGCCGGGAATAGCAGCGAGTGCTTGGCGCCCATCTTTGCCCTTGAAGGGGAGCGGATAGGTTGCGTCCATCGGCTCACGGTCCGCGAGCTCGAGCATGGTGAACTTGTCAAAAGGCATCAGTTGGAGCCTTGGGAGGCACGAGAGAGGTGGATATGCCTGAGGACCCTGAATGGGGCAAAGCGTGCTGGGAGGACGCTGCTGGCCACCCTCGCCTTTTCCTGTCTTCTTCTTCTTCTTGGTACGATTGGCTTTGCTTGGAAGCGTATTAGAGGGTGCAGCGGCGGCTGCGACTGCGGCTGTGGCTGTGGTGTCAGTGTTGCTCTGCCCCGGAGAAGGTGCGACCCGTCGAACAGCAGAGCTGAATGTGGTCGCAGCCGTTGAGATTGCGCACGGCGCAGCCTGACTACTGACGTCGTCGCCTGCCAGCAATTGCGTAGGAGAGCTCAGACGCGTAACGCAGCCCGTCTCTATGTCATCTTGTTCAGAGGCTGCTGAGTGATTTGATCTTGGGTCGCCACTGTCCTCAAGCTTGAGCGTCTCAGCGACCGAGGCCAGAAGGCCACAGAAACGAGTGGTAGGCCCACGAGTAGAGGCTGTCTTAGAGGGCAATGCGTCGGGTCCCTTAGAAACGCTGCTGTCAGTGACAGTAAGGGTGCCCTGCTGAGGAGCAACATCGCTGAGTTTGGCCTCGCCGTTGTTGGAAGAAAAGCAGCTCTGGGTGACGGTGATGGAAGGATCGGTGTTGGGATGGGCGAAGGTAGGCGCAGACGTAGTCGCGGGAGCGGGCGTGGGCGAAGCAGGGCCACCCTCCTTGTGTGCGGGAGAGTCCTCGCCCCTATCAGAACCCATGTTGGCCGAGTGCGTGGCGATCTGGTTGCACTACTGATGGGTAGAAGAGAAGAAGAAGCAAAGATGGCTCGAGGCTCGTCTCTTGTGATGAGCGGGAGGCGGGGACAGAGTGATCTACACACCTCCCGCCTCCCTGCCTCGACTGAGCGTGCTGGCCGACGGATCAAGCGAGCGACGCGCAGGCAGGCAGCCGCTGACGAGCGAACGCGAAAGTGACCAAGTTGTGCCCCTGGCTACAGATTGACGCTCCGTCGATGCTGACACGGAGGCCATACCACTCACTACGCTCCCAGCTGCGCTGACTGCCTCTCCGCCACGCTCCCTCTCGCCCCACGGCCGCCGTGATGCCCATTCGCGCGCTTCTCCTGCTTCTCGTCACCGGGCGTCCCCCAACCCCCACCACCAGGAGTCTCAATCACAATCCGATCTCCTCTTCTCGCAGTGACCGTGTTCTTGCCACCCATGTTTACCTCCCTCTTCCCTATCAGCCTTCCTTTTTCATCCCTCTCACACTTGACCCACAAATTGCGACCTCCCTCTGCGTCCCCTCCCCCTTCGAGGCCGAAGGGTCTCAGCACCCTCCGTTCAGACAAGATGCTGACCCCAATTTCCTCGGGCAAGAACTCGATATCCCTCACCACCCCATCCCCTCCATTGTACTTCCCCTTTCCTCCGGACCCTTGCCTGATCTCGAACCGTCTCAACAGCACGGGCAAGCTGCGCTCCATGACCTCGACGTCCGAGATGCGGGTATTGGTCATATGCGTGTGGCAGGTAGTCCCATGCCATGATGGGCCAGCGCCACTTCCACCACAGATGGTCTCGTACTGCGCCCAGCCTTGTACATGTTTGCCTTCTGAGTCGACCCCGCCGGCGCCGAAGGTCAGGTTGGACATGTCTCCCTGCGAGGCAGCGGAGGCTTTGAATGCGCGCAGGACTACGTCGACTATGCGTTGTGAAGTCAGAACATTACTGAGGGCGAAAAAAGAGGATTGAGAGAGGGTTAGCATGACCATGCTGAGCTCTTGTCGTGCGCGCCTCCACTCACCCGCCTACTACGGCGGCCTCATCACTCGGATCAAGCAGGCTTCCTTTCGGAATCTTGATCTCCACAGGCGCGAGACAGCCACTGTTGAGCGGCATATCCACGTCTACCATGCATCGCAAGCAGTAGATGATCGCGCTAGATGCCACACTTCGCGGTACGTTCCAGTTTCCGCACACCTCTGGTCCTGTTCCCTCGAAGTCAAAGACGGCTGATCCCTGCTCCGGGTCGAGGGTGACGTGCAGCTCGATGGGAGTCCCATCATCCATGTAGTCTTTGGCGTGCAGCGAATTGGTGCCTTGTCTCTGGGCCACGTCCTTGAGGAGGTTGCGGACGGAGAGCTCAGCATTGTCCCTGATGAAGGCCATGTACTGGCCAAATAGCAAGCAAGAAGAGAAGGGACGTCAGTTTGAGGGGTGACCGTGACTTTGTGGCGTCTCGAAACCCTCTCTCGACTCACGTCCTGAACCATTTCCAGCCCCCACTCGTCGATCAGTCCGCCAATCAAGTTGATCCCCTTTTGGTTCGCAGCAATCTGAGCCTGCAGATCCGACTCTACATCTCTGAAAGCTCTACTGCCTGAGCAGCCCGGATGTTTTGCCGGCTCTTCGATCATGAGCCTCTCGAGCTCCTCCCTCTGGTATTTGCCCTGATCCACGATCTTGAAAGACTTAATCTGGGCGCCTTCCTCGTAAATTGACTTGGAATGGGGTGGCATGCTCCCCGGTAGGATACCGCCGATGTCTGCGTGGTGACCACGTGATGCGACGACGAAGACGATCTCCCCTCCAGAAAAGACGGGAGTGATGACGGTGATGTCGGGCAGGTGTGAGCCTCCGGCAGTGGGATGGTTTGCAAGGATAACGTCCCCCTCCTTGATGCCTTCCTTGCCGAGCGTGTCGATTTGATAAGAGACTGCGAAGGACATGGACCCTAGATGGACTGGCAAGTGCGGGGCATTTGCAACTAGCTGACCATTTGGGGAGAAGACGGCACATGAGAAGTCGAGGCGTTCTCGAATGTTGACGCTGACGGATGTTTGTTCAAGGGTACGGCCCATTGCTTCGGCGATGCTCATAAACCGATTCGCGAAGACTGAGAGAAGGACGGGATCCGGACCATCCTTGGTGGTTTGTGATCTTTCATTGGCGGGCATGTTGGTGCAGCGTGATGATGGCGAGGAGAAGAGAAGAGAGCCAATTCATGGCAGCCCGTCGGTGTCCAGTGGCCCGTGCTGGAGCGGGGTAACGTAGCGTGGGGGGCCGAGTGGTGCTGACGTAATCGACGCCGACTCTCACTCGACGCTGACGCCCGCGACGAAATTCTCCCTCTCCCTGTGACGTCCGCGCGCAGCAGGGCAGCCAAATCTCTCGATGGCTCAGGCCGACCTGCTTCGGATTTCGACATTGGATTTCACACCTTCTGGTTCGCACCACCACCACCATCATCACCACGATCAACACGACGAGAGCCCAGCCTCCCGTTCGTTCACTCTATCTCTTCACCTTTCGTTCTCTTGACTGAGTAACGAGCTCCAACCTACTACTTCACCGATCAAGATGCCCGTGTCTGCTTCAAAGGCAAAGCGCCAGGCGTGAGTGTAGTCCAGCGCTGCAAGGGTCCCAGCAGCGGGTGGGACAAGTGAGCGCAAGGCTAACAGTCTATCCCGCGTTGTCTTGCTCGCAGCGAGAAGGCCGCAAAGAAGGCCGAGAAGGGCGAGGATGCATCGACATCCAAGACGTCCAAGTCTTCGACGACCAAGGCATCTGGCTCGACCGGCATTACCACGCCCGACTCGGACGCAGAAGTCGGCGAACTTGACATGAAGAAGCTGGCCCTCGCTACTGAGCGAAATGCATCGGGTGTCATCACCTCGGACGGCCAGTCTCGTGACATTCACATCGACTCCTTCACCATGTCCTTCCACGGACGCCTCCTCATCGACACGGCAGACATTGCTCTCAACTACGGACAGAGGTACGGTCTCCTCGGAGAGAACGGGTCGGGAAAGACGACCTTCCTTGAAGCCCTTGCTCACCGAGACGTAGAGATCCCCAAGCATATCGACATCTACCTCGTGCAGGGTGAGGCAGAGCCTACTGATATCAATGCGCTCGACTACATCATCAAGTCGGCGCGTGAGAAGGTGGCGCGTTTGGAGAAGGAGATCGAGGACATGTCTGTCGCCGATGAGGTTGACGAGGTCGGTCTCGAGCTCAAGTACGAGTGCGTAGGCGTGGGAGAGATATCAATAATTACAAGTGTGCCAGTCGCTGACCAGTTTACCCTGCCCCTGGTCTTCGCAGAGAGCTCGAGGAGCTTGACCCCTCAACCTTCGAGGCCAAGGCCGGAGCCATTCTCCACGGTCTTGGTTTCAGCAAGCAGATGATGGCCAAGCCTACCAAGGACATGTCCGGTGGTTGGCGTATGCGCGTCTCCCTCGCTCGTGCCCTCTTCATCAAGCCCCACTTGCTCCTCCTCGACGAGCCTACCAACCACTTGGACCTCGAGGCCGTCGTCTGGCTTGAGGCGTATCTCTCCACCTACAACCGCATTCTCGTCCTCACTTCGCACTCGGCTGACTTCATGGACTCGGTCTGCACCAACATTCTTGACTTGACGATGCACAAGAAGTTCCTGACCTACGGAGGAAACTACTCGACCTACGTCCGTACCAAGGCCGAGAACGAGACCAACCAAATGAAGGCCTATGCCAAGCAGCAAGAAGAGATCCAGCACATCAAGAAGTTCATTGCCTCGGCAGGTACCTACGCCAACTTGGTCAAGCAGGCCAAGTCCAAGCAAAAGATCATCGACAAGATGGAGGCGGCAGGACTCATCGAGCCGATCTCTCAGCCAAGGCAGTTGCGCTTCCACTTTGAGGAGGTTCGCAAGCTCCCGCCGCCCATTATTGCGTTCAACGAGGTGGGCTTCTCATACTCCGGCGAGAAGAAGGACTTCCTCTACAAGGACCTCTCCTTTGGTATCGACATGGACTCGCGTATTGCCATTGTGGGGCAGAACGGAACGGGCAAGTCAACGCTGCTCAACCTGATCACCGGCGCCCTCATGCCCGTCGAGGGAAGCGTGCAACGCCATGCCGGTCTCAAGATCGCCAAGTACTCGCAACACTCTGCCGACCAGCTCCCCTACGACAAGAGCCCGATCGAGTACATGGAGTCGAAGTACCGCGAAAAGTACCCGGGCAAAGACGTCCAGTTCTGGCGTGCGCAGATCGGCCGCTTCGGTCTCTCTGGCCAGCACCAGACGTCGGCCATCCGAACCCTTTCCGACGGTCTCCGCAACCGTGTCGTCTTTGCCGCCCTCGCAATGGAGGCTCCAGAGATCTTGCTGCTCGACGAGCCCACTAACCACTTGGACATGGGATCCATCGACGCGCTCGCTCTCGCCATTAAGGACTTCACCGGTGGTGTAGTGGTCGTCTCGCACGACTTCAGGCTGATCGGGCAGGTGGCCAACGAGCTGTGGGAGGTCAAGGACAAGAAGGTCGTCAACTTGAGGGACATCGGAATTGCGGAGTACAAGAAGGGACTGATGAAGGCGAGTCAGAGCGCGCTGGAGAAGGCCAAGATGATGAAGTAAGCCCGCTCATGGGAGAGAGTGGTCACGTCACGTCCTCGACGACGGGGACGAGGTTTGTATTCCATTGCTTCAATAGACACGATGATATCGATGTGAGGCAGCAAGTGTTCGAGAACGGGCGACTGCGACAAGGTGTTCGGCGGCAGCGGCGGCGACGAGTGCGAGAGCTACCATCACATCATGTCGGCCCGATCTTCCGACGCTCTTTAGGTGATCGCGTCGGATGACCTCTACCGGGCCGCACGAGGCTCGAGCACGAGCAATGCTAGTCGTTGCCTACCCGCCATCGCCCTCTCCCCTCTCTTTGCATCAATCTCAACACCCTTGACCAACATCGTCTCGAACAGAATGATCCTCGCCACGCTTCTAGCTCTCGAGCTCCTCGCTCTCATGACAGCCTCGTACGCGCAGGCAGCAAGCCTCGTGGCAGCCTGTCGTATTGGCAACAACCACTGCATCTTGTGAGTCGCGTGGGGAAGCGTCAAGGGTGGTCTTGCTGAACTCTTCGGCATTTCCCGACCAGCACGCCAGCAGACTCCCTCCTCACCACGCCCGTCGTCATCAGGGACACGGTGCACAAGCTTGTTGGCATGGAAAAGGATAAGATCGAACAGGGTGAGCGCGACGCGCGGCACCCATTCTCCTTTCTCCTTCACCCCTCTGATCACCCCTCTCGCACAGGCACCTACCTCTTCTCTCCCGGGGCAGGCGGCTCCATCCAAGTGACCTGCAAGAAGAGCGCCAAACTGGAGACCTTCTTTTGGTTCTTCGACCAGGAGCCCAGGCTGAAGGGAGAGAGCACCTATGCTGAGCTTGGAGCGGCCAAGGATAACACGCGTACGGCCCAAGTGCGCCTGGGTGGGCTGGACCCGGTCTACGGAGAAACCGTCGAGAGGTCCACGGAGGTCGGGATAGATGTCACTGTCTCTTGTCCGCCCTAGCTGGACGAGGTTAGGCCTCTGCGACTGCGGCGGTGACGGTACGTGCTAACGGCAAGAAAGGACATCCAGCCTAGGCGGGATGAGAAAAATATTCTCCCAGCTACAGGGTCAATCTGTGTGCCCTAGTATCCTGTTTCATACAAGTCGCTCCAAGAATTACTTCGTCCCTCACCTCGACCCTAGCAAATAATCGGCTGACAAACGACCGGCTGACAAACGTGATCAATTTAATGCTGCGGTGATAACGACGCCGGCGAGGTCGGAGTGAGGGCCGACGGCGAGAGGCAAAGTGTTAATGCGCTCGGCCTTGACGCCTAACCGTACCGCGGAGAGTGATGACCGGACAAGTGCTGCGGACACTACGGGCCACTCTCGGATGCTTTTCTCGTAGCTTGGATCGCTTCTGGTCGCCGGGTGAGAAGGGTTTCCGGGCAAAAGACACGGCAAGACTCTTAACTTGGCGCTGAATTGAGACCGTTCTTCGTGTGATCGTAGTAGCATTCGGCGTCGGGGAACAATGCGACTGGTGAGGTACAGGCTACAGTCCTAGGCATTGTGGTATGGACGTGTCAGGGCTGGGAGGAGACACGTCAAAAGGCATAAGAACCGGAGTCCCTCGGTCTCACCTTGCCCTCTTCGTCTCCCTCAACCGATCTTGCAAGCGCACTCGTCGCACCACCAGCCAAAGCTACCTCTTCCCCTTGCTCAACCGTCTACCCTTTCAGACCAACATGCTTCACCTCACTCTGCTCAGCTTCGTCGCGGGCCTGGCTAATTTCCCAGTCGCGTTGGCCCACCACGCATACTGCTCCTGGGCGTACGTGCCTGGCTCGCCTGCGGACAGCGGCTTCACGCGCCACTGTCTTGCGCCCAAGATCTACATCGACAGCACCCACGCTCAGTATAAGTGTCTGGAAAGGCAGGTCGTGGCCGATTGGGGCTATCTCCGACCGTACACCCTTGAATTTGGTGAGCCTCGGCAAGGGACAGCGCAACGTGACCGGACTGCTCATGCTTTCTTGACCTCCCTTCTCGCGCGGCAGCCACGCCCTGCGGGGACTCTGGCTATGCGCTGAGGGTCCATCATAAGCATCATCACTGCGACCACGACGTCTGGGCCCTCTGCAACGCCACCGCTCAGGCCAACGACCCTCAGGGCTACAGGTGCTACTATATGAAATCTCATGACGATTGTACGTCCCGCTCGGCGCGACTCCCTCACGTGTCCATGCCCCGCGCTGACTTTGTGTTGCATCTTCTCAGGCGAGTGGCCTCTCACCTTCGAGAACCAGGATGACCTGCCTGCGGCCGTTGATGTCTGGCATCTTTGAGGAACAGGCGCAGCAGTGAGGCGGCCCGCTCGCTACCTTCTCAAAATCGTCGCTGGTCGACGTTGAGGGCAGTGGTAGGCAGTACGCACGTGTGCTCCATCACGACTTCATTGCTCCTAGAATTTGAAGATTATCACCATTCGACTGCTCACAGATGTTGACGGCGTGGCACACGGCGCAAGAAGCGCTTCTCATTCGATGCCCAGCTTTGCGCGCTCTTCTACTACAGTACGTACGGTAGCTTCAGGTTCCTGCGTGTCCTCTTCCCTAGAACACACAACCGGGCTCCATGATACCACAACCGAAGTCGCCGTCCCCAAAGATGTCCAATCTTTCGGGCAGCGCAAGGAAGGTAAACTTGCCCGGCCATTCGCCTGCGAATGCGAGTCGGATGAGCTGTGAACCATGATACTCCCCTGCAACTTCTGAACGTGTACGAACAGTCATCTTTGCCATTCAGGTAGTAACAATGGGCTGTGTTCTGGTGAGGCAGCACGGCCTTAACCCAGCAAGCAGCCCAATGTTTGGATCGACATCGCCCGGTGCGCTTATAGTCCCAGCCGTGACGGGAGCAGGGGGAAGCTGCGAGAAGGGTGACCATCAGGTTGTCGTTCAATGCATAGCTTTCGCAGAGCTCTTGCTTCATGACTGACCAATCTCGACAATGTCTGGCCTGAGGTGTCCCCACGACGCTGTCTCCGTGTAATCATTAGCTGTTTGCCACACCGCATGTGTCTTGTTCTCCCTGAATCCCTCCGCATTTAGAAAAAAATTGAAGCCATGGTCGGTGGGGAAGCCGTCCATTTCCCAAAAGCAGGTGACGTGCTTGGCGAGAGCAGGTAGGAAGAGCAGTGTGGCAGGACTGATCCAAAGAGCATCTTGTCGCGTCGGTGGCGGGAAAGCTCTGGCATTACCGTAGAGGGCTTGACAGTCGCGGGTGTAAAGACGAAGGCTGCAGCCTTGAACCCATCGCTTTCTCGCTTTGGCATACTTTGCTCAATGACCGGAAAGCTCGGCCGCTTATGTCGCACGTTCGCAGCACCACACTCGGTGGATTCTACTCGGTTGCTTTGCCTCTGACGTACTGTAGGCAGCGAAGGGCAGCGATGTGTGATTGCCTCAGCAATGCTTGCTCCAAGTTGACTTCGGGATAAGGTGGAGACGACGGCGGGCCGAACGAACTTCTCTTCCACCTCAAGAGGACCATCTCATCCGAACGCCCAGCATGCAGCTTCCCCTCACACTCATGCTCGTCGGCTTCCCGGTCGTGCTTGCTAGCGTCCCTATCTTCATGTGCTCGTGGAAAATTTCTGATGGATCTCCCGAACTGGTCGGCTTCGAGTGGTGGTGCAACGCCGAGAAAAAGATCACGAGCAACGCTACTGCTGACTACGCATGCCACTATGTCGACCGCGTCGCCGACTTTGGAGCTCAAGGCTTCGAAAAGCAGCTGCGATTCCGGGCCGCGTGTCCTCACGAGCGCAATGATGGCTGGGGCTACACCTCCTGGCATAGCTGCGGCAATCCTTGGGCAGTCTGCGTCGGCGCCAATGGACCCAACGATAAGCCTATCCAATGCTTCGTGAGAATACTGTAGCGGCGACGCAGGGTATTCATCGTACAGTACAGCACTGACGCGCATGCGCTCTTCCTCCACTCCAACTCGAAGTGGGTCGACAAGAATGATGACTGTAAGCGTCGACCCCAGAGAAACACTGAGCTCGGCCCCGAGAGAGATTCTCATCGAAAAGTTTTAAATCGCTGACCATTCGGTCCTGCAGGCCTTTGGCCGACCACATTCGATTCTGCTGAGGCCGCACCTAGTATGGTACAGATCTGGAATAAGAAGTGAAAGTGGGTCATAAGAACCAGGATGGTTCAGTCGTGGCACAGATCAATCTACACTATCTAGACACTCCAGCGCTTCTATGCCTGCTGATAATGCTCAACTGTGCCCGCTTGCGCCTGAAACACGGCCTGCCGTGTAGCATCGTGAAGCTGTCTTTTGTCTTTTGCCATTGCCGTCAGTCAGTATAGGAAGGCTCCGTCACGGCTCGTCGACTTTACTCTGCGCCAAAGCGTACCGCCGTATGCGTCCTTGTTGTACTGTACAGTACGTCAATCGCGTCGCAGACTATGGAATCCCCGGCTTCGAAAAGCAGATACGGTTCCGTGCTGCGTGCCGAGGAGACTCGCCGGCCGAAGAGCGAGGCGCAGTCATGCAACATACTGGTTGTGAACACTCTGACAGCACTTTATCATGCCTTTGTTCCGTATGTGGATACCTACAAATGAGGTCCAATCATACGCTCATGGGCTGCTGTCTCTTACGCTCATGCCACTGACCGGCTGATCCTAATGCTTTGTTACTCGGCATATACGCTTCTGACGGGCGGACAGGAGCTGCGGGACATCTCGATAGTCAGCTGACGGGCACCTTTGGATCAATAGAAGAACGGTCAAGCCGACAGCCGACAGTTTTCGTGCACATCTTGCTGGACCAGCGCTTTGCTGAGGCAATGCGAAACAGACGGCGCTGTCTCCCGATCCACAGATTCTGACCGGTAAGAAGGCTGCTTTGGTCTGATACAGGATTGTATCCCTTCTCCTCCCAACACACCTGAGATGCAGATCATCCTCTTACCTCTCGCTGTGATCGCTGCGGCAGCGTCGGCAGTGCCAATCTTCATCTGCAGCTGGCGCCCCTTCACGGACAGCCCAGAGCTACACAACTTCGAGTGGTATTGTAATGCACAGAAGCGTACGGTCAACAGCTCGCATGCTATCTACAATTGCGATTCTGCTCGTTGGCACAACGTCGCCGACTTCGGATATCTCCTCCCCTTTGAAGACCTGCTACGATTTCGTGAGTCCAAAAGCGTGGCCGGATGTCTACGAACAGCTTTTCATCACGTGTCGCGCAGGTGCTGCTTGTCCAGTTGGAAGAGCAGACGGCTGGGGTCTGGGTGGCTTTTCCGACTGCTACAGCCAGACGTGGGCCGTGTGCATTGGCAATAATGGACCTCACGACAACCCCATCCAGTGCTACGTGAGCGTGACCACGCGCTCGCCCAGCTGCTACCTTTCCACTGATCCTCCGCGTCTGACTCCTCTCTCTCAGCTAGTCGACAGGCACGATGATTGTGAGCCCACTACCGCGTGATAGACTCACTCAGCTGTTCGCTCACGTCGGCCTGCTTCCTTGTTTCTGCTCAGGTGTGTGGCCCAAAATCTTTGACAATGCTGAAATGGCTCCGGTCCAAGTGCAGGTCTGGAAGCAGAAGAAGAGTTAGAGGGAAACAGTAGTAAGGAAGCTCTGTGTGCAAGTACTCGCCGTCTTCGGCTCATTTTTATAGCTTTTGCTTCCATCTGACGCGCTCGTTACATCTTTTCATGCCTGGTCACCGTGATCACCCAACGACCCATTGAACTGCCTACTGTAGCACCCAAGGACCATTTGTCAGCCTTGAACCCCTGGGCAGCATCGAGTCAACGGAGGCTGCGTGAATGCAACCTGCCGTCGTAGCTTTTGCTCGTAGGAGAACAAGGCGGGCGGAAGAGAGGAAACGGAGGCGAGCGTGAAGAGCTTGACTTCTTCGTTGGTCTCCCTCAAGACGCGCTTGTCATGCGAATCCACATCGTCGCTAAGGCTCTCCTCCCCGCCGTCGCCATCAAGTTCATATCTCGCGTGACAGGAACTCCCATCTTTCTGTGCTCGTGGAAGCCATTCACGGACAGCCCGGAGCTTCACAATTATCGATGGTACTGCAACGCACAGAAGGAGATCATTGATGATCATGCAGCCCAGTACAGGTGTGACAGGTCGCGTGGGGAGAATGTGGCCGATCTGGGGTCTTTCACTCCTCTGACTGACCTGCTGCGATTCAGTGAGTTGGCGGCTGCCTTCTACGTGCGCCGACAATGCGCTGACCTGACCGCGCTGGCAAAGAGTCAGCTTGTCCCACGGATCGACGTGATGGCTGGGGCTACCAGCACGAGATGTGCCAAGGGGAGCATTGGGCTGTTTGTTTGGGGGATAACGGACCTCACGATCACCCCATCACATGCTACGTGAGACCGGACCGCGATCGTCTATCGCAACCGCAGAAAGCTCTGAGATTCTGACTGAGACACCTTGTTCCTCTCGCAGTACGTCGATGCGAGGGACGACTGTAAGTTTAACTCTTCGAAGCCGGCTTGATTTGCAGACAGGCTGCTCACTCTCGGCTTTGATCAGGCTTGTGGCCCGATAGCTTCAACAACTCTCAAGTCGCCCCTGCGCAGGTGCAGGTGTGGAGCGAGAAGTCCTGAACGGGCACGCATGGCATCGCTAGGCATTCAGTGTTGAGGTCATGACCTAGGCAACTTTGAGATCCTCCTTGAGGGAGAGTTGGCATCTGCGCGGTCAGACTGGAGCCAATCCCTACCGGCCGGACCTTCGCCTGCGGCGGAATTAGCGTAGCCCAGGAGGCAAAGTGTGGAGAGACAGATAGGCCATAGAGTAATCTCCAGCAGGCAACGTGACCGCCGTGCAACATTTCCGATCTCGCGACCGCAAAGGAAACGGGGTGCAAGCAGCAAAAAGCAATGCTGCAGCTCAGCGTGCCGTGCCTCGTTCTACCTTCCTTCACACTCTCGCTGGACATCGCTCCTAAGATAATGACGATGCTCCTCCTCGTTGTGCTCTTTACGGGCGGCCTCTTCACTTCTGTGCTTGCCGTGCCCATCTTTGTCTGCAGCTGGCAACTGACAACCGAATCACCGGAGCTGCATGGGTACGACTGGTTCTGCGATGCAGACAAGCAATCGGTCAACGCGAGCCACGCGCAGTACATGTGTAATGGGAGGCATTGGGATCAGGTTGCCGACCTTGGATTTGTGGAGCCGACGCGCGACCTTCTGCGATTCCGTAAGTCGGCCGCATCAGGCTCACTCGTCGTACCTATGCTGACGCTGTCCCCCATGCGCGATCAGGTGCCGCTTGCCCGGAAGGCCAAGACCGTAATGATGGCTACGGCTTCACGTATGAAGAGGCTTGCGTCAGCCAGAATTTTGCGGTTTGTCTGGGCAAGAACGGCGCCAATGACAGCTCCATCCAATGTTTCGTGAGTGGGCACCGAGCTGAAAGCCATTTCTTCTGCTCGAGGTTGTACCAACCGGCTGATGCGACTTCCGCCTCAGTGGGTCGATCGTCGCGACGATTGTGAGTCGGCACCGCCAATCACCTTCAGCAGCTCTGACACTCATCCGCTCACGCGCAACACGCTTTCTGTTGACTCGCATAGGTCTATGGCCGAAGTCCTTCGGCAGCTCAGCGGAGGCTCCAAGCCTGGTGCAGATCTGGAAACAGAAGTGATGGCCAGAGCGGCGGGACTTTGTCCCGCTCAAAGGGCAGAAGCAGGCGATTTTGCGGTGACATACGCAAAGCGCACGAACTTTGAGCGCGAATGTAAAGCGAAGCAGAAGACATTCTTATCATTATAGAAGGGTATGATAAGTCCTGTTTCGGTTGAATTGAAATCCTGCAATCCAGGCAACGAGCGTGGGGTATACGCGGAGGAGGCTGACGCCTTTGGCCAGCGCGGCAGCCTTGGCCCCCGCTGGGAACTCGAAGATAGCTCCGTCGAGATAGGCTTCGCCGCGGAGCCAATTGAAGGGAGCAAAGAGAAGACGAAACCGTAGGAGTTGATGCGATCCAATTCGGCCATGTTGAGGGGCAGGACAAGGCCCCTTGGATCGAGAAACTTGTCGTCACCTACGTGCCGCGCTCTCAGGAGATTGTAGTACACGATTTGACGGGTGATATGGTGTAAGGTATCGCTGATATGGATATGTGTGTGACTGGGCTCTTGATGCTGGGTGCCTCTAAAGGAGACGACGACGGCTGTCGCTACAAACAAGCCCCTGCTCACCCTCTGGGAAGCGACTGCACTGGAGAGTTCCGGGACCCGTGGACGGGCCTGAGGCGGCCTGCTGTTGGTGGAAAGTGCCGGCACCCGTCGATGAGCGCTTGCGAGCGGTAGAGCTGACGCCGCCTTGAGCGGGCTCCGGGCGTATTCCAATGATGGACGCGAAAAGGCGGCTGTGCTTGATCCTGCCAATCAGCTTGAGCGCATGTTGGCGGGCCGACCATTGGCGAGCGTGATCGCGCTCAGCGAGAGCTTTGCGACGGATCTCCTGCGCAACGGTGATGAGCTCGTCGATTGTGTTGAGTGTGATGAGCTCGGCCAAAGCCACAGGACGCATCCGCCCTTCTTCTGCGACCGGTTAAAGGGAATTCGGTCTTGCCTTCGCCTTCTTGCTTGCGCCTCTGCCGCCCTGCTTCGGTCAGCCGCACAAATGTGAGCTTATTGCCGCAATCCTGGCGGTTATGGTTCCTCCTTAGCAAGGCCCTGAGCCGAGCAAATTGGAAATATTGACTCGAACGAGGCTGAGCGCTGAGCGCAACGGGAGCATACTGGTAGGTACCATTGGGTGAGGTAGCACGGCTCTCCATCTTCATCCGGTTCGAAGAGCGTTGGAAGCGATATGCCGTCTTTCTCTCGCATCGATGGTGCTCCCTAGATTCCTACTCGTAATGCAGATACTCGTGCCCGCGGCCGCCTATTCCGAGATTAGACTGGGCACGACGCCCAATAGTGGAGGACGAGGGTTGCTGCGATGAAAGGATGAGAGTGATGGAGAAGAAAGAAGGGAGATCAGATGCGGAGTCGACATGTCGCTTTCGACCTTGCCTGTCCGCACTCGAGGTCTGGATCGCGGATTGCCGTGCACGGGCCCTCGCGCAAGCAAACGTCGTGCCTGCAGGGCAAACTGGTGTTTGCAATCGCCTCCGCACCTCGCGACTTTGAGATCACACTCGACAGGACGTCTTCTGCTCCGAAGATCGAGACTGGAAGACGAAGGACTGCAAGGGTACCATGCGAAGATGAGTGAGTAACTCTGGCTCGCAACGCGCTGAGTCGGACTTGCTCGACACGAGGAGCGCTTGGCTGCGCAAAACAACGTGGCGTGCCGGGGCGTGATCTCGCCGATTCGGGATACCCTCTCCTCCCAAAGAGATCCCAGCGAGGGCCGTCTGGCATCGTGACCTGTCTCATGACCACTAGCATGACCTCGGACAGGCTACACCGACATGGCGAGCGCAAGGCCGGAGGCGCCCGCAGGCGAGTGCGAAAGGCATTAGAGGAAGATGCGATCTTCGTCGAGCTGGTCCATCCTCCATCCATCCAACTTCTCACCAAGTCACGATGCAAGTAGCCATGATTCATGTCGCTGTGATCCTTGCCGCTCACATCGCTGCGTCGGCAAGCGGGAGAGCCGTCCCAGTCATCTTCTGCTCCTGGAAGCCCTTCACCGACTCGCCCGAGTCGCACGGGTACCATCAATACTGCAGTGCCGAAAAGCAGACATTCGATGACACGGCCGCATGGTACAGCTGTGACGGTCACCAGGACACGCAAGTTGTGGCTGACATTGGCTTCTTGGACCCCTTTCCTGACTTGCTACGCTTCAGTGAGTTGATTGCAGCCCGTCCCCTTCGGTCGTTCCCCATCAACAAGCGTTTGATTGAGAAACTGACCTCCTCGCACTGCTAGAGGCAGCATGCCCAAAGGACAGCCAAGATGGCTGGGGCTACAAGGCCACTCGCTGCCAAAGCGAGGCCTTCGCCGTCTGTCTCGGCGGCGGCAGCCCTCACCAGGAACCAACCGCCTGCTATGTGAGCCTACCGTGGCCGAACAATCAGACCGAGGTCGTGTCATCTGAGAGCCTCTCCCAATCCAGGGCGTCGACGCGAGCGATGACTGTAAGCACGAGCCGAATCGGGAACATTGGTCCATCTCTCGCCCAGCAGATACCTGACCCCTGGCCCCTCTATCAGGCCTATGGCCTAGTCGATTCAGTAGTCCCAAGCAAGCTCCCGCGCAGGTGTCGGTCTGGAAGCAGAAGCAGTGATGCAATGGGGCTTCCGATGCTGGCAATCACCGACATTTCCTCCAACTCCTCGAAGACCTTTACACTACACGACAGCCCGGCGAATGGGAGCACGACTATCCTGCCTAGTGTGACCGACACGTTGCAATGCACGAGATCAAGCATCACCCTCGAGCCCGTCGAAGCTGATGCTGTCTCGCCGCCGGCGTGTTGCCTGGCCCTGTGGCTGTTGTCTCTACGAGCGTGATCCCCCGATGGGCGGCTGTTCAGGGTGGTCATTGGCCCAAACCGATCATGCCTATATCAAACGTCCCGTGAGCGCCACCTCGCCGATATTGGGGTCTCTTATGCTTGGCCCTAATGAGCGCCACGGTGGAGCTTGCCACGCATAGGCTGAAAGCAAAGAGGCAAGTCAGAGAGACTCCAGACCACAAAAGCGCGAGCAGCACCCCCTACTTTCTCTTCTTTCGCTGTCACTTTCTTCTGACTCCGCCCGCCACGCCTACGATGCTCCTCGCCCTTCACATTCTCCTTCTGATGCTCATGCGTCTCGCACTGGCAGACCCTCCCCTTGTAGCCTGCTCATGGAAGCCCTTCACGGACAGCCCCGAAAATCACGGTTATCGTTGGTTCTGCAACGCGCAGAAAAAGCAGCTCGACGGCATACGTGGAGAGTACAGGTGCGACGACAAACATTGGGCGACCGTGGCCGACATCGGATACGTCGAGCCTTATTTGGTGCTGTTGCGTTTTCGTTAGTACGCTTTTGTCATGGGCCAGCAGTTTGAAAGCTGATGTCACATCTCCCGCGCGCCCGCAGTGGCTGCCTGTCCTGATGAAACCAAGCGAGAGAATGGCACAGCTACAGGGTATGGTTGGACTGACTGGTCTACGTGCTTGTCAAGGTCTTGGGGAGTCTGTCTGGGCAACAACGGACCTCACGACAGTCCCATCCAATGCTTCGTAAGTGGACGTGTCAGGTGACGCGTCGTGATCTGACCTTGCGCTGACTCCGGCGCCTCTTCTGGGCCCGACCAGTTTGTCGACAGAAAGGATGATTGTCCGTGCGCAACCCGTTGCCATTGAGAACAGACGCTGACATTAGCTTGCAACGTGCTCAGGTGTGTGGCCCGACAACTTCGGCGCCGTCGAGAAGGCCCCGTCTCAAGTCCAAATCTGGAAAGAAGGGTGACCGGAGGATGAAGGCAACCGACAGCGCGGCAGTCATGTCCCGACCAACACTCTTCGAGAAGAGCTCTTCACCTTTGAGAAGCCAATGATATACGATTGCACCTTACAGCGCTGCGTCTACTCTTGTGCCGTACGGCCCATTGCCGACCGTTCTTGCCAAAACAGCCGCTGCGGTAGTTTTGTCCGTGGCAAGAAATCCCGAGCGAGTACATCCGCTGACATCGTGTGTCTTCGCGTTCGACGCCAAGCCATACCGACAACTTGCTCCTCAGCAAAGCACCGGCCGTCGAGGCTCTCGACCAATCAGCCCTGTGACCCTCCTTGGTCAGCTCTTGCTTCTGAGCAGGCAAGAGCATGAGCCAATCGAGAACGTTGCCTTGCCTCCTCTCTTCAGCCCCCCCTCCCCCCCACTTCCCTCATGCATCACGCCTCCGACCTCAGAATGCTGCAGCATGGCCTCCTCCTTGCTTTCATAGCTGCCATCCCTTTCGCCCTCCTCCCCATCGTGCATGCGGCTCACACCATCTGCTCCTGGTCTCCTGGTCCCCTCAATCCAGACAAGTACAACTTCACAATGTACTGCGAGGGAAAAGCGGAGAAGATGAATATGACCTACTACACCTACGGGTGTAAAAGGACGGGTAGGGAGTTGGCTACTTGGGGCATTCAAGGGCCGGGCAAGCTGAACTTCAGTGAGAACCTTCCATGCGGGATACAGCGGCTCGCTGATGAAGCGAGGTTCTTCTCACGTAGACACACCTTGCGGGAAGAACGGGTTCGCTTTGCATTACAAGCCTTTTTACTTGAAACCGTCTTGTCACCAGGTATTGTGGGCCTTCTGCATTAGGCCGGAAGGGGCTACGGCGGAGACGGTCAATTGCAAGGTGAGACGTGAGCGAGCGCTGAGGAGGAAGGTGCTCTTGCTGACCTCGCTTGATTTGCTGCAGTACATGAATTCGTGGGATGACTGTAAGTGCTTGACGCCACGGTCAGAGTCTTTCAGCAGCTGACACCTTCGCTCGCGTCTGAGCAGGCGAGTGGAACACGCCTCTCAAGGAATCCGATATCCCTGGCTTCGTTGATGTCTGGTCCTTGCACAAGTGAGAAAGTACTTTGAAGCAATAACAGAGGCGCTGCAGTCTTTACCCGCTTAGGCGCAGGCTGGTCCCACCGTGGTGGTAATGAATCCTCGTCTCTCTGCTCGCGCGGGATGAATCAGTACAGTGCAGCCTTGACCATTCCGCGCACGCTTAGCACGCTTGACCCAGACGAGCGGTACCATTCCCAGAGACGAGGCTCTTGTCCTTCTGCTGACCACCGCAAAGGGCTATGTAAATCCCGTGACACGCCGATGGCACCCCCTGCCCGGCGTGGGTCTGCATGACAGCCGCAGAGCTGCAAGCTTCTACGACTGCCGCTGCTGCGTCTGCCGCAACAGCAACCACACCCTGCTCTACGTTACTTCGACCCTCGCCAAGGCCCAGCGCAAGCTCGAACCTCCTCAATCCTTCCCGCAGTGTCTGCTCCGGCATAGCAAACGTGAGCCTAAAGATGCCCGGCGTGGGATGCCAGTAGTTGGAGCCAGGAGTGACGCACACTCCATGTTGAAGGACTCGACTCCACAGCAGTGCTTCGGCTTCTTGTAGTGCCACTTGGGACTGCTCCGCCGTGCATCCCTCCGGGCGCGTGATGGGCATAAATCGGTCTAGATTGGCGACGAGGAAATGACCGGCGTTGGAGTGCGTGTACGGGATGCCGTGCTTCATGCACCACTCCTTGGCCACCTCGTACGCCGCGCTGAGCCGCTGTTTGTTCTCCTCGACAAACCAAGCATACAAGGTCTCGTCCCGTAGCAAGCGCGACCAGAGTGCGTCTGCCGGGCTGGACACCATGTAGAGCTTGCTGGTGCTCTTCATTGCAGCCACGAGCTGAGGATTATGCTGAGAGATAAAGACGCCCAGCCTGAATCCGTTGAGACCAAAGTCCTTTGATGCCGAGGTGAGAATATGTACGCGCGATGGATGACAGCCAGAAGCCTCACGCTGCCAGTCGATGGAGAGGGCTGATGTGAATGGGACGGGATGCGGGTCGTCACTCGTTGCGAAGGTGGAGCGGGCGTAGATCTCATCGACTACGAGGTGGAGGTTGTGCTGCTGCGCAAAGCGACCATATGCTAGGAGCGCAGAGCGGGTGTAGCAGCGGCCGAGGGGGTTGTGTGGGTTGCAGAGGATGAGGGAGGAGACGCTGCCTGCAGGTGCCGCAGCTAGGGCCTCCTCGAAGCCGCGGAGGGCCGTCTCGCCATCAAAGGACTCGGCCTCGCTACCATCGCCGTATGGCGAGTAGACAGGGATACACCTCACTCCAGCGCGAGTCATGAGATCGGCATCGAAGCCGTTGTAGTAGGGCGCGGCTACCAGTGCAGCTTGGCCTGGCTCTGCAAGGTGCTCGAAGAGCTGGTCGAGGAGAGGCCCACAACCGGGGCCCGTCAGGATGTGCTCCTCAAGGACAGGCGTGACTGGGGAAAATGTGGGGCGATTGAAGTGGTGACTGAGAGCCCCGAAGAGGCGTGTCGAGCCGAAGAGGGAAGTACCGTAGGTAAGATCTGTGGGGTCGAGGGGCAGATGCGAGAAGTACTGATAGGGACGCCGAGGAGGGGGAAAGAGTTCAGCGCAGGGGTCGAGGAGAACCGCGATGCTGCCACGCCTCACCTCGAGGAGCTCCTTCTCCATCAGCGAATTGTTGGCAATGCCCATGTTGATGACGCCAGTCGTGTTCGTCTCGGGCGAGTAGACGTTGCGGAGGACATCGTCAAAGACTTTCCCTGTCATGCGGTGAGGCGAGAGATGAAAGTGAGTGGATGCCAGCAGACACTGATCCTCTCATCACCCTTGCCTACGCACAGAAGGGTGTCACGTTGGCGGCGTGAGCCTTGCCCCTCGAGGAGAGCTGAGGCAGCGCAGCCTTATCACTATCGTTGACCTGCGTTTGCGTCTGCGGGAGGGGGCAGACGTTTGGCTCGCTGAGAATGCGCGGAAAGCAGGCCGGTCCACAGGACATGGTAGAGGGACGTCGAGGGTAGAGTAGGGTGAAGAGAAGTCAAAAGGAGGGGATTGTGATTCCAAGCCCATCCTTATCGTGGGTCAGGGTCAGGTGGGGTTGACTCGGTCGCACCAAAAGCTGCGAAGGCAACAAAGCGTTGCATCTGTCTATCCGTCGGTCCCTCGCTTCTCTCTCGCGGTTGGACGCCCTGTCCGGTCGCCGCGACTTGCTCCGCCCTCGAGTGAGGCACAGATGGATGGCCCGCGCCTCTTCCCGTCCGATGCTCTGTCCGTCGACTCGAACGCGAGAGCCTTCGTCACCCTCATCCTCATCACCACCATCCACCCCGCACGACGGGCTCATCCTCTCTCACCGCCGCGCAGCATCTATGCGCTTCGCTCTCTCATCCGCCTCAGAGGCATCGGCGGACGAGGATGCGGCAGGCGAGGCGACCTTTGGCGGGCGTGATCTGCGCACACGAGCTGGACGGTTAGGGATCGCATCCACATCGACGGCCAATCGAGCCAAGGCGCAGCAACAGCAGCTTCCCTCGACACTGCCTCGAGCATCGAGCAGCAAATCTGCGGCACAATCAGAGTCACCAGAAGTCAAGCGCACCAAATGGCTGCCACCGTGGATCAAGGCTTCGCCTGAGCAGCAACGCCGACGTCGCGATGGACAGGGCTCGGCATCCGACTCGAGCGGTGGCAGCGGGCAGGAAGACGACGCCCGGGAGTCAATGTCAGCTCGCAGACAAAGAAGACGGACACCGACTGCACAGCGTCATCGGATGCCCTCACGCATAGCCTCTTCGTCCAGCTCATCCCAGCTCAGCTCCGACCTCGAAGACGAGAGCGACGGCCAAGAGGAGCTAGCCTCGCCGGCACATCGCCGCCGCACTCGTCGCAGAAGCCGTAGCCGGCGAGTGGCCGATGAGGACGAAGATGGCTCTTTTGCATCTCGCGAAGACAGCATCGAAGACGACGAAGCGTTGCGGAACATCCGTCTAGCAGGGGACGAAGAGCAATGGGACGGCGAGTGGGGCAACGTTCTCCGCAAGAGCTCGTCGCGGTGGAGCTCCCTCGTGGCTCGCCGCCAGACCCCAACACCAGCAGCGGGCGCCAGTGCCTCCTCACCTTCCAGTCTTGCCGCGGACAAAGGCTCCTTCAGCATCGTCCGTCCTCCCGGCGGAGGCGCAAACTCCTCTAGCAGCCAGGATAGTGATCTGGCTCCTCTTCTCTCCCGCCTTCGAATCGAAAAGGAGGAAGCAGAGCGTCAGACGCGAGCAGAGTTTGAAGCGCGAGAGAAGCGCCTATGGGACGGAATCGAAGCTGCGATCAGCGCTGCTGAGCAGGAAGCGGCGAAGAGGGCGAAGCAGGAGGCAGATAGGTTGGCCAAGGAGACGAGGGAGCGCGAAGAGAAGGAGCGTCTTTTCAAAGAGGCGCAAGAGGCGGAACAGAGGCGCAAGAAAGAGGAGGAAGAGCGTAGTGCCGCTGCGACCAAGGCGAAGAAGGAGGAAGAGGATCGCCGTGCCCGTGCCGAAGAGGAGCAGAAGGCTCGCGACGCCAAAGCCGCTGCGGACAGCGAAGCTCTCGCCGGCCTCGCAGGTGGGAGTGCCCTTCTCTCCGCAGCTCGCAAGGACTGGGCTCACTGGCGCGACGAGATGGCTCGCATCAAACGCGAAGTTCTCCCCGTCGTCAAGTCCAACCCAGCTTGGAAGAAGTCCTGCTTTGTGGCTAAGCGCCAGATTACCCCCAAAATTGGGCAGCTGACCAACTCTCGCACCGAGATTGATCGCATCGCCTCTGCCATCTCCTCCCTCCTGAGCGAGGCCAAGTCCGCGCCGGGCTGCGAGAAGGGGGAGATCTACGAGTGGGTACTGAACCATCTGGCCAAGTGTCTGATCAGGCAGGCAGAACAGGAAGTCGCAGTCAAGGTGGATACGGCCTACCCGCTCGCCCGGCTCGTGTTGCGCATCATGCTTGCAGGCGGTCATGCAGAAGGGCTGGGCAAAGTGCTCATGGCCCGTCTGGTTAAGAAGAGCCCCTGGGTCGTAGGCTACGTTCCGAGCAGGGCGGACGCGCCTGACGTTCAGGAGGATCCGACTGCTCTGGCCAAGCTGGTGGGCAAGTCCTCTCCCGACGAGACAAGCGTCCAGTTCACCTCACGGCAGGCCGGTATTCTAGCATTCTACTTCGCCCTCTGCCAAACGGACCTGGTCGACTCTGCTGCCCCCGGCACTACCGCAGTAACTGCAGCTCAGCAGGTGCCCTCCCAATTCCATCCCTCCGCCCTCTGGCATTGGAGCGCCCGCTGTGTCACTCCACCGATGACAGGCCACGCCTTGATCGCCACCCTCTGGTGCACGCTACTAGACGTAGCATCGCCGTACTTGCTGGAACGGTACCCCTCCCAATTCGCCAAGGTGCTGCGGCTCCTGTTGAAGGAGGGCCTCAGGGGCGAGAAGGCGGGCTTTGTCAAGTTGGAAGAAGCGACGAGCGCGAGAGGGAGATTGAGGTTATTGTTGGAAGAGTGGGAGAAGGAGGGAAGGGTGAAGGAGGCGGGCAAGGGACGAGCGGTGGACCCATAGTCGAAAGGAGGCAGAACAAGTGGACTGCTTATCTTGGTTTCTTTACAGCATTAACATCATCATACAATCAGCATCTTCTCAGCATTTGTCCTTTCCCTGCGGCATCGCCTTCTCTTCCTGCTTTCCTCTCGAGCCATCTCTTCAGCTCCTGAACCCTCTGCCGCGCTCTCTCCTAGCACTCAAAAATCCTCGCGGTACTGACATTGATCCTACTCCACGCTCTCCGCCTCACCAGCACCTGCCTCAACACCAAGTAGGGCCATGTAACGTGGTAGAACACAACGAATGGCAGTGGGTCCTCTTGATCCCACGCCGCATCTCTCTCTCCCGGTGCAGCCAGGTCGAAGTGAGACCCTCCCCCTGCGACGACTTGTGAGGAAGAGGAGCCAGCTTCACGAGAAGTGAGCCAGAGCGGGTGCACGAGCTTGCGGAGGAAGCGAGGCACGAGGTGCGGGAGAAGACGAGCGGGCACGTCGTGCGCTAGCCAGCTCATTGGTTTTGCTCGGGGCAGAGGCTCGATGAGGGCTGGCTGTTCCTTGCTTCGGCCAACATCGAGGTCGTAGACGCTTCCGAATTTTGGGTTCTCTGCGAGCAGCCCTACGGCCGTGTGCACGCGCGGATTGCACTCGATTGCTACCAGTCGGCCATTGTTCCAGTATTCTGCCCCCTGTTCCCCCTCTCCAGCATCTGCGTCTGGCTGGTGGATAAAGTCGAAGCTGTAATGCCCTTGAATAGCCCTGCCCTGCCACTTGGCATCCTTCTTGACTCTCCGCATGAATTCGCGGGTCCACGCCAGCGCTCGTTGGCCCAGTGGGTGGTTCGAGGGGAGAGGATGATACGTCATGAGCATATCGTTGCTCGGGCAGCATACAAAGGCGAGCACGTTTCCCTGCTCGTCGATAGTCGAATGCGTGCACCACTCTGTCGTTCTGCCTCCTCCGATGAACTCTTGCGCTATGTACGGCGTCTGCTTGGAGATGGGGATAGGCAAGGAAGAGATGCGGCGTTCTGTTGCCTTGAAATCTGGAGCGCCGGCCTTGTTGCGAAGGGGGTAAAGTGTCAAATCGGAGCGTCCGACATCATCTAGCTCTGCGGCGCATTTTAAGATGCGTGGTGGCTGTTTCGGCAAGCGAAGTAGCTTCAGGAGTTCTTGCGGGGAGTCGACAAGGATCGACTCCGGAGCATCGAGGGAGTAGGAGCGGGTGAGGGTGATGAACTTGTCCTGGCGGCGAAAGAGGGACAGAGCAACGCGTTCAGATGATGCTGAGGCGCAGAGTCAGGCCTTACAGTCTCTCACCTTCTCATGCAGTTCGAGGACCAGCTCCGGATCCTGAATGACTGCTCTGAATCCGTCGCTGCTTTTAGCAGAAGTACGCTGTCTCCGCATCTTGTCCGCCGCCAGAGCATCCTCATGCGTGGTGCCAGCTCCGGAGCAGGGAACAAATAATTCGGCTTTCTCTGCCTCAGCAATAGCGACCAGAGCATCTACATAGTGCTTCCCGCCTCCAGAGGGGACGAGGTGAAATGCATCAACAAAGCGTGAGAAGCGGGCGGGGGAGAGAAGACCCCAGCTAAAGTGAGAATGAGCAGATAGAACGTCAGCGGATCGCGATCCAGCCTGGCAAGTCGTCCTGACGCCCACTCACCCATGCTCCTCCACTACTACGACTCTCCATCCCTGCCTGGCGAGCGCTCGAGCGATGTAGAGGCTCTTCTGCATTCGACCTCCATTGACGAGCGCGGTGCCCTTCTTATGTCTTTGGCGCCTCGCCTTCCCGCCGCTCCCGAGCAGAGGTATGTGCCCGCTACGAAGGAGGGCCCAAGCCGTGAATGCGGTGGTGAGCGGAGACAGAGCGAGGGACAGCCATACGAGTAGGAGAGACGAAATTATCGACTGTAGCCTCGATGGCGCACGCCGTGAAGTGTCTGACATGGCAGTACTGAGAAGCTACTGGAGCGGCAGTAGTCAATGAATGTAGTTGAGTGGATGAGAAGAGGATAGTTGAGGAGAAGAAGAAAGAAAATGCACAAGATGCCTCGCAGGCCAGATCTTCGCCTCGCCTCGTCCGCTTCTCATCAGGGTCCATCATTCCACCTTGCAGCTCGACGCACGGACTTGTCAGCCTCGCATGCGAGCTTGCGAGTCCAAGAGCCGCGGGGGTGCAACAGCGACGAGACCGAGTCGAGTCGAGTCGAGTCGAATTCTCGCGAACTGATGGGCGTTGCACATCATCGTAAAGCTCAAGCCAAAGCCGGGAGTCAACTATAGCCTCACGCACGCCTTTGCTCGCGAGACGGGGAGAGGGAGGCGGGAGAAGGGGATGAAAGAATTCGAGCTGGGCTGACAGAAAGGTCGTGCCTGTTCGCGGCCTCGCACTCATCGAGGCGAGCCAAACAACACAAGCGGCAGCAGTCAAGTGGTGCGCCGTCGCCTCAATGCCCACCGCGGCGCCATTCCAGCCGCCCGCTTCTACTCATCATCCGCCCACACTCATCTTGCCCACCTACTCATCACCTCCCTCCCGCGTTCCTGAGCCTGCTCGCACACCGGTCGCACCACGGGCCTCCTCGTGCCATCATCACGACTGTCGCCGTCGGCGGTACCTCTATTCCTCCCACTCGCCTTCTTTTTACTCTCCATCCTTGCGTTCACAACTACTCGCCATCCCTCTGCTCGTCAATACACGCAACCTAGCGAGCCCTTCTCGGCGTGATGCCCCTGTTCGCTGCCCTGCCACCGGGATTGCGTCGCCTTCATTCCTCTGGTTCACTCCTCCTTAGCAAAGGCAACAGCGCCACCGCCGAGGCTTCCGCCAAGGGCAACATCGTAGACGATGACCTTGTCGAGCCCAATCACATCGACCCACGCATCATCACCTTCTTGACAGCCGCTGACGCCGCCTGCGCCGATGGGGCCGACTTCACCTCAAGCCAGCGCATCTGGAGCAACACGGGTGGGTACACGCCCGAAAGTACAGCTACTGAGTCCAAGGGACAGCCCCGTCGCTGGTTGCTTCGATACCTTCCGATGCCCTCGCTTCGATGCTTCCTTCCTTGTTTCCCTTCATGGTGTCGCGATACCACCAACGAGCAAGACGACGACCGCCAGCGCGACCTGCTTGCCCCTTCGCCCACGTCGTTGCCGCTTGGCTACCCGTACTCGAATCAAGGCAAAGGCACTCCCATCGTCGCTCAAACCAAGCCAAGTCGCTCCTTCTCTCTTCCTTTCCTGTGGAGCAGGAAGACAGCCAACAACATGTCAGGCACAGCCACTACCACCACATCGCCGGTCACAACAACTGAGAGCGGCTCTCCCATCGAACCCACTCAACAGCGTCTCTCCCTCAATCTCGTTCGACCGAGCATCGATGTTGATCTCAGCGGCCTCTTCGACACTTCGTGCGCCATTCAGTCTAGCGAAGGGGTGCCTGCTGCACTCTTGCCTTCTTTACCTTCGGCCAAGGTGAGGCATGAGGAGGTGCTGCTCACCTCTGGAGATGGGCTACCCGTCTGGGCGAGCAAGAGTGTGCTGGAGGGCTACGAAGAGGCAAAGTACCAAGGTGAGCATGCGAATGGGAGCAGCAACGCCAAGGCTCTTCCTGTGACATTGACACTTGAACCCTGCGTCCGCAGCCCTCATGTTCATCCACGGCCTCACCTTCACCAGCGACTCTACCTGGGCTCACATCCTCTCCGACGTCAACTTCCACCGCTCACTACTCGTACCCGCTAGCAAAGACAGCACAGCGGCCGAAGCTCATTGGCTCGCACGCCCCCTCATCCGCTATGATCTCCGTCATCACGGCCGCTCTGTCGCCTCCGACACGCCCAGTACCACGGCTGCTGCATCGCACCCGATCAGCTCGCCCAACCTGGTCTCCGACTTTGCAGCCGCCTGCACTCATTTCTGCATTCGTGGCGCCTACCTCGTGGCCTGGAGCATCGGTGGCACAGTGAGTACGGATATCGTCGCCGCCGCATTGGCTTCCCCGGATCAGGCTAGCGCAAAGAGTCTGCCTGTCATCCAGGGCCTCATCTGGCTCTGTCCCTTCCCTTGGGTCGGCCTCACACCGCATATCATCAAGGAATGCATGTACGGCGTCACTGGACCGCTCTTCGAGAGTGGCAACAGACAGATGGCCGCTCTTGGGAGCGGAGCGGCACCCAGCGAGCAAGATGACCCAGACGAGAACAGGGACGCGTCTATCGTGGCAGCCAAAGTAGGCTTCGTTGGCGAGGCTCTGCGCCTGGTTGGGGAAGAAGCACCCATTACACCCACCGAAATGCTGGCTCAGCACCACGCTTCATCCCTGGCTCTACCGGTCCTCTCTTTCTTTCAGTATTGCACGCGTCAGGACAACGACCCTGCTCCACTCATTGCCGCCGTGCAGGAGGGCAAGCTGCCACTGCTGCACTTGCACGGCGAGAGGGACGCCAGTATCGGGTGCGAGCAGACCATCAACGCGCTCAAAGAGGCATTTGGGGTCAACGCTGAAGAGAGTCAGGAGCAGAAGAGTCAGATTTCCTACGAAGTGGAGCTCATCAAGGACGCGAGCCATGCCTTGCCCGTCCAGCAGGCGGAGGAGTGTCTGAAGTGGATCGTGGACTGGCTAGGGAGGATGGAGGGCCAGACCGAGCAGGTTACGAAGGAGGGTACCCGTGACGTGAAAGCGTCGAGGGGCTCTGCCGACTCTGGGCCGCACATGTGCTAGAGGTCTTTGCGATTTCTCCTTCTTCTTCATTCTCTGTTTCAATCGCGCTACGCTTCTCTTGCGCGACTTTCATTACCAGCATCTACGATTCGTTGCGTCGTCATCTAGCCAGATAGTCATCCGTCCTTCTGCCCCTCTCTCCCTTGTCCTTCTACTTCCACCTCTACATCAACGCTTGCTCATTACGTCTCCTCGATGCGACGCATACACTCTTGCTCTCCATGTCAATGAATCCTGATCGCGCCACAGGTCGAGGATACGACAGCTCAGCCACTCAGCGAGCCGAAAAACGGTAAACCTCTGATCGATTTTTGACTCGAGCTTGCTCACGGACGGCGGGGGCGACGACGACGACAGTGAAGAAAATACAGGGGACGAAGTAAGTAGCGATGGCCAAAATGGGGCGAGGGGGGCAGGGTTTGCAGGAACGGATGACATGACGTAACGAGGCGTGAAGTTGTGGGCAGATGGGACGTGTGAGGTGAGATGGGCCGGAATGGAGGCGTATGGGTAGGCGTGAGAGCATGCAGGCGTTGTCAGCAGGGCATGAGGGCAGTGTCGTCGAAGATGATGTGGGGATGGAGCTGGAGCGCAGTAGTCAAGTAGAGCTAAAGGTATCCTTGCCTAGTCTCGCGAGCCTGACGAGCCCTTGCCATGACGTAGCGGCTGGTACTTCTCTTACGAGGACCCGCTGTCTGCACGCAGCTCAAGCTCAGCTCCCTCCAATCTCACTTCCCCACATAGCTGAAAAGGAGCTGGGATCCCAATCGAATCCGCCTCCTCCACTTGCTCCTCCTGTCGCTCCATTGCCGCTGCCATTGCCGCCGCTTCCGCTTCCGCTGCCACTGCCACTCGCTCCATTCCCCGTGGCAGTACTGGGCGCCGCTCCGACAGCATCGAAGTCGAAGAAGTCATTTGTGGAGAAGAAGGAAGAGAAGTCGTCCACCGGCGGTGGCGCAGACGCTGCGTTGCTTCCATTCGACGTGCCATTTGCTCCTGCTCCGCTGCCGCTTCCCGAGAAGCCGTTGGGCAACCCAACGCCAAGGGCGTCCACTGTCGAGGGGAACGAGTCGAGCGAGGAGAAGTTCATCGACGAGGAAGGCCCTGCGTCATTGCTGCTGCTGCTATTGGCGTTGTTGGCTGAGCCGCCTTCCTGCGGATTACGAGACTCGACGCCACTTGCCGGCCTCTTGTCCCCGGCACCAGGCGTAGGCGCGGATTCCATCCCCCCCGTAGGCGTTGGAGCAGACGGGATAACGGGCGTGGTCTTGATCGCGTTCGAGGCTTTGGTGCTGTTCTTGCGAGCGCGCGAGTCGTTTGACCCGCCAGGCGTACCGCCGCCAGCTCCGACTGCTGCTCCGCCCTTCTTCTTCCCACCACCACTCGCGCCTTTGCCACCTGCTGCATTGGGTGCACCGGGAGGCTCTGCTGCTCCCTGCTTGGGTGTGTTGGGCGGCAGACTGTTCGCTGGTGAACCAGGTATGCCGCCCTGCTGACCCGGACCACCTGGACGCTGCTGCTGTTGCAATTGGTTGGCCTGGGTGCGAGGGCTCGGTGAGGAGCCGGGCAATTGTCCTCCGCCCCCAGACAGCATCGAGGAAGGGGTGCGCTGCATTCCTGGTCGACCGGATGGTCCTCCTCCTCCGCCTCCTGCGGCGAACGGGGAATGTTGCTGCGGAGGGTCCATGGGACCTGGTCCTCCTTGTCCAGGGTAGCCGTGCGGACCTGGTGGAGGGTGCGGCTGCATCTGCGGCGTGTGGAAACCTCCTTGTTGCCCTTGCTGTTGGCTCTGCTGCTGGCTTTGCTGCTGGCCCGCTTGACCCGGAGCAGAGAAGGGGGACATGAACTGTATCTGACCATTCCCGCCGCCACCATCTCCACCACCGCCTGCACCGCCTGGAGGCCCGCCCTGCCCTCCTTGCTGCTGCTGGAAGCGTTGCTGCTGTTGTTGCTGCTGTTGCTGAATTGCTGCGAGCTGAGCACGCTGCTGAGGGGTGAGCATGCCATTCTGCATCATACCGCCGCCGGGAGTCGTGGCAGGCGGATTCATCTGGCCGTGTTGCTGCTGACCACCCTGCTGAGGACCTCCGTGCTGCCCTGGCTGAGGTCCGGGCCCACCACCGCCCTGCTGCTGCTGCTGCTGTCGCCCAGCAGCCATCTGCGCCGCCTGCTGAGCTGCGTGTTGCAGAGCCGGCTGAGCCTTCAGGATATCCTGGATGTGGTGCGCTTTCGCCTGGAGACTTTGTACATTCGCGTAGAATTGCGAAGCCATCGACTGATTAGGCGCAAATTGCGCTTTGGCACCCTCTTGCTTCATGTTCTCTTGAAGCTGCTGGTATTGCAAAACGAGAGCATTGTGCTGGGCTGGATTCAAGAGAGGGACGCCACGAAGAGCATCCGGAAGCATGGCTTGTGGAGGTAGTTCGGGACGATGTGCCCCTCCAGGACCGCCGCCACCGTTGCCATTGTTCTGCTGGCCAGAATGGTCGGGCGTGGGTGGCTGACCGGGTCCTCCTTGCTGCTGTTGTTGCTGACCTTGAGGTGGGAAACCGCCATGCTGTGGCGGCCCCTGAGGCTGTCCCCCAGGGCCTACGGATCGTCGCCCTGCATCTTGTGGGCCGAGACCAGGCGTACCCATCGGGCCAGGTGTGCCGGGATGCATACCGGCTGGCGACCCCACTGAGCCAGGAGGAAGCATGCTCGATCGCTGTTGCTGCTGCGGTGTTGGCGTCTGGCCAACTTGCTGCTGATTCTGTTGACCAGGAGGGCCTTGCGAAGGGGCGCGATTGCCCAGCTGACCTTGGAGAGCTCGCTGCTGCAGCAATCGGTTTTGAAGTGCCTGCTCGTACTGAGGGTGACCTGGCCCTATGCGACCGAGGAAGGCAGGCGCGCCTCCCTGCTGCTGCTGCTGCTGTTGAGGTCCTTGCTGCTGCTGCTGCTGCTGTTGCTGCTGCTGTTGAGGCTGAACAGCCTGTTGATTCCCGACCATCGAGCTGATGAGGCGCTCTCGCATGGCTGGACTCATGGTGCGCAGCTCGTCGATGGTGAGGTTCTGCCTCTTTGCGGCGGCCATGAGGAGAGCGTGCTGCTGTTGCGGCGTCAGGGACTGATTCCACAACTGCTGACCCTGGGGCGGTGTAGCTATGCCATTGACGCGCTGGCCAGGTCCGCCTTGCTGGTGTTGTTGCTGCTGCTGCTGCTGCTGAAGCTGGAGCTGGATTGCCTGTTGCTGCTGATTATGTTGCGGCTGCTGCTGCTGGGTCGGCAAGCCATCTTGCGGCGCAACTCCGTTGGTCATGACGATGGATGGGAAGCGTGCCGCGGCTGAAGCGTCATGCTGACCAGCGATCGAGGGCGACGCCTCAATTCGACCGTGCCTTTGAAGTTGGCGCTGCTCCTCAAATTCGAAGTAGGTCCGCGCATCTGCACTCCCTCTCCCCGATCGTGCAGCAAAGACGTCCCAGAAGATGGCCCAGTACCTGTGCGAGAAGGAAGAGAATGTTGCGTGTCAGCTGGAGCTCGCGCGCAGATACGCGTCTTCGGCGGCACTGACTCAAAAAGAAGTCCCTGCGGCGTCCTCAACGGCACGTCGGGAGGTTCTGGCATGTGAGCTTCCGAGACGAGCGTCTTGGCTGTGCCTGTGAAGCCGCGTCGTGTGAGGTAGTCCCACACGTAGACATCCAGCCTGCGAGCGGGAGAGGATTCGGCACATCAATGCTAGCTCTCACTTCTCGCTTGAAGCCCTCGTGTGCAACTCACTTGGAAGCCTCTTCTCCCCACAGGCGGTCAGTATTTCCAGACTTAGCTCCCGAGGGACTGCTCGTGCTGCCTCCATCAGCGCGCACACGCTTGTCCTTTGCATCTGTGTCGGGGCTACTTGTGTGGCCCCTCTTGCGCTGCTGTTGCTGTTGTTGCTGCTGTTGCTGAGATGGCCCTGATGTCGACGATGATGACAAGGACGGTGCTGATGAGGGTCCGGCAGCAGAGCCCCCAGGACCTCCATCTGCGCCGGCGTTGGCCGGCGGGGACATAGAGTGCTTAGCTTGGTGCGTGTATGCGGGGCAATTCAGATGCGCTGCGGATGATTGTAGTGGTAGTAGGTTGCAAAGCTAGGCAAGCATGTAGAAGGTCGGCGTGCGCGTGCGGGATAGGAAGGAGCGAGGCGCGATAGATGGAGTGGGAGTCGAAGGAAGCGGCTGCGCTCTTAAGGGCGCGCCTAGGAGGTAATTGTGGTCCTGGTATAGCCTCCCTGTTGAAACGTCTCCCTAGCTGATCGCAATCGTGGATGATAGCTGGCAAGTGATGACGAGAACAGCTCGCGATGTCGTAGGATGGATGATGGTGAGGATGAGCGAGGACCCGTCGAAGGAAGCAAGCAAGCAAGCAAGCCGTCGAGATGGGATTGGACTCGCACCCGCGCTCGCGGGGCGGCAAGGCGGGCGCCTACTCTCTCTCTCTATAGACAGCTGCGACACCAAATGGGCGGGCGGCCCCTGCCCGGCCTGCCTGGCTCTCAGTTCTCTTCTGGGAGACGGCGCTGTCCGTCCGTCCGTCCGTCGTGCAACTGCCGCCCGCGCCCGCTCGCAGCGGCACCCGCGACTCAGAGAGAGATCGCAGCGAGCAGCGACATCGGCGACCCAGGATTGTGAGTGTGATACTGTGAAGCAGCACAGAGTCAAACGTTGCGATCGTGTTGTCAGGACGGAAGAGCATGGTCATCGCTGCTGTAGCTTTGCTTCATCGATCCAAGCTTGTCGCTGTGAAAGCTCGAGGTGAGATGCGCAGGCGCGCGAGTGGGCGTCACGGCAGGCGTGTCGTTGAGAACCACGTGGCTATGTGGGGACGCGGCAGTGGAGAGCATCGAGTGAGTGAGGCTGGCTGGTGCGACGCAGCATCGCTCGACGTCGACCTCTAGCCATCACTTGGTGTTCCTTCCTGCCTAGCTGTGTTCCCTTTGCCCCTCCTCTACACCCTCACTCTGTCTCTCTCCTTGCCGCGATGGCGTCCATCGTAGCCATCGTCGACATCAAGGGCAAGTCGCTCATTCAGCGCACCTTTCGTGATGACGTGCCCGTAGCCGCTGTCGAGCGCTTCCTTCCTCAACTTCTCGACATGGAGGAAGAGGCCGGTGGCAGCGCAGTAGCACCTTGCTTCACATCAGAAGGCGTCAACTACATGTTCATTCGACACAACAATCTCTACCTCGTCGCGTTGTCACGTCGCAACTCGAATGCAGCAGAGCTTCTCCTGTTCCTTCACAAGCTGGCGTCAGTTCTCGAGGAGTATTTCAAGGAGTTGGAGGAGGAGTCGATCCGAGACAACTTTGTCATCATCTATGAGCTACTCGATGAGATGATGGTGAGTGCGGGTGCTCATATAGGTGTGATTCAGGCAGCATATACTGACCCTCATGCCCCATCCCCAACGCCATCAGGACTTTGGCTACCCCCAAACGACCGAGTCCAAGATCTTGCAAGAGTACATCACTCAAGAGTCGCACAAGCTCGAAGTTCAAGCACGCCCGCCGATGGCAGTAACAAATGCAGTCTCGTGGCGTAGCGAGGGCATCCGCTACCGCAAGAACGAGGTCTTCCTTGACGTTGTCGAGTCGGTCAACTTGCTCGTCAATGCGAACGGCAACGTGGTGCGCAGCGAGATTTTGGGGGCTATCAAGATGAAATGTTACTTGAGCGGCATGCCTGAGCTGAGGTTGGGTCTGAACGATAAGGTCATGTTCGAGAATACGGGGAGGGCCGCGAGAGGCAAGGCGATCGAGATGGTGCGTGATAAAGGCGGGCAGGCCACATTGTCAGACGTTGGGGACGAGCTGACGCACCACCGCTGCCCCTTCGCACTTGCAGGAAGACGTCAAGTTCCATCAATGCGTCCGTCTCTCTCGATTCGAGAACGACCGTACCATCTCTTTCATCCCTCCGGACGGCGAGTTCGAGCTCATGTCGTATCGTCTCTCGACGCAGGTCAAGCCTCTCATCTGGGCAGAGGCCGTAGTAGAGCGCCATGAAGGCTCGCGTATCGAGTTCATGGTCAAGGTGAAAGCCCAATTCAAGCGCAGGTCAACGGCAAATAATGTAGAGGTTCATGTTCCGGTACCGGACGATGCGGATTCGCCCAAGTTCAGGGCGGCGGTGGGGAGCGTTCATTATGCGCCGGAGAGCTCGGCGATGGTGTGGAAGATTAAGCAACTGGGTGGTGGGAAGGAGTACCTCATGAGGGCGCATTTTGGTTTGCCGTCTGTCAGGAGCACGGACGATGCTATCGGGGGCATGGGTGGCGCGGAGAGGAGGAAGCCCATCTCTATCAGGTTCGAGATCCCGTACTTTACCGTAAGCGGGATCGCTGTTCGTGAGTATCGCGGCGAACGCAGCTGGCGGCTACAGCGCAGAGCTCACTGACAGAATTTGGCCCCCCGTCGCGCCGCCAGGCTACCTCAAGATCACAGAGAAGAGCGGATACGCAGCTCTGCCGTGGGTCCGGTACATCACGCAGCAGTCGGGCACGTCAGGGTACGATCTGAGAACCATCAGCGACAAGAGTCAGGCGGCCCCACTGGCACCTTTCAGTGCCGGATGAGTGGACAGAGCTCAGACAAGGCGGTCATCATGTCACGCTCACTCGTAATGACATCCCGTGAAAAGCATGGTTTGCATTGGCTTTGTGGATCGCAACGGATCTTTTTGTGTGACAAGGGTGGTGGGGGGAGAACAACGAACAAGGGATATTGAGAGGGGAAGAGACTCAGGGATATTGGGAGGGGAAGGGAAGCAAGGATATTGAGAGAGGATGAGGCGGCGAGCAGAGCGTGCTCATGACTGACGTCGCTCGGCCCGCCTCAAGAACAGTGACACATCTACCAACATACGCCCCTCAGAGGACATCCCTACGGTACATGTCCCTCAGCTTGATCAACCACGACTTCTTCTCGCCCGTCTCCTCAACAACGCGCCTCTCGTTCTCGGGAACCTCAACGCGCGACCCATCGAGGCCAGTCTGGGTGATGGTGTTGTGCTGCTTTCCGAGGTAGTAGTCGGGCATCCAGAAGGTAGCAATGATGGGGATGGCGGCGAGAACGCAGGCGGTGATGGCAATCCAGCCGTTGACCTGCGAGTAGGCGCGAATGACACCCTGACGGATGGGGTCGTCGAGAGAGGGGTAGCGGCTACGCAGCTTGGCAATGCTACCATAGACGGTCTTGAGAGTGGCTTCGGGCACGTCGGGGAGCTCCTTGCGCATCTGGTCGAGCATGGTGTTCGTCCAGATAGCAGAGGCGATGGCGCCACCGACCGATGAGCCGAGAGTAGACCAAAGGCTGAGCAGGTAGATGACCGTGGACAGGTCCTCGTGAGGAACCGAGGCCTGCGAACCGACACGGGCACCGACGACGGAGAAGGAGGCAAGGCAGAGAAGGAGCTGCGCGGCCAAGAGGCGACCGGTGCCCGTCGACATGGCGTTGGATCCGGGCTCAATGAGGACACCATAGCCGATGAACTTGCCCACACCACCGATGATCATCATCGTCTTGTACCTGTGCGTAATGCGCTGCACGATACCGGCGATGGGGCCGACCAGGGAGAGACCAATGGTGGTAATGCCCAGGAAGATGATGAGGACGTAGTTGCTCCATGGCTTGACGGCATAGACGTACGAGAAGAAGTAGGTGTTGCGAACGGCGGACGAGCACTGTGCGAAGACGTCGATGACGACCGCGGCAATGAAGGCGCGGTTGCGGAGGATGCGGTGGCTCATCAAAGGCTTGGGCGAGACGTACATCTCGAAGAGGACGAAGGCGCCGAGGATGACGAAGCCCACGACGAGCATGGCGATCATCGAGGGGTTAGACCATCCTCCAGCGGCGGACTTGGCGAGGGTGAAGGGAAGGAGGATCAAGGCGAAGGCGAAACCGAGGAGGATGAGAGCGAAGAAGTCGATCTCGATTAGAGCATCGATGACGGCGCGCTTCCAGTTGATAGCAATAGGGGCACCCTCCTTGCGCTCCTTCTTGGAGCTGGCCATGGTGACCATGCCGAGCTTCTGGCCGCGGTGTTGCATGGTGTAGAGAGTCCAGATGGCAGGGGCGAGAAGTACAGGAACCATGATGCCTGGCAGCAGCGAAGGCGCGGGAGGGCGCGGGAGGAGGGCGGCGGAACGCGGTTAGAGCGCGGAAGGGGGCAAGTGTGCGCAAACGCGTTAGAGCGCATGAGCGCGGAAGCACGTGTGAGGGAGGGCCAAGGGAGATACGGGGGACCCATAGGGATGGTAACATGGAAAACGTCAGCTGGTGGTCTTCATCTACGCTTTCAACGCCTTTACGAACAGAACATGCCTAGTCCCCATCTCCAGTGATCGTCTCCAAGGCCATCAGCAATGAATCCGTTGACTGGGACGGTGATAACGAAGGGGATCGACAGCAGGGAGCCGAAGAATCCACGCCACTCAAGGGGCGTCAAGTCGCCAACGATGATGTCTCCAAGCAAGTCCAGACCGGACTTGCCAATGGCAGTGAAGGAAATGCCAATTGCGTAGGCCGCGAATGTGTGTGAAGAGGCAGCAACGACGAAACCGATGACGTAGAAGACGAGGACGACGACGTAGGTGGTAGGACGCGACGACAGGTCGGCGAGCTTTCCGATGAAGGGCTTGCTGATAGCGCGGATAATTTGGCTTGCTACGGAGACGGCAGCGAGGCCAGCGTGGTTGCCGAAGGTCGAAGTAGCCATGGCAGTGAAGAAAGTAGTGGTGATACCCTGGTCCATGGCATAGACGAACATGGTGAGACCGATGGAGACGGCGAGGAGCCAGAGAAGGATCTTGCCCTTAGCGCCAGAGTGGTACAGGACCTTGTTGAAGGCCTCGACCTTGGAGACACCGGCGGGAGCCTCCTCTGCCATAGTAGTGCCCTCAGCAGGGACACCAGTGGGCTGGCCAGCGTTCTCGCTGAGGCCCATGTCGTAGGCGCGCTCCATGTGGGGAGAGTCGCCGCCCTTGCTCTCATTGCCGCCCTTCATTGAGTCGGATGAGGATCGTTGCGTACGTCCGTCGCTCATCGTTGCGTGTGCGATGGATGAGTGGTACGGGGTTGAATGACGGAGGAAGAAAGGGATGAGGGGATGAGGGAATCAAGAACTTTGGAGACGAGCAAAGCCTTGTCTGATAAAAGGATTTTCAAGCTCACGACTTCGCTTCGTCTGGTGGAAAAAATTCTCTCTTCTGCCTCCTACCTCCTCCGTAGATTATTGCCACTGCAATCGTTGTCGTTCCCACCTTGCCTTGGCGGGACCGTCGGCAGCAAGGCACTGCACCGGCACTCTACGCCGGCGACTCGCAGAATGTATGTAGGACAGTTGAGAGGCACACCCAGGGGCAGCTTCTGGAGCCCGGGGCCTCGAACAGCAACAGCAGCAGCAGCAGCAGCAGCAGCAAGTTGAACCGGCTAAAGATGGATCGGGCTTACCGGACTAGCGGGGCCTTGTGACTTTGTCGACGTCGTGTGCACTAGCGTACTAGACTGGCTCTGACTAGCAAGGTCCAAGGAAGAGGTCGGGGAACGCCGGGGGACGACGAAGAAGTGAGCTGGCTGCGAGTAGATGGAAAGCGTTCAAGGGCTGCGAAGAATGCTTGCTGGCACTTCTTGCCCCTCCGGTGTCTCACGCTCGTTGCTCCCGAGCCTCCGACTCCCACTTCTCCTGCCCGTCCACTCCACTCTCCCCTCTTCTCGCTGCTCTCGACCTTACATCCTGCGTCGCATCTTCGTTCGCTGCAGCGAGCGGAGTCTCGGTCGTCGTCGTCGCTATCTGTCTGTCGCTGAATGCGATGCCGCATCTCGCGCGGGTGTGCATTTTAAGGTCTTGGCGTGCAGCATCGTCGCTTCTTCCTCCTTGTCCAGCGTTTGCGCTATCTAGAGCGCTGGACGGCGTATCTGATCCGAGGTTGAGAAAAAACGAAGGGGCGGAGCGCGCGCGCGCACAGAGAGTGGGTGAAAATGGCCAGTGCCCGCTGCCCTGCTGCCTGCCTCTCCGCAGAGACCCACATCGCCCTTGCATCGTTGGACCTCTCGCAGCGCCGCGGCCGGGAGAGTGAAAAGGCAAGCTTGTTGAGAGAAAAGAAGTAGCGAGCTGCACTGATGCTTGAGCCTCACGACAGCCTTGCGAAGGCCTCGCAACGACGCCTAGACCAAGTCAATGGGTCGAACCGACGACGAGCAAGCTAATCAGGCAGGCACGATCAGACATCGTACAGCTTACGCACAAATCGCGAGGTCACTCCCGTCCGTCGATCTCATCGGGTGCCGACTTTGCCCGGCTGCAACGCAATGCAACGCCTCACAAGGCAAAGGTAGCGTTGAGGATGAACACCGAATAGCCTTCACGCCACACCATGCCATGCCCATGTCGTACGTCCGCCCGCACGACGTCCACGAAGCCACGCCTCGCCACACCTTGTGGCATCGCTTCTCTCGCCGTCGACAAACGCGCTAAAGCTGCCAATCCTTGCTCTAATGTGTGTATGCCTGGCTATTCATCCAGGTGGTTTCCGCAAACGATCAATGCCCGTAAAGGATCCAGATCACAAGTCTATTGCTACTCCGTTCTGCCACTCCATTCTATGTACATTGGCATGACATGGCATGATCGGGCCCTATGTTCCAACAGTTCGTCGCGTCCGACGGCGGCTTGGCTTGGCTTGACTTTGGGCTCTTCCCGCCTCACACATCGTAGCCGCGGCGCAACCTCTTCCCTTCCTCTCTCATTCGTCTGAACTCCTCCTCACCAATGTCAGCGCTCTGGCATAGAAGGCGGAACAAGCCATCTTCTTGGCTCCAGAGCTCCTCTGGGCTAGCGTACTCTGCTACACTTCCTTGGTCCATCACGCAGATCAGGTCCGAAGGCCCGACGATCGTGTCGAGGCGATGCGCCACCGTGATGAATGTGCAGTCCCGTAGAGACGTTTGAAGCATGGTCTGGATGTGCGCGTCCGTCTTCACATCTACGGAGGCAGTGGCCTCGTCGAGCACAAGAATGCGGGACTTCTTGACGAGGGCGCGAGCGATCGAGACGAGCGCGCGTTGTCCTTGAGACAGATTGGACCCATCCGTCGCGATCTCCATGTCCAGGTGTAGGCGGCGAGGCTGATTGGCATCTTCCGTCGGCGTAGCATCACCGGAGGGAGGAGAGGACTCGCTGTCTTCCTCCTCGATGAGCTTGGCCTGACGCATCGCAGCCCAGAGCTCAGCGTCCTGATGCTCCTCAAATGGGTCCAGATTGTACCTCAGCGAGCCCGCAAACAGCACAGCATCCTGGGATATGACCGAGATGCTGCGACGAAGCAGCGACAGGCCGACCTCAGAGATGTCGACGTCATCGATGAGGATGCGGCCGGCGCTGGGCTCCATGACACGTAGCAGGGAGGAGAGCAGCGTCGACTTGCCAGCACCTGTACGGCCGACGACACCAATACGCTGTCCTGCCTTGACTTCTAGCGAGACGTCCCGCAGCGCCGGCGCCAGACCCGGGCGATGAGACGCGGTAATCGATTCGAATCGCACCTTGCCATTTTGCGGCCATCCTTTCTTCTCCAGCTGCACGTCCGCTTTCTTCTCCGCATCTGCCTCTTGGTCAATCTTCCCCGCGTAGTGCAGGAGCCTCTCAATCGAGTTCATGTTGTTCTCAATTTCTGCCGACTGTCGAATCATCTGACCGAAGACCGACTGCACCGTCACCATGTACGAGAGGACAACGCCTCCGGCCGAGGCGTCGATGCTGCCACGCAGCCCGACGACGAGGAGCGCAGAGCCCAGAACGAGGCATGCGCCGAGGAAATCGAGGCGGAGGGAGAGCCAACGTTGACAAGCGATGGACAACCAGTAGGCTCTGTTCTCCGAATCGATGCGTTTAGCATTGTCCACCCTGAAGCCGGCTACGACGCCGTACGTTCGTAGGCTGGTGATGCCTGTGAGGGACTCGGAGAAGTGTTCATAGATGCGAGAGCGAAGGATGTTGTTGAGGCGGCGCAGTTCGCGACTTGCTGGGCGGTAGAAAATGCCTACCCAGACGTAAAGGACGACGATTACGGCTGCGACGGCCAGGAACTCGGGCAAGATGATCGCGACCAGAATGATGGAGCCCAGCGCCTGCACTGTGGTGCTGATGAAGATGCGCAACGTTTCGCCGACAACGTTGTCCACAGCGTCTATGTCTTTCGAAAAGCGATGGGTGATACGACCCTGCGGTGTGGTATCAAAGAAGGCGAGCGGTGCATGCATCACACGCTTTGCTGCTCGGGCGTGGAGGTGTGAGGAGGTGTAGTACGCAAAGAGGGCGAAGGAGGCGCTCATGCAGAAGAGGCCAAGGGCTTGTCCCATACCCAGAGCGGCGTATACGCCCATGTAGGTGCCCTCCGACACGTACGACCAGCGTCGTTGCTCCCACCAGCGAAGCCAAAGAGGCGAGACGATGGTACTTCCCTGGTAGAAGAGGATAGAGATGATGAAGACGGGGGCGGTGAGGGGCGCACGACCGAGGAGGATGTAGTCGAGGTAAGTTCGAGGTGTGACTGAGCCGACAAGGCGCTCCTCCTGTTGCATCACCGCTTTGCCTTCCTTCTTGTCCGAGTCGAACTTGTTGTCACCCTCGTCTGCATAAGGAGATGAAGGTCCAGAAGAAGATCCCTCCCTCTCACTGTCCTCCTGGGTTTGGCGCTCCTTTGCCTCCTCGCCGATAAGGTCCGCAAACTTGCCCTTCTGCTCCATCAAGGCGCGATAGCTGCCCTGCTCGACGATTCGGCCAGCGTCCAAGTAGACGACGTGGTCCGCGTACGGCACAATGGCCAGCGAGTGGGTGACGAGGACATGTGTGATGTCCTTGGCTGAGCTTTTGGAGGCGACGATGACGTTTTGAAAGACTTCGTTGCCGACCTGAGCATCCAGCGCCGAGAAGCAGTCGTCGAGGAGGCGAAGGGGGCGCTCCTCCCCACTGTAGACTGCTCGCGCGAGGGAAATGCGCTGCTTTTGACCTCCAGATAGCGAGACACCCTTCTCACCGACGACGGTAAGGTCGCCATCAGAGAGTGCTGCAAAGTCTGGCTCGAGGCAGCATCGACGAACTGTGTCGCGATAACGTGCCTCGTCAAAAAAGCGACCAAAAACAATATTCTCCCGCACCGTAGCGCTCAACAACCAGGCGCTCTGTGGGCAATACGCCGTATGGCCGCCAAGGACGCACTCGGAGGAGCTCACCTCCCGCAAATCGCCGATGAGAGCACGTAGGAGGGATGATTTGCCTGAGCCAACGGGGCCGACAATCGCCACGAAGGAGCCGCGGGGTACGACGAGCGAGTCAATATGCAAGCCGGTCTGGCTAGGTTTCTCTGAATCCTTTTCACTATCGTGATGCTCGAAAGTAGCGTTGCGAACGCGAATCATATCCTTGAGATCGGGGTCGATGGGCCGGTCAGGTTGACGAAGGGGCGCCTCCATGAAGAGGTTGAGGCGCTCCAATGCGGCCTTGGCGTCAGCGATAGCGCTGAGAGCAATGGGCAGAATTTGGAGCGGCGTGCGCAAGAGCAGGAAGAAGGAGAGAGCAGAGAAGATGGTGGCTGAATCCAGTTCGTGACCTGTGCCTGCGTAGGTAACCAGGCTCACTACGGCAGCGAGGGTCGGGATGGAGAAAGAGACGGACGTGTTGATGCTTCGCCAGATGAGGCGAGTACGTAGGAGGGCCATCTCGGAGCTTCGGAATCCAGCAATCTTCTTGAGGAGGGGCTGCTCCCACGCGTACGTCTTGATGAGTCTAATGCTGGAGACCGCTTCGACGACAGCTTTGATGCGCGCATCGGTGTACGGCATCGAGGCGCGACGCAGAGCGAAGAGCTTTCGAACCATGAAGTTCTGCGTCGGATACAAGATGGCGATAAGGGCAAAGCCAGGTAGAGCGCTTACTCCGTCCAAAGAGTAGATGACGAGGGCAAGGCAGACGAGAACCTGCACGACGGATGTCCAACCCATGTGGAAGTAGGTGCAGACAAAGTCGATGCGGCTGACATCAGCCGATACCAGACTGGTGAGTTTGCCCACTCCATAGCCTCCGCGCGTGCGAGCCTCTTCCGAGAGCTCAGTGCCTCGATTGTAGATGACGTGGATGAGGGCGCCACGCAGCGCGATGCCCGTCGAGACGGAGCGGTAGAAGCCGTGGACGTTGCAGAAGACGGCGACTAGTAGCAGCAGGAAGAGACCCACGGACAAGCCGTAGCCGCGCTTCTCTTGGTAGCTCGACGTCGTGTCGTTCAGCGTCTCGATGATGGCTCGAACCAGGAGCGGCGATGTGATGGTGGCTAAGTCGGAGAAGAGCTTGATGATGCCGCCAATCCAGAACCAGTCGAGAACAATCTCATTCAATGACCAGACCAAGCTTGGCCGCGGCTCTTTGACAGGACGCCCCATTAGACGACGTATCGAATTGGAGATAACGTCGGCCTTGCTGATCTGCCCCTTTGCAGCCTCGTTGCATCGACGTTGCCACGCTGCTTCGAGTCGCTCGCCGTAGACTGCGGCTCGCCGATGCTCTGGCATCGAGTAGAGCTCATCGCCGACCAGTGGGCGAGAGTATCCGATGCGAAGGATGCGGTGCAGCCAATGGAAGGTGAGGATAGACAACCAGCCGGCGCTCATCTCCGGGAAGACGGGATTCTCTGGCGAAGACGACGTCGAGGCGCCCTTCTCAGCATCATCCGGAGAAGCATCCTGCTTCTCGCTAGGTTGAGTGACCGGATCGTCGATGGGCTTGATGCCGACGAAGGGGACGCGGCGGTACCACTTGCGAGGAGGGTAGCGCAGCGCGCCCTCGTCTTGGCCGGTCAAGACTGCCATGCCAAGCGCAGGTGGCGGGTATGAAGATCAGAGCAAAGGATGAGGATGAGGATGAAGACGAGGCCGATGGATGAGAGTTGACGAAGGTAGAAGCCGGAATCAAGCGGAACGTGGCATCAAATCTCGTTTACCATCGGCATCGCACACGACTGACTGACTTGAGAGGACGGGGCTTCTCTTGCTGCTGCTGCCTCCGGTCGTAGCGGCCGTCGTTCGTCGCTGCCGTCCTGATCGTCTTGCCAAGGTGGGTGGAAGTGTGAGAGAAGAATGGGACGGCACGCTTGTAGCTGCAACAAAGTGCATGACGTTGGCGGTTAGGGTGAGCAACGGTTGGATCTGGCAGTCAAGAGTCGGGGCTGCAAAAAGCTGCCAATGCTGCGACGAAGCTGCGAAGCGGCGAAGCTGCAAACAAGGCTGCGATGCTGCACGTCCGAGGCGGGAGGGAGGTGTCCAAATTTGAATTTGCTTCGCTTGGCTGCGCCTGCCCGCCTTTTCCTCGGCATGGAAATGTGAATTCGACTCAGTCGCGGGAGTGCGGCATTGTCCAGAAAAGTCAAGGGTGCAGCAGAGGAGGGCAACCACGACCGAGGGCCAAGCGGATCAGATTATGTAGCCCACCGTCACCCACAGCAGCGCCGACGGGGAGGGCGGCAATGCAGACGTTGACATGGAGCGACCGGCCGGAGTCGCCGGGACGATGAAAAGGAACGCACGACCTCTACCGTCCGCACACACACGCAGCTACGTATGGAATCCTTTTCAGAAGACATCAAGGCTTGATGATCTGCTTCGCCCCTTCTTCATATCGTCTCTTCACCATCACCATTGCCTTGTAACTCTGCGCCGCCGCAATGACGCCCTCCACTACGGAATCGTCTCAGCCGCCGCCGCCGCCGCCACTTCCGCCTTCATCTCCGTCCACCTCTTTGCCTGACTCATTGCCGCCATCACGAGTTCCGCGCCTCGACGTCTTCCACTCGTCATCGTCGCACGCATCAGCTCCAACAACATCGGCTCGAGCAAACGTTGGCAATGGCATCGATTCGTCTCAGCTTGTCGTCGGCTTCGCTCGCTGGCTGCTGCGCCTCCTCAACGCTGAAGAGGCATGCTTCCTCTACCTCTGCAGCCAGGGTAGATCCCTGATTCTGGCAGCAGGAAGCGCTGATCTCTCGAAATGCGACATTGTCCAACATGCCTGGACAGAGGAGGCTCCTACCGACTTTCTCGTCGTTGGTCCAGGCGGGAATGCGCCATCAGCTGCCGGCAGAGAATGCGTGGTAGCATACAGGGACGACACAACCATCGAGTTGACAGCCCCTCACGCCGCCCTTTTGGCAAGTGGCCTGGTGTGGTCCTTGGCCTCACCTTCATCAGCGACTGCCACGCCTCGACCATCCAGCCTCAACTACCCTCTCACATCATGGCATCAAAACGATGATGAGCTTCTTCACTCGGCTTTTGAGGACCAAGCAATGCGATGCCCCGACCAGACAGCCCTTGACTACCTCGCAGACGAGAAGGGCACACACATTCGCCTCACATACGCTGAGCTGGACAAGCGGGCCAACGTCCTTGCTGCGACTCTCTCTGAGCGCATCCATGCTCTCGAGCAACACCCAGAATGGCCGGGATCAATACCCCTCCTCCTCGGCCCCTCACCCGCTTTGTACATATCACAACTCGCAGCGCTCAAGGCTGGATTAGCATTCGCTCCCCTCCCAATAGACGCCCCATCTCAACGCCTGACCGCCATCATCCAGGATCAGCATGCACCAGTCGCCCTGTACTCATCTGACGCCACAGATCCGCCCGCTATCGAAGGAGTTCAATGGCTCGATGTCGCAGATTTGAACCGCCAGCAGACATCCGACGAGACCATGTCGCCCGGTGTCAAACCCCTCAAGCCGCTTGCACCCGCCTCTCTCGCCTACCTTCTCTATACGTCGGGCTCTACCGGCCTTCCAAAGGGAGTCCAAATCACCCACTCATCCGCCGTAGCATCGATCAGCGCTCACCGACAGCAGGCGGGCATCGGCAACGCACCTTCCATGCGCTGGTTTCAATTCGCCGCCCCCACCTTCGACCCTTCAGTAATGGAAATCTTCGTCACCCTCAGCAGCGGTGCGACCCTCTGCACCGCCCTACGCTCTCTTACGCTCAACGATATCAACGAGACGGTCGCAGCAACTGAGGCGAATATCATGATGGCGACGCCCAGCTTGGCCACCTTGCTCCGCCGTGACCGCCTGCCCAAGCTGCGCACCCTTTGGACGATGGGTGAGGCCCTTAGTTCTACGGTCATCGACAACTTCGCAAAGGCGCAGCCGCCTGCTAGCCTTTGGAATGCGTACGGCCCGACAGAAGCGGCCATCAACGTCACCCTCATGCAGATGCTGCCGAGCTATAGAGGAACGATCCTCGGTCCGCCCCTACCCTCCGCCTCCCTCTTCGTTGTCGACGCTCAAATGCGACCTGTACCGCAAGGTCTGGCGGGCGAGCTCATACTCGGCGGCCCTCAAGTCAGCCAGCTGGGCTATCTCAATCGCCCAAAAGAGAATGCAGCCAGCTTCGTCGATGTGCCTGAGCTCGGCGGACGCGTCTACCGTACGGGCGATGCGGCGCGCGTTGTCTGGAACGCAGAAGGGCAGCCATGGATCGAGATTCTTGGGCGCATCGGACACGGACGAGGTCAAGTGAAAGTGCACGGCCAGAGATTGGAGCTCGCAGAAGTGGAGTCTGCGCTACATCTCAGCGATGAGGACGACGTAGCTACGGTGCATGTCATGCAGATCCAGTCAGGCTCATTAGCGGCGCTCGTTCAGACTCGCAGTGAGCTTGTTGAGGCACACAAAAGTCGTCTCGAAGATACACTACGAGAGCAGGCCTCCCGGCGCCTCGCACCCTTTGCCCGACCGAGAGCGTACGTCTTTACCTCGCAGCGCTTCTCATCCATCAGCGGCAAACTCGACAGCAAAGCAGCGAAGCACTTCGTCCAGGAAAGCCTTTCTACACAAGCTGGCGGCAATGGCGAGGACGACAATGCGGGAATTGATCCAACTATCCGCCGACAGATCGACACCCTTGTCGAGACGATGCGCTCGATCACGGGCTCAGACTCAATCAGCGCCAAGACGAGCCTAGAGGCTACCGGACTGGACAGTCTTGGTGCGATGAGGTTGCTCGAGACGCTGAGAGGATGCGACTCGACCCTCTCACGGCTGACGCTGCGTGACCTCGTCAGCCCTCAGTCGGCCCGTAAAACGATTGCCCGCTTTGTAGCTGATGCGCAGCGAGAGTCTAGCGACTCTTCTGCAGCTACACAGCAGATCGTTGCCTTTGATGAGCGACACCGTCAACACTGCTGCGCGCAGCTGGGGCTCGAGGACGCTACCATGGAGTCGGTCATCCCCGTCACAGCCACTCAAGCCGGTATGCTTGCCTCTTTCCTTCGTTCCCACTCCTACGTCCACCATTTCTGCTACCACCTCGACAACGACGTGGACCTCGATCGCTTCGCGGCTGCAGCGGAAGAGGTCTTCTCAGGCGCCGCCGCCATGCGTTCTGTCTTTGTCTCCGTAGACGACGAGGTAGCGCCTTTCGCTCAGTGCGTCCTCAAGAGTGTGCGCCATCCAGTCTCACGCCACGCAAGTGGTGATGTCGAGAAGCATCTATCCAAGGTAGAAGAAGCTCTCAGTCTGGAGTCACCGCCCTTCCACCACGCGCTCTTCCAGCCCGCTGGGACCTCAAAACCTGTCTACGCCATCTCGCTCTTCCACGGCATCTTCGACGGTGGCTCCCTCGAGCTACTTCTGAACGACGTACGAGCACGCTATGCCGGCCGCGATGTCATCCTGCGCACGGGACCCACGTACGCGGCCAAGACATACCTGGAGGCCACAACGGGCACCGAGCTCGAACAAACACGCACGTACTGGTCCGACCTTCTGCAAGGCTTCGAAGCAGAAGTCTTCCCCTGCATCAACGGCTTGCGTCGCGGTCTGCCTGAGACACAAGGCTCAGCCGTGCTCGAGCACTGCCCCGACGATATCGACATCGCCGCTCTGACCGACGCAGCACAGCGTCTGCTGGGCACAAGATCGCCACTTGCCCTCGTTCAGCTCGCATGGTGCCTCGTCCTGTCCGCCTACTCGGAGACTTCCAAGACGGACATCGTCTTTGGTAGCGTCGTATCGAATCGTATCGACGAAGAAGCACGATCATGCGCGGCGCCCACCTTCACGACTCTCCCCGTTCGCATTGATGTCGAGGAGTCGCGCGACATCGTCACGATCTTCTCGGACCTAGCGAGACAATCTGTGCGCGCTTTGCCACACTCACAGCCAGCACTCGGCTCAATCACAGTCGACGGCGGCAAGCTTCCCTACGACACCCTAGTGGCGCTTCAGCTCTTTGAGGATGATGCGACGCAAGAGCCTGCACTCTGGCACGACGAGTGGTCTCCAGCTATGGTCAACGACTTTGCAGTCATGCTCGAGGTCTGGCCATCAGTGCAGACGGCGTCAGGCTTGAGACTGCGCGCCACATACGAGAAGTCACGCCTCGATGTCTCGTCGTGCAAGGTGATGCTGCAGCAATTCGCAGCCTTGCTGTCTGCGATGACCCAGTCGGACATGCGGGAGCGATCTCTCGGCGACTTGCTTACCAGCGTGACGAGCCAGCAAGCCGCTTTGGGCGCCAAAGTCGGCTCAGCTACGTACGAGAGCGACTTCCTCCATTCGCAGTTCGAGACCTTCGTACAGACCTCTCCCAACCAAGTTGCTCTCGCCTTCTACGGGGAGAAGCAGCTTCATGAGCTCTCTTACCGCAAGCTCGATGCCCTTTCTTCCTCCCTCGCTTCGCGCATCGTCACCGCAAATGGCGGTCGACCGCTCACGGATACGGCCGTGCCTCTCTACGCCAACAAGAGCGTCGAGATGTACATTGCCGTACTCGCTATTCTCAAGGCAGGCGGAGCATGGTGCCCTATCGAGCCCTCTATGCCCCGCGAGCGCAAGGCCAAGCTCATCAAGAGGGCAGGGGGTCAGATTGTGGTTGTTGCTTCGAAGGCCTGCCTGCACGAGGAGGACAAGTCTGGTGACGAGGCGAAGCAAGAGCTCGAGCGAGTTCTGCAGGATGCCGGTGTGCCAAACGAGCACGTCGTAGACGCCAGCGCCATGGAGGAGACTTTGCACTGCGAGCTACCAGCGCGCGCCTCCCCCTCAACTCTAGCCTACGTCATCTGGACCAGTGGCTCAACCGGCGAGCCCAAGGGTGTGCTGATCGAGCATCGCGCCGCGGCCCAAGCTATGCGCGCTCTCCAATCTGCCATTCCACACCAGGACGGCCTGCCTCCACGCACTATCTGCTTCTCCGCCTTCACCTTTGACGTCTTTGTCGAGGATATCTTTTACACTTGGGGCCTCGGAGGAACGGTCGTCAGCGCGCCACGTAACACGCTCATCGATCCCGATGGCTTCGCACAGCTCGCTGCGGACAGCCAAGCCACCCACTCCCACCTTACGCCAGCATTCGGAGCGTGTATCGCCAGGGAGCGTTGCCCCTCTTTGCAGACTATCACCATGATCGGTGAGAAGCTCGGCGAGGAGGTGGCAGCACAATGGGAGGGTGATGATTCGCATGGTACCACAGCCTGGAACACGTATGGACCTGCAGAGAATGCTGTTGTCTCGACGTATCGCTCCTTCCAGCATGGTCGTACCCATCAAGCGCCCAACGTTGGCTGGCCCCTCGACGGAACCACCTGCCTCGTCGTGCGTCCAAATCGCGCTGTCGCCATGCGTGGCGGTGTTGGAGAGCTCGGCCTCGGTGGCGGACAGGTAGCGCGTGGATATCTGGGTGATCCAGAGAAGACGGCGGACCGATATCCCACCCTTCCAGAGCACGGCCGCGTCTACCTGACGGGCGATGTCGTTCGCATGCTGGCCGATGGCAGCCTCGACTTTGTAGGACGCCGCGACGACCTGATCAAAGTAGGCGGGATCCGTGTCGAGTTGAGCGAGATCAGCCACGCTCTTGCGCGATGCCACGAGAGTGTGAGACATGTCGAGACGCTTTACCTCAGCCTTGGCGGCGAGGGTGGTGGTAAGGCGATTGTGTCTTTCCTGCTTGCCGTTGAAGACGCCAATGGGGACAGGCCAGAAGACCGCGCCGTCAAGGCCGCCGCAAGAGCGCAAGCCCAAAAGGCATTGCCGGCTTACATGCATCCGGCACACTATGTCGTCGTCGACTCGATACCACGGTCCACTTCAGCCAAGACAGACACGCGAGCATTGGCTGCAACTTTCTTACGTCAAAGAGAGCAGCGTACCAACAACGCTGAGGAGGATCAGGACGGGAGCGAGGCTGGTGACAACGACAGTGTGCCAGATCCGTCGTCTCCACAAGGCAAGCTAGCGCACATCGTACTGGAGCTCCTGGACGCATCCTCCTCGACACGCCTGACCCGCCGTACCTCGTTGCGATCGCTCGGGCTAGACTCGATCCGCACCATCCGCCTCGCAACCAAGCTGCGCGCTGCCAACTTCCCTGCTGTTGCAGCTTTCCAGCTCATGAAGTGCGAGACGTTTGGCCAGCTGTGCGACGTTGTTGCTCCTCCTAGCGACGCTGGCAACGGACACGCTGGAGGGATGAGCACGGACGAGCTTCAGGCGCAGGAGCAGGTGCGACAGCGACTCGAAGCTGTGAGGGAGCAGTGGATGCCCGCTCTCCAGAGCCATCCTACCGCACCGATGCTGGTCGATGTCCTCCCTACAACAGCTCTGCAGGCTGCATTGCTGACGGAGACGGCCAAGTCCAGCGGGTCTTATTGGTCGACCAGCATCTTTGACCTCAAAGAGCACGTCGATGCAGACGCTCTGCGCAGTGCGTGGGTCAAGGTGACGGAAGAGTTCGAGATCCTGCGTACTACCTTCATTGCTACCGCCCAGGGCTACCTGCAGGGTGTCCTGGAGCCAAGTGCAGCTAGCAAGGGCGTCGAATTGCAGGCTGTCGAGGGGTCAGCTGGCATCGATAAGCGAACAGTCACTGTCGCGCAGTCACGCGCCTCTTCTTCGCCTCCTTCGCCATTCTACTGGGCGCTAACGCTGGTGCAGCACCCTCGACAGCTAGCAGTACACATGCATCACGCCCTGTACGACGGTCCTGCCTTCGATCAGATGATCTCGCGTGTCGAGGAGCATCTCAAGGGAAATGCCAAGCCTCTCAAAACAGCCGTCTCTCTTCGCGACACCCTCGTACTCCTCGGCCCATCTGCCATTTCGTGGCCCAACAAGTCGACAACCCACAACGCCAGCGCCTTCACCGAGCTTTTGAAGCCTCGAGCAGACCGATGCGGCCCGTGGATGCTGCCCAACCTCACCGGTGCCAAGGCTGTCAAGCGGCCACAAATGCAGGCTGCGACCATCGATATCTCAGCTGACGCCACAAAGCTCTCCGATCTCGCTCGTCAGTACGACTTGCCCTCATCAGCGGCCATCGTACAAGCAGCCTTTGGCTGCCTCGTCGCCGACTACCTCGATCAAGGCGCTGTTCTGATCGGCGCTACCCTCTCAGAGCGCGGTCGTCAAGCACAGCTCGAATCGTCCGTCTTTCCCCTCGTAGTCACCGTCCCCTTCCTCATTGACGGTGGGCGCATGACAGAGGCTGAGCGCAAGCAGGCCACACCCGACGAGATTCGAGCGTTTCGCGGCATGAGCGTAGGCGAGCTGCTCAAGGAGCTCGCAGGTCAGTGGCGCAAGAGCTCGGGGGACGCGCGGTACGTTGCCGCGAGTGAGGTGCGGAAGGCGCTTGATTGGCCCCGTGACCAGGCTATCTATCCTGCACTCTTTGTGGTGCACGACAACGCAGGCGATGACGAGGCAGCTTGCACGTCGGAACAGCAGATCCTGAGCCCAGTAAGGGATCCCGCCAAGCTGGCAGTCGAGCATGGTTTGGCGCTCAATGTCTACTCGGATGCCAAGGGTCACCCCAGTCGCCTCGTCGTCTCTGCGAGCGAGACGTTCTTGCCGCCGGCCCACATTGAGGTTCTTGCAAAGCAAATCGAGGCACAAATTACTTCGCTGCTTGAAGCCAAGGCAGACACACCGCTGAGCCGACTTTCTAACCTCGAGGAGAACATCAGCAACGTGAGCCCGCTGTACTCAATCTCTTCTCCGGTCATCACCGACGAAAATACGGCTGCAGCGGCCTCGCGTCATCCTTGTTACTGGCTGCGTCACTGGGCTCAGAAGCACCCTGGTCGGACAGCTGCCATGGAGATTGTTGGTGAGGCTGGTGGAGAAGTACGCGAGTGGTCTTTCCGAGACCTCGATCAGAAGAGCAACGCACTGGCGTGGCAAATTCGCAGCACAATCGGCGAGAAACCTTGCGTAGTGGCGCTCTGCATGGGCCGAACGCTAGAAGCTTTCGCTGCGATCCTTGCCATCTTCAAGCTTGGGTGCACTTACCTTCCCATCGCTGAGGACTTGCCCGTGCAGAGGAAGCAGGACCTCGTCAAGGATGCTGGAGCCGCTGCCGTGCTCACCACTTTCGAGCTGCAGAAACCGTTCGAGGGTATGCTCGACCAGATTATCGTCCTCGACGAGATCAAACTCGACGCCTCGAAGATGCAAGAGCTCGAGCTTCCTCCCGCCCGCTCTTGTGGCTACCTTCTCTACACCTCCGGCTCCACGGGCAAGCCTAAGGGTGTATCCGTCTCCGGCGCCAATCTTTCAGGCTACATTGAAGGCTTTGCCGCCCTCGTGTACCGCAACTCCGTCAAGTCTCACCATCTCACCGAAGCCGGAGGTGGTCGTTATCTCACGCTAGCAAGTCGAGCTTTTGACCCTCACCTCTCGCAGATGTTCCTTCCCTGGCGCATGGGCTACGCGGTCGTCACGGGCGAGCGCAATGCCATCCTTGAGGACCTGACAGAGACCGTTCGCCTCCTTTCGATCACACACATGGGCATCCTGCCATCCCTTCTCGAGCACTCGGGCATGACTCCGGATAAGGCGCCGTCCCTGGTCGGCATAGCGGTTGGCGGCGAGAAGATCACGCAATTCATCCTTGATGAGTGGGCCCCAGCCACGCCTGGCCAGACGCCACTCGTCGTCAACGCGTACGGACCGACTGAAGTTACGATCGGCTGCACCATGGCCGTCGTGACCAAGCAAGCTACACCAGGTCACATCGGCTTGCCGGTAGGGGAGACAACAGCCCTCGTTCTCCTCCCCGGTACGCAGACGGTTGCCCGCCGTGGCCAATCTGGCGAGCTCTGCTTTGCTGGTGATCTTGTTGCGCACGGAGGTTACCTCGGCCGCGGCCCAGACGAGCAAGGGGGCTTCTCAACTTTTGGAGGCACTCGCATCTACCGTACCGGTGATATGGCTCGCATGCTCCACGATGGCAGCATCTCATTCCTTGGACGAGCTGACGAGCAGGTCAAGATCCGTGGACAACGACTAGAGCTAGGAGAGGTCAACGCCACGGTTCGCGTCGCAGCCGCAGAGGTGCGCAAGCAGACCATCTCGAGCCAAAAGGCCGTGACTGTCTACGCGAAACACCCTTCTTTGGCTTCCTCTCGTCTTTTCACAGTCCTCAGCATGGATCGTGCGCATCAAGTCGCGGACGCCGAGTTCGTCGACTGCGAGCACGACGACGAGGCGCGCTCGCTCGTTGAGGCCGTGACGAAGATGTGCTCATCCAAGATGCCAGCCTTTATGGTCCCCACTATCGTCGTGGTACCTGCGCTGCCGCAGCTACCCTCTGGCAAATTTGACGTCAAGAAGACTATCGCAGCCTTGCAGCGAGCGCCTGTCGATCTCCTCCTCCGCACTTCAAAGGCGGCAGGAGGTGGCTCTGCAGGGCAATCTCGCAATCTCAATGCGCTCGAGTCAGCCATCTTGGCGGCTGTGTGCGAGCTTACCGACTCTAATGTGGAGGATGTCACTCGCTGGGCACGCCCATCAACCAGCATCTTTGAGCTCGGCGTGGACAGTCTTACAGCCGTCGGGCTCAGCGTGCGCCTACGCGAACAGCCTCTGCAGATCAGCATGTCAGTCGCAGATGTCCTTGCCAACGACACGCTCGAAAGTCTGGCAGCCTACGCAGAGCGCGCGGAGGACGCAGACGGTGGCAACGATGCGGAGTGGTACGATACCGAGCGCTTTGACGCTGAAGCTCGACAGGAGCTGAAGGCAGCTGGCGCGCTCGAAGGCACCCAGCCGGAGTGGATTCGACCAACAATGCCGCTCCAAGAATCGCTGGTTACTCTCACCAGATTGGCGTGCGAACAGAACGGTGATGGACCTCTTCCCTACATCCACTGCTTCAGGATCAAGAGCACGAGAACGAATGTTGCGGCTCTATGGCGCGAATCTATCAAGCGCGAGCCGATGCTCAGGACGGTCTTCAAGTCACGAGGCAACGGGCTTGTTCAGGCCGTACTACCCGCTGATGCTCCTGAGCTCCAGCAGCTCATCCTTGAAGGTGCTCCCTCCGTTGCTCTGCCCGCCCGAATGATCGATGCAGTTGGTCAAGTACCACCGCTTCGCGTATTCGCGGACGAGTCTACAGGTTTCGCCTCAGTCTGGTTGCATCATGCCATTTACGACGGCTCAACATTACCGACCCTCCTTCGCGACGTCTACGATGATGTAGCAGCGCCTGTACGGCCCGCCAACAATCCCTCGGACAACGCGGTGCTCGCTCAAGCGGCTCGATCTCAGAGCGCCAAGGCACTGCGCTTCTGGCAGCGTCACCTCGAGAATGTCGCTACACCCCACAGGCCACTGGCCAAAGCAGCCGCCGAAGAGGCTGGCCGACCAGTGGCTCGCAAGCGTTTCACGATGGGCATCGACCTCACTTCCCGTCTCCGGGCAGCAGCTCAGTCGAGTCGAATTGGCACCACCTTGTCGACTTTGACTCAAAGCGCCTTCGCCCTGCTCCTTGCCCGCCTAACACAGTGTCCCGACGTCGTGCTCGGTAATGTCGTGAGCGGACGCAGCTCGGCGGGCGAGATGACCAGCATGCCGCTCGTTGCTACAGTTCCAGTGCGACATTCATTTGGCGCTGCAACTTTGGCCGACGCCCTCGTGGCCAGCAAGAAGAGCAACGCAGCCGTGAAGAGATGGGAACACACCTCGCTGAGGAACATCCAAAGCGCTGTTGGGCGGGGAGGGCTCTTTGACGTCCTCTTCAGCTACGATGGTGCCCGTGCGCAGGAGCACAAATCTAGTTCTTATGAGGTGCTCGAAGACGAAGGTGATAGCGCAGGCGGAGTCGACTATCCGCTCGTCCTCAACGTGACCGACAAAGGGCAAGAGCTTGGCGCTACTCTAGTCTACTCGACGACGGAGATCGATGAGGACGTAGCCAACGCTCTGGTCACGCAGCTGCAGCTGCTTCTCTCGACGATCGCCGAAGGCAGCAATCCGCAGCTGACCGAGCTGGGCCTCAGCTTTGATCACACCGCCCTGAGCGCCCATGCCTCCGGCGCGTCGTCTCTGCAACGTCCTCTAAATCATCGCGAAGAGCAAGTGCGCGACGTGCTGCTTCAACTGGTATCCGACGTCGACCGCAAAGACGTGCAGCCAGGTACGAGCTTCTACCGCATCGGTCTGGATTCACTCGTGGCACTCCGTTTCGCGCGGGAGCTCAAAAGGAGTGGCATTGAGGGACTGGACCGGGTCAGCGCGGCCAAGATTGTGGCGAGCGGCAACTTAGCCAGGCTCTGTGCAGAGGGTGAGACGCAAGTCGACGACAAGACGACAGCAGTGGGCGAGGAGGAGGTGAATGGAGATGAGGCATCCGCCTCTCGTGACATCGCCCGCCGTGTAGCTGGGTTCGAGGATCTCTTCGTCCGCCTCAACTCAGGAGACGAATGCGAAGCGTCATACGTGTGCACGCCTTTGCAGGCAGGCATGCTCACGCTTTCGCGAGACTCGCCCCACTCTGCCTACCATCAAATCCATCGTTTCCGCCTGCGAGGTGATGTCGATGTGCAACGACTTTGCAGAGCATGGGATCAAGTCGTTGAGCACAATGACGTGCTTCGCTCGACCTTCCATCTAGACGAGACGCATGCAAGATGGGTCGCGCAAGTCCATACCAAGGTTGGCAGCGACGCAAGTGGCGACTTCTCTGCGCAGCCACCAGCCTACCTGACTCTATCAGACGACGACAAGGTCGCTTCCTTCCATATCCATCACGCCCTTTATGACGGCGCTTCACTGCCTGTCATCTTCGATCAAGTTCGCGCAGCTTACCACGGGCAAGAGTTGCCGCCTTACCGGCCCTTCTGGTCCGCGGCTCAGCGCTCCGCCCTCGATCGAGAACAGGCGACGGCAGCCTGGGCAAAGCTGCTCGAAGGATACAAGTATGCGCCCATTACTGCGCAGATCATGGCGCGTCGTCATCGTTCCACTGCCCGCTTCGCTGCGCCTCCTTCCGCAGCGTATCGCTCCCTTGGCGTTACCCTGCATGCAGTTTGCGTCCTCAGCTACGCTCGGGCCCTCTCGCAAAACATTCTAGGCCTTCGCGACGTCTGCTTTGGTCATGTTCTCGATGGGCGCAGCGACGAGACGGACGCGGACGTGATTGGCCCTCTCTTCAATACCGTCGCCCGTCGCGTGACGCTTGGCGATCTTCTGGAGACGAACGCAGAGGGGCTTGTTCGCACGCAGCAGTCGCTCGACAACGGCGCCCAATGGCAGGCAGCCGCAGACTTGCGCGGCGTCACGGCAGCCTGGCGAGCCAAGCAGGGCGGTGGAAGCAGCAAGTCGAGGGTGTTCGACTGCCTCTTTGTCTATCACAAGGCGCAGCAGAAGGCGGGGACTTCCGCGGCCGCTGAGCCACTCTGGCACCGTGTTGATGACGATGAGGAGGCAGAGGCAGAGGACGAATACGATGTCAACGTCAGCATCACCGAGCACGCCAGTGGGGAGCTCAGCATCTCGGCAAATTCGGTGGTCGGCGGTCAAGAAGGTCTCGATGCGCTTGTTCAAGAGATCGCGCGTCAAATAGGTGAGCTTGTCAATCAGCCACACTCGCCGATGCCAGCCGCTATGCGTGTCATGCCTCTGACTACGGCAGGCGAGTTGGATGGGGACCGCAGCGAAAGCGACGACGACAATTCGCCCCTTGACAGCGACGAAGAGGCTCTCTGCGACGCCCTCTCGACAATGATGCCGCACCTGTCGGATCGATCAAACTGGCGCAAGGCTTCGACGAACGTGCCCGAGCTCGGCATCGACTCGATTACGGCCATCAAGCTTGCGTCAATGTGCAGAAAGCGCGGCGGTGTCGTGGCCGCGATCACGGTGCCCATCATCCTGCGCGGGCAGACAGTGCGTGCTGTCGTCAAGGCAGCGCGTAGGAGCGTTAAAGCCAAGGGCAAGGCGGCAAATGGCGCAGCCAACGGAGCTGCTCGACACCAGACTGACGACTCCACGCGCACTGCAGCGGCGGATATGCTCAGTGTCTCGCTCGGCGACATCGAAGACGTCTTCGCGGTTCTGCCAGGTCAAGAGCACCACCTCGACTCGTGGCACGCAACAGGCCGACGCTTCTACGAAGCTCCATGGGCGCTTCGCATTCAAGGCGACGTGGATGGAAGAAAGATGATGGCAGCATGGACTCAGCTGTTGTCTCGCCATGCGGTTCTCAGAAGTACCTTTGCGCAACTTCCTGGAAGCGAAAAGCCGGTGCAGGTCGTTATGCGTGCCAGTGAGAAGCAGCAGACACCGTTTGGCTGGTCGATTCACAAAGCTGAGTCCTCGTTGGAAATAGAGGCGCAGCGCGTCATCGAAGAGGGCAACTCCTCATCCAGCTCCCTCTACGAGATGCCAGCGCGGTTGGCCCTCGTGCAAGGCTCCGACACCTCGATTATTGTCATGCGCCTACATCACGCTCAATACGACGCTTGGAGCATCGCAATGATCCTCGACGAGCTGCAGGCCCTTTACGAAGGGCGCGAGCCCAGCACTGAGCCCTGCGACTTTGCGAACTTGGCGAGAAGTCTTATGTTGGAGCAAGACAAGGCTACACTCGCAAAGGAATGGTGGAAGCGGTACCTCGGTGACGCCGAGCCGACTTGCCTGTCTCAGCAAGAGAAAGAGAAGGCCACCGCACAAGGTCCAGTCGTTCTTGTCCGCTCACCAGGCCTCGTCACCGGGCTGGCCTCCCTCGAGGAGCAAGCCTCACGCGTTGCACCAGGGGTCAACCTCTCTCACGTCGTGATCCTCGCTCTGGCGCGAGTGCTCGTTCAGCGGTCTAACGCAACTCGTCGGCCAACTCTGGGCTTCTACACGGCTGGCAGAGCAGCTGTCGCCGAGACGGACCCTGAGGCTGCGGCGGCCGCTGTGCCCCTGCTCAACGTGTTGCCCCTTGCGGTCAGCGTAGGCAAGAACGAGGCGCGCAAACAGCTTGAGGCGGTGCGCGATGATCTGCTGGAACGAGTGCAATGGGAGCAGAGCCGGCTGCGCGATGTTGTCGGAGGCAACGACAAGATGTTCGACGTCTTCCTCAACCTCCTCTGGCATCGCGGAGGTCAGCAAGAGGATGCTCCGCTGGCCACGACGGGCGAAGAGCCGGTGCGCTCCGCAAAGTGGGAGCGCTGGACGCATCCGTCCTCATCCGCCTACTTTACCTCGACGCAGACGCACGACGTCAACGAGACGACGCTACGTGATCTCTCGACGGAATACCTGCCGCGCCACAAGTGCTACATTGATGTGAGGAGGGACGTGAGCGGGGACTGCTTGTCATTTGGTCTCAAAGCCGATGTAGGGATGCTGGCGCAAGAGGAGGAAGCGACGAGGCAAGCGCTCCAGGCGTTGGCCGAACAAGTGGCGAAGGAGGTGGGCATGTTGATGGAACAGTGTCGGTGAGCAGCCGGCGCTCTAGACAGAAGCGATTTGAAATGGTCCGGTAATATGATCTCGTTTCGACTCTATAACCCTCGCGCCTAGTCCGCTCTCCTTTCTCTACGGTCCTTTCCAATGACAGGCCTCGTCGGCGGCGCCTCAGCTTGCGGTTCAGCTTCAGCCGCTGTAGCCTCGACGTCCTTTTCCATCCCGGTCCCTCTGAGCAGAGCTGCTTCTAGCCTCTTCTGCTGTGCCTCCTTCTCCTCTGCCTCCTCCTTGCGCTTCGCTTCATTGAAACGCTCCTGCCACTCCTGCCTCGTCTTGATCTGTCTGCCCTCGTCCTTTGCGACTTGGAAATTCGTTGCTGGTCGCCCAGGGACCGTCGCGATGGAGGACGAAGAGCCTGAGGCTGAGGATGGAGATGAGGATGAAGGGTCGACGGGAGGAGCCGGAGCTGGCGATCCAAGGCCGTAGTACCAGGCGCCTCCCGCAGCTGCTACGACTGTGAGACCTTGGAAGTAGATACGCCAACGCAGAGAGCGGTTGAAGGCGTCGCGATTGCCCTTGCGCAGGTGGTTTGAAGCGACGATGAGAGCTCCGCAGGTGAGTAGACAGCCTGAGAGCGAGTCACGTGTGAGACATTGAGGGCGATTGAGGGTCAGCATGCTAGCACATCTAAGCTAACGAGAGCAAAGGGGAACGCACCGATGGGAACAAGTGGCTCCTTCTTGAGCTTACGCCATAGCTTGTCCTTTGGCGAGTCGAGCTCTGCCGGTGTGAACACGGGCACCTCTTCCTCTTCCTTCTTGGGAAATTGCACCTGCGACGCCATCCTGACTGACTGGCTGGGCGGGTGTGATCAGAGGTGGAAAGGAAGGAAAGGAAGTGCAGGAGGTCGATGAGGCAACGGCGGGTGGAGCGGGCGGACTGCAAGCCAAACCGGCATAAGACCGCGCTTCCGTGATGATGAGGTAAGCAGGCACGCTAGTCAAGCGAGATCGTCCTTCGAAGAGGCGCTCTTCTCTCCTTGCTCGTCTCCCGTTCACGCAGCGGTCACAACATCATATGGGGAGGAGGGCTCAATCTATTGCCCAGGAAGAACCGACCTTCACACGCATTCCAAGCCCTGACTGGGTAACTACTTCCTTAGCCTTCATCCCCAATGGCGTTGCACGCCTAGTAGCGATACTGGTACCAGACCTCAACGTCGGCAGGAGCTTCTTCCTTTGTAAAGGTGACCGGCCAGCTACCTGTCAACGAGCATGGGTGATGAGGTATCGCATCAGTCGAAGCGGGGGTCGCGCCACCGTATACGTACACTCATCGGTCGATCTGTGATAGTAGCAATCCCCGGCCGTGCTGTTGCCTAGACAAAACGCCCACGTCGGGCTATAGCATCGACCAAAGCGCGTGGATCCTACATGGGTACCAGAGAGCGATTTGGAAGGGCATTAGACTCGCAAGGCTGATGTCGTCTCCACAGCGACACCCGACTCACCCCAGCTGTCCCCAGCACACGGCGCCCCTACATCTAATCGCTCCTTCTTCCAATAGCCCCAGGCAGCAACTTGAACACCATATGCGCCGGTGCCATGGCCGTCGCATCTGTAGGTCGCATACCCCCCCTTCTGCTCCACCTTGACCGCCCTACAGAAGAGGGCAAAGTCGTAGGCAAAAGGGACTCGATTGCCAATCTTCCAGTTGCAAACGATATCTGGGCTCGCGAGGGATCGGGCGATGAGGTCAGAGAGGGAGAGAAGTAGCAAATAGAGCATCCTGAGCAGCTGAGGGGAGGTCGCGATCGGACGAGAAGCATCACATCGCAGGGATCCACGGGACCAGTTGCCCAGCGCTGGCATCGGGCTTGCGATCTGCGGCACATTCTCGTGGCCTTGTGGCCCAGCTCTTCCATCTTTGCTCTCCAGCAACTGAACACACGTTGTCGAGAAGCTCTCATGAGTCTTGTTGCAGCGATGTGCAAGCAATCCGGTAAGATTGAGCCGGCACAGGAGGCGGGCAGTAAGCAAGGTGATGCCACACTTCGCATGCGCTTCTCGATTATTGTATCAGCATCGACGCTCCAGCACGTTCGCACAGCTCAACATATCAAAATGAGGTAGGCTTTCATCATGTTTCGTCACATGCTTGTATCTGCGGCACCACGAGTGCACCGTATCCCAGGCCGCCCGCGCTGGGCTAATTTTCCTGCGCGCTCATCCTACCAAAGGCCACGCAGCCTACCGTATCAGCGGTATGCATACCACACTTCCACATAACCCGGAGCCTGCTCTGTGGAAAAATTGGTCGGCCACTCGCCTGGCACGAGGAGGACCAGAGGGATTTCCTGTGTCAGTATCGGCTTCGATCGCCGCCGCTGCCCGCGCTCTCTACGCACAATCATCGATAGATGCATGGTAGAAACAATTGCCGTCCGTGCTGTTGCCCAAGCAAAGCGCCCAATATTTCGAGTAACACTTGTGGAACCTCGTTTCTCCCCAAGTCTGCCCAGTGCATGGCGCCTCTGAAGGAGTGACAGCAAGGCGAGAACGTCAGTAGCTCGTCGAGGCGGCACTCTCAGGCCCTCCTCAATCTACATCGCTGTCTACGCACCGACGAGGAGTTTGTCCTTGTGCATGAAGCTCCAGGAGGCGACGCGAGTGTCATACTCGCCCGTACCGTGGCCGTCGCAGATGTAGGTGGCGAAGCCCCCCTTCTCGTCCTGTCGCACGGCCCTACAGAAGAGTGCGAAGTCGTAATTGAAGGGAGTTTTGTCGCCGATTTTCCACGTGCAGGTGAACTGTGCTTGTGCACTCGTCAGGAGGAGAGGGATGAAGGCAGTGAAGAGGGGGAAGATTGGCGTGAAGATGTGCATGCCGGGCGATCAAAGTGGTGGTTGGATATGGAGGTCTAGAGCAGGTAAAGGGCTGCTATAAGTTCTTTTGACCGATTGATTATCGGATGCACTGTGTCATGTGCACAGCGTCAGCTTCAGACTGTCAGACTAGGGCGCCTTTACCACGCCTCGTGACCTGAGGAGCAGGCTCATACCCCTCTCCCTCTGTCGTCGCAAGAACTCCATGGCAAATCCAACCGCGCTGTGGCCGGCGGTGAGTCTGCTTGATGAGCAGGCAAAGTCGCGAGTGCCCTCAAAGAGATGTTGGGGGACAATGGTGCCGACCGGAACGCTGAGATGACAAGTCCGCCTGACCTCGTTGACACGTCCTACATTCCATCTCTCGTGGTCAACCTCGCCTTTCCCTTTTGATCTGGTCACAATGCTTGTAAGCCCAGTCCTTGCCGTACTTCTCAGACTCGCTTTCGTGGCCGGCGAACATGCGACCTGCTCGCCCCAGCCATCCAACAGGCCCCCGTGGTACAGCTCATACATCATCTGGTGCAACGCAGACCGCGTCGGAGTTGGGAAAGATCAAGCAGAGTACCGCTGCAACGAGAACAAGGACACATTGATCGCTGATTTTGGCAAGCTGAGGCCAGGTGTCCTCGAGTGGGGTGCGACTTTGGCCGGATCGGCCAACCCTCTCCCACTGTCTGCCGCTGACGTGTCGCTACTTCACTCTCGTGCGTGCGCTGCGTGCGTTCACCAGGAACTCCTTGCGGCCAAGGCGGGTATGCTACAATTCAGGGGAAATGCCGGTCGCGCTCCTGGATTCTTTGCTTGGAAGACTCATGCGATATGGCTTGTCGCTATATGCGCTCAGACGATGACTGTTCGTCCTCGCCCGAGAAGAGCTTTTCGCTGTTCCAGATTGAAGTTTGACCCTTCTACTGCTTCTCGCCTAGGCGAATGGCCCGAAAACTTCAACATGTCAAGCGTCCCCAATAGCGTTACACTTTGGATGCATAATTACTGGTACGATCGGCGCTTTGGGATGATGGGAGAGGACCCTGTGACGAAGAGCTCTGGAAGTTCTGATTAGCTTTGTGGGCTCGAGACTCGAATTTCGATTGCTCCCTGCCTGACAGTGGTCGTTCATCGCGGCAGAGTGATACCGCTGGGCATGACCCCTTTGACGCGATTGGAGGCAATAGCAATGTTACACGAAACTCTCCATTCGCCGTCCCTCCCATTGCTGCAGCTCTTCTCTTGCCAGCGCTCCAGCTGATCTTGCTTCCAGACCACCACAAGTCCACCTGCGCACAGCCCATTCATAAGGCACAGCATGCTCACCTCTCTCTTGCCTTTTCTTCTCTACTGCCTGACTTTGGAAGGCGCTCGTGCCAACCACTCCACGTGCTCCAGGGGCCCTTTGGCCAGGGCTCCGTGGTACGATGACTATCGGCTCTGGTGTGAGGCAGGACGCGTCGACACTGCGGCGGACCAGGCAGAGTATCGATGCAACGACCAGAAAGACGTGGTGATTGCCGACTTTGGCAAACTGAGGCCAGGCGTTCTTGAGTGGGGTAAGTCTGCCGCAGTCTCGAGAGACAGCGACGCACAACGACTGTCACCACTGACGGGCCTTTCTTCCCCATATTTTCGGCCGCTTCAGGCACGCCTTGTGGGTAAGTACGGTACCCTGTAGTTTCAAGCGACAACCCACGCACGAAAGCGTGTGCCGCTGACGGATGCCCGCAACCCCGATCTCCTGGCTCAGGCGCAACGGTTATGGATTCGATTACAAAGGAGTTTGCTGGTCACGATCGTGGGTCTTGTGCCTGGGTGATACCTGTAACCTGGCCTGTTACTACTTGGATCCTGAAGACGATTGTAGGTAGCAGGATGCTCCTTATCTGCTCTGTTCTGCGCTGATCCATCTGCCTTACCTTGATTGCTCAGGCGAGTGGCCAAAACATTTCAACTTGTCGACTGCTCCGAAGAGCGTTGAGCTTTGGTACTATCGCTGGCGTCGCAGCTGGGGACAGTGAGGCTGTCGCGACGCCGTCGCCGTCCCTCCCAGCGGCATTTACACTCTTTCAGCTCTACGTCAATGTCCACTTTGGTTCAATGCTTGCCGTTGTGGTTCATCGCAGCAAAGCTTGTAACAGCACGTGCGCTGTCTTTGTGGCCTAGTCGTGATCCTTGTGGCAAAGGACGACCGTTGACGCAGTGGACCTCTGCCCGACCCTTCGTACCGTACCACTCGATCCACACACACCTCTCATCGATGCCCACGATCTTCGCCGTCGTCCTCTTGATCCTCCCTAGTCTTGTCCATGTCAGGGCACACCACGCTGTTTGCTCGTACCGCCCCTTTACGAGACCCCCATTCTATCAGCATTTCTACCTCTGGTGTGTAGCAGACCGCCATGACATCGGTCACGATCAAGCAGAATATCACTGCAACGACAAGAAGAAGAGTGATCTGCTCATTGCCGACTATGGCAAGCTAAGACCGGGGATTCTAGAATGGGGTTAGTCTTGCAGGACAGAAGCACACTCTCTGCGCTGACTGTTGCTTCCTGCTCCACCGTCGTCCGCAAGCCTCTCCCTGTGCAAAGGATGGCTGGGCTCGCTACTTTGGTGGCAAGTGTATGACAAACTGGTGGCAGCTATGTCTGGGAGACACGTGCAATGGCGCTTGCTTTACGATGAATGCCTACGACGACTGCTCGTGTCTCGATGGCTTTGATGTCCTCCGGACCGCGCGTTGACGATACCATTCTCTCTTTCTTCGATGCACAGGCGAATGGCCATCCCCCTTCAATAGCTCCACTGCTCCCCAGCGGGTCGAGCTCTGGTATTTTGGTCCGTCCTGAAGACCTCTGCCGGCGCAATATTGGCGCCCGCGACCCTGCGGCCAGATGTACTCGCTCCGCCCACAAAGTCGGTCAGCCCCCATCTTGAGCATCGTCAGCTCTTTGCATACTGTATATCCGCGTGTGAGAACTTGTGAGCTGGCTGCCGATTGCACTTTTATCAAGACTCTCAGCGTGTGATTCGTCAACTCCAAGCAAGCCTTCGTTTCCTCCACCCGCCACGCGCACTAATCACCACCCCTCGGCATGCTCTTGTGCACGCTCCTCACCATCTTTTCCGCCATCTGCTCTGCCTATGCAAAGCATGTCACTTGCTCCTGGCGACCTTTCACGAAGCCTCCTTGGTACTCCTCTTTCTTCTTGTACTGCATCGCCGACCTACACGACATTGGCTCAGGCCAGGCAGAGTACCACTGCAACGACGGCACTTATCTGAAGATCGCTGACTTTGGCAAGCTCAGGCCGGGCGTTCTTGAATGGGGTAGGTGTGGATCAGCAGCAGTGGCATAGAAGCATCCCGTACTAAATTCCCTTTCTCCACCGTGTCCTGTGCAGGAACGCCTTGCGGAGGTGGTGGCTGGGCATTTGGAGGCAAGGGAGGCGTGTGCATTGCTGACATATGGGGGCTCTGCCTAGGAGACACGTGTAATGGCTCGTGCTTCTACATGAAGTCCTTCGACGATTGTGAGGCTCTACGAACGACTTTGCCCTGTACGATCAGATGCTAACCTCTGTCCATCTTCACGGCGTTCACACTTCCACAGGCGAGTGGCCAGCTCTGTTCAACATCTCAAGCGCCCCAAAGAGCGTAGAGCTCTGGTACTACAATGGCTGGGGCTTCTGACGACCTCAGCGGTCGAGGGGAGGGTCATGCCCTCGATCAGAGCAATTGGCTGAAACACGTAGCCGTTGTCGGCTCTCGAATAAATATGCTCTTACCTCTTGACGCAACCTCGGCGCCTTTTCTCGCAATGCCGGCACGAGACTGCCCGCTTGAATTCCGCAGCTGGCCCGAAAGAGATCAGATACTCTACCGCGCTCTGCGCCAGTGCCGGCCTGACAGTTCCTTTGGCGAGTTTAGACGCCCCGAGGGTGAAGGGTTGATCCACCGCATTACCTCCGGTGCTGACCAAACGATGGTTGCTCTCTTTGCTTTGACCAAAGGAGGAGGGTCACGGCTACAGTGATCTTGATCGGAGAGGTGTGCAATTCGCTTTCTGTCTTCTTGACGAAGATTGTCAACCTCACACCACGCACCTTTGCTCCACTGAGCGTCATTGCGCCTCACCATGCTCGCGTCGACCCTTTTCGTCCTCCTTACTGTGCCTTTTGTCGGCGCTACGCACCACTCTTGCAGCTGGAAACCATACACTCGCCCGCCTCCCTTCAACGGCTACATGCTGCGATGCGAGGCGCAGCGCTTGGACACCGCCGGCACAGAGCAAGCTCAGTATCATTGCCACAACGCCGGAGGCGTCATGATTGCCGACTTCGGGAAGCTCAGGCCAGGAATTTTGGAGTGGGGTGCGTTCAGGAGGCGAACTCTGAATGCTAGCATCGAGCTGACAACCTTCTCCTGACCGCTTATCACGGGGCCTCTTCTAGGGACACCCTGCGGGTGGGTGACTGAGACTCCACTAGCTTTGCCCTCATCGCGTTGCTGACCTGCGGTTTTGCTGACCCTACCGCAGGGGCGGGGGATATGGCAAAAACGTCAGGGGAGATTGCCTAGCTGATCTTTGGGCGCTTTGCCTTGAGGACACGTGCAGCAACAATTGTTACTACATGCATGATGAAGATGATTGTGCCTCATTGAGCTTTGGATTCATCACATGAGAAGGAAGCTGATCGACCCCTCCCCATTACGCCCGACGCGCAATAGGCGAGTGGCCAACCCCCTTCAATCTGTCCAACGCGCCCAAGAAGGTTGAGCTGTGGAGCAACTATTGATTGTGCAAGGGCTTATGTGCTGCACAAGGGCACGCTGCTTGCCTTGGTCACGACCTCGCCAAGAGGTGTACTTCTCCTATCATACTCAAGTCAACAATCTCACCAATCGATCACGTGCGCGCCTGCGACCTCAACCAGTGTGCACGAGTGAGTCTGACCGCAAAAGCAGGCGATAAGAGGGAAGGTTAGGCCGACCAGATGATACGAGCGCCCACACGCGATTCGGATTGCCGTGACAGACAACGTGCTGGACCTTGCATTGTTGCGGCAGACAGGCTCCTCGCACCATCAGCTCCATTGCCAGCAAGAAGGAGTGTATGGCCGGCTTACGCTACCGACAGCTGACGTCTGCCCTGCCTGACCTAGTGCAAGCCTTTAAGAAGCTTGCTGTCTGTCTCATTCCTCGCGTCCACTCACTTCTCTCGCTCGAGCTCAGCCAGCACCATGCTTTCTCTGTTGCTTGCCCTTGTCATCCACTCGCTCACCCTACCGCACTCCGCTTCGGCTGCTCATTCCATATGCTCATGGCGTCCATACACGCGATCCCCAGCCTACTCCTCGCTGTACCTGTGGTGCTCTGCTGAGCTCACGATTACGGAGGAAGGGCGAGGGGACTACAGATGCAAGGTGAACACCGGCATCAAGATTGCAGACTTTGGTGGTCTGAGGCAAGGGGTATTGGAATGGGGTGAGGAAAGGTCAATGTGGGGGACCGTAGTGCCGTGCCAGGAGCTGACCTTCTGCCGTCCTTCTGCTGGTCGCGCCGAGTAGGGACACCTTGTGGGTGAGTGCAGATCTGCGTGGCAAATTGCAGTGCAAGACGCTGACCTTCCCTCGTCGCGAAGTCACGGAGGCTACGGGCGCGACTATCACTCGATCTGTGTTTCGGAATGGTGGGCGCTCTGCCTGGGAGACTCTTGCAAAGGCGAATGCTTCTACATGCACGATGATGACGATTGTAAGCATTGCTGGCGGCGCCGGAGCATGCGATTGAAGCTGACGCATCGGCCTCCTGTGCTGCGGCAGGCGAGTGGCCAACGCTCTTCAACACGTCGAGTCTACCTCAGACCGTTGAGCTGTGGGCCTATTACGAGCATTGAGGGAGGAAGGGCTGTGCATTGGGGTGGATCAAGTCGATCGTCTTGTCGAATGTTATCTCCATCACTCAGTCTCCTGCGTTACTTCCCATGCGTGGCTTGAGCACAGGCAGCTGACTGGCGCTGATTCGTTTCACCGAAGATTCCTGACTCATGCGCTGGACCCCTCGGCGAGGGCGAGAGGGACTTAAGTCAGTCCAACACTTAAAACATCGCACCCATGATAGTAGGGGTTTTGATCTTTGCAGCACGGCAGTGCAGGCAGACCAACGCTCAAATTGAGTCGCGCTCTCGCATGTTGACCGCAAGCTAGAGAGACAAGATGCTCAAAGCAGGAGGAAATTCCAGTACTCATAGAGTGAGACTCATTAGCTTAAGAGCAGTTGGTTGCAACACTCGCATTCGAGGATAATATCGACCCGCAGGGGACGTTGTTGGAGTGGTAGTAGTCGGCGTGAAGATCAGTCTGATCTCTTCTTCGCCTGCTTCGCCGTCGTACGAGTCCGAACCGCCCAGGCAGCGGCTGCACGTTCTGCCATGATCGCCCGCAAGCTCTTGTTGGATTCGACAAGAAGCGAATCGTCTGCATGGTCACCGCAGAGCGCCGGGCCGAGCTCATCATCGCGCCCCCTTGCTTTGCGCAGGCGGCCAACAGCACCGGGGCGAACTCGTCATCACGCCACACTTCCTCAGTCCGGACCATGTCCCTTCTCGATCAGCTCGATCAGCTCGTTGACGCACTCGTCGAAGAGACTGCCTCGCCCAAACACAACGTCCTGTCAACATCGTCGACGAGCACTCATGGGGCGACCAATATCAAGACCTCCACCCCCTTCGTCATTTCCTTCTGTCTTCATCCGTAAGAGGCACGAGCTCGTAGCCGGCATACACGCCTCCTGACTCCCTCTCATCGTCATCTCGCCTATTTGTCGATGCTGGAGTCTTTGCGATATCATTGTCAGTGCTTGAGTTCTGCCTCTCCCATGTTGTCTCACCATCGACGTGGAGGCGCTCGATCGCTCAATCACGACTCCTCGCTCATCACGCCTGTCCGCATCGAAGAGACAAAAAGAGCACACGCCACCAAAGACTGAAGGGTACTCGACCGAGGGAGAAGGGCTCCTTGATGGTCGACGAGTCGAGCCGGGATCAGCCGCAGGGGTGATGAAGGTGAAGCAATGAGTTATTGTATGTGGTAAGAAAGCAAGACATGAGAGACAACAGGTGAGGAGGCGTAAACAAGGGCAGGACGGAACGGATCTGGCCAGACACGACGTTGGGGGGCCGAGCCTGCCGAGTCCTACATTGCACGGACTGCCGCACGCGCTGCCGTCGCCGCCCGTACACCTTCAATGTACTCGGCATTGACCGAGTCATCGGTGTAACGAGGTAGGCAGATGAGATCAAAAAGAGTATGAATCGCAAAGGAAAGAGGACTCTGACTCCGAGACAACAGATGTGGACGACGCGGAGCGCGTGCCACGTGACAATCGGGGTAGCCATTGCGGAACCTATCTAGTGGGCCGAAGAGCAGATGCAGGTTGTTGGTATCATACCCCAGGCGCGGCTCGATGCGACTGACGTCCGCCAGACCGAGTGGCAGCACCAGCCCAGTCGAGTCCAGGTATTCGTCCCCGCCCTTGCATCGGCGCAGCAGCAGCTTGTAGAAGGCGATGGCCTTGGCACTGCCCCCGATCTGGCTGCGGCGAGGCGCTCCTGACGTTTGTAGCGCATGGGCCCCGCGATTGGTAAACAGAGGAAGGTACTGTACGAGGGCAAGCGGGTAAGGTGACGATTTTGCGTCAGCATATCAGTGGTAGAGTAGAGGGCTGGTAAGTGTGAGCTCACACTGGTTGGAAGTTCTCCTGCAGCGTCGGCGCGACGCGAGGAGAGACATCAGGAGTGCCCAGCAAGCCGCGGTGGTCCACCGTCGTTGTAGCCTCGCTGGCGATGCGCTCAATCATGGTGGGCATTTGAGCGTTGCCTACGGACCGCCTGAGTGCTGCGCACGTCTTGCAGGACTGGACCAAGTTGGCTCGAGTGTGCTCAAGATCCAAGTCGATCCGAGACAGCGACCAGTTGAATGGGAAGTTTCCCTTGCTCAGTCGTCCCTCCGCCTTGCGCTTCTGCCTGCCATGGTCGGTCAGGGCGATGAAGGTCAGGTCGTTGCCGCAGTCCTTGCAGGTGTGGGCCTCGTCGCGAAGCAGGTATTGGTGCTCCGCCCAGATCTCCGAAAGCCGGCGCTCGTACTGTGCGCTGTGAAGCGCGTGACCCTCGGTGCGGACAGCAGCCCCGCATCTGCCCTTGACGAAGCACTCCCTCGACAGAGTCTCGGACAAGGTGCCCCGCGTAAGCCCTTTGCAGTGCTGCGTTCGGCTGGACTCTCCGAGGCCTTGCGCGCTGTTGCCGAAGAGCTTTGCCGCCTTGATGACCTTGTCTTCTGGTGAGTTGGCCCACTTGGCGATCGCCTTGACGCGCACCTCCTGCTTTTGGTCGTGCAGCTGACTCCAAGTGGGGCGCTGCGCATCGCCCTCGAGGATCGCTTCGAGCAGGTGCGTCATGTGCGTCGAGACGTAGCTTGCCCTCATGGCTGCCTTGCCCCAACGGCGAATGCCCTGCCTGATCGCAGGCAGAAAAGATGCGGTCCGCTCGAATGCTGCGCTGTCCTTGGCCGATCGCCCGGGAGTGTACGCGAGTGGCGGGAGCAGCTCGTATGGCGACTCGAAGACGTAGCCTTGCTTGCGGCGAATGGCACGACCAACGTCCTCTGAGACGCCCAGACCGTGGGGTGCACGCCGTCCTTGCTGTGTACCTTGAGGAACTGCAAGGCGAGCACGGTGAGAAGACGAGTGGTCAGGAGAGATAAGCAAATCACGATCGCACCTACTCACGGCTTCCAGCACGACGGACGGCCTCCTCTACAGCGTGATCAGCTTCTGCATCAGGAGATCCTCGTTGGTCTGCGGATCCTTGAGCCCGGCCATGTACGCCATGTTGCAGATCGCAGCACATGGTCGCCAAACGGTGTGGACCTTGCTAGCCCCGGTGTAGAAGCCCGTAAACCTCGATCTTCAGACCGGAGGGGGCTCGTTGGACGCAGCCATGATGAGCAGCTGTAGGAAGCCCATGACCTCGCAGTGACTCTCGAAGTCGTCCCAGTCACGGCAGATGACGTTCTCCGCAGTCGACATGTAAAAGAGCAGCAGCTGCGGCTCGAAGGGCATGACGAGCAGAGGGATGTCTGCCAAGGGTTGCGCGCTACCAAGCTCGGGCCATGGGTATGCTAGCAGCTTGACCCAGGCGTCGGACGTCGCATGGGAGCCCGGCTCGATCCTGCCGCCTCCGCGGTTGACGGGCACAGAGGAGTGTGCGCGAGACGAGGACGAGGACGATGCTGCTGGGAGGCTGGCGGCGAGGTGGGCGCGGGACGAGGACGAGTACGAGGCGGCGGTGGCGTCGAAGCGGGCGCGGGACGAGGACGAGGACGATGCGAACCCAGTAGCGTGGAGGCGGGCGTGCGAAGAAGAAGAAGAAGATCCAGACCCGCTTGTGAGGTCGATGTGAATTCGAAGGCGAGATGAAGAGGCAGAGGATGCAGAGCCGCTGGCGAGGTTGGCGGGTAGACGGGCGCGACTTGTGGATGAGGACGCCGCCATACCACCAGATAGACTGGCGGTGAGACGAGTGCGAGATGCATGGGACGATGGTGCGCTGGATGCTGGGCGTGATGCCGGAAGACGAGCCAGAGAGGTGGATGCGGCGGGCTGAATGGCGGCAAGACGGGCGCGAGCCGCAGATACCGAGGCGCCCAGAGTTGGGCCGCGAGCCTGCGTGGTGGACGGGGAGGCCAGAGGAGAGCTGATACTGTGGAGTCGATGGGCGGCGGGGATTGGTTTCAGCTGGCGCTCGACGTACAGCAGGGACGCTGTTCGGACGCTCACCGTCCGGCCTCCTCAATGTCGCTGTCGGACGACACGCAGCTGGCGTCCGCAGCGGTGCGTCCTCGCTTTGCAAGTCTAATGGGCTGACCACGGCTGAAAAGGGTATGGACGATTCGAGGCGACGTGACGCGAGGAGGGAGGCAGGGTGATCAGAATGGTTGTGTTCGCGTGCCGACGTGCAGCATCAGGTTGCGTTGGGAGTTGCTGCCAACACGGATACTCACCCGACGCGGTTTTGTTGTTGAGGGAGGTGAGAGGCGGCATTGTGGTAAGCGAAGTTGGTGTTGATCGGTGATGATGCAGGAACGAGGAGAAGCGCTGAGCAGTATCTTGGTGTGATAGAAGAGGTAAAGGAGGCGGCGACCTCGCGCTTGGTCCCCCACAACCGCGATAGAGACGCTCATCGACGGTGCGCTTGTTTTCTTGTCCTAGCGAATTGGGCACAACAGGAACAGTAGACTGATGGTGTTGAAGCTTCGCGAGGCCGACTTAACCGCCCAAACGTCCGTGCTCGATCATGCTCGGTCTTTTGAGCTTGTGTGTGTCTCCTTCGACTTCCTGTTGAGCTTTGGCTTGGCTAGACTTGCCTACGCTCAGACCCCTTCTTTGGGCCCATCTGGTTTCTTGAGCTCGAGCCTGTGTCTCCTTCAGCTTCCCCCTTTGGATCTATCGTTTTGAGTTGACGTGCTTCACATGATTCTTCTGTCCCTTGATCGACGGGCTTGAGTCGACGGGCTACGCACTGCTGGGAGGAGAGAAGAGAGAGGTGGTGATGGAGTGCGTGATCAGCAGGTACTCATTGACGTGCGGCGAAGTTGTGTACATGGCTACTCACCTGTCACGCCCAGCGTCCCTGTCACGGCTTCAAGCGAAGACGGCGTTGCCCCGATGCTCGGTCGAAATCGACGAGTAGAGTGAGAGTGAGATGGAGGCTAGAGGGATTGAATTGGGTGAGAAGGAGGAGGAGGAGGGGCGTACTGTAGGATGCGAGGAAGAGGTGGAATGGAGAATCTCAAGGGAGAAGAGGAGTGAGTGGTGGAGAGGCAAGATTGTAAGTCGAAGTGTGGAGCGACTTGACTCGACGACGTGATTGGCCTCACGCTGAGGCTGTGCCTGAGCATCGCACCAAAATGGCGCCTGACTTGTGCCTGAGAGCAATACTGGCAGGGCGGGTGCTCCGTGCCTCGGCTACGCTCGCGCTCACTGGTCTCCGCTGATCGAGGGCGCGGAGAAACGTCTGCCTGATCATCCAGCAGGGAGAGATGTCGGAATTGATCCCACGGAGGGACGCAATTGCCTCGCTCGTAACTCGGCAGGCTTTGAGCACCGGAGGAAAGCGGCGCGGGCCAGCAATCGCATCTGAGCGACACGCACGAGCAAGCCGCTCTCACGATCAGAAATGTTCCCCTATGCTGGACAGGTGAAGCTGAATATGAGCTTTTGCTGCGGACGCTGATGACTCTGAGGGACAACACTGTGTGGCCGAGTACCTCTCGCTTCTGATACACTGTCCCGAGCACGCCACCCGCGTCTGATCGGCTCTGTAGCACTCCGGCATTTGCGGGCCGCCCTCTGGGCCCTTTGCGCCTGACAATGAGCGAGATCGCATAGGCGTGGCGGCCCGCTGAGATTGACGGCAGGATAAAGACAGCGCGTTGTTTAGCGGGAGCGTTGTGACTGAGTCTGTAACCCAAGCCTACCGCGTTCCTGATGGCATGCTCTTTGCAGCCGAAAGTTGCTGCACCTCGTCCTTGAATTGTTCCTTAATGGCTAACAGGTGACTGAGTCCATCAATCTTGAGCAATCAGCCATACGAGAGATGGCGGCTCGAGCGTCACTGCTCCATGAAGCACCTTGCCGCCCTCGCGCTGGGTCACATTGACGAAAGCGAAGGCCGCTTGTTATGGCGGATGGTGATAGCGTTGCAACAAATCAAATGTCGCCTCAAAGCCCCGTACTGCTGGTCGGATGACAACACCCGTCATGATGGGTCATGCTGCAAAGGCTGCGACGAGCGGATCACCAGTTTGACGAAGCGTGACCATCATTTAGCCACCGCCTCAAGCCCACTCACGATCCGGACCCATCCGTGGGCGGTGCAAAGAGGACCTCCGACGTCGAGATGAAAGCCCGACGAGAAAGAATATAAAGGAGCCAACCATTGAGCCCCTCCGTCCCCCGGCAGACCTGCCACCTCACTTCGCCCCAAGATTTACCTCACCGGCATCCTCACCAACCTCAGCCTACAGCCTGCCGCCTGCCGCTATGCTATTCCTGACGCTATTCCTGCTTCCGGTGCTGCTTTTTCTGCACACGGTCTACGCCGATCACTCGACCTGCTCTTGGGTTCGCACGAAAAAGTCGCCCAGCACACTTGGCTACGTAATGTCGTGTTCAGCCAAGTACGTCTCTGATGGGCTCGAAAAGGGCCACTATGAGTGCGACACGAACACAACGAGGCAACCAGCTAATTGGGGTTTCCTGCGAAGGCACACGCTCGAGATGTGTGAGTCTTCATTCATGTCCCTCAGAGCTTCAGGTGGTGGTCTGACGTACCTACCTCGCGTTCGCAACGCCACAGCTACGCCCTGCGGCAAGCACGGCTGGGCTTTCAGCAACTACGACGGGTCCTGCCCCGGCCGCACTTTTGCGATGTGCATCAATTCCAATGCCGGCACTTGCTTCTACATGCAATCTGGTGATGACTGTGAGCCTGCACAAATACTGCACGAGCGGGAGGGATGTTACTGACCGTGTGGAGTCGCGCCTTCTTTTCGCTGTCCACAGGCGAGTGGCCGGGCGAGTTTACTCCTACCACCAAGCCCGGAGCTCTCGAGTTTTGGGTCAATGCCTAAAGGCTTGCCTCAAGAAGGCTTCGAAAGTCCGAACCGTGGCAGGTCCGCGGTAGGCTCGATGACCTCGATATGCGCTCGAGCATACTGATCGCGACTCGTCGCGATCCTCAACGCTGTGACTCCTGTTTCGTGATTGCGACCCATCCGAAAGAATGCCACTCTTATTCTATCCTTGCCTTGCTGTTGCGACGCCTTTGCTGTGCCGTGATGGAAGGGCTCGCTAGACCTTCTGCCAAGCGCGTCCGCACTGCAGCGGTGGAACTCCCCGATGTGCAGAGATGGCGCCGGTCGTAATGTTAAGGCTGCTTTCATCGTCGCTGACCCCGAATCACAGAATGCTTAGATAGCGGACCAATATCTCTCTGCGTCAGCGTTGAGGCGGCGAACGGTAAATCAACCGCAGTACGGTATGTCGCTGTCGTTCCGGCCTTTGCTGAGCGGTTCGCCCTTGTTGGTAGCGGGACGATCCAATGCTACGCTCAACCCCTTCTTTTCAACTGAAGTAGCCCCTCATGCACTCATTCAGCCCCGTGACATGTCTTGCGCACCTCTGCGCTCTGCTGCTTTTCCGTGGCGCCCTGGCCGAGCACTGGATCTGCTACTGGCAGCCTATCTACGAGGAGTCACCCGCAACGCAAGGCTACTTAAAGTACTGTACGGCAGACAAGATCCTCGATCCGGGGTACGACCAAGCTCACTACGAGTGCCAGGGGAATACTAGCTTGCGACCCGCTGACTTTGGCTACCTGAGGAGGCATATCCTTGAGCTGGGTGAGCCGAAGACGTCCCCTTGGCATCTGTGCTGCGGAGTGCTGACTGCCAACCCCCTCGTGCCGCTCTACACCGGACCAGCGACACCCTGTGGAGGTAACGGCTGGGCAATTGACTGGGAGGGGGATTGTCCTGGCCGTTCATGGGCTTATTGCAATGGCGCTTCCAGCGAGGGCGACTGTTACTACCTTCAGAGTAGAGATGACTGTGCGTGGACGCCCCGAGGGATGCAAGTGGGTCGTGCTAGGTCTGACAGACCTGCTCCTCTGCCGTTCCTGACGCAGGCGAGTGGCCCGGATACTTCACGCAAAAGTCGGCCCCCTCGACGCTCGAGATTTGGGTGAACGCCTAGCGTTGCTGAGCCGGGGATGCTCCTCACAAGCGTGAGTTGTGGGTCAGTAGCGGAGACGAGATAGCCGCTCCGCCAACACTTGACCCCGGGGACGACACCGTACGTCATGGCTCATCATCGAGACAATATTCCTTTCATTCTTCCTTTTGCTCGATCATGTGACTCTGACTTGCGTCGCCCGCCATCGCGTTGACATCTGATCTCGCTGCGTTATGACGGCTGACGTTTGGCATAAGGGGCGCGCCGTCGCCTGACTTCCTGCGTCGATACCGTGACACCTGGCCGTAGTCGATGATTCTACCGATTTGGCTTCGCCACGTCCGGTGTCGTCAGCAATGCAGGTGAGGCTCGGGATTCTCTGCCGATACCCCGGCGAGACTGTAGCGGGCAGGACCTCCGCGCCCTCGGCCAAAAAGGGTGCGCGAATGGCACAGCTCAGCAGGGCAGTGCAGAGTAACGTGGTCACCGTCAAGTCACGCCGAGAAGGGTTGCACGTAAGCTCTTGCTGACACGCCGGCATCGATGCCTAAAGTCTTTTTGCCCAGCTTGAGCGGGGCCCCGCTTGCTATGAGGATCGAGATCGAAAGGCAAAGGTGAGGCAAATCCGCCGAGGGGGCGGACGTGTCGGCGGGGTAAAGGGGAAACGCTTGACCTCGAGAGCCTTGGCGAAGGTGCAGTGAGGTGGACGAGAGGTGCGTCACTGTGATGATAGACTTGCCGCCTTGACCGTGGTGTCGTACGAGGATAAGAAGGGGCGATGAAGGGTCCCAACCAGATCGAAAGCGTAACCTTCCATCCACACTGGCACCTAGCCCCACCTGCCAACACAATGCTCGCCTTGCCCTGCCTCGTCACCTTCCTTCCCCTTCTCCTTCTTCCCCTCCTCAGCCTTGCCCTGCCCCTTCGAAGCGAGGTCGCCTCCCGCCATCACGTCCTCTGCTCCTGGACGCCCGGCCCCAAGCCCCCCAAGGCCTACGGCTTTGGCGAGCACTACGGCCAAGGCATATTGAAGAAGACCGAGAACGACACTCGAGCCCAATACTGGAAGGGCAAGAGCATGATCGCCGACTGGAACTACCTGGGAAACAAGAAGCTGGAGATGGGTGAGTGGTGGGCAGCAGTGGGAACAGCGTTGGCGCTGACCACCAGACCATTTGCTCACCTCTTTGCTCGCAGCCAAGCCGTGTGACATAGGGGGATACGCATTTAATCGTATAGGTGGCTGTGACGCCTCCGCTTTCTCTCTCTGCTTGAATGATGCGGGGCCTTCCCAGCCTACCATTAATTGTCGCTACCTAGGGGAGGGCGATGATTGTACGTCTACGCGCGCGTCACCGTCGATCAGCGTTGGGCTGACACACACCTCCGTGCTTTTCCCATCCGAGCTAGGCGAGTGGCCAGACAAGTTCGAGATGCACGAGCTGCCGACCATAATCGACATCTGGGCCAAGTCCAGGCATTGGTGAACGGCAGCCCGATTGGGGGCTGACTGGGATGCATATCACATTCGCAGCGAGGAAGACAAGTGAGGCGGAAGTGAGAAGAGCCTGCCCGTTCGTCAGTCGCTGAAAGTAGTCGGAGTCAGAGTCTATGTTCCGTGACCTGGCGTAGTATTATGTGTCTGCAAGAGGGCGTGTAGCAAGACGGCGAGACTATGATGACGAGGATGATTGGCCGTTTTGTCGATCTTGTCTCTGCCCATCCTCACGGTCATTCCCACCCTCACCCTCTCCTTCCTCCTCATCCCGATAACCATCCCCATTCTCTTGTTGCTCGCGCTGCTCCGCCTGTTGTTGCTGTTTGCGCTCCAGCTTCTTGGCCTCTGCCCTGCCAAATCTGGCTAGGAGGAGCAGTTGAGCTACTCCGACCATCGTGGCCGCAACGTTGGGTCCGGCAATGAACCAGTCATTGATGGCTGCACCGTACACGGACCAGATGGCGCCATTGACTGTGACCGACGTAACGAGGAGGGGCACGAGTGGCGAGGCGTCCTTGTTGACGATGATGGTGCGGAGCTGCGCAAGAGGGAAGAGGAAGAAGAGGTACTGGTAGACGTTGAATGTGACGCCTGGTGTCCAGAGAAGGTGGGGACCGAGAATGTGTCAGGGGTCGTGTGACACTGTCACGCTCAATGCTGCCGTCGCTTACTCACCTAACAGCTTGTATGACCAAGCCACCTGCACAATCTCCTTGAGCCCCAAGTTGATAATGACAATCGCGATGCTTCCTAGCGCAACCGTGAGGATGGTAGCAATCTGCGCCGTAGGCAGATCCTTGGCGCGGAGGATGCACATGAACGAGAAGCCTACGGCGCATACAGCCGGTGCGTTGCTGGCGTACATGTAGGGATTGCGAATGGCGAGCGAATAGACGAACGTATGCATCGCAGAGCCAAACATGATGACGATGGGCATCGGGTCTGTGGGTCCTAGTGTGCCTGTGGAAAGGATGTTGACAAATGTGGGTACGGGCGAGAAGGCCATGACGTTGGCTAGCACGACTCCCACCAACGGAAAGGCTGTGGCTTGGATGAAGGGCCACCACGAGTCTGCTGGTGGAGACGTGGGAGGGTGCGGCGTCTCCATGGCTGACGGTGAAGAGATGAGGTCGAGGAGACCGGCGCCACTACTACCGCCTGCTGCAGGGAGCCAGGCGTTCTGATGGGCAAAGGCTGGCATGATGAAAGCGCAGTCGGAAGAGGCAAGTGGTCTAGAGTAGGTGGGCCGGGCGGCGGTAGCTTTGATGAAGCGCGGTAGCCGTGGTGGCTTGACAAGGAGAATAGAAGGGGATGTTTGACAGCTTCGACTCTCGATGAAAGGGCCGAGACACGAAGGCGATGAGTTGCTCGATCCCCCTCGTCTCACTCGTCTCGTCTGGCTCTGGTTGGTCAGGAATCGAGGGCGGCGGCGGTCTGAGCTTGAAATTGGGCGATGCCTCCACGCACGCGAGCGTCAAGGCTGCATTTGGATCGGCGGGCGGCGTTGGCGGAGTGCGGCACGCGGCAGCGGCTGGACGGATAGCCATCGCCGGGGGGGGTCCAAAGGTCAAAGGTCGAGCTCAAAATGGCGGCACAGCCTTGACTTCTTCCTCATCTTTTTCCACCCAGTCCCACTCCACGACACAGACAACGAGATCGGTGCTGATGAGCGACGCTGCGTCGTCCTCTTCCTCCTCCGGCAAATGGGGGAAATGGGGCCGCTCCGCCTTCGACAAGTCGATCAAGCTCTCCGACTGGGCATCCGGATATGCCAATGCCGGCGCAGCAAAGATTGGTGCTGAGCGCTTCTGGCCAAGGTCAAATGATACCGAGGAGGAGATTGCAAAGTGTGAGCGTATTCTGAGGGCTTTCACGGTGGACGGCATCACAGCCAAGGATGAGAAGGAGGAGGAAGTCGCAGACGGCAAGGGTGAGTGAGGCAGCCAGCCAGCCAGCCAGCCAGCAGGCAAAGCTACGATGCTGCTGCTGACCACCTTCTGACTCAACACCACGCCAGGCAACATCATCAAGAAGAAGCGAAAAGTGCTCAAGAAGATCCCTCCCGCCGCGATTCGCAACGCCAAGGGGATCGTCATCTATACAGCGATGCGCAGCGGCATCGCTCCCTTCGGCGGGGCCGGCGGCACGGGCTTGATGATGGCCCGCCTATCTGATGGCTCCTGGTCGGCGCCCAACAGCGTTTCTCCCAACAATCTGGCTGTCGGTCTACTGCTGGGCTTCGACGTATTCAATGTCATCCTGCTACTCAACACAGAAAAGGCAGTCAACAGCTTCAAGACGTTAGCCAAGGTCACCATGGGCGCCGAAATGGCCATCGCAGCTGGTCCAATGGGGGCGGGGACTAGCGCTGAGACTGGGATTGACCGTGCGCCCATCTACTCGTATGTGCAGAGCAGAGGGCTGTATGCTGGAGTGGAGGCAATGGCGCAAGCGTTCCTCTGTCGCTTCGATGAGAATGAGCGATTCTACTACTGGCCAGGGATCAAGGCGGTTGATATTCTGGAGGGTAAGGTACGCATTCCGCCTAGCGTATACCCGCTCCATAGAGCATTAAAGGACGCAGAGACAGGAGCGGCGCAAGGAGGAAAGCTGGAGAGGACTGTGTACGATGTGGTCAAGGTGCCGGAGAGTGAGGTCATTTCGCGCATCAATGGTTACAAGCCCTCCCCCAAGCCCAGCAGGAGGCCAAGCCATCACGGTGAGGGAACTGCAGATGGAGAGGCGCAAGTCCACGATGGCGACGCTGCTGCGGATGAAGGTCAAGAGCTTGAATTGCCCGACGAAGACGAGGACATGCTACACGACGGGGAGCGGCTTCGCCTCCCTCCGACCCCTGCAGAGCTCGAAGCCCTTGAAGCTGCCGGCATCCCCGATGAGGAAGACATCCGCCTCGAACAGCAAGAACGCGCCGCCGTCTACAGGCTGGAACCCCCTCCCATGCATCACAAAATCCGCACCCACTGGGATCAACACCCGACGAAGAGGCGTTTGAGGCCCACGCGGCAGTTGGTGCAAGGTGGGGTCTGGGGTGCGAGGGCGAGAGAAGACCCGGCGAATGTGCCCCTCCCTCCGAGCCCGTGGGAAGTGCCACTGCCGCCGAGTCCGGAGCTGAGGGTTGAAGAGCTTGACGAGGTGGATGGGAAAGAGAAGGCGGCGTTCCTGCCACCGCCGGTCAGAACGGTTGGAGGTGCAAGTCCGAGGCGGAGCGTGGCAGCTGACGCGGCCAGCGAGGCCAGCGGTAGCAGTCATACTCCGATCCTTCCACCGCCGCGACGACAAGATGGCAAAGGTGCAGGCGCACCCGCCACCACGACCCAGGATACCGCAGACAATCCAAATGAAGTAGCTCGTGGTGAGGCGGCAGAGCTTGATGGCAACGACAGCCCTGCGCCTATTGAGCACTCGGCCGAGTCTATGCCCGGGGCCGCACCATCACCGGGCGCCCGCGAGGAAGGCGAGGAGACTGAGGTCCCCGTCGCATCGAACGTGGAGAGTGAGTCCCAGGCGGATGCCGTGATGGAAGCGGCCGCAGCTGGCGAGGTCACTGAGGAATCACAGCCAGAGACGATTGCAGCCGTGGCGGCGGAAGGTGATGTCGAGCCTGAGCCGACCAGCGCAGAGAAGCAGCCACTGCAGCAAGAGGACAAGCCGACGCCTGAAGAGGATACCCCTGCGACACCTCAATCACCGATGCCAGCATCAACCGGCGTTTCGCGAGCCTCTTCCGTCAACAGTGGGATTCTTCCACCGCCGCCGAGGAGACCGCCCAGGTCGAGAGGTGGACCACCTACTTCGAAGGCCTGAGCATGAGGGGAGTCATTCTGGACAATATGTAGACGGACAAGCAGAGCAGGCAATGCTGTGTATAAATGCAGGGATTCGACGGGGCCCCCCAAGCAGCCGCTTGTGCTATATCGTCGTCCAAGCATCATTTGCATTAATCTATTCCTGAGTCGAAGTTCATGCTCAACTGCGCTGCAGAGCGTGCGCATAGAGTCCTACTCTCTTCTCGCCGGCGCGTTTGCCGTAGGTAAAAGTCTTCTACTAGCCTCGTCGATCCAGACTCTCTGCCTTGCCAGCCAAAATGTTCCTCGCACCATCGGCGTCCCCCACACCATCCCCAGGAACAGCATTAGCGTTTCTCGTGCCCCATACCCCGCATCGAGGATCGCTGGATCGTGATCCCAGCTCAACCTACCGCCCGGCAAGAGGTTGGCCGGGGATCGGGCCTGGTGCGCGGCGTGGTGGAGGCGGGAAAGGTGGAGAGTGAGGAGGACATGTGGTATTAAGGGTAGCCCGAGGCTGATCGATGGTGGAATGGGGAGAAGAGAGGATGAGGGCAGATGCGAGAGGACGAGGCAGGTCAGGGTCAAGATGAAGGGGAGAGATTCGGTGTAGGCGAGGAGAATGACCAGGAGGCAGGAGACCTGTGGGGCGAGGGATTAATCAGTCGAGCAGTCTTGCATGAGGTAGGCGAGTTCCACTCACTGCAGCGACTGCGAGTGTGTATCGCTTCTCCTGTTCTGACGGTCGTGTCGGTGTTGCTCCTTTGGCGCGACCGAGGTGGGAGAGCAAGGCGAGGTACGCGGTCGCGAACGCCAAGAAGGCCAGCAGTACTGCCAGAATGGTACAGAGACCCGTGAGGGCAGAGAGGAAGGCCTTGACCATGATGATGGACCTCGACTTAAGCCACAGATCTATCGTTGACCCTGATCCTCCTTGGTGCTTGAGGGGCGTTGCAAGGCGCGTTGCGTTGGCTTGAGCAGGCGTGGGTCAAGCGAAATCGGCTGGCTGGGCGAGAGCGGGCTGAGCGGGCTGCCGGCTGACGAGTGGACGGAGGTGCAGGCAGCATCGAGGCAGACGAGGGTTCGGCGCGGAGGCGGAGGCCGCGGGCGAGGCCAGTCGCGAGACGAGGGTGCGAGTCGAGACAAAGGTGCGACGCTCGTCTGTGTGTGTGTTCCTTACCGTCTCACTCGTCTTCATCATCATCATCACCCAGGGCGCCACAATCAGCATAAACCCATCACACACCAGCACCAGAGCATCTTGATTGCCTGAGAAGCATCGAGCGCTGGTCATCATGCCAGGTGAGTGGGCGGAGACAAGGGTCCAAGGACGGCGCATTGTTTTGTCTGACTCGCTCTCTTCTCCACTCGTACATGCCCTCGTCTCCTCCGCCAGGTCTACGTCCAGGCCTGTGAGTTGCGTGTCGCTCCAATGGTGTACATGGTATCTCAGCTCACAGTCACGCCTCCCTTGCATTGCAACCACAGTGACACATCAGCAGGCAATGCCGAGTCAACAGCCGAATCGACGGCTGATGGGGCCAACACGCATGGGGTGTGTAGCATACAGGCAGCGCTTCCCACCCTCACTCATGTCAATCCAGCTCACATTCCTTTCCTCACATGCCCACAGGTCGTCAACTGCCATCCAGCAGCTAGCGCTGCCTCCGCCTCCTCATCATCGCAACAACAGGCCCCCTCCTCGTCGTCATCCTCCACAATATGGCCCTTCAAAGTAGGCATCGCAGAAGACCGGAACAAACGCTGGCGCCGAACAATGGAAGACTCTCATGCCTTCGTCTACTCTTTCGGTGGGGTCCACGGGCAAGGATACTTCTCCATCTTCGACGGCCACGCCGGTAAACATGCAGCAGAGTGGTGCGGTCAACATTTTCACGAGTACCTCACACAGGCCCTCATCTCCTCCAATGATGCGGGTGAAGCCGTGCCCGACGTCATGAACAGGACCTACCATGATGTCGATCGTGAGCTGGAGCAACTGGCGCAGGATCAGGGAAGCAGCAGTGGATGCACGGCGGTCACCTGCTTCTTGAGGTTGGAGGATGAGCAGGGTAGACCCATCGCGCATCCTAAGACGGGCGGGGTCAATCCGGCAAGTGCAAACAAGGGTCAGACCAAGATTGGAGGCTCAGCTGCAGACGGGGACGAGCAGGCAGCGTCCACTTCGTCGCCCCCGTCATCATCGCCGCCGCCCAGCTCATCAAGCAGCACGGGCGGCCTGCTGAGCTCCTTTGCGAAGCGACTACGACATGGCTCGTCCGGCGGTGCCACGAGCGAAGAACGCGCAGAGGCCAGTGCAGCAGTCAACTCTTCTTCATCATCCTCTTCACCCGGACAGCAAGCAGCGGTCGAAAGTAGCAAGGCTGAGCCCAGCACTGCTGTGGATCCCTCCTCCTCCTCTTCGTCACCATCCGACGGGCTGACTCACCCTGCAACGACCAGCAAAACGCGCCGCGTCCTCTACACAGCCAACGTCGGCGACGCCCGAGCCGTCCTCTGCCGGCGAGGCCATGCCGTCCGCCTTACGTACGACCACAAAGCCAGCGACTCAGCCGAAGCGAAGCGCATAACGGACGCGGGCGGTTTCGTCATGAACAACCGAGTCAACGCCGTCCTAGCCGTCACTCGCTCTCTTGGCGACTCAGCAATGAAGGAATTCGTCGTAGGTGCCCCTTACACTACAGAGACGACCCTAGGGGAGGAAGACGAGTTCCTCATCGTGGCCTGCGATGGGCTGTGGGACGTTACGGATGATCAGGATGCTATTGATCTGGTGAAAGGGGTGGTCGACCCGCAGGAGGCGGCGCAGCGTTTGTTGGGACATGCGTTGAGCAACTTTTCGACGGACAATACGAGCGTCATGGTGGTGAGGTTCAATGCTGATGGGAGTAATGGAGCTCAAACGCGCGTAGGGGCTGCTGAGGCTAGGGCAAAGGCGAAAGCGGCCGCAAAAGCTTCGAGGGGTGCTGCGGCAGGAGGGGAGAGCGATGAGCCTAGTAGTGCGGGGTCTAGCGAGGATAGCTTGGGAGGAGGCGTTAATGCCCCACCGACGGATGAGGGGGAGGCAGTTCTGGAGGGGAGGGCGTGAGGGGCAGCCATTGATGATACACGTGAAGGGAGGCATGGCTGATTGGTGGGGCGGATTCATTTTCATCTAACGATCGTTTCAATGCATGGATGTGTAGCTTCGTCGTCAGCGGATTGTCAGCGTGAGACCTCGAGCTGCGATATGACTGCATGGAGATGTGGAGACGATGCAGGACGATCATGCGATGTCATGGAAGCACGACTGCGAAGATGTAACTGTGGATGGTATTGATTTGATGTGGAGTTGTCGGTCTCGAGAGACAGAGATCATAGGGAGAATCTGTAAGGTGACACAGGTATGGATTGATGGCGGAGCTAAGGTTGATAGTCGCTGGTAGTCGATGGTGTTAGATGGGTATGGTTTAATTTGCCGCGTGTCATGGCCTTGTCGTGTGCTCGAGAACTTGCCGCCCGGGCTAGTTGAGCCTCTTGGTCGTCACTGTCGTCGTCAAAGTGTCGAGGCTCTGCGTGGCCAGACTAGGCGACCCCGCATCCACTCTGAGCACTAGCTGCCAGTTCACGAGCCTTGGCGTCAGACTCGTCTTCTTTGCTCTTGACCTCTGGATCGTCTTGCGTTGCCTTGCCATTGGCGCTGACAGCAATAGCGTCGTTTGCAGCAGAGATAGCGCCATCATGGACGACAGCGGGGTCGACTGGCTTCTTGACGAGCACAGTAGGCGAGACGCAGGTGAGAGGCTCGGAGTTGGCTCGGTTGGTGAGGTTGGCTAGAGCCATGAGGGCTCTGACATTGCTGATGCTGTGAGCTGGCCCTGCAAATTCAGAAGTGGTGCTAGTGATGAGTGCGGCTTGAGTGATAGTCTTGGGTGCTTCAGTTTGGAGTGCTAGCCTAGGCTGAGGAAGCAGATCGGCAGCAGGGGCGGGCGGTGGAGGTAGGGGCAGAGAAGTAGCAGGACCTTGTTGAACGCCGTTGCTGCTGCTGGCTACGCCGCTGCCACTGCCGTTTGCGCTGCCATTGATGAGCGCTGGGTGGTCGATAGGAGAGTAAAAGGTAGGTGGTCCAGCGCCGCCATGGACCTGTGAGCTCTCGGGGATCGAGATCTTCGCGCGCTTGCGGGACTTGGCCTCTTCGTTTGGGCTGGCGTTGGAGCTAGTGGTCGACTGAGTGGTAGGGCTGACGTCTTGAGCAGTCACAGATTTGACGAGTGTTATGGCCTGCTCCTTGAAGGTGTTCTGGAGGTGTGCGGTTGGATGCAGGTGGGCGTACGTATCAAAGGCCGTGTTGAGCCTGCTGAGTGCGAGCTCTGTGCCTAGGGGGCTAAACTCCTTTGCGTGCGAGCGAGCGAAGGGTCAAGGAGCATGTTGTCAGCATCACAGCCTTGCCTATCATCTTCACGTGCTCACCGGCACTCACCCCAGTTGTGGGAAAATTCTGAACATTGTGAGGCGTGCGACGACGGCAGCAGGCGATTGCAATGAAGCGCCAAAAGTCAGCAGGGAAAAGATAGCCTTGATGAAGGGCAGCATTCCAGGTGGCCGGGATGTGAGGCAAAGGATGGTTGCTCTCCTTGTGCTGTTTGAGTAGCCAGGCATTGGCGCCGCGTATGAGCCACTCCTCGTCGTTGCGACGGCGATCGTCCGACTTGAGGGCACCTTGCTTGGGGAGCTGAGTCGACATCTTGGCTAGATGAGCGCTCCCTCAGCAGCTGTCCCTGCCCGCACGCAGGGACGACGCCTGTTGAAGGCGATGATGTTCAGAAGAAGGGTGGTAGGTGACGGCAGGACGATGACCGCCTGAGGTCAATCGTATTTCAGCTGTCACGAAGGGTGAGGAGCGAAGCCAAGAAGGCAGGGCCATCCATCTGCTTGCCAAAATCAAGGCTGCTTCTGCTCGACTCGCTCGCTGCCTCCACCGCGGGGGGTCGGAAAGAGCGACGCGACTGGCCTTGCTTGACCCTTGGCTTGCCTCTGCCCGCTTCAATCACATTACCCACCATCAGCAGCCATGTCCTTCGACTCGCCCCTCTCGCGCGACTTCCCTTCTACCTCTTCACTCACACGAGAAGACCTCGAAGATCTTCTCGCCTCTGCCAATGGACAGGGAGGAGACGGCGGCGCCTACTTTGATGCCTTTGTCCATTCACTGCCGGAGGTGAAGGCGATGCGTGATGAGCATGTAGCACTGGTCAAGGGATGTGAGGAGAGGGCTGGTGAGTAGTAGCGAGATGATTGTGGGGGCGGCGACGATACCATGCATTGCTGACAATCGTGATACGCTCGCCAGCCCGCAATCTAGCAATGCAACCCCACCTCGAGTCGCTGCGAAGAGAGACACAAGAATACTACGATCGGGCAGTGGCTGCGCAGTCAGCTTGGCCGGGCGTCGAGGCTGAGATGAGGGAGCAACATCGGGTAAGCAGACAACAGTATGTCACTGACTGACCGACACCAGCTGATCTCAACCGCCCCGCATCTCAGCGCTTCGCCCCCTCCTACCTGCATGCTCAAGTCGTTCAAAAGGCCTCCAAGCTCCATGAGGAGTCCGAATCGCTGGCAGCGGCTTTCGTCGAGGAAGGGGTTGTCCTGCCTTCCACGTCGACCTCATCCACACCGCCCGAGGGCGGTCAGCAACAGCAGCAAAGCGGCGCGAAGCAGGACGATGACGCCCTCTTTATCAGGCGATACAGGGAGATGCGGACAGATTATCATCGCTTGAATATGGTGGCGGATCAGTGGGCGAAAGGGAGGGTGCAATGGGAGTAGCGCGGTGCGAGATACGTTTGCATGCAATACCAGATTGACCAGGATAGAGGAGATACAGATACGAGTGGTAGTAGTGGTGGTAGTGTAGTGCAAGCGTCTCGCTGCTCCCCTCGCCTCTCCTCCCTTCTCACCCTGAGAGCCCATCCCATCTCTACGCTCCTTCCGTCACAGTGTCTACTTCTTGTCCCCTCCCGGTCCTCCCTGCTGAGCAGCTTGCGCCGCCTGGTCAAATTGCTTGCCCGACAAGAGGTCAAACACGCTAAACTTCATGTTGGCCATCTGCTTCTCCTGCTCCTCCTTCGCCGCCTTCCTCATCGCCTCGCCATTCTCCGCCCAGTACTTCTGCTCTTCGACATACTGCTGGCGGAACCTGTCTTGCTCCTGTTCAAACAGCGTCTTGGGCGGGCCATGGGCGCCACCCTGTGCTGAGGGGCTGCTCGAGCCCTTGATTCCAGAAAAGAGACTACCCCAGCTACTGCTGCTGCCGCTGGGCTTGGAGCCAGAGGCCTGCCATTCGGCAAGACGACGCTGCTTGTCTTCTCGCTGTTTGCGGGCAAACTCTTCTGGGAGGTATTGGCCCTCGTAGTTCTTCAGCACCGGCCTGACATCAGCGATGTTGTAGATGGCAATTGCCTCGAGGAAGCTCAGCACGTCGAGTAACTCGGTGTCCTTCCTGTCCCCCTGCCACTTCTTGAGTTCGACTCCATTCTCCGGGTGCAGCGCGTATTTGCTCTTGTCGGTGTCCAGGACCAGTACCTTTGACAGGTCGCGATTCAATGCTGACAGATCCTTGACGATCTGGCCATTAGGAAGAGTGCGGCATGACTCGCGGAAGAGCATGTACGCAATGAATCGGCGATCAGGGTCCAGCTTCTCAATGATGGGGCCAACAGCGTAGAATGGCTGGCTGGTGTACAGGACAATCTCCCAGAACTGGCTGAGGTAGCCCAGGAAGTAGTCGAGCCCTGGACGTTTAGCTGTACGCCAGCCATGCTCTCTTGTCCAGTGGCTGTGCACGAGCAAGTCGTCCAAGTCGACCACCAAGGTGTAAGGGCGTTGATATGGGTCCGGCAAGGGGTCGGGAAGGAGCTTCTCCCACACAGGAGCGTTAAAGTCGTCATAAGCCGCTTTCAGCCTCAGCTTGATCCTGCCAAGGGCATTGGAGCTGGACGGGTCTGAGGCGAAACGTTCACGATCCTTGACTGTGTCCCAATCACGCCCAAGTAGGGCCAGCTGATAGCCCCCGAAACCCAGCATGCCAAGGAAGGCGAGGCGATACCAGTTTCTGCGGGACTTTTCGATGGAAGACTGAGGACGATCTGATCTCGCACGCGCGCCCGTGCGACCACCCTTTGAGCCACTGCCTTCGTCGGGGATGGTAGCTAGCGTTGTGTCGATATCGAAGGCAGAAAGGCCGCGAGGGCGCTGGGTTGCTGGCGTAGAGGTGGAAGCATCCTCCTTGGCCGCCGCCGGGTCGACCTTGTCGGCTGATTGCTCCTCGTCGCTGCGAGGAGGCGGCGGCGGCGGCTTGGGCGGAGGAGGCCCTTGTGAGGCAAAGGACCGTCTTGAAAGGATGGTGTATGCTGATGAAGAGGCAGGGCGAGCCATGCCCCTTGCTATCGCATGTGAGGCTGCGGGTAACATGGTGATGTGGGGTTCGACGAGGATGACGAAAGGAAGCTGCCGAGCAAGTCGACTTTTCGACGGACGGGCGGCACAAAGGCCGTCGGCGCGCGGACAAACAGTCGTGGCCGGACAGAGCTGAGCGAGGCGAGCCATTGAGCGTGGGCGCATGATTGCGAGTCGTTCGACATTGCCGCCGCTTCCTCCCTTCCTATCACCACACGCCCCTCTAGTCTATCATCGCTGGTGAGCCATGGTTCGCGGGCACGCAAAAGCACAAGCGCAAGCTGCTGCTCAGAAGAAGGCCGCAGGAGGTAAAGGAACAGGCAAGAGTCAGCTGGGAGAGGCCAGAGCGGCAGGGTTGAGGACGTTCATGTGTAAGAAGTGCTTGATTGGCATTCCAGTGGGTAGCGGCCCAGAGAGGCGGAGGGGCAGGGAACACATCATGCTGACAATGCCAATCGCTCACAAACAGTCATACAAGATCCTCGTCGTTCATTACGAATCCAAGCATCCAAAGGACCCAGTCCCCTCGGAGGAGAGTTTTGCTACAAAGGCCTAGACGAGAGCGCAACACAATACGATACGATACCCCGTTACATCCTCTACCTACGCTCACGTCTGCATTGCCGCCGCCTTGAATGCCTCAATCGCCTGTCGGCAGCCATGCTCAAACTCCCACGCCTGCCCCCCATCCCCTCCTTCCCTCTTCCAAGCCTCAGCACGCTGCTTGGCCCATTGGCCTCTAAAACCAATCAGGCTCTCCGAGGCTTGCGCAAAGGCCACTGAGTCCTTCCAGCCTTGCTCGAAGCCCTGCGCAAAGGCGGCGTGGTCTCCCTTGGCACCTTTGCTATTCCAGTAGTTGGCATGACCTGAGAAAGCAGCATCTTGCGCCTGCTTGCCCTTGCCTGGAACATCACTGCCCAGCAGCTTGGCGAGGGAAGGTCTGCCCATTCTAGCAGGCAGGACGCCTTGCTCGAGTGCAGTGTAGAGACACCAACCTGCATCAGGCTTCCCTTCCTTCTTCAGCGTCCAGTACATGCTGCCTCCGCATCCACTCTGCGTGTATGCAGCCATCTGTGCCTGACCCCACTGTCGCTGCGCCTCTCCTTGGTCCTGCCCCTGCAGTGAACCAGGATTCAGAGCAGAGGACCATTCGCCTATGATGAGCGACCCACCGAGCTGGGAGGCGGCTCCGCTTAGCATGTTCCAGGTGGGACCACCTCCGCCTGGCTGACAGCGCTTGGCGTGCTCTGTGGCTGGAGTGGAGTGGTCTTGTGGGGTGAAGCAACGATACAGGTGGTGATCGACGACGATGAAGTTGCCTGCGTTGGATTGAGAGGCAGCCCAGCCAGAGTAGTGGGAGAGGTCCCTGCCAGCGTGGAGCGGTGAAGAGAGTCAGGTCTGCTTCGCTTCCCATTGCGGCCTGTGTCGCTGCGGCTACTCACCAAGAGTCGCTAACATAAAGCGGCATGTCACTGCCCTTCCCCCGAATCGCCTTGATAGCCTCCTCATAGAAGCCCTGCAAGCGTCCACTATTCTTGGGCTCATTGAGCAGCTCTACGCCCACCACGTTCTCAAATTGCTGCACCTCTCCCACGAGCGCCACAAGAATCTCAATTGTCTTCCTCTGCTTATCTTTGCTATCCCACAACCCCGCCTTTCCCCCTGACAGGCCTGAGTGACCCTCACCATTCTGCGCCCCTGGCGCGCCATGCAGGTCGATGAGGACGCCGATGTCATATTTGGCGGCCGTCTGAATAGCGGCAACGACGCGCTGCCAGGCTGCAGTGTAGGCAGGGGCGTACTTCTCGTACTCGGTGCGCGACATGAGGGAGGAGGAGGAGGGGGAGCCGGGAAGGAGGTGATAGTAGGCGAGTGGGAGACGCACCGTATTGATGCCTTGAGCGGACATCCACTGCGAGCGGGAGCAGAATGTCAGCCCATCGTGATGCGGCTCTCATCCTTCTTCTCCCTCACGGCTCACCTTCCAATCCCCTTCATTCACCCACCCATCCCAATGCTTCTCCAGTACCTCTCTCGCCTTCTCCGGTCCAAGCTTCTCGAGCAAATCCATCTCGCTTCCCTTTGGTGCCCCATTCTGGTCAAAGATGGATGGAGAGAGCCATCCTTCTAGACTGAACCATGATCCGAGGTTGACGCCTGCCTGCTCTCGGTAGCGATAGAGCTGGGTGCAGGAGGGTGGGGAGGAGAGGGAGGGAGGAGGAGCGCCGGAAGACGCTGAGGGAGAGGAGCTGGAGCTGTCCAGCTTGGACTCGAGTTTGCCTAGGAACTGCGGAAGGAAGGTGTGATCAGCTGACGCGGCGATAGGGATACAGCAGGCGTACTCTTACCTTCTTCATGGTTGAGAGTTGTTCCAGGGAAGGATACTGTACAATGAGGGCGAAGCGGTCACTTCTTCTATTCTTGTCCCGGCGTAGCCCCGCACCGCCATGTGGAGGCCGGGCAGGACCCTTGCCGCCGTTTCTCACGCACCGCCCTCGTAAATCCCAGGAGCTCAATGGTGAGCGATGACGATGAATAGCAAGACAAGTGAGGCTGAGAGGATGATACAATGTGCACGAGTACAGAGAGTCAGTGTCTTCTTGCGTTGCGAGCTGCTGCCCGACTTCTTGCCCGCTCAGAGCTGAGCAGCAACCAAATCTCGATACCTTCCCCCGCGCTTAAGCAGCTCCTCATGCCCCCCACTTTCGACGATGTCCCCCTCCTCGACCACATGAATCACGTCCGCATTCCGAATCGTACTGAGGCGATGCGCAATAGTCACCGTTGTTCTCCCCACGCTCGCCCTGTCCAATGCCCGTTGGACGCTCTTCTCGCTCGTGGCATCGAGCGCACTGGTAGCCTCGTCGAGCAACAGCAGCGGTGCATCGCGCAGGATAGCACGGGCGATGCACAGCCTCTGCTTCTGACCGCCACTCAATTGCGCCCCCTTCATGCCAATATCCGTCTCCAGGCCCTGCGGGAGAGTGCGGACAAAGTCCAGTATGCACGCCTGCTCCAAGGCGCTCTCAATGGCTTCATCGCTCACGCTCGTCGGGTCTTGCGCTCCCAGCGCAATATTCCACCTCAGCGGGCCCTCGAACAAGACCGGGTCCTGCGAGACGTATGCGATGCCCGCTCGGAGGCTCTCGATGGACATGGAGCGCGAGTCCACCCCACCGAAGGTAATCGTTCCGCGCGTGGGATCGTAGAAGCGCTCGATGAGCGAGAGGATCGAGGACTTGCCGCTGCCTGATGTACCGCAGAATGCTACGTTGGTCCCGCTTTGGATAGTGAGGTCCAGAGAGCGGAGCGCTGCGTGCTGCGGACGTTGTGGGTAGCGCATCTCTACGCGAGAGAAGACGATGTCCCCGCGTGTGGCGGAAGTGGCCACATCGGATTCCGACTGCTTCTCTGTCGTGGTGCTCGTGACTGTGGTTGGCTCGATCATAGCCACCTTGGGCTTACGTACGAGCCAAGCCTGAATTTGTCCAAAGGATGAGTACGCTCTCGAATAATCGCCGATGTACGTGAAGAGCCTACCAGCACTGAAGGCTCCAATAATGACCGCCTCGAACACAGCGTAGAGCTGCGAGATGCCCAGCTCATCTTCGCTCAGCAGCTTGCCGCCCCAGTAGAAGACGAGCGCACTCAAGAAGAGCACCATCGCCTGCCCCGTCGCAAAGCCCAGTGCTCCCAGAGCGAGAAATTTGTAACGATGTGGGTCCGACCGTGACTCGGAGTCAAACGTGCGCATCACCTCCGACTCCCGGCCAAGTGCTGATACCGTACGAACTCCATCCATCACCTCGCTGATGTACGCCGCAGCCTTGCCAGAGGGCTTGGACGCCATAGTCTCGTACCGCTCGAGCGCTGCCACCTCTGCAAAGCCGGCGACGAAGAGTACGAAGACGGGAGCGAGGCAGACCAGCGTCGCCTTCCAGCTCAGCACCAGTCCAAGTATGAGGGAGCCGAGCAGATTCGTCAAGCTTAGGATGACCTGAGAAAGAATGAGACCGGTGGCTGCTCCAACATTGGAGGGGTGAGAGGAGACGGCGGACGTGAGAGCGCCGCTGGCTGACTCCTCCTGGTCGAAGAAGCCGATCTCCTGGCGCAATAAAGCGCGCAGCCCATCCACTTTGAGCTTGCGTACCACGCTCTCGCTGGCCAGCTCCAGGAAGAAGGCGTTCACCAGGAAGATGACTAGATCGGCGAGGGCAAGGATGAAGAAGTAGAGCGCCCAGGCGTCACTCTGTCTGCGCAGCTCTCTGTTGTTTCCTTCGATGCTAAGGCTGTCGACCGCTCGGCCCGTCAAGTAGCCAGCGACGGGAAAGGAGCCGCCGCCTATGATGGCGCCGAGGATACCGACCAGGAAGAACCACTTGCGGTGCGCCAAAATTCGGAAGAGGGCCCGCATTCGTGGTCGAGGGGCAGGTTCTTTCTTGTCGCCTCCGAGGGCCTCCTCCTCTTGTGCTGCTGCACCATCTTGCTCCTTTGCTGAGAGGACGCGAGTGATACCGGCCGCATCCTGTGCGGTGGAAGGGCCAGCAATAGCTTGTGCGTCGGCTGCGACAGCTTTGGCGGTGTGCTCTGGGTGGCTTGCCCCTCGTCCGGAGAAGGAAGACGGGAGACGCTTGAGCGGATTTGACGAAGACGCTGTCGACGTGAGTGACGGCTTTCGTGCGTCTAGCGTACCCCTGCCGTGACGCCCCTCTCCCCGCCCATCGATGGCAGTCGACGTCGCTAGCGTGGAGACCGACGTGCGCCTCTTTGGGGACGGGTCGTCCACCTCAGTCACCGCAGCTTGCTGGGCAAGCGCCATCTCGCGGAAGGTCTGATCGTCTCTTTCCTCGCGCATCAACTCGTCGTACGTGCCCTGGTCGCGAACTTCCCCTTTCGCCATGACAACAATCTTGTCCGCCTCCCTGATGGTTGACAAGCGATGCGCAATGAGCACAAGCGTCATGCCGCGCTTCTTCTGCTCCTCTTGTAGCATCACCTTGATCCTATCCTCAGTCGCCGAGTCGAGCGCAGATGTCCCCTCATCCAGAATCAAGACCTCCGGCTCCCTGACAAGGGCACGAGCGATTGCGACTCTTTGCCTCTGCCCGCCGGAAAGCAATCCCACCCTTCCACCAGAAACGACCGTATCAATCCCCTGCGGCAGCTTTTCGACGAAATGCCACGCATCGGCCTTCTTGAGCGCCTCGATGCAGCGCGGACGTGCTTCGTCTGGTGAGATGCCCTCGCGTAGGCCGGCAGCGACGTTCTCAAAAATGCTGGCGGTGAAAAGTTGCGGGTGCTGCGAGACCACGGCTACCTGAGAGCGGAGCCAGCGGAGGTTATAGGAGCGAAGGTCTGCTCCTTGGTAGGTGACTAGACCTGAGCCTACGACGCGTGAGCGTTTGGCTTCGAGGTCGGCGCTTCCTGCGCCCTTCTCTGCGCCTGTTGATGACGCTCCTGACTCTGTGCTCTTTTCCCTCTTGATGAGCGGCAGGCGTCCCCTCTTCCTCTTCGCGGCCTTCTTCTCCTCGTCGGCCTCGCGCTGCTCGACCTCCGGCAGAGGGTCGACAGGGTTGCGCCAATTGCACGTCTCTGGATCGTACTCGCGCATCAGCAGGCTGGCAATCGTCGTCTTGCCACTTCCTGAAGGGCCGACAAAGGCCGTCACCTGGCCTCGCTGTACGGTTGCGCTGACATGGTTCAGGCTCTTGCTAAAGGGGCGGGAGGGGTAGGCGAAGGTGATGTCGTGCAGCTCGAATGCGGGAGCGTCTAGCTTGGCAGCCTCCTTGCGGCCGGATTGGTCGCGCACGTCGATGACTGGTACGCGCTCAATTTGCTTACGCAGCGAGCCTAGCGCCACGTATCCTTCAAAGAGGATGGCGAGGTGTGGCACGGCATTGGCTAGGGCGAAGAGGGCATTGAGGATGTTGAAAAAGGTGGTGAGGACTGCTCCAACGGACGTGGTTCCTCTGGCGATCTGGATACTACCGAACCAGAAGGAGGTCGAGTAGGAGAGGTTGAGGATCGTGTAGATAGTAGACTGCTCGATTCCACGAATCAAGGAGCGTCCCAGCCCGAGGCGCTCCAGGCGCTCCAGCATCCCTTCATTCAGACGGCGGATGAGGTGCTGAGCCATGCCGAATGCCTGGACGATGCGGACCGAGGAGAGTGTCTGCTCGACGAGAGAGGCAGCTTTCCCCTCTACGGCAAGGGCCGGCGTGCTGACAAGGTCCGTCGCCCAGCCAAGAACGGCAAAGACGAGGACAGTGAATGGGATGAGGGCGAACAAGACGCCGGCAAGGCGTGGAGCATTGATGAATGCAGAGATGAGGCCCGTAACCAGCGTGGCGAGCGCCCAGATGATGAAGGCCATCTTCTCGCCCAGAGCGGTGCGTACAGTGGAGACGTCTTTGCTCGCGCGCGAGGCGATCTCTCCAGGTCCGACGACGTCGAAGAAGGCCTGGTCCTGTACAATGATGGATGCGACGTATGTGTGGCGCAGCCTGACGGTCAAATTGTGCGAGGCTGAAGCAAAGCAGGTGAGAAAGAGCCAATTGAGCCCCAGGCTGACGACACCGATAACTGTCATGATCCATGCGACCTGCGAACTACGAGCGAGAATTCCGCTGGACGTGGAAGTGCCGGGCGTGATGCCGTTGGTCCAGTAGCCGTACAAGAGGTCGAGGGATGGCATGCTTACGCCCGCCGCCAGAGCAGTGACGAAGCCAATAAAGTAGAGGACTAGAGGGTGCGTGACGAAGCCGCGTGGGTCCCGCCAGATTGCAGGACATGGTGGTGCAAATGAGAGGAGGTAGAAGAATGTCGGGAGGCGCGAGCGATGTGGTCGTAGCTGCGTCACGTCGACGATGTCGCCGCGAGAGCGACAAGGACTGATGACCTCAGCCTCGTCGACATCCTTGCGAGGGGACGCCATCGCAGCCAATGTTGAAGATGATGCTAGTGAGGAAGAAAGGGGAACGTCGTTTGCGCTACGCTCGCTGCACTAAGCGGCGGCGCTCAGCATGGCCAAGAGATTAACGAGTCAACGGTCAACGAGTCAACCAAGAGCAGCACGAGCAGCTGATTCATTTCCTTGAAGCTCGGAGTAATCGGCGCCTTTCCCCGCTTGCGCTTCCCGTTTCCGCTGCGTAGACGACTCAGCACGACGGGCCGGCCCGCTCGAAATTGCCAAGGTCGAGTCGAGTCGACGACTCCCTCGACGGACGGAGCGAGGCCGCGGCTGCACTTTGGACGTCGACGCTGCCGTCGTCCATCGTCGTGAATCTCCATCCGCTCTCAACACCTTCCAACACGTCGTAGCGCGAAGATGTCGTCCTTTGCGCCGGTGAACCCGAAGGTGAGGCAATGGAAGCAGGCACGTGATACGAAGGGTGTCACGGGACTGACCTCTACCCCCCCACCTCGTCGCGCCTCCAGCCTTTCCTCCAACAATTGACGGGCAAGCAGGTCATCGTCAAGCTCAAGTGGGGTGGCTTGTCGTACAAGGGCTTCCTCGTCAGCACGGACAACTACATGAACTTCCAGGTGAGCGTCCAAGCAATCTGCAGAAAGACAGGAAAGCTCCATACTCACCGTCGCTCCCCCCTCCTCGCCCTCGCACTCGCAGCTCGCAAACACAGAAGAGATTAGGGAAGATGGCGGGTCAAATGGGAGCTTGGGAGAGGTCATGATTCGTGAGTCTACACGTCTTTCCTACTCAGAGAGAGGCACAACACTAACACGGCAGCCTCTATACCGCTCGCTCTTCAGGCTGCAACAATGTCCTCTACCTCCGGGAGCTGACCGAGGGCCAGGCTATGGAGTCATAGGCGCATCAGGCGTTGTTCTGCTGATCCCTTTTCTCTTTGTATCCATACCGTGACAAGTCGAGCACATTGCATCTCTACAACACCGTCTATATCGCCTCGCTCGCCCGGTGGCAGCCAGTCCCTTCCCCGCACATCTCCGGCGCAGCTACTTCCCGCCGTTCAGGTGCGCCGCGTAGGCCTCATTCAGCACGCTGAACACCTCCTTCCCCACCAGCCTCATCTCCAAACTCGCTCGACCGGGAGTCAGCTTGTCAGGATGCAATCGGGCGATAGCCTTTGTGTATACCTTCTTGACCTGTGGCTCGGTGAGCACCTCGTGCATCCCGACTTTCTTCCACCCTACTTCTGGCGGAACGACGGTTTCCAGGGAAGAGAGAAGAGCGCGAATGTTGTTCGCTTTGCCGCCTGACGTCCAAGCAGAGATGCGAGAGTCAATACTGTCCTTGAGGGCATGAGCGGCAGATTCCTCTGCAGCGGCGGCCGCATTCGCTGCTCGTACGCGTTGCCTGCCCGCTTCGCCTGCTCGAATGGCTGCTGCTGATGTGCGAGCCGGCGTTGCAGCTGGCTTTGGCGCAGGCTGCTTCTTGTCCTTGCGCATCGCCCCCTCGACCCTCTTTACCCCCTCTTGTGCCGCTCGCAGGTTTTTGACTCCATTAGCAGCCCCGCTTCCCTCACTCTTCTCGTAGCGCTGGAGGAGCTCCCAGTCCTTGTACGCGGGCAGGTAGCGCTCCAACATCTCGTACGCTTGCGCACGACGCAGAAGGGCTTTGCCGTACGAGTCGCGCAGGTTGACCTCACCAGCCAGAGGAGGAGGAAGCGGGGCTTCATGTGAGGGCAAGAAATGCTGCTGCCCTTTACCCCCGTCTCTCCCCACCACGAGCTCAAGCACTTGCGTACAGTCTCTCGCCGCGGCACTCGCGTCTCCATTCTTCAGCCTTGCTTGGGCGCGATTGTTCAGCAGCGGAATGCGACGCAATGACTCTGCTTCTGCGCCCAAGGCATCGAGAGCAGAGGTGTATTGCGCTTCAGCTTCACCGTACGAGCCGAGCTTGAATGCGTCGTTGCCCTTTGTCTTGAGTGTGAGGGCAGCCGAGGGGTAGCCCTGGGTGTCGCTCGCGCAGAGGTGGCGAGCGCGACGCTGTACTGGCGCTGCTACGGGTGCAGGAGCGGGCGTGGGTGAGGGAGAGATGGATGGAGTGGAAGGCTTGGAGCGTCCCCATCGTGCGGAGGAGGCGTATCCTTTGCTAGCTGATGATGCTGCCTCGGGGGCAGCTGCTTTGAAGCGGGCAGAGGGCGGGAGATCATCGACTACCGGCGCAGCTTTCGGTGTCGCTGCTTTTTGTCTCGCTGCTGGCGTCGCGCGGGGTATGAAAGACGGCGCGGGGTCGTCCTCGGTGTCCGAGTCCTTGAAAGCTCCTGACGAGGATGGCTGCGGCGCATCCTGAGACTCGTCGGCCCCGCCTCGCGCCTCTTGCTCTTCGGCCTCAACCATCCATTTCGGCTTGCCAGATGCGGCCGTCCACTCCTTTTTGCCGCTCGACGACGAAGTTCCTCCAGTGCTAGGGCCCGCTCCCCCGAGCTTCCTAGCCCAAGCCGCCGGGCTTGCCCTCCCCTCCGGCGTTCCCCTGCCACTGCCAGCTGCACTGCTACCTGCAGCCGCCGCGCTCCTCTCTTCGAGCGTCTTCTGCGCCTGTGCTTTGGCCTGAGACCAGAAGGCGTTTGCTCTGCTGAAGACATTAGCTCCCAGCTCGGAGGCCTGGGCGTAGAGCTGATCGGCCTGCTTCTGCCAGTCTGTGCCGTCTGTCTGATTAGAAGACGATCGGTCTTCCGGAGGAGCTTCTCTTCTGCCTCTTCTTGCCTCACGTCGACGTCTCTCCTTCGCTTCGTACTCGTCCATCTCAGTGTCACGGCCCTCCTGGTTCTGCAGACGTCTAGCCAGTTGCTCGTCTCCGTCCACATCGTGCTTCTGTCGGCTGCCCAGGAGCGACTCGAGGGCTGCTTGTACATCGAGTCCATCCTGTGTCTGTGCAAGAGCTTGACGAGCTTCTTGCGGCGAGAAGCCCATCTCCACAATTTGGCCTACGAGATGAAGTGGGGGTGAGGCAGCCCGTTTCAGACGAGATGGAGCAGGAGCGGGCTGCTTTGGCTGGGCTGCGGGTTTGGCTACAGGTCGGCCGAGCGCGCCGAGGAAGTCGTCGTCGTCATCATGATCCACAGCTGCCTTCGATGCCGTCTGACCATTCCTGTGGCTCCGAGCAGGCGCAGAGTCGAAGGCAGACGTCTGCTGATCTCCCGGATCCTCGAAGTCGGAGAAGTCAAAGGGGTCACGAGGCTGCGCTGGCTGTGATTGCGGCTTACTAGGCTTCGTCACCTTGGCAGGGCTGAAGCCGGCTAGAAAGTCATCTTCTTTGCCGGGTGCCTTCGACTCAGGTTTCTTAGAAGAGGCTTGCTCGAACGCGTCCCATCCTGCTGAGGATGATGACCAGCCAGCGTCTGGCCGTGATGAAGGAGCGGGCGCTGCTTTCAGCTGTTGCTGAGCGAGAGACAGTGTTGATGGGGATGACGAACCTGACGGCGAGGATGCTGAGCCATTGCCGAGATCAAACAGGCCGGAGAAGGCGTCACGACTTGACGCAGCTGGCTTGGCTGCCTGCTGTTGTGGTGTCGTCGAGCGTTGAGGTTGAAGGATGTTGGGCGACAACCGTTGCTGCGTTGACGATGGCTGCGCTCTGGTCAGTGAATCGAATGCATAAGACGATGACGGTGCTGTTTGCTTGGCGTTTGGGGACTTCTTGCCCCAGTCTAGGTCTAGTAAGTCGTCCATGATAATGCTGAGGGAGCGATGAGTTGGACAAGGAGATGCGAGCCAGTGCCGAGTGCCGTCTCGCCTGAGTGTTGGTTGCTCTCGTTGAGCTCGCGTGGCTTGCGTGTGGCTGCTTCATTGCATCGCTCGCGTGGCAAGATGAGCCGAACTCTGTCTCCTCTCTCCGCTCGCTCAGCTGCCGCCGCCGCCTCTCATTTTGAGAATTTCGATTCAAGCTTGCACCTCGGACTCGCAGCAGCAGCAGCTTTCCGCTTTCTCTCGTGTGCTCCTCATCATCACCACCACCACCACCACTCTCTCCCTCCCTCAATCGCCGTCATCATGTCGGTGCTCAAGCCGAGCATCGCTCCCGTGCCCTCGGCGGCCGACTTCCTCGACATCGTCTTGAGCAAGACGCAGAGGAAGACGCCCACTGTCATCCACCCGGGCTACAAGATCACCCGTATCAGAGCATTCTATATGCGCAAGGTCATGTTCACAAAGGACACGATCAACGAGAAGCTCGATGCCATGATTCAGGAGTTCCCCATCCTCGACGATGTGCACCCATTCACCTCGTCGCTCATGAATGTCCTCTACGACAAGAATCATTACAAGCTTGCGTTGGGCCAAATCAATACTGCTCGCCACTTGGTCGAGCAAGTCGCAAAGGACTACGTCCGCCTGATCAAGTTCGGAGACTCCCTCTATAGATGCAAGCAGCTTAAACGCTCTGCCATGGGTCGCATGGCTACCATCATCCGCCGTCAAAAGGACCCCCTCGCCTACCTCGAGCAAGTCCGTCAGCACATCTCGCGTCTCCCCTCCATTGACCCCTCGACCCGCACGCTCCTCATCTGCGGTTACCCCAATGTCGGCAAGTCATCCTTCATCAACAAGGTGACTCGTGCAGACGTCGATGTGCAGCCGTACGCCTTCACAACCAAGTCTCTCTTCGTGGGTCACATGGACTACAAGTACCTGAGATGGCAGGTAGTCGACACGCCTGGTATCTTGGACCACCCTCTCGAAGAGATGAACACCATTGAGATGCAGTCCATTACTGCGCTTGCTCACTTGCGAGCTGCTATTCTCTATTTCATGGATCTGTCCGAGCAGTGTGGCTACACGGTCGAGGCCCAGGTACAGCTCTTCAATTCCATCAAGCCCCTCTTCGCCAACAAGCCCACGATTCTCGCCCTCAACAAGTCGGATGCTATGCGTTTGAGCGATCTTGACGACTCGAGGGCGGCACTTGTGCGCAGCATCGTTGATGACCCGAGCAGCAACGTCATCTTGTGTGAAATGAGCACCTACAGTGAAGAGGGTGAGTAGAGCGGCACAGTGAGCCGAGACAACGCAAGCATGAAGCTGACATTACCCTTACCTGGCCCTTCTCTCGTCAGGTGTCATCGAGGCCCGAGACAAAGCCTGTGATGCCCTTCTGGAGATGCGCGTGGAGCAAAAGACCCGTGGCCCCAAAGGCAATGCCATTCTCTCCCGCCTACATGTTGCCCAGCCGCAAAAGCGAGACGACGTGGAGCGCAAGCCCTTCGTCCCCGCCGGCCATGCCGACCGCAAGAAGTACGACCGCAATGACCCGGAGCGCCGCCACACGGAGCGCGACATTCAGGAGGCGCATGGCGGTGCGGGCGTGCACAGCATCGACTTCAAAAAGAACTACATCCTCGACGACGACTCATGGAAGTACGACGTCATGCCTGAGATCCAAGGAGGAAAGAACATTGCCGACTTTGTCGATCCGGACATTCTGGAGCGTCTGGACGCCCTCGAGCGCGAAGAGGAGAAATTGGAGGCCGACGGATTCTACGACGATCTGGAGGGACCCGAGGAGCCGGAAGACGAAGAGGATCGTGAGATTCGTGAAGCGGCAGAGGCCATTCGTGCTCGTCAGTTGAGGGCGAAGGCGTTGAGTCAGGACAAGAACAAGCAGAAGAACTTGAGCAGGCTGCCGAGGAAGATGCAGACTAGAACCATGAGCGAGATGAGCGAAAAGCTCAAGGCGATCGGGATTGATCCGAGCTCCATTGAGGCGAGGGCGCAGCTGCTTGCCAAGGCCAAGGGGATGCCGTCTGCTACAGGCAAGCGCGGGCGTGGCGGGGACGAGGATGAAGAGATGGACGACGATGAGGAGGACGAGGAAGCGCAGTGGGAGGACGAGGACGGCTCAATGGAGGTGGATGACCCCGACGCCTCGACCTCTTCCCGCCACAAGAAGCTCAAGTCCTCTTCTGGCACACCGATCACCCGCGCAATCATCGCCCGCAATGCTGCCTCTGGGCTTGGCAGCACGACTAAGTCCGGCGGCCACCCATCAGCGCGTGCAGGCCCCGTCAGGCGTCCGACTCGCAATCGTCAGACGGAGGGCTTGCCCACGCAAGAGGTGCAGGACAAGGTCAGGTCACTCAATGATCTCTCGTTGCGTGACAGGAACAGGAACGCAAAGGCGGGAGAGAGTGACAGGGCGATCAAGGAGAAGAAGCCAAAGTGGTTGTTGGCAGGGAAGCGCAAGCAAGGCACGACGAGGAGCCGCTAAGCTTGAGCGTCACGACTTGGGTTCGTTTCATTCTCTTGTATGCACGCGCGTCGATTCAATCGCATTCAGATTCCCTCAAGCGCCACTCTCGCTGCATTGTAGCCACCGAAGTCATCAGTCCGCTGCGGCTTGCTGGGCTTTTTGTGAGCTTCGCCACTGCCTCTTCCCTTTGCATCCTTTCCGTGACTCCTACTCCTCCCTTTATCCCTTGTCAAGATGGGAGTTAGTCATCTTCCGCCATCGGCAGTGAGGAGTATACCCTGCGACATCCGGAAGACAGCCTCGGAGGTTTGTTGAAGCCGGCAGAAGTAAGACCAACCGAAAAGTCTTTGCCGCAGCGAGGGACAGATCAGCAGAACCTGCCACCGCCCGACTCCGCCGAAAGGACGGCCGATAATCGAGGGAGCAAGCGGTCGTGGGCACAGACTCCTCGACCCTTCCGCTTCCACCTTTCAGCCGCGACGCGTACCTGTCCTCGATGTGCTGCAGGCGTTCAAGAGCAATCGAGCAATCCAATGACCCTGGCGCTCTTGTGAGTGCCGTCAAAGGCATCGAGACAGCCAACGCATTGCGAACGGCATTGATATGTCTTATCCTCACCATCAGCACTATCGCCGCCGCCGCCGCCGCCACCACCACCACTACACTTCTAGCCATGTCGCCCTCGCCGCAAGCTCCACCACGCATTGTCCTCGTACTCAACGCTAGTGAGTCGACGCAGTAGCATTGCAAGGGCAATGTATTCCCAGCGCTGCTGAACGACCTACCTTCACTTGCCTCGCCCTCCGTCCAGCCTCCCCCGCCTCGCAAAGCGTAATCGACACTCTCCTGCGCCGCAACCGAGAAGAACGCCAACGCGTACGAAACGAGGTGGCTGCAGAGCTCCTCACAATCTATGATTCTGCTCCCCCTCCCCCTCCCACCGCAGGCATCGCTCCCACAACTGCTCGCACGCTGCTCTCTCCGATCTCCCCCCTTCCACCCCTGAGCAGCAACGCCGCCGCTACCAGTGGGCCTCTGATTCCCGCGATACCCCCACCTTCGCTCGCCGTAGCAGACGAGATCTGGCCTGCAGCGACTGCCATGTCCAATCTTCCGAGGCACGACCCGAACACGCATATGGCGTATGTGGACTCTGAAGGTAAGGTGAGGCATGTGGGCTTGAATGACCCAATTTGTGAGAGGTTGAGGCAAGTCGTGAGGCAGAATGGGGAGGCTCTGAGGATTTGGAAGATGGAGCAAGGTGAGCGCGATATACAAGAGGGGAAGGGCGAGAATGGTCTTGGTGAGGCAACCCAGAAGAGCCGCGCGACCGGTGATGGGAAGGAGAGTGAGCCTTCGGAGAGCTCAACTGCTTCGAACCGTGGCAGCGGAGGAACGGCAAGCAAAGGAGGCGACAACATCAGCAGCATCGACTCTGCCCTTCTCCTGCAAGCTGTGGCTACATCCAAGCGAAGGGACAGCGACAGCAGTGGGAGTGACTCCACCACCACCACCACGGCCCTCTCTGCCTCCAGAAGCAGTGTAGTCAGTTCAGCACGACGCGCCTTGACCCTTCCTCTCCATCTGGGCAAGCACAGCGTCTTCTCACCGCGGCAAAGCGTGTCCAGTGCCTCTCTCACTCCTTGGGATGAGGAAGGAGAGGAAGCAACCAATCTAGGTCAAGGCTTGAAGCGGGTCTTGACGCAAGAAGAGGTGGAAGTCGAGCTGGAGATGGGTGTGGAAGCAGCCTACGTGCAGCCATGGGTGGTGAGGGTGATCGGAGATGAGCTGAGCAAGACTGCCGCCACGGTGCTGCAGGTGAGAGGAGTGGAGATCTTTCACGATCAGAGCAAGGCTTGGAAAGGGGCCTGGGCTGCTTTTGTACGTATTGCGAGGACACTGTTGCGGCAGACAGCTGACCATGACTGGTCCTTTCCAGGCGGCTCTCTTCGACGACAAGGGTCTGCCAGACGTCAAAGAAGATGCCGACGCGTACGCCAGCGACCTATGCAGCAAGACAAGGCAGGCGGGCGTTCAGCATCTTCTCATCTGGTGAGACACCTTCTTGGGCCTCCATACGAATTGCTCATCACCATCTTGCCGTCCATAGCTCCATGGTCGACTTTCTCCCGAATACGCCCTCCTCGGCCACCCCTTCCTCGATTCTCCAAACGCGCACTCTCCATAGGCACCTCTCCTCTCACGCTGCCACGGCTGCCTCACCTCTCCAGGTGACTCTCCTCTCGCTCTCCCTGACCTTCGAGCTCGCGCTCTCTCAACAATACATCTCCATCACGCGAGGCAACACCCCAGCCACGTCCACCCGCTACGTCCTCAAGTCGCGCTTCGCCACTCATAAGCCGCTGCCGTGGAGCTCATCAGACGACGTAGGGCAAGCCGTGCTCTCAGTACTTTGCGACAGCAATGCCACATTCTCAGCTACCTCGGGGCTGGGGGAGGTCAGCCTGGTATCCGACCTCATCTCGGCACATGAGGCCAGGGCGCAATGCTCCCAGATCGTGTATGTGACCGACAAGCGCATCACCACCAAGGAGAGCAAGATGACGACGCTAGAGACGCCCAAAACGGTAAGGGCTCTGGTGGACTATTGGCTCGATCACGATGTTGAAGTGAGGAGGGCGATGATGGCCATAGACAGGGAGAGGGGCAAGTTGCCACTGACGGGATGGAGGGAGTTTGCTTCTGAGCGAAGTGAGTGCGTCAAGTGGGCGAGCGAGTAGGCAGGAGCTGACCGGCTGCATTGCTGCGCTATCCAGTCGATATGCTTGTCCCAGGTTGGAAGGAGGGCATTGAGCCAGTCCCGCAGTCCTCTACCACTTCCTCCTCACCCTTCCAGCCCGCCATTCCTCCGCGCATCCACGGTACACCCGGAGCCTTACCCACGGCAGCCGTCTTGGCAGCTGCGGCAGACGCAGCAGAGGCAGCCGCAACGCGGGGACTGGTATCCGCGCCAAGCAGATCTCCCGACCGCTTCGCCAGCACGGGAATGACGCCACGCCAGCCGGGTGGGAGCCCATTGGGCACGGACACGCTCAACTACGTGACTGGGCGTGAGTGGAGGCCTGATGGAGGGGCGGTAGGTGAGGCGATAGGGAGGCCGAGCGCGAGCGATGGCTCTTACTTTGAGGGAGCGAATAAGTAGCGCTCAAGACATCAGATGGTACTAGATGATGATTTTGTGAATACTGTACATGTGATCTCTCTACTTGGTCCTTCCTGCGTCATCGATCAGTCACTCGATGCACATCCTCTACAGCCTGGCGCGATTCAAGCCAAAGTACATGGGGGAGTCAGCTAGCTGGACGTGAGCAGTCAGCGCCACTCGCCCTCCTACTCACCACAATGCACACACTCTACGACGGTCCCCGGCCTGAGTTGCGCCTTGGGCACTCTGCAGATGCACGTCGACCCTTGATTGTTCATATCCCTCGACTGGATGCATCGCACGCAGCAGAGCTTCTCGTATCCCTGTCGTTTCCACTTGGCGATGAGGCTGCGCGGCGAGAGCAAAGGGGAACGAGGATCAGCCAAAAGGTGCATACAGTCAGCTACCTTGTCTGAGTATACTCACTTCGCATCCGCATATCCCTCCTTGAGCAACCAGTCGTAGAGCTCTCGGCTGATGGCCTCTCTCTTGTAGTATAGATCGTAGATGTAACGCGACCTCGTATGAGATATGCGCATGATGGGCCAAAGAGCCTCAGCCTTGCGCTTTCCCTCGTGTGACTCAGACTCTGCGTCGCGCATCTGCCGTGTGTAGTCATCTAAGATCTCTTCGATGTCTTCGAAGCCCTCCGGTGGGGGCTTTGAGCGCGAAGTGCGGATCTTGGGCATTGCAGTCTGCAGGGGAAGGAGGAGGGAGGAGGAGGGATGGGTGAACGGGCCGACTGGGTTAGAGGCTTGGCCCTGCTGTTGCTGAATCTGGCGGCCTGCTGATCAGGGACTGTGTGCGATCGAAGGTTGATCCTTGTTCTTGCTCTATTGGCGAACAGAGGTTGACGAGGTGATGCTTCGCGAGGATGAAGAATGGAGAGAAGAATGCAAGGCTGCGCTTCCGCCCTCGACGACCTCGTTTCCAAGTCTGAGCGCGAAGGCGTGGGCGACTCCACTCCTTGGCTTCCTGTCCGTCTGTCCCATGCCTTTGTGCATGCTTCTCGTCCGACCACCCACTTCACATCTGGCCCGCTTCTCCCGCTGCATCTCCAACATGGCCTCGTCATCATCATCATCATCCGCCCCTCGGCCCCCACCAGGCTACTCCTTCATCCCGGCGACGCCCGCCTCGATCCTCCTGCCGCTCACTATCTCCAATAAGTGCGGGCAGAGCTTCCGGTGGAGGAGCGTGAGGGTGCCGCGATGGGTGGGGGAGGGTGCAGCGCAACAGGGAGAGCCGGCAGAGACGCCTCTGGCAGTCAAAGAAGAGAGAAACAATCCTTTCATGTCTGTCAAGGAGGAGCCGGAGTCATCGTCAAGCCTGCCGCCGGTCAAGCAGGAGGAGGAGGAGAAACCGGCTCTCGATGTCGAGGACGACAACAGCATGGACACGGAATATTCCATCTGCCTCTCAGATCGAGTCGTCTTCCTCCGTCAAGACGCTTCACGCGGCTACCTGTATCATCGGACCCTTGCACCCGACCCGCAAGCCGCCTCGACATCTTCCAGCCTCGCCACCTCCACTGCAGCCTGGCTCCACTCCTACCTCTCCCTCACCGTCCCCCTCGAGTCCCTCTACAGCGAATGGTCAGCCCGTGACCCCGTCTTTGCTAAAACGGCGCCTCGATTCAAGGGGATCAGGATGCTACGACAAGACCCTTGGGAGACTCTGTGCGCTTTCATCTGCTCGAGCAACAACAATATTGCGAGGATAGGAGGGATGGTGCAGAATCTTTGCAGTCATTACTCGCCGAAGCTGTTGAGCCACGAGTATGAGGGCGTAGGGGAGGATCCCGATGTGAGAATGACGGTGGACTACCATCCATTTCCCTCGCCTGCTAGTCTGGCGGGGAAAGGGGTAGAGGCGCATCTGAGGCAGATTGGGTTCGGGTATCGCGCAAGGTATATTGCGGAGACGGCTAGGATGCTTTGTGATGCTCATGGGGGCGTGGAGGTCAATGATGCGCTCTTCAATAGTGTCGCAGAAGCCCTCAAGGGAGAGCAAGCTACCGTCAAGGGCGACACACCCTCTCCCTCTTCCACAGTCTACACCCACCTCCTCTCACTCCGTACCCTCTCCTATACTGCAGCGCGCGAGGCCCTCCTACCCCACCCAGGTATAGGCCCCAAAGTAGCGGATTGCATCCTCCTCATGTCTCTTGACCAGCCGGCTTCCATCCCAGTGGACAGGCACGTCTTCCAGTTCGCGGCAAAGCAGTACGGCCTCCGCGGCAAGAAGGCAGCAAAGTACGAGGACCTGGCAGATTTCTTTAGAGAGCTCTGGGGAGAGTGGGCGGGATGGGCGCACAGTGTCTTGTTCATGGCGGATTTGAGGGCTTTCCAGGATTACGGAAATGGGGTGAAGAAGGAGGAGAAGAAAGAGGAGGGGCTGGAAGTCAAGATAGATGGAGCGGAGGAGGGACAAGAAGAGGCAAAGGAGCCGGCGCAGTCAGAGGAAAGCGTGAAGAGGGCGGAGAGAGCTGCAAAGAGGGGAGCGATGGCCTTGACGACGCCATCTTCTGCGATGAAGAAGAACAGGAGGGCGAGTGGCAAAGGCGCAGACAAGCGGCTAGACGAGACGTACGATGGTGTCAAGGTGTCGCCAACGTCGAATGGCGTCAAGATCAAGGCGGAGGACAGCAGAGGTAGCAGCGTGGAGAATCATCTCAACGCCTCACTCCGAGACGAGTAGACAGCCCAGATCACCTGTCGTAATCGTGCGCAATTGCGTTTTCGTATACCCTTCTGCTCCTCTACATCACAACCAGCGGATCGCGATCACTTTCGCTAACGGTCACTGTAAGCGTCGGGTCCACCTCCTCAAGTCTGCCCTTGAGCACGCTCTTGAGGTACCCTCTCTCCGTGTTGGTATGGTTCGCCAGAATGACCGTCTTGCCAGCAGCATTGGCGGCGAGGATGGCATGGTGTGACATCTCTCCAGAGAGCCAGCAGTCGGCGTCGTTCTCGCCCTCGAGGACCGACGAGCCTGAGCCGGCACAGACTGCTATGCGGGAGATGATCGATGGCCTGGAGGCAGGTGTAGCGACCTGAAGGTGCTCGACGCCAAGCCCTTTCTTGAGCCGTTGCACCAGCGTGTCAAGGGTAACGGGCTCCGCAAGCTGGAAAGAGCGGCCCATTCCGACTGCGGCACCCGCCGGCAACTTAAAGTCGTCAGGAATGGAGGTAGCCTTGCTGGGCTGGCAAGCGCGTGGTTTGGACGCAAAAGCCGCTGCGTCGCTACGCCCTGCACAAGCTGTCGCCAGCCAATCATTGATGCCTTGAGGTGCAGCATCCAGACTGGTATGCGCTGAGTAAATGCTGATTCCGGCTGCAGCGCACCTTAGCAAACTCCTCTGCTGCGAGTCGCCCAACGTGAGGCTCTTCCATCCCCTGAAGATCAGAGGATGATAGCACATGATCACCCCGACCTCCTTGTCTTGCAGTGCCTCCTCACATACAGAGGTGGTGAGGTCGATACAGAGGTGCACTCCACGCGCACTTGAGTCTGAGCGCGGCATAGGCGCCTCGAGAAGAATGCCGACATTGTCCCACGATTCGGCGAGAGAGAGCGGCGCGAGCTTGTGCATCGCTGAGACGAGCGAAGGCAGCACCGGACGGGGCGTTGACGATGATGCTGATGCTGTGGAGGACATGCTGCGCGTGAAATAGGGAAGGGTACGAAGGACTGTCGTTGGTCTTGGAAGCATGCGAAGAAGTTGGGATGGAAGGGGACGGGATGTCGTCTGCCAAAAATCTCCACGAGGCGGTGGATGACGCGCACGGACGGAGCACACGCACCTCGACGTCGAGTGGACCGAATGAATCAATGCGGGCGGCCAAGCCACTTCAGTCAGGCCCTGAGCAATCGGGCCGGCGTTCCGCCCGTCCGCTGCCTGCCGCCCTGTGAACCCTGAATCGATAGATTGAATCGGCCGCCTTTCTTCCTTCCCTTCCACCACCGTCCTCAACGCCGTCCCCGAGGTCGATCAGATCAAGCGCTTCGCCCCGCATGTCCCTGAGCCATCGGGGCCGTCAGCTGGCCTTGCCCTTGCTAACGGCCGGACTGGCCGTCCTCGCCGTCCTCTATGCGCCTTCACGGACACCACGGGTCGGCTGGACTCAAGCGCTCGCGTCACTTGCTATGCCCAATGACTCGTGGACGAATGAAGCCTGTCGCTTCTCCTATGCGCGGTTCCACCTCTATTTCACCCTGCCTCCTACAGCGATCTTGTATGCGGTGTATCGCCCATTCATGACGCCGGTGGATTATGCGAAGCTGCTCCTCTTGCCGGGGATTGCTTTCGTGTGGACGACGCTGTGGGATAATGAGCTCGTGAGGCAGAGGGCGTGGAGCTACCCGCGCTCCTGTGTGATGGGAGTTGTGGGATATGTGCCTGTCGAGGAGTATTTCTTCGTGAGTAGCGAAGCCGATGAGGAGGCGCTGTCTCAGCGGCTAACATCTGCATTCGACCGCGCCTGCAGTTCCTCATCCAATCAGTCATGACTACCCTCCTCACCTCGTGCTTCACTCGTTGGCTCCTCCCGACACTCTACATCGCCGAGCCACGCGCGCCGTCAATAGCCAGGCGGCTGCTTCGCCCCTCCTTCCTCTGCCTTGCTTTCTGCAGCATAGCACTCTATTACGGTCTGCTCCTCTCACGACCCGGCGCCCACAGCTACTACATCGGCATGATCGCTTGGTGGGCCTCGATACCCCTCGCCTTGCTCCTTTGGGGCTCCTCCAACTTCATCTCACGCATGCCTTGGAGAGCGCTCGTTCTCAGCGTGGCTATACCCACCTTCTACCTTTGGGGAACGGACATCTTTGCACTGAGGAGAGGGACGTGGCACATCAGTGAGAGGACTAGCTTGGGGATCTTTCCTCTGCCGAATCTACCGGTCGAGGAGGCAGTCTTCTTCACAGTGACGAACGCTCTGCTCGTCGTGGCGTCGTACACCTTCGACCGCTGTCTGGTCATCAGCAAGCTCGACGCAAAGCTGCCCTATGCGCCGAGCTACTTGCCACTGAATTCGGCTTCGATCTCCTCGCTGTGGCGCACATTCATTGCGAGAGATCCGGTCACTGCCTCCGCGGGCGAGAGGGACGGCGTCATGGACGATGAAGACGACACCGCTGCCTACCTGGCCAACCTTCGCACCTCCCTATCCATCCTCTCGAAAGCCTCAAGGTCGTTCAGCATGGCCTCCCTTCTCCTTCCCTGGGATCTACGCTCCGACCTCTGCATCCTCTACGCTTTCTGCCGAGCGGCAGATGACTGCGTTGACGAAGTGAGAGAGCATGCCGTCCCGAACACGACTGGAGGGAGCAGCCCAGCCCTTGCGCAACATCAGCTGCACCACCGCAGGAGGTCAAGTAGCCTGATCTCGACCTCACGACTCCGCCTCTTATCAGATCTAGTCGCCCTCATCTACCGCATGGACCTGCCTCCGCATCTCGTTCGCAAACAAATCCGTGACACCCTCACCACCCGCAACCTGGAGCTCAGCACCCAGTCTCGCGAGAATCTTCGCGCCTCTGCCTCCGCCGTGGTGCACCTGCGGCATCTCGTCCCCAAGTCCTTGTGGGACGAGCTGCTTCGAGGGTACGAGCGCGACCTTGACCTCGATCTGGGCGGGAGTAGCGCACGTTTGCGCAGTATGGACGATCTAGTCGAGTATGCACAATGTGTTGCGGGTAGTGTCGGGGAGATGTGCGTGCGGGTCGTGCTGGGTAGGTGCGCCCCGGGAGAGTGGGAGGGCCTACCTAGCAGCGGAGAGTGGGGACTCAAGAGGTCGATACGATATGACGCGAAAAGGGGATTCGAGGGATGCGCACCTGATCTGGCGCAAAGACCGGAGGATGCGGCCTTGCTGCCACGATACTTGATTTATCATGCGAGGAGGATGGGCGTAGCGCTGCAGCTGGTCAATGTAGCCAGGGATGTGATCGATGACGCTGTCAGGCTGAGACGGTGCTATCTGCCGATCGATGTCATCATGGGTGGTGGCAAGGGCGGTGAGGAGGAGGCAGAGCTGATCCAGTCAGCCTTGTTTGCGGGAAAGGTCAGCGTGGCGAACACGGCAACAGCGACAGGGAAGACGAACGGAAACTCGACTCCCACGCTCCCTTCGACACCTAAATCCTCCCGCCTCCCCGCCATCTCACCTGCAGCGCTGCGGCCCACCACGCTGCACCTCGTTCACCTCGCAACACAACTGTACAGCACCTCCTTTCCGGCCCTAACCGCCCTCGGGAGCATCTCTCCTCCCACCCGCTCGGGGCTGCGGGCGGCGTGTAGCGTCTACTTCGGGATAGCGGAGAGCATCATATCGCAGGATGCGGAGCAGGTCGAGAGGGGAGAGAGGGCGACGATGAGTTCGTCGGAAAGGGCGAGAAGAGCTGGAAGAGCCGTCTGGTTTGGGTGGGGTTAAGGCGAAGATACCTTTTCTTCTGATTGTTCTCGAGGAGGCTGCAATCCGCAACTTCGTTTCGCACCGCTCGATATTGTGCGCTTGATCGGCGAAAGAGGTGGTATCGATTGAGTCAAGAAAGGGGTGGTGGCGAGCAGCTCGTCAGAGAGGAGCGAAAGAAGATAGGTACAGTGAAATGCAAAGCGAACGTGAGTGTGTAGGATAGCAGTAATGGGAAGAGCAGAGAAGAGCGAGGAGCAGATGGGCAAGATTTGAAGGATGGAGCACTCAAGACATCGACTTCTAGTCCGTCTCTTTGACTTCCCTCGCCTCATTACGTGGTGTCGTGGTAGCCGTAGCGTTGGCCGCAGCATGCCCGTTACTACCTGCGAGCACAGCCTCCGCCTCGCCCGGCGCCTCAGGATGAGAAGCAGTCAAAGCCGCAGCTCTCGTCGTAGCATCAACTGCATCCTCCTTCTCCTGCTCGACCTTGTCGTCTTGCGTGCCTGCAGCAGCTGGCATCTTGCTTGCCTTCATGCTTCCCGCATTCTTGGGGCGAACCCGCAACCAAAAGAGTCCGCCGAGAAGAGCCAGGTTGAAGAGGCAGTACGCGGCCAGAATCCCGACATTGCGGAAGCGGTGTGACGCATCAAAGTGGGTCGGTCCTGCGCTCAAGCCGGAGAGGAAGGTGATGCCCTCCCTGTACTGGCAGTACGAGCACGACATCCCGTCAGGCGCTGTCTGGTAGTATCCTGGGCCGAGGGGTGGTTGGTCGAGCGTCGATGAGAAGTTGCTCAAGAAGGCCTCACAGCTTTGTCCCTGCGGCGGTACGAGGGTAGAGAACTCTGCCGGCTCGCAGCGCACTGGCTGGTCGATGAGCGTGTTGGCCAGTAGGGACTCGAGGAGGTACGTGAAGGGCGAGAGGGGCGGCAGCCACTGACGCCAGAAGTACGGCATGAGCGCCGGTGGCTGGACGACTCCACAGAAGACGACGACGAAGCTGAAGAAGAAGCTGAACGCTACACTGGCAATCATCGCGTTAGCCGATACCGTGGCCACGGCGGCGGCGAATGCTGTCCAGTAGATTTGGAAGATGACGCAGATCAGGAACCAGGAGAAGGCAGCCCGCGCTGAATTGTCTGGGTTGAAGCGGGTCATGAAGAACCAGGGGAGCCAGAAGGTCGTCGAGGCGACGATGTTCCACGGTACTTCGACTAGGATGTAGGTCAGGGGGAGGACGGTCCAGTGATAGAGTTTGGAAGGGGATTCGCGCGCTTCGTATAGGGAGCGGAATAAGAGGAAGACGCTGCGGGCAAAGATGAACGGTTACGGAAGTCAGTCTATGCAAAGCTTTGTACTGTTGCTTGCCCTCGTCCCGCCTACTCACGGCTGCATCTGCTGAGCGAGTGACACCGAGAGCACCAGTGACATGAAGATGGCGAACAGCTTATTCTGCAGCGAGGCGACGCTGACCTTGGCTCCTTGATGCCAGAAGCTCGACCCGATGAAGAGCCCTGCGAACAAGCAGAGCCCGATCTTGCTGCCTAAGTAGGTTGGGTCGCGCCAGTAGTGCACGGCCGTACGCCAAAAGACTGACCTAAGCTGAGTCATGTAGCTTGCGGCGTATTCACGGTTGCCTCTCGCCTCCTCCTCAGGCGAGAGAACAAGACCCTCAGAGGACGACTCGATGTCAATGAGATCGCGTTGCAACTGCTGGTGCATGTCCGAAGCGACGAAGAGCGCATGCCAATCCTGCCCCTTTGCGTTTCCTCCCGATGCTCCAGCACCAATGACGTCGAGCATGTACTCGGCAACATTGTCGTTCTCCTTGCACACTTGCCCAGAGCGACTCTCAAAATAGTCAGCCACTGTGTTGCCGTTTGGGCCAATGTCCCCAAAGTAGACGGTACGGCCGCCGCGCTGCAGGAGGAGCAGGCGATCGAAGACGCAGAAAAGCTCTCCACTAGGCTGGTGGATTGTGCACACGATTGCTTGCCCGGCATCGGCGAGCTTGCGCAGGAGGCGGACGATGGACCAGGCTGCTTGCCCATCCAGACCGGAGGTAGGCTCGTCGAGGAAGAGCAGGAGGGAAGGCTTGGCGGCCAACTCCACACCGATCGTCAAGCGCTTGCGCTGTTCCACACTCAAGCCTTGTCCCACCTCGCCAACGATCGCGTCGGCCCATTCGTTCATCTCAAGCATGCTCAACACTTGCTCAACATAGGCATGCTTATCAGCCAGTGAGACCTCTGCAGGCTGACGAAGCTCAGCAGAGAAGCGGAGTGCCTCACGCACGGAGGTTGTGGCGAGGTGAACGTCCATCTGTTGGCAGTATGAGGTACCGGCTTGGAAGGAAGCAGGAACGGGACGGCCAGAGAGCTTGAGGTCGCCTGTCACCACGCCCGTGCTCGTGCGGTGAGCCAAGACGTTCAGGAGGGTCGTCTTGCCTGCACCGCTCGCGCCCATGAGAGCGACGAGAGACCCTGGCTTCACATAGCCGCTGACGTTGCAAAGCAGCTGGCGGGGTTTGCCCTTGACTAATACCTCGTAGTTGAGATGGTGCCAGGAGAACGTAGCCTTGGATGTCTCAATTTCTGCAATAGCTGCATCGCGGTCCGCAGACATTGTCTCGGGCGTACCACCCTTTCCCGACTCGACATCTCCACCGTCTGCGCCAGTCTTCTGCTTGGTCGCTGCGGCCGCAGCTGCAGTTCCCTTCTTGAAGACCATTACCCCGCCGGCGGAGCTCGGGTCGCTCTGAAATTCCGTGGCGACTGCATAGACCGTCACTGAGAAGACGAACATGGCGAGAATGATACCGGCATTCCTCTTTCTGTTCTCCCACAGGTAACCGAAAGAAAATTGCGCATACTCTAATCCGTTGATTACAGTCTGGCCCGGCCTGGCGCCCGAGATGGCGCATACCTGGTTCGCCGGATTCACGTTGGCGTAGCTAGGGCCCGCAGGGATAAGCGAAGCGCAGGGCACGTTCAGATTGCGGAACTCGTTGGTGATCAAGATCTCGAAGGCGAAACTGAGCGGATTCGCATAGGAGATCCATCGCCACCAGTCCACCATGGAGGGACGCGGGACAACGTAGCCCGCGTACAGCGAAAGGGCAATGATGATCAAGCCGCTGAAGAGGGTTGCCGTAGCTTCTGCGCGGAAGATGGCCGCCAGAGCTCGGAAGGTCGCCGTCATTGCGAGTGTCGAGGCGATGACGACGCTGTAGAAGATGAAGAATGCGGAGCCCGAGGCGTGCAGTCCAGTGAGGAAGTAGAGGATGAGCGAGAAGCAGGTGATGGAGATGCAGCGCACGGGAATGTCCAGCAGCGTGTTGGCTAGACTATCGGCCGCTGGACTACAGAACCCAAAACGGTGGTGTCGAATGACGATAGGTCGTTGTGCGTAGCTGTTGGGGATCTCTGCCGCGGACAGGAAAGCGAAGTAGAGCAAGCTAAAAAAGAGGACACCTCCTCGTGAGAAGAAGCCCGCAGACGTGGTTGGCATGTCGTAAAATGTTGAGCCAATGATCAAGGCTTGCATAGTACAGGCGACGCTGATAATGATGGTTGTGAGCTTGTCACCCCACATGATCTGAGCACGACGCTTGATGCTCAAGGTGATTTGCTGACGCCAAGAGAGGACGAAGCGCGACGAGTCGGGCACGCGCTTGGCCTTGTCCTGCTGTGCAAGATCGCGGTACTTCTGCGTCGCCTCGTCCTCGCTGCGGGCGCGTGCAAGCTCGGCGATGTACTCATCTACTTGCTCGCGACACTTCTGGCCTTGTGCTGACTGCTGGAAGGCGAGAGCTTGTTCACCCGGTGTCTTAGGGACTCGCCCCTCGTAGCCAGGTCGAATGCGTCTGCCGAGAGAGTCGGTGCAGGCAACGAGGAAGTCAGCCGTCGTCTGACGTGGCTGCGGCTCAAAGCCTAGACTGTAGAAGTATTCGTGAGCTTCGCTCATCTTGCCACCGAAGAAGACCATCCGTCCCTCGTTGAGGACGATGACCTTGTCGAAGAGATCGGTGAGAGCTTGACCTGGCTGATACATAGAGCAGAGTGTTGCGAGCTGTCCGACATCGGTGGCGGTGCGCATGGCTTGGACGAACTCGAGCGCCGTACTCGAGTCGAGACCGCGGCTGGAGTTGTCGAAGCAGGCCACTCGACAGCGTGAGGCCAGGATCTCAGCGATGGAGACTCGCTTCTTCTCGCCGCCTGAGATACCCCTGATCAGCTCGTTGCCCACGGGTGTGTTGTACGTATGGCTCAGCCCGAGCGTTGTAGCAATGACCTCCTTGTTCAGTCTGATATATTCCTTGCGCGATGCCTCTGCTTGCTCCAGATCCATCCTACGCTTGGCCTGCGGGGCACGAGATGCGATAGCGAAGTCGAGCGTGTCGCCTACCTGAAGCGTGGGAAAGTGAATGTCGTCCTCTGGACAGTAAACGACATCCGGTCGCAAGGGACCGTTGAGCTCCTTCGGACCGAAGCCTTCCCAACTGACATCCCCGCGCACATCCTTGTACCCTTCCCACAACTTGGCCAATGTCTTGAGCAAGGTGGTGCAGCCCGACCCTGGCCTGCCGAGAACGAGAAGCATTTCCCCTGGCCTGACGCATCCTGTCACATCTTGAAGGATGTGCCTGATAGGTGGCGAGTGGAAGAGATTGGCAACGTGATGATGAATCTTGGTCGCCTCAGTCACGAGAGAGCCCATCGTCGCCTGCTGCGTCAGACCGGCGCCGACCCCGTCGACACTGAGGCCGCGAAACGCCACACCCATCGTGCGCTGCTCGAGTCCAATATCCTCTGCCTTCTCCCTCAAGCGACGCAGGTGAAGATCTAAGTCGAATTTGGCTGATTCGTCAAAGGGGTCGTACGTCGGTGGACGCTCATGTTCGCGCTGCGCGGCCGCACCCTTTTCGATGTCGGGCGACTGTTGCTCCTTTGCCGTTGCGATGCCGTCGTCGCCATGATTTGAGGCAGCAGGCGTGGCAGCAGCGCTAACTGGGCTGGAAGATGGAGATGTCATGGCTGTCTGTGGCTGCGGAGGCGACGTGTCGTCGTCCACACCCCGTGTGCGAAAGGAGCGAGTGTAAGTGTCAGGGAGTGTCTGAGGAAAAGAAGAGAGAGGGAAGAAGGGCGATCAAGGGCGGCTGGAAGCGAGGGCTTTGACCCTTATCTGGATCTTCGAATGCCGTCGTCAATATAGGGCCACATTCATCGTCGCTCGTCGTCGTCGGTCGCGGGTCGTTAGGCAAGCTTTATTCTCATTCACATCTCGCCCACGTCCGGCTTTGGCTGCTCCGTCCGGACCTCGACTTCCCCCTCGCTTGGCCGACTTTTTCCGTCCGCCTGCCTGCTCCTCTCCCCCGCATTGCATTAGACTACCTTGACTCTCCCACGCTTCTTCTGCTAAACGAAGCTGTCCGACCTCGGCGTCGGTCAATTCACGCCAGGAAGGGTCCGGCCCTCATGGCGCGATGCGACGAGAGCAAGGCCGTGCCCTGAGTGATCACTACGCCGTGCGACAAACGCGTGCGGATCTCAGGTCCCGAATGCAGTTCGCTGCGGGGGTGCCTTTCAGCGTGCTTTGAGCTCGTACGGATGGAGAGTAAAAGTTGATGACAATTGATAGATTGTCCGAGAATTGAGCGGCCCGTATACCCTCTTGCTCCTCCTCCTCTCGCGCATCATTCCAACGCATCCCTCAGCTGTCTCGCCAATCCCAACAGCCCCCAAAGTGCACTCTTCAAACTCCAAACGCTCACTCTCTTCCACCTCTTACTGTTCTCGGCCTCCGACTCTACATGACTCGCCAACGCCTCGTACATCTGCTCGCTTACCAGCGGCAGTAGTCCCGTTTGAGCTAGGTCGATGCTACCGTCGAACTCACCCAGATCCATGACGATGCGGGCCGTCAAAGGGATGAGGGTTCGGTTGGCGTTCATGAATGCTACAATGGGTCGGACAAAGGCTTGACGCGAGTATGGGAGGTCCGAATGCAGGAGCGGAACAGCTGCTTTGATGTCTTTGAATCGAACGTCGAGGTCTATCACGACGGAGGGTGGTGGAGTAGCTGGCGGTTCGTCTTGATGTGCGGATGAAGAAGCCTCGTCCTGATCGCTGCCCTCGTGGTGGTGATGATGATGGAGACGCTGCGAGTCCTCAGGTAGCTCGGGCTCTTCCATAGGAGGCGGGTCCTCCCCCGATGAAGAGAAGATTGCCGCCTTCAGCCGTCGTCGCCAGCTCCTCCTGCGCATCTCTTCACGCTCGTGGCGGAGAGCGCCATCGCTGCCTTCATCGCCATCGCTACCTCCCGCGTGCAGCCCGGTACCCTTGATGCTCTCCCTCCAAGCCTTTTCGGCAGCGGGACCCACGGCCGTGAGAGGGGCAGAGATGGCCGGCTTATCGAGCTTGTGCTGCCCGGGAATGGGTGAGTCAGGGTCCACATTCGTTACGCCGTCCAGATCCAGATCCTCATCGGACACGGGGCGTCGCCTATTCTTGCCGCTGGACCTCTTGCCATTCCCATTGCCGTTGCCGCTGACAGCGTTTGCGAGGTTGTCGACAATCTCGTTGATAATGGTGTTGATATCCACATCCTCTGCCGAGTCCCGCGGGAAGCGAATATCCGCAACCACGTCGAAGCGCCCGCTCAGGATCCAGGAAAGCGGCCCCGTCCGGCCGGCTTGGCTTTGCGATTGGATGTGGTCCTGGGAAGAGGGTAGCAGTGTCAATCAGAAGGGTCAGCTTACGCTGACCAGAGGGCCGCCTGGGCCTCTGCCGTTTCGTGCTCACAATATTGACACCATCGATGCGCATGCGCGAGATTGTGCGCCATCGGCCCGTGCTCTCGCTCATCTGTCGTTCCTTCTCGTGCGTGCGACCGATGCTCTGTGGCTTATGTAGACTGAAGAGACAGCCGTCTACCTGACCCGTGATGCTGTCAGCGCCCAGTAAGTCGTAGAAGAGCCATCTAGACGCCGGGAGAGAGTGCATTAGTCCGGCAGCTCTTCTCCGTTCACTACACGACGCGCCTACTCACTGTTTCCTCAGCTTGGGAATCGACGCATTGAATACTGAGAAATTGAACGGCCGGAAATTTCCCGGCTGGTAGATTGTGACCAGCACATCGGCCACTGCCAGGCTCTCGATCTCAAAGTCGCCTGGGCTGGCCTGCCTTCTCGCAGCCTTAGGGTCGTAGGGCTTATTTGGGTCCCAGTGGACATTTCGTCGATCAATGATGCCTCTCACCCCTTTGACTACCGCGTCTTCTACCAACCCTTTACCCTCAAACCACCGTGATATGCTCAATGTCACCTCAATGGTGTCGACGTTTAAGTCGAACATAGTAAAGTTTGTGTTGACGCCCTCACGCTCCTCTTGACTCAGATGCTCTCCTGTCGCGCTCGGATGTAGCGGTGGAGCGACTTCGTCTCCGATTTCTTCCCAGGATCCGCCTTCCCAGGGCATGCCCTGCGAAGCACTCTGTGCCGCCGCTCCTCTGCGTTGCTCACCGCTCTCCCTCCTGAGGCGGGCTTTGCGCTTCTTGGCCCTCTCCAAGCGTAGCGACTCGGGATCATTTCCCTGTGCGCGACGAGTCATGAAGACATTTTGAAAGCAGATGCGGCTGTCCTTCCATTTCGGGAGGATGGCTGACTCGAAGACAACGGTGATGCCTGTGGAGGAGGTGAGGTAGTCGGCGATTTTGCGGCCGATCCAGTCTGAGCATGGCGAGATGGAAAGGGGAGGTTCAGCGGGTAGACCAGATTTGTCCAAGGCCTGGCGCTTACTCACGCTGCATATTGAGCATATCAAGGCCCCACAGTACAATGCTGACAGCCGTCGTGGTCCCCACGACGATGAGGATGATGGTGCCCAGTCCACCGAGCGTGAGAAAGGCAGAGAAGTCGTCTGCGTTAAAGCGACGGAAGCTGCGGATTGTGAACCACTTGAAACGAATACCGAAGCGTGTCCAGAATCCATGCGCGTAGCGTAAGAGCTCTTCTTTCGTCGGTCGACGGTAGGGTAGAGGGGAAAGGCTGTGCTGCTGAGAAGGTGGAGGTGTCGATGGGTCGCCTTGCTGATCCGCAGTGGATGAAGATGAGGCCGAGTCGCTCTGTGGTGATGCGGATGAGGATAGCTTTGATGCTCGATGCGATATCGACCGCATTGCTAGCTCTCTGAGGTTGCGAGGGTAGTTTGCGAAAGGGCCTCGTTCATCATCGTGCCTCGACTGAGACGGCTGAGATGGTTGAGCGTCATCTGCATGCTGCGGATCTCGGCCCTTGTCGCCATCATGACTGCTGTTTGATGCAGCTGAGGTTGAGAATGAGGAGCGAGAGAGGTGGCCCTTGGCGGCAAGTGGTCGTATCGGCCTGGGCAAGGTCATCGCTCCTTGCGCAGCAAAGAAGGAGCGAATCGAGGCATATCGTTGGCTGCAAGAGGAGAAGCGATGAGCAAGCTGCGGCGATGCTTTATGACGGACCATATAGACTCACATGTCTGCCTGTGACGCAGCTTGCTGTCGCACGAGGGCGATGGCGCCCCTGCTCAGGGCCATGACGAGCTTGAGAGTAGTGGAGATGAAGTCAAAGCAGATTAAGTCCCTTGTCCCGCTCGTGGCCCCGCGTTCACTCAGTCTTATGAGATGTCGTCTCCGTCTCCGCTTTCCGACAGTGTCGCTGACGTAAGCAAGGAAAGTGTGAGCCACTCCCGTCTCGCGTCCACAAGTCGAGATTTTGTGGACGGGACTTGAGCTTTGTCACGATATGCTCATCGTCACCATCATCTAGTGAACAGCGTTCGCCATGGCTTCGACTCGTGCAGCTAGAGCAGCTCAATGCATCCAGTCCACAGCGGGCCCATCCAATTACTGGATGCGCTCCGCCTCGACGTCGACTGTCAAGAGGACTATGACCAACCAGCAGGAGCGTGCCATTCGTTTGAGGTCCATGGCAAAGAGACAAGGTCAAGACTCGGATTCACCTACGCCTACGCCTCCTTCGTCATCTGCTAGCAACCCTCCAAGAGGTTCTCGTGCCCGCGAACGTCACTTTGAAGCCCATCGTCACCTTCGCCATTCCGATCGTGAAGATGTGTTCCTCCTCTCGCAAGACCTCTTTAAGCTCAAACGCCAAGTGCTGCGCTTCGATGATGATCGCAAGGGAATGTCCCCTCTCGACGCCTACTCAAAAGCCTCAGCACTCATAGAGGAAGTAGCATCGAAGGTGACTATGCACACCATCATCTACAACCAGATCATCGACTTGGCTGCACGAGCGGGAAAGGGCCAGCTCGTTATGGATCTGTGGACAGATATGAAGAAGAGGGGCGTGTGGCCAAATGTGGCTACCTTTACCACCATCTTCAGCGGCTTCTATCGTAACGATATTGATCCGCGTAAAGCAACGTCCCTCGTGAGACGGCTGGACGCCATCTTCGCAGAGTTCGATAGTCTCAGGGAGGAAGCCCTTGGCGGTATGCCCACGCCGGCGACGCCAATTGCCCAACGCCATAGACGTCGGGCGAAGGGCAGCGAGGAGCAGGCAGAGAACGACGAAGACAACGACGAAGAAAGGTCTGATAACCGTATCGGGTACCGTCGTGCCCTCATTCGCAAACTGCGAGAACACCCCACGGACATCAATGCCGTCCTCGCCACCTACATCCGCCTCATGGTCAAGATCGATCGCCCCGAGGCAGCGTGGTCTATCCTCGATCGCATGTCACGCTCGTGGGACATTAACTCGGACGGCTATCCACGCATGACCAAACAGGTAGCCGGAGCATGGATGAACGCCATCGCCACGACGCATTCCAAGCTCTTGACTGGGGATAAGGAGCTACCCCCCGTCGAGGCGGAGAGGGTCGTTACGCTCTGGACGCGCTGGCGCGAGATGATCATGGGGCATGCGGACGAGGTCGTCGAGAGATATACGACTGCCTTCAGCAAGCAGGAGAAGGAAGCAATTGTAGCAGAGTGGAGATTGACCATCCCCTCCAGCCGGCAGATCGTCGACGTCATGGAGCTGGCAGCCAAGTCTCGCTCACCACGGCTATGTGACGTGGCCATGCAGGCCTTGATAGACTTTACCAACCTGCCCCTACCCGAAAGCATGGAGACCCGTCGTCGCCTGCCGCAAGGCCCGCAGTCACCGCAATTGCGTGACCCGGAGCATCCGCTCTACATGCTCTGCAACTTTCCCGTCGAAAGTCCACAGGCGGACATAGACCGGAACAAGGGGCGCACCGACCAGGAGCGGGCGAGACGGGCCAAGACCAGTCAGTGGCGAGAGGAGCCCGAGGTGTGGGATCACGAAGCTGGCTGGCTGGCCGAAACGCAAAAGCTCTTCACGGGCTCTACCAATTTTGAGTGGTCTAACATCAATCTAGGCTGGTTGCTCATTCATTTGCAGAAGGCGATGCATCGCAGCACTATGCCAGATGCAGAGCAGGTGGTCTACACGATCCTCAGCTCTGCGGCCGAGTCCAGCCTGGCAGCTCTGCCCGCCTCGGTACGCGAGAAAGCTGCGGCCACCCCCCTCGGATACGGGGGGCTCTACAACCGCATCAATCGTCGACTCCTGGACCGCACCTGCCTTACCTCCCACGCCGCCTGGGGTGCAGCCCTGCATGGCGTCTCTCTCCTCCCCTCACCACTCTCCGTGGTACGCTCAACCCGCTCCACCTTGGTCACAATGCGACGCCTCTACCAATGCGGGCTCACCCCGACCCCGCCAGACGAGCTTCACTACAAGCGGGCAATGATGGCTGTAAGCCGACAGGCGCGTTACGTAGGCGGGCAAGAGACGCTTGCGAACCAGGGACAAATTGGACAGTGGTGGCTTGAGGATCGATTGGAGGCTGCAAAGACAACAAGCGTCGATGCGAGACACGGCTGGATGCCGTGGGCGGAGACGAATGGCGCTCTCTTCGCTGATGCAGTCAGGAGAGTGCACGCCATCGTGGCAGGGGCGGAGCGTAGAGCTGCGGCGCTCAATAAGCACGACCGCGCTCGTCGCGACACGCGAAAGCAGGATGACTTCTCGCGCCGCCTCTCTTCGGACGGAATCATTCGATCAGAAGGTGGCGAACCTCGTCCACGCATCGAAACCCTCTTCTCCTCTCCATCCTGCAGCCTCTCCTCCCCTCTTCCTCCGGGAAATGAAGCAAAGACCCTCGTCGTCAACGCGCTCAAACTGTGGCGCTCCTCCTTGACGCAGAAGCCGGAAGATGCGTACAACCCCTATCCTTATTTGGACGAGGTGCCCTTCCCCAAGGCGAGCATGTTGGCAGACCCTGCGCCCTCAGAGGCCAACTATCGTAGCACGACCACGTCCATCTCCCAGGCTGGGGCGGAGGCTCGCGGAGCGGGGGAGAGGGACCGCAAGCCCCGATTTGTGATGCCTGATGTTCGAGTCTGGACCAAGATGGCACGCGACTTTGATGCTTTGCTGCGCATTGCGCTTGATACTGGGGCGCAGGGCGTGCAGGTGTTGCCGCGCGAGGAGGTCGAGTGGTTGAAGGAGATGAAGGTCCGCGTAAGAGAGTTTATGGATGCTGTTGAGAAGGCGCAAGGTGTTCAGAAGAGTGAAGCGGAAGTGCAAGAGGAGAAGGCCTTCATACAGCGACAGCGTAGGGCTGGTGTGCCGCTTGTGAGAGATCATGATAGGGAGCGAAGGGTGAGGAAGGAAGGGAGGAGGCGAAGCCAGTCGAAAACGCTTGCTCCGGCTTGGAGGAAGGCGCAGGGTTCGATGAAAGAGGGGCAGGCGAGGGAGACAAGGAGATGATACGATGCGGGTGCATGGAAAGCATATAATACCATTCAGCTCTACGAGCCATTTTAAGCAAGCACAAATTGCCCAGCATCGGGCTGTACCCCTCTCTGCACCTGCTCCTCCCCTGATCGGCTTCGGCCTTGCTCGCTCCCTTGCCGATCCACTTGTCCACCCAACCGAACACCTCGCGATGCCACCTCAGACTGGATCGCGCATCCAGGACCCAATGTCCCTCCCTCTCCATGGACACCAACCTCGTGGGCACACCCTTGCGTCTCAGTGCATTGAATACGCTTACGCCATTATCAGGCGTCAATCGCCAATCCTTGGCCCCATGCACGATCAGCTGCGGCGTCTTCCAATTTGCGATATGGTTCGAAGGTGACCACTGATCATAGCTAGTCTGACTTGCTCCAGTAGACCAAGGCAAGCCCCCAAATTCGGATTCGGGGAAATAGAGCTCGTCTCCCGAGTACCAGCTGGCCGTAGTGTCAAAGACACCGTCGTGGCATACGAGGGCCTTGAACAATTCGTCATTGTTGTGGCCCTGCAGCCAATTGATCATGTACCCTCCATAGCTCGCACCTGCGGCTGCCACGCGCGATGCGTCGATCTTGTGCGCTTCACGATGCAGAACGTGGTGCACACCCGCCAGAATGTCACGGTAGGCTTGCCCACCCCAGTCTCCTAGGATTCCGCGGGTCAGCTTGGCGCCAAACCCGCTCGAGCCGGTGGGGTTGAGCGTTGCGACTAGGTAGCCTTGAGCGGCGAATACCTCGGGATTCCAGCGAGTCGACCAGCTGTCAACCCAAGCACCCTCGGGACCGCCGTGGATGAGGATCAGGACGGGCCACTTGGCGTCCTTGCCTTTGAGGGAGGAGTCGTCATAGCCGGGTGGCGTGTGGATCCAACCCCATCTCTGCTCCCCTTCGACGTCAGGCGCAGGATAGTGAAATGCCTCAGGCTCCTTGCTTGGCCATGCTACATCGCTCAGCGACCCTTGCGTGCTGTACGTCGTCAAGCGGTAGGATGAACCTCTATCATGGGAGTGCACGTACACCTCCGACACGCTGCGGAGCGAAGAGGCCACAAATAGGGACATGTCCCCATCCTCAGTGGCTGACTCAAAGTGGGATATAGAGCCGGTCTTCAGGTCGGGCGTCTTGATCAGTGACGGTTCAGATGGAAGCGGCGAGGCAAATGGGTCCACTTCGTAGACCTTGTCGCGTTGGTAGTCTTCGGTAAGAAGGTAGATCTTTGAGCCTGTGGCAGACCATGAGAGGCCGGAGGGAGACCGGTCCCAATTGGCCAAGATGGAACGCTGCTTCTTCGCGGCAACGTCGTAGATCTGTAAGACGTTGCGGTCGCTCTCGTACCCATCCTCTGCCATCTGTAGCCAGGCAATGTGGGCTCCATCAGGGGAGAAGCGAGGAGAAGTGACAGCGCCGTGCTCCTCATCTGGAGTGAGCTTGTGCAGCTCACCAGGCGATTCGAAGTTGACTGCGAAGACTTCGCCGCGCGTATGCCATGCTTCGGGCAGGTCTGGGGACTTTGTGACGAAGACGACGCCCGATTCGTGGAGGTCCCAGTGGTCTGAACCGCCAGAGGGGGCAATGGGTGTGGAGACCTTCGTACCTTCGAGAAGGTTGACAGGGGCAGCAGTGTCCTTGCTGAGCATCCAGCCTGGGGCTTCAGCCTTGGAGAGGGTGAGAGAGAACAGATTGGAGCGTTTTCCAGGTCGCTCCCACGAGTCCCAGTGACGGAAGAAGGCGCTGCAGCGATAGCGAAGGGCAGTGAGACATGAGCTTGTGCTGCTCGCTGATCACGACGATGCGGCGCTCACTCACCCATTGTCCCCATCATAAGCCTTGACTCGCTCCCACTCCTCTTCATGCTCCTGACTCTCCACCTTCTTGACCCCCTCAAGCGTTCCATCGCTGTACACCTCGGCGGCGAAGACGAGTTTACGCTCCCTCCCACTCGCAACCACGCGCAAGGAGTCATCAGCAATTGGAGCGGGAAGGTCGAGTAGCTTGTCTGGCTTGTCGAGGTTGGAAAGACTTGCTGCATACAGAGCAGAGTCATTGGCGTAGACGAGATGTTCATCATCGATCCACGCCGCATGCGCTATACCAGACAGGATGGCAGCTGGTTTGGTTTGTGGCTGATAGGTTGCGTCTTGGAGTTGAGCTGCAGCCGGGACCTTGATGATGTGCACCTCCTTCTTGGACTTGGCCCCCTGGTCCAGACTCGAGTAAGCGACAGGGAAGGTCAAGTGCTTCTTGCCCGGCGAGAGGGAGAAGTCATGCGCCGTCTTAGGGGCGAGGATGAGCGCCTCGGGAGTGAGGGGATGCTGTTTCGCCGCCATGACGGTGGTAGCTGCGGTAGCCGCGAGAGCGGCTGTCGCGGCCAAGAGCCTCATGATGGCTTAGTGGGAAAGCGAAGGGGGCCGGTGAGGATGAGGAGAGCAAGAAGAGGGAGAATGGAAAGCAACCTGAGGCCAGTCAGTCAGTCAGTCACCAAGGGCCGAGAGTCCATCGATCGACTAATTGCCCGCTCTTGCCGCTTCGTGGTGGCCTGTGCGCCAGCGAGCCAGAGCCACGCGACCCGTCGTGGTCCGCTCGTCCAACAGTCAACTCCACACTCGGGCCCAGGAGCAGCAAGGCACAAGGCACACACAGCCCCAGATCCGCATCTCGCTCCGCTTCTCGTCCTTCCTTTCCTTACCATCACACCCGACACTACCATGACCTCTGCCACTCCGCAAAGCAAAGCAGTCCTCTACTCCTTTCCCGGCAGCGTCTGGGCCTCAGTCCCTCGCCTCTGTCTAGTAGAAAAGGGCTACGAGGCTCACGACGTCGAAATCAAGACGGTCAATCTCCTTCTGGGCGAGAACTTCTCCCCGGCCTACCTTCGTATCAACCCTAAAGCCACTCTGCCCACCTTGGTCGTCCCGCTCGCAGAGACCATGTCCAGCGAAATGGATACCAAGTTCCGCGCAATCACCAGCACGAGGGAGGTGCTCAAGTTCCTCGACCAGAGCCGCAGCGCGCATATTCTCGATCAACGCGGGGAGAATGCTACGGCTAACCCCGCGCCTGTGCTCGCGCCTGCCACGGTCGAGGGGAATGCCATTGCGGAGAAGTTCTTGGAGATGGTTCATGGCATGGAAGCGGACCCCAACTTCTTGCTGCTGGCGGCAAAGAGTCCCGAAGATGTCAAGAAGCAAGCGGGCGCGATGCAGGGGACTTTTGTGAAGAATCGGTGAGCACACGACGAATGGACTCCGTATCTCGCACTGAGCTCCAACTGATTCATAGTCGCCCCTTTCCTCCCTCGCCGCCGCAGCCATGCCGCCCTTCAGAAGTACCGCAGCGAAGCAGCCTCCTCTTCCTCATCAACAGAGAACCCGCGCACGCAACAACAGTCGGCCGCCCTCATCAAGTGGTACGACGACAAGCTTGCCGAGGAGAAGCCTCTCGTCGATGCATACATTCGCGGTGATGCACAAGCCATCGCTGGGCTGGCCGCAGCAGGGCAAAAGGCATGGCAACACGTCCCCGTCGTCCTGGATGCGATTGAGGCCGAGCTGGCGGGGCAGGGCGCCGCTGCTGGAGACTCAGCAGCAGCCGCAGCGAGTGGAAGTGCCGGTGGTCCCTACCTGCTGGGTGGGCAGCTGAGCCTCGTCGATTTGCATGTGGGCGCGTGGCTGGCACGCATCCTCGCTGTTGCTGAGGGCATGGCTGGCGGAGCAAAGGGCATCGACGCACTGAAGCAGATCTTGGCGCAGGAGAGCGGCAACAAGGGTGTGGGGGCGAGAACAGAGGCATACTGGAAGGCATTGATGGGTCGACCTTCCTTCCAGGAGGTATACAAGGATGGGCTGCACTGAAGCAGAGCGAGGGTACTTTGACTCAGAGGAAGACGGAGGGGTGTACGTGAACATGAAGAGGGAAAAGTAATGAAGGATATTATACATGCCGCCGCGGATCCAGCTCGTCTAGTCCTCGGACGTCATGTCGATGAACCAGTCTTCCTCTCCCCCAGGTCTCATCCAGGAGCGACGCCGAGCAGGGCGAACGGGCCCAGACTCGGTAGAGTCCCCGTCTTCGTCCGCGTCCCTCATCTTCGCGTCTTCCTCGCCCTCCCCCTGCATCTCCATCACGCCAGCAGACGTATCCCTACTGCTCGCCTCCCCACTTCCCGACGCTCCACGACTACTGCCCGCAATCCCGCTCCCTGTACCACTAGCGCTTCCACTCGCCCCCTCGCCTCCCCTCGACTCCAGCGCAGCCTTACTCTCACTCTCGGCCGCCTCCTGCTTAGCAGCAGCATATTGCGCGGCTCCCTCCGTCTGAGCCTCATCGAACATGATCCCCACACATCCCGCTTCACCACAGTAGCATCTCTGGTAGATGACCTTGCCCTCCACCAGCGTGCTCCGTCTCATGTCCTCCAGTCGCCCCTTGATGCGCTCCGCCTCCTCTGCGTCGGGCGTCTCTTGATAGGAGAAACGCAGCTCCTCCCCCGCGGCTACGTCGCGGTTGGTGAAGAAACAGGCGCGCGGTCGCGCGAAGTCCAGGTCGGAGGAGAGCCAGACGTACTCCTGGTTGAGGTTGGGGGAGCAGGAGTGATTCAGGAAACGGGCAATGTTCCCGTAGAGACCGGCGTCGACGCTGAGGTAGGATTGTCTGGGCGGGCGAGCGAGAGGGAGAGGGTCAGCTTCATGGGGCTCATCATGATGCGGTGGAAGACATATGCTCACCTCCCCTCATCAGTCTTCTCCCACAGCTTCATTACCGCCTCACGTTGCTCCTCGGTCTCCTGCGGCATGTCTGGGAAGGCACGCATTGCCATCCTCTTGGTCGCCACATCTTCGTGCCAGTAGTGCTCCAGATCGAGCACGTACGTCGTGCCTACCGTGCGCTCGTACACTTTGCCCCGTTGGTCCGCCTCGTCGTTTGTGCAGAGCTCACCGCCGTAGGCTGTAATGAACGTGCCCGCCGGTATGAAGTTGCGTGCACGCAGACCCCAGCCACATTTTTGGGTCTTGAAGATTTCGAGGGGGACTGCAGGCGCGCGAGACGAGGAAGAAGAGGATGTGGTGAGCGGCTGCTTTGATGGAGTCGCGAGCCGCAGCGCACCTACCCTTGCGACCCTTCTGAGCGACGCGATTCGGGCAGTCCTCGCTACAGCCGCAGGCGTCTGTACACTCGAAGATGGAGAGGGCGTTGAAGCTGCGCACGAAGAGACGAGGTTCATCAAGTGTGAGCATGTCGCAGCAGCTGACAATCCTCCGCCTCCGCAGCGAAGCGCCACTCACCCGAGACACTCAGGCTTCAATCTTCCATCCTCGCCATACGCCATACTAGGTCCTTGCAGACCCAGATCAGGCTGGTCCCATGTCTGATCCACGAATAGATGCAACTTGGCACACTCGCACGTCTCGGGCCTACACTCCCCTCCGTCCACCCCACAGGAGCAACCCCTCCTCGTACCCTGCAAGTCTTCCACCTGCTTGTCCTCCCACCCATCATACGTGGATCGTTGACACCACCCACTGCCTGGTTGAGCACGTTTCGCGTCGATAGCAGCTACCTCACGTGAGGGTACGTAGGAGTCGCAATAGGCGAAATCCCAGGAGGGGGCCGGCTCATAGTCGACTTCGTTGCAGAGGGAGATATCCGTGCTGGAGGTGTCGTGCTCGTGGATGTAGGCGAGGAACATGCTAGCGTGACGGGCATCGGGAACAGTATTTGGCTTGGGAGCTTTGGGAGGTCGACGGCGTTGCTGCACTGTGGGGTCGGTGTGCTGTTCAACATTATTGGCCACTCCGCTGGCGTCATCTTCATCGTCGCTGCTTGCATAGGCTACAACTCCCCTCCCCCTCGACTTGGGAATACGAATACGATTCTCCAGAGCATCAATGTGGGCCAGATCTGGCATTCGACGAGCCGATGAGCGAACATGGGAGAGCTGAATGACCTCCTTGGAGTTGAAGCTGTACTCTTGCCTGCCTGGCTTGGGAGGTATAGGCACGGTAGGGGAGGATGAGGTCGAGGTCGAAGCAAACGCGCCGCTCATACCACCAGCAGCACGATCAGCAGCCTCAGCGTCTAGCTGTTGTACAGCAGCGGCCAATCGTTGGTTTGCCTCAGCCGCATGACGCTTGGCGCGTCGACCGGTACCACTCCCTGGAGATGCTCCAGATGCTGACGCTCGAGGCATATTCGAGGGTCCAGCGAGGGAGACGAAGGAGAAGGAGGGAGGAGGAGTTGAAGGTGGGGCGGCCATGTTGACGATCTGCGGCCCCTCGTCCCTAATGTGATCGGCAGAGAGGCAACAGCGGCTCGATATGGGGACAAAGAAGGTCTATTCCAGCTTGAGCGGCAGGGACGGAAAGGGAATCGAGGCCGACATTGGACAGGCGAGGACGAGCGGCAGATGCGGCGCAGGTGAGTGGATGTCGGGTGGAGAAGAGGGGCGGACGACGGAGATTTGGCATCAAGACCCTCGTCTTTCCACCTTTGCTTCACTCATCCGCTCATCAAAGTGCGCAGCTCAGCATCAGCGCAAGATTGGATGACATCGAGGCAAGATCCATCTGGGAGTGGAGAGGGAAGCACTCAAGGCGCGCAAGGCAGCAGCATGGCGCAAGGTCCTCCCTCGCCCACGCGTAGACAACCAAATCGACGTCGCTCCTCTCTTATGCGATGGCAGCAAGCAACAGCCTCCTCCTCTTCGCCCACCTCCCCCTCGAACGACCCAAATGCCCCTCGCTCGCACGACTTTGCCACCCAGTCGCGTCCTCCCTCTTATCCCTCCCGCCCTTCCTACCTACAACGTCTCTCCTCACGCGCCTCCAGTGGAGCCCCATCCGAAGCATCCTTCGCCGGTGGAGCAGGAGAGGTGTACCACGAGGCCCGCAGAGTCTTCGGGCGCGGCACTCCCTCGCCGTACTTTATGGCGGCGGTCTCTTTTCTCACAAGTCTGGTGCAAGGTCTCCCTCTCGCGAGTATGTTCAAGGTCTACACCTACCTGGTGTGCGAGGTGTACGAGGGCGGAAGAATAGAAGCAGACGAGGCCAAGGGTAGGCTCACACTGCTGGGCATCAACATTCCCAATCCGCCCACATTGCCTCACCCGCCGCAGTGTAATGATCCTCAAGTCGCCAAGACGACTTCGGCTTACGCGGCAGCGATGGCGACCGGTGGGGCGCTGGTTGCCCTCGTGCTGCTCAACCGCGTCACCCGCTTGTCACGCCGAGTGGGAAGGAAGCCCATGCTCCTCATCCCCTGCTTAGGGCTGGCGCTGGGCTTTGCCTCCTTTCGACTGGCAGTCGCCCTCCCCTCCCCATATGCCGGCGCAGCCGTGCTGGCAATCGCCATTGTCTGCCTCGAGGCAAGCGCGGCAGGCCCACTTAAGGTAGGACTGCAGAGCTACGTAGTAGACACGACGACGGAGTCACAACGCGCGGCTGCGTTAGGCTTCATAGATGGAGCAGGCCAGCTCGGCGCCTTCCCCTCCTCTACACTCGGTGGATTCCTTGCTGCGATCACGGGCCAATTCTTTGCACCCTTCTACGTCGCTGTGGGTCTTGCGGCGCTCACGTTCTTCTATGTTCTCGTGCTGGTGCCGGAGAGTAAGCGCCATCGGATGCATACCTTCATTGACGATTGGGAGCACAGCGCTGAAACGGAGGGAAGAGAGGCGCGGGGCCATGGGGATGCGGGCCAGAGGCAGGCGGAGGAGAGCCAGCAGCAGCAGCAGCAAGACGGCCCCGCAGCAGACGGCGACGAGGAGCAAGCACGCCAGCCCGCTTCTCGACGGGCAAGCTACCAACCCAGCGACACGGGCGGCTCAGACGACCAGTCAGCCTGGACGGCCACTGACCTTGGCACAGAACCCATCAGTCGCAGCAGGGCTTGGTTGCGTCGCCTCAACTTCCTCGCACCTCTCGCCATCTTCGCCCCTCGCCGCTCCCACCCAAACGCACGCCTGGACTGGCGTTTACCCAATCTTGCCCTCATCGTCGTGCTGGAGGAAATCTATCAAGTCTTCCTCGTCCCCATGCTCCTGCTGTACAACTCCGACGTACTGGGCTTCGACGTCCTTTCCAATGGCTACCTCGTCTCCCTCCTGCAGGGCTGTAGAGCCCTCTTCCTCACAGCCGTCTTCCCGCCAGCGGTTGCAGCCGCGAGACGGTGGGTGTCTGCGCATGTGCAGAGGCGGAGGAGTGAACAGAAGAGACGGAGGAAGGAGAGGGCGAGGAAGAAGGCGAATGGGAGTCAGGCAAGGGGGGAGGAAGAGCCGCTGCTAGGTGGGGCGGCCCAAGAGAACGAAAGCAATGGCGTGGCCAATGGCGCGCCGCGCGAAGAGGACGCTAGCTCTGAGTTCACGTCAACGACTGCTGTGGCCAAGGCAGAGGAGCGCGGAAAGCTCGACATCTTCCTGATGGTTGGTGAGTCACGGCGCGCTGCTTCGTAAGCCTGTCGATCACGCCAAGCTGACTAGTCTTCCCCTACTCACCCATGACAGGCTCCTACGCCCTCGCCACGGGCTCATTCCTTACCCTAGCCCTCTCCAACCGCCTCTCCTCCTCGAACAGCAGCACCCCAGCCCGATTCTCTCCCTGGCTCTTCCTTTGCCTGGGCATCGTGGGCATTCAACTCGCCTCCGGAGCAACATCAGTTCGAACAGCCCTCATCGTCAATTCGGTCTCCTCTCCCCAGTCGGCCCACTCGAACCACGATCAATCTCGCGCCCTGGCAGCGAATCAGGTCCTCTGCAGTGCAGTGTACGCCACCATGCCGCTCATCACTAGTCTGGTGTATGGTGCGGGTCTGGCGAGGAAATGGCCTGAGGCGGTCTGGCTCTTCAAGGCTGGGTTTGCAGGGATGGCTTGTGTGGCGAGTCTGGGGTTGTTCGTTACGCATCGGGCGCCGAGGGAGGGGACAACAGGGCATAGTGAGGAGCAGCAGGAGGATTAGCATGGTGCGCTTTGTCTTGCAATCAGAAAATCAAGTCAGCATGTCAGGCGAAGGGATGAGCGACCGGTCCTGCGTGCGTAAATGTGTGGCTCTGTATTTGATCTCCGGAGACGGCGCAAGTCTATACCAGCTTGGCCGAGAGCTCCGGCAGCTCGTTCTGTATGGGCGGGGCATGGAGGCGGGGTAAGATCATGTCAGTCAAACGCCGCCTCTTGTACTTCACTCCAGTGATCTCCTCTCGCGCCCACTTACGCCAGGAATGAAATGCCTCGTCACCCCCTCCTCGGTAATATCCACCATCCTAATCGTACCCCCCGAACTCCCATCACGACTCATAGCCAGGCTCAAAGCATTCTTGACAAACTCGAGCGTCTGTTCCTTTCCCCATCCGGGCTGCCAGGTGGAGTCGCAATATCCATAGATATAGCTTGACCCTGACCCTCCGATAGCCCAAGGTTGCTGGAAGACACCCCCACCGAGTGGGACATTGAAGACTGTCCCTCCCTTCTTTTTGTCCCATCCGGCCACAATGATGCCCGCACTCAGACGATCCTTATTACCGTAGACGAGCTGAGAGAACAAGTTGGCAGCCATCTCCGTACCCACGTGTCCAGACTCGGACTCGACGCCGTACATGTCTAGGTAGTAGGTGATTACGTCCGCTACGGCCTGGGTATCGGCCGCTGAGCCGGAGCGACAGCAGTAGATCCTGTCGGAGATGTGGGTGAGCTTGTCTGTTACACGGTTGGCAATGTAGCTGCCCATTGTTGTGCGAGAGTCGGCCCCGAGGACTACGCCGCCGTTGTAGGAGACTGCCATGATTGAGGTCTGCAGCGGAGGCGATTGACGAAGAGGTCAGTATATGCAGTCAAGGAGAGGCCGAGGAAGAGCTGCTACTGCTATTGCAGACGGTCCTACTCACTCCAAGGTTGACCTCGCCCTCCTTGAGGCGAGAAACGTCGACTGGGTCCATCTTGTCTAGAGTTGCGATGGTAAGGTAGAGAGAGACGAAGGTGAGCCGCTTGAGCATGGGCCACGCGTATTTCGAGTCGTCGTCGAGTGACGGCCTGCCTCGGAACCGCGTGCCACACACGATCGCCTCTCCGTCCGTCTGTCCGCTCGCTCCGCTGCTCCAACATCGAGGATCAACTTCGCTCTCCCATCCCAGCTCGACTCCACTCCACTCCACATCACTACCATGGCTACCACCTCCTCCCTTACTCAACCAATCAGCGAGCCCTTCGACCTGCTTCGCCTCTCCCTCTCGGAGCGAGTCTACGTCAAGCTCCGTGGAGACCGAGAGCTGCGCGGTACCCTCCACGCGTACGATGGACACGGCAATCTCGTCCTCGCCAACGTCGACGAGACGGTTTGGTACCTTGAGCAGGGGACGGAACAGCTCAGAAGCGTCAAGCGTAGTAGCGAGATGCTCTATGTCAGGGGTGATGGAGTTATCCTGGTGGGTTGGCGTGGCGTGATGATGATGGGCGGCAAAATGGAAGGTGGCTCACGCTCATGCCTTGCTCTCTCTTCCAGATTTCACCGCCTTCGAGGACATAGGATGGCTCAGCACCACAGACGAGTTTTCACATAGCGACATCAGCAGCAGTGACAGTCCACGCGATAACATCACGGCAAGGGTACATTGAGAGGCGCATATAGATGGACAGGAGACGGAGGGGAGCTGGCGCCTTCAGATAGTGAAGGCAAGATTGAGATCGATGGGATGCGAGCTCGACACTGAGAAAGAGGCGCGTAAAAGGAGGCTAGTCAGTCATCACGATACGGAAAGCATTGCCCTTGATCCACTCACTCTGCGGCTTCTGTGAGTACTTTGCCGCCAGGACATCTCGACAAGCATTGAGCAGTTGGATGTAGCTCAGCTGCGGGTATTCGCTGAGCACCTGTGCGGCACAACGACGAACGGTGTATCACCTTTGTCAGCTTCCAATGCAGCTCAAATACCTCCTATTCCGCTCTGCGTGCCGCTCACCTTGATGAAGGCCCAGCTCATCGCTCCCGTAGCCTTGCCCGCTTCGACGGCATCCGCCGACGTTTGCGAGTCTTTGCATCCCGACAGCATGATGACGTCCGAAGGGGCGCTGCGGTTCTGCTTGGTGAAGGCTTCGGCTGACTCTGAGTTGCGGGCTTCGTTGAATGTGCCCATGAGGCTGTGCGGCGTAGAAGCAGTTAAACAAGCGTCAGCTCTCGATCTTGCTCGGCCTGATTATGTCTTCTCGCCATTGGCGGGCTCACCCCTTGAGCATTCCTCCCACATTACCCTGCGCATAGCTCATTGCAGCGCCCATCAATCCCTTGCCCACTCCGGCAACGACATTGGGCTCCTTGATGTTTCCTGACGTCGAGTACACGTAGGGGAGATCGAGGGCCGTGCCCGAGTGGCACGAGTCGAAGATGGCCGTCAACCTACAGCCCATGGGCAAGGGGCGTACCATGATAGCATGTAGCTCATCGTCCTCCATCTGGCCTGCCCTCTGGAAGTCCAGCGGCAGGATAGTCTCGTTCATACCATCTGCCTCGTCCCCCTGACTCGCCTTGGCCTGCCCACCATGCCCCGAGTACTCGAAGAAAAGCGCATCACCCGGCTGGGCTCCGCGTACCAGCCAGTGCATCGCAGCCGTCATGTTCTGACGGGTGGGGATGGAGCGTGGGTCGTTGCTGTTGTCGGTCAGGATGACCATGTCCTCCTCCTTGTAGCCGCGCGACATGATGAAGCGCTTGACATTCTCGACATCATTCCAGCAGCCACGCAGCTCGGCGGATGTGCCGCGATAGTTGATGCCGATGAGGAGGGCTTTACGCTTGCCTGTCATGGATGAGTATCTGTGCGTGGAAGATCGAGGTGTCAGAGGAGGGTCAGCCGGCGGGCCGAAACCAGTTGCTCTCAAGCCCTCGATGTGAGGACGCACTGGTATTGCTGGCCCTGGTGCATCTGTGTGCCCTGCGGGATATGAGAGTTGATTTGCATGTTGGCATATGCGGGAGGAGGGCCGCCCCCGCCTGGGGCACGGCCGCCGCCCCCGTACCCTCCACCACCGTAGCCTTGAGGGGGGCCAGGTGGGGCACCATACTGCTGGGGAGGGGCTCCTTGAGGTGGACCATAGCCGCCCCCACCGTAGCCTCCACCACTGCGAGGCAGAGGGGGGGAGTAAATTCAGTTTGAGATCAAGAGCTCAGCACTCAGCGAGTCGCCTCTCACTATCCAGGCTGCGCATAGCCCTGGGGAGGTTGAGGGAATCCTCCTCCTCCACCATATCCTCCTCCACCAGGATATCCTCCGCCTCCTCCATAGCCTCCTCCACCATGTGTGGACTGGTAGTGATGTCCGCCTTGGCCTGGATATGACATGACTAGCTGAGCTGCTCGCGAGTCGATTCGAGGCTGATGAAGATTGGGATATTGAGATGCGAAAGCAAGGGAAGCAAGTAATGAAGCAATGCACGCTCGGCCGTCCCGGAGGCTGTGTGCGTCTGCGCCAACGATCGATGCCCGCCCGCACTGGCCCTCTCTGAGAGCGGACTGGCGGCTCGCTCACGTGGCGCGGGCAAAGGGCGGATTCGTAGGCAAAGGCGCTCGTCCACTCACCCTCGCTCTGTCATGGACAGCTGCTATTGTACATCTCTACGTAGCACTTTGTATTTTGGGACGGTGAAAATTCTATCAGACTGTTGATGTTGAAATGGCTTTCGCCTTGTATCTATCTGTGCCGTCTACCTCGCCCGCCTAGGCGACCTGCTTCGCCCCCTGCTCAGCTGCCTTCTTCTCCTCCTCCTCCCTAGCCAAGCGAGTGCAAACCCTCGATCGCTTCCGAATCTGAGGTCCGAACATATACAGTACAAAGGGCGCTGCGCCCAGACCCGCCGCGATAGCACCCAACATGGTGTGCGCCTTATCCACTCCCAAGTTCAAGTAGAGCGGGTCACTCGCTACGGCCAGTACGCCCGCAGTGGCATTACGCATCAGAGCCTGGCAGGCAATAGCGCTACTGCTGTACGTCTCGAAGCAGTCGGCCAAGTATACGAGCACCGAGGTGTAGATGATGTAGTTGCCCCAGGCGAATCCGATGAATCCGATGATGGGTACGGCGATACTGATACTCTCCCTGGCCGTCCAGCCCATCCAGAAGAGGCCGGCCGCGGTAAGTACCGCGGCGGGCATGGACCAGATCAAGCGGGTTTCGGGACGGGCTTTACCCTTGGCGAGGGCTCGACTGTAGATGCGAGCGCCGTGCAGGTTGGAGAAGAAGCCGAGCAGACCGCCAGCAGCGTAGGCCATGAGTGTCGTGGACTTGAGGGCCGCGGAGAGGCCGTAGGGGGCAAAGACGTACTTGACGCCGCGGAGCGAGAGGAAGACGACGGCCCATACAAAGCTGTGCGCAAGTCAAGGAGGAGGGTGAGGAAGTTGTCAGGGACCATGATTCTCCACATCGATTTTGTGGCACCGCGGCACTCACCCTCCCCAAAGCGAAAGCGACGTTACGATGGGCTCCGTGGTGAAGAACAAGACCGGCCTCGAGCAGTTGTGCTTGATGGTCTGCAGCATGCTCACGTGTTCATCGTGGCCCTTGGCAAAGTGCGTCCTGCCCGTCTCCTTGGTCAACTTCTTCGCCTTCCAAGCCAACAGCACATCTGCCCTGGTTTCGGGCAGCCAGATGCACATGACTCCAAAGGTAGCAAGAGCGACGGCCGCCTGCCACCAGAAGATGATCCGCCAGCTATGGTACTGCACCGTCCATGCGCATGCGGTCGAGCCGATGCCTTGTGAGGTCATCACCATCAGGACGAAGAAGCTCATGGGGACGGAGCGCTTGCTCTTGGGCCAGAGGTCAGCCACGAAGCCTCCCACCATGGTGTTGCCCACACTCCCCGCCACGCCTTGGATGATGCGGCCCACGATGATGGAGGCGAAGTTGGGTGCCAGGGCTTGAGGGAGATACATCATCGTGTAGATGAAGATGGTAATGAGGCAGAGATTGCGTCGTCCAAAGACCTCAGAGAGCGGAGAGAGGAAGAGGGGGGCGAGGGCCACAGGGACCATGTAGGCCGTAGTGCCTGTGAGCCACTCAATGTCGTCCAGCCCAAATTCGCGGGTGCCTTGCTCGGTAGTGGTCGAGTAGCCTGTGGCATTCATTGCTGTCGATGAGTTGAAGAGAATGGCAACGCCCAGGCCAAACCATTTGCTTCGCTCAGGCCAGGACCAGGGATGCTCCCCCTCGTACTCGGCCCAGTCTATGTACGTGGGCTTCTGTCCGTCGTCGCCCTTTCCACTCAAGGCCTCATGGTGGTCGTACATCTTCTCACTGATGCTCCCCTTACGCGGCGTGTCTACTGGAGAGGGGGGGGCCTTCGTGTTGACCATGGTGGCGCAGGGAGTCTCGGTCATTGTGGTAGTGTCACTTCCTCTTCGGTCTGAGGGTAGCACAGGAATGTGTTGTGGCGAGGGAGAAGAAGAGGAGGGAGAGATCTCATCGCCGCCATATGTAGGTGTCGTGAAGCCTGAATACGGGTCGGGAGTGCCCTCTCCGGATTGCGGCGGCGACGGTACGGCTGCGGCCCCTGTCTCGGCTTGGCGCGGCGTCATTGCGGATCGTGAGCGACGCACTTGGGCTTGCAGTGGGTTAGCGTCTTATCTTGGTACCTTGGCGTTTACTCGAACGAGAGTGGCTGGGTCGTGAGAAGGTCGTGGCGTCGTTGCGGTGATGAGCGGAGGTCCGACAAATCCGTTGCGATTGCGAGGTGTTGTGGGGTGCGAGCCAAGACGACGATGGTGGTGAGGATCAGAGATGCGGCGAGAACGATGAGATTCTCGTACCATTTTATCCAATCTTGCCATTCAACGCCAAGAAACAAGAGGGAGCTTGGCGCAAAAATTGCCATCTGGACGCTATCTTTCCCCTCCGTGCCGTGAAAAGTGTTGTGTTTGCTCACCCTCATCGTGCAAGGAGGAGGGAGGGGGCTCCACCCTCTCTACGATTCCCAATCTCAGACTTGTTGCTGCTGGTCAACCGTGAGAGACCTGGATCTCCGTTGCATCAGCACGCAAGGTCGGGACGCCAAGTCGGATCAGTACCACGTACCACCCTACACTGCCTACGGTGCCTCGCCTTTGTCGGGAAACAGGTCTGCCCGCCTGCTCTCACGTTTGCTCCTTGCAACTCGCTGCATCTCCTTGAAGCCTGAGGCTCTGCGATAAGGTGGAAGAACTGCGATGAGAGATTCATCATCTTGGAGGTCTGGACGCACTTTTGCCCTTCCCGAGTGGTAATGCGTTTCACAATTTCCGGGTAGCGACCCTCCCTCCCTTCCTGATTGCTCTGCCTTCGCTTCGCACCCGCCGCCGCCGCCGCCGCCGCCGCCGCCGCACGCAATCCGCCCGTCCGTCCGATACGGCGTCTTGGCGGACAATTTAATGACGCCTGCTGCTTTTGCAGATTGGATCTTGGCAAACCATGCTATCCATTGCGAGGTAGGCAGGGGGAGAAGGGGACTGTGCTGCTGTTATTTCGAGAATCGAGATTGACGTACTTCGCCTAACCCAGGTTGAGAGGTTGGACAGTGGATTGGCAGCAAGTCGCCGTGATTGTGGCATAGACGAACAGGCGGGCGATAAGGATGAGCGGAGGTTGAGAGCTCGGTGAGTGGAGGAGGAAGGAGCGCGCCCCACGTGGTGAGCTGCAGCCTCGGACGCTCGATGTCAGCTCCGGCCTGAGGTGAGCTCAGTCCGCCATCTCTGGCTGCCCTCATCGCTCATCTTCCCCCATCAAGCGAGCGCCACCAGCCATGTCTTGGTACTCGCCCCGCATGAGCGTTTCTTCCTCCTCATCAGCTCACACGCTCGATGCTCAGCAGACGCCAGCAGCACCGCAGCAGCCGATAGCGCCGAGGCAGCCCGTGCCACAGACGCCGGAGAGCGTCAAGGACTTGGGACCTGAAGTCTGCTACGATGTGGGCGCATTTCGAGGTAAGCCGAGAGCAATGCATGCCCGGAGAAGGTACACAGAGAGTGCTAATCATTTCCCCTTGTTTGCCCTCGCCAGAGCTCATGCGTCAATATCGCCAACTAGACGACGGGGTCACAACTCGCCTCAACAGAGCCTTGGCGCGCTCACGTTCCTCAGGGTTGACTCACTCCCCAAGCCTGCTGTATGACCCCCACTCCTCTTCCTCGCCTTACCTCTCCCCGTCGAACGACAAAGCCCAAGCTCAAGCCTCTCAACCACCCGCACGTCCCTCTGACCTAGGTACCTCGACATACGGCTCCCTGCCCCCTGCAGCGTGCCTCGAGCTGTGGCGCGAGCTCACGGGATACTGGCGTGGCAGGCAGGAAGTAATTCGCTTCTGTACCGCGACCGTAGATGCGAATGCCGACCTGCAGAGGGTGAGGGAGGCAGCGGAGGATGTGCAGAGGCAGAGAAGGGAAGCAGACGATTCCTCGCTATTGGACGCCGATGCCGCCAGAGTAGCAGGCTCGTCCCAATCAGCAGGCGGCCGCAGGCTTCAGGTCAGCTCCTCCCCAACTGAGCCCCCATCACGTTCACGGGCAGAGACGAGCGAAGAGGCGCTGCGTCGTATGCTGCACAACGAGGAGACGGTCGACTCCATCGTGCGACAGCGCAGTTTGCAGGCATTCAAGGCTAGATGTAACCTCTTCCGTCTGCCGGAGGGGGCGAGTGGGGAGGAGAGGGAATTCTGGAACAACGGAGGGACGGCGAGGAGATGATGCATGTGTAGCGCGCAGAGGAAACCAATCTATTGAGGAAAGCAGTACAAGAGGAAAGAGAAGGGGGAGGCCAAGAGCCTACTCTCGTGTGACACAGCGCCCAAAGACCTTGACATGGAGCCAGTCGGCGCCTACTTGAACGCGATTCCTCAGCGAGAAGAGTTTCTGTGCAGGACGGGACGAAAAGAGATGGGTCAGCGAATGGCGGCGAGAGAAAGGGGAGAAAGCGGAGCGCTCCACCTACTCACGCTGAAATACACTCCTCTCCAAGCAACGAATGTCGCCACACCACCAATGGAGACCTCTCCGTTCATGAACGGCAGATCCGCAATCGCCTTGTCCCCACCAATGTACGCCAGCGCACCCGCGTGCGAGTAGTGGAAGGGCTTGAGCTTCTCGGCCTTCTTGAGCATCTTTTGGTAGGTGGGCACCTCATCCCACCTGCCCTCCTTCTGCGCCAGCGCAACCGCCTCATTAAGATCATCAATGCGAGCCATCTGGTTGAAGCGCTTGCCCAGCCACTTGCCCTGCTGGCTCGCCGATTGAGCGGTAGCCGCGTACGGGGTAGCCGTGCAATCGCCGAGGGCGAAGATGGTCTCCTCCATCCCCTTGAGACGCATATGGTCGTCCACCTCCAGTCCTCGTCGGTTCTTCTGGCTCTCAGGCAGCTGAGCCATCAAGTCCCTCGTGATCTCCCTCTGCCCATTGCCCGCCGCCATGACGAACAGGCCGTACGGCATCTTGTCCATCGTCCCATCTGGCTTCTGGACAGTCACGTGCGTCTCGTCGACGTCCTTGAGCATGTGCTTGGTGAGGACAGAGATCTCCTGCTGGGAGAACTCGTGCTCCGTGTACTCGACGAGCTTCTTGCTGAACATGGGCAAAATGCTCGGCAGGCCCTCGACGAGAGTGACTTTCACCCTATTTGCGATCTCCGGATACCACTTGCTCAGATCCTCGACCACAAAGTCGCGCAACTCTGCTGCGAACTCTACACCGGTGGGACCACCGCCGACGACGACTGTGTGGAGCAGACGATCCACCTCAGACTGCGGCTGGCCGGTAATGCAGGCAGACTCGACACAGTCCATGAGACGGTTGCGAATCTTCTCGGCATCGCGGAGCTCCTTGAGGAAACATCCGTGCTTGCGGACACCGTCGATGCCGAAGGTCTGGGGAGCCGTTCCAACCGAGTAGACGAGGTAGTCAAAGGGTATCGTGACCGTTCCGAGGGAGCCGTGGATTCTGTGTGGCCAAGCAGGGTGGGTCAGCTTTTGTCCTTCGGAAACTACGCTTCATGCTTCTCCGCCGCACGCACTCAGACTTGTCCTCAAAGGTGACCGTCTTGGCCTTGACATCGACATGGGTAGCCTCAGCTTCGAGACACTGTACCTCCCTAGCACCGAAGCGAACCGTCTGCCTAGTAGGCTGAGCGATGGATCGCCCATTGATAGTCCCTACTGTAACAGAGGGAAGCAGCGGCGTGAATAGGAAGTAGTCGGCAGGCGAGATGACGATGACATTGTAGTTCCTCGTGTCAATGTTCTGCAGCATCGACGTGGCCGCCCATCCCGAGCCGAGGACGACGATCGTCTTGAGCTTGGGATCTTGCGGCAGCTGGTCGGGCGGGTTGTTCGCCTCGTACGCATAGTAGCCAAAGGCTCCCAATGACAATGCAGTAGTGGCGTAGATGCCTCGCTTGACCCGCGTGAAGAAGCCACGACGGGGGCGACCGCCGCCATTGCTGCCGCCGCTGGAGGAGGAGGACGATGAAGAGGAAGGGTTGACAGAAGCTACACCTTGAGCTCCAGCGACAGCACCGCTGCTGACGGTAGGGGCGGCCCTCCATCGAGACGAGAAGAACAAGGTTCGCGACTGCGAGGCAGAGCCAACCGCGGGCGCGGCGATAAGGCTGCGCCTGACGAGGGCCGTCGACGATGCCGTCGATCGAGCAGCGGCCATAGCCATGATGGGCGAGGAAGAAGTAGGGAGAGAGGGTTGAGTGGTGGTTGGTGATGAAGAAGAAAGGGCGGACTGACGATGATGCTGCGATTTCGATTCGGCCTCCTTGATTGGCCCGTCGTCGTCGCCTCGTCTGTTCCTGGGCTTTGGTCTGTCGAGTCGAGTCGAGTCGTGCGATTCCCAATTGCCCAACAGTTCAAAAAAATCGACCCGCCGCTGCGAGGCGCAGGTGCGGCAACGCGAGGCAAAGCAGGGCAATGAGCGGCGGCGATCCGTCGAAGGGGCTGCAGGGCTCAAGGCGAGGCAAGGAAGCTCAACCACTGCTGGGCGATCAATGTCATGCTTTCTTCCTCGCGGCTAGGCTAAGATGTGGCATACGGCAATCTCAATCGTCGACGGGGAACCGGGAATCGACAGCGAAGGCGAGTGTAACCCCAGCGAGTGGGCTTTGGCCAACAGCCCCTCCATCGGGTGTTGAGAATTCATCGACATGTCGTCGCGGTTCATCGGCGTGTTCGCTTCGCCATCGGCGTTCGTTTCAGGGTGAAGGAGGGCCACTCGGCCAGGTAAATTGATGAGATTCGGCGTCAAAATGAGGTGACGAGAAGACGGCAATTGAAGGTGAGGTGAGGGCGAAGCTGGGCGTGGGGTTTGTGGGGTACAGGAGAAAGATGAACAGTCGAAGCTGCAGCTCTACGACATCTCCTCGCGCCAGCTCTTGAGCATTCCCGCACCCCCAGCCAACAGGGCAGTCCAAGCCTCCAGCCCCTCCTTTTCACTGTTCGGCAACAGCAGCTCCGCACCAGCAAAGACAGCCTCACAAGCAGCCACGCGCGTCTCGAGCAGCATTTGACTGATCGAGTGGCGTACCCGCTGGAAGCACGACTCGGCGGAGTCGAGGTCTTGCATGGCTGTTTCGACCGGGGATGAGGAGGGGCGACTGGAGGTGTGGCGATGTAGACGCAATTGTGGGGGATGAAGGTGAGAGAGGTGCGGTGAGGAGGAAATGAGGGGTTGAGGAGCACCCGTGCGGGGATGTGCTGACGCAAGTGCTGCTGCTGCTTGTTGGGCATCTGCTAGCTTATCGGTGAGGAGGAGTGATTGACGATGAATGCGCCCCAGCGCTCTTCTGCATCTCTTGCGAGCCATGGACAGGGTGTAGAGTTGAAGGAGCAGGGCGACGAGCTCGAAGCTGCGCAGAAAGGGGCATTCAGGTCAGCGCCAATCGTACGCTTGCTCGCACCGCCGCTGCTCACCCTAGCGCTAATCGCTCGAGACCTCTCCTTTGTCTTGCTCTCAATGCTTTGTGGCCCGCTTCGGTGTATCCTGCTCTCGCTATTCTCCAGACGACGCTCGATCCGCCAAGGAAAGCGGCCACGTCCGCCGCTTCGCCACAGACCGTGAGGACCTCGACTGCTCCCTCAAGTCGATGGTGCCAAAGTGTCGGTTCTTGTATCGCATCGACCTCCAGCTGATTGAAACCGTCAGGGCCTGACCGTGACGTGTGTCCCGCTTCTGCTTGCTTGCCCTTCACTTCTTCTCCCTGGTCACTCTTTCCCTGCTCCGCAATCCTTCCAGCTGCCTCCATGATCCACTTTGAGAGGAGCAGCACCTTCCTCAGATTCTCCGCCGCTTCCCCACCGATATATACCCGCCTAAGCGTCTCGCGCCTGAGGTAGCGAGGGAAGAGGAGGAAGAGAACGTGAGGAACAGGCCAGAGACCCCAGAAGCGCGGGCGGCGCACTGAGCCAAAGGAGCGGTGCGTCAGGAGGGCGAGACCGTGAATGAGTTGCTGGATCGAGCAAGCGGGAGTGACCGAACGGGGCAAGTCAGTACGGGAGCATGAGATGAAGCTGTCGTCATTCGCTACCCTCGTGGGACTCACCAGTGCTCGATCACGGCCCTCGGCCGACCTTAGCAGGAGAATGACCGCTTCTCTGGCTCGTGCTCCGTTGAAACCGCTGCCACTGCCGCTTCCTCTCACCTGATTGCCGTCGGCCGCTGAATTACCGTGCTCGCTACGTTGAGAGGATGAGGAAGATCGGACAAAGGTCGTGACAGCAGGCGAGGTGGCGCCGTATGCTGGGGGCAGGTCATGCTCCTCAGCACGCTCTCGCTCAAGGTGACCTTGAGTCTGAGTAGAATACGAAGCCTCGACGCCCGGAGCCATATCGTCTCTCTCAGCTTGACGTCGAATAGCCTCACGCTCCGCCTCCTCATGCTGCAGTGCTACCTTGGCCGCTTCGAGCTCCTCGGGGTCAAGCTGAGAGACACCGGCGCGCGTAGAGGCCCGGCCTGCGAGGGCAGCGGAACCTGCACCAGTGAGGGTGTCCGCTGAAGAGCCGGAGCCACCTACGGTGCGGCCGCCTAGAGAGGAGGTGGCCGTTGCAGCGCCACTTGCGACACTTCCCACACTCTCCGCATAGTTGCTTGACTGCTGCAGGGCTGCTACGCCGCCTGCGGACGGGCGAGCTTGGTAGGCGGCTGTGCGTGCAAGGTAGGGATTGAGGAGCGAGGGGTGTGAGGGTGCATACATTCAACCCATCTCGCCTCACCCAACTCACGCAGCTGCTCTCCGTGTTGCCCTCCCTTGGCCAGGTTGCGTACCTCCTCAACTGCATCTCGAAACGAGTTTCCGCCGCCCTCCAAAAACCAGATCTTGAGGATGCCCTTGTTGACGCCAGGTCCCTCGTTCGGCAGGTTGCCGCCGGGCACGGGCAGCACTCCGGCCTCGTAGTAAGGTGCGGCGAAGACGGGAATCATGTAGCGACAGTCGACGAGATTGCTCAGAGGGACATTGAGGGAGCGCAGATGCTCGGATGCCCTGTCGTTCTCTGCCGGAGCGGGCAGCATTGGTTGGCGAAGGAAGACGACTCGCTGGTTTGTCACGAAGGCGGTGCCCTTTGCTTCCCATCTGAGCGCAATTCAGTGGTGTCAGCAGGCCGCAAGATATCTGACCGCTTGTCTCGATCACTCACTTGGCCTTCTTGTCCTTAAAGTCGAGGCTGTGAGGGCGGAGTGGCGGCTGGTGAGCATGCATATATGCACTCGCACACGCGCTGCCTCAGACTCACCTCATCTGGCACTTGATGACGGTGTGCCAGATCTTCTCCTCTGGCAAGGGCACAGGCTTGCTGCCATCAGCGTCTACCATTGCCCAGTTGAGAGCCATGTTGGGCAAAGATGATGCTGAGATGGTGGGATTGGAGCGGAGTGAAGGGAGCTAAGGAGCGGCGGATGGGCGGGCCTCACTCGCTCACTTCACGCACGCTTCCTCTCGCTCGGGCCAGTCCAACACGCAGGCTCAGGCACGGCGACGAAGACGGCTTCTTCGCATTCACGCCTCATCAAAGCGACTCCTCATCTCACTCTAGGGCGGGTGGAGATAAAGATGCAGCATGGTCAACGACTCATTGCGGCACTCTACGTCGCACGACTCCCTCTTCTCAGCATCGAGCGATGACGGGCAGCAAGCCAGCGGCAAAGTGGCAGCCCTGACACCGCCTCCCATCTCAGGCCTTCTCTTCCTACCCGATCTCCTGTCGTCAGCAACAGAGCAGCGTCTCATCTCCCAGCTGGACAGCTGTTACCCGCTGGATCGATCAACAGCAGACACATCCAACCAATTCATGCTCTTTGGACGCGCTAAAGAAGGGCACGACGGCAGCGCCTCATCAGGCTTACCAGGCTGGGCAGACGAGCTCGTGTGTGAGCTCGAGTGCCTCCTGGAGGGCAAGCTTGACGAGAAGACGATGAGCCTTTTCTTCCCTCTGCGATCGCAAAGGTCTTCTGCACTGCAGCCTTGTCGCTCACGCCAGCTTATCATCAACCATTATCTCCCCTCGCAAGGCATTACGCCACACATCGACTTGCCCGCCCGTTTTGGTGACGGTATCCTGCTCTGCTCGCTGCGAAGTGGGATTGCGATGGACTTCCAGCGAAAAGACGAGAAGTTCACTCTTTGGTTGCCGCCGCGTAGTGTGGTGATCCTGTCAGGAGAGGCAAGGTGGGACTGGGAGCATGGGATCGCGGCAAGGGAAGGGGACTGGGTTGCGTGCGATGAAGGGCCTGAGTGGGTTGCGAGGCAGACTAGAACGAGCGTGACCATCCGTTGGCTTCTACCAGGAGCAGACGTGGTCGGTAGCATGGAAATTGACGATGACGATGAAGGTTCAATAGCATAGCATACCACATTGACGTTGCAACTCATCGCAGCTACTCAGCCTCCTCCCTCCGAATCTCCTCCCTCAACTCTCGCTCCTCCAATCTCGCGTTCTCAAGTTTAAGTCGGGCCTCATCGACTACCTGCTTCATCTCTGCTACTTTGTTCTTTTCAGCCTCCTTGTGGTCCGCTAGGGCGTGAGACAGCCAGCGGAGGCAGGCGAGGTCTGTTGAGATGGAGCGCAGCAGAGATGAGTTTGGTGCGGCGCCTTGCTGTTGTTGAGCTGACAGGGTGCTTATGAGAGATTGAAGGAGTGAAGAAGGATTCTGGTGGGATAGAAGACCCAGGTCATGTAAGCTTGAAGCAACGAATCTCCTCTGAACTGTGCAACGCACCTTGACTTCCGCGGGACCTTCCTGTTGGGCGGCCCCATTTTGCCGCAGGTATTCCTGAATGAGCGACGGTGGCGGGTCCGCCGAATCGATGCTGCTCCTGATTGTGCAGCTTTCAGTCAGAACCAGCCTGATCAATGGCAAAGTCTCCCACTTACATCTCATCTGCAGAGCCTGAGCGAGAGGGAGGAAGTGAAAGCAGCTCTCACCGTCAATTCTCAACGAGGGCGGCCCGTGCATCGGAGCCGTGGCTCATCTCGCCTGAGGGTTGAGACGCTCGGTCAAGGGCCGCGTTGGCTCGTCCGTCGACGTTGGTTCTCACCTACTCCACCACCACCCTCGTCACCACCATGTACCGCCAGACGTACGACCAGGATCAGGTCACCTTCTCGCCCAATGGGAGACTGTTTCAGGTCGAGTATGCTACGGTGAGTACCACTCTAGCACGCTGACCAGCATCGCGAGCGAGCCCGAAGTGACTCTCTGACTCTGACCCTCGATGATCCTCCTCCTTCTCGCCTCGCCTCGCCTCGCAGGAAGCTGTCAAGCAAGGCTCCGCCGTCGTAGGACTGCGCAGCAAGACCCACTCAGTCCTCGTAGCCTTGAAGCGTGCACCCTCTGAGCTGGCCGAACATCAGCAGAAGCTCCTCACCATCGACAGCCACATGGGCATCGGATTCGCCGGACTCACAAACGATGCAAGGGTACTCAGTAATTGGATGCGACAGCTCGCTCTCTCCTCGCGCATGACTTATTCGAGGCCTTTGCCCTTGTCAAGGGTGGCGGGAGCCTTGGCGGACAGGGCGCAGCTGAACACTATGGAGTATGGGAGGAGGCCGTACGGTGTTGGGTTCCTTGTGGCGGGCTATGATGCGTTGGGACCGCACCTCTACGTGAGCACCAGCTCACAGTGCATTCCAACATCACGGTGAGATCATACGCTGACATTACCCTTCTATTGCCGTGCCGCCGCTTTGCCAGGAATTCTCCCCCGTCGGCACCTGCTTCGAATACTACGCAATGTCCCTGGGCGCGCGCAGTCAATCCGCAAAGACGTACCTGGAGCGCCGGATCGATGAGTACAAGGAGGAGACGGACCTAGACAAGGTGGTCATGCATGGGCTGTACGCGCTGAGGGAGACACTGCAGCAGGGCAAGGAGGTGAGTCGGTGTGGCCCCCAGGACTCAAGATACTGACGGAAAGGAATCTTTGCTGACATTGGGATTGCTGCACCGCACCAACAGCTTGAGCCAGCAAGCGTATCAGTCGCCGTCGTTGGACCCGGCTCGGATGGTGACGTCGCCCCTGGCACCAAGCCGCAGAAGTTCCGACTTGTCGAAGGCGAAGAACTCAAGCGCTACCTGGACAAGATGGAGAAGAGGAGGAACGCAGCCAATGTCAATGCGCCCGCTACTGCAGCTGCCGCGACTGCTGCTACAGGCCAGCCTTCAGCAGCTGAGACTGGCGCGGCGGGAGACAGTGCTGGTACGGCGACGCAGGGGGAGAGTGGGGCACAGCCGGGCCAGCAACCGGGAGACGGGAGTGGGGGGGATAGGATGGAGGAGTGACGAGGCGACTGAATGACATTGGTCTGTCGACTTCAGTTCAATCACTAGTCATTCGATCGCACAGTCCGTCGTCTATGCTGTTCTGAAAAAGTCTACATTGCATATGCTGCCGGTACGTCGATCATCTTACGCCCTCCTACCGCGCTTCTCAGCCTTTGTGGGCTCCACGAGACGGACGCGCTTCTTCTCCTTCGTCCCAGCAGCATTGGCCTTGGCCTTAGCCTTGAGCTTCGGCGTCGAGACGAGGGCAGGCGTTGGTGCCGGCACTGACTTGCCTTGCTTGGCGGCCTTGCGACGATCCTTGTGCGACACGACAGGGGTGCTTTCCTCTTCGACGTCCTCCTCATCCTCGAGCTCCTCTTCGTCGTCGTCGTCGTCGTCTTCCTCATCGATGTCCTCGTCGCCTGAGGGAACGAGAGCGTCCGAGTCGAGCTCCTCGTCCTCCTCGTCTGAGCCGAGTGCGAAGTCCAGGGCAGAAGGCGTGTCTGAATCGCCTTCGAACTCCTCGTCGTCTTCGTCGTCGTCTTCGTCCTCATCGTCCTCATCTGCATCGAAGGCGGCCTGCGACACGCGCGGGGCCCAGAGCTGCCACTGCTCTGCTTCCGCCTCAGCATCATCGACTTCCTGCTCGTCTTCAGCGAAGGGCTGGCCATCGAAAGTAGGCCTACCAAGAGCAATTGCCCCTTCACCGGCGCTCTTCAGTCTAACCTCGCCCACAGCAGGACTAGGGTGCAAGTCGCTCCTAGCCTTTTGATGCTCAACAAAAGCCTTCTTCCACTCCCTCCTCGGTAGTGTCACCTCCTCAACCTCCTTCCCCAGCTGCTCAACAAGCTTGCTCCTCTCATCCTTGGAGAGGTTCATCCACCCTTCCGCATACGAGTAGTACCCTACACACCCGCTGCACCAGTCACGCAGAAGGACGCGTGCGGCTGCAGACACGTCGGGGAGACCTCCCTTGCGTGCTCGTCCCTGTTGGCGGGCAAGCCCAATCAAGAACTCGTTGGCATCGGCTTGGGCCTTGGCAGCCTCTGCTGCGAGGAGCTTGTGTTGCACCTCTTCTTCGTCGTCGCCTTCTTCCTCGTCCATCTGAGCGCCAATAGGTGCTCCCGAACCGAAGGCGGGCACGTTCCACGTGAACATGAGGTCCTCCCTTGTGTTGTGCTGGACAAGAGGCATGAGTGCCCAGATCAGGGGGACAGGGTCTCCAATCTTTTCTACCTTTCCCTTGTTGCGGAGTAGGGCGACGAGAGCACGGTTGCGTCTTTGCTGGAAGTCCGAGGGGGAAGAGGCTTGCTCTCGAGACTTCTCGGCGGCTGCAGGGAGGGACAGGTCGTCCATATCCTCCTCATCTTCGGCGGAAGCGGCGGGAGCAGATTTCTTGCGACGGGGTGGAAGCAGATGGGTGGTGTCGTACACAGTAGACGCGGAGGTGGCGTCTCGCTCGCTCAATGCTGAGAGGAGGTGAGAGGCCAGCGAAGAGCGGCCGGAGTGCTCGAGACCGAGGATGGCAATGCCCACCTCGCTGTTCTTCTTGCTTGCGCCCGCAATACCGTCTGCCAGAGCTGCGACGCTCTCCTTCGAGCTGTCCGAAACGGCAAAGACGCTGGTCGTCGCCTTGGAAGACGAAGCCCCTTGGCTGTCGCCTTTGAGGGCATGCAGATGCGACGTCAATGCCTCCAGCGGCACAAGGTCAGCCCGCGTGAGGGCGAGGTGAACTTGCTTGCCTTTGGAAACCGCAAGACGCTCGACGGAGCGGCAGCGCCACGCAGGTGGGTCTCGCGCGTCCAGGGCGAAGACCAGATGTTGGATGCTGTCGTCCTCCAGGAGGGAGGGCAGAGAGCCCTCGTATTGAGGGGCGGAGCGAGTAGATGCTGAGAGAGCGAGGAGGTTCGCCATATCCTCGTCCTCGTCCTCTTCGCCCTCTACCATCTCATCGTCATCCTCGCTGCCCTCACTTTCCTCCTCCTCGGCAACTCCGCCATTCCTCCTCAATTCCGCTCTCCTCTCCTCCTCCAACCGTCTCTGCTGCTCCCTCTCCCTGTTCTGCTGAATCTGATCAAGTAGCTGTTCCTTGTATGGGAACGAGTTGGGGATTCCAGGATCGGCCTTCTGCTTTGACTTCCATTGCGTAGAGCGCTTAGCGTCTCGACGGGACTTGCGGTGGTGCTCGCGCACTTTCTTGGAGATCTTGGCGCGCTGCTTTGTTGATTGGCGCTTAGATGCGCCTGTGAGTGCGAGATGAGGGGGACTCAAGGTGGTCAGTTGAGAGCTGATAAGGATGAGGTGACGGTGTGGTACGTACGCTTTGGTGGCTTGACCATGGTTGCTACACGTCACTTTCGTTTGGTGATGGTGATGTGTTGAGGCGGGAAGCTTCAAGTTGCTTGCCGCCGTTGGAGCGCCTCTTGACCAAAATTCTCAATGGGACCTCGGAAAAGCAACCAAGCAAGCGGCCTTGCAAGCGGGCGGACCAACGTCGAGAGCAAGTGCAGTCTCCACGTGGACTCGGCGGGGCATCGTGTTTTCCCCCGACTCGACGGCTGAAGCCCCTCGACAGAGAGACACAGCTCGAGACGGACGCTCGGCGCTTCGACGTCACAAGCGACACTCGTTCGTTGATCAACCCTCCCCTCAACCCGCTATTGCATCTTACCACCGCAAGCGCGCTTCTCATTTGACCTGGTACTGAGGACTACGGTAGACTGTCTTCCTCTCCTTCGAGCAAGAGGAGTGTGCTTGACTAGACGTCCATCACTCGTTCCTTCCCTTGGTCAAGACAGCGGATCGACCCCTCCCTCCACCGCCTCGCAGAATCATCAGCAGCAGCAGCCCCTCATCTCCGGCCTCAAGTTCATAGACAGAGCTCCCCTCTCGTGCCCTCGCCTCCATCTTCGGCCTATCCTTCTCGCCCACTCATACCCTCATCTCTCACCATGTTCGGCTCTTCACGACGCAACTCGCAGTCGTCTATCGCGACTGGCTCGTCCAAGCTCTCCAAGAAGGACATCAAGGCCATGCAAGCAGCCAAAGAGCGTCAAAGCGGTAGGCCGGGACATTTGGACCCGGGACAGGAGCACAAGCTGAAGCAGTTTAGGGCAAAGATTGAGGAGGCAGGCATCTTTAATCCGGAGAGGCATGATGATGCTTGTCGTGAGTGCGGGCGGTGCGATGAGGAGCAGCACAGAGACAGAAACAAGGGGGCGACGACTGACATGCTTTACTCATGCCGGCTATGCGACAGTCTGCCGCTTCCTTCGAGCACGCAAATGGGACGTCGAGGCTGCATTGACCATGTTCAAGGATGCGGAGAAGTGGAGAAAGTGAGGCGGCGCCCACGGACCGGAGAGTAGGAGAAGATCGAATGCTGACCAGCCATCGTCATTTGCTACCCCTGTCATCATTGCAGGGAGTTCAAGGTGGACGAGCTCTACGAAAATTTTGACTATCCGGAAAAGGAGAAGGTAAGAGGCCAGAGGGAGGTCAGGCGCGTGATCGATAGCCAGTTCACATCTTCGCCCCGCGCCGCCAGGTCGATGAGATCTACCCGCAGTTCTACCACAAGCAAGACAAGTGAGCAAGTAGTGATAATCATCAACTGGCAGATTGGCAGCTCACAGTCGCATCCATTTCTTTGTTCGCTCGCAGAGACGGTCGCCCGGTGTACATCGAACAGCTCGGCAAGCTTGACCTGAGGAAGCTCTACGAGGTCACCACGCCTGAGCGCCAGCTGCAGAAGCTCGTCGTCGAATACGAGAAGTTCCAAAGAGAACGTCTGCCCGTATGCACGGCGCAAAAGGGCGAGCTCGTCGAGACTTCGTGTACTATCATGGATCTGAAGAATGTGGGGCTCAGCCAGTTCTGGAAGGTCTCGGGCTATGTGCAGGAGGCGAGCAAGATTGGGCAGTACTACTATCCGGAGACGATGGGCAAGGTGAGCTCGAAAGGAAGAGATGGTGGGCTGTGACGGAGATGCTAACGGAATTGCCGCACCTCTTGGTCGCTGCAGCTCTACATCGTCCACCCGCCTTGGCTCTTCAACACCGTCTGGAACGTGATCAAGGTGAGTCAACGTCCAGAAAATGATCGTGCATCCATCTTGCTGACCATCCTCTCTCCGCGTGCGTAGGGATACCTCGACCCGGTGACAGTAGACAAGATCCACATTCTCTCTGACGACAAGCAGCTCCTCGAGCAGATCCCGGATGTGGACCTGCCCACCATCGTAGGCGGCAAGTGCGACTGCGCAGACAAGGGCGGATGCATGTCCTCTGATGCTGGACCGTGGAATACTCCCGATGGCAAGGAGATCATCGAGAAGGTCAAGCAGGAGGGCGGGGAGAAGAGGGAGAAGCACGAGGCCGGGGCGACGAATGGCAAGTGAGAGCAAGTGCCTGGGGAGGCAGGTGCGGTTCCATTGTCTGATCTATTGCACTTCTGGGCTCTTTGCAAATAAAGAAGAGAGATGAGACGTGACTTTGATGAAAGATGACCGACAAGATGGTGAGGTTGGTGGTAGTGAGCTCGATGGTCTGACCTGCAACAAAGATAGAACACCGGCCCTTGCTGCGCTGCTTCGCCCCGTTGGCCCTTGCATCGGATCGCCGTCGGCTCGACAGTGGTCCGAGCGTGGGACGGGGGCAAAGGACAAGTGACAGCTGCGAGAGAGAGTGAGTGTATGCTCGCTCCCCTCGAGCTGCTGATCATCACCATCATCCACACCCTCAAAGACTGACGTTTTCAACATGGCGCGCTCCGCCAGGTCGGACAGTACGGCCTCCGATGCCTCGTTAGAGGACGACCTGTACGAGAAGAAGGCAGCAGGAGAGGGAGGATATCACGACGAAGCAGAAGGAGGCGATGACGACTCTCTCGACGAGGAGGAGAGGGTCGGATTGATGAAACAGCATCATCCGAATACCACAAGAAGAGCAACTTCGCCTTCGCCAGCTCCCTTTCAGCCCCGCCATTCGAGGAAAAGGCTCCTTCTCTACCTCGTCGCTCTCGTCCTCTGCTTGATTCTGGTGGTGCCCCTCCTAGCCTGGTTGAGCTCCTCCCACCCAACGCACAATCCATGGGCGCATGTCGACGTCCTCATTCCTGGCTTCTCTGCCCCACCGAGTCCCTCCATCTCTGCGGCAAAGAAGCTGCCACCCTCGAGCAACGACGCCAAGGGCCAGTACGGCCTCGCGAATGCTCCCTCCTTTTCCGTCTCCGAGTACATCCCGGGCTGGGCTACACCGGAGGAGGCAGACGAGCAATTGTCCTTGTCCAAGGGCACTACGAGGCAGACGTTGGCTAGGCAGGGTTGGCGCAGCCTCAAGCCCGTGGGACTGGATACCATCTTCAATGGCACGTTGGACTATGCGGATCGCCGCCTGGACTGGAGCTACGAGGACCCAGACGAGGGCGTCTTCATGACTGTTGACCCGGTGGAGGGGGACATCGTCTTCGAAGATGTTACTCATGCGCGTCAGAATCAGACCGGCGAGGGGAAAGTAGCCAAGGGAGGAGGCAAGGTCACCTATGTCAAGGCGAGGGATGTGGTGGATGAGCACGGCGAGCCAGTCATGTGGGAGGAGTTCCACCCATCGCCTGATTTGGCAATGGTTTTTTTCACCACTGAGCAGAGAGACGTATGGCGCTACAGCAAGCGCTTCAGGCTTTGGGTGCATGATGTTCGCAAGAAGAAGACCATCCCCCTCGGTGAGGCGACACAGCTGCCCACGATCTCTAATGCCCAATGGGTAGGCAATACCAGTCTGGCCTTCGTCCAGAACAATGACCTCTACATCGCCCTGGACATCAATGTTGCCTCCTCCCCTCCTGCCGCACCTATTCGCATCACCAAGGACGGGACAATCACCACCTTCAATGGCGGAGCTGACTGGGTCTACGAAGAGGAGATCCTCGAGACGGATCACGCCCTCTGGGTTTCTCCTGGCGGTACCAAGCTCGCCTACCTCCGTTTCGATGAGTCCGACGTGCCCATCTACGAATTCCCCATCTATGCGGGAGGAAACGATACAGTTCACCCGGGGCAGGTGACCCCGTATCCGAAGAAGACGCAAATGAAGTATCCTAAGCCTGGTTACCCGAACCCGCGGGTAAGCGCGCATCTTGTCGATTTGGAGCGATTAAGGAAGGACCCAAGAGATGTAGAGGGGGCCAAGCTGGATCTTGTTTCCCCCACGAGCGTCACTGACGTGGGTGTGGCAGGTGGCGAACCCAATCGCGTCGACCTAGCTCTCGGGTCTATCGACGGGCAGAAGGAGAGTCTGGTGATAGACGTGGCGTGGCTAAGCGACGGGTCGCTCAGTCTAGTGGAGACGAACAGGTATAGCGACAAGAGCAGGCGACTGGTGTTCGACTTGACGAGGAGCGGCACCAAGAGCAAGCAGAAGGTCAAGGACATCGTCGTCGGCAAAGCTGTGCGCCATACAGACGTGGGGTCACGCAGCTGGATCACGCCCCGACACGACCTCATTGCCCTGGGCGTAGCAAGCTGGCGCGTCTACGCCCCATCTTCAACGGGTACCACGGCCTACCTCGAAGTCCTGCACAACGAAGCCGGATACGCGCACATAGCCTTCTTTCCCTCTTCTACCGCGGTCAAGCCATCACGTTGGCTTACGACTGGCGAGTGGGAAGTGGACCAGCTCCTCTTCGCCGATGTGAAACGCAGCAAGGTCTACTACTCAGCACCCCTACCCGGGCAGATCTGGAAGAGGCACATCTTCTCCGTCGATCTTGACAGCCATGGTGACAAGGCGCCAGTGGACATCACGGCCTCCTGGCCCACTAGCTCATTCGAAGCCTCTTTTGACCCCAAGGGGGCCTACGTCTCGTTGCGCTGTACAGGTCCGTCCATCCCCTTCACCCGCGTCGTAGGGCTAGACGACCCTTCCTTCACCTGGCATGTCCAGGACAACGAGAAAGCACGCAACGCCTCCGCCCAGCATGTCAAGGCGCACACCCTCTTCTACAATGTGACCCTCACCACCAGCAACCACGTCACGGCTACGGCACAAGAGCTTCGACCGCACGACTTTGATGCCTCGGGGTCTGTGAGGTACCCATTGCTCATTCACGTGTACGGCGGGCCGGATAGTCAGATCGTGGCGGGGAAGACTTTGCGCACCCATTGGCACGAGGTGCTTGCAACGCAGATGGGATACGTAGTCGTCCGAGTGGACGGTCGTGGCACTGGATTCCGCGGTCAGGCGTACAGAGAGGGGATCGCTCGCAACCTCGGTAGCGTGGAAGTAGAGGACGTCCTAGCCACAGTGAGGGAGCTACGTCGACTCCCCTACGTAGACGAGAAACGCATTGGCCTCTGGGGCTGGTCGTACGGCGGCTACCTGACAGCCAAAACCATCGAGGCCAACTCGGGAAAGGATCAGCTGCTCAGCCTCGGCATGTCCGTCGCCCCGCCAGCCAAATGGGAGCTCTACGATTCAGTCTACACGGAACGATTCATGAAGTCTCCATTGGGTCAGGATGATCGTGCTTCCGTCCCACCCGAGGCGAGCAATACGGACGGCTATGCCAAATCAGCAGTGCATGTCCCCCCCACCTCTGGCTTCTTTCGCACCCCATACCTCCTAGCCCATGGGACGGGAGACGATAATGTCCACTTTGGCAACTCAGCCCAGCTTCTCGACCTTTTAGAGTCTGCGCACATCAAGCCCGCCACGCTGTGGACCTTCAGGGCCTTTGTGGACTCACCGCACGGTATGTCCGTCCGGGGACAGTATCGTGCTTTGCATGAGTGGATGACGGGGTGGCTCGCGGAGAGATGGGGTGCGGGAGGGAAGAGGCGTTTCAGTGAGGGTGGGGAGGTGGTAGGGAAGGGAGAAGTGGTGGGAAAGGTTGGGAAGAAGAAGGGGACGAAATTGTTGGAGGAACATGGTAAGCGCGACGGTGCGGAGGAGGAGGAGGAAGAAGGGCAGTGGTGGCTGGACCGCAGACAGCATGAGCGTCATCGTAGCCGTGCGAGACGGAATAGGGCAGAGGGGCTGACGTGGTAGTGTACTGTAGATAGATTAAGACTCATAATGGGACTATCGACAATGAACTCTCTAGGAGTTGGTGTAGGTGTAGCGGCTGAGAAAGGGAGAGGTATGACGAGAAGACAACATGTGGAGAGGTGAAGACACGAAAGTCAAAGGGTGAGGTATAGGTAGAGGAGAGGAGGAAGAAGAGGAACGGTCGCGATAGTGTAGTGGTGTTGAAGAAAGATTGGCACGACAAAGCACTGCGTCATCAGCCACTGCCCTCCTCTACGACCTAGCGGGCGCGTTGGGCAAACGCAAGGGAGGAAGTACGATAGGCGCGTCCTCTCCACGTCCAGCAGCCTTGCCACTGCTGGTCGCTGATCCAGCTAAGCTAGGCGGTCGCCTTGCCTCGAAGCCATTAGCCGTGGCGTAGGCAGGCTGTGCATACTTGCCGTCCTTGGTCGTGGTCGACCTGTCCGACGAGCAGGCGAATGGGCGGGCGAAGGCCGAAGGAAGGTAAGAAGAGGACGAGCCCGATGATGCAACAGAGGCTGCTCCTGGGCTGCTCGCTCCAGCAAGATGGCCGCTGCTTGCTGGGTGTTGCGCATGGAAGTAGCCATTCCTCAGAAGACTAGCGGTGCCGGGCGAGGGAGAGGATGAGAGAGGAGCGGAGGGTGAGGGGAAGGGGAGGGAGGGCTTGCGTCCACTAGCAGTGGCGCTAGGATTGTGGGGAGCGCTGCTGCCGGCGCCGCGCATGTTGAAGTTGAGCCCCTCGAGGCGGAGCGGCTGCCAAGGGGCGTTGGAGTCGCTACTTCGCGATGAGGCGGCGATGGATGCGGGAGGAGGTGGAGCGTATTGCGAGGAGGAGGAGGAGGAGGACAGCCCGCTGCCGATTTGATAGTGAGGAGGAGGGGGTGTGGGAGGAACGGAACCACCGCCGCCGATCTGAGATGAGCGGCGATAGGCGTTCCAGGACGGCGATGAGGAAGACGACGACATTGAGGATGCCGGAGCGGGTCCCGCGGGATAGTCGTCGTACTGCGAGGTGGGACCTTCGCTGCCTGCGTAGTGATGGCTGCGGGGCTGAGTGGGAGGGGTGTAGGCGTACGGATGGGCTCGCCTTCCCACAGGGGCGGCAGAGGGATGGCCATGCCCCAGAGGACGTGGCAAAGTACGAGGATTGTAGTCGGAGTGCACCGATGAAGGGCTCGAGTGGGTGGCCATAAGACGATGGTGTTCCCGGATGGCATCGCTCGCGGTGCCCTTTGGGCCGCCGCCGTACGGTGCGCCCGCGCCGCTGTGGCTCTGCGCGTAGTCTGCTGCAGGAGTGGGGCCGGCGTTGGAGTAGCGCTTGGACCCATCGGCGTACATCATGTCCTCATCTTCCTCGTCGTCATCGTCGTCTTCGTCCATGTTCTCGCCCGCAGGCACATCATTGTTGCCCGCGGCAACACTGTAGCGAGACCTTCCGCCACGCGAGATGGAAGCTGACCCGGACGAGGCCCTACCCCGAGGCATGCCTACAGTCCTCTCGACCTTGCCGTCCCGCACGACGGCAATGGCGGTGCCCTCTTCGAGAGCTCGACGTCCCATCTCGGCGTGCGCATCGGATTGAGCATCGTAGGAAGGTGCAGAGGAGGGAGCAAGACTACCGCTGGCATCAGCCGCTTCGTCCTCTCCGACTGAGCGATTCTTTGCGAGTGCGTGGCCGGTTCGAAAGTGGGCGAGGGCATTGTCCTGTCGAGAAAAGCTCGCCTGACAGCCCGGAAATGTACAGCAGTACGGCTTCTGTCCCGTGTGGATACGGTTGTGCCTGGCCGCATGGCCGCTGGTGGAGAAAGTCTTGTCGCAGCCTGGATGGCTACAAGGATAGCGCTTCTTGCCGCCTTGAACGATGGTAGCGCGAGGCTTGTTGCTGCGATGCGAAGAAGTTGAGGCTGCGGTGGACGAAGGTGCTTCGCTGCCTCGCGCAGAGACCATGTCGTCTTCATATCGCGGCGGGGGATAGAGACCCGCTGATGGTTGCAATGGGGCTGACGGACGAGGAGGGGCAAGCGAATTGTATGGCTGAGGGGAGCGAGAGAAGACGTTGCCGTCGAGAACCTTGCCGCGCGACGACGATGGTTGAGAGTCTGGACGAGTAATATTGGTAGCTTCGCTCGATGTCCTGCTCGAGCGAGAAGAGCTGTTGAACATTGAGTCGGCGCCGGCACGGCTACCGCTAGCGCTGCGACTGCCATGACCATGGCTGAAGCCCGTTGAGAGTGACGACGATGCAGAGGGCGAAGGCTCCGAGGCATTGACGTCGGTCTGTATGGGCGGCAGGCTGGCATTAGCGCCGCTACTGCTGCTGCTGCCGTTGTTGAGGATGGAGACTGTGCCTCCAGCTGCAGCTGATGGCATTTGGAATGAGGTCATCTTGAGAAGACGAAGAAGAGTTGCTGCTGCTGCTGCTGCTGCTGCTCCCGTCGCTATGAACGAGGATGACTAGAAGGCGTCAGAGTGGTGGATGGCTGCTTGTCGACGAGAAGACCGTGTTGCATGTATGTGGTTCACGATGACCAAGTGAGTTGCAGAGTTGAGAGGGCTAAACAAACTGAGACGAGGACGGGGATCGAGACGATGGGGATCGAGAGAGGCAGGATTCAAAGTCAGGCAGGTGTCTAGATGATCGAGGGTCCAGGGGTCCTGATTCCTCTGCCACTGTCGCTGCTCGGTCGCTGTTGTCGGGGCCTGTCTCTGTCTTCTTTGACGAGAAAGGCGCTGGCCCAGCTTATTCCGCGCGAGAAGCAGTCGCCGTAGGGGGAGAGAGCGAGCGAGCGACAGAGCTCTAAGAGGAGACCGAGTGGCAGCCTTGAGAAAGCAGGCGACAGGGCCGAGGCCTCGACACAGAAAAAAGGGTCTCCGAGCGTCGAGGTCGACGAGCTCTAAAGTCGGGACAGTGGCAAAGTGCCGCAATGCTATTCGCCACCAAGCACGCACGCCCAGACCTCGACGACGCTCTAAACTCACGATAGGGCGCCTGCTTGCTTGTCTGTCCGCGAGCTTAGCCTTGCTTGCCTTAGACCACGACTTGCGAGCTTGTTGTCAATGCCAATGCGCGCCTCCTCGCTCGCTAACACGCAAAAGACAGCGCCTGGCTTTGTGCCGGAGGGCGGGCGTCGGCCTGTCGTCTGCCTCGCTCGGCCGCTGCCACCAGCTAATGCTTGCGATGTTGCTGCTGCTGCTGCTGCTGCACCCTCTGGATGTTGCTTGTGTCAGACGAGTCGACGGAGCTGATTGTGCACCCGCGTAGGTACGATGTGTGAGCCTCCGCGCAGACGAGAGATACAAACGAGACGATCGCGAGAGCGGGTCAACCAACGCCAATGAAATTCTCCAGGCGAAGACGACGTGATAGCCAGGCTGCTGCTGAGCATCACCTTCGCCGTCGCAGTCCTCGTCGTCGTCGTCGTTCACTGCTCTCTTGTCGAGAGAGACTTCGACCCCTGCGTGGCGAGAGACCGTGCAGAGAAGCATGAACTCACCCAATTCTGCTTCGTTGCCTTGCCTTGCCTTGGTGTGCTTGCGCTGTGCGTGCGTCAGTCAGTCCAGAAGGAGCAAGGCTCGAGTCGCGCTGCGAAGGTCCAGATGCGCCTGCTGCTAGAGGACGACGAGGATGAGGCTGATGATGAAACCTGAGATTTTCCCAGCTCACGGTCCCCCCGCTCCCTCTACTCCTCATCACCTCGCCACTCAACGTCAGTCTTCTTTTGCGCTGGCTCGCCAATTCGAGGTAGGTTGCCGATCGAGGTGGAAAGAAGCTACAAGGATCGGGCTGGGCTCGGGCACGGGACGCTGAGCCGCTCGCACGGGCAACATGATGAGAGCGGCCTTCATCGCGCGACATCGCACGTCGACTTTCGTCATTGAACGGCGGCTTGACATTGACTGCGAGAAGCGACGATGATAGGGCGACCAAGACGCGGCGATCATCCATCGATATGGCAGTAGTGACGTAGGACCCTGCTTGATGCTCGATGATGCGCCCCAGTTTTCCCGCCAGATCGATGACGACGACGACCAAGGCTCTAAGGGTCTAAGGGTCCGAAGGCGAGCAGACAGCAGGAGCTCTAAAATGACCCTCTTGCACGCCCGCTGGACCCTTCTCTGCCGCCCGTATCGCTACCCGGGCGCTCTTTAGACTTAGGACCCTGCAGAATCTTCGTCAAGTGGGTGAGGATCGAGACCCTGACGCAGTGGAGAAATAGATACGAGACAATGTGAATTTGAGATTGCGGATGAGACAAATGTTCTTTCGTTGGTGTCGTTGATGTGATATGAAACAGAAAGGAGGACGAGACAGAGAACAGAGACCAAACAACAAGGGTCATCACCATGCGCCGCGTTGTCTCAGATACGAAGCGCCTCGGCCCCACCAGGCCCACCCTGACTCTCCAAGTCATTCTCGTCCTGCGCACTCATGTTCAGTGGGGCAAAGAGGCCACCAAAGAGGGGTGAGGTCATTGGTCCACCAAAGGTGGAAGAGGGCAGGCTAGGCACAGGACCGTTCCCTGCTACAGCGCGCGTGGGGGGCGTATTGCCTGGCAGGGAGAGGTCGATCTTCTGCTGTGGCTGGAGGCCCAGTTGCTGGTGCTGGTGCTGCGAGGTGGCGGGCGCTGTAGAAATTGCTGCTCCACTGGCCTGCTGCTGCTGCTGATCATCGCGCGGCGCCGGTGAGGCCCTTGGCGATGCTTCGGTGAGGGAAAGCTTAGGCATCGCACTCGATGGCGAGAGGCTGGGCGGCGCTTGCAAGGCAGGGGCAGCCGCAAGTGCAGAAGTCCCTCCAACAGTAGGCGTGGAAGGAGCAGAGGCCAACGCGCTCGTACCAGCCTCGTTCTCGCCAAAGATGTGCTCAACTTGCAAGCGCTGCTTGTCCGCTCGTGCCGCTGCGCGCTGCGCTGCTCTGCGCGCCTTCTTCTCACGCTTCTCCTTCTTTGTGAGCTTACCGTGGGGTGTCGCTGCCACAGCTGCTGACCCCGAGGCGATCGCGTTGCTGCTCGATGCACCTGGCGTCTGCTGAACGTTCCCGTTACTGCCGCCTCCGCGTACTGGCCAGAGCACAGGCGAGACGACCATGGATCTTCTGTCCCCCTCTGCATGCGGGGAAGGCACTACCATGTGCAGGCTACTCCCTAAGCTGCCTGTCCTACGGAAGGGCGAGTGATGATGGTCTTCCTGCCTGTTGCTGTTTCGCCCAACTCTCTGCAGCAAAAAATTGCCCATCATCGGCTGAGGCGGAGCAGGCGTCGTGGACGGCCCAGCTCCTCCGCCTCCGGCACGGGACTGCTGCTGGTCTCGGAATGCGCCCATGGGGATTTTACGCCAGCGAGAAAAGGCACTGGACGTCATTGCGTAACCTGACGGAGCGCCTGAGGTGGTCGAAGAGCGACGAGAGCGAGAAGTGACCCCGTCCGCAGCTGCCGTGCTCTCCGAGGCTGCATCCGAGTCCTGCTCCTCATCCGACGAGTCGCTGCTACGCCACAGCATCGAGCCGTCCACTACATCGTCGAGATCCATTGCGAGCGGAGCGCTCCTGACTTCGGGCGAGGACGGCGCCTCACTTGTGTCGTCGCGACGAGCCCGCTTCGATGCGACGCTCTGTCCAGGGGCTTCGAGGGCAGAGCGGCGTGGTCTGCGCTTGCCAGCGAGGCCCTTGCGCTGCAGCGAGTACTTGCTCGTGAACGGTGAAGCAGCTTGGCGTGAGCCGTCGATGACTGCACGATGCACTGACTTGGTAGATGAAGGCATAAAGGAGCCCATGGCTGGTCGTGCGTCTGGCGATTCGCGGGCATCACCGTTGCTTGGCGTTGCGGGTGGTACCGCGGCAGTACTCGGTGATGGCCTTGATGGTGAGGTAGCATTGCCCTCTTGCGGATTTGAAGGATTGGTACCGACTTCTTCGGCCACCTTGCTAGAACTCGCGCCTGCCGTGTTGGGTGACAGCCTCCTCATCTGCGCAGCCAGAGCTCGAGCTCGGCGAGATGTGCGTCCTCCTCTTGGGTCGACTGATCCAACTAGCAGACGCGGGAAGGGCATCTCCTCGTCCGGCAGCTCGTCAGTTGTATCTCCGTCGTCTTCAAAAACGTCCGCGTCCCTGCTTGCAGCCCTGCTCGCTGGAAGTCGAGTCATACCGCTGCTGCTGCCCTGCCCCTGCGTTTCCCACTCGGCCGCCGTTGCCGCCCAACGAGGGTCGCGAGCGTCCAGTCCCAAGTCGTCGACCTCATCGTCCGAGTCGTCATCCGAGCTAGACTCGTCTACGAATTCAAACTCTCCATCTGACCCGAACACGGCCTCGCCATCTCCCGCGCGCGCGTAGATGAGTCGGCCGTCGAGATCTTCGATGACGAGCAGCGGGATGTCCTGTGCAGCAATCTGAGCCCCAGCTTCCATTGCCGCTTGAAGCTGCTCAGCCGTCTGCGGTGCGCCATTGACTGCGCCGACGTGAGCGAGAAAGGGCTCATCGATGCCCATGAGTGTGTCCTCGATGTCGCTGATGTCGTCGTCTTCTTCGTCATCGTCGTCTGAGGTGAGCTCGTCGTCGTCCGTCGTCATTGCATTGGCTCCCTCGTCGTCCGCTGCTTGGAGCCCTTCATCGTCTGAGGCGAAGAAGTCGGTGAAAGAGGGCTCAGAGTCGCTATGGAAACCAGTCTGCTCTTGCAGCAGCTCGTCGCCAATTGTTGAGAGGCCGAGCAGGCGCATCGTGTCGGGTGACATTGAGCCGATGTCGGAAAGATTGTCGACATCGTCGCCTTCGCCACCGTTAACGCCATTGCTGCTACCTTCGCCATGGTTTCGGACGCTTGCGCGTCTCGCACGCTGCCTCGCCCTCATCGAGTTTCGCGCCTTTGCCTTTGTCTCTGCGACGATGAACCGCTCCTCGTCATCTTCTTGCTCGTCTCCTGACTCGCCTGAGCCGAGGAGAGACTCGCCATCGCCTGCTGCTTGGAGCTTAGCGGCCATTTCGCCGTCCGAGTCTGAGTGCTCGAGGTCGTTGGTAGAGGGTGATGGGAGGGAAGGAGCGTCGGACAGGTCCGAATCATCCTTTAAAGCAGCATCGACATCGTCATCTGCGGCCTCATCTTCGTCCAGGTCGTACGACTCCTTGCGTACCGACGCCTTGCGCTCCGGTCTGGATACCTTGCGGTTGGATGACTTGGGTCGCCTGGATCTGCCTGGCAGAGGTATTCTCTTTGGGCCCTGCGAGGACGACATGATTGCTGCAGAGGGCGATGGTTGCTTGCTGTGTCTACTTGTGGATGCTGCTTGTTGCGGCGAAGGTATAATCTGCCGCTGAAAGCCTTGAATGGATGGTACGGGAGAAGACGCGCCGGAATGCGTAGGGCTGGATGCGAGTCTTCTTTCTGAGGGAGGTCTATGGGAGGGTCCGAAGCGAGCTGTATGCGCCGGTGATGGAGACATGGTTGTGCGGTGAGCCTCGCTGCTAATGTTGACCGCTGCTGCTCGCCCCTCTCTATGTGTGCTCACGGTGATCGGTCAAGCCTGCTCGAGGCATCTATGGTCGAGGAGCCGCCTGTAATTGGTTCGTGGTGTGTGGGTTACTCAGTGCGCAGTCGCGCAGCCTCACAGCGCTTTGGTCCGCTGCTGTTGATGGTGTCGTGGAGCTGTTCGGTGAGATGAAGCTGTGAAGGGGCTTTTAATCATATTCTCTCTGGCTTTGAATGGATGGATGGACGAGGAACGCTATGCCAATCTGCGAGGGCACGGCGAGGTTTGGGTGGGATGTTGAGCATCAATGTGATCAAGGAGCTGGACAGGATCGACGACCGGCTTACCTGAGATGTGATTGAAGCTTTGCGCTCTCGATTGAAATTCGTTCCTGAGCGAAGGCGTCGCTGGAAGGCCCGCGAGTGCGGCAGCGAGGTGGGCTCAGAAGATAATGAAGTTGGCTGAGCGGGTAGCTCGGCGGCGACGTGGAGAGTCGAGGTGTGCAATGGAGCAGGGACGTTGTGATCGCTGCTCTTCGCGATTGTGCAAACTGCCGCTGAGAGATGTAATGGTAGTGGCGGCGTCGGTGATGAAGAGTGGTAGTCGCTACGTTGTCTAGGTTGGAAGGTTCAGAGGAGGGAGGTGGTGGACAAGGAGACGGCTCGTCGCCGGACGGACATCGTTTAGACGGCGGCTTCGAAATTTCAAAGGCGGCAGAGCAGTGTGTGTCGTTTGGGCGGGCCAGCCTCGCCTCGCTTTGAATCCACTGGCTCTCCCAATTCCAATTCCTCCATTTCCACACCTACGCCGGCTCACGCGGAAGGGCCAAGGCAGACGACGCTATTCAAGCTGCAGCCAGAGACAGCTCCGTACGTAGAGCCGGGGGCGAGACGTACGTACGTACGTAGAGCGCAGCAGCGTTTAGCAGCGCAGAAGCAAGTCATAGCGCAGCAAGGCTTGAGTCACGGCGGAGAAGTCGACGAGGTTTTGGCAGATGCTGCTCCACGCATGCTATTCGCCCCAAGTCTCTCGCTGCGTGACATGGGTAAGAGTCACAAGTCACACAATCACAGCGCTATGGTGTCTTGGTCGCATAAACTACTCTTCATTTGGATAAGGGCCGCGAGAGACAGACACGCTTCGATCGTGGGGAGCGCGAGCGAAGAATGGCGGGTATGCGGCGTCTCGAGACGAAGTGGAAAGGCTAGGTATCGAGAACGCTGGGTGTACGAGGCTACAACGACTAGAGAGGAGAAGACAGAGGAGACGAGAAGCTGTTGTTACATGACGACGAGCGAGCGGGCTAGCTGAATTGCAGCCCTTTTGCGCCACGCCGCTAGCTGTCGAGACCAAAGCCACCCTCGACCTTACCCGACGTGAAGCCAAGGTCGTCGCTCTCTCCCAGCCCAAAGTGGGACCCGTCGAGCTTGAAGGCATCGTCACCGCCAGCAGCCATGCTAGGAGGTACAGGCTGCTGACCGCCACGGCTGTTGGATGCACCTGCGCCTTGGTTATTGTTCCATCGACTCGGGTCGTCGTCCGTCGTGGTTGCCGCTTGTGTGCTCGTACCGTCCTCGGTGTAGTCGAAGCCGTGACCCTCCTCGTCCTCATCTCCACCATCGTCTCCGTCGTCCTTGTCGCCGTCGCCTCCGCCGCTGGTACCTGGTGCGAGGCCGTGCGACTGCTCGTACTCCTTGCGCTGACGCTCATACTCGACCTTGTCAGCCTCAGCCTTCTCGAGGAAGGGCTGCTTCTCCTCCTCGGGCAGGCTGCGCCACTTGGCAGCGGCGAGGACCGACTGCTTCGTAGTCTCTTGCTCGCCGTGGAAGACGTCCTCGGTCATCTTGGGGTCGGCACGGATGGCACGGAGGAAGAGGAAGTAGGCACTCAGGGGCTTCTTGGGCGCATTGGGGTCCTTGAGATTACCCTTGCGGGACTTGCCGGCCTTGCGCTGCGCAGTACGGAACATGTTCTCCTGCTTGATGTCTTCAGGCGTGAGCGTCTGCTTCCAGGCCAGCATATCGCGCTCCCACTGCTCCTTGGCCTCGTCGGAACGACGCTTGAACTCCTTCTTGGCCTCGTCAGGCAAGGCTGCGTAGCGCTGGCCGGCGTCCTTGGCGACGTGAGCAACATTGAGGCGTGCGCCGGGCTGCTCGGCCTTGATCTTCTGCAGCTCCTCCGTGAAGTAGACTTGCCACGCAGAGGGAGCCTGCTTAGGCGGCTTGAGGTGAGACTTGAGGACGGGAGGCTTGGCGGGCTCCTTTTCCTTCTTCTTCGAGGGCTTCTCTGCGGCAGGAGCGCCCCCTTCAGCGCCACCGTAGGGATGATGCCTATCAGCACCACTGTTGGCCTTGCTGCTCTTCGCTTTGCCACCACCGCCGACGGCCGAGTCAGCAGACGCATCCTCCTTCTTCGTGGCCTTTTTGGTCGTTGCGGCTCCGCTCGTCGAGTTCTTGCGGCCGCCACCGGTCGAGGCCTTTGCGCCCTTTGCTGATGCTCCTTTGCCACCTGCGGCAGGCTGCGCAGGAGCGTGATGGGCAAGCGGGTTGTAGTTGCCACCAATAGCGGCTGGGATCATGCCTGGTACTGTAGCGTGAGGGTGGTGTCCCATCATGCCGTGGACGGACGGATCTTGGTAGTACATGCCGTGTTGAGCCATGTGCGCGTACTGAGCCGGGTGGAAGTCACTTGCGCCAGCGCCAGATAGCATGGATTGAGGCGTAGGTCCAGATCCGCCAAAGCCCGCAGAGGGGACGTGAGAGTAGTGCTGCTGGGGGGACGCGCCGTGACCATGGGCAGCTTGATAGTGAGGGTAGCCTTGGTACATGCCCATGTGCCCGTGCTGGGCTCCTTGCTGCTGAAGGTAGGACATTGAGGGTGACTGCTCGCCGTGAGAGCCGTAGGGCGCGTGGTGCTGGCCGTAGCCCGAGTGGACGTTGTGACCGGCGTGATGACTACCGGCCCCACCAGCTCCACCACTACCTGCTGCACCTCCTCCTGCGTATGATCCAGCTTGATTGTAGAAGCTGTGCTGATTGGCAGCGCCGCCCTCGTGTGAGAAGGCTGAAGGCTGCATGACTTGATAGCGCGTCGACGCGACGTGACGCGGCCTATTGATGGCGATGACGAGGTAGCGCGGTAGCTAAAGCGGCACTGAGACCGGACAGATGTTGTTCCTGGGAAGGAGCGAAGAGTGCAAAAGAGGGCGAAGGTGGAACTACGTGGTGTGAGTGCAAAGCTCGCAGCTTGATGGGAATGAGACGGATGTGGATGGGAGTGGGGAAAGAGGAGGCGAGTCGAGGCGGAGCGTGGCGTGGCGTGGCGGGAGGGCTAAGGGCCAGCCAAGGGCGGAAGACGAGAGGCCGCGCGCTCCCGATCTTGGCTCTGATTCCGCGTGCAGAGCTGATCTCGGGGCCAGCGACAAGGGCGACGATTACGTCGTGCACTGGTAGGCGCTGGTGGTGGGCTAGCGATGGGCGAGAGCGACTAGGTGTGATGGCCAGAGAGCAGCTCGATCGCCCATGATCACCTGCTCGCCAGTACCATCACCGTCTGGCAGCGATAGTGACGAGTGGCATCGCGGTGGTGATGAGGTGTCGTGATGAGATGACATGAGACTGCGTGGAGTAGAGCGACGACGACAAGGGTGAAGCCGCGATGCTACCACGCTGCCATCCACCTCATCCAGCCCGTCCACCCTCGCTGCATGATATAAAGCTGACCATGGTAGCAAGAAGAAGAGCAGGAGGTGGTGATAGGGAAGATGCGGAGGGAAAGGGATACTCGTGATGGAAAAGGAGAGAAAGGAGAGCATCGCCGCGGTGTGCTGGTGCGAGTCATGGCGTCGACAATAGCCAAGGCACAAACTAACTACCAATGCAATAGCGGCCAGTCGAGGGCCCAGGTACCGTACTCGAGAGCGCAACTGACACGGCGACGAAGCGATCGACCAACACTCACTCACTCAGTCACTCACGCTTTGACTTATTGAGCACGCACGAAGCGGATGGCGGGGCCGATGCGTCGCCGTGTGCTTTGCTGCTGCTGCTGCTGCTGCTGGTTGGCGGCGTGGTGCGTGCGAGGCGGCTCGCTCGTACGCTGAATTGCTTCCTTCTTTGCCTTTGCCTTTTGCCTCGTTGATGAGTTGAGGGCGGCCTCGCGCTCTCTCTCTCACACTGTGTGTCTTTGTTTGGGCTTGAGTTGAGTAGAGTGAGGCTGTGGCGGCGGCAAGGGCGGGGGCAACGGGAGCGGCGAGATGTGGAAGGCGGGGGAGAGAGAGAGGGACGACGGCGATGAGAGTGCGATGTGGGTTCGGGGGGAGAACGACGAGAGGGGAAGAGTGGTGAGGAGGGAAAGGAGTGAACAGAGAGACGAGCCGCTGACCTCAGGCAGATCGACGGCGGATGCGGGCCGCGCGCGGCGGCGGCAAAGGGGGCTTCACAACCAGTGGGCGGGCTTAGCCTGGCTCAGCGAGCGAGCGAGCCAGAGAGACGTGCGTCCTACGCCCAGCCAGCCAGGCAAGCAGGCCAGCCGGCGAGGAGGGAGGGCGAGCGAGTGAGGGGGCCAAGGCTCAAGAAACCAAATTTGAGCTTTCGGAGAGTGGGGCGTACGATGCGATGCGATGCGATGGCATGGCCTGGCAAGACACGACGACGGATCTCAGCTCGGGCTGGGATGCTGCTCAAGCAAAGCCTGGTCTCCATTCTCATCCTCGACGTGACTCAATGCCAAAGTCTCGTCTAGACGCCGGCAGCCTACCACTGTCACTGTACGGCCTGGACTCCCGACGACCACCGAAAGCAGCTTCGCGCACAGAGTAGACTAGCTGGCGGAATGCTGCTACTGCAACCAGCGTTTGACGGCCGCTACGAGATGGTCGCGTTGTTGCGGCGTGCTCCAGAAATGGTCTGCTCCCTCGATCGTCGATACGGTGACGCCGTTAGAGCTCCTGTCGAGCTCCTCGCACCACTTGCGATAGCTCTGCATTAGCATCGAGCGAGTGAAAGAGGACGGCTGAGCTCGTGATGCTACTCATCCTGTCCGCTGCTCTTCACCGCACTCACCTCTGCCTTGGTGAACTGATCTGTGGTGCCTTGGACCAAGAGCACCCGAATCTGCTCGAGCTGAGTGATCGCAGCCACCCGTTGCTTCCATCTCGTAGCAGCGAACAGCGACAGCGCCCACAGCTTGTCGAGAGGAAACGAGATGAGAAGGTAGCGTAGGGCAGGGTCGAAGACGCTCGGTAGCTGGAGATCGCTGGCGGCCGAAGCGTACATGGCCCCAGCAGAGTAGCCTGCAATGACTAGGACGGCTCCTGTAGCTGAAGGGAAGTCGTGCTGAAAGCTGGCAATGCTGGCTTGTGCGACCGCCTGCCATTGCGTGATGGTGGTCAGCGAGCTGTCAACCTCTCAATGTCCCCTGCCACGCGCCTTATAGTCTTGCGCCTCTACCTCTCCTGTCCAGCTACCTCTGCCCCCACTCTGTCCTACTCCTCGCGAATTGAATCGTACAGTCCGAAAGCCTCTAACGCCAAGCACTTGAGCGACTGTCATGACGACGCCATCTGACAGCGAGCCGCCGAGGAAGCCGTATGCTGACCGGGGCGAGGAGGTGGTGAGCTCTTGATCATCCTGGAGGTGAGGAGCCTGTCTCACGGTGAGCGATGATCGCTAGCCCTCGAGGCGTGGCACCACGAGGCGGGTCGTCAACCCTTGCCTCGAGCTCGACGCCATCAGAGCTAGCGGAGATGAACAACAAGGTCATGGCATATTAGAGAAGTGGGACGAGGGCGGAACCCGTGCAGGCCAATCAACACCACGGCTCGCCGGGCACGACGCGATCGCAAGGTGGGCCACCGCAGAACGTCGTTCAGGGCCGAATTGACCTTACAAATCCGGCTTGCAGCTCGACTTTGCCGTAAGCTCAGCCTTACGGAAAGGTGCCACAGACGGTATCATTCGCTTCTCTCAATTCGTATGGTCACATTCGCAGATCCCAGCCACCCTGGAAGGTCAACAAGATGAATCTATCGCTTTGGGTCAAGGGCAATTTTGAATGGCACGCACCACCGTCGTCGTCTGCTCACACACGAGCTCTCGGCCTGTCGAGCGCCCGATCATCACCTGCACCAACAAGCCACCTGTCCGAACGGCTGTGTTTGGCGGCATTTGCGAGGTTAGCGGAAGCTCGGTAGCCAACTCGTAGAGGTCGGACTCGACTCACGCCCTCCGATGGTTGGCCTGCCAGACATATCATGTTCGGCGTTGACGTGCAAGTGCGATCGAAAGCGTCAACGGTGCAGGACGCGTAGCGACCGCGACAAAGCCCGGTGATAGTGCTGCGGATCTCGCCGTGAAGGAGGACGAACACGGTCACTGCGGGCAAGAGCGAGGGGCAGACATTCGGTCAATCATTCGCTCGCCTCAAGGCCTACTCTCAATGTGGTCTCAGCGAGACTCTTACGGGTGTGACCACCGCCAATCTGGACGTAGGGCGCGCGACGTAGAGGGCAACGAGGACACCGTGCCCCTTCCATGTCCTTTGCGACCGCGCAAGCCGACTTGCCTTCCCCACAGTCGCTGAGAATCTCACCCTGGCGTGTTTCGAGGTGCGTGCTCAGCGTCTCATTGAAGAGAGCAGGTATATCGTTGGGGCCCACCGGGGCAGCTGCTGCAGTCAAGAGGAAGGAGAGAAGCAGAGTGAGGGTGGGGGTGAAGGGCAGATTCATGGCGATGGTGCTCGAGGAAGTGAGACAAGAGATGAATTACTCAAAGAGGGACGTCACTGCTTCCATCTGCTAACGTTCAGCCATGCAGCATACGGTCAGTGAGTTTCGGACCTCTCCCAGTCATCTCAAGGTATGCACGTCACGGTCAGAGCTTGGTCACGCCCGTCGGGAGTTGAGTGGTACAGAGATAAAATCCCTTCGCCGTCGACGAGCAGCAGAGCAGACGCTTGTGCCCTGTATAGCCGCTATCACTCTTTTGGTGGTACTGTGAAGGGGAGCAGCGACTGAAAACAATCTTCGCCATGCGATGAGGAAGAGGGAGGAGAGTCGGAAAAGGCGGTCCGTGCAGCCTCCACCTCCGGATCCCCGTAGACGAGGTCGTCAACCCTTCCCCACTTTCTCACTACACTCACACAGCTCGTCCTCAACATCCATTGGGGGAAGGAAGAGGCGATACCTCGCATTGGTGGAAATGACTCTCATCTCCAGTCTGCCCCGAGCGCCCCTCGCTGTCGCTGCTGTCTCGCGACGATGCTACTCAACCTCCCGCTCTCCCCTCCCGCTCGCCTTTCTCGACTATGGTGATGCTTCCTCTCCCTCTCCCTCTCCGTCACAAGGCGTCACGCTCCTCACCCTCAACCGTCCTGAAGCAAAGAATGCCATTAACAGCCAAATGCTCGACGAGCTTCACACCGCCGTCGAGAGCCTGCAACACGATGGCCACACACGCACACTGATCATCAACTCCATGGTGGCCGGCGCCTTCTGCTCTGGAGCAGATCTGAAGGAGAGGCATAGCATGAGCAAGCAGAACTTTCATAAATGGCATGCTAAGCTGGGACATACGTTCAGGGGCTTGGCCAATCTGCCGTTTCCTGTCATTGCAGCTATGGATGGCTTGGCGCTAGGCGGGGGACTGGAATTGGCCTTGACTGCGGACTTTCGAGTCGCTGGACCGCTCACTACGAAGCTAGGATTGCCAGAGACTAGGCATGCGTGAGTAGTGTGAAGGATATGAAGAAGGACGAGCAGAGTGGCTCTCATGCTCACTGCCACCCCTCGCTCGCTCAGCATCATCCCGGGAGCAGGCGGGACACAGCTTCTGTCACGGCTCATCGGCCCCTCAAGGGCCAAGTACCTCATCTTTTCGGGCCGGATCTTTGATCGCGAGTATGCATACCAGCACGGCATCATTGACGAGCTCGCAGACGATGGTCCAGAGGAGGGGGAGGGCCATGCGCATGGTAATGAAGGTGAGTGGGAGTGGAAGCGAGTGTAGAGATCGGCTCGGAGTGAGCTCTGACACTTCTTCCTTGCCTCACTCAGCCGGGCTTCGCTTGGCACGCAAGATGGCACAGCAGATCGGACAAGGAGGTGAGCGAGCGATGCTGGACATCGTTGATGGGAGCCGCTGCATGCTAACTTCTTCGCCTCCTCCCTTCCATCCCGCCTTCGCTAGGTCCTCTCGCTCTCCGAGCGGCCAAGGCAGCCATCAACAAGGGTCTCGATATGGATGTCAATACGGCCATGGAGTGGGAAAAGGCCTGCTACAAGACGCTCTTCGATACCAAGGACCGGGAGGAGGGCTTGCTCGCCTTCAAGGAGAAGCGCAAGCCCGAGTACAGAGGGCAATGAGAGGGTGAGGAGGCGAGAGATTGCTGCTACTGCGGAGCGCATTCTATATGGCTCTCGACTTCCCTTTCTCTGCTCAATAAAATCATCGATGCTGGGCTGGACTGGACTGGACTGAATCGGAGAGTGGTGTGGTGGAGCAGAGCAATATTGACGGGAGCCGCGTTCGTCTCTGTCCGTCGTCGGTCGTCCGCACGCGTTTTGCAGCTTGGCATCCTCCCCATCTCATCTTCATCTACTTCGTCCATGCCCACCTAGCTTATCACGATGATCCAGCTGCGGATCGAATAGCTTCACTACCACCTCTGCTCCACGCGCAGGACGCATACACGCTTCCATCCTCCGGTCTTGGCCCTCGTCACTGTCATCGTCCTGCTTCTGCGCCTGCGCTCTCATACTCCACCTTTGCCATCCATTTAGTCAAACGCTCACGGACAGTGGGCTTTCCATAGCATACAGTAGCTTCACCGGCACCTTCGAACAGCCATGACGTCGCTCACTACTTTATTCAACGTCGGGCCAGAAGAGTACGTCGAGTTCAACGAGTCACTAGGCAGCAAAGCCTTCCTAGAGCACGTCTGGGATCAAGAGACTACGCCGCTCAAGCAAGGAGGTGAGCAGAAAGGCGTGGCCCCCATGTCGCCCTTTGAATCGTCCCACTGACCTACTCCTTGTCCCCTCTTGGATCCTAGAAACCGCCGACTCTCGTCTCCGCAGCGCCGGAGCCCGTCTCTCGTCCACCACACCACCTAGCATCGAGTTCCCCACAATCCACCGCGTCAAAGGCCAAGGAAACTCGTATCGCTTCACCGGCCGGTGGATAGCGTGGGAAGAGCTACATCGACGTCACCCCATGGCGGTGTCTTCCCCGCCCGACGTGGAAGCTTTTCAGCGGCGAGGAGCCAAAGTGGGGGAAGGGGAGAGGCTTGGCGCAGGGGAGTGGTTGGGAGAAGAGAGCTTGAGTGCCGCAGCGAGGAGGAGAGGGGGAGGAATAGAGAAGAAGGAGACGAGAGAAAATGACGGATGGATAGGGAGGGGAAGTAGCCAGAGCAGGTATGCGCCCAAGCCTGCGGGCGCAGCTTCAGCGGCCGCACCGCCTGCGCCGCTTCCTGCTGCTACGCCGCTCCTCCAAAGCAATGGCTTTGCAACCTCCTCCTCAGCATCACCAGCTCCTCGCTCCACGTCCCTCTTGGATCGCTTCACTTCGCCCGGCGAGGACGAGCAGCAGCGCCGCCAAGGGCCAGCGCCAGCTGCTCCAGCTGCCCCCTTCCCGAACTCTCCCAAGACACCAGCTCGCAACAGGCCACCCCAGCTAGACCTCAACTCCACTCCTGTCCACATGAGGCCGTTCAGCCTCCCGCTCGTTTCCCCTTCGACGACGAGGACGCCGCTCAGCGCTACAGCCCCTCTGCCGGAGACGCCGCTGAAGCACGGGACGAACCTGCCCTCCACCAATGCTCCGAACGCAGCAGCACCAGCAGTAGCCCCGAGTGCTTCCGGCTCAACAGCCCGCCAAGCACTCTCTGAGCGCCGTCATAGACCGCATGTCCCACCCATCTCACCAGCAGCGCACGAAGAAGCCACTCGTGGCTTGGGGCTCGGCCTGGGGCTCACTCCCACCCGCCCTACGGCTTTCGCGGCTGGGGGACCCCTGTCACCTGTAAACACGAGACGGGTCGAGCTACCCACTATCCCCGCTTCTGAAGCGGGTCGCGATGATACTGATGAGGAGGGCGAGGGTGAGGCGACGTACAAGGCGGGAGAGGGACTTGGAGGAGCTTCTCACGAGACGGTCGGCGTTGGCGCTGGCGGGAGAGACGAAGCGGTTGATCAAATCGAGTCGATGCTCCTGCGACTACGTACGGCGAAGACTGGGTTGAAGACCGCGGGAAGCTCTGCTAGTCGATGGGCTACCCCGCCCGCGCAGAAGGCTGCACTTTTGCCGGCTGAGTCAGAGCCCGCAGCGCCTCGTTCACGAGCTGCTGCGCATCAGCCAGACCCCGAAAGCGAGGACGAGGGCGAGTCGACGCCTGTGGTGGCAAAGGTCAGCGGGGATGACCAGCAGAAAGGCTGGGATCTACTCTCCCGGCTCGGACCCGCAGCTCCCTCCTCCTCAACCTCCGAGGCCATCCTCTCGCCGCCGCTTCTAGATCTGAACGGGCAGCCGACTAGCTCAGCTGCAGGAGGAAAGGAGGGGAAGCCCACGACGAAAAGAGAAAAGCAGGGGAGAAAGGTGTCCGGCAAAGGATTGGGTCTGAACCCACCAGCAGCGCCGGAGTCACTCCCACCGCCCACTCCACGTCTTGATGGTGACGAGGGGGCTTTTGGAGACAAGCTCATCGAGAAGGATGTCGCTTCGTCACCGCCACTGCCGACTGCGCCGCGTGCTATGAGGCAAAAGGACGAGGACCCAGAACCGGTGGCGGCCCCGCCTGCTGGAGAGGAGCGAATGAAAGCAGAAGAGGTCGAGACGCCCAAGGCGGAGGAGCCCAGCGCTTCCGCTCCCCTGCGACCCGCTGCGCCGCCTTCTTCTCCGCCCAGGGATCGCGCCGAAGAGCCGGGGACTCCCACCACACCAGCACCAGCTCCGGCCTCCTCAAGTCCTCCTCCCTCTACGCCCACCATCCCGCAGTCTCCAACAGCCCACGGCAGCCTAGCCAGTCCCCTCTCACCGTCCACCTCCTTTTCCTCCTCCCAGCACTTCGACTGGGCAGCAGACGAGGACGACGACGAGGACGCTCTGCCTGATCTGACCGACTGGGGTGTCGAGCTTCCGACCAGTGGGAGCGCACCCAGCATCAGTACGACTGGGCCATCCTCAGAGGTCAACGAGGAGACAAAGCCAGCACAATCGGTGCAGCGTGAGCTCCTTCCTGCGAAGCATGCGCCTACGAAGGGTGGCCGTGGAGGAGGCAAGACAGGAGGCGGCGTGAGCAATGGCGCCTCAACGTCAGCGGCAAGCAACCCGGCATACGCAGCCTGGCGCCGTGGAGACAGAGCATCTTCTGTGCCTCTCTCCTCGTCTTCTCAGAAGGCTCCGACGCGAGAGCTCTTCCCCTCCACCACGTCCTCGGCCACATCACCACACCCTTCTCAGCTGCAAGCAAGCAGAGCAGACGGGGACTGGAAAGCTGCTCGTGTCGCTACACTGGCCGCGGAGGAGAAGCGCGAGCCCAAGAATGGTAAGGTCAAGACGGCCAGAGCGACGCCGTCTTCTGTGGCAGCCAATGCGGCGATTGCTGCTGCTACCACGCAGGGGGGCGGCGTAAAGAAGAAGGCCTCAAAGAAGACGCTGAAGGGAGGAGCTACGGAGGGAGTTGCACCTGGCACTCCGGCCATGCCTTCCTCGACGACATCGGCACCACAGCCGCAGGGCATGCGGATCGCCGGTATCGCGAATAGCGGCAGGTCCGTCTCCTCGGCAGCTTCTTCGGCTTCGAAGCAGCACGCCCCTTCTGCACCAGCAGCACGAGCTAGTGTTGTCACGCCTGCTTCACCGCCCAAGGGTCCTCGAGCGGACAGGGACAAGGGCAAAGTTGCTGTCGGTGGTAGTTCGGGTGGGAAGAAGGGGAGTCGTAAGTAGTGAAAACAAGGCGGCGTGGAAAGAGCAATTGAATGCCAGGAAGCGTAGCAGGGACCCTTTGTACATTTGTTCAATGCATTTTCGATCGTTAACAGCACACTGCAGCAGCCACAAAGCGGCGAGATCGTCCTATTGCTTGAGTCAGGAGATCAGAAGAGGGGAGAAGAAAAAAGCCTGCCGATCCGAGGTAACCCCATAACAATGTCGTTCAGTCTAGTCCAGGCCAAGCGCAGAGTAGGCCCTGAATGCCCACATCGTGACGCTGCGCAGCCCGCCAGCCCTCGCCGTCGAGTGCTTTGCTTCGCCTCCTTCATTCGCCCCCTCATGCTCTCTTGCCTGCTAACATGACTTCGTTGCCGCTGATCCCCATTAAGTGCTTTTGCTTCTCTTTCCTTTGGCCTCGGTACCTCACTCCACGTCCCTGTGATGTCAGAGTCAAGAGGAGAGACGACGTCAGTCCCTCGCTCACGCGCAAAGTGACCGCGGCCCTCCTAATCGCCCCACGCAGACTCTTCCGGTTGCCCCTGAGGCTCCTCAATTGTGGCCGCACGTAGCGGCTCCAGCCCGCATCCCCACCAATCGCGCACGTACCGCCATCGTCTCCCTGTTCTCTATGGCCCTTTCCCATGATACATCATTCAACCAGCTCATACCCACGCAATCAGTGCCACAATCATCCTGTAGTCGCAGAGAGGGGAATGTTGCCAGACAACATGTCAGCTCTCTGGCTTCACCTCTGCTTCTCTACCTGGCGTTCGTACTCACTTGTAGAGATAAAGGAAGAAGCTCAACAAGAAGATGGCCAGCTTGATGAAAGCCTGCTTCTTATGACTGTTCAACGTCCGGAATATCTCTGTTGCATCGAGTAGGTGGTTTTTGTCCATCACTCTGCGAGGGGGAGTGAAGGAGCGCGGCGACGAAGATGGAGTGGGGAGGGAGGGAGTCAGTATGGTGAGCGAGGAAGGTGAGGGGTTAGGTAGGGCCTGCTTACTTTTTCGCATTCCATGCTACCAGTGGCACGTTCAGCAGGAAGACCAGCCATTGCCCGCTGAGGAGGAAGAGTAGGGTGAGGGAAGCGTGGACGATCATTTCAGGGAGGATGAACTGCGCGAGTGAGAGCGAGCGAGCGGATCACAGGGCGGGTGAGCGAATGAGCGATGAGGCAGTACCGAGGGGCAGGAACAGAGGCTGAACGCACCTGGTTGAGCTTGTTGCAGAGGTCGATCGGGTTGATGTAGTCGCATTCGAGGTCGGAGAACATGATGATCTGTGGGCGCGGGGACGAGGCAAGGAGATGTCAGCTTGGGCTGCGCTATGAGGATGCCTCCCCTGTTGCATTGTCATGGACACGCACGTAGAAGACCATGGTGAAGAGTAGCGCTGCTGCGATGAGCACCGCGAGGAGGTATAGCCATCCTGCCGATTGCGAAGGGAAAGACGGGGCGACGCATTGAGCTCAGATCGCGAATCGTACATGGAATGTGCTGCGCCTGTGCCTGGTTGGTACACTTACCTTCTCCCGGCATCTTGGCTGATGATCCTTTGTTGCTTTGCTTGTTCTGTGCTTGTAGGGTATTGTACTAAGGAGCAGTGTGCGTATATGCTGGTGTTCTGTTAGCGCGCCAGCCGTAGGGTATTGGGAATGGGAAGGATCGAGGGCGGTTGGGTGGTAATCGCTTGCCCTTTGGTGGAGTCTGAGCGAGCGAGCGGACGGGGCGCTCAGTCCGACGAGGCCATCGCGCGTCCGAGGTGTGAGGGAGAGTGAGAGGGCGGGCAGAGAAGAGAGGCTGCTGGCTCAGATGCCACGAGGCGTCGTCGTCGTCGTCGTCGACAGTCCCTGGCCCCCCGGCCAAGCCCGCCCGCCCCGACCGTTGACGGTCTCGTCTCGCATTGGCATCGCATCGCATCCTTCTCACCGCTACTACACACCCCTCATCACCACCACTCCTTCCGCAATGGCAGCTCGCTTTGTTCCCCGTGTTTTCCAGCAGGCTACTCGCGGCTACGCTTCGCAAGCCGCTGCCGTCCGTCCCCCCATTCTCCTCAACGGTCTGCCCGGTGAGCGCGGCCACGATCCTTCCTCCAACGACCCCTCTTCCCTTTCCCTCGTACTGACCATCATTTGTCCCTTGCACCCTCGGCGCGCGCAGGCAAGTACGCCTCATCTGCTTACGTCGCCGCCCTGACCAAGTCGGACAAGACTCTTCAGGCAGTCGAGCGTGACCTGCAGGCCGTCGCTCACGCCCTCAGCTCGGGCAAGGACGCACAGAAGCTCCAGACCTTCATTGCCAACCCCACCCTTTCCAACAAGGACAAGGTGCGTTGGCGCACGTCAAACGAGTCGTTATTTCCCAACTTATACTGACCATCCTTTCACCCACACCCTCGCCAGGTCTCCGGCCTCGAACAACTCATCGGCTCCAAGTCGGACGAGGTCACCCGCAACCTCTTCTCCGTCCTCGCAGAGAACGGCCGTCTCCAGGACTCGGAGCGTGTAGTCGAGGAGTTTGCCCGCCTCATGGCTGCTCACCGTGGAGAGGTCGAGGTGATCATCACCTCTGCTACTCCCCTGGACAAGGCGCACACCCAGCGCCTTGAGTCTGCTCTGAGCGAGAGCGCAGTTGCTAAGGAGGGAGGAGGACAGAAGATCAAGTTCACGCACAAGGTCAACCCAGCCATTCAGGGTGGTCTGACCGTCGACTTTGCTGGAAAGTCGGTGGACTTGTCGGTTGCGAGCAAGGTGAGGAAGTTGAACCAGCTCCTCGAGGAGGGTATCTAAGCGTGCGGGAGGGTAGCATATAGGAGGGTAGCACGGAGGCGAGGCAGCTTCCTCTCGTAGGGTAGAGACCAACAGAATCAAAAGGACAAAGATTCACGCACACGCATCGCTACTACGCTTGAGCGGCACAAGATACGAACGATCGGGCAGAAACGTTTGGATTGCAAGGGCAGATCAGAGTAGGAAGACGTAAGGTAAAACAGAATGAGACGTGCTGGCCCAGAAGGGGTCCGGCGGCAATCTCCACGACGACGATGACCGTATCGAGCATCGTAGGACGTGCCCTCAGTTGGGTGCCAGACCATCGGTGTGGAGCCAGGTCGGACATCGTTAGGTGACAACGTCGATGTCCAGAGGCTTAAGCAAGCAGGCTCAGCAAGGGCGATGACTCGATTGTCGGCCTTGTACGATCGGGACTTTGAGCCTTGGCGTGGTGACAGTCGGGCTCAGGAGGAGGCGTGCATGCCGGCCCCTGGCTCTAGACAAGAGGAGGCGCGTGACCTTGACGGAAGGTGACGCTGAGATCATTGACACAGCGGATAGGTGGTCGACGAGCGTATGATCGCTCACCCCTTGTTGGCCAGGTACTCGAGGGAAGTCTGAGGAGGCGAGTATTCCTTGACGCGCTTCCAAGCTGCAGAGAGGTTGGATCGCACGCTCGAGCGAGAAGAGCTTGAAGAGCCAGATACGGAAGATGAGCTGGACGAGGTGCGATTGGGCTTGGTCTTTTCCTTGCCCTTGTCCTTCGCTTTGGCCTCGAAGTTGGGCAAGACAGGGCACATCATGCTCGTTCCCATGCCGTACTTGCCCATCGAAGCCTGGAGAGCAGCGTCGTCTGGGTCGACTTCTCGGTTCTGAGACTTGGAGTTGGCCTTGGGCGTGGTATTGCCCTTCTTCTGCTTGTCCTTGTGCGCATCCTCAAAGTCGGGCACCTTGGGGCACATCATCGTGGTGCCCATGCCGTACTTGCCCATCAGATCTTGAAGGACAGCATCATCGTTGTCATTGTCGTCGCGGCGCTCCACTTTGCCTGTGCTCGCCGTGGCATCATCGTAAGAAGGCGGGGAGACACTGAGCGCCTTGCGCGTCTCGGTCGGGTTCTTCTTGGGCGGCGAGGATGAAAGAGTCCAAGAGGTCCTTGAGCTGGAAGTAGTGTATCGACCAGTCTCGTTCGAGGGCCGAAGCTGTTGCGCGAGGTCTGCGCGTGGGTCGAATGTCATGGGCCCGTCTCCGGTCCGCATGCTGGGTGAGGCGCTGGTAGCGCTTGTTGAGCTGGAGAGTTGAGGAGATGTTGACATGTGTGCAGGAATGATTGTGTGCAGGGGTGATCAATACGTAGAGATGGCTGCTCATAGACGAGGGCCGCCTTATGAAGCCGGACATCGGATCCTCCTTGACATCAGCATTGACTCCCACGTTGACTCGTTCTCGCAATCGAATCTTCGTTGCGCTCAGTTCCTCAGTCAGTTCTGGCACGATCAGAATCCGATATGCTAAATTGAGAGCATGGCCCACTCACCGCACTAGCTTTGTTGCCCCGCGGGTGTCCTACGACCGCAAGTCACAGTCACCGCGAAGTCACGACCGAGCTCTCTTCGCTCATACGGTCCGTGGCTCCCGTTCTTCACATCCGACCCCTCGCCCTTCTACGCCGCAACCCTGAACCTGACTCTTGATGTTCGCAGGTCCGGCCGAAGGGCGTTTCGATCCTCTTCATTCTACTAGCGAGTGCACAAGCCACTCGACATTGCCTGGTTCCTGAATTGGCCTTCTGCGGAGCCATAGACGGACTGCCCTCAATGTGGTTGGCTCGCGTCCCGCCCTTGCCGTGCCGTGCTGAGCAGACCAGACGAGCCGGCTGTGCATTTCAAGGGCCGCTCGCGGGGGACCTTGTTTCCGGCCTGTTCAAAGTCTATCTGGCAATACGCGACCCCACCTCAGCTCAGCAAGCGTGACTCGACTGAGCGTCATGCTACCAGGGCAACACGCGCTCGTCAAGCAACCCGTGGGATGCTATGCTCAGCACAACTTCGCGCGGTATGCTCGGCAGCAGGTTGCGGGCGCCTGCTCCCACTCGCATCCGACGATGGGATAGCGTGTGAACAGCTGAGCGTATCGGTATTAAGGTGAGGATAGATCCGTCACCGATGGACACTGAGCCGAGATATCATTGAGCATCACGTAACACCATATCATGGCATGATCCGCTCAACAGCCTCACGTGAGTAATCCATGACGAGGGTCCAGATGACCAGAATGAGCCGATGACAGTGTACTTGCGGGACATGAATCAAGGGTCGAGCAACCGATGGACCATGCCGAAACATCGCGCCCCGTGCCCGCTGAGCTGAGTATCGGGTGAGCTGGACTCAGATCAGTAGTTCCCACGGGGCCGCGAGCAACCCTCTGTGATCGAATGACACCCTCCTCCAGGGATTGCGATGCTAACAGTCCACATCCGGGGTCAATGTGAGACCGTTCACAGTGCTTGCCTGGCCGCCATGCTCTCAGTGCTTGCCGCCAGTCTTTGCCAAGGGCGACAATGAGACGAGCGAATTTGGCTTTGTGGTCACCACAGCAAGAAGCGATGTGATCCACTACGATCGCCGCCGCCGGAAAGATCTCCCCATGCAATCGCTCCGGCGATGAAAGTCAGAGGTTGGAGTGCGCACCATCTACCGACCAGTTCCCTTGTCTGCCCTCGACCATCAGCTCGTACCATTACCTGCTCATTCCATAAATTTGCCGTGGCAGCAAGCGTCGGCGTCTCAGATCTCTCTCTCTCTCAAACACCTGGCCAAGGACGATGCCTACGACGAGGCTTTTGGGTGCGCCCAGGCCTCAACGCTCGGTAGCCATTCTCGTCTGTCTGAAGCTGAAGCAGAGCAGAGACCGGCACGCCACGAAACGTCAGACCAGTCAGGCCTACTGCCTGGTTGTGTGTCCTCGCTGCCGCACTCTCCGCTGCATCGCCCAGACCCAATTTCAGAAGCCTTGGCTCCGCCTGCACGCCCGTCCGCCCGCCCGCACACACGCCGAGACCCTAGCACGTTTGGAACCCCGTCCCTCGCTCCGTGGCTCCGCCCGTCGCTGGGTCGCACCCTCGTCCCTCGTTCTTCTCACGAACTAGCTTTGCAGCGCAGGGCCCTTTAAAGGGACCCGGTCCCTGCCATCGATCCCCGCGTGAGGGCCCCGTAATACTACCACCTTTCGATCAGTCGGCTCACAATAGATCTCCACGAACATCTTCATCTCTTCTTTCTTCCCTACTCGCTACTCCAATAGCTGAGCCCAGCTTCGCCAACACCACCACCAACTGACGAGCTCGCGTACGGCGGCCTATCCCAACCTCACTTCCGCCACCGAAATATTCTATTCTTCTCCGTGCCGGTCCTGGCGATCTTCATCACGGCGACTACAGCAGCAGCTCCAGCGCCGAGAAAGGCTACACCACCGGCTCTTCTACCCTTGTCCGGCCCGTCAAAGTCGGCCACGACGACGGTGACCACCACAACGGCTCCGCAGTCACCGCTCTCGCCCACCAGCCCGGACTCCATGTTCCACGTAGGACAGTACGTCGTCTTTCAGCTTAGCGGTCTACGTGTCGAAGGGTTGATCTCTGATGTGAGTCGAGCCAAGCTTGATCCCAGACGAAGGAGGAAGGAGCGTCAGGCTGACCCTCCCCTTGCCTTCCGCCATCGCTAACAGATGATGCTTCAAGACCTCTACCACGTCGAGATACTCGGCACTGAGCGAACGATTACCGTACCCAGGCGTGATCTTACGGCGCTGAAGGGGCGCTACTAAGGGGTCAAAGTAGTAGGAACCAGCCATCATACTCAGCATCAACTTAGTCACGACACGTCATCATCGCCATCATCTTCGCTTCATGGGCCATCGTATTCACGCCGATCACGTCACCGCATTGCATCGCATCGTCAAGTCAGATCAACCAAGCCAAGCTACCGTCTTACCCATTCGCACCATTTTTCTCCTGTATTCCTATTGCATACCATACACGTAATTTAACAATCAATGTCTCACGGGATTTGGCTTGCTCTCTACCCCGTCGTGAATCCATATCGCCTGCTCGCGGCCGCAAAGGAGCAGCTGCGCTAGATAGGTCCATCATCGTCGCTGCGGTGGATCGACGACCGCTGAACCGTTCCTCCTGAACCAAGACGCCAAGTGGAGATAGGGCTCGATACGGATGGTTCGCCATCAGCAACGACGACGAGGCACTCACACTTCGACGAATGGCGGCCTATTGTGCGCTCTGTCGCCGTCCATAGCTCGACAGATGAGCAGGTCTTGATACCCCTGCCATTCGCATCTTACGCACGATGATCTCTCTGGGTGCGAGCATCTTCTTCTTTCTTCCCCGCATTGCATTCACTCCCATCATCGAGGCGAAACATGTCGTCTGTTCTTGGAAGGTCGGCATCTCTACGCCCGACAAGTACGGCTTTGAAAAGGCGAGTCACTCATGCCTACCTTCCTCGGCCATTCGTAGATCTCTGACTCCTCGGCCGTCCCCGAACGTATCTCGGCGGCAGTTCTGCACCGCCTCTGCTCTCATCAAAGAAGTGCAAGACAATACCACGGGGCTCAACAAGACGACGGCGACCTTCTCGTGCTCTGGGCCCTTCCAAAATAACGTGGTCACGCCTGCCTCATGGGGCTTGCTCCGGGAGAATGTCCTCGAGTTTGGTGAACAGTATACCGTTGTGGCTGTAGCATAGTATCGGATGAGCTCTCGCTGAAGGTGACTGCCCATTCGCGCTCGCGCGCTCAGCCACTCCCTGCGGCGATGGCGGCTGGTACGTGATGGCTCATGACTACTGTCCTGAGCGGAATTTCGCCATGTGCTTGGGCACGGTCAGTCGGCGACCAGCGGATCCTCAGTGCTGGTATCTCCATAGAAAGGACGATTGTGCGTGCTGCGCGTAGCGGCATACAGAGGAAGGAGGAGAAGGACCAGGATCGTAGACACACTGACCAGACCTCCCCTCACCCCATCGTGGGCCACCCAGGCGAATGGCCGGTCGAGTTCGACTTCGAGCACATGCCCCTGTGGGTCGATATCTGGTACCAGCCTGTGCAGGATGTAGGTCACACCGAAGCGCTGAGAGGCATACAAAATGCATGATGATTGCAAAGGTCAACCTCGCGCGCCAGAACGCTTACAGTAGAGGCAGCGATTGCCCCTCCCCTCGCCTTGGAGATCGCGGTGGTCTCACGGGAGGAGGGAAAAAGCTCACGGCCCCATCGGCCACCAGCGGGCTGCTTGACAGAGGCGGCGCGGTGTTGGCATCAAGGTCGAAGGCGAGGCGGGCAGGAGAGGGGTTGCGAGGCGTGGCGGGGGCGCTGTCTTCCTGCTGCGGACCGAGTGTGGGCGATGCTGACTCGAAAGCGGCATCCTCCTGAACCGGATCTTCATCCTCATCACCTTGCTCGGCAGCGACATTGGCTCGCTCCTCAACAGGGTCTTCATCTGAGTCTGGAGCGCCGATCACCTCGCCATCCCCCTCACTCTCGCCCTCACTCTCCGACGTATCAGCAGAGATGAACGACTCGCCAGCCTCCTCTGCAGGCTCTACCGAACCCTCAGCCTCAGCCTGATTATGTTCAAGCGTCGCGTCCCCACCACCGCTTACAGCCGACCCTCTGGACCACATGCTTCCAGACGAGTCAGAGGAGGGCAGCCCTGTAGCAACCTCACCGCTCCCATTCGTACCACCGCTGAGAGAGCTTCCGACACCTTGGCTCGAGTCATGGAAGCTCCAGCTGCTCGTACTGCTACGGTCAAGGGCGCGACGTAGTTGCGTCCCCGTGAAGATGACTGATCCGTCAGCTGAATTGGTCGTGCCGTACGTGATGGGATTGCTGCTGTTCGCACCGTCAGCGCTGCCCGACGTGGTGTTGACGGTGTAAGTGAGATCGCCCGTGATGGAGTTTGGTGCTCGTCGTACGCTTGGGCGAGCCAGTGGTGCTGCCTCTCCTGATACTGAGCCGTACTCCGTCATGGCGTCGTCGTCTTCTCCATCTTCCTCAGCTTCATCTCGCTGCTGAAGTGCCAATGACCGCAACGCCGGCTGAGAAGATGCCTTGCGCAGACTATGCTGTCGTTGCATTGCCGTAGGACGAAGTAGAGCTTCAGCCCCACCCCCTCCACCGTCCTGCGTCGGGTCGCTCGCGATGCTTGTTGCCTCATCCGCCTCTTCAGAAGAGGAAGCACCCTGCAGGTCGTCGTCCTCTTCCCAAGCCTTGATGCGACGCCGTCCCGACACTTGACTGTCCGAGGACTTCTCACCGTCCGCCTTGTTCTCTTCCCTGACTGGCTCCTCACCGGGAAAGCGCGGTCGCGCCGCTATTCCCTCGTGAAGGACATAGTCCACCAATCCCTTTCCCGGTCTCGCCCCACCATGGAAAAGAGCAAAGTGCTTCCCCGTATCAGATGCGACTATGACGCGACCCTTGTCGTGGTCACGCGTGGCGAGACAGTACGTGCATATGAGCAGAGGATCCAGCACCGCGTGCAGGGTGGGGATGAGGGTGCCTCGCGATCCTACTCCGTCTTGGGAGTCAGGGTCGGGACGCCACTGCTGCGTCTCCTCGAGGGCGATGATGCCCACGAAGACGGAGGAGGCGTGGCGGAAGATGGCTTGGGCTTCTTCTGTCGTGAAAGTCGCTGTGGTCGGACTAGGCGAGTGAGGTTGCTTTGCAGAGGATGGAGGGGATGGCGAGGCAGAGGCGCTACCATTACGCCCATCAGGAGCAGCAGGAGCCGAATCGGCACTGAAGCTCTCGCCCATCTCTGGGCTTGTCAACGCAGTCTTGTCTAGCTCGTCCACGAGCTGCGGTGGAGCACTCTTCCTGGGCGGTTCCTGACCCTTCTCTTCATTAGCCGTGAGAGGCAAAGGGGGCGGTGCTAGCTTGGGTGGGGTCTTCTGCGGCGGCAGTGCTGCGGCCGAGGCAGCAGAGCGCGCAAGAAGTGGCATGCTCTTCTTCGCCAGACGGTGCATGGCTTTGCGCAATGCCTTGCTCTTGAAGAGGCGCTGCCTTGCCGCAAAGGAGGGCGTTGAGGGGCGGGCCGAAGACTCATCGAAGTCAATGCCAAAAGCCGAGCCTGATGCTACATCGTTGTCTCCCTGCCGAGAGGTTGGGCTCTTCTTTGGCTTCTTCTCCTGATTGACAGCGTCCAGATCCTTGAGTGCTTCCTTTGGCAGAGCATTCGCTATCCTTGCGAGCATGTCAAAGTCGACCTGCTTTGCCCTGAATTCACCTGCCTCCTTTACTCCGTGACATCTTGCTGATCGCTCAACGAGGGTAACCTGCAGCTCCTCCGGCACCTTGCGTACGACATCTGCCAGGCAGGTAGAGCAGAGTAGCTCTGACGTCCAGGTCCAGACCCACAGGCCGAAGCCGGGCGTCACGTTGGCACCGGCCGGTGGACAGCGATCACACTTTCGCTGGATTGACTTGGCGAGGAGGAGCTTCAGATCGCCCAGATTGCGGTCCCGTACTTCGCGAAGAGGGTCGGCACTGCACTCCAGTGAAAGACCGGCTTTGTCCAACAGCTCGTGACGCTGGTGCTGGTGCTGCTGATTCGGCTTCGACTTGGACAAAGAGGCGACGGAGTCGACCGAGCTGGAGGGCGGAAGCGTCATATGTGTGCGAAGTGGGGATGACGTCTTCACCGAGGACTTGGACTTGATCGAGGCGCGATCCGAGGAAACATTGGCGGAGGTGGAGCGACGATGGTTCGGCGTCTGCTGCTGAGCAGCGCTGGGCGGCTCGACGAGACCCATGGCGATTGCATCGGCGTCTACTGGCGTGCCCCACAGGTCGTCCTCGTCCTCGCTATCCTCGTAAGTACCATCGGTTGCTCCTTGTCCGTGGCCACGCGATGTTGCGGCGTCAGAGTCGAAGCTGCCCGCGACAGTCTTTGGGCGTCGCACGCTAAGGCTCCATCCTGCGGCGAGGGAGGTGCGGCGGCTGAGATTTGGATGGGCGCTGGAGGCGAGCAGCGTGGGGCTCGAGGGTTGTTTGACCGTAGCATCGCCTTTCAGATAAGTGGGCTCCCATTCGGCGGAGTAGGGGCGAGGCGTCGTGGCTTCCGTTGGCGTAGCCGCCGCTGAGCTTTCCGTGTCGCTGGGTTCAGAGGGGGAGCCAATGGACTCGATCGTTGAGAGCACCGGCGTGCCCTGCGCTGCGAGGCGGAGGCGGTTGGGCACGACGGGGCCTGCCAACGAGACCATGCTGGGGGAGATGAGGTGAGGGGGGCAAAGAGAAGATCAGATGACGAGCAGGTGATAGAGGGAGGAGATTAGCTGATAACACGTCTCTCGCCGCCATCTCGACCGCACTCTTGTATGATTGCCGCAATGTCGGGGGCCTCATCACGCCGGTTGGGCCCTGTTGGAATGAGCTCTCAGAAGATGTTCAGGCTCGCGTACTAGGAGATGAGCCATGGGAACAGGGGGCTTGAGCGCGTGGGCGTACCGCGAGGGAGATGAAGCAAAGATCCTCGGTACGCTAAGAGCGCTCGGACCTCGTGGTGTCACTATCGTCATCGCGGTGTACGCAGGGAGGGAGCGAGCGATCGTGCCAGAGCAGTGACCGATACGAAGAGAAGCGAACGAGCGAGGAAGTGGTACCTGGGCAAAACGAATGATTCATTACACACAGGAAGGGTGGAGTTGGGTTAAGCGCCGGGACAAACTGGATCGAGCTCCCCTCACCAGACGCTCAGTTAAGAGGTGGCTGGGTATAGCGTGCGAAAGCCATGATGTGTTCGAGAAAGCATGTCTCAGGGCGATTTTGAGAAGAAAAGGTGCGCAACTTGATGCTGCGCACTTAGTAGAGGCGGACGGGCTTGCCCATGGTGCTCTTGAGGTGAAGAGACTTGACGTTCTGCCAGTTCTTCTTGAGGAGCGAGATGAGGAAGTTGATGGAGAGCATGACGTTGGCGAGGAGCTCGTCGTCGCTCATCTGAACGTGGCCGACGGCGACACCCAGGCAGAGAACCTTCTTGAGCTGGAACTTGAGAGTCGACTTGACCTCGGTGACCTTCTTCTCGAGGTCCTCGGCGTGGGAGACGGGCGTAGGGAACTTGCCAGCCTTGGAGAGACCGGGGCCCAAGAGACGAGGGATCTGCTTGATGAGGGCCTCGGAGGCAAGGAAAGCGTCGTGCTTCTTGGCAAGCTTCTTGACGAGCTTCTTGTTCTTGTTGAGCTTCTTCAAGTCCTCGACGGTCATGAACTCGAGGTCGATGAGCTTAGCACGGTCGACGTCGGCGGCGTCGGCGAGAATGCAGAGGCTCATGCGAGGACGAGGGATGTTGGGGAGCTTGACGGTACCCGAGAAACGCTTGTCACGCTGGGGGTCGTAGTTCTTGAGACCGATCTGGAGCTCGACGGTCTCGTTGAAGTTGCGGTGCTTCTCCTCAGAAGCCTTGAGCTGCGGTCGTGAGGAGGATGGATTCGGAGGTCAGAAGAAGGTTCATTTGACGTCTCTACTATCACGCTACACTCACGAGGCCCTGGATGCTGGTTCGCACGCTGGAAGTCTGGATCTTGCTCATCTTGAGGAGGTTGGAGGGGCGATGGTGAGGAGCAGAAAATCCAAGTCGTTCTCAGGCGGACCAAGAGGCGGGCGGCCAGTCGGGCGGGCGGGCTTGCCTGCCTCGATCTTCTTCAGCGGCGTCGCATGGGCAATTGGCGTGATTTCGGTTCCGCACCACAGCCAGGGCCCCTTCCACTGAAACGAGTCCAAACGAGTTGACCTACCACGTGGCTTCAGTTACTTTTGGCGCTCCGATCGACCGACGACGATTGGCTCGCTCAACTCTCCACTCGACTCGCGAAGCCGCCTCGGCGTTGACCCGCCGACTGCCACGCTCACTACCAACCACCACCCCACAGTCTCCATACCCCAGATCGACGCCCTTGCTGGCTTACCTGCCTCGCGATGGCATCCTCATCAGCCTCACCGGGCCCCATGCCGCTGCCGCGCTCCTTGCGCCCCCTCATCTTGGATATCCTCTCCAAGTCCGACCTTGAATCAGTGACGCCTCGAGCGCTGCGAGGCGACCTAATCAACATCCAGCGAAGTCACAACATCAGCCCGCCAGCAGACACGACGCGCCTCATTCCGAGCGGATTCGACTTCGAGGCCAACAAGAAGGCGGTGACTAGCCTGATCAAGGAGTGCTACGATGATGTAGCCGCGCAGCAGCAGCAGCAGCAGCACAAGGCGCCAGAGGTCAAGGCAGAACCGCCTGCTGAAGTCAAGCCTAAGCTGCCGGCTCTCAACGGCAGCAGCAATGGCGGAGGAGGAGGACTAGCATTACCAGGCTTGGGCGGCGTACGAGGTGACTCAGCAAGCGCAGCAACGCCCAAAGCATCACCGCCAGACGCAATCGCCGCCCAATCAGCATCAGACGCAGCCCTGGCAGCCAAGCTCCAACAGCAATACTCTGCCTCGGCTGGCCCTTCAACAAGAGGAGCGGCCACGACCAATGGCTCCTCATCCTCAGCAAAGAAGCGCAAGAAGTCAAAGAAGGCAAATACAGATGAGATCGACTCGGAAGAGGACTCGGACATCGATTCAACATCAGCCTCCCCAGCTCCTGGCAGCAGGAAGGCGAAGAAGACCAAGTCTTCTTCAACACGCGCCTCGAACCCGAACAACCCCTTCAATCGTCCCGTACTCCTCGATGCAGCCATGGCCGACATATGCGGAGGAGACGAGATGCCTCGTCACGCCGTCGTGAAACAGCTCTGGGCCTACGTAAAGGGGAGAGACCTGCAGAACCCTTCCAACAGGAGACAGATCATGTGCGATGACAAGTTGAAGAACTTGTTCGGAAAAAGCGTGGTAGATAGCTTCGAGATGAGCAAGTTGATCAGCAATCATGTAAGGAAGAAGGAAGATGTGCTGCCTTGATACCGAAGAGGCCGAGAAGAGGAAAACGCTTGGAATGCTCCGAATTACTACGCTTAGCTACGATACAATGTCACGGATATCCCACTGCTACCCTCGTCCTACTTGTGACGCCTGCTTCTCCTCATCATCGCCTGTTACCCCTCTCGCTGCTTCTGCCTCTTCCTCTTCCCTCAACCTAGCCAGTCTCAACATCGTCATTCCAGTAGAGGCAGTAACGGGCGTGGCGTCATCTTGCTGCCCGTCAGCTGCACGCCCATACTTGGCAAGCGTCTCTTCCTTTGCTCGTCTTCTCCTTTCCCTCCTTAACTCCTTCTCCCTCGCCGCCTGTCGTTGCTCCTCAGCCTCCTCCTCCTCACGCTGCAACGCCTTCGCTACACGGGACATGGATCGGATCTGCGGCCCAAAGGCGAACAGAATGAAAGGCGTCAGACCTAAAACGGCCGCAATAGCCGCGAGGACGGAAGAGGCTATCGGGGGTGTCAGGTTGTTGTACATGGGCGGAACGGCCAGCGAGAGCGTACCGGCGAGCACGTTGCGCAAGAAGGACTGTGCAGCGAGCGCGCTCGATGCGTATCGGCGGAAGACGTCGCTGAGGAAGACGAATACGCCCAGGTAGATTGGGAATACGCCCGTAGCGAAGAAGATTAGCCCGAGGATGGGCACGACCGGATCGACTCCCTCTCGGCAGCCCCAGGCGAACCAGAAGAGGCCCACAGGCACCATGATTGCGCCCACGGAGGGTAGGTAGAGTCGCGCTTCCGGTGGTGGCTCGCCATTATGGCGCTTCCAGGCGCGATTGTAGAGGGCTTCTTGTACGAGGTTGAGCAGCCAGCCCAGGCATCCACCAACGGCCAGGATGAGCAAGACGAGCGAAGACTGTTGTGCCGTCCAGCCATATGCGTCGCCAAAGGCGATTGGGATCGATCCGACCGACATGAAGACGCTTGCCCAGAGCAGGGCGATCCAGAGTGCAAAGCTGGTGACGATGGGCTCCGTAAGGAGGTAAATGAGTGGGCGCGAAACACTGGTCTTGACCATCTGAAGCACGCTGAGCTTCTCGTCGTCTGCTCGACAGCGGTAGATCGTCTTGCCGCCGCACTCCTTTGTCATCTTCTTTGCTCGACGAGAGAGCAGGACGGGCCCGCGTGTCTCATCGAACAGGACAAGCATGACCACTGCGACAAAGAGGGCAACGGCCCCCTGCCACCAGAGGGAAACACGCCAGCCGTGCGCCTGCACCGTATACGCCGTAGCGAGCGGTCCGATACCCTGACCGATAAAGACGATAGCGGCGAAGAAGCCCATGGGCAGCCCACGGTCGTGTGAGCTGAACAGGTCCGCCACAATCCCACCCGTCACTGAGTTTCCAGCAGAGGCGGCCGCACCCTGCACGATTCTCGGGATATGGATTCCGTATATGTTTGTGGCCAGGGCTTGTGGGATGAGCATGAGGGCGGTGAGGAAGGCGGAGACGATGAAGATCTCCTTGCGGCCTACCAGCTCGGAGAAGGGGGCGAGGATGAGCGGCGCGACGGCGACGGAGCCTAGGTAGGCGGTGTTTCCCAGTAGGTAGACTGTTCCAGAAACGCCGAACTCGCGGGTCACTTGCTCTTGACCAGCGTCGAAACCGACGGCTGCAGGTGCGAGGACGGGAAGAAGGTGTGAGCTCGAGGAAAGTGACATTGCGAACGGCATCGCACGGACTCACCAATGATAGCCGTGATGGCCGTGAACAGGAACACAGCAATGACCAATGTCCACTTCTTCCTCCGCGGCCAGTTCATCGGATCTTCTGAGTCTCCTTCCTCCCATTCGATATACACCGCCCCGGGGGCAGAGACGGAGCGTGAGAGGCTGAGGGCTATGTGTGGATAGTGCGGTGATGGGGGCCGGTTGGAGTTGCGGGAAGTCTGCCGGCATAGCTGTGAGGGCTGAGGGCAGCCCGGACCTGCGCATGGTGGGGCTTCGGGGCCCTCAAGATTGCTGGGATCGACCGCGGCGTCCTTACGGATTCGGGAGGGCCGTCGTTGGGGTTCGGCGAAGGAGGCGCTGCGACCCTTTTTCGGTGGTGGAGAAGCGACTGCTTCTACAGCATCGTCTGCCTCATCGTCTTCGACTGCCACGCCGTCGTCTTCGTCGTGATCTTTGAAGGCATCAAGCGTCTCGCTGGTGTTGCATCGAGTAGTAGCGCAAGTACTCGGGCTGGTGTTCTTGTCCAGCATCGACGGAGGTGGCGTCTCGTATGCGGGAGGAGCAGCAGCAGATCCTTCCTTAGTGCCACTTCCGCTGCTACTGCTACCAGCTTTCATCGTCATCGTCGACGAGACAGCAGCGAGGGGAGCACAGTAATGTGGATGATGATGATGATGTGGTATCGAGGCTGAGAAATTTCGCAGCCCCTCTCTGTCTTCCCCGCATCGTATCTCGAAACGCATCAACGACTAGAATTGACCGAGTCATTCTCCCGCGGCGTTAAGCAGGCAGCGCCGCCCACTCTCTCTCTCTCTCCCACCGAAGCGTCCGAAGTTCGACTGACCCTTGAAAGAGAAATCGGCGAAGCGTCCGATGGCCAAGCAGCAAGAAGACGGAGCGGAACTTGGGCTTCAAGAGGTGGTTCTGCCACGCGAGCGTCGCGACGTCGAGAAGTGGCCTCAGACCGGCGGCACGGCCTATGCAAGGGGCAGGACGTCGAGGCACGCATCTTGCCTCCGATGGAGCATCTTCAGCTGCTGCTAGCTTGTAGAAGCCTGGCTGTCACGACGAGGGCGCCGACGAGCCGTCGAGCTTCAACGACTTGCCTTGTTGAGTAGGTCGCTACCAGCGCGAGGATGAATCGCGATCAGGTGGCAGCATCGCGTTGCTGAATTAGGAGACGTCAGTGAGGTGGGGGGGGGGGGCGGTCGATTCGAATAGACAGGAGAGGTCCAATATCTTTGCTCGACGGTGATGATGACGATGAACGGCGAGCACTGTGTGCACCTCATCGTTGACTCAAGCTTTCTGCCTACCGACCCCTGGAAGGACGCCACGCCACGGCAAGCAAAGCAAGCAGGCAGCTGCCAACCTCCTTGCGCCTCGACGCGCTGATCCTGTCTGTCTATCTGTCCGTCCGTCAGCGAGGGCTGCCGCTGCCCTTGCGCCCGGCCGCCTGACGCCTCGAATCCGCCAGTCCGCCTCCGCCTCAACCTCGCCCACACACACGCCTCCTTTCCTTGACCTGTTGCCCCCTCTCGTTGGCGTCGAAGAGGAGAGGCAATGGACAACCCTGTTCTCTCGGTGATGGCAAGCCCACCGAGATCGGGGCCAAGAGCTGGCTGGGAGGCAAGGGCTGGTCACTCTCACTGTCGCGTCCTTTTCATTTCACCATCTTACCATCCGCGCTCGTGTCCCTGTTACCACCACCCACGTCTCCCGCTCCCTTTGTCCCATCCCCCTCGTTGGTCCCCTTAGAGAGCGTGCGGCTCGCCGCTACTCGTTTGCTTAGTCTCCCTCACCTTACCACACTGCGATAGCTCTCGCTCCAACACACTCATTAATTGCTCCATCTCCGCCCCCAGCTTCCCACACGCGGCTCGCGCTCGCCGTCATCCAATCATGCGCTCATCAACATCATCACCATGGCGGCGGATAGCAGCGACCGTCGCCTTCTTGGCGGCATCATCACCACACTGCTTTCTGTCAGCCGTCGCAGCTCTCAGCGTATCACGACCACTCGCCGACCAATACCCGCAGATAGCCCACGCAGGTCAGGCCTACTCGTGGACCTTCTCCCCTACCACCTTCACCGGCGAAGACAACATCGAATACTCAGCCAAGGGGCTCCCATCATGGGCCAAGTTCGACGAGGCATCTCGCACCTTCACCGGCACACCACCACAGGGCAACCAGGACAAAAGCACCGTCACCATCACCGCAGCCTCGTCTGGCTCTCCTTCGTCATCCTCGTCCTTCGACCTCATCGTCGTCAACGAACAGAGCCCTATTTTGCGTACCTCGCTGGCCGATCAGCTCCCCATGGCATCCTCCTTGGGTCGCTCACAGATCCTGCCAGGCAACAAGCTTCACATTCCGTGGGGCTGGTCCTTCTCAGTTGGATGGCAGGGCGATACCTTCTACCTGCCCAGCGGCGACGCTGTGTACACGCATGCGACGATCAATCACGACCAGCCGCTGCCCAGCTGGCTCAAGTACAGCCCGCAGACGTACGCCATGTGGGGTATTGCGCCTAATGTGCCTGGTGCAGAGGGCACCGAGTTCGTCTTTGTGCTCACGGGGTCGAACCTACAGGGCAAATTTGGTGGGACGAGCACCAACATCAGCATCGTCTTGGGCACGGGCAACCTCGCAGAGGCGACGTCTTCATCTGCGGCTGGATCAGCGACAGCTCTGCCCGCACTCAATGCTACGGCGGGCCAAGAAGTCAGCTACACCATCCCGCTCTCTGCATTCCTCGTCGATGGCCATCCTGCCAGCGCCAACTCGATCAATGTCACGGCAGACACGTCGTCCCTCCCTTGGCTCAGCTACGACGCTCCCACACGTACGCTGAAGGGAACTCCGCCCACCAACAGCGACGCAACAGCCTCCAACACTTCTCTGCCGCTCACTGTCACCAACTCGTTGGGCAAGTCCCTCAACGCCAAGCTGCCAGTCAACCTCTTCCCGCCAACCTTCTCCGCTGCCACACTTCCCAACGTTATGGTCATGCCGGGGCAAGACTTCAGCGTCTCCCTCGCCGAGTACGTGCGGGACAGCGCGCAGCATACCATCAGCCTGGCTCTGGACCCCGAGTCGGCGAGCCAGTGGGTCCACTTCGATGCTTCGAGCCTTGTCCTGTCTGGTACGGCGCCGCAGATGGGCTCGGATGAGAAGGTCAAGGTGACGCTACAGAGCGCAGCTTCTTCAGCAGCAGCCGCAGCGTCATCCTCCTCCTCCAACAATCCGCAGCGTCGCGCCGACGCGAGCGACAGTCCCTCAAACTCGGCATCCTTCTACATCGCGCCTCAGGGCTCCAATCCTGGCCGCGCACCTGCCCCAAGCGATGGCAATGACGACGGCTCCTCATCTGGCAACGGTCTCTCGCAACGCACCAAGATCGGTCTCGCGGCAGGCTTGGGCTCAGTAGGCGCTATCATCATCCTGATCCTTCTCCTCATCTTTGCACGACGATGCTGCGCAGTCGAAGAGCACGACAGACACGGCAATGTCATCGTGCCGGGCAAGTCTCCTGCCTTCTCCGAGCGCACGCTCACCAACAATGATGCGTCGCCCATGTGGGGGCAGGAGGCGGACAAGAAGGAGAAGCACCTCGAGAAGACGACGCCCCAAATGGTGCAGGCCAACTCGCCTTACGAGGAGCAGGGGAAGGATCTGAAGGGCATCTTGATTGGTGGTAGGCACTACGGTGGTAGCCCTGCGATGGACAACGCAGCATCGGGAGAGGACGCTGCACCTCGCCAGCATGGCTTCATGTCTGCACTCGTGGCCGGTGCTCGTAAGTGGTCATCACGCAACCTCTCGCAGCAGGCGGACCCTCAGGCCTCTCACGCTCAGGTTCTCGCCCACCCGCCATCCCAATCAGCTCATCGCGGTCGCTCCGACTCCCAAGGGCTCGGCCTCACGGGACTCGACCTCGATGGCGACACGCCCGATTCGGACGACCCGTACCGCGGCACAGGCACAGCGCCATCACGCAGCCACTTGAGCATGCGCAGCAAAGAGAGCTGGGAGGAGGATCTCTTCTACTCTTCGACGGAAGCCGCAGCTCGTGGAGTGCCCATCAGCGGCCACCAGCAGCACCAGCACGGCAATGCCCTCGCTCCCGTCATTGAGGTGGACGAGGTGCCGACTCGCCGCGGTGGTAGCGACAGCAGCATGAGTGGGCGTGGTCGTCATTTGCGCGTCTCGAGTCGCTCCAATCCGATGCGCCACCGCAGCGGGCACAGCAAGAATTCGCCCTCCTTCGTTGCGTCAGACACCTTCGACACTCCTGCTGCCGATGAGATGCCCACCAATGAGTCCGACCCCTACGTCATTGGAACGGCGCAGCGTGTAGACGTACGCACGCTCGCCAGGCAAGGGTCAGTGCAGAGTCGTCGCCCCGATGTCACTCGTGGCCACCACCACTCAAGGAGCATGCACCTCGAAGATCCGAGCGGTGCCTTTGAGGATGCGGAGGACGAGGTCGGCCAGATGGTCGGCCAGAACCGTGAGAACAACGCCGTTTCCCCTACCGAGCCTCTCCCTCCTAGCCATCTGGAAGCCCTCGCACACATCCAATACCCGCAGGCAGTGCAAGCTCACTCCCCTCGTCCTCCCTCCTTCTTCGGTGGCTCGAGCATCGCGTCCAACATTCGACCAGAGGACACCATGCGTGCCGTAGCCACTCCTCCGCGCCAGCAGCACCAAGCCCCACGCACGCCCGCCGGCGCCCTTGGCTCTCCACAACGTCCCACCTCCCGCTCCGGGTTCGTCGAACACCTCGAGGCTAACGTCTCCATGGGCGAGCGTATCCGTATCAAGCTCACTCCACCAGGCGGAGCAGCAATGATGGGTGGCGCTCCCGGCTCTCCGGGCAAGCGCTCCAACCGTCGCGGCAAGTACGTCCCGGTCCTGGACGATGCGAGCATGCAAGCGCACGGTACGTGGCCCATCTGGCTGAGCGAGTGGCTCCACTGGGATGCGGGCATGTTCGAGCTTAGCGGTGAGGTTCCCGTGGACTTTGAGTTGCCCGAGCTCCACTTGGCGCTCGTACATCGACGCCAGGGGACCGATGTCGCGACGGGGGCGATGGGCACCCCGGGTAGCAGTAACGGAAGCTCAGGCAGCAGCTCTCAGCAGCATGCGCCGAGCGCCGCAACTGGCCACCGTCGTCAGGGTAGTCAGGACTCAGCAATTACCGCCGTGGAAGACGAGGTGGTGATTCGATTGACGTTGTTCATCGACTGGCCCGTGGATCCGACGGGATCGGGGAATCACATCGCGCTGAGGAGAGGCGAGGCGGCTGGGACTGCATTCTGAGCGAACGCTCAGCCGTAGAGGGATGGTAGGCTTAGTCTGGCTGCGCATCGCGCCGACGGCCTGCGTGCCTTTCCCTTGCCTTCATCCTCCACCCCTCTACCACGTCACATTCTGCCCTCCTGCTCTGCACTCGGCTATAGACCTTCCCTCTTACCCCCAAGTCCCCCTATTCTCCGCTTGTATTACTATTCATCCTTCGTTCTGTTTGCTTCTTCTCGCTCTCGCACCAATACCCTCTCGCCTCTATTGTTCCTCTCCTGTTCTTCCTCTCCTTTCTTCTTTGGACGGTCGAATGCAATGGATTGAGAAGCCGCAACTCACGACGTCGCAGCGTGTGCAATGCAAGTTTACGGAGTCCGGTCGAAACGAGGTGAAATTGGGGTACGCTAGCGGCGTTGGACGTCACGACGTGGTGACAGGCAGCTGAGAGAGCGTCTTGCCTGCCTGCCTGCCTGACGGTCGTCGATGATGGTGACGGTGCGTGAACCATCCACTCGAACGGTGCTTGACGCATTGACAGGCAGGTGAGACTAATTCGCCGCGGTCGTTCAAAACAATCGTCGCCCTGAACATGATCATTCACATCGCATCGCGACGACGCTGCTGCTTCTTGGCGTCCTGACGCGTAGGTAGTGGAAGCATTGAGCCGTAATGGGCCACGACGCTCCCTCGCCGTGGCGCGCGCCGCGTGGGAGTGGCCTGACCTGGATCTGGGCAATCTGACGCGTCCGCATGCATCGAAGACACGCTTTCTGGCCGCGCATAGCAGTCTCATCTCCGCTCCTCGTTGCCTATCCCAGATTCTACCACGCAACTCCACTCCGACATTAAAGTTCCGATCGTCATCGACGACGAGTGCGACCACCAAGCATGATGATGATGCTGCAGAGAGAGGGAGCAGCCGGCCGCTGCTGCTGTGGTGTCGGATCGATTGATTGAGCAAGTTGCGCTTCAAGGACCGCCGGTCGGCTGCGAATCAGCATGTCTTCGATGGAGGCCGGGCCAGGCCAGGCTAGGCAATAGGACGCACAAGGATGGTGGAGTGGGAACACTTGCCTGTAGCGTCGAGGAGACCCTGCCATGTCTCGAGTCGGAGGCAAGAGAGTCAGGACGAGCTGACCTCGATCTTTGAATCGGACGTGCGACTCCCGAAACATCTCTCATCGCATCATCCCATCCATCCTGTCCTATTCGTTCATCCGCATCCCTCCATCGACTCGCCGTCGCCGTCCAGCCCTTGAATCTCTCCCTTCTTCCCCATCATTATCACCGTCGTGCGGACTTACTCACTCTCGCGGTCCAGGTTGACCCGCTACCCACGCTAATCCCTCCCCTCCTCCGACCGAGTTGCTTTCAAGTTCAGTCAGCCAGTATCGCTCCACCGAGGACTTCAAGGGCTCAACCCTTCGCCTTCGCCGACTCCTCAAAAGCAAAAGGTCATCGGACCGTTGGCACAAGATGGCGACCTTATATTCCTTCAGGCCTCTTCGTCGAACCTCTTCCCTCGATACGGGAATCATCAGGTCGCTACAGAGAGACGTCGAAGACGAAACGGACAGCGATAGTGGTAGCGAGCACGAAGAGCCGCGCCCACCTCCAGCTTTTGCTCGTCAGGTGCCCCTGTCGCAAAAGAGCCAACACCAAATCACCCGATCTCAAGACTTGCAACGGCCCTCAACAGCTTCTCGGTCCTCTCCATCCACGATGCTCGTTACACGGCTCAATTCCTTGTTCTCTCAGAAGGGCGAGAGAGGTAGCCTTGACTTGGCAAAGATTTCGCGGCCGGTACCCTCCTCCGCCGAAGCTGCCCACATCAGATCCTCCTCATCGTCATCAGCAGGGACAGCGCCCAAAGCCAAGCCGGCTGTCGTGGTGCAGCAACTTCCCCTCCCTACTCCCTTTGCAGTACGCCGCCCACAGCAGGCCAAGCCCTCGAATCCACAGTCACCTCGCTCTCCTCTGCTGTACTCCAAGGCAAAGGACGCCAACAAGGAGCCTGAGCCCAAGCCAGTCCCAACAGACTATGGGGCGCTGCAAGAGGAAGAGGAGAAGCTGGCCAGTCGATTCGATTGGTCACCGTCTACCTCGCCCGAGCCCTCAAGCAATACAAGGCGGTTGGCCAGACTGAAGAACTCGCCCAGCTTGACGTCCAGCAATGACTCGTCCGCGGGTCGCAATCCCTGGAGAAGTAGCAGGGATGTGTTCACTTCCTCGGCTGGCAGCACGAGTAGTCGGCCCTCGTCATCAAGCAAGAAGAGCTTGGACTTCGGTGCCAGCAAGCCAACCATCACCCCAACTCAATTGGTCGCCGTGACGCGAGGTCGCGAGCTATTGCCCTTCGACGCTCTGCCCGTCCCGTTCTCGCAGCCAGGAAAGCCCTCCACTCAACGTCGTCCAACGCAAGCGCCGCCCATCTCGCGCACAAGCATGAGTAGGGATCGACGAGTGCCCGTGAATGTGGGCAACATCTCAGCTACAAGCTCGTCAATGGACTTGCCGACCTTTGCCGCTCCACGACCGGCGCCTGTGCCACCCCTTCAGCTCCGCAGCAGCGTTTGCCCCGCCCCTCGCCCTACCTTTTCGAGAGCCATGAGTCATGGTGACGCTGAGCTCACCAGCTCTTCCACTATCGCGCAAAGCTCACTGCTTCAACCGCAGCCTCGTCGTGCCCAACCAGCTGCGAGCCCGTCTTCGATGCGACCGCCAAGTGAAGCCCTCTCGCTCAGCAACTTCGACTTTGAGCTCCCCTCGCTACTCGCTACAGATGAAAGTCGACTGCTAGCTATGGGCGCCCGCAGGAGCGGCTTCACGAACGGCAGCGGTGATTCGCCAACTGTTGCAAGACGACCTGACCTGCCCCACTCTCAGTCCATGTCCGCGCTCAGTAGCCATGCTCGGGCAGCCAGCAGCAAGCCGGCTTCCCCGACCGCGGGTGGTACGGCTAGCTCCTCGCGCACGTCATCGCCACGTCGCCGCTCGAAGCGCAAGAGCAGAGTCATGCCCCCTACACCGCCCGTAGGCGATCGTATCTCCTCGCGACAGCATCGCGGTGACTCGGATGCGACGATTCGTCCTGCCAACCCACTAGGTCAACAGATGGCAGCTTCGTCCCCTCTCGCATCGCCGCGCAATCCCTCGCTCTCATCGGCATCGCTGAGCTCCACTCCCTCTCCTCTCACCCCAACGCGAGGCTCACCAGTCATCAAGAGCCCGGCCTTGCCGCCGCGCTCACCTTTGCGGGAGCGTCGTCGCAAGCTTGGCCCTGCTCTGGCTCTCGGTGGCGCAAGCATGGGTGCGGAAGCCCACGCAGGCAACACCCCTCCACCTCGACACCGTCCATTACGCCTCTCCCCCTCTGCATCTTTTGGTTCTCTTCCCCGCTCTGCTAGGCCGCGGTCTGCCTGCATCGCAGGCTTGCCGGCTACCCCACCTCCCATGCCTCCGCCAAGTGGGCCGTTGCCTGAGGTGCCGACGTACTTCGACATGGCGGAGAGCTACCTGCGCGAGGAGCAGGAGCAGCAGCGACGCGCTTCGATGCGCGCCTCTTCTGCCGGCAACGGGAGCGAAGAAGAGGAGATCATCTTCACGACCGACAGAAAGCTGCTCCGCCCGGCATCTACATCGACCATGGGCAGGCTGAGGGCAGACTCTGCCGCCTCTGCCGCGTCTGTCTACTCTGTGCCCTCACCATTGGCGGCACACTTCCCCTTGCCGCCACTAGTGGAGCGCGACGTCTCTTCGTCGTCCAGCACGGCGGAAGCAGCTCAGCCGCTTTCGATCACCAGCACCGCCGCTCCAGTGGTGCCGCTTCGCCAGCCATACGGTCACGGGGCGAGGCGGGGCTCAAACTCCTCGCGCGGCTCCTACACCTCGTACGGCTCCTCGTCTCCCGTCTCCACACGCTACGGGAGTGCGGTCAGCTCGCAGTCGCAGGGCCCGAGCAGCTGGGGGAGCGGCAGCGGCACATTCAGCAGTGGGGGGAGGAGGGGCAGCGGCATTGTGCCAGGGAGTGCCGCGACTACATTCGTCGGTCTCTCTACGCCTGGTGGGAGCAGTGCAGCCGGTACTGTCGGGCCTGCCACGCCACCCTCGCTGTATGGGTCGGGCGAGATGGGTGAGGCGCAGCTGCTCACCGCCAGTCCGAACAGGCGCGGTGGGCTTGGTTTGACGTTCAGCTCGAGCCCGAGTCAAAGCCCGGGCTACTACGAACAGGCAGGCACTGGTGGGAGCTGGTCGACCCTCTCACCGCCAACATCTCCTGCCACCACAAGCGGCTACATTACCGCCCGCAGCTCCGCGTCAGCCATGCTTCTCTTCGAAGCACTGCAGCTCGACGTCCTCTCACCGACTGCCGCTGCCTCAGAAGGGAAGACGAAGCTGGGTAGACCTGCTCCACTCGACCTGCGTCTGGGAAGCGGAGCGGGCATGGGCGCTGGAGTGGGCATGGGAAGGAGTAAGAGTGCAGCTCCTATTGGGGCTGCGACGAAGAGTAAGGTCCAGCGTAGTGGCCGTGGTGCCCGGGGCCAGCAGCAAGAGGGGGAAGCAGAGCTGGTGTGGCCCAAGTCGGCTGGGGCAGAGAGGAGGTACGGGTTTGCGATGTAGCGCGCGAGGGGTGCGCGCGAGGGGGTAGAGGCTTTCAAGAAATACACAGGCCAATTGGGACAATGATTCAATTTATTGTGATGTGAAAGTGGTGTAATGTATTTTGACATCAGCTTCGAGCATGGTGCGCGAGGTGAACAACAGGGTTCGGCGACACTCAAGACCCTACGTGGGCTTGTACCAGATGTCGACAGAGCTGGGCACCTGGTCGAGCGTGAGCTCGTCGGGCCACTCGCCTGCCCGAAGCGAAGGCCAAGGACACTGAGTCAGTCTGGCCCGCCAATGGTGCTTCATTCCTCCTCAATCGTATACGTACAGTCATCGTTGGCATTGACGTACCAGCAGGCGGGGCTGACAGCCTGCTCAGAGTTCGCTCCCAGACAGATGGCGAAGTCCTCTTCAGGGCAGTAGTCGTGAGGCCATACGTACCATCCACCATCACCGCAGGGGGTGCCTGAACAGCGAGAAGGGCAGAGTCAGTCAGACACTGAGACGTACCTAGCTAAGGTCAAGAGCAGCTTACCAAAGTTGAGTATGTTATCCCTCAGCACATTCCAGTCGGCGACCCGCGATGGCTCGTCTCGGTGGACACCGGTGCAAGAGTACGTGCCGATCGTCCTGTAGAGGCCAGTATTGATGTCCACCTCTTCCTTCAGAGTGACAGGAGCGTTGCAGAACTGCGGTAAGCGAGGGTGAGATCAACGTCAGCTACGCGAAGCATCATGAGGAAAGCGGCACGCGCGGCCGCCTACTCGCCTTCTCGTATTTGTACTGATTGGGAGACCCGATTCCCGGCTTCCAGGTGCAGACCATGTGCTTGGCCTGGTAGGCTGGGGCGAGAGCCATCAAGGCGAGTGCGAAGGGCGTGAGGGCGAAGGTGAGGAAGACCATGGTGAGTACGCGAGATGCGGAGAGGGTCCTAGAGCTGTGAAGGGCCCAGCTCAAGTACCTCTCGCCAAGATTTAGGCTCAAGAGCGGCGCTGTGTACAACCCTTGGCCCAAGAAGCCCTACCGGAGTTCTGTTGGCGCTGTCGTCGGCCCTTTGCTACCGCGGCACATTATGGCGTCGCTCCGGAGTGTCAGCCATACGGTACACCTGGGCGCTTTTGATGCCATCCCTGTCGGGGGAAGTCTTCCGACCCAGCGATTGTCCGCAGCAACGACGGCTGTGCTCTGCGGGACAGCTGACCCTGTTGCGCCTTGGCGTCCGGGTGAGCAACTCTTGGGGCTCCGACGATCTCGCTGCTGCACTTTGTCACCACACCTACGCCGCTCACGGACACCACGCATGTCTCGCCTCCTGCAGCTGCTCGCCATTGTATTGGCTACTGCGGCATCTCTGCCCGCTGTGCAGGGTGCGAACGCTACGCTGAGTAGGTGGGCAACTCTCATCGAATTGTGGCGGGATGGATGCTGACTCCCTTTGCAGTCCATGCCTGTAATGAGGAAAGGAACCGCCACTGTGAGTCAACCATAGCAAGGCGTGCTGAGCTAAGGCCGCTGACGGTGTGCCCGCGTCTAGGCTTCTACACTCCTCGTGGAGAATACCTCGCTCATCCTAACAGCATCGACCTCACCGATGATGACAAGCTGCTTTGGCTGGAAACCGATGAGACCGGCGCGAGTGAGTTGCGCTTGCCTTTCTGAACCGCAGCATCTGACTCAGAACACTCGCCTGACCTTGCAACTTCGCTCCGCAGCCACATATCTCTTCGACGAGGGGTCTCACGGCAGCTTCGCCGTCAGCTGCCTGAACGGTGGCGGCAGGAATGGTTTCTACTTCTCGCTGAACCGCAGATACTCGGTCATCACCCACGCCGCTTTGTCGTCTGGTAAGGCTACGGTCGCTTTCAATGACGCGATGTCCACGCAGGTGAAGTCCAGGCGCGTGATTGCAGCGGACCTTTCGGCCTGATAACCTGTGCTTCGCCCTCTTAAATTTATAGCCGCTGGGAAAGCCATCTACAGTTACCACGCTGGGGTTGATGTCATTATTCGCTGCCCCGTCTAGCGTATGCCTTGCAAGCCGCTCGATGCTCCTGATCTGCGGGTGATTGTCCGATCCGTGGCTGGAAGGATCGATATCAAACGCGCCGACGGCACGGGCCGCACTGTGGATCATACTGTAGGATGACCGATGGCAACGCGGACCGCTTTGCTTGTCGCCGATGCCCGGCAGATGAGTGCATCCGATCGGCGACAATGACGAGTTCCAGAGATGTCATATCTCCTGACCTCCTTTCCCTCCTGCATTAACCAGCCTTACCTCTTACAATGCCTGCTCTTATCTTCCTCCTCGTCGTGACGGTGACTCTAGCCGTGGCCGCTCCTCCTCCAGCGGCTCGTGGTTCGATCGTCAGTGTGTATGCCCCTGATCGCTCGCCCGCTACCTGCGCTGATCGCTCCAAGTGATACTGCGCTCGCTGCAGCTCAACGCTGCCATGCAGACCCCAATGTCCATTGTGAGTCCCGAGAGAGCCGAGCAGTCGACGGCAAACAGTATTGACGAGTGGCATGTTTTCAGGCATCTACGCTAGCCAATCCGTGGTCGAATATCCTAAAGTGCGCATGTCCTCCGGCAGCGTCATTGCTACCGAGGTCGACAACATCGGCTCATGTAAGTTGCGGAGGCTGGTCTCTCGAGCACAAGGCTGACATCTCTTGCGTCGCAGCCACCTTCGTCCTTGAGCAAAATTCCGTCGGCTCCATCACGGTCAGGTGTGCAGAGGGTGGCGGCCAAAACGTTTTCTACTTTCTCTTTCAGAACAAATTTTCACAGATCGACCACCGTCCGGAGTCTACTGGTCGGGCTACGATCGCTTTCAATGACGACGGAGGGCTTCATGTGAGGCAGTAGATCCAAGCAGCATCAGCTTCTCCTGCTGACCATTCGTTCTGCGATTCCGTGTTCACAGCCTAAACCCGGTTCGAGCGCATTCAGTCACATGGCAGGTGTCGATGCGACGATCTCTTGCCCGTTCGCAAAAGGGGTTGAGCACGAAGGCCTCGCTGATGCAAAGCTCGGCTAGGCTAGCCTACGCTCAGGCCCCTTCACTACTGTACTCCCATTTCATTCGCCACGTTCGACTGTGCCTTTCACATTCGACCCTTCCAAACCTTCCCTCATTGTCCGGCCAACTAAAGTCTCAAAAGAACTCAATACAAAACGAGATCTTCCCTCTCGCTCCGTCGTCGCTGAGGATGACCAGAATAGCGTGAGCGGACACAAGTCTTGGCGCGCTCGAGCCGCGCCTCGATCTGTCATGGCACTGCAAGACGTCCCGTGCCCCTCTGGCAATTATCTATCTGCTGGGAACGGTATCTGGACAGTAGTCAACACGCTGAGCTTCATGTCACGGTTCGCTGTCCCTTGCACCATGCTTTTGACCTGCGTGTGATCATTCGATCCGTGGCTGAAAGATCGAAATCAAATCCGCCGCAAACGGCACGGGCCGCTTTGTGAGTCGTAGGATGACCGATGGCAACGCGGGTGGTCTGGCAGATGAGTGCATCCGATCGGCGGCGATGATGAAATGGATGCTATATACAGTACTCCAAATTTTCCTCCTTTGCCTTCCTACATTCCACTGGCCGCACTCTTACTACAATGCTTCCCCTTGCTCTTCTCATCGTCGTCACAGCGACTCTCGCTGTGGCCGCTCCTCCTTCCGCAGCTCGTGGCACTTCCATCTGTGCGTACCGTTGGCAAGTCGACTCCTTACGGCACGCTGACCGTTCAGAGCGATACGCTACCAGCTCAACGCTGCAATGCGGATCCCAATGTCCACTGTGAGCCGCGAGAGTCCTGACCGCGTCGAGAAGGAACACGAATCACAACTTGCATGAGCACAGGCATTTACGGCCCTCCCATCAATGCACGTGTACCTAATTATGCCTGTCCAACTATGGAATGGGGCAAAATCATCGATTACGAAATCGACGAGATAGGCTCCGGTGAGTCGACATTGCTGATCTGGCAGGCACAAGGTTGATATTTCTTGCGCCGCAGTCACTTGGCTGATCGAGGACTATTCGCTCGGCTCCATGACCGTAAAGTGTGCGAAGGGAGGCGGTGTCACGCCACGTGGCACGCGTGGAGGCCCGTTCAACTTATGTTTACCAGTTCTCTCCGTCGTACTTTCTTACCTTTAATACCATTCTTTCATCCCCCTCTGAACTGGTACAGGCGGCTCGAACGATTTTGAATTTTACTTCAACAAGAATTATTCGTCGATTGAGCACCAGCAAAGTTCGACCGGTCACGCTACGATGGGCTTCAATGATGGCGTTGGGGGTCATGTGAGGCAACAGACCGAGGCAGCGCCGCAGAGTCTCCTGCTGACGCCGACGCTGCCCCATTTCCTCATGCCATACCAGCCTGCCCCAGGGGCTCTCTTCACGACTCGGATGCTCGGTGTTGACGCGACGATCCACTGCCCATTCTAGGCAGTGGCGAACACGAAAGCTCGACCAGGCTACAGGGCTGTAGCGTGCGCTCAGGTCCCCTCACTACTGCCATCTATCCGCCACATTCTACTGTGCTTTTCCATTCGACTCCTCCAGACCTTCCGTCACTGTCTGGGCTTGTAGTCGCGCTTCGCGGTCCTGTCTAATGCCCTGTCTACCAGTAGCGTCTACCTTGCAGACCGCTCGATCATCGTGGTCTGCGGGTGATCATGTGAGCCAGGAGCAGCGAAGATCAATTCTATTCCGTCGCAAAGCAGCTTGAGCCGGTACAATAGGCTACAGGAAGACCGACGGTAACGGCCGCGTGAATGATGCATGCGCGGCGGTTCAGTGCCTCCGATCGGCGCAACTCTTCGGCGATGGGCACGAAATGAATGCTACCGTATACAGACGAGACGACACACCAATACCCTTTAATTTCCTAGCCATCGCTCCGTCCTTCCATCAGCCCTGCCCCGACCATGCTTGCACGCCTAACTCTGCTTCTTGCCGGACTGGCGACCATGCTTGCGGCCGCTCCTCCTCCTCCCGCGATTCGCAGAGCTTCCATCGGTGAGTACCTTGTTGGCCGTCAGGTTGCCAGCGCTGACTAGTCCGAGCGATACCTGCCTACCAGCTCAGCATTGCAATGGGGACCCCAGTACTCACTGTGAGTCACTTGAAGACTCAGATCGTCGATCAGGCAACGTTCTGTACAGTACGGTATTGACGAGCTGCATGCTGTATTGTCAGGCATCTACACCCCTCCCCAGGAGTCAATTGCTGATTGTGGATGTCTCCCGGTGAAAGTATTCCGCGGCCAGGCCATCGACCAGCAGGTCGACGCCATCGGCTCAAGTGAGTCGCAACAGCCAATCGGCCAAGCCCGAGGCTAATTGGTCGCGTGCCGCAGTCACTTATCTCCTGACCGAGAGTGCAAGTGCCTATACCACGGTCAAGTGCGCCAAGGGTGGTGGCGAAAACTTCTTCGTAATCTACATGGACAAGGACTACTCCTCGATTCAGCACTACCCAAACTCGACCGGTTTGGCCACGATGGGCTTCAATGATGGTTCTGGGGCTCATGTGAGGCCACACGACCAAGCAACGCCGCAGACGTCCGTACATTACTTACGTTGCGTTTGTCTCGGGTTCATTCCACAGCCTGCCCCAGGGTCCACCGTCAGCACCCGAATGAGAGGTGTCGACGCAACGGTACACTGCCCGTTCTAGGCGCTGATCGGTACGAAGGTCTTAGTGAGGGAAGGCTCTCCAAGCCTAGCGTAGTTCCGGGCCCCATTCAGCTCCTATAGTCTCTATGCTCGAGTCCTCTACAGCGCTACTAGATCCTCATTCAACGATCCAACACCTCCATTTGAATGACATATCTCACCGACGATATCAGTGAAGAAGAATACAGTGTTGTACGTCGTCTCGCCACGAGATGACCTACTTGTACGGGCCTTTCAGACTCTCTGTCCACGTAGGACTCTCAAGGTGGTCGCGCCGGCGCTGCTCGGCAGCAAGCGTGTCATAGCGGTGTCGCAGCGCCGGCTGCTGAGCTGCGGCGACCGTGTTGGAGCGCCGATGTCAAATCCAGGTAGTGCTCCTTCTCGTTACCCATCTCTTCCCTTCTCACTGGCTAGTCCACTCTTCAGATCAACATGCTCCAGCTCGTACTACTGTTTGCCCTCGCAGCCACGACTGCTGTGGCTCGCATTGCCAAGACTCGAGCCCCCTCGATGGGTGCGTCATCTGCTCATCTGCAATCTCGCTGCGCTGACCCAACTGTACTCGCTGACCAGCTCAAATCTGCAATAGATCACCTAACGCGCATTGTGAGCCACGACGAGTCTCGTAGCGCCAGAGTGGAGGACTGAACACTCCACCGTACGCAGGCATCTACACACCTCCTGGTGAATCACTCGCCAATGGAACGGCTCCCACGATTCACATGTTCTGGGGCCAGATTTTCTACCATGAGGTTGACGCAATCAATTCTTGTGATGTCGTGGCGGTACCCGCAAAGTTGCAAGCAATTGGCTCACATGCTTCCGCCCTACAGACACCTTCGTCATAGGCGACGATGCTCGAGGAAACATCAAGATCGCATGTGCGAAGGGCGGCGAGAACGAATTCGCCTTCTTCTTCAACAGCACGTACTCGTCGATTGTGCACCAAGCGTCTTCGACCGGTCAGGCCACGATGGGCTTCAATGACGGAGGCGATGCTCATGTGAGGCACGAAATCTAGCAGCGTACCGAGACCTTGTATTCACCGGCAATCGACCGCCTCTTCGCTCCACAGGCAGCTAGAGGCAGAATGATCGATACTCACGCCAAGGCTGTCGACGCGACGATTCACTGCCCCTTCTGTAATGATCCTTGAGTGCAATCGGTGCTGCTGCAGAGGCGGTGACTCAATACTTTCTTCCACTTTGCCATTGCGGCATCATAACGGCGATCGCCCTCTGCCCTGCTCTGACTTGCCGACGATGTGAGCCTCGCTGAACATTGCACCGCTTCATCCACTGCTTTACACCCAGTACATCGCAGAATGCTCCTCAGCCTTATTGCTCTGTTGGCCTACGCTTGCTTCATCGCAGCCGACCCGGCTGAAGATGTGCGTGAGTACAGTACAATACGACGAGACCACTGACGAGACCAGCTGGATCTTGCTGAACCATGACTGCCTACATCGTGCGCGTACACAGAGGCCCTGTGCAATGCGGCTAACAATGCCTACTGCGCGTACTTGAAACGAAAGGCGAAGGACAAGGTGACCTCAGGCTGAGCCTGCTGCCGCACTCACAGGCTTCTACTCGCCCATCGCGGCCTTTCTATGGAGCATCCCAGAAGTCAAGACCGAGACTGGCTCCATCCTCGCCCAGGATCGCGATGCCGTCGGCTCAGGTGAGTTATGGTCTTCGTCAGATTGTAGCACAGTAGCTCTTTGCCTCACACGACGCTACGCACAGTCACGTATCTCCTCGACGAAGGCAGCACTGGAGAGTACATCATCTTCTGCAAGAGTGTCGGGTCCAATCGCTTCACCTTCTCGCTTGGTCTGCCTGGAAGCCAGATCACGAGTGATCCCGCTTCGAGAGGGCCTGCCCGCGTGTACTTCAACGACAATCCGGACGTCTATGTGCGTGTGCGAGTGCAACAAGCGACCGAGATGCGAGACTGACTGTTGAATACCCTGCATCAACAGGCTAGTCCGGGCCAGACGATCAAGAGCTCCACACCTGGCGTCGATGCGACAGTGACGTGTCCTCACTAAGCGGCGGTGTCGTGACAGCTAAAGAGGTCCTGTGACCTGCCCATCCCTCCGAATCGATGTCCACCTCTCCCTCGTCGCGAGCGTTGCCCCCGTACCCTTGCGCCAGTGATCGTGACTGTCACGCCGTGACCCTGGCCCTTGATTGACCCTGACCCTGACCCTTCATTGCCGCTCGCCCGCAAAAGCGGCGGGAGGTCTTCCGACGCACGTCAAGCAAGTCCATTACCTGATGCTCGAGCTGACACTCTTTGCTTCTCTCCTCATCCTCACCCACAAGTCTCGACTCCCCACAATGCACTTTATTCTCACAGCATTGGCCTTGTCCGCCTACCTCGTCGCGTCGCTCGTCCAGGCCGAGCCCAGCACCATCCGTGAGAGGCACGCCTGTCCTGCTTGCCAAGTCGTTCGAGCAGAAATGACACCTCCTTTCTTCTCATTGCGCGCTCGCAGAGCTGGCCTGCCAGAGCGCCGATAATGCCCATTGTAAGTCACAGCGAGAGCCAAAAGTTCGGCCATGGCTTCCGGCTAAACATACCGTTTTGGCGCAGGCATGTATTCTCCAACCGCTGCTCAGCGTATGGAGGACCCTACGATGTCCACGACGACTGGCTCTGTCCTTCACACCGAGAGGGACGGTAAAGGTGTCAGTGAGTACGATTATGTCCGCCCCTCCTCCACCTTGCATTCACAACGTCCTCGACTGGTCCCAGTCACCTATCTAATGATGGACGGAACGACGGGCAGCATGCTCATCTTCTGCAACGACGGCGGCAGCAACCGCTTCAACTTCAGTTGGGCCCACGGCGCAAGCTCCATCGTGGGTGACCCGTACGTGCATGGCAACGCCAAGGTGTACTTCAACGACATGCCCAGTCGCCTGGTATGTGGCGGTGCAGACGGCGTCAAAGTGCTTTCACTGATGCGAGCTATTCGCTGCTTGCCGACCAGGCCGGTACGGGAGAGACCATCGCTAGCTCCGCGGCTGGGATTGACGCTACGGTCACGTGCCCTCACTAGTGGGAGGCGGCTGGGCATGTTAGCTCGCTTGTTGCACCTCCATATCCTCAGACTTTATCCCCTTCTCCTGCCTCTTGCTTCAACCAAGCGGCCCGCCACCTTGTCGCCGCTCACGAGTGGCATCGCTGACGGCCCGTCCAAACGACAATTGCGAGTAGTGAGCCGCTGATGACTTCCTCGCCATGCGAGATTGCCGGTCACCATCTATCTGTGCCAATGGTCGATGCTCCGTCCGCTTGAGTTGAGTCTCTCTTCACCTCGCCTGATACGCTTCACCAAGCATGCGCTCCATGAACCCCACCTTCATCGCCCTATGCGCCTTCCTCACCGCCGCGCTCGCCAGCGCTTCGACCCTTCGTGAGTCAAGGGGCGGCAAAGCATGAGCCACGGTCTTCTGACCGACTCCCTCCTTCCTACGTACCTACAGCTCAAGTCTGCAACGGCGCAAAGGACGCTCATTGTGAGTGTTGCTAGCGAACAGGCGCCTGAGACGTGTAGAGAAGGAGAACAAGCTCACTCTCCTTCTCGCGGGATCACAGGCCTCTATACCCCTATCGCGGCGTATCGTACCCAAGATCCCGAGATCAAGGCCACGAAGGGCGCCATCGTCAGCCAAGAGAGGGACCCTGTAGGTTCCATCACCTACCTGATCAAAGACGGCACTGCAGGCCAACTTACGATCTTCTGCCACGATGGAGGAGGCAACAAATTTCTCTTTGACTTTGGTCAGGGGGCTAGCTCGATCGTTGTGGACTCGGTGTTGAACGGTAATGCCAAGGTGTACTTGAATGACAATCCTGGTGTTTACGTGAGTACGAGGGGCGAAGAGCGAGGAGCGAGGGGCGAGGAGCGAGCAGTCAGCAAGTGCGAATCATGATTCTGACTCCTCCCCCTCCCTTTCGTTCGTCTGCCAGGCCGGCATAGGCCAGACGCTGATCTTGCGTAGCAACTCTGTCGGGGTTGATGCTACGGTGACCTGCCCCCACTGAGTGTGCTTACTCTCATAGTTGTTGTGCCCCTATGCGCTCGCTCGTCCCAGCGCTTGCCCAAAATGAAAGATCATTAGCGACCCATCATGCCCACTCTGATCGTGAGCCCATACTGTCATAAAAACCCGCAGGCTCCTTCGCGATCCTTACCCTGGGAGTGCTCGATCGCGACGACAGCGGCTTGCCTCTCGCCCACCGCCTCGCTGTTCTGCTGTTGAGCCGCCTACATCACTCTCTCTTCTATCCACCCATCCTGACTTCCACCATGCACCTCGTCGCCATTACCTTAGTCGCTTTCGGCGCTTTCAGCGCTCTCTTCGCGAGCCGCGCCTTTGGAGGTGCCACTCTACGTGAATTGACTTGCTGCACACCTTGTGTGCACCTTCTGATCTGTCCAGCCCCTTCTCACCTCGCAGGCCAGGTCTGCAATGGTGCCAAGGACGCTCATTGTGAGTCGAACGAGTGCGAGAGGCTCGTCGACCCTAAGAAGGCGAGTTGATTCCCATACCCACCTCGTCTGCCTTCTCGAAAGGCCTCTACTCGCCGATCGCAAACTACCGTAATGCGGATCCGGATATCGACATGACGAGGGGCGACGTGGTCAGTCAAGAGAGGGACGCCGTCGGTGCCAGTGAGTGCGTCGGGCGGGGGCAGACTCGATCATTGGCGTCGAGTCGCAGCTCTGCTTTCCTCGATTCACCTACTCGTCCTGCCCCGCGCAAACATCGCAGTAACCTACCTGCTCAAAGACGACTCGGCCGGCAAGATGACCATTACCTGCTCGGATGGCGGGAGCAACAACTTCTTCTTCGAGTTTGGACACACCTCTAGCTCCGTGACTGTCGACACGGCGGATCATGGTAACGCCAAGGTGTACTTTAATGACAACTCGAACAATTATGTGAGTGTGTGCGAGGCGGGCATGAGGTGACAGGCGTAAAGAGCTGACACTGTGCTTGCCCTTTGCTGTTTTGACAGGCTGGCACCGGCCAGAGTATCCATAGCAGTAGCCTTGGTGTTGATGCGACGGTGACGTGTCCTCATTAGTGGTACAAGTACGAGGCAGACGTTGCGCGGACCACCTGCGGGCAGGCAAACGTCGACGTCGCAAATACGAGTCTATTCATCCATCCATCTGTCAATCAGACTCACCGTGACTCGGTGTCCCGTATGACAAGGCCCTTTGCCCATCGTCGGCGCTATTTCACAGCCTCATTGTGGCAAGCCGTTGCCGTTGCCATTTTGCTGGTGCTGCGGCTCCATTTCGCCAAGCCAGCTCTTCTTTGCTCGCCTCTCGTCTTTCGGCTTCGACATTGATCCTCTCCCTCTGTCGGATTTTCCTCCCACCTTCTGGCGCACGATGAGTCACCTCGCCTTCACCATCTGCGCTGTGGCTACTATGCTCCTTCTCACCATCAGCACGGCCGTCCATGCCGACCAGCTTAGTGAGCGACGGACAGTCTCACCAAGCTGCTCTGAGGTGACTGACTTCGGGTCTACTGAGCGAATCCTCGAGCAGGCGAGTACTGCAATGCGGCCGTCAATGCGCACTGTAAGTAACTCCCCTCTCACGAAGAGTTGACGGGAGGGCCGTGCCATAATGCCTGCGGAGCTCCTCGCCTCGACGACCGTCGCAGGCATCTACACCCCCATCAGAGCTTTCCGTCTGCAAGACCCGCTCATCAACATCACGAACAACGGCGGCATCATCGCCCAGGAGACCGATGCCATCGGCTCCAGTGAGCATGCTTTATCCTGCCGACCTCGAGCCTCGACACCCTCTGACTCCCCTCTATCCGGACACACTCTTCCGCAGTCACTTACCTGATCGTAGACAACACTCAAGGCTACTTGACGATCATGTGCTCAGATGGGGGCAGCAACAGCTTCCAGTTCTACTTTGAGCACAGTGGAAGTGCAGTGACGAATGAGGAGAGACTGCACGGATTGGCTTCCGTCTACTTCAATGATATGCCGGATAGCTATGTGAGTGCCGCGCGTAGGGAGGGGTCGAGCGCTGAGTGAATCGATGCATGCTGATCAAGGGACGCTGTGTGTGGATGTGGACGTGGATGTGGTGCAGGCTGGGCCGGGTGAGACGATCATCAGCTTCTTTGCCGGGGTGGACGCGACGGTCACTTGTCCTCATGACAACAAGACGAGCGCTGCTGGGCTGACGAAGCGGAGGATACGAATGAGGAGGCCGTGATGTGTGCGATCGACGTTGTAGAAGCAAATGGACGCATCATAGACATTGAGGAAGATGCTGCGTGCGTGACATGGAGATTGGGCGAGACGACAAGATGCTGCGCCCGTGCGTTGGGGCCGTCAGGCTGCCGAGTCTCGCCGCGCGATCGATTGGATTGGATCCACGCCGTGGAGGCTCGTCTGGCTCTCTGTCTGTCCGTCGAGGCCACAGAGCAACGCAACGCAACGTCGAGGCTCCAACGCAGCAGGGTCTTCTTCCTCTTTCCTTCCTTTCACACACAAACACCACACCAACCCATCACATAACACGAAATGGCACCTCGTTTCTTCGTCGGCGGTAACTGGAAGATGAACGGCACTCTCTCGTCGGGCAAGGAGCTCATCTCCACGCTCACGGGCGCCAAGCTCGACCCCAACACCGAGGTCGTCATTGCTCCCCCTGCTCTCCACTTGCTCGGTGCTCAGCAGGCCCTTCAGGGGTCCAAGATCGCTCTCGCGGGACAGAATGCGTACCACAAGGCTAGCGGAGCTTTCACGGGAGAAATTTCGGTGCGTTAGGAGCGATAGAGATTGCCTTATAGTCGAGCTCTCGCTGACCCCGCAGCGTGGCCTTCGTCCCCGCTCGTAGGTCTCGCAACTCCAGGACGCATCGATCCCCTGGGTCATCCTCGGCCACAGCGAGCGTCGTACCCTCTTCCACGAGTCCGACGCCGACGTAGCAGAGAAGACGGCTGCTGCCCTCTCCTCTAACCTCTCCGTCATCCTCTGCGTAGGTGAGACCCTCGAGCAACGCGAGGCCAACGAATCTATCAACGTCGTCGTTCGTCAGCTTGACGCTGTCCTGTCCAAGGTCCCTCAAGACTGGAGCAAGATCGTCGTGGCTTACGAGCCCGTCTGGGCTATTGGCACGGGCAAGGTTGCCACGCCCGAGCAGGCCGAAGAGGTTCATGCTGCCATCTACAAGTGGGCGGGAGAGAAGCTGCCCAAGGGCCAGGCAGAGGACTTGCGCGTCATCTACGGTGGGAGTGTGGCGGCAAAGAACTGCAAGGAGCTGGCGAACAAGCCTAGCATCCACGGATTCCTTGTCGGTGGAGCTAGCTTGAAGCCCGAGTTTGTCGACATTGTCAACGCTAAACTCTAGGGGCGCGCGAGATGGCGACGACTGGAGGAAAGGCAGGAAGGAAGGAAGAAGGGAAGCGCCTGCGATAGGAATAGATACAATTACAATAGCAGCTGCCTAGCTGTGTGACTGACTGCTTGCCTGCTCAGCTGCGAAGAGCATCAGCATCGCTCCCCTCCCTCAGTATCGCGCCGTCTCATCCTCCTCCTCCTCCTGATCCGCATACCCACCTCCCCTCGCCCTCCTCTCCTCTTCTTCCCTAAAAGCCGCCTCCTCCTCCTCTTGTTCCCTCTGTCTCCTCTCCTGCTCAGCCCTCTCATCCTGTTCAACCACGATGCTCCACACACTAGCCTTGAACAGGGTGATCACCAGACCCATCTTCCTTTCCGTCTCCCTCAACTCATCGAGCACTTGCGCATGCGGACGCGTGGCGCTCAGCTGAGCAGATGTGGAGAGGATACGACGCAGTGTGGTTGAAAGGCGATGGTATTCTCCCAAGAGGTGGGACTGAGAGGGGGTAAGGAGTCGATGCCCTAAGTAGGGGTTGTGCCAATTTGAAGGGGCGGGCTGCGCAGAGCTGGCGTTGGGCGGGGATGATGGGCCGCCGCCGCCGCCGTCATTGTGAGAGTGTGAGAAGGTAGGGTCCTCCATGAGGTTGGTGATTGGCGTGATTGAGCGCCGATATTGGTTGGATGAGAGAGGACGATGAGGATGTTGGTCAATCGCGTGGTTAGGCCGGGCCCTGACTGATTATATGCACTCGTATCGGCGAGACACTGTTTCCTGATGACCTCAAGCGAGACGATAGAATTGCCCCCGTCGCTTTGTGACAGTGGGACGCTGAGGTAGCGTTATCGTTGAGCGCAACACAAGGCGGATGTTGGTGATGGAGGGTGAACGAAGTCGTGAGCGGACGGAGAGCAACAGACGATGTGGACTGAGCTTTGGCCCCAGTCGACCCGCGCGGCACGAGCGCGTCTTGACTTCTCGCGACTGGCCGTCAGGTTCACTCAAAGTGGCTTCACTCATCACGACCTCAGAAAGGGCACGACTTCTATTTGATGCAGAGCAGAGAACAACGAATAGGCTGATCTACATATTGCACATGAGAGCTCTACGCACCCTCCTTCTCCGCCTCGCCCAATTTCTCCCTAAACAACCTCTCCGCCCTACTCCACACGGCTCCCTCTCCCTCGGGAAGGTTGAGCTCCTCGCCTCCATTGGCCTGAAGCGCCTTGGGCAGCTGGAGGAGGCTGGGCAGCAGATCTGTGCTGAATGCCTCACTCGCCTCGCGAGGCAGCAGCGTCGGGAGATGGTCGATGGAGATGACAGTGAGCGGCTCGCAGCCCGAGGCGAGCCCGTCGACGTCGACCGTAGGGGAGGAGAAGGTCGTGTTGATATCGTAGACGGGGAGAGGGTTGTTCGGGTTCGTCGTGTCGCATGACACGTCGACGATGCAGCCTAGCCTGCGCTCCGCGCCTGCCGAAGAGATGGACTCGCGGGACAGGAAGGGAGGGATCCTTTGGGAGCGCGGAGGGGGATGAGGGTGAGCGAGGTGACTAAGACCAGTCTGTCTTCCTGCTCGTTGTCACTTACTTCTTGTTGAGGTAGATGCAGTTAACAAAGAGGTCCACTTCCATCAACTCAGCATAGGGACCAGGCTTAGCGCTCGTCTCCTGGATGTCCCACTTGACGATGTCCTCATCCTTCAGGCCGGCCTTTTGCAGGCAGTCCACAGCTCCACGACCACAGCGACCGAGAGCGCCAACGACGAGAGCCTTGACCTTGCCATCCTTGCGTGTCTGGCGGTACGACTCGACTTGGGAGCGAACCACCTTCATCAGCTCCTCCTCGTTGGGGTAGCGAGTCTGCGGGCCGAGGCGAGCGCCCTTTGCTTGTTCGGCCAAAGAGAGGCTGCGATGAAGAAGGCGATGATCATTAGCACCGAAAGGGTGATTCCTTCGGCCTGCTCTGCACTCACAGACCCAAAGCAGCCCCCGCGAAGCCGGCGTGCCATCCAAAGGCGGCGACTCTCCTCCCATTGCTATCCTCGAGGAACTCCAAATCGTACAGCTTGCCTCCACCCTGCTTGAAGCGGCTGAGCACGTCGACCCATCCGCCTTGCTGCTTGTAGCAGTGCGCGAATTGGATGTGCGTGTGAGGGAGGGGCGGACCGGGGCTAGGGAGCTCCTTGAGGCCGAGGATGGGGATGTGAGAAGGGAGAGAGGGCCAGCTGTTGTGCGGGGAAAGGGTGCAGCCGACCCTGAGAGAAGGAGCGAGCGATATGCCAAGGTCGTGATGAGTCAATCTGATGGATAAGAAGGTGTTGCCGAGGCAGCAGGGCACACTCACTGCTCATACTCCTCATCATCAAAGATCCTCTGAGGGTCGCGCTCAACGGTAACGTCGAAGCCCGCGTCGATGAGCTTCTTTGCCGTCGTCGGGGTCAAGGCAGCACGGTGCTCCGCCGTCTTCATCTCGCAGCGGAGGTAAATTGGTTGGCGTTGACCTGACATGATGGGCGTAGTAGTGGGGATTGGGTTGATGGTGGGATGAGAAGAAGTGGACGAGCCCGAGGAAGCGGCGGGCAGCTCCGATGACTCCGAAGATTGCATTCGCGGGCGGAGAGAGTCGACAGAGGCAGACCAGTCCACGGCCACGCGATGAGAAGAAGCGCAGGTGGAGCAAGATTCGTGCAGCTCAACACTTTCTCACGAGTGCATTTCATTTCCTTCGTTGGGTGCTCAGACCTCTCAGCGACCGACTACACTAACAGGCACGTCATACACATCTTCACTCAGCATACCCGTCCCTCTGCCTGCTTGCTGCTGGATCACCATCGGATGTCCACCGTCCCTGATGAACTTCTGAGCTTCAGCGAAGGACATGTCGCTCGCTCGAGGGATGGGGACCCATTTGGCATGAGAGTCTGCGGTTGCGGTTGAAGAGATAGGAAGCGTCAGGCAGTGCTTCGTGCTTCGAGAGTCGATTGCATGCTCACCTGTCATCGAAGCAAGGTCGTCAGAGGCGGGAGTCGAGTAGACTCCGTACGCCATATAGGCAACGTAGACGAAGAGGACGAGGACCATGGACCAAGCGGGGATCAGATAAGCCCATTCCCTGCGCATGCGTCACGATGAGATCTCGATCAGCTCTCAATTCTTTCCTCTCATGTCTGAATAGGCGCCTATCACCTGCTCGGATACCAATCCACCCCTACAGCCTTGAGCCACGCTTCCGGCACCAAAGCCCAAACGCTCCAAGCAACGAGGAGCACAGTCGAGAAGGCATACAGCGCGAACCCCTTTGCCCCATTCAGGCGAGCGGGACGAAGCCACTCGTTGCCCTCTTCGTCCTCACTGATACCTCTCTTCGTCATCAGGGAAGCTTTCTTCGAGTCTCCTTTCTTGACAGCTGAAATTGAGTCCACTACAAGCTCAAAAGGCCCACTTTGACTCCCAAAGTCGCTCCTGGCCATGATGCTCCACATCTTGATCTCCTCTGGATCCAACTTTGGAGCGGACGGTTGAGGCCTGCCGCGGTACGTAGGCTCAAAGTCTGACCAAGCTGGGTGGAAGGCCGATACCTCCGCCGACGAGGTCGAGACGTTGAAGTTATACTCGTACACGGTGGAGGACTCGTTGCGCCCATCGGGGCGTTTGACGGGCATGGTTGTGTATAGATTGAGCACATATGATGTGACGGGGCCTTTACCTCCCCCGGGCTGGTCGTTCCCCTCTTTGCCTCCCTTCTGTGACGGCGGCGGCGAGCAGACCTTGACTTCCAACCCCTGCCACCCAGCCTTGTCCAGCGTAATAGGCAATGACTGACCATACTGCTGGCTAGCAAATCCCGCCCCACCTAGCGTGGTGGTATCAAGGAAGCCGGAGAAGAGGAGCTGCCCACTCGCAGTGAGATTTGTCTGCGAGGTCGACGAGCCTCCACGCACGCGGTCGTCGACTGCCTTGAAGGTCGAGAGGGCTGTGCGCCATGTTATTGCGGGTGAACTGGCGTGAGGGGAGAAGAGTGGAGTGGGTGCAAGAGACAGGGGAGGCATGATGGCGTAGTGTGAGGCGAGAAGAGAAGATGAGAGGAGGCAAAGATGCATGAGCAAAGCACCGAGGAACCCGAGCCTCGCACGGATGGATGCGCACGGCCTCCTCCTTTCTCCGCCTGCATCTTCGTCTCTCCGTCGGGCCGATGTCGATGCTCCTCTGTCCGTCCCTGCCTTGACTCGCAACCAACACACACGCCCGGCTCATTCTTCCCGACTTTCCTCCCACCTGGTCTCCTACCTCGTCCCTCTCTCATTATGCCACCGCAAAAGACCTTTCAACACCTAACAGATGCAAGCGCATACCAAAAGCTAATCAAGCAGTACGACGTCTGGCTCTTCGACTGCGACGGCGTTCTCTGGTCCGGGGACGATCTCATCCCGGGAGCCAAAGAGGTCTTGGAGAAGCTCAGAGGATGGGGCAAAGAGATCGTCTTTGTGACCAACAATGCTAGCAAGAGCAGGAAGGAGATCCTCAAGAAATTCGTCAAGCTGGGTGTGAGGGCGGATGAGGTGGGTAGGATGCCGCGGATCGGGATGAGAGGCAGAGCTGACCATTGACTGCGTTCGTGGTGGGCTCGCAGACGGAGATCTTCTCGTCGTCGTACGCCGCCGCCGTATACTTGAAGAAGGTGCTAAACTTTCCTTCGGACCGCAAGGTGTACGTCATTGGTATGGAGGGGATCGAAGAGGAACTCGATGCTGAGGGGATCCAGCACTGCGGTGGGACGGTAAGCATGCTCCGCGTAGAGCGCTGTAGTCAACGCAGAGCTGACCAGTTGTGAGCGACCCAGGCCAAGGAGGACAACGTCTTCCTCCCTCCCCTGGACTTCTCCACCCTGCAAGATGACAAGGCCATTGACCCATCAGTAGGGGCGGTCATGTGTGGCTTCGATATGCACCTGTCGTACATCAAGCTGGCAAAGGCGTACAAGTGAGCCAGAGCGCACCGAACAAGACGATTTTGGAGCTGGAAGGGCTGATCCTCCTCTTCCCCACACGCACGCCCGTCACAGGCATCTCACCCGCCCAGGCGCCGACGGTCCGGCGAAAGCGGGCGAAGTAGGCGGAGGCTGTCATTTCATACTGACCAACGACGACTCAACCTTCCCCGCCCGCGGAGGTCCATGGCCAGGGGCCGGCTCTCTCTCCTCTCCCCTCCTCTTCGCCACCAAGCGCCAACCAACCATCATCGGCAAGCCCCACCAGCATATGCTTGATACAATCCTCGCTGCCAAGCACTTTGAGCGAAGCAAGGCCATCTTTGTGGGTGATCGACTGGATACGGACATCGATTTTGCGAATCGAGGCGATATCGCTAGTTTGATGGTGTTGACTGGGATTAGCACGAGGGCGGAGATCGAGGGCGATGGGGCTGAGATTGTCCCGGATTACCTGGTGGAGAGTCTGGGTGATTTGGATCAAGTCAAGGAGCTGTGAGGCCTGAGGGATGGATCATCATCATAGATGCTTTGATGTGTCGTGGTATTGCAATAGACTTCTCAGCTCAGCGCGACGCACGCTCAATCGGACGCCTGCGTGAAGAGGCCCGGGAACTTCTGTGACACAGTGACTACCCTCTCCACCAAGTTCATATCTGCGTGCGAACCAACAAATTACCTGCTGTCAGCTTCATCTTCTCTCACTCTCTCACTGGCATCTTGACGCGCGCACTCACCGACTCCATCTCCCAGATCCAGGCTCGTAAACTCTCTGATCGTCTCACCACTGTCCGCCACTTTGCCAATCACCTCAACGAATTTGGCCCCGTCGAGATCCGTGTCCCTGTTCAGGCCTACCTCGACGTTGCCCATGTCGCTTGTCTGGATGAGTAGGGTCGAGGCGGAGAGCTGCGTGCGCGAGGGAGTATGAAAGGGGAGAAGTAGCACAGAGGGGGCAAGGAGGACAAGGAAGGACAAGTGTGAGCCTCGCGCGAGGAGGAGCGAGTAAGTACCAAGGCGGGACTTACCTTCGTCACCTTTCCTGTGATGCGGACGATCTGACCCCTGTAGTTCGGCAGGAGCGATGAGTTGATGAAAGGCGTAGGATGCTCCATGATAGACTGCTCGTGACGATGAGTGGTGCAGAGGAAGGACGAGTTGGACGGAGGGACGGCTGAGCTCGCAGCAGCAGCAGCCCGAATCGCGAGTCGCGTCGTCTCCAAATGAGGGTGCGGAAGTGGGGTTGGGTCGCGTGGCAAGTGGGTTGGTGTCGGAGTCGACGTTCGAGCTCGACGGACGGACGGACAAAGGAACAAAGGGAGCGAGCTGCATGGCGCACGGCCGTTACGACTTTGGCCTGGCTTGACTTCCTTTCCATCCCATCGCTCGAACTCACGCCACATGACCATGGGCTCGAGCTCAGAAGCAACTTTTCTCGCTCATGAGTGCGAGCGGCCTTATCTCCCTTTTGACCCCTCGTCCTCGCATTGGGCTGATGTGGTGTGAGTGCGACTCTGGCTTCTCCGCCTCGCCATTCACGCAGTCACACTAACCCTGCCCCCATGACACCTTTGCGCCCACCAGCCCCACTCTTCAAGACGACGGCCCCTCTCCCGACGTGCTCGTCCCCATCATGTACGACCCAGCCTACTCATCCGCGATGGACCTGCTCCGCACGATGCAGCCCAAGCGCGAGTTCTCGGACCGCGCTCTTGCCCTGACCACGCACCTCGTCTCGCTGAACCCCTCCAGCTATACGGTCTGGGCGTATAGGGCTGATGTGCTGCTTGAGGGACAAGAGGGCGGGGAGGAGAAGAGAAAAAAGCTAAGAAGGGAGCTGGATTGGATGGAGGAGTGAGTGGCGCGGTTCCCCACGTATTCGACAGGGTAGTCGTTGCTGACCATCCCTCTCTCACCCTCCTGCCGCTCACGCACGCAGACTCGCCCGCGGCAATATGAAGTCATATCAAGTCTGGCAACATCGTCGTATGATCCTCTCTGCCCTCGGTGACCCCTCTACCGAGCTCAGCTTCATCGAGTCGGTGCTGAACAAGGACAGCAAGAACTACCACACGTGGGCATACAGGCAGTGGGTTCTCGCGCAGTACGGCGGTTTGCCCAGTGGCAGCGCGAGGGACAAGCCGACACATCCGGAGCTCTGGGAAGGAGAGGTGGGATACACGACCAAGTTGATTGATGAGGATGTGAGGAACAATTCGGCGTGGAATCATCGATTCTTCGTGAGTGCAAGCAGCTGAGGATAGTACGCAGTATCTATGGCAGCTGACGATGATGGAGCGTCTTCCTCACAGGTCATCTTCGGCAGCGGGAGAGCAGCTGCCGGTCCCAAGGCCATCGGCCTGCAATCGCCAGCCGGCTCAGATGCTCCGAAAGATGGCCTACTACAATGCGCCGAAGCTGAAGTCAGGTGAGGGCGATTGCGCACGCAGCATTGCAGGCCAGCCTGCCTGCCTCTGACCCTCCGTTGCCCTTCCCTGACCCGCTCATCGCGCAGATACACCCGCTCGCAGCTCTCCATTGCCCCTTCAAACGCGGCAGCCTGGGCCTACCTTCGAGGGGTCCTCTCTCACGTCAACCAACCGCTCACATCCTACGACTTGCAGCCATTTGTCCGCAATCTTGGAGATGAGGTTGCACACGCGCTCGAGTATCGGCTGGACATTGTTGAGGAGCAGCTGCTGGAGGGACGTGAGGCGCCAGAGATTGGCATGATGGATCAGCTGGTAGAGAAGTTGGTCGAGGTGGACCCTGTGAGGAGGAGGTGGTGGCAGGCGAGGAGGGAGGAGATTCAAGAGCTGACAAAGGCTCCGGCGCCGGCGCCGGCGCCCGCCTCCGGGGCGTAGATGTGGAGCGATGTAAGACCGTCGTCAATCAGTACCCCAACCTGCGCGCCTTTGGCCTTTTGTGAGCAGCGTTGACGTTCTCGTCACCGTCACCGGACTAGCCTCCACGGTGGCCTTTCTGTGAAGCCGTGTCTGAGCCTGGACCAGATTGCTGCAATTGAGGGGACATTCAACTCCAATGGCCGGAGCGAATGTTCAGAGATGGCCTCATCGCCTGCATGATCGAGACCTTTCCTGGAGTGAAGGAGCTAGCTACCGTGCAGTACCACAATGGGAAGATGGCAATTTACGGGTAGTGAATCTCAACGTGAATGACAGCGCGTTCTGGCTGCAGGACATCGTTCAGGCGGGACCCACCTGGCGAGTCGTTAGACAAGACGTGCTGAGGGCATAACTAGAGGCGTGAGATACAGGAGGGCTGCTATGAGACTGTGGGTCGGATGATACGTGATGTAATTCGAATCGTGATCGTGAGAGCTAGTGACACATTGGTACAGGTACGAGGGAGCTACAAGACGGGGTAAGAGGAAAGAGCGAGGGTCGCAGCCTTGCGCCACGATTGCGCTTAGGCGGTCGTGGTACGAGTGACAATCTGGTCCTGCTCCTTCTTGTCCTGCTCCTCCTTGTCGTTGTGCCCATCCTGGCTTCCCTCCTTCTCCTCTACAGCAGCAGCGCGCTGCCTGTCCTCCTCCATCTGGCTCTGCTTGCCCAGCTGAGGCACATCGTCGCCCATGGCAGCCTCGTCCTTGACGCGGAGGGGCCTGTTCTGCGTGGCGCCGACGAGGTACCAGGGCTTGGACTCGAAGAGCTCCTTGATCTGCTCGAGCTGGTAGCCCGATACCTCTGGCATCATGAAGAAGACGAAGATCAGCGCCGCGATCGACATGATGAAGAAGAAGAGGAACAGCGACCATGGACCGCCAGAGGCAATGATGGGGTTGACGCTGCGGGAGGAGCCGAATTGGCAGAGGAAGTGGATGATCGAGATGAAGCCTACGCCGAGAGCTCGGACCTCCAGGCTGAAGAGTTCAGTTCTGTGCGGTGCGCAAGAGTAGGAAGACGGCGTGTCAGCGAGTGGACAGCTGGATGCGTGAACTCAAACCTTGGCTTTAACGAAAAGGCGAACTGTGAAAGGTATTGGACAGAGTTGACTCCTATGGCCCACGCCAAGCCCGAGAGGAAGATCATAGCGATTCCAGCTTCACTCGCCATCTTCTGACCCTTTGTCTCGGTCGCAGCGTCGACGTTGTAGTTGTACTTGAGGTAAATGCAGAGGTAAAGCGAGCAGAAGGCCTGAAGCGAGAGACCCGCCATGACGGCGGTCTTGCGTCCTGCCAGGTCAATGATGAAGAAGGCAGCGGCCATGGATGATACGAGCTTGACGACACCGAAGATGCCCGTCGTGAACAGCTTCGTCTGGCTACCCGTGATACCGACCTGCGGAAGGGAGGGGCGGGAATGTTTCAGCGGACTTTGCTCTGACGCGTCGTTAAATTGCCGCGATCATTGCTCTCACGTAGCCGAAGAGCTTGGGCGCGAAGACTGTCATGGATCCACCGCCAGAGAACTGGCCGAAGACCTGAATACCAATACCGATGGCGAGGATGTGCAGGTTGCGAGGCGTACGAAGCATCTGCCAGAAGATGTGGTACCAAGCACGGTTGCCACGAGCCTCAGCTTCCTTGTCGAGCTGCTCGCAGATAGTCTCAAATTCGTTGACGACGACGGCGTCGTTGTCGCCACAATTGCGCAGCCAGTAGAGGGACTTGCGAGCCTGCTCACGGCGGCCGACCTTGAGGAGCCAACGCGGCGACTCAGGGATAAAGAAGCAGCCAATGAAGATGAGGCCGGCGACGACGAAGTTGAGACTGGCAGGCGCCTGCCACTGCAGCGAGTTGGTGTTGGAGATGTGGAGCGAGGTGCCGTAGTTGACCCAGTAGCCGAGGAGGATGCCGATGTAGACGGAGGCGGAGAAGATGCATACAGCGAGACCACGAATAGCACGGGGAGCAATCTCGACGAGGTAGGTAGGAGCACAGACGGGCGTCATACCGACTCCCAAACCAGCGATGAAGCGACCAGCCAGGAGCTGCGAGAGGTTGCCGTCACCGGAGTGACCGTGGACACTGGTGAACCAGACGACGGAGCCGATGATCCAGAGAATGCATGCCATCTGTGAGGTCTTCTTGCGCCCGAGAAGGTCACTGACGATGAAAGCGAGGAAAGAACCCACGATGGAGCCGGCTTGAAGCATCGAGGCTGATGGGCGGGAGCGTGCGCGGCACGGTTAGCGCGATGTCACGGTGTGTGCGGCGCGCGGCACTCACCAATGCTGTTCTCGACCTCGGATCCCTCTTCAAAGTCGAAAGAAACCTTGAAGCTCTTTTGGTTGATGATACCGGAGATCAAACCCTCGTCGAGACCACGCGAGATACCGAGGAGACCGACCGTGAAGGCCGGCGCCCACAAGTGGAGCCACGAGCGCGAGCGAGGGTCAACTTCGCGAAGATGGCTGAGAAGCATCTTGTCCTGATGGTGGTGATGAGAGAGGGGAAGGAGGAGGGAAAGGGGAATGGGGAGGACTTGAGGGGCGTACGACACGGCGATTGCAGAGGCTGTGATCCTATATATCGCCGTCGTCGGTCAGGTGCTATAGCCCGAGACGGCTCTTGAGAGGCTAACTTTTCGTCACAGCCAGTCAGTCAGCCACCCCCACGCAGCCCGGCGTGCGTCGTTTTTCGCACCAGTGGCAACAAGGAGCCGGCCTGACGGCGCTTCGTTGCATTACCAAGCTCCATCGCGGGGCCCCCCCAAACACTTTGCCCCTCGTCGAGCTAATGGCGAGGCATGGCGCCGCCTCCGTCGTGTGCGCGCGCGACTGACGAACAGCGACGCTGCAAGGGCGGTCGAACACTTGCTTGACCAGCAATTTACGCCCTAGATCAGCGCAGGACCACGCAGGAACGCAGAGCATCATGGGGCTCCAGAAGTGGAAGCTCTTGATGCGGAGATGAACCATCGTCCTTCTTGTTTAGCGTTGCCAAGAACTCGTTGGTACAGGCGAACCGGTGGGAAGCGAGAGTCTGGATAAGGATGTGTGAGCGGCAGAGCGGTTGCGCTCCGCCGTCACCGCCGTCACCGCCCTCGCCGCCGACTCCGTCTCCCACTTCGCATCGTGGGAGAGCGCGGAGGGGGAGCAGTGTCCGGCGACTCAGCCGCGCTAGATCCGCCACTTCTCGCGAGAGGTTCGCACGATGATGTTGAGTGATAGACTGGGTGAGTGTGTGCTGTGGCTGCGATTGCATCCTGACTGATATCATGATGGCCACTATCATGACATGATGGTTGGTCTATGGAACGGCACGGTCATCATCGTGTGTTGTGATAATGAAAGGCTCGACGACAGCTCTCGAGCTCCTCGCCCCGGGTCACCCTCGGCAATCTTGCGCTGGCTCCGTTTAAATTCAACCGCGGCTCGCGCGGATGGGCTGGGGCCAGATCAACCGGGCGCTGCGCCTCCTTTTTCTCTGCTTCCCGCTCCAACCGTCACTACAATCCGGCCGAGTGGCCTCATCTCTCGCCTGAGCAAAGTCAAGATCGACAGATGGGACAGAAACCGACGCTTCGATCAGAAGCCGCGCACGCACAATGCAGCGCCCGCATGTACGAGTCCAGACGTACAGCAACTCCTCCTTCGCTACCGGCCTCGGCAGCAGCCTTCCATTTGCTCGTCCTGACGCGTAGCCTCTGGCTTCCAACTCAATAGCAGCGCCTCCCACTTGTCGCAGACCGCAGGCGGGAGTCGCCACTCATCAAGCTCCATTGTGGCTATTACGTAGCAGGAACTGAAGGATGCTACTCGGAGCCCGATCAGGCGCGAGCCAGCCCCGAGCACAGCATACGGCAAGCTGTCCACCAAAAGAGGGATGAGGTTGAGGTTGAGATGGTATGGGAGGACGCAGGGATGCTTCGCGGGGTCCCACACTTTCTAATGGGCCGCTGCGGAGGTCAGATCGACGTTCAGAGACATACGCCGGCCGGTGTGCCTGCCTTCAACCTTGGACGATCGAGACAGCAAAGACAAGGAAGTCGACGCCACCTCTCCATTCTCACGGTAGATCGGGAACGACGGAGATGACGACGCCACGACGTCGCGCTCTCAAGGACAGTCCCCAATAATATCGACGCCATCCTTCGAGCTGATCATCTCAGTACCGGGTGTAAGCTTTCCTCGTTTCACCCCATCATCAAAATAAGCCTTGGCGACGCCCGTGTTGGCCGTCCTGGAGAACAGATGGTTGGCGTTGCCCTGAAAGAGGAAGACAAACGTTTCCATCCTAGAGCTCTTCTTGCACTGCAGGCCGAAGGATCCGTTGAGGAAGTCCTCGATGAGGAATGCGCCTGTGCGTTGAGGTCGCTCATAAGCTCGACTTCGGCCGCCTTCGCTGGCCCCCCTAGCTCGTCTTGGCACTCACTCTCGCCGTACTTGTCGCGGGAGGATGCCAAGACGTGGTAAGGCTGGAACATGCTCACGGGGTTCTTAGCAGCGAGGTATGCGTCGCCTACAGTGCTGCTCGGATCGAGGATCAGGTCAATGCAACTCCTCGCAGCGTCCCCATCACGTCTGGCCTCTCACTAGACGCAGTGCTGCGAAGAGTCGCCCTTCTTACACTCTGGGCCAGCGCCCGCAAGGATCGACGTAGAAAGCACCGCGGTGAGGCAGAGCGCAGAGGTGAGAAGCATAATCGTTGGCATGGATGAAGGGGAGGGTGAGACGTTAGCAATACAGTCTGTGAGGCAAAGCAGCAAAAGTTGAGCGATGACCATGTTCACGGGACAGCGCAACGTCCCTTGACATGGCGGCCATATCGAGCTATCGCTCCACGTCTCTCCGTAGTTGAAGCAAAGCATGACAGCTCTGGTCTCGGCGTGTGCCAGACCTCTGCGGCAAGTTCGTTGGCATTTGCTCCTGCCCTCGTACCAAGTCGGGCTGCGCCACCCGCGCGCCCTCTCGATATCTTGCCGCACCATCCAACGCGGGAGTACATTACCTCTCTGCGAACGTGCTGTCTACAACGCAATGCCAGAAACAGCTGCTGCGCTCTGAACGCGTTGCTTTCGTCTCTTCCATTCACCCTAACAGCAAGTCGGAGATGACCTCACTCGCTCAGCTCACCCTCCTCATCGGGGCACTCGCGGCTTACAGTCTCGCCAAGCACGTCACCTGCTCCTGGCGTCCTGGCTCTGGCTTGCCCAAGGCGTACGGCTTCGCTCACGTGAGTCAATCCCCCTTCCCCTCTCCTCAGCGTTGCTAGCTTACCTCTCAGGCTCCCGCACGCTGGCCGCCGCCTTCAGTACTGCACTGGCAGCATCTCGGATCTCGATCCTAAAAAGGGCACCAAGGCTAACCTCTGCCGCGACCAGTCCAACAAGACCTTCACGGTAGGGACGTGGAATGTAGTTGGAGCCAATGCGCTCAACTTCGGTACGTTTGCCTGTGTGCCTTGGACGCGGCTTATTGCCCTTGACTGACATCGCAGTGCGCCCGCTGCAGCTTCTCCTTGCGGGCCCAATGGGTGGTTTCAAGGCTTCCACGGTCCCTGCGACAGCGACGCCTTTGCCATGTGCCTCGGTGCGAACAATCCAGGAGATGCTAGTGACTGTTTCTACATGGCCCCTCAGGATGATTGTGCGTTGTATTGAGGACGTGATCACTCTAATGCAGCGCCAAAGCTGATCCAGACTCGCTCGCTCTACAGGCCAGTGGCCCACGCCCTTCTACGGCAACAGCCTGCCTCCCACCGTGGACATGTGGTACAAACTAAAGTGACTTGCGCCGCACTCATCTCAGCCTCGTATCGCTTTGCTCTTCGATTCAGACTCACCGACGCTGATGCCGGTAGAGCTGTCACGTTCAATCCACATCTTTGCCTCAGCAAGCGGACCGATTGCGGCGCCTCTGCCTCTGCTCCCTCCTGCATCAGTGGCCTGCGGAGAGCTGCCGCCCGTACAGTATCATTCAGCCCTGTGCCCACCGGCGCGACTGCTTTGCTATTGGGTAGAGGGCTCGGCGTAACGTATCTGCGGCGGCTTGGGCAAAGGGTTGCGTACAATGTACAAAAGATAGTGTGGCACTCTCCATCGCTTCTTGTCAATCCTTGCAACACAACACGCAACGATGCTCCTCTTCGCAGCCCTCACCGCCCTCACTGCCATCGCAGCTCAGGCCTTCGCCACCCACGTCACTTGTGACTGGGCGCCTGTCCGCTCGGATCCTGGGTCGGTCGGCTACAAGAAAGTGAGTCGTTGCGTTGGCCCTGTACCTCTGCTCGGCTGCCTCGCTCTGACCACCGCACTCCTCGTCATCTTGACGATGCGCCGCCCTGATAGATGTGCAACGCCGCCATCCCGGGTCCCCAGCAGAGCGATCCTAGCTTTCCGTACATGTGCTTCGACAAGCAAACGTCAAAGTGACGGTTGCCGACTACAATGTCTTGGGCCCCAATAAGCTGGAGATCGTTTCGCCCTGCGCGTCAGGAGGATGGGCACTCAGTCCTGGCGGCGGCTACTGCTACCTTCAGTCCATCGCCGCCTGCCTCGACGAGGACGGGCATGGAGTTGCTAAAGACTGTTACTTCATGTCCGCTCAGGATGACTGTACGTTCGCTACCAGGTGAGAGTGTATATCCGTGCTATCGCTGACAAGACTGTTGCCTCGCAGGTGAGTGGCCTCATCCCATCGAATGGGCCGACACGCCAAACAACATCAGCATCTGGTACGTCAGCAAGTGAGGGCTGTCGCTGGCTCTACTCTCCCTGTACATCTCCCACGAATCTCGCTATCGAATCACGAGACAGTCACATCACTATTTGACAGAAGTTGCGAGCTACGCTGCGCTCGAGTGTCGCTGTCACTTTGGTCAGACGAGGCTCCTACGGTGTCAACGATCGGTGTACAGTACCTTTGATGCGCCAGCACTAATGAGCACGCCAACAGTGGCGCATCCGCGCAGAGATTGCTTGCTACTTCTTCTGCGAGCGATGATCTGCGTGACACAGCCCAGGGGCCGCTCTACGAGCAATCTGTCGTTCTGCCTTCACTGACCTTGCGAGCCCATCCACCCTCCGCTCCCCCGAGCGATTGGCCCGCCACCTTTGAGGCTGAAGCTTTGCCGTCCAAGATCACCGCTTAGTATCAGTAGGAGCGCAAGTCTGCTGCGTGGCATCATATTCCAGTCCTTGTTGGTGTGTCGTCGGAATTGAAGTCCGATACTCCACGCGCCACAGTAAAGCGAGAAACTGCGGCTTGAGGTCATGGCGGCGTGATTTTCCTATGATGTCGTGAGTCCATCACACGTGTAGCATCGGCTCAAATTTGGCTTCCTGGGGGGTTGCTCGATTGCTCACAAAGCGGACGACAAGGCCCTCCCCGTGCTCTGTAAACGTGGTCGTCATTGCTGCGGCTGTACATGTAGCGCACATTTTAGGTACAAGAAGGAGACCTGCGGTGCATCTTTCTCCCCTTTCCAAACGACCAAACACGACCCAAGATGATGCCTTTCAAGTCTATGCTCACCATCCTCGCAGCCCTGGTGGCCGCAACCTTGGCCAAGCATTCTACTTGCAGCTGGCAGCCGGTCACATCCGACCCCACGACTTACAAGCTCAAGCACGTGAGTATCCCGCGAAGTTCGATCTGACCCCGCTCTGATATAATCGCTCGTCTTGATTACCGTGGCGGGCGACATGGCCAGTTCTGTGACGCCAAAAGCACGGTCATCGATCAGAATAAAGGCAGTAGGAATTGGACCTGCGCCCACAACTTCAACGGCTTCAAAAGGCAGGTCAAGATTGCCGACTACAGTGTCCTCCAGCCCAAAGTGATCGAGGTCGGCACACCCTGCGGTGAAGGAGGGTGGTATCGAAACGAGGACGGCTTCTGCAGCAGCGATGTCTTTGCGGTCTGCCTCAGTAAAGACCGTGGAGTCGCTACGAGCTGCTACTTCTTGTCTGCAGATGATGATTGTACGCTGATATCGCGGCAAGAGACGATATCATGCCGCTGATGTTGTCGCACTAAACCGCCTCTCCCCCCCCCTCCCCTTTCCTTTCGCCTCTCTCTCGCTCCACAGGTCAGTGGCCCGGTACTTTCGAGGCCAAAGATTTGCCTGCCAATATCACTGCCTGGTGGCAGCCTTGAGCTTTAGTGTCATGAGTGACTTGATCTTCGGTCATGATTCAATTTCGATACACGTGCTCTCACCTTGACCCTTGCCCTGAACCCTCGTGAAACAGCGACCACGGTCCCGGTCGACATCGACCCGACAGTATCGCTCTTGCCTAGGTCCTTCGCCGCAGCTCTTCATTCCTGCCACATCACCGTCTGAGCCCCTTGCCGCTTCAGTCGATCTCTCTACGCCACTCTTACCGACGATGTTCATCGCATTCCTTGCCCTCGCGATCAGCCTGAATCTTGTGTGGCCCGCCCAGGCCGATCACTACACCTGCCATTGGCGACCGGGAAACGAGTCTCCAAAAAAGTACGGCTACAAGCATGTAAGTCGTGGGACGCTCAGCAATCGAGCGGCGTTGCGCTGAGACCTCTGCATCAGTACTGCAACGCAGAGCAAAACATTGTCGATCCTGTCAAGTCGACCCTTCAATGGAGCTGTACCAGCAAGTACAATCGCACTGTGAGCCCGGCCAATTGGAATATGGTCGGACACCTGGCCCTCGAGTTCGGTGAGCAGCTCGCCGCAGCATCGCTATCATCGTGTTACAATCTGACGACCGCTCGCACCCTTACTGTGCCACTTCTCAGCCACGCCCTGCGGAGAAGGAGGATGGTTCCTCGACACATATGGAATATGTCCCGGCGATTACTTTGCAATGTGTCTCAAGCCGGCGCAGGATTGCTACTATCTTCACGATGAAGATGACTGTGCGTTCGAGCGGCAGACAGCGTACGTACTACTGGCTGAGACTTACACGTCCCACTCGTTTCACCTCGTTAGGTCAGTGGCCCGACTTGTACAACGTGAACGAGCTGCCCAAGACGCTGGACATTTGGTACTGGTCGGATGAGATCTAACCGACCGACCGAGTCGTGAGCCATGCAGTAGATCCTGTTCCTTCCGCGGGCTTAAGCAATCGATGAAGGCATTTTTTGGTACACGAGATGAGCTGATTCAGGCCCCCTGACTTGGGCGGGGGTTCAGACGTGACCTGCGCACATGCCCTCGTATCGTCACAGCAACTGAGTCTTTGCGTCGAAGCACTGCGCCCTTCGAGGTGGCCTTGACATTTTGTAGGCACGTCAGGCCTTCAGCGCCCTCCCGCCCTTGACTACTGTACAGCGATCTGTACGAGCGCTCCTGGCATGTTCATTGCCGTAGTGACGTCCCGCTCTCGTGCCCGTCGTACAGACCTCCCGAGGAGGCAACGTGTAAAATCTCGCGCTGCTTCGCTCTTCGGTGCTCTCAGGCCAAGACAGAAAGCTAGAAAACGTCGCCCACGAACATCTGAGACTGTCTGGTAGCCTCTCACCCACCCAAGATGACTCTCATCAGCTATATCAGCGTCTTTGTAGCCCTCGCGACTGGAGCTTTCGCCAAGCACATCACTTGCAGCTGGCGACCTGGTCCGCTGTCTCCCCACAACTACGGGTTCAAGAAGGTGAGTCGGGCGCGGCGACTTGATGGCCCTTGACCTTTCCTTACTCTTTCAGCGCGCCTCCAGTACTGCACCGCTCCTGCGAAGGCTGTGCCAAATACGAAGAATCTTCAGTACCATTGTCGCAGCGACTTCAACGACGCCAGCCTTGTCGTAGCCGACTACAACGTGCTGGCCCCCAAGATCCTCGAATTCGGTCAGTAAGTCGGTTGTTCACATGGGTCTGGAGCTCACCATCATGCATGATGCACTCACAGCTACGCCTTGCGGGCGTGACGGATGGTATCTCAACGCATCTGATCAGTGCGAGAAGAATTACTTTGTGATCTGTGTGCGCCCTACGACGCCAGACAACAATGACTGTTTCTACATGGAGGCAGATGACGATTGTAGGGCAAGCGGTGCGCTTGTGAGCGAAGGCTCGGTATCAGCTGATCGCTCTTTCTGCTCTTTCGCGCTGCAGGTCAGTGGCCTCACACCTTCGAATACGGGGCTGCGCCGACTGAGCTCGAGATTTGGTACAAGTATTAGAAGCCGTTGGCTTTCGCGCAAGCCGCAAGGCGCTTCATTGAGGGTCAGTCCCGAGATAAGCAGTACAGTGGACCTCTCGCTCTCCCGTCTCTGTCGCCTTCAAGCTCGATATTGAACCCCGTACACGCTCGACGTTGAATATCGTACACGTGCTCTCAACTCTATCAAATTGAACGCTATGCTCTCGCCCTTAGCCCAGGTCAATCAGCGACCGCTTTTGCGGTGTAGATCGGTCCGACATCGCGTCAATGCCTGACTCATGTCGCCGTGACCATTGATCCTGACCTCATCACCTCCTGGATGCCTCGTCGCCTCGTTCACCTCCTTTGCAAACGCCAACTCTTTCCAGCCATGGTTCTTGTACTCCTTACCCTTGTGATCGGCGTCAGTCTTGCACTGTCGGCTCACGCCAACCATTCCAACTGCACTTGGCGCCGCGGGCCCAAGTCCCCGGCAGAATACGGCTATAAACCCGTGAGTTTGTCAGGACCTGGGACTGCGAACAGCTCTGCGCTGAGATCCCTTGGACCCCAGTTTTGCGCCGCAGAGCACAACCTCGTCGACCCGGTCCAGTCGACTATGGAGTGGACCTGCCTTGGCCCGAATGATCGCGACGTAAGCGTGGCCAATTGGAACATGATTGGGCATCTTGCCCTCGAGTTTGGTAAGCACCCTGCCGCAGCATCCCGGCTTGACTCTCCACCTGATGGCCGTTCACATCCGCGTTGCCCTTAGCCACGCCTTGCGGAGACGATGGATGGTTTCTCAACTCGTACGGCATCTGCTTAGGCAGCTCATTTGCACTGTGTCTCCAGCCGGCCCAGGACTGCTACTATGTCGATGACGAAGATGACTGTGCGTTTAAGACTTGCGCCAGAGATGGTGCCGGCGGTTAAGCGGTGGCTGAGAGTCACGCCTCCTACTCCCAAACAGGTCAGATATCCACCTTGTACAACGTCAATCAGTTGCCCAAAACGCTGGACATTTGGTATTGGTCGGATCAGGTGTAATCGATCGACAAGTGAGCCATGGTGTAAACGCGCCATTGCTCGTGCTCGTTCAAGCAATCGAGAATTGCTCTCGCCATCTACGAGCTGGTTGATGGCCGGTGACCCGTGAAGGACTTCGTACGTGACCCACGCACATGCCCTCGTTTGCGCAGCTGTACCTTTGCGTCGAAGCACTCAGCACTGCTCCGCTCGAAAAGTCTCGACTGCAATCATCTAAGCTCCTGACAATGTGCATCATCATCGCTCTTCGCGCTTCAACCTTTCATCATGCTCTTCGCACTGATACTCGGGATCCTCTTCGCGCATAGTCTGACTTGGCTGGCCGATGCTGATCACTACACCTGTCATTGGCGCGAGGGACCGAAGTCCCCTTATGACTACGGCTACAAGCATGTGAGCTGAGGGCGATCAGACCGACGGGACAACTTACTGTATGAAATGTCTCGCTACCATAGTACTGCCTGGCCAATCACAGCCTCGTCGACCCCATCAAGTCGACGATGGTCTGGACCTGCATCGGTATTTACAATCAGACTGTGAGTCCTGCAAATTGGAATATGGTCGCGCCGCTCGCGCTTGAATTCGGTGCGTCCTTGACCCCGTGCTAGCCTGAAAGCATTGTCTAATCCTCAGCGCACGACCGTATTCAGCCACGCCATGCGGGAAGGGCGGATGGTATCTGAGCAGCTCCAAGTCTTGCGGCGCCGACTACTTTGCCATGTGCCTCAAGCCTGCGGAAGACTGCTGGTATATGCATGACGAGGATGACTGTAGCTATGACGTTTGCTGCGCGAGGAGGCGCATAGCGCTGGCTGACGGGTTGCCCCTCTGCGCTTACTCACCGGAATAGGCCAATGGCCCGACCTGTACAACGTCAATGAGCTGCCCAAGACGGTGGACATCTGGTACAAGGCCAAGCCGCGGCTCGCGCGTAAGCGAAAGAGGGTGAACAGCAGCGAAAGATCTGACTGGTACGAGCCATTGAAGCTAGTCTGAACAATTCAAATTTGCTTGCTTGACTACACGGGCGGCTCGCTTGATGCATGCAGCTGCTCATACCAGTCCCAAGCAGCTGACGTGCGAGAGCCAGGGACTCTCACGCGCCGCAGCGACGGGCGGTGACGTGTTCAAGTGCACGAGCAACGGCGCTTTCGCGGATGCTCTCCATTCCAGACCGCAGCTGGCCATGTACTCTTTGCGCCGAGCATTCCTCCGGTCAAGATCGTCTTCGCCGCCGGCCCTTCACAAGCTGCAGGCGCTTCTTAATGCGCCACCACGTCCTGCAATGCCTCGCAAACTCTCATCCCGGCCAGGAATCTCGTATTCGCCATGCTCTCTGCCTTCTTGGCGATCTCCATTGCGGTCCTAGGCTTGTACCGACCTGCTGCTCTCGCTGATCACTACACCTGCCATTGGCGGCCTGGCCCTGGGCCTCCCAAACAATACGGCTACAAGCACGTGAGCTGCTTTTGTCGCCTGACCAGTACAGAATGAAAGATCTAGGCTGACCCCTCCCGCTCTCAGTATTGCTCGGCGGAGCAGCGTCTCGTCGATCCTCTTCTACCAACGATGGAATGGACATGTACCAGCATGTACAATCGCACCGTGAGCGTGGCCAACTGGAATATGGTGGAACATCTCGCTCTCGAATTCGGTGTGTCCCGCTGCTGACGCCATGAGTCATCTCAAACTGACTACCTCATGAGCCATCACGCCACCCTTCCCATTCTCAGCCACGCCCTGCGGTGATGGAGGATGGTACCTTGACTTCTCGGAGCGGTGCCCCGGTGAAACTTTTGCAATGTGCCTCAAGCCCGCTGAGGAGTGCTGGTATCTACACAATGAAGACGATTGTGCGCAATGCAGCGGCTGCGGCCTTTGAGTGGGCAGCGACGAAGCTGACGCCACTTTCGCCCTCGCCTCGCTTCTACAGGTCAATGGCCTGATCTGTACAACGTCAATGAGCTTCCCGCGAAGGTCGACGTCTGGTATTGGTCGAAGACGCGCTAGACAGGATTGAGGGATGAGTAAACATCAATAGAGGATATTCTGCCTTTCGATGGGGCGTAGCATGGCTTGCGCCGCGAAGGAGTCCAAGCGCCTGATCACGGCCATGCACGTGCGCCTCGAATGAAGTGCCACGGTTGTCGTACGGTAGGAGAAGCAGGTGTCTTGCGTGGTGCTCCTTAATCTTATCATGCGCATGTGTTCCTGAAGGGAGACCTCTCACCCGGCCAGTCGAAGATTGCGGCGAGTCTCATTCGGGTGCCGTCTCTACCGCTTCAGGCCCGCTCGACCCTGTACCCTCTCCGTCTCGCCAATCCCTTTGCCGCAGCGCTGTATCCATGGAGAAAGCACCAGCTGTGTCCCGATGACGAGCTCAGCGAGAGGCTGTGCGGTCATGATCGGGCAGTCTTTGGTGTCGCAGGGGTTCAGCCGTGCCCACTTTGCTTGGCGCCCTCGCAGCTCGTTGAATGCGCCTGATGCAACCAGATCCTCCCGCCAAAGGCGCGGACGTGTCCCTTTACGGGGGCAACCGTTGGGCAAGCAGCTTGGCTCGTCAACGTGGGGCTACGACAGTGGCGCCGAGCTAAAAGCAAGTCGATGGATGAAGGCACGGCCAGCTGACCAATGCGGAGCCACAGACGAAGTGGTGCTATGTCGAAGCAAGTCTGGAGGTATTTGAAGTCACCCGTTGCGGAGCCAAGACAACGACGAGTTGGCATCGTACCCACGTAACACGACCTGACCATGACCCCTCTCCTGCCTCTGCTCGCCAACGCCCTCGCGCTGCTGCCGCTTGCCCCTCTCACGGTGGCCAAACACGTCGTCTGCTCCTGGAGGCCCGGCATCGCTACGCCAGACAAGTACGGCTTCAATCGCGTGAGTACTCTCTGCTCGATCACGAGCCAGGAGAAAGGAGTAAAGCTGACAGCGCACTCCCACTCGGCAGTTCTGCTCTGCCACATCCTACACGACCACGACTCACGACAAGACCACGGCTGAGTTCAAGTGCAAGCACCTCTTTGAGGGCAACACAGTCAAGCCGGCTACGTGGAATGTGCTGGGTGACGGCATCCTCGAGTTTGGTGACCGAGCTCCATGCGCCAGTAAAACAGCATGCAGAGTGCCTTGCTGACCTGTCTGGCCTAAATCCCGTCCGCAGCCTCGCCTTGCGGCATGGGCGGCTGGTTCGCCGAGGGCGAGCACGCCTGGTGCCCCGACTCATCCTTCGCCATGTGTACCGACGAGACTCATGGTGATGAGTGTTGGTACATGGATAAAAGGGATGATTGTGCGTAGCCTAAGCCGTTCAGTGAGGCGAAGCAAGCAGCGCTGACCTTCGACACGCAGGCGAGTGGCCCACCAAGTTCACCGTCGACACGCTCCCTACTTCGGTGGAGCTGTGGTACCGCAGGAAGTAGACGGTCCGAGGGCGAGACGAGTGAGCCAATCTGCTCACACTGCTGTGACGAGTCGAGATTGTTAATGCTAGTCGGCTATACAGTACCGTAGTGTTCTAGCCGCTCTCGTAGATCTCTTGATGCTGATTGAATCTTGAGCCCATACGCATGCGAGAATGTAATGACACGCAGACATGACTGCTTTCGACGGCGATGCTTGATTGATAAGATTGATAAGATTGCCGCACGTCTGTCCGCGGCAGTGCTCAGCTATCGAAGGGACAATGAACAGTAGCGTCTACCCCACTTGTGTAACTGACAATGGAGGTCCCAATCGCAGCCTGCACCAGGAACGTGCAAGGCAGACTCTGCTGATCAGCATCGCACTCTGTCTTCCTCCCTCTCTCTCTTCCCCTCTTGAACGCACTGTACTCACATGCTCTCCTGCATCATCATTGAATCCAATCGTGGCCGATCCCGTCGAGTTGCCCTCATGCGTGATACTCGACATGTCGCGGTTGAACAAGAAGCTGATATTGTTTACCCCGACTCCCTTGTCTACTGCACAGTTGAGCACGAGCGTGCCGCTAGTCTCGTCGTTGAAGAGGTAGGTGACTGCGCGGGCGAGCGAGCGAAGGAGGTAGGACAGGTTGAGAGGGAGTCAGTGCTGGAATCACTGAATTGTGGGCTGAGCTCACTAGAACCAATCGCATCGGGCTCCTGCGAGAGGAGCGAGCCACGATCGACGTGCACTGCAGGCGCGCGGCGTTGGAAGAGCCCCTCAGCTGGTGGGGTGTAGATACCTGCGCGAACGGGTCGTGGGGCATCAGCGTCTGCTGATGCACTGTACAGATCTCGCTGCGGCTGTTTCACAGTGTGCATTCGGAGCCTGGTTGCACACCTGGCCTGGTAGCCATCGCTTGCGGGGCGGGTCAGCGCCTGCCTTTCACTGCGATGATGCTGCGTTGAGAGGGAACGCACCCATTGTCAGCCGTCCGCGAACGGGAGGCGCGGAGGCCACCATGGTTGAGAGGAGTGCGAGCAGGTTGGCGAGTGATGGCATGTCAGCGCACAGCGACGAGGTGAGAGGGAGGTACAGTGGGAAAGCAGAGAGGCGGATAGAGAAGAGCAGAGTTTGCTCAACAGTGTCTGTCTCTACTGTAGGCTCGACTCTGAACCTTCAACCCCCAATTGGACAAGGCCCTCAGCCCAGTATGCGGAGTCACGGCGACGGAGTGACTACTGTGACGGTGGATTGCTGCAGCTGGAAAGAATGACAGCCCAGCCTTGACTAGATGGAGTGAGCATCTGTGGCAGCCTTGCAATACAGTACTCGGCTGTAAAGGAGTGCGGGGATGGGGGAGCGGAGGTGGTTTTTGATCGACTCCCACTATCTACCCAATGGCTCGAGAGGTCCTGACTTGCCCGAGCGGCCTGAGCTAGGGACACGATGCCGAGAAGGTGAGGAGGCGAAATCTGACGCACCGTGATAACGAGGTCGAGTTCAAGTTCGAGGTCGCATCGGCCAAGGCTAGGCGGTGGGATTGGCCGGGCTTGTCTGCTGGAATCTCTCGCCCGCCTCGAGAGACGTGGAGGGTACAATGGTCATATTGCTGAGCGTCGTCCTGACTTCTCTCCCCCCCCCGCCTCTCCATCTACTCTACATCGTCACACTCCCCACTCTCAACCCGCCTTGGGCGGCTCCACTCTCCCTTCTTCCACCCTGATATCAGGCTCAGTCCACACGCCCAACATCCTCACCGGAGTGGTATCGCTTCCTTCCCTCTTTCGCCTCTGCTCCTCTGGACTATCCATGACCCTCCCTATACTCGGGCTATTGAAGCGTTTGGTGAGACCCTCCAACATGGTGAGGTTCACATCGTACTCTCTGGCTAGTCGCTGAAGGTCAGAAGGGGATCGACAGGCTTTACGTTCGTCTAGGAGCATGGAGAGGGTTTGGACGTCCAAGCTCGAGTGGGGGAGAGCGCCTGGTGGGCCTGGACGAGTGGTGGTATTGGAGCCTGCTTCTGCTCGCTCTCGCTCTGCTTCGAGGCGCTCTTCTCGCTCTTGGCGGGCACGGAGAATGCGCGTCATTTGGGAAGGTTGCTGCTGTTGAGGTGGGGAGTGAGGTTGCGACTGGCCAGGACGACCTTGCAAGGCTGAGGTGGGGGAAGGCGTCTGGACTGGGCCGAGGTTGTTGAGCTGGTTGACAAAGTGAGGGTCGAAGGCATCGCGACGGACGGCTGGCGTGGCGAGGAGGGATACATTGGGTCGATTGTCAGCTGTCGTTGCTCAATAATGTCGTCTTATCCGTCCCCTCGCCCTCTCTCTCGCAAACTCACCAGCATCCTTGACTTCGCTCCCGCCCTCTGATCGGCCAGGCATAGGTCCAATCCTACCATCACGATTGAGCGGGGCAGCCTGTCTCCCCGTCCCTCCCAAGTCGTCAGCCTGGCGGAGTGTACCGTCGTCGACGGGGATGTCGGAGCGCAGCTGGGATGCTGAGGGAGCAGGTTGCGAAGGTTGAGAGCGCGCCTGAGCTGGGCGCGACGAGGATGAGGGACCTGCGCGGGCTGCTGCGCCAGTGGCGTTTGCCGTAGATGATGACGTGGAAGGGGTAGACTTGGACAGCGTGCGAGCTGCTTTCGATGATGAAGAGCCCATGGCTGTGGTGTGGTTTTGGTGCGGTGAGGTGGGGTTGCGAAGCCGCGAGGGCGGACTACTTTGGCAACGCCTCCACCGAGTCGTCCTCACGAGTCCGAGTCCGCGCCTCGATTAGTCACCCAGCGCAAGTGGCTGGGCTGACGCAGCGTGGCGAGAGTGCGTTGACAGCGACGAGATGGGCAGCTAGCAGCGAGGTGTGGATGGCAGTGGATGAGCGGGCGAGCCGACGGAGGGAACACCATCACGAGGACGTGCAGGGCAAGTCGAGACGAGGAGGATGGTGGCAATCACACAACGCAAGCAAGAGAACGAATAGTAGCAGAGCAAAAATGGTATCATTGCAGCTTCGCTGGTATCGCAAGCCCTCCCGGCTAGCATAAAAAAGTGGGAAAAAGTGTAAAAGTAGTTTTGGTTGAAGTGGCGGGCGTCGCAAGGCGGTAGTGTTAAGCCAGGGACACCCCAACTCCACACTGTCTCAACGAAGCAAGCCTCGAGTGACGAATGGGAGCCCCTGTGAAGGGTAACCACTGATGAGGGGAAAAGAGAGGGTTAACGTTTAAGTGACTAGTCCGAAGACTAGGTTAAAGACGTTAATCTTTAAAGAACAGATACTACACTTGATCTAAGCCAAAAGGCCAGAAAAGTGAGGAGGGAAGAATGGACCTGGGACCGAGTTGGGTATTTGTACTCGAGCGGCTGGGAGGGGCGTCGACGAGAAGAGGCAAAGAATTGCGCGCGCGGCCTCAGCCACTCTGCTGCCGCGAGGCTCGCTCAGCCCAGCTCAGTGCTCAGCAAGCGTGGCGCTCGCTCAGCGTTTTGGCGCTCCAGGCCGCTCCCGCTAATGAGAGCGCGTTTGCTGCGTTGGCTCAGCGACGCGTGCCCTTCGCAACGACTACCAGGTAAGACGGTACTGTACTATGCTGTGGAAACGACTATTGCGAGTCAAGCGAATGCTGCGCACGATACGCCCCCATCTATTGCAATACGATGGCTCACGCCCGAAATCAAGCTGAGCCCAAGCTGACAATCGGCACCCTCCAAACCCTCAACGAGCCATCATCCGCCGTGCTCGCGAGCAGATGATTCCATCCCCACGTGTCTGAGCCATTCCCGCCCATCTCTGCATCGTCGTCCTCGCCAATCTCCTCGAATCGCGCCGCATCCTCGCCCCCCTCGGCCTCGGGATCAAGGTCCGGCCACTCGTGGGGTCGCACGTCCTGCTCAGCCTTGCACATGGGCCCCCATGAAACACAGTTGATGTCGGAGACGCCGTGTGCATCTTCTACGCTGGCAATGAGTGTGGCCACGGGTGCTCCCTCTTCACCCTCAGGCTGGGCAATCTCCCAAACACAGATCCTTCCATCCCCACCCGCGGCCGCTAATCTGCCTAGCGTCCCTTCCCTTCCCTTTGCCCAATCCACCGAGTAGACCGTCCGTCCAAACCATCCCTTGAGCACATTAGTGCACACCCACCTGTCCCCTGCGCGGCCCGCCACTTTACCCTGTGGTTGCAGTCCCCTCGCCTTGCACTGCACCTCGTCCAGGCGACTCCAGATGCGCACCGTGCTGTCGTCGGAGGCGGAGGCTAGGTGATTCCCGCAAGGAGAGAATGAGAGGGACCAGACTGTCGAAGTGTGGCCCGTGAGAGTGGTATAGCAGAACCAGTCGTCGGAGGGATCGTCGAGGTAGAGGCCTGTGCGTGTGTGGGTGAGGCGAATAAGGGAGGATTAGTTGGCTGATGCGTGAGGGAGATGAGATGTGTTGCGCGCGAGACTCACGAATGGTATCGTCGTACGAAGCCGAAGCTAGCAGCTGCAGATGTGAAGCAACACATGCAATGTCAGCCCACATTCTCCCTGACCCCCAAACTCATCACACACGCGCAACTCACATCCTCCCTCGGGCTCCACCTCACACACTTGACGTCCTGGCTATGCTCCATCAACACACTCAAGCACTCAAAGTCCCCATCAGGTTGAACCTCCCAGATCCACACGCTCTTATCCCTTGAACAGCTAGCAAGAAGAGTTCCGTTGCGATTGAAGGTGACGGACTTGCATTCCGACTCGTGACCTTCCAGCGTACCTATGCAGTCCCACATGCCCGTAGAGCTGGATGAAGGGTTGGCCGAACCTGTCGCGTCTACTACGCCTGATTCCGAAGGGGGAAGTTGTTGCCAAATGCCTGCGTGACAGTCAGTCAGTCAGTCAGTCAATCAGTCAGCGTTGATCCGTCCGCTTCATTGCTGCGCAACATGCCTGCTCACCAACAGTAGAATCAAACGAAGCGGTAGCCAACGTCCTACCCGATGGGCTCCACGCCACCTGCCTGACCGTACGCTTGTGACCAGTAGGGATCGTCTCCCTGAGCGCGAACCTTACTTGCTCCTCACCCTCCATCGTGTCACCATGGCCGCCGCTGCTCCTGCTGTGCGAGAACAGCCTCACATCCCTGTCGGTGGAGCAGGTAGCGAGTAGATTGGTCCGCGGGTTCCACGCAGCAGACCAGGCGCGATCGTTGTGCCCGGGGAGGGATGTGATAAGTTCGAGAGGGGGAGCGGATGAGGAGCTGGGAGTTGATGAGGGCTCGCCCATGATGGATGAGAAGGGGGAGTGAGTGGTTGTTTGGTGGAGACGAGGAGGATCTGCTGCAGCGAGAAGCTTTCCACAGCACAGACGTCACTTCGAGGCAGGATCATCGACCCAACGGAAGTAGAACCGGGCGGGAGGGCGGCGTTGAGGAGGTGGAGCGGAACGGAGCTCACCGTGCGGGCCTCAAGTGAGGAAGTCGCTGCGACGCCCGCGTCCATCTCCTTCCGTCAAATCCACCCCGTCGCTCAACACCACCCACGCACCAACCAAATCTCTCCACGCCCATATCTGACCCACAAGACATCTCACTTTGGTGGACACGACCATGATCCCCACCCTGCCCCTCCTCTCCCGCACAACCTACCGCGGTTCCTCCGGTTCCGGTCCAGGCCGCACAGCTCTCAACTCCCTCTCCTCCTCTCGCTCATCCCCCGACTCACGACGCAGTAACGCCCCTTCGGCCAGTATAGTCTTCCACCGCTCCCAGCGCGGTCTCTACGACGGGGCGACGTTGCAATCGGGCCATTCAACTTCAGACTCGAGGCAAAAGACGAAGCGTACTTTTAGGCCGAATGTTCAGACGAAGAAGTTGAGGAGTGAGCTGTTGGGCCGGACCATCGAGGTTAGGACTACAGGAAGGGCTTTGAGGACGATTGAGAAGAAAGGGGGATTGGATGAATATCTTGCTACGAGTCAAGAGTGGAAGTTGGGGATGTTTGGGGTGGGATTGAGGGCACAGGTTGCTAGGGCTTTTGCGAGGAAGGAGGGGAAGATGGTGGGGTCACAACGAGGTGGCGTAGAGGGTGGATGGGCGGGAGAAGTACCAGAGGGATGAGCACGCCGGTCGTACGTGCCCTTGAGTCCATCTCTTGACCAGGTGGCGGCAACAACAACAACACACTACTTGAGATGAGGGTCCTGCCTTTGAGCGACGATCTCTCTCTCTCTCTCGCTCCGTCTCTGAGGGAGACGATTGTACTTGTAATACCAACCAGCATACAGCGTGTCCACGCGCACGCAGCATTATCATCTTTCCCACTGTCCCATCTCTTCGCTCGATCTTCCTCTTTCGTCTGACCGTGACACACTCTGCCTTGTCTCCCTGGACCTCGGCGTCATCCCACGCCCGTCGCGTGCGTCTACGCTCACTCATGGGCGTGAAAAAGGCGGGGGGATGCGGCCAGGGCAGGCGAGCGGTGAGCGGAGCGACGGACGCGGGCGGACGGCGACTCTCTCTCTCTCTCTCTTGCCGCTCCCCCCAAGCCAGACAGACGACACGACTCGACTCTTGTCCGATGGTCAGGCTGGTGCGAATTACCAATCTCGACATATCCCTCCGCTCCATACGATTCCCCGGTCAATTCCCTATTCTTCTCTCTCTCACACACACATACACATCAAACTTCAAGGAATAGACGATGTCGAACACCGAGCAGCAGAACGGCAGCGGCGGCGGCGGAGAGGAGAAGAAGGGCGAGTCATCGGGCCGTCAAGTCACCATGGAGGAGCTGGGACAGCATGGTAGTCAGGGTGATCTGTGGTTGCTCGTTGATGGCAAGGGTGAGTGAGCGAGGAGTAGGAACAGCTGCGAGACGGGATTGGGCTGACAGCAGCAAGGTGATTGCCATCACCGTCACCGCATCGCACAGTGTACGACGTCACAAAGTTCATGGATGAGCATCCTGGTGAGTCACTAGGCTGCGACGCCGCTCCTTGCCATCTCGCCTCATTCACTCACATCGCTCTCCTTCTCTTCGCTCTTTGCTCACCCGCGCAGGCGGAGACGAAGTCCTCACAGCAGAAGCGGGCAAGGACGCTACAGAGGCATTCGAGGATGTAGGCCACTCGGACGATGCTCGATCCTTGCTTCCTGGCATGTTGGTGGGCAGTATCGAAGGCGGGGTGAGTTGCGCGCAAAAGGCAGGATAGCGAGATGGAGTAGGAAAGGGCAGAGGTATGCTGACATGTTCGTGGTGTCGTGTCTCTGTCTCGCGTCTCGCTCGCACAGGTCGAGAAGGCAAAGAAGACTGCCAGTTCGGCGAATCAGACGATTCAGAAGAATGGAAAGTGAGTAGCACGGCAGCCAGCGTAGGATGACAAGGAGATGCCTACGCGCGATACGACATGATGCTGACCTGCTTCACCCTCCCTTTGTCTCTCGCTCATCAGCCCGGCCCTCATGTTCATCGTACGTATCGTCCTTCCCCTCTCCCTCTCCCTCTCCCACTCACCTCTCGAAGTCATGCTGACCTGACTCCCACCCACCCTCCCCTCCTCTCACGCCCGCAGCCCCTCGCACTCCTCGGCGCCTGGTTTGCCTACAAGCACATGCAGCAGTAGGCCGTTGCAAATTGTTACCCTCGACCTACCAGAGCTCTGTGTGTGTAAGCGTAATTACGCCTCCCCCGCCTAGCCTCGCATCCGGTAGCGGTAGTAGTAGGCTAGAGATGTCGATTTCGATGGTATTGTGGTGACTCTCATGATAATCTCAACGACATCCCAGCGCGAAGACAGAGAAGCTCTAACACAGAATGAGGGGTGGCCAATGAAGATGATATCAGAATGATTTTGATCGATTCTTGCCCTGGACCCGTGAAGCGCCCCGATGAGAGAAGTCGTGGATCGCGGCCGGCGTCTCGACAGGCGGCGTCGGCGGCGTCATTGCCTGGGAGGCGCGGACTGGCGTGGCGTTGCGTGGCGTTGAGTTGGTTGAGTGACGCCTCTACGCACGCGGGGGAAATCAACGTCGTTGGACACCAACACAACAACACCTTGCTGTTCCCTCTTTTCAATCTCATCTCTCGCGATTGCTCTTCATCGACCACGAACACAGGATCGGTCGATCATGGCAGCATCATTGGTGACCGAACAAGCGCAGGATGGCACGCAGCACAATTCGCTCCTCTCCTTCGGCACACCCACCGCCTCCTCTCGCATAGTCTTCGACGCGCTGCGCAAGGACCTCGACGAGGAGTCAGACGATAAGGACATCGACAATGAGAACCGCAATGCTGGCCCTTCATCCCCTCCCTCGTCATCATCATCCCGCGACTCCCCAGTGGTAGGCAAGACGCAGCTATCCCCACAACGCAAAGCCATCCTTGCCCGCTTCACCTCGATCAACAAGGGACCTCCCTCCCTCATCTCCTCCCGGCAAGAGCTCCATGCCACGCACACCTCTGCGCTGGGCGACGCATCCATGTCCCTCAACCTCAACGCATCTCGCCGCGGTGGAGGGCTGGGCAATACCTCCACGTCGATGGACTACGACATTATGGGCGCGCCGGACGATTCGCTGCTGATCAAGGCAAAGCAGATGGGAGAGGAAAGCTTCGATCGTCGTCTGTTGGCCGATAGCCCAGGCAAGAGGGAGGCGCTGAGGAGGAAGGTGCAGGCTAGACAAAGCGTGGCACCTAAGCGTCAAGGGGTGACGACGTCGTCGGAGCGCAATCGCTCTTCTCCCGCTAGGATGGGAATGGGAGCGGGAGCATCGTACCCGAAGAAAGGCAACGCGCTCGGCCTTGGCTTGGGGATTCCTGCCTCGTCACCGGATAAGAGCAGGACGCGCTCCTTCTCCACCGTGTCGGATACGTCGAATCTCTTCGATGAGCAGGGGGAACAGAGCCTGCTCTACGCGACGATGAGGGGTAAGCCCGGGCCGAGCGAGGGGGAGAAGGGGAAATTGCTCGCCGCATTGCAGGGAGACGACAAGGGGACTGTGAAGAAGCCCGCCTCAACTTCTTCGCCGGTCAGGTCGAGCAAACCAACGAAGCTAGCCACTGCATTGGGAGCGGCTGGATCCTCGTCGTCGTCGTCCTCCTCCTCTTCTCCGGCCAGACGAGGAATCAATGGGCGTATCCTCCCTTCCACGCCCGCCTCGGCGCAGGCTACGCCTCGTGCGCGTACATCGGGTATCGCTCGCCCCTCTGCAGCTTCAGCTTCGGCGACTCCTCGAGCAGGCACCACGCCCAGTAACGGCAGCAACGCCGTCAGCTCGTCTTCCGCCGCACGGATCTCCCGCCCCTCGGTGGGCGTAGCTGCTACACCTCGGAGCGCCCGACCACCAGTCAGTGCTGTTGCAGCTACACCACGCAGTCGAACCATACCCTCTACTTCAGCAACACCCCGCGCAACCCCCTCATCCGCATCCGCATCAGCATCAGCCACGCCCCGTGCCACCCCTTCCTCCGGCACGCCCCGCTCCCGACCCCCACTCAACGCCAGCGCAGCACGGCTACGACGATTGAGCGGGCTACCGCAATTGATGGACGACGAAGGCAAGATGAAGCCACCGGCGGGGTCAGCAGTCAAGAGCAGCGCGTCCTCATCAGTAGCAGCAGGGAGAACGTCCATAGCCACCGGACCGAGGAGTAGTGCCATCCCGCAACGACCGCGCAGTAGTATTCTGACGACAGGGCGACCCTCCCTCGCTGGGCGGAAGGCACTGAGCTCCCCTCGTGCGACGCATATTGCTCGACCGGCACCCGGGTCAGCCGTCAAGTCTACCTCAAGCAAGGCGGGCGGTCTACCCGCCTCCCCATCAGCCGCAGCGGGGAAAATGGCAAAAGCACGTCCGATCAGCATGTACGCTGGTCCTGCCCCCACGCAACTCAAGTCTGCGCCCTCTTCGACCACCTCGTCGCAACCTCAGCTCACCGGTCAACTCCCCACGCGTCGACCCCCACCAACGAGCATGAGTCGCTCGCCTCAAATGGAGAATTCCAACCTCCCCTCCCTCTCGACCAGTCGTAAGCCTCCGCGACCCTTTCTGCTGGGGTGGGGCACGAACCACTCTGTTTGGGGGGATAGCCCGCCGCTACAGGGGGATGTACCGCTGCCTGCTGAGGGGCAGGGGGAGGGGAGAACGTTCCCCCGGAAGAGCATTGCAACTAGCACTGTGCCAGCCCAGAGCGCGGGAGGAGTTGCGAGTGTGGGTGGACTCCTCCCAAAGAGTACGTCGATGAGCCATCTACCCGCCTCTTCCTCTTCCTCCTCGGCATCCACATCCCTCCCCATGAGTCGCCTCGCTCAACCCAGCACAGCGATGGCCCGTCTCCCACCCAAGGCTGGTAGTCCCCCTTCTTCTTCTTCCTCCCCACCCACGTCAGCAGGTGCAGTGGGTGCAGTAGGGCCGCGTAGACCGGGAAGTGCAGGTTCTAGTGGTGGTGCTGGAGGGATGGGGACAGGGATGAGGTCGAGTAGTGCTGGTGGGGGTGGGGGTGGATTTTGGAAGTATAACAAGTCGCCTGTGCTCGTGGAGGAGAGAGAATTGGCTGCTGAGTGAATGGGAAGAACTTGAGGGGAGACTACTTTAAGCAGCCCCTCGCGGGGCATTGGCGTGGCGATGTTCGTACTTTCAGGTCCGAGCAGCATTGATTCAGTCATGCATTCATCTTTTGGTCCGGCTCGTGAACTCATTTTTCCACTGCCCTATTGGCTGGCCTGCCCATTCTTCCTCCGTCCATAGACCCATCCATCCATCCATCCATCCATCCATTCATCGGAAGGCATTATCGCTCACCGCCGAAGGGAGGCCCTCCATCCCTCTGGTGGCACGACCCTGAGCTGAGAGTCAGCGTCCGCTTAACGGTACAGATTGATCTGATCGTCTTGCTTCCTCCCCCGCCCGCTCGGTACAGTACGGTCCGTCTGTCCTCCTCAGAATGGTACGCAAGACTGGCCAGGATGATGGAATCGAGTCTCGACTCTCCCGAAAATTAGGATCGGGATGGCATTGCAAATGGAAGGCGGACCCGCTGAAGGTACCACTGACCCAGAACCATAGCCGTGGCATAGCCGTGGCCGTGACCGTGGCGCAAGGGTAGAACGTGCCAATCCATTTTGACGGCTCGTCATGTTCGTTCTTTCCTCATCCAATCATCCGTGAAATTCATCAAAAAATCAAAATCATCGGCGGAGCTGGGCTGAGCCCCGCTGCTCAGCTCAGACAGCTCAACTTCCACATCGGGGTCCGCGGTCCGCGGCGAATGAGCGAGACAAGCGCAAGCAAGCCCCGATCGTTGAGAGTAGAATTTGAATGGTACCACCCGCAATATTGCACGCACGCATGCACGCACGCACGCACGCTCAATCGGAGGATGCACGTTTTTGTTTGCGCCATCGCGAAATGAACGCCCGCCCTGACGTACCGTACCGTACCGTACCAAGAGAGCCTGATCCCTCGCAAGTGGGGGAGGGCCGCCGCCGCCTCTTCGCTTAGCCTGCCTTCCCTTGAACGAGAACCGGTCACAACCAGTCCAATCGCCGAGACCGTGAAGACAATCGTGGGAAGCGGGAATGACCGTGCACGCACGCATGCTCTGCGCTCAAAAGTACGCACGCACGGGCGCTCACTCACCACGCACGACGCCACGCTGCAGCGGTCGCACATGTTTGCTTGGCCCTCCCCCCAACCCCGATCGATTAGTGTCCTGAAGCTCGCCCGCCGGGCCATTGTGCGATAGAGTTGTTGCTGCTGCATTGGTCGTTGTCCAGATTTGGGCCGTGATCACGGAGGAGGGGGCTTATCTGGGTGGGAGTGAAGGGAGGTGAGTGAGTGAGAGCGGGCACGTTGTGCGTGCTGTGGGATGGAAACGAGAGGAGGGTCTTAATCGTGCTGAGTATGGGCGGGTTGGTATGTTCATCTTCGTCCAGTCGTGGCTTTGTCTTTCCTAGCTTTGTTTCATCATCCTTCCTGAACTCAATCCTACCAAACGCCCCAAGAGGTACAGCTCCATCGTCGCCGTGCTTCTCAGCGTCAAGGCGTTTTCGCATCACCCCAGAACACGGTAATCCCCTCCGTCTGTCCCGCACCCACAATGAGGTCCGATCCAAGCCAGAACAAGAAGAGAAAGAGCGCAATAGCCAGGCGGTGGAGTATCCTCACACTGCGGCCCGACTACCAGTGTCCCCAGGATCGCTCCGACTCGCCTTGCCCCACTCTCAAGCCGGCAGAGGAGATGGCAGTCGCTCCTCCTCATAACGCTCCCGCAACTTCACTCGCACAACGTCTAGCCCGTTGCGTTTCACTCAAGATTCTCCCGAGCTCAAGCACGAGAGCGAGCGACGCAGATGACAAGGAGGAGATCAAGGCGTCAAGACGTCTCTCTTGGCTTCCCCAAGCAAGCTCTTCATCCCCAGTGGCCGCGACGCACTATCCGCTCCCCGCCCTGTCAGAGCGTGAGGCCGAGGTAGAGACCGACGAGGACGATGGGGAGGAGGAGGAAGAGGAAGGGTACGAAGACGAATGGTCGACAAGACGACACGAGCGACTGGGTACCAGCTCAAGCACGAGCGGGAGTGCCTCGTCTTCACAATGCTCTTCCAGCCTCACCTCGCCCTCCCGCTCCGCAAGCGGTACGCGACTCCCACGTCCCTTGTCCTCCTACTCCTACTCACATACGTGCTCCTCGCCCATCACCCCCTCCTTCGAGTCTTTCTCCCGAAGAAGGTTCGGGGGGCGCGAGCGTCAAGGTACCACCACTATCTCCTCCAGCAGCAGTAGCAGCAGCAGCAGCATGGCGAGCAGTCCCCCTACCTCGCCCATCCTCCCCTCATCATCCTCAACGTACATCTCCGAGTGGGGTCCACCCCCGCGCAGACGCTGGGCGGCAGACGACTGGGATGGCGATGGCGAAGGAGAGGATGAACTGATTGCAGGGGTGGGTCAGCGAGCACAGCAGCAACAGCAGCCACAGGATGTCTTCGTACCGCTGGTCTGGTCGAGGGTAGAAGAGGAAGGGAAGTTCCAAAGAAGAGGAGACAGGGAGAGCTATTCGGCTTATTCGAGCTTTGCCTCGTCTCAAAGGTCCTTCTCTGCTTCACTCCTTGGCGCGGCAGCGGCGACGACAGCGGCGGAGGAGGAGGAGGTGGTGGGTGGGCAGGACCACCAGCAGGCAGTGCTGCCGCCGCCACCACCACCACCGCGCTATACTCGCTCAGAGCTGGTGATGGACGACCTGCCTCCTCCATGGAGCGAAGAAGCATCCCCGCCACGGCGTTATTCTCGCATCTCGTCTACGTGGAGGGGGACTACGCGCTGATCCCCAGCTTCAGCTTTGACCGAGGGAGCATCACGCCTGCCGCCTCCCTACCTGCTTATACCTCTTTGCTTGACCTTGAATGAATGAATGATACCTCTTTCTTGATTGACGCGGTCGGTGTGGTGTGAATGACATGCGGCGTCCCTTCTTGCCTCCCTCTCGCCTTGCCTCCGTCTCTTTGCTGACCCACGCATCTTTTCTCCTGCCCCTCTCGATTACACGATACTCTCCAACTCCCTAGCGAACTGCAGGTTGCTAGCAATCATAGCCCTCTTGGGGTCGAGCTGCTCTTGCACACCAGCCGGGTCAAGACTAACCGTCGCGCCTCCCGCAGCAGGAGCGGGTGGGGCGGCCTTGTTGGCCGATGTGGCCGCGGGTACATTGCCTTGCTGCTGCTGTTGCTGAGGAGTGAAATGAACCGTCTGCGTCGACGGATTGATTTGCCAGCCGCGCTGCGAGCGGAGGAGGGGCGCATTAGCCTCACTTCTTTTCGTACGAGCAAGCAAGCAACCCTCATCCCCCGCACAATACGTACCTCAGCAGCAAACTTGCTTACCTCTCCCGCGCTCTCAAAGAACAAAAGCGTAGCCGCATCCCTCATGGGCAGACTACTGTACGCCTTCTCTTCACAACTTGCAATCTCCCCCCTAATAGTCCCCATTAGCTCCTCTACAAAGTACCTATACTCCTCGCGAGGTACTTGAGCCCTGCTACGCCACACCTTGGAGTAGGAGCCTTCCATGAGACAACGTTCGAGGTGTACTGGGTGTTGGAGGTAAGGGGAGGAGGAGAGGAGGGAAGGAGGGAGCGTCTCGAGGATCAGGTGGAATTGGGCTATGGCGTTGCTCGCGAGGAGGCGGAGTAGGGTTAGGCCGAGGAGGGGCTCGTGGTTGGATGAGGGGGGGAGTTGAGCGCTGCAAAGGGCGGGCCGATCGATGGTGAGGGAACGAGGGAAGAGAGGGGACGATATACTTGTGTGAGCATGTATGCTATATCACGGCCAACACATCGCGCTTTCGTCGGCTGATGCGCTCTCTCTCTCACTCACCTCAAATCCGTATAAAACACCCTCAACAAATCCATATATCTCTCGAATCCCCTAACATCCTTGACCCTAATGCTCCAGAAAGCCCCAACCTCAAGAACGTCCCTAGCCAGGAGGAGGTCGTCCTTGCTCAAGCTGGGATCATCGGGTCGAGGAGCCAAGAGGCCTTGCTGAGTGAGGGCAATTTTGAGCTTTGTGAGCTGGGAGCCTAAGGATTTGGGGTCGGCAGAGGAGGATTGGAAGGCGCTGAGGAGAGCGGAATGCTGTGCTCGTAGGGAGGAGGAGGAAGAGGAGGAGGATGAGGCCATTGCTGCTTGGTTGATTGGCGGGATGGTGAGGAGAGAATCAAGGAATGAGAGAGTGAGTGAGTGACAGGCCAAGACAGTTGGAGTGGAGTCGACATGTCAGGGCCACGCGTCCGTCCGTCCGCCCGCCTGCCCGCCTGCCCGCCTGCCCGCTTGCCGTTCCGCGCCTCTGCTGCTTCCTCAGGCTCCGCCTCACCCCAGCGCATTGACCCATGATAAGCATCGAAGAAGAATGTCTATTGAAACCTCTCTGTCACAAACGTCGGCGCTGCTTAATGACTGCTCGCCTCGCGCACACACACACACGCTCGCCCGCCCGCACGCACGCTCCACGCATCAAATGACGGCCCATCATCGCACCCCATCATCCCCATCCCACCCCTCCCCCTCCCCCTCAGCCTCATCGTCCTCATCCTGATGCATAGGGGAAGCCTGCCTAGCCACTGGTACAGAGGGCGAATCAGAAGAAGCACCAAGCGAACCCATCTGCGATCGGGGAGGGCCAAGCGACGAGCCCATGGTTGGGAGTGCAAGGCGCGGGGCGTGTGCGTGCGCCTCCCCTGCGCCCCTCATCCCGCCAGCGCTCGAGGAGCGATACGTGACTGGATCGAGCGGAGGAAGGGTGAAGGGCGATGTGGATCCTGCTATGGAACCAGCTCGGCCTTGACCTTGAGCGTCAAGTGTGGCTGATCGTCCCCCCGTAGTAGTGTTGACTGCGCGTTCGTGGCTGATGGTGGGGGGGTAGCGGTTGGGTGTGGCAGAGGAGGAAGAGCTGGAAGCGTAGGAGCGGGTATCTTGCTGCTGCTGCTGCTGCTGGAGAGGGGGCAAACTGGTAGCAGGCGCGCGTCCCATTGACGTAGACGTCGTGTGATGGGGCCAGCGAGGCGCACTTTCAACCCCGCTTCTGCTCGCCATCCCCATCGGCATCTCCCCAGGAGCATCATACCACGCTTGAGCGGCGGGATGCATCGTCGCCAGCTGCTGCTGCTGCTGCTCGTATGCCTGTCCTGCTCGCCTACTTCCGCTCCCGCTTCCACTCGTAGCCACGCTGGTGGGCTCCCACATCCACACCTTCCCCGGTTCACGCCCTCCCTCGCCGGCAAAGGGCGACCAGTGTGGCTGTCCCGCCTGCCCCGCCTCCACGGACGCCGGTAAAGGCTCAGACCCGCCCGTCCTTGGCCGCATGCCCATGCTGGATTCCACGAACGTATCCTCCAAACCACCGCCGCCACCGTGACGATCAAAGCGACGGTACACTCCGCCGTGTCCCTCTTGCTGCTGCTGCTGCAGTCCACGCCGGCTAAGGTGGTGAGAGAGGAATCCCTGCTCCTGACCGCCCATGCCGCGCATCTCATTCTGCCGCATTGCAGCCTGCATAGCCGGGTCGAAGGGCACGCCATTCTCATCCACAAAGGAGCCTCGCGGGCCCATACTCATGATCACCCCCGCTCCGCTCCCCGACTGGTATCCCTGCGGCGTAGCTGCGTAGAGAGGGAGGCCCCGCCGGACCCCGGTGCTGATACTCGGACCCGCCTCTGCGCCCTGCGTCGCCTGTTGGTGGTGCTGTTGCGAAGCAAGCATAGCCCGGTTGAAGTGCAGCTTGCGCTCATGTGCCGCCCGCTCATTATTGTCCGCTACGAGGCGCACGGCGCGTCGAATATTCTCGTCCGAGACGCCAGACGAGGAGGAGCCGCCCGTCGCGCCGGCGAAGTTGGGGTGATGCTGATGATGATGCGCTGGGTGTTGATGCTGAATAGGACCTTGCGCCGCATTGAGCGTAAGAGGTTGTGCATCCATCCCGTCCCCTACCACGCCCGCAACCCCACCCTGCCCTGGAGTAGCGCCCGTATCATCCCCTACGCCGCCGCCGCCGCCGCCAGCAGCTCCACCTCTTGGCGATGCTGATGGAGGTGCCGGCCCACGCAAGAAACCCCTCGCCCTCTCCTCACTCTCGAAGACCCTCCTCAAAAAGCGCTGCAGCTCCACAACCCCATGCCCGCTATACACACAGAAGTTCTCGCGCTGCGGCGCACTAAACTCCTCTGGTGGGGCGCGACACATCCCCTGCAAGTCGGGGCGACGGAACGAGTCGACGCCGGTGAGGGAGATGTGGGTCACCTTAGGTAGGCGCTCCAGGAGGTAGAAGACGGATACGATGGAGATGTTGACGCAGTACGATAGGTGGATGCGTTGCAGCGTGAGGTAGCGATCCACGAGCGCGTAGATTGCCCGGTCGGTTATCTGCGTCACGCGGACGAGGCCGATGCGCTTCAGCTTGGGGAGGCGGGCGGCCAGTTCCTCTACGGCTGCGTCGGTTAGTTGGGAGCAGCAGGCGAGGTCGAAGTAGCGGAGACGCGTGCAGTGGTTGACTAGATGCTTAATGGAGCGATCGGTGACGTTGGAGACGTGCCCGAGGTGGAGGTATTGGAGATTCTTGCGCAGCCGAGAGATGGAGTAGACGGATTCGTCGGTGAGGCGTGTGCATTTGGAGAGGACAAGGTTGCGGATACGCGGGGCGCATGAAATGATGCCCTCGATGGCGTCGTCGGATATGGCTGCGAGACGGAAGAGAGAAAGGAAGGAAGGAGTTAGCAAGCTTTTCGATACGAGTCATCTCGCCGCGAATACTTACTGCTGCAGTTCGTGAGGTCCAGCACGCGCAAATGCTCAAAAGCCTTGGGCGGTCTGAGCGGTCCGAGCAGCGAGGAAGCCATCCCCCCAGCTGCCAGCCTCGCCGCACTCGAAGTGAGCGACGCCCTAGCCAAGCTGCCACTACCACTGCCAACCCCAGCAGCGGGGCTCGCCCCCCTACTAGTAGGCGCGGACTCGCTCCCATGAATCCCCAGCTGAGCCGCTGCAGTCGCATGTCCTCTTCTCTCCTCCTCCTGGTCGAGATCCAAGGCAGCCCTCACGTTGGTCAATTGCCTCGCCGGCGCAGGGAAGGCCATGTCCGTGAGAGGCCCACACTGAGCTAATCGCAGCTCGCGCACATGGCTGCTGCTGAGCCAGATCTGTCGCACCGATTCGTCCGAGATGGCCGAGCATTGGAATACGTCGATCTCCAGGAGCATGGGACAGTTGAGGATCATCGGGTATAGTCCTGCATCTGCCACCCTCTCACATCCACAGAGCTTTACGCGACGCAGTAGAGGGCAGGAGGAGCCTAGAGCTGCTACTCCCTTGGAGGTGATGAGCTTGCAGTTGGTCAGGTTGACCCCCTGAAGTCGCTTGCAGTTCGACGCGATGGCTTGCAATGTCTCGTCGGTTACGTTTGGCAGGTTGGAGAGGTCTACAGAGACGAGGTTCTTGAGGTGTCCCAACACGTACCCGATGGCTGCGTCGCTCAAATTGGAGCAGTCCTGAATTGCCAGGCGTTCCAGACGCGAGCAGTCGGCCATGTACATGAACAAGGTGTCTGTGAGCTCGCTCGCTATGCCCGTGAAGTTCAATCGCCGGATAAAGATGACGTAGGGGAATGTGAGGTCGGAGCGTCTTACCACGTTGATGAGCTTGAAGAGGGAGCTGAGGTGCAAAAAGGCAGGACGATGCCAGAGGAGCTCGACTCCACACAAGCTCCAAGAGCGACAGACCATGATACAGTTGCGCAAATGCGCATGTCCCGTCGTCCTGGTTAGGATGAACTTGAAGATGTGAACCAATATCTCGTGAGGGAGGTTGGCAGGAGAAGCTGGATCCTCATTGTAACCCTGTTGTGGCTCACTGGCGGCCACCTTGCTCGATGAAGAGGGGGCAGCTGCTGCCTGAATGGTATTGCGGCGGAAATTGCCCGTCGAAGTGGCAAAGTCTTCTTCTCGATCCTCCTCTTCAGACTGTGAGGTGCTCGAAGGAGAAGGAGGAGGGTTGTCCGCTGAAGAGGCCTCGAGGTCATCTGACCCTGTTGCCGTCATTGCGCGTGAGGCAGAAGAGGAGGAACGACCGTCTGCTGCGCCGCCGTGACCGTGGCCAGGGGGTGGTGGGGAGGGAGAGGGGGATAGGACCATATCGGACATGATGATGACGATGACGAGGGGGCGAAAGCGAGGGGATCGTGGGTTGGGTGGGTGAGGTGCAAATGTATGCGCCGGCCGTAGTGACCAAGCCCGCTGCTGTTGCTACGTTCGTATGCTGATGATGATGATGAGGTCGTCGTTGTTGTTGTTGATGCTTGGCCTGTTGCGCGGCACCGGGATGCAGGGCAGAGCAGAGCGTTGCGACGTGGCGTTATCAAGGCAGCACTGTGTCGTCGTCGTGATGAGGTTGATGATGATGATGATGATGGTAGGATTGAAATGATGCATTTCCAGAGTGGAGATCGTCGCCGCCGCCCCGCGCCCAGTCGACGAATCGCCAGATCCCACGACGCCAAAGCTGCTCTTGCCTGACTCCGCTCCCCCCTGCCTGCCTCAATGCCTGCCTGCCTCGACGCCCGACCGGACCAGACACCAACGCCAGCTTGCTTTGCTCCCGAGCGAGCTCGACGCTCAAGCCCACAAACGAAACAACTTGGCACGGGAACGATGACAAGGCAGATGCGATTGCAACGAGCAACAAGGAGGGAACACGAGCACCAAGCACCAAGCAATAGACACATCAGAAGAAAGGAGAAAGACAAGAAGGCAGGCGAAAGGACCATACGAGAAGATGGTAGATGTGAAAATGGAGAGACACGTAAACAGAAAACAAGTACTCTAGCAACACCTTCCCTCCCCCCCCCGCCTCTCCCCCACTCTCTCTCGCTCGCTCGCACGCCTCACCTCACCTACTCCATAGTCAGAATCTTGCCCACGCTCCTCTTGAGACTGAAAGGCTCCTTAGGCTCCTTGACAGGCTTGACCTTGACGGGCTTAGGCTCTTTCACCTTGGCTGGCTTCGGCGGCTTGGGCGCAGAGTTGGACCTCATGCTCAGACGAGACATGCGACTCTTGACCCCTCCTCCTGCTCCAGCACCGTTGGGCGAAGCAGGTGTCGCAGCAGCACCGCCCGTGGTCTTGGTGGGAGCGACAGCCGCCACATCGTTCTCCTCGTCCTCGTCGTCATCTTCGAAGACGGACTGCTCAGTGGGCTGACGACGATGCGTCGGTCGACGAGTCGCGCCATTACCGTTCGTCTTGACGGGGGCGACGGCAGCGGCCTCGCTCTCCTCATCAAGGAGTGACTCGGTTGCTGCGGCTTCTTCTTCCTCCTCCTCCTCCTCGACGGGAGTAGCAGCAGGCTTGACCTTCTTCTCAACCGCCGGCGTCGTCTGCACAGGAACGGGTGGGATATCCTCGTCCTTGCGCTGGAACCACTTCATCGTCTTGCGCTTCGTCTTCTTGTCCGTCCCAGTCACGGGAACCGCCTCCTCCTCCTCGGGCGCGGCGCTCAACCCTTTATTGCCTCCCGAGCGGGAGAAGCTGCTCAATGTCCTAAATCTTCGGCCGACTGAGCTAGTCGACGACTTGAGGCTGGTGCGATCGCTCATGTCTTTGCTGGCTCGATCCCTCGCGGCAGGCATGCTCTGCCGCTTCTTGACCGTCTTCGTAGGCACCTCGGACGCTGAGCCATTACGCCTGGCCAGGGGCTTTGGGTAGCCTGCGGGGATGGCCGATTCCCTCTCCTTCTCTGCCGCTGCTGCTACTGGGAAGGCTTCAGCGCCAGTGCCAGTAGCAGGGGCAGGCGAGGCCACTTCGCTCTCCTCCTCTGCAAGGGGTGGGGCATCCGAGACCTTGTCAGCGGCAGCTGCAGCAGTGGTAGGCTCCTCGAAGGTGGTATCAAGCGCCGGCGTGACGGGCAGGGCAGCGAGAACGGGCGCCCCTCCGGACGAGGCTGATGCATCGGCGTCCTGCTGCTTCTTCTTCATGAGCGAGTTGCGCTTGCTGTAGTTGATGAGGCGGCCAGACTTATCCGGTGAAGGCGCCGCGGCGGCGGCGGCGGCAGGTGTAGCGGCGGGAGCAGCAGCCACAGGCGCAGGCGCTGGAGAGGGAGAGGCAGGCAGATCGGCCACCTTCTCCTTCCTTGCCCTCGTAGGCGAACGGGTGGGCGAACGAGTGGGTGACGAGCCCGAGGGGACAGGGTCGACTACCGCGTTTGCTAGCTTGGGCTTGCGTGCCGAACTAGCCGACTTCTTGACCGATTTCGTCTTGCTGGGCGTAACGACCTCGTCGTCCGCGGCAGCGGCAGTGACTGGCGATTTGACCTTCTTGCTCTTCTTCTTGGGCGTGAGAACGGCAGCAGGCGCTAGCACCACTTCCGGCTCCTCGGGCACAGCGACTCCCGGGTCCTTGACCTCTACAGGCTCAGCCTGGGCAGCCTCGCGCGCCTGGACACCAGGCTCCTCAGGCACGGCAGCCTCGGGAGGCTCTTGCACCTTCTCCAGCTCTTCTTGCACAGCAGCCTTGCTAGGCTCGTCGGACTTGGCGGCCGCACCACCCACACCGGCGACACCCGCAACGAAGGCGGCGGCGGTAGCTGCTGCGTTTGCGAGGAATCCGTCATTCTTGCCCGCTCCGTCCTCGGCCGTGGCGGCGGCGGCGGTGTTAGTGTCCACAGGGGAGGACTTGGCGGACAGTGTCTCTGTTACCACTTCGTCATGCTTTTTGGCGTCGACCTTGGGGAGGGTGGCGAGGGCAGGTGCAGCGACCTGAGCTACGGGTGTGGGCTCTGCGGGCTCGACGGGCTCCACCACAGCGGTCGTCTTGGTGGGCACTGCCTCGTCCTCGTGGTCGCTCAAGGCCGTCACGGCGGAGGCGGCGCTCTTGATGCTGGCGGGTCGCTCAACAGCAGCCATGGTAGCAGCGGCGGGAACAGCAGCCGCTGCAGCGACCTTGCGCTTGCTGACCTTCTTGGACGGCGACTTGGCAACGCGAGGGGCAGCCATCTCCTCATTCCCATCGCGCAGATCGCTCTCCGCCTCCTCCTGTACAGGGACAGGCGGCGCCGGCCTCAAGTGGCTCATCGCCCTCGAACGACCATTTGAAGCCCGTGAGTTTGAGCGACGCGACCCGCGCCCATCGTCTTCATACATCGAGTCGCGGGTCACGCTCCTCCTGCTGGCGGTCATTGACAGACGGCTATTCCTCCCCGGGCTGGTGGGGGGCATGCTCATGCTAGGCCTCGAGCTGATGAAGGAGTCGCGCCGACTCTCACCGGGGCTCTGAGTAGGGCTGTTAAATTCTTGCGCCCTCGCGTTCTCCAGTACGATGCGCGCCGTCTTGCTTGCCGGGTTGGCATTGCGGTCGATGAGGTACAGGTGGGCGGCTCCTGTCCCTTTACGCTCCGCACGGGCGTAGAGGCGACGAATGGCTGCGAGCTCGCGAAGCAGATCCTCGTCGGCAAGTCGCTTGCTGCTGCGCTTGCGCGGCACCTCGTCCGAGCCGGAGTAGTCACCGGAGCCTTGGTAGCCCGAGTCCTTCTTGCGCTTGCTGATGTGCTCGTCACCGGGCCAGCCGTCCTCCTCCCATTGGGGAATCCAGCTACCCCACGCTTTCGCGACGTAAGGGGAGTCCATGCAAATGTGGGCGCACGACTTGCCCTGGTATAGGTCGTGAATAGCCTGCAGAGCACGGGTAGCCGCAATGAGCTCAGCGCGACGTGCCGTACTGGACGTGGTGGCTGGCTTAGGGTGATGCAGGTGGGAAGGTCGCTTCTCGCTGTCGGTCATGGTCTGCTGGGCGTTGCCTGGATGACCGGGGCCGAAGAAGAGGGTATAGGCGCCTTCGATCTTGGGGTTGGTGATGGAACCCACGTCCATGGACTGGGCGCCGCAGAAGACGGCGATGGGGTAGCCGCGCTTGCACTTGTGGTCGCCCATCTGGCGAGAGGAGAAGCGAGTGAGCATCGTCGCCATCTTGGGTACGAAGCCGTCGGCGTCGGCGGCGGGTACGGCGGGTGGAGGTGGTGGTGCGCGATGGAAGCGCGAGCTGACGGTGCTGGCTGGGCGTCCGCTTACGGTTGTGTCACCTGCGTTGGACGAGGCGCGATTGCGTTTCTTGGGGCTGCCGCTCTCTCGGAGGAAGCCTGGGCGTGGGGGCAGGAGCTCGGTGTCGAGGTCGTCGTCGTCAGCAAGTGCTGAACTGTCGAGCTTGCGCGAGGATGGGAGGGAAGGGAGAGGACTGAGAGGTGTCTCTGGGCGAGATTCGGTTGTGCTGCGGAAGGAGAGTCGCGATGGGATGCGAAGACCGAAGCCGGATGACTTGCGCTTGCTCGGTGTGAGAGGAGGGGCGAGGCTAGTCGAGACCTCAGTACCAGTTGCTGTAACTACCAAAGCTCCGTCGTCAGCCGGGGGAAGTGCTGGTGCTGGTGCAGGTGTAGAGGTGCCCTTGCGTATAGAGGCGTCGTCCGGAAAGAGGAGAGCGACAGATACGAGCTCGATTGGCTCAAAGTCTGGCGCTAGACCGTCTTCGAATAGATCGGAGGCTGCCCTACTGCTGTGTGCTTTACCGGCGTGCGAGCTCTTTGGAGTGGTCGGCCGCTTGAAGGACTGAGTAGCTTGCGCGTCCCTCGCACGGAGATCGCTGTAGCTCGAGCGGGTGAGATTGACCGATGGTCGTGGTAAGAAGACGCCGAGGAACGAGTCGCTGCCGTCTACGACTGGTGCTACGGGCTTCCTTTGCTCGATGGAGTGTGCTGGACGCTCTAGCGGCGCTCGCTGTGGCTTCTGAGCCCTCTTCCAGTGGACGGGCTTGGTAGCTGAACCGAGAGATACGGGCTGCTGCGGTGGTGCTTGTAGTGCTAGGTCCTCCTTTGCTTTCTCCTTTTCGAAGAAGTCGGTCGTCGTACGAGTGCGAATGGGCATCGGTGCGGACGGCGTGCGATCAAGCAGCAACGGCGATTAAGCCGGCAAAGGCGCGGCGCGAGTGGCGGGCGTAGAGTTGTAGATGGTGAGTGATGAGCGATGGAAGAAGATGTTGGAATGGTGAGAAGGGGAGCAAAGAGAGGTTGTCAGCGAGATTGCGGGGGAGAATGGGGACGGGATCGAGGATAGAGAGCAGCGCAGAGAGCTCAGAGGGGAGAGCAAACAACAGCGCGAGCCGTGAGCCTTGAGCCGTGAGCCCGTCGACGGCACGGCGAGCTGCAGAGCTTCGGGGCCCGGCCCACTCTTTCGCAACGACGCGGACTGGCTGCCCAATCTGCAGGCTGCAGGGCGTGCAGAAATGCTGCGCTGCTGCGAACATCGATCAAGAGACATGGGGAATCCGGGCGGGCAGGCGGGCGGGCGCGCCTAGACTAGAAAAGACGCCAGGCGGCACACGACGCACGCACGACGGACGATGAAGAAGGGCAGCCGGCGCCTTTCTCTGTCTTTCAGATGAAAGAGGGCGAGACACGCCTTGAACAACAAGCTCGCCCTAGTCGTCTGGCACGCTCGCGGAAGAGAGTGCGACAATCTAAGCTAGCGGCGGTCGTTGAAACCGTTCCATCTCGTCTCGCCTCGTCTTGCCGCGCTCGGACGCTGTCTCGGCTTGCCAAAGGGCCATTGGGAGGTCAAAGCGTTTGGGAGCGGGAGCCAAAGCGAGAGCGAGAGAGAGCGAAAGCGAGCGTGTGGGAAGAGCTCACTGAGCCACGAACACCGGCAGCTATCCCCCGAGGCGAGGGAAGAAGAGAGTCGCCGCGCTCGCCTTACGCTGTGCTGCCTGGTCGCACCCATCTATCTACCCGTGCATCGTGTGGCTGGGGGCGGAGCTCGATAGAGGCGGCCGAGCGGACACAGCCCTTGGGTCCCCTACGAGCGAAAGTCGGCCGCGATCCTCGATGAACAAACGACCCGATGGTCGGAGGACGCCGAACGAGATGACGACGACGACGACGACGACGACGAAAAATCTTTGCCCGCAGCGCTAGGATGGCAATGAATGCGCGTCCGCCCGCTAGCTACCAGACCATGCGACGACTCATCGTGCCAAGCGCCATGCCATCCCTGCTTGCCCGCCTCGGAGGAGCCCGCTCGCGAGGAACGAGGCAGGGTCCCTAGGTCTAGCCGAGCAGCATGAACATCTCGCAAGTCGGGGACCACGAAGGATACGTGATCATGAGCACAGTAGACCCTAGCCCGGCGTCGTCGCATTTACTGCGATGGGCCTGGGGAGCGATCGTCGTACGACGAGATGACTTTGCGCAGCGATGTCGCAGAAGGCTGATCGGACTGCTAGTCTCTCGCCCCACCTGGAGACCTGTGCCCTGATGTTGTCAGGGCCGATCGAAGGTGGCGTGGCTAGTGACTGAGCAGCCCATCATCAATCTAGTCCCCCAGCCTAGCTTGCCTGCTCCACGGCGGGCCCTTTCGTCTGCTCTCGTCCAAGCTCTCGGACCGTAACATCCACAGCGAGGTCTCAGTCCTCGTCCGTACTCACCTAAGAGGCGGAGGCGGAGGATGGGCAGCGTCCCTGGCGAGAGGAAGATGAGGATACGAGGAGCGCTCAAAGGAGGCGTCCAGAGAAGATGACGAAGAGAGAATGGGAGGGGCTGGACACACGAAGATGAAGGGATGATGGTAGCAGTCAATGGTAAGAAGCCAAAGTCAAGGCGTAAAGAAGGACGAAGCCAACGATAATCTTCCTGCTGCCGTCGCTGCCGCTGCCGCTGCTGCGACGTCTGCTGCTGCTCGAGGCCGCCTGCTTGGAGGCCCAGAAGTCAATCTGAGGGTCCAGCCCGTCCACTCCCCTCGCTCCCGCCGCCCCTTCCCCCTCCGCTTACGCTTCCAAGGTACGTGAGACAACTTGCCGCGCCTGCATCGCACTTGTGCCCGTCCGTCCGTCCGTCCAGGTCGACGGCAGCTTCGAGCGTCGAGCAGAGAAAGAACGGCACGCGAGCCACGCACGCACGGCTTGTGTGCGTGCGGGCCACTCATTCAGCAATTCACTCAACAGCAAGCCATGCAGATTGCCAAGCAGCTCAAACAAATGCATCGAAGAGCGCCAATGAGACTGTAGAAAGACAGCCTCTGCGAGGAGAGCAAGAATGGGGGGGCGGGGGGCGAAGGGCAAGCCTATCGCTCGAAGCTCAGAAGCTTAGCTGCACGAAATGATCCATGCACGGGAGCTGCAAGTCAATGCTGCGAAACGCGCCTGTCTCTGCCCAATCTACGACGGACGCATTCAGCCTTGCCTTCTCTCCACTTGCGCATCCTCAGACAAGAGAGGCGAGATCGGCTCAACACCACCGCTTCGATCGAACGAACGATCGATCGATCGATGCGAGACGATGCGATGCGATGAGACACGATGAGATGAGATGGATTATCAAGATGAGTTGAGACGTTCTAGATGAAGGAAGAGTGAAGACCTGTCCATCTACGCGCCGCACGTCTACTCGTGGTATGCTCGCCTCCTCGCCGACGTCGTCGTCGCCGGCTCCTCACCACCAGCAGGCGCAGGCGGCTCATCCCCCGCTCCTCCATTAAACAGATACATGAGCTCCTTGAGGGACAGCTTGTTGCCCCCCTTCTTGAGCTTGCTCCCCTCCAAGGCCGCACGGCTCAACTCGCGCTTCTTTTCCTGCAGGGCAAGGATACGCTGCTCCACCGTATCCTCTATACAGCTGCGCGAAGAGCGGGGCGGTGAGTCGAAGATTTCGTCAGTGAGGGGGAATCGAGATCAAAGCTCTTGGGGGCTCTCGCACTCACATCTTGTACATCCTCACTGCCCGCGTCTGCCCAACTCTATGCGCCCTATCCATCCCCTGCTCCTCCAACATAGGGTTCCACCACAGATCCATCAACAGCACGCGCGAGCAGCAAGTCAAGTTCAACCCGGTGCTCCCTGCCTTGAAGGAGATCAGAATAATCCTCGTGCCTCCCCGCCCGCCCCCGCCACCACCTTCAGCGCGAATCGTCTCAAGGGCAACCTCGCGCTTGGGAGCGGACATGGATCCGTCGTACCTAACGAATTGTCGACCTTCCCTGCGCAAGGCGAGCTCGACGAGGTCGAGGAAAGTAGTGAATTGGGAAAAAATGATCGTCTTCTCCTTACCGTGGGATTCGGTATCGATCCGATCGAGGAGACGTAGCATGATGCGCAGCTTTGTTGAGCCAAGTTGGGTCCAGTCGAGTTGACGGCGTGCTTCGTCCGCGAGGATGTGGCGACACTCTAGGCAGTGCGCGTCAGAATTGCCGCTATTATCTTCGTCGAGGACGCACTGACACCGTGCGCACTTGGCCTTGTCCACTCGCATGCTCTTCATCAGGTCCGCAAGCTCGTCGCCTGAGTCGTCGTTGTCGTTGTCGTTGTCGTCGTCTACATTGATCGGGTTGGCCTGACTGGTGCCGCCATTGGGTGCTGCCTTGCCCTTCGCTTTGGCATTCCTCTTCGTAGCTCGCTGCTCCGCATCCACGGGCAAGGCATCTGCATCGACATTGATGCTCTTCGTAACTAAGCTAGGATGACTAGTTGCCTGCCTCATCCTCAACAAGAGGAGCAACTTCCCAATATGATTCTTCTCTCGATCGAGGTTACGACGTGCCTGATCCTCCCAGCTCTTGTAAAAGGCCCTCTCCGCCTCATTATCGAAGGGCTCGCTCACCACTTCTACCACGCGGTCAGGCAAGGTAAGGAGGGGCTTCCCATCCAGTTTCGTGTCCTTGGTTCGACGAAGCAGGATACTCTGCAGTACAACGCAAAGACGCTTCATACCCCAATTGACGCGATTCTGGTTGCTCGACTTGAGCGGGTCGGCAATCTTCTCCTTGAAATGTGCATAGTCATCAAAGGGTGGGATTCCCAGAAAATGGATGAGGGAGAACATCTCCATTGCATTGTTCTGCAAGGGAGTGCCAGTGAGACACCATCGCGAGTGGGAGCGACGTGCGAGCTCGAAGCAGGCGAGGGCTTGCTTGGTCGTGTGGTTCTTAATATTGTGCGCCTCGTCCAGGATGATGCGGAGCCATCGTGCTTTGAAGAGGGGGGAGAAACGGCGATCCCCATCGGATGAGGCTACGGTGGAGTACTCGGAGGCGGCCGTGGGGAAGGAGGTGAGGACGATGTCGTGCTTCTTGAAGATGGAGGCCGACGTGGCTTTGGAGGAGCCGTGGTGGATGAAAACGCGAAGCCCGCAGTCGGTTTTGGTTTTGGCTTCCGACTCCCATTGACGGAGAACGGCGACTGGGGCTACGATTAGGGTGGCGTGGCCGCGTAGCTCGACTTCTTCGCGGTCCTCATCACTCTCGCTCTCGCTGCCGCTGCCTGCGCCGGGCTTGGCTTTGCGTTCCTTTTCTGCCTCATCATCGTCATCGCTATCCAGCGCAGCGAGCAGACTGCTCGAAGCGACTGCTTTCTTTCGCCTCTCCTCCTTCGCCTTGGCCCTCGCCTCCTTCTCTTTGCGTTTCTTGTGCAGTAGCTTGGCCTTATCCCTCTCCTCCACGACGTAGCGTATCGTCGATCCCTTACTCTCAGCGCCATTCCCCACAATGAGCGCCAAGGCCTGAATCGTCTTTCCCAACCCCATGTCATCAGCAAGGATGCCTCCCTTGTACTTTCCGGCCTCTCGCTCCCTCATCCACTTGTAGCCTTGCGTCTGGTGTCGCATGAGGGGCACAGACATTCCTGGCACGCGGGCTTCCTCCGGATCATAGTCCTCGTCTACTGCTACGGCCTGGTTGAGCATATCCTGTATGGCGCGATCGCGCTCGGAGGGGTCGAGATTCGAGTAGTCGGGGGCGGTGCGAAGGACTTCATCGTCTTCGACGTCTCCGCCGAGCGGGGCAATGGGTGCAAATGTGGTGCCTGCGGTAGCGAGTGGCGGCTGCTGATGCGGTAGCATGACCGCAGGCTTGGCAGGAGATCGAGCAACCGCCTCGCTCGGGTCGAAGAGCATCTTCGTCTTGGGAGCCGTTTCGCCCTTGTACCTGCCCGTGCCCGCGCCCGGTGCGCCATGCTGATGCTGCGCCTGCGCTTGATAGCGATGCGGCGTGCCCGGGGCGTGGCCCTGGCCCTGTTGTTGCGCCTGGAGATGTTGCGCAGCCAGCATGCGCTTGATCGCTTCCATCGATGCCTAAGAAGAGGACGATTATTATTGGGCTGGTCGGGGTTGAGATGCAGAGGAGAGAGGAGGGCGAGGACGATGTGATGTTGGAAGGGGGCGGTTTACGACGAAGGACGATCGCTCATCCGCCCGCTGCGAGATGTTGACTCAATGGAGCGTGATGTGATAGCGAGTCAGACGTCGTCGGCTGGCCAGGAACGAGTGGAAGTGATACAAGCAAGGAAAGAGGAGCGAGCCAGTCGTGTGTCGGTGTCGGGTGTTAATCAGCCCCAGTCCGCCGTGTGTTTATTTTCGCTTTTGCGGCGTGCGTGGCCCGTGCTCAAGCGGCACTTCACTTTCAAGATCGATTTCAATTCAAGGGTCTGGCCGGGCCTGACCCTCTCTCCCTCTCGTCGTCGCACTCTCAACCTCGGAACACACGCTGATCATTACAAGACTCGCACGCTCAATAGCTACATATGCACACGCCGCCCCGCTTCGCTTCACTGGGCAATTCCCTCCAACCTCGCCTTGATCTGCAGCGCCAGCTTCTTCGAATGCCACCTATTAAGCGCGAGGTTCCCGCACTGGATCCACCCATTGCTATGGCCCGTCGGTCGCCACGCAACGCGCAGCTCACCTTCATCGTCCAGACCCCACACCGGATTGAACTTGGACCCTTCCTTCTCACCTAGGATCTTCATCGCCGAAGTGCGCATGTTGAGGTAGCCCGTAGCGAGGACAATGAGGTCGCATTGCAGCTCCGAGCCGTCCGAGAAGACGACGCCGTCTGAGGTCATGTGGTCGATCTCGACTCCTTGCTTCATCTTGATGCGGCCGTCAGAGATGTAGTCCTCTGAGCCCGTGGCGAGATAGTAGCCGCCGCCCTGCGCGCGAGTGACGAGGTGGTGAGTGAAGTCAGCAAACGACCAAGGGGGTAAAGAATGTGCTTGTGTCCACAGCCTCATCACGCCACCGACTTACCTTGGAGTAGTACGAGTACAGGAAGCCGGCATCCCCAACTCCCTTGCCCCAATTGAACCCAGCCTTCTGCAGCTTGGCAATGATGTCCTTGTCGATACCCGTAGCCATCTTGTCGGCTACGACCTTCTGCACAGGCAGATGCATAGGGTTCGGCGACGAGTTAAAGATGAGATCCGCATCCTCCGTGGGCGGCCCATCCTCCGAGTACAGTCCCTTGAGCAGCACCTCCTCTACGGCGCGCACCGACATGACGTACGTACTGCTTCGCTGCTGCTGCGTGACATGCCAGCCGTGCTCGCAAAGATTGACGCTGAGGTCCTGCCCGGAGTTGTTGGCGCCGACGACGAGGGCACGCTTGCCCTGGTATTTGTCGCCGGATGTGAACTCGGAAGAATGGACTACGGGGCCCTTGAAGTTCTCTTGCCCCTTGAAGGTGGGTTTGTTCATCTCTCCCGAATGGCCCGTGGCGAGACACATGTGCTTCGGATGGATGGTACGCTTACTTCCGTCAGCTCGCGTGACATCGACCGTCCACTCTCCCTTTGCCTCGTCGAAGGAGGTGCGATCGATGGATGTCCCCATCCACGCGTTGAGCTCCATAGTCTCGGCGTAGAACTCGAACCAGTTCGCCAGCTTATCCTTGGCCGTATAAATGGGCCAATGAGCAGGGAAGGGCAAACCGGCCATATGGTCGTAATGGACTGGGTCGTGCAGCACGAGGGACTTGTAGCGATTACGCCAATTGTCTCCGATGCGCGGATTACGGTCGAGGATGACCGTAGGGACTCCGAGTTGGCCCAGACGGTAAGCGAGCATCAGACCGGATTGACCAGCCCCAACGATGGCGACTGCGGGCTCCTCGTCGAGGAACTCCTTCTTGCGCTCACGCTTCTCCTGCCAAGTGGCCTTGCCTCGCTCTTCGCCGTACTCGGTGCCCCGGATACGGAGAGAGCCCTTCTTCTCCTCGTGGCCTTTGAGCTCTTCGAGACCGAGGAAGAGGGCGTGCAGCTGCGTGCGTGCGCAAGAGAAGGCAAGGGTCAGAGGGTCAGCACCGAACACATTGGCTCCAAAGGGACGACGACGACGACTCACCTTGGGCTGCTGACTACCATCCTTGTGCAAGCGGAAGACACCGCGACCACGTCCTACGTTAGTCTCAAAGGTGAAGAAGCCTGAGCCAAGCGTGAAGGGCAGCTCGCCGTCAGTCTCACGCCCCGCTACGCCCTATCCCACCGCTCCCTGTCGGCACTACTCACCCATCAACCACGGCACGCCAGGGAACGAGTCATTATCAGCCACCGAAGCAGGCTCAAGCGTGAAGTTCTTGATCGTCTTCTCCTTGCTCATCCCGCACTCATTCAGGAACTTCTCAATGTTCCCCGGCGTCTGAGGAGCACGATAGTCCCACTGGAGGCAGAGGATGTCCTTGAGGTACCCGTCTGACCTGAAGAGGGCTGCGACTTGTTGGGGGGAGCCGCTGGAGAAGGCCGTGTTTAGGCGGGTGATGAGGGATTGGGCCATCCCGAGGTTGGCGGAACTGGAGTCGTGAGCGGTTGCATCGTGAGTGGACGTCGTTGTTGGGGACGACTTGGTTGGGAGAGTCGAGTCCGACGAGGGAGGGGCGACGGCTGCTGTTGGTGCCATTTTTGGCGTGTGAGGTGGTGAGTGTCTTGTGGTTCGATGGGTCGTGTGAAGCTTGGTAGTGGCGAGTGACCTGATCAACTCGGGGAGGGAAGGTACTCAAGATCTCCTTCCCTCGAGCCTATTAGTACCAGCGAGCGGGTGGCGAGCGACGATCGACGAGCGGCTTGTGCTTCTCCCACCCCCGTTGATCACCAAGTCAGGTCACTCGCACCTCGCACCTTGCACCTCGCGCCTCGCACACCATGTGGAGCCCCACATTGTCCCACTACCCTGGGCAGTACGCCCCTCTGCGTTTCGCGGCCAAACCAAAATTCCCATGGGCCCGCGTGCGCGTGTACCACAGCAGCCGGCTCAGGTGACCCATCCACATCCCCAATGCAAGCCTTCAGAGAAGTGTGGGAGAGAGAGACAGTCGGCCAGTCAGCTAGTCAGAGTGTCGATTCGGGCAATGGGCCCAAACGCCGTCTTGGCTTAGAGCCGAACGACATCAATGAGGGAGGGAGGCAGGACGGCGATTGGCGCTGGTGTTGCTGACAGGCAAGGCGGGGGGAGCAAGGGAAAGTAGCAGCAGCAGCAGCAAGAAACAATGGTGGCGTGCTGACAGGCTGGCAGGCTGTACGGCTCGCCGATCACCTGACGACAGCAAAGTGCGAGGCGAGGCGAGGCGTCAACGATTGGACCAGAGGGGTGTGTGAGTGGGTGGAGCAACACAAAGAAGGCGGCGTCGACGAAAGTGAATGAAGTGGTGCGGGGCCAGCTTGGCTTGGAGCTTGGATCGCTTTGCTTGATTGGGTCATTACTAGCAACAACCGCACGGACAATAGATGCTCGGTGAGTGGGGATGTACGAGGAGGGTGACAAGGAGCGAGAAATAGTACAGATGAACAACCAAGGTCAAGATTATGCGACCGGGACTGAGGGTTTCTTATCGCGAGGAAGGATGGCCTGCCTGATACGAGCCGAAGTGCTGGTGGTGCTGATGCTGATGGTGCTGATGCTGATGCTGATGCTGATGCTGATGCTGATGCGGTTGCTCATCCGAAGGAGAGAAAGGCGTCATGTGCGGTCCACCTGAAGAAGGCGGGCCGTAGTGAGAAGGCGCGGGCGGAGGCGGTGGAGGCGGATGTTGACCGTGCGAGTGCGAGTGCGAGTGTGAGTGCGAGTAGTACGACTGTGGCGCAGGAAGGGCCGAAGGGTAGCCATACGCTCCACCACCACCACCGCCACCACCTTCGTACCCGTTCGTCATCGTCGTCGACGACGAAGTTGGCATCGCGGACGGGAGTGGTGGCATCTCCCTCTTGACGAACTTATACCCCCCGCAGCCGCTCGGCGATCTTCCCGACGAGGAAGACGAAGAAGCAGATCCACCTACTGCAGGGAGAGGGGCAGAATTTACGTACGTGGGCGTAAAGGCCGTCGGGTGATGCTCGGAGGAGTTGGTCTCGCTCGGCGACTTGGACAAAAAGGTGTTGTGGGCGGGCTGCGCAGGGGAAGATCCCGGCCCTGGCCAGGACGTCGTCGTGTCTTGCTGATGGTGTTGCTGGTGATGCCCCGCCGACAGAGGCAGAGGCATAGACAGAGGCAGAGGCAGCGGCGCAGCATAGTACCCTTTTGCGGCCTGAGCCGTCATTTCGTCGTGCTTGGCGCGCAGCATCACCTGGGCAAACAAGTCACTCCCCGCTGCGTCAGCACCATGGTGTTGATCAGTGTTGGCGATGCGCAAACTCTCTCCACGCTCCACAGCCATCTCCTGCGCGATGCGCGCCCAATCCTCTCCTCGGACGATCTCGCAGCGTCGATTGCCGTCGGCGGGCGGCGTTGCCAGACCGGGGAGGATGGAGTCATGCCCCTTGAGGGGGAGAGACAGGTCCCCGAAGAGCCAGGCGGGCCCGCTGAACCGGGCCGCGGCGTGGCGGAGTAGGATGAGGTGGAGCTCGTTGACGTCGAGCGCTGGCTGAGCTGAGGGAGGGGAGGCGTGACGGGTCTCTTCGAAGTCAAGGAGAGCCTGGATGAAGAGACCGCCCTTCTCGGAGAGGGGCATGAGGACATCACCCGCAGCTGAGAGGAGGGAACGCGATGCTGCGCGATGTTGTTCTCTCCCGCCCTCTCCCTCGATGAGCTCGAGGCCAACGACGAAGCTTGCGCTGACCGTGTGGAACCAGTTGGTCCACAGGGCTCTCATCACTGGGCAGGCGGCCGTTACGCGTGGGAAGAGCTCGAGGAGTTTCGTCGCAATGGGCAGCAGGGATCGGCGCGTGGACTGTGAGGAGAGGTCGCCGCGGAGGAGCTTGAGGAGTTGGTGGAAGCATTGCGTGTAGAGCATCCAGCGCATGATCGGGAGCGAGGCAGGCTTGTTGAGCGTTGACCCCAACGCTAGCGGGGCGGGAAGGGCGTCCACCCACGCATAGTAGCGCGAGGCGGCCATGGACGTGGACGCCGTACCTCTTGCACGGGACTCTGTGACCTCGCGAATGAGCCGGGAGAGGGACAAGCTCGCGATCGGATAGGACATCTCGGTAAACTCGCTGCTGGGACGGCTCCAACGTTCTTGAGGGAGTAGGATGTGCGCATTTGACATGTTGTACGGCTGACGCGTGTCCATCTGCTCTGGGTGGATGACATTGATGCCGTCGCGACTGATGGACGCCCAGTCCCTCGTGCAGAGATGGCTCCACACCCGCGTGATCGTCTCCTTTCGACTTGCGTCCTCGACGCGCATGTCAGAGGAGTACGCCCAATCGCCAAGCTTGTGGAATCCCATACTCTGCGTCGAGCTGATGATGAGGCGGTACAGCTGCTTGGTGTACCCGTCCGTCTCTCGCGCTCTGAAGCAAACGAGCAGCGCAGACTGAAGAGCCGGTACGCTGGTGAGCTCAAGTATTTCCCCCAGAGCAAGGCATCGTCGCGAGAAGTCGTGGAGGCGCTCCGTCCACGCTTCCCCCTCTTGGGCGCGAAAGGCATTTACGGCGTGGAAGGCGGGTGTGGGCTGATCGCTATGGTACGGGTAGAAGCAGAGGCCGATGGAGAGGACCATAAATAGCATCACCCAGCAGCTCGGGTCGATGTAGAGCGGGCTGGTCAGGATGGCCTCCGTCGTCAAGTCGGACTTGTAGCTTATGGCTGACAGGCGGCGAAACCGTGGCTCGAAGATGATTCCGCCGACGAGGTGATTGCATCGCGAGAAGTAGGTGTCTATGAGCTCCTCGATGATGACGACGGAGGCTAAAAGGGACTTTGCTTCACGGGAGAGGTCTACGCGCGCTTGAAAGTTGGCGGGTTTGGCCCAGTGGAGGTGGACGACGTCCATCATCCAAGGCTCCACGAGCGAGGGCGCAGATGCGTGTGCGACGACGCTGCCGTCTTCGCTGCTGCTGCGGGAACGTAGGCCCGGGTCGATGATGTTCCTGCCGTTACGCTCGACGCGATTGCCGTTTGGAGCCATAATTGGGCCTGTAGACCAGTCGATGTGAGCGCCGTCCGAATCGTAGGGGCCCTGCAGCGCGGCAAGGAGGAGTGAATTTCAGCTCTAGATGTCGTTTGGCCCTCGTCACGCCTTGCTCACGATCCAATCCTGTAGCGAGTCTCGCCGCTTCCCGTCACCATTCACCGCTGCAGCTGCCGTTGTCGCATCCTCGCCATCATCGTCTCCCTCCCCAGCTGCGCCATCCTTGAGAGTGGGCATCAACTCGGCCAACTCCTTCAACCGTTTCCTCAGCTGCGCCATCTCCTCCTGCGCCGTCGTCTTGTCCAGCCTGCGTGAGAGTGCGTGCCAAGTCAGCACAAATGTTTCGCATCAATCCCCCCTTCCCCTCCCTTGCTCTCACCCACCTGGGTCGTTTTCTCCCCCTCGGTATCCTCTGATCCTTGCGACATTCCGCCTCGAGCCCCTTGGCGATACAGTTGGAGCAGGGCTGCTGCGTGTCGCACTTGAGCTTTTTGGCTCTACAGCGAGAGCACGACGGGGTCAGCTTGCGCGGGTCCACCGAAGCGTTGGCGATGGCGGTGGCGTTTGCGGTGGCGTTTTTGCCATTTGTCTCGTTTGTCTGGGGTGGGGACTGGGATGATGATGATGCAGAGGAGGAGGTGGTGGCGGCGGTGAGAGGCGGGCGTGATGTCGACGTCGAAGTCGAAGTCGATGGACCTGCAGCACCGCTGGAACTGGCGGTCATCGTTTTTTGATGTCCCAGGCAGGCCTGCCTGCGGGTGCAATGATTGCAGTTGAGAAAGTGCGAAAGACGAGCAGGTGAACGAAATTGCAATGAAGGGGCAAAGAGGTGTAAAAGCGGAAACGATGGAGAGATGATGCGGGGCACAGGAGATGGAGCGAGTCCAATCGTGGAAACGGAGACGTACACCAACGCATCACGCATCCCTCTGCGCTGCCGCCGACTTGACCACTTTCTTTGATGCGGGGCAAAGCGGCGGCCCAGGCAAGGCGGCAGACGGACAGACGGACGGGTGGGTGGGTGGCTGCACAGTTGAGTCGATGTGCGCCAGAGCCCAAGAGGCGGTGCGGCGCCTGCCTGTCTACCCGCCCATGCAATCCGCTCTCCTGGGTCGACTCTGCCCGCCAAGTCAATCAGTCAATCAGTCAATCAATGGTAGTGTGTGGTGTGGTGTAGAGCGGGAGCGCTCCCACAGTCTTATTAGTGATCCATTGTCGAGATGAAAAAGTAAGGCCAGGAACTCCGGCCGGCATTGGTCGATCAGGGCCCGCCCCCCTCGTTGCCCTGAGCGGCGGCGGCGGCGGCGGCATCGGTGGGTGGCGTCTGGCGGCGAAGTCGAGTGAGTGGATCGGCTAATATCTCCACCAAAGACGAAAGACGGACTGCGAGCTGCGAGCTGCGCAGCGCAATCAATATCTCGAGTTGAGTCTTATCATCGGGGGCCCGCGTGCATTGCCCCCTTCTCCTTCACTTCGTGACTACTGACCACCGGCGCCGTGAGTGAGAGCGCCGACGATGACGGCTCCTGCGGCGCAAGGTGCTCAAGATCGAGGTGGAGACGGGGAGCATATTCACACCCACACCAACGGGGTCTCCTCTACCGCAGGCCAGGCCGCCGCCGCGGCCTCCTCCAGCTCAGCCCCGAATCGGGAGAGTGAGCACATCCGCACCGTCTTGTCCACCTTTGAGGCCTATCTCCCTTACTCCCTCGCAACGAACAACATCCGTCGACGATCCTACAATGCGCTGAGCAGGCGACATCGCAATATGTTGGCCGATGTGGGCGCAACACTACCACGGCCGACGATCGAAGGTGGTGGTGGTGCGAGCTCTTCGCGAGAGGTAAAGGAGGGATCAAGGTCGACTCCGCCGAACCTCTGGGGAGATCGCGGTATCAAAGCCCGATTGGCAGAGATAGACGACCGTATACGACGCAATGCCGACTTCCTCGACCTCGTCGTAGCGCAAGGTCGCGAATTCCTCGGCGAGGACAAGTGGAACCCAGAGCTGGCAGGCGGCGACAATGGCTGTGAAGGCTCGGCAGCAGGGGCGAAGGGTGCTGCTGTAGCCTCGAACTCGTCGCCTCCTCGCGATTTGGACAAGGTGCGCTCCACCCTCAAGCAGCTTGTACGAGATTGGTCAGAGCAAGGCAAGGAGGAGCGATTATTCGCTTACCAGCCTATCCTCGAAGCGCTCGAGGCGCAATTCCCCCTGCCACGAACGCAGCGCAATCGTGTTCGAGTGCTCTTCCCCGGCTGTGGGCTCGGTCGCCTACCCTGGGAGGCGGCAATGAGGGTGAGTCCTCACCTCCTCCCCCTGACGTGACAGTATGGAGCCCAAGGCGCTAATCTCGACTTCGCTCACCTCACCTCACCTCATCACCGACTTGCTCCTTCGGCAGGGCTTCACCTCGCAAGGCAACGAGTACTCGCTGTACATGCTCCTCTCCTCTCACCTCATCCTCAACAAGACATCGCAGGCCCGCACGCATCGGATCTACCCTTGGGTGGGCAGCATGTCCAACTGGCGAAGCGCTGCTCATCTCCTCGAGGAGGTCGACCTGCCCGATGTGCATCCGGGTCAACTGCTCGCGCGCAGCCCCCGTGAGAGTGGGAGCGAGGGGCGCGAGGAGGATGATGATGATGACGAGGCAGGGGAAGCAGCACACTTCAGTATGGCGGCAGGGGACTTCGTGAAAGTCTATGGTGCAGAGGAGCAGCGAGGAAAGTGGGACAGTGTATGTACCAGCTTCTTCCTGGATACGGCGCGCAACCCCCTCTCCTACCTGGAGACGATCCATTCCACCTTGCGGGAGGGTGGCGTTTGGATCAACTTGGGCCCTTTGCTGTGGCATTTTGAGGGGACAGGCCCCGAGAAGAAGATGGTTGGCGACGAGTTCGCATCGGGGAGTATTGAGCTGACCTTGGAAGAGGTGATGGATCTGATGGAAAAGGTGGGCTTTGTCGTCGAGGAGAGAAGGACGATGCCCAGGCAGAGCTATACGGGCAACGCGAGGAGCATGTTGACCTATGAGTATGAGTGCGAGTTTTGGGTAGCGCGCAAGGTGGGGCAGTTGGGGGATGAAGGCACAGCGGCGTCGAGTCGGAGTGGCAATGGGAGTGGGAATCTAAATGTGACGTTGAGTGGATAGAAATACAAGGTTTGTAGATGAGAAAGAGAGAGCCATGCGCTGACTCCCGATGCTGGCGTCACGGCGCTGATGGTGCTGGTGCGAGTGCGGCTGGAATGTACGTCTAGGCAATGAAACGCGCGCGATAGTGTACGGTGGGCTCCTCAATATCCCTCCGTCCCTGCACGACCCTCAACTCTCTCCTGCGCATCATCTCCACCCTCTGCTGCGCCTCAGCCTTCTCCTTGCTCTCGAGCTGCCTCTCATCAACAACGACGTCCCCCGCTGTTGCAATGGCCGCGGTGGTCCTAGCCAGCACCCCCTGAACTGACGCAATAGCCAACTCGGCCGCCCGCGCAATAGGCGTCACCTCTCCCGCTTGAGCCTCATCATATCGTCCCAAAGTGAGTGCGGCGAATAGGTCCCCAACGCCAGAGAAGTAGCCGGGTATCTCGGGGAACTCGATGAACCACGGGCGGAGCGGCGTGTCCTCCGCACTTGCCCTCGTAGGGCGACTGGACCCCACGCAGACCATACTCCCCACCTCCGTCTCCCCATCCATGAGCCTAGCCCTCCTCGCCACTCCCATCCTCTCCAAGTCCTCCTTGGGCAGCTCAACCGACGTGATAATGACGTGCTCCACGCCCTGATCGTGTATGCGCGCCAGCACTTCGAGGAGGGAGGGCAAGTCCCTAATCTCTCTCTCGGCGAGTACCTGTGCCTCAAACTGATTGGGAGTCACAATGCTCGCCAAGGGCAACACAGCCCTATAAGCCGGCAGCACATTAGGATCGACGTACATGCCCCTCCCCATATCCCCCATGACCGGGTCGCACAAATAGACCAATCCCGGGTTCACCCCGCGAATTCGTTCCACCGCATCGCGCAGTGCGTGGACTACTCCAGGGGATGGCATATACCCCGATAAGAGGCGGGACTGTTTGAGCAGCCCGTTCTCCTCCAAGCCGGAAAAGAGGGAACGAATATGCGCCTCATCGAAGCGTGAGCCGCGGAATCGGCCGTACCCTGTGTGGTTGGAGAATTGGACCGTGTTGATTACATCGACGTCCCAGCCTAGCAGTTGGAGGGGAAATGTGGCGGAGCGATTGCCTAACGGGGGGTGGGCGGACGGGTGGGCGGGCGAGCAGGTGACGAGCGCGCAGAGATGGCGGTGAGCACGACGATGGACGATTCCTTGTGTGCTGGCACTGCCCACTGCCTATTGCAAAGGCTACGCACCCACGTAGCCGCTCGCGACGTGCGACTGGACCGAGAGGAGGCGCTGTGGTTCTGCCTCGTTGGCGGCCATGTTCGTGTGTGCGAGCCTGCAAGTCTGTGAGGGGATTGAGATTGGGAGTCTAAGGTGTATGGGTATCTATCTATGTGTGGGGATGCTGCGTCGTCGTCGTCGTCGTTGTGATTGAGCTGCGTCTCGAATGAATTGAGCTCGAGCCACCCTCCTTCGAATTCAAACCCCGACATCACCCGGCGTGCGTCGTGGCCTGGCTTGGCCTGGCCTGACTGACGGAGGAGCGCGCTGCGGGTCGTCCCCGTTCCAAAGGGTCGCGTTCGGCCGAGGTGCAAACGCTGTCCGTCGCAGCTCCACGTGGCGCGCAATCAAGGCTGCTCCCCCGCCCAGCGAGGAGCCGCCCACGGCTCACTCGACTGGACACTCTGGCGCTCGCCGCTCGCTGCTCGCTGCTCGAAGTTTGGACGACGACTGGGACTCGACTCGACTGGACTCGAGGTCACGACGACTTCGCTGCTTCCCTTCCTCCTCACCTCAAGACTCATCCTCTGCTCGTCGCCATGTTCGTACCCGCGCTATGCACGCACGCACGCTCTCCTTCCTCTTCGCACAACTCTCTTACTGACACACACACACACTCATCCCATCCTTGTTTGCATTCTGCGTCGACAGGGGAATTGACACGGGCAAGAAGCAGCACGTCAAGTCGGGTCGCCGTTCGGCGCCCAAGAGCGAGGACCCTTACCTCCTCCTCCTCGTCAAGGTGAGCAGAGCGTAAAGAGAATATGATGATGGGGTGCGATGCGAGGCGGGCCCTCTGAGATGGATTGGATGGAGGCAGATGGAGGAAAGAGTCGAGGTGGCAGCGAGTAGATGGCTGTGATTGGGGAAGGTCAAGGAAGATCGATGGATCAGGGAGGAGGAATACGAGAGCGCATACGGAGAGGAGGGAGAGCGTGGCGAGGGACAGCTACGGAGACTAGCAGTCACGTCGCTGTGGTCGTAGACCACTCTGGGCCACCTCGCACACCCGCATACATCCTCAACCCTCCTTTGACTTGTACTCACATCTCCTTCTCCCCCCCTTCTCTCCACGCACACAGCTCTACCGCTTCCTGGCTCGTCGCACCGACTCTCGCTTCAACAAGGTCGTGCTTCGTCGCCTCTTCATGAGCAAGATCAACCGTCCCCCCGTCTCAGTCTCTCGCCTCATCTACCTCTCCAAGAACGCCGGCGGAGTCCCCAAGGACGCCTCTTCCCCCGCCAAGACCATCGTCGTCGTAGGCACCATCACCGACGACAACCGTATGGCGGCCGCCGAGTCTTTCCCCAAGCTCTCCGTCGCCGCCCTCCGTTTCACCGACACTGCCCGTGCCCGCATTACCGCTGCTGGTGGGGAGTGCCTCACTCTGGACCAGCTGGCGCTCCGCTCCCCCAAGGGTAGCAACACCATCCTGCTCCGTGGTGTCAAGACGGCGCGTGAGGCCAACAAGCACTTTGGCTTTGGCCCGCACAAGCACAAGAAGCCTTACGTCCGCTCCAAGGGACGTAAGTTCGAGCAGGGGCGTGGACGTAGGAAGTCGAGGGGTTTCAAGGTCTAAAGCGTGTGCGACACTGTCTCTCGCACGCTGGACGAGGAGGTGGTTGGTTGCTTGGATGGGGTGGAGCAATCAAGACGGAGAGACCTCGCTGGTCCCTACCGTTGCCATCACTTGGTATCCTTCGACCTCCCTTGCCCCTCGGCCTTCTCGCTCACAAACACCTTGTTTCATCAGAGTCCCTATCGTCTTCTGCCATCCAATGTACCACACACCCTCTCACTCACATCACGAGCGCCATGCGCGGACTGTCTGACTGGCCAAGCCTCCTCATGCCCGTCTCGTAAAGATTAGAGCGGAGGAGAGTAGAGTATCGTGTGAATCGCCAACTGACCTGCCAAGATGAGCTGGATGGCCCTGGCAACACTATGCTACGCTATGCTGCCTTCCCTTGGCGAACCACTCGCGTCACACTTGCACTCCCACTCGCCCTCACGCTGGTATCTTCGTCACCTTGCCTTGCCGTGCGAAGCTAAGCCACAATGGCCGAATAGCTCTACGGCTCTGCGCTCAAAGAAGGGATTGAGGGACTACACTTGGGCTGATCCTGATGCCGATGCTGATGACAGCAGGGAGTGAAGTCACGGACACGCGTGAGCCCGACTTCGTCTTCGTCTTCGCGTGAGATTGTGCTCCCCCTCGCTGGCTTGAGTCACTCCTCTCGACCCGTTCGAGCACTCAGCGTCCACCTTGACGAGCAGATTGATCGACAACGACGTCGACGTGGAAGTGCAAGTGCAAGTGCGAGTGCAAGTGCAATCGGACGTCGACCGTCCAAGCGAAAGGGGGGCTGTGCAACCCTCGACCCTCAATCTCGTTACTCCTGCGCACCCTCGTCGCAACCTTTGCTGCTTGCAATCAATTCTCAATCGCACGACAGGTTGTGCGTGCGTGCGTGTATGCCCCCCCTTTATCCCCGTCTGACGACAACGAACGGCATCGCCCCGGCTGTACCAAAGCGACAATCGCACAAAACGAAAAGAGCGCAGGAACTCTCCCGGTCGTCTAGCCTCATCTCTGATCTATTGTACCTTCGCGACCGCTTTGACCATCCATCTCCGAAGCGAATGTGTGACTGTGAACGCTACCAATTGCGAATGCCAATACAAAACGGAAACAAAGCCAGCTTTCCTTTCGCACCTCGCTCATTGCGCTCCTTTCGTCGCACTCGCCTCGTCCTCGTTCTCGTGCCGACAGAGTGACTGCTCACCTTCCATGTTCACCTTCACCTTAATGCCGCAAAGTTAAGGTGAGAATGAGGGCCGACAATTCGCTGAATCGTGACTTGACCCTGGCGGAACTGCCCGCAGTGAGGATCTGGGAGTGACGGCGAAGGCGAAGGTGCAAGACGTCCGGGAGACGTCTGCGGCCCATCCTTGAGTCTGAATCCGAGTCTATCTCTGTGCAACAGTCAGTGACGCTCTGCTACCATCACAACCAAGTCGCCTGCCTCGGTCGTCAGGACCGTCGTGACCACGCCTCATGAGCGGGCCGCACCGCAACGCACCGCACCGCTCCGCTCGTAGGTGAGCGGTCAAGCCCCTCTTTTCGTACGGACAAGCGGATGCGGTGACGGTCGACGATGACGGTGACGGTTGCTCATTGCGACTACCGAGCGAGGGAACGGCGCAGCGAGCAAGTGCTTGCATTGCCGCCATCGTGCAATCTCCGGCCGCCGTAGAGGGGAGCGGATGGGAAGGGATGAGATGAGGTGAGCGGATGGGCAGGGTTTGAGGGCTCGAGTCGAGTCAAGTTGAGTAGGATGAGCTTCTCTCCTCCACGAGTGAGGGAGAACGAGATATAAAGGGACCCGCAGCTTGTTGCCTCGTCCATTCGCTCCCTGCCCACCTACACCCGTGACAACCCTCCCTTCCCTGCCACCCAGCCCTCACTCCAAAGATTCATCGAGCACCATGCTCTTCCGCCTGCCCTTCCTCGCCCTCGCCGGCCTCCTGGCCCTCACCTTCACCACCTTCGTGGCCTCGATGCCTGCCACCCAGCAGCAGCAGCACCAGTTGCGCGGCCTCATCACCCGCTCCAACCTCCCCGCCTCCTTCTCCCGCCTCGCCCTTCGAGCCGAGGAGATCGAGGCTCGCAACGCCAACGCCAACCTCAACAAGCTGGGTCGCCGTGCCGCACCCTTGGCTGATGGATTCCCCACACCCAATCCTGCCCAGCTGGCAAAGATCGAGGAGACCGCAATGGGTACTGTGCCTAATGGGCCTCTCCCCAAGAAGCTGGACCCTGATTCCATCACGGCGTTGCAGCTCGTGGCCTTCAATGAGATGATGGAGGTGAGTTCGCGGCGCAGGTGAGAAGCGAGCAGTCTACGGGCACGGGAAGAGGGCTGACATTCATTCCTTGCACACTCGTACGCAGGTCGCCCTCTTCAACAGCCTCGTGACTAACATCACCACTAACGCGAAAGGGTACAGCGACTTCCAAGGCGAGACGAAGGACTATGTTCTCAAGGTGAGTTCGCGGAGTCCATCGCCTTTCGCCCTCCGTCCTCTCCCCCTCTCCTCGCTGACCACCCTTGCCCGCCATACGAACAGGTCTTCAAAACCGTCCTCGCCCAAGAAGAGATCCACGCCATCTCGGCCAACGCTGCCCTCAAATCTGCCGGTGCCCCCACGATCGCGCCCTGTGGCTCATACCATTTCCCCGCCACGACATTCGAGGAGGGCGTTCTGTTCGCGGACGAGGTTACAGCTCTCGTACTCGGCGTCCTACAGGATGTGGCCTCCACCTTTGCCAAATCGGACGATGCTCGCGGTCTCGTCGGACTGGTAGCGAGCGTCGTAGGCCAGGAGGGCGAACAGCGCGGCTACTATCGTCGTGTGGGCAAGCATGTTCCCTCCAGCCTCCCCTTCGGTACGCAAGCAAACGTCCAGCTGGCTTGGAACGCCCTGCAGCAATTCGTCTCCGACTGCCCGAGCGCGAAGGATATCAAGCTCAAGGCTGGAGAGCCCGTTACTGTCGTCTTCCCACCCAAGGAGAGCGTGACCGCTACGACGGTGCTTTCCTTCAAGGCGAACACCACCAACCCTCCTCCTCTAGCCGGGACGGATAAGAACCAGGACAAGAACAAGCACCCTCCTGCTCCTGGTGCCTCGTCGTCGTACTTTGTCACCTACATCAACCAGCTCAACACTCCCGTTACGGTACCCGCCAAGATCAACAACCCGCCTCACGGCGCCAAGCCCGCTCCTGGTACCGTGGAGATAATGGCTCCCTTCCCCTTGCACGAGCACAAGTTGAATGGACTCACCCTCGCCCTCGTTGGGACGCAAAAGGGGCCCTTTGCTACGCTAGAGGACGCAGTCAAGGGGAGCGTGGCCGGGCCGGGCTTGATCTACTTTAGGCCGTTGGGACTTTGAGCTGGCAACCCCGGCCGTGCGGAGTGTGGGTAGGAGGGAGAGAATCGTGACGGAAGGACGGACATGGAACACGTAGCCTAGCGTAGCCTTAGTTGTCTCGCTCTCCCCTTCTCTCCCTCTCTCGTTTCTCTCTACACGCGACTATTCTCCTTTCCGACTTTCTCTCCAATTACTACTTTGACTGACAATGACAATGACAATGACGTCGTCCCGTTGCCAATCGGCGGCACCGTTGCCTGAAACAGAGACGCGATGCGTAGCGTCTAGACTGGACTGGACTGGACTGGACGCCACTCGTTGACCCACATTGACTCGCTAGGACCACCGCAGGGAAAGAGACAGGACGGTTTCAATCGGAAGTGACCTACCTACCTACCTTTCCGCCGTGGAGTGGCTGGCCAACGGCAACGGCGTTGCGTAATGTCGCCTGACCTCTCTCTCTTGCCTCGCCTCGCCTCGCTTTACCTAGCAGTCAAACGGCTCTTGGCTGGCTCTCCGTTCATCCTCTTGCCCATCGATGTTGTGATGCTGAACCCGGAGCCGAAGTCGAAGCTGAAGTCGAAGTAGCTTGCTGCTGCTCCTCCTCCTCCCCTGCGGATCCTCATGACGTGGCAAATTGGATGATGAGTGGTGGCACTGGACGTTGGAGCCGGATGGAAGCATGGCAGGACTCGGGAGCGAGTGAGTGAGGGCGAGAGAGGAGACGATGACGACGACGACGACGACGACGACGACGACGACGACGACGACGACGGAATGCCTTGAGGTTGAGCTTGATACACATGGCTGTCTTTGAATGAGATTCTTGGTCAGTCAGTGACGCCGCCGCCTCTTCGTTCAAGGCAGGGCAGGAAGGATAGATTGATGCAACGGAAAACGCCTACGCGTGTGGCTTGGACTTGGCTTGCGTCAGTTGGATTACTAGCAGGCTTGCCACCTTGTCAGGGCGAAGAGCGTTTTTTGATGGATTTGAGATCGAATTGGATTTGATTGGATTGCTTGTTCTTCTGTGCTTTTGGTTCATTTCGACTTTGGCTTCGACTTCCACTTCGGTTTCGACTTCGCTTCTGGTTTCTGGTTCTTGAGAGAAAGACTTTTTGGGCTTGGAGCGAAGGGAGCGAGGACTTGCCGCTCTGAGCGCCAAGTGAAGAGGTGGTCGATACTGGAAAGGGGGTGGGAGGATGGATGAGATGGAGCGGATGGATGGAAGAGCAAGTCAATGGCGCTTTTGCTCGATGCGTAGCGAGGCGTGGCGTGGCGTTTGCGTCGTCGTCGTCCTGCCCCTCTCCCTAGTCAATCGATCAATGACCCCTCCCTCGCTCTTTCCTGATCAATAGTCATCCCCCCTCCTCCTAGGCGGACTAGGCGGATCGTCCCTATGCCTCCTCCTTGGCGGACTATCGTCCCTATCCCTCCTACTGTCCCTGTCTCTGTCCCTCCTAGGCGGGCTAGGCCTGCGACGCCAATCGTCCCTGTCATCAGCTGCGGAGCCTGATCGCGCGTACGGGTCGCGGTCGCCGCGAGGGGGTGGTGGCCCATAGGGATCATCAAAACGAGAGCCACGAGGAGGGGGTGGTCCGCCCCACCTGTCGTGCGGGGGAGGAGGGCCGTATCGACCGTAACCGGGCGGGGGAGGGGGCGGGCCCCATCCTGGAGGAGGGGGGCCATAGCGTCCGTAGCCGGGCGGCGGTGGGCCCCATCCAGGAGGCGGGGGACCCCACCCACCACCGCGGGGTGGCCCGCGAGGAGGAGGGGGACCACGGTCGTCTGGTCGGAGGGCGCCGCGGTACTCTCCTGGCGTGGGTGAGTGCGGGCGCTTAGTCGCCGAGAAGTCGACGCGGATCTTGCGGCCGTGGAGTTCCTGTAGGTGCGTGGTGTGGCGCGGTGGGTGAGTGAAGGCCGGGATGTATGGATGGTAGGCGTTGGAGAGGGAGAGACTTACGATTCCATTGAGAGCATCAATAACCGCCTGAGCGCCTTCAGTGTCCTTCATTGTCACGAAACCGAACCCGCGGGAACGCTCCGTCTGTGAGCGAGAGAACGGGGGTTTGAAGATGAGGATCAGCAAGTCTGCCCCACGTGCATACAAGCAAGCATACATCCACCCCGCGCGCGCCGCACTCACCCTAGCATCATAGACAATGACGACCTTCTCCACATCTGCGATGCGCCCAAATTCCTCCTCGAGGTCGCGCTCCACGGTCCTGATGCTGAGACCAAAGACGCCGAGGATGTTTGACGCCTGTACATCCTTTGGCGCGTGGCGAGGCTTAGCTGGTGGGGGCGAGGCGGGTCTGCGTGGGCGGTGTGCGCGTGCCGTTGGTCAGCGTCGGAGAGGGGGGGAAAGAGAGAGAATGAGAAGCGCACGACGTACCTGGCATTCATTCTCCCGCGACTCGGGCTGCGCGTGTCCCTACTACGGCGTGGTGGTGGTGGCGGGGAACGAGAAGGCGTGCGTCCATCGCCATCACCATCACCGTTGGCGTTGTCGCGGCGTGGGGCGGGAATCGGTGAGCGAGAGTAGGATCGCTTGTCGTCGACGTCGTCCCTTGGATCGCCGGAGGGGGGACCATCCATGTCTGCGTAGCTTTCCATTGCGGGCGGCTAGGAAGAGGTGGATGCGCGGTGGTTGGAGTGGTGGTGGTGGAGGAGTAGGACGATGTTGAAGTCGAGTTGTGTCGACTCGAGTCTAGTCGTGTTCGGGGTGACTTGGTTGCTTCCTCGTCGTCCGCGCGCCTGCCCTTTTGTCCCCGTCCACGGCCTGCCTGCCTGCCTCCACGCCTGCCGGCCCGCCCGCCCGCCGCGTTGCCGTTCCGTCGTGTGCTGTGTGGCTCGGACGACGGCGGCGGTGCACGAACCACTCGACTTGGCTGCGTGCGTTGGCTGCATACATCCACATCCGTCCTCCCTCTCCTCATCTCTCAAGCACACCACATCGCAGCGCACCGCATGTCCTCCCCACTTGCGCTGCTTCGCGGCCAAATAGAGGCAGCAGGTGTCCCCTCTCCGGAGGAAGGCACTCTCCTCGCCCTTCTCGCAGCAACGGGCGACGACCCGGCTGCTGCGTGCAGGTTGGTCCTTGATGACCATAATGCCTCCAGTGGGCCAGCGTCGACGTCGAGATCATCATCGTCTGCAGTTCCAAGTCGACAAACAGCGCGCGCCCGTCGTCAACCAATGCACTTTGCCGAGGCTCAAGACGAGCAGACGTACCAAGCCCTGCTGCACGGCTACGATTATCGTGTCGAGGATTCCTCCTCGTCCGGCTTACGCAGACGCCCCGCAGCAGCCGCCGCCGCCTCGCCTCATCATCATCATGGAGGCCCCCGGCGCAACGGTAGTGCAACATTCGCCGAAGGTGGCATCCTAGCCTTACTCCTTCAGGGCGTCTCTTTACCCTTCTCTCTCCTCCACTCCCTCCTACTAGGCCTCGCACGCCTGCTCCGCCTTCCCGACCTCTTGGCGGGTATCTTCCCCGCGTGGGGGCGAATTGACGACCAGGATCGAGATGGACGCGAGGAGGAGGAGGGGGAAGGAGCGATCCTAGCTGCAGAACAGTTTGCAATACGTCTCGCCGAGGTGGCGGCGGATGCGGGAGCGGGCGAGAAGGGGGACGACGACGACAACGCGGCAAGCCTGAGCCGGCAAGAGGCGGAGAAGGAGACAAGCATGGCATCACCTCCTCTGCTAACGGGCAGGTACAACTCAGCAATCCAAAAGACAAAGGACGACCTAGCCATCCTCCTCGTCGCCTTGGTATCGGGACAGAAACGCAAAGAGGCGGAGGAACGCAATTTCCTGCGTGCATTGACGCATAAAGACGTAGCAACGGCCCTTCACAGCCATACCGTAGGGCGCGACGAGCAGCAGCAGCAGCAGGAGCCTGGCTTTCCCCTCTACCTCTGGGGCTCCACGACTCTTCGACGAGAGGGGGCCCTCGTGTCCCGCCAGCTGGGGGCGACCCGTCTCCCCCAGCTGGTATGTATTGCCCTGCACCCTACCTCCCCCATCTCCTCCTCATCATCATCCCCGCACCTCCGTCTCGTCTCCCGTCTCGTCTCCCCCTCCCTACTCTCCTCCCCTTCAGCCCTAGCAGCCTGGATAAACCAGGACTGTCGCGCCCGCTGCTCCCCTTACCTCTCCGGACTGGCAGCAGAGCGCGTCGCGAGAGAGGCGGAGCGACGCTTAATGGCAGAGCAGGATGCGGCCTACCGCGAGGCGGCTAGGGTCGATGCGGAGCGGGTTGCGAAGCGGAGGGAGGAGGAGAGGGAGAGGATGATGGTGCAGGAGGGGAGGGTGGAGCGGGAGAAGAGGAGGAGGGAGGAGAGGAGGGAGAGGATGAGGTGGAGGAAGTGGGTGAGGCAAGAGGTGTTGCCGCCTCAGCCACTCGAGGGGCAGGGGACGACGGCGACGACAACGACGATACATGCGGCTCTCCCCAACGGGAAGAGGATGGTACGCCGTTTTGCAGTCGAGGAGCCGGTGGAGCACGTTTACCTCTGGATTGAGGTGGAGGGCCACTCGGCACCAGACGAAGAGGAAGAGAAGGATGAGGATTCAAGCTCCTCGACTCCTGCTCCACGCTCATCATTATCGCCCCTCCCCTCCGCCGCCGCTGCCGATCCACACTACACCTTCATCCTCTACTACGGCTACCCACGAAAGGCCCTCAGACCCGACGACTTTCGGCTGCCCGATGCCGCTTCAACTGACGAGGCGGCCGGCGCCCCAGCATCCGCATCCATGTCGCACATCCCGCGCGGCTTGTGCATCAAGGACATCGAAGGTCTCTCCCCGCGGGCGAATGTGATTGTTGAGAGCGCGAGGACTAGGGAGGAGGGGAGTGGGAGTGGGAGTGGGAGCAGCAGCAGCAGTAGCGGGGAAAGTGACAGCGAGGAGGAGGCGGAATGAGGGCGATGGCGAAGAGGAAAGGGAAGGCCGTTACAGGACGGAGCCAGCTAGACTTGGTCTGGCTTGGCTTGGCTCGGCCGGCCATACGCGCTAGAGTTGGGCGAGGCATCCTGGTACAAGGTGAGGTGAGGTGAGGCTGCAAGTATGGAGCATGGCCTAAGTCCTCGTGTCCCTCATCGCCGCCGCCGCCGTCGTCATCACCAGCATCGTCATCATCAACATCATCATCAACATCATCACAGTCAGCCTCATAGTCATAGACGCAGCTCGACAGGCCGCTCGACTCTACTAAAGCCTGACGTCTCCCCGTCAACTTCGCGCGGAACAACCTCCATACACTCTTTTCACCTCGGGAGGGAGGGAGGGAAAAAGAAAGAACTCGAGCGCTGTCCCCGAGCAGCTACCTTTTTGTCCTGCTTGCTTGCGCGCACGATGCCGACAACTGATCAGGACAAGGCGAGCGCGAAGGCCCGTTGCCTCGATTTGAGCGGTCGATTCGTCGGTCAATGAGATCGAGACGAGACGGCGTCAGTCTACTCTAGTCGCCGAAGGGCCAAGGGCATGAGCGTTTTTCTCATAGAGCGTTTCCACATAGAGGCGGGCGAATGGGAAGAGGGGAGACGGAAGAAGCGGAGCAGACGGGCTTGTGCGCCTGTGAAGAGCAGGGCTCGCTTCAATGTGGAAGCGTGAAAGAGTGCCGTACGCTCTTCTTCATGTTCCCTTATCCGCTCGTCAGAAAGATTGTGACTCTCCTTTCTCAATGACGCCAGACTCGACCCTCCAGCACCGTATTTGGCATCAGTGTCGGACCCTCATCGATCAATCGGTGCAGGCAGACGGACAACCTGTTCCGCCGGCTTCGACAATGCCGTCGCTGTCGCCTTCGCCGTCGCCTCGCTACGGTACACCCGAGCGGCAAAAAGCTAGCCGAGGTCGGTTAAGCGTCCCGATTGTCGTTCGAGGCATTGATAATCACACCATCCGCGGAGCTCGATTGTCAATCGCACAACTGAGCCACGAGACGATCATCGTGGCCACGTCGAGCGAACCTGGATGGCTGGTAGCCTCGCGCAATCCAACGATGGGATGACAATTGCGACTACGCCGGGCGAGCACCTCGCGCAATCCCAGCGGCGTCTTGGGAGCGCAACGGAGCTGCGATTGCAAAGCGACGCGCCCATGGCAGCCACTCATAAAGGGTGCCCAACTACTCCCGTTCGTCCTTTCTCGGCGTCCCTCATCTCATCTTCACTCAACTCCCCTCTCTCAACCCACTATGACCCGCTTCCTCCTCTCGTTCGTTTCCCTCGCCTGCCTCCTGGTCCACCTGGCTAGCGCCGCTTGTCCCATGGCAGAGCTCGCTCGCCGAGGCATGGCACCAGAAGAGCTCGCTCAACTCTACCACCGTGGCGAAGGCTTGAACTTGGCGCACCTCGAGCACGCTCGCGATGGCGCGGCCAAGACGCACGACAAAGCCGATGAGACTACGCCGCCTGCCGCTCTTGACCCCCTCTCTGGCATCTTGTCTCCCCTCGGGCTCGGTGGGCTCCTGCCCCGGTTCTCCGACGAACACAAGCGCGACATGATCGAGCACGTCCTCGCTCGTCAGAACGAGCCCGACGAGCAGGTCAACATCGACGCACCCATCCTCACCCCAAAGGCACACAAGCGCCACGTTGAAGAGCGAGGCTTGATCGGCGGCCTACTGGCGCCTCTGTCCGGCATCCTGCAGGCCATTGACATCCCCACTCCTCAGGAGTCTGGGCTCAAGGAGATTCCAGGCGACGACCCTAACCATCAATACCAGGCGCCAGGACCTACCGACGTCCGAGGCAACTGCCCGACCTTGAACACCCTAGCCAACCACGGCTACCTCTCCCGCTCCGGCATCACGTCTCTCGCCGAAGCCGCCAACGCGGTCCAGACGGCCTTCTCCATGTCGTTCGACATTGCCGTCTTCCTCTCGGCTTTTGGCCTCCTGGCCGGAGGTGACCTCGTAACGGGCAAGTACTCGATCGCGGGCAAGGACTCGCGCGTACCCAACACGCTGGGCAACTCGCTGGGAATCGACCGTCACGGCACTTTTGAGCTGGACGCCTCCATCAGTCGCTCTGACTACGCCTTTGGGGACAGCCACTCTTTCAACGCGACCAAGTGGGACGCCCTCGTCAACGACGCGAACAAGTACGGCGGTGGCCTCTTCACCATCGAGGCCTTCCAGAAGAATGCCGCCGCTCAGGCCAAGGCCTCGCGAGCCACCAACCCTCAATACGAGAATGGCGCAAACTTCATCGTCAACGGTGCCACCCGCGCCCTGACGCTGCGTCCCTTGCCCAACGGTACGACGGAGAACGTCCCCGACTATGCCAACATCGCGCCCTTCTTCCTCAATGAGACATTCCCTCCCAAGTGGTACCGTCGCGCGGACTCGTACAGTCTTGCTGACCTGCTGGTGGATGCGGCAGACATCCTCTTGGCGGACCCGCAGCCTCTCGGCCGCAACTACGACGGGCGCTTTGTGCCCAGCAACATCTCCCTGCCTAAGGCTCCCGCTGACGTCGGCTGTCTCGGCGTATCTCTCCTTGCGGGCATCATCCCGGGCCAACTGGCAGGAGAGGCCGTCACGGCGGGCAATGCGGTGGTGAACCAACTCATTGTGCCCCTCTTCGGCGGGACTAAGTGCGACATCGACAGCTACGACGCTGCAGGCGTGAACAACGTGCGCTCGAACTCGTACAACGTTACCAATGAGGACGCGGGTAGTGGGAGCGGGGTGACTGGTCTGGGCCAGCACGAGAGGCTGGCTAAGACTAGCAGGTACACGCGTAGGGCCGTTCCTTTCGGCAGAGCGTGAGATTGCACGCTACGCTATCACAGAGCGGGTCGCCCCCGCGGCTACCGCTCCTCTCTGTTTAACTCTGTACACGTCAGCCTTTTACCCTGCCACCTCCCCAAGAGCTCTCCTCCTTTTTCCTATTCCGATTTTTGAGTGGCACCAATGAATTCTCTCCACCGAAGGAACAGCTCCACAACTTCAGTCTGAGAATCGACCTTGGTAGCTAGCTCAGCGGCGCCATCGTTGGCTGCTTCTCGAGTTCCCAGGGTGACATCTCCTTGGCCGGCCCTTCTCATCGCGCTAGTAGTCGCATTCGTATTGCGTGAGCGCCATCTTTCGTGGTGGACGGCGCCGAACACTTCGCCATGGTTGGCCTCCTGGCACAGAAAAGTAGCGCGGACCTCCACTTTCTGCAGTCGCTCTACGTCAGAATGGCGCTGCGGGATAAAACGGATGGCCTGCTTCCACTGAAAGACTGCAGGCTCCCGTCATCGCGACCCTGCTCTCCAGTTGTCCTCTACGGCCTTACCGTCTCACGCGACCGGCTCAGCCAAACTTGCCGGCATTGCCGTGCGAAAGCTTCGGAGTACTGTGACGCAAGAGAGACAACGTTGGCGTCTAGCCCAGAGGCCTGCCCTGCGTACTGTAGCATTGTCGTTGTGGACTTTGCCACAAGACGTCGAGATTGCTAGCCTATGCTCGCTGCGCGCGGCAATGAAGGCAACGTGCATGCGCTGCGATGCCGCTCATGCTGGTCATAATGACGTGCGAAAAGGCATGGATGCCTGTGCCGAAGAGCGGAGGAAGCTTGCAATGCGGATAAGAGCCCACGAAGCGTATCGCGGCAGCAGCTGAAGAGCGAAGCCAGACGAGAGGAGCGTGCTTCCGCCATACAAAGATTCCGAGATTAGCCTTCCTATCGATCATGCCGTTGCAGAGTACGCAGGGACCAAGAGGTTGTTAGTGCTTAGATCATTCTGTGGAGGCGAGTCATCGGTCAGCGTCGTAAACCCTTACTTCTAGTGCGCTCACTCACGGCAACAATAGTCGGCTCGACCTCGAATACCACTTCGCGTTCTTGGCCCTGCAGGATTAGGGTCAGCCGACAAGTGAGAGTATGTCGAAAGCGCACGGACACGCGCGTGAAGTCCAGCGTCATTGCATAGAAGCCGCTCTGGCCCTTCTCCGCTCCAGACGGGAAGTGCGATGAAAAGGAGAAATGAAGAGCCGGATCCGCGCTTGAGTCAGTGTCCTCGCTGAGGGTATCCTTGAGGCTGGCAGGCGACGGAGCCGCGCGGACTTGCGGTTGCTGAGACTCCTGAGACTTTCCTCGTGCGGTCCCTGTCCAGCGACGTAACTCGTCAACGACCAACTGCGAGACTTGATCGGTGCCCTCCGTTTCGACTTGAGTGCGAATTATCCAATGCTGCTCCAGCTTGAGCTGCACCGAGACAAGCTCGATAGCCTCTGCGCTGTTCGGGACATACAATTGACCGGCAATGGTGAAACATCCCCCAAATCTGCAATTCGCCGTTGAGAGTCGCGCACTACATTTCAAAGGTTTGAGCTCTGTAGAAGGTCGCATCGTGTAGTCGACGGGATTGAGACCCGCGGGGCCGGAGTTCGATGGGTGGGAGCAGAGCAACAGGTCTCTGCTGGCTGATGCTTGCTCGGAGCCCCGGAGCCAGGAGGTAGAGGTGGCCGTCGAGGATGCTACGATTGAGTAGGATGCCTTCGCCAGCCAGCTTTCGCCGCTCGAGGGTAGCGAGTTTGGTACTCTCAATCGCCATGCCAGTCTAAGCGAATAGTAGGGTCAGCCAATATGCTCCTGGTAGAGTCACGCTCACACTTACAGGTGCGAGCCTGCTTCGAAACGCCGGTCGGCCTCCAGCTGATGCCACTCATTGTTGACAACGACGTAAACGTCTGCTCGCTCATGCCAAACCGCCCTCGTCGGCGACAATGGTGATGGTGCCAGGACCAAAGTGCCCTCGTTATTCTTCGCCTGCACTTTGACTTGCTGAAATCCGATGCTGCGCACGCCAATGTTGAGCGGCTCAATCGCCTTGTCGCAGTGCAGGCGCAAATAGCCAGTCAGGATCGTTTCGGCTGCTGACCTCGTACAGATCGCTGACAGCTCGAGCAACCCACGATGTCCGACCTGAGGGACATCGAAGGACAGATGCATCGTCGGGCGGGTGGAAAGGAAGGAAGTTAGACTCGGCGCTCCGACCGAGCAAGAGGGTGTCAATGTGGAGGGCGGACTAGCGGCGTTCGCAGGCAGCTGGCCAC